TCTTCTTCTTCTTCTTCTTCTTCTTCTTCTTCTTCTTCTTCTTCTTCTTCTTCTTCTTCTTCTTCTTCTTCTTCTTCTTCTTCTTCTTCTTCGTCATCATCATACTTAGCACTTGGGTGTGTACCTTGGAAAAAGGTAGGCAAGCAGGGACGTAGGTACACACCTGATGGCAGGTAGTTCCAGGAGACCATCCAAGGTCAAAACGCGTGGGAAATATGGGTGTATTCTCCTCAAGAAGCGATTTTATAAGCGCCTCCGTGACCAATGTCGAGTACTCCATCCTTGACCATGCCGGCCAGAAACTCCTTCAATTCCTCATTACTAAAAGGGAACCCACCCGGCACCACGATACCCAACATCATGGCGATCCGCGACAACGGCATGGCGCCCTGGTTCGTCAACATGCTGACCACGAACTGATGGTACACTGCCATTTTCGCCTTTCGCTCTTCCTCCTCGGCCTCCTTGGCTGCCTGCGCCACGGCGGCGGCCGCAGCGGCAGCGGAGTCGTGGACCCTTCCAGAGCTGCCGCCGCCGCCGCCGCCGTCATCCTGCATGGCATTGTCGCTCTCATCCGGTAACCGGTCGAGTACGACGAATGTGTCTCTGCTTGTCTCGGCGAGGACGCGCTTGCTCACCCAAGAAACACACGCCATACGCACGTGGGTCGCGGACATGTTGAGCTCGGCTGCTAGTTCTGCGACCGTCTTACTCACGGGACCCGACGACGACGACGGCGACAGTCCATCATCCGCACTTGCGTCCTGGAACGCGTAGATGACGGTAGCGTGCCAGGGGAGGACCTCCTCTACGACGGTGCGGTCTTCGAACTCCAATTCGACCTCGACTTGTCCCATCGAGTTGATCCACGTGAGTTTTCTATTTTGTTTGAGAGCCTCGAACCCGGCCTCGTAGCTCTCCTGCTGCTGCTGCACGACTCGAGGCACAGTGAAGCCTTGCTCTGGCATGGCCGGCCAGAACAAGCGCGATAGGATTTTGGCGTGTAAATGGACACCGTCTCCTTCTCCTTCCTCTTTTGTTCGTCGTCCATGTACGACTGGTGAATCTGAATCCGGATCATGCATGCCTCGATCACGACGAACCACCGTGTCTACCTTGCGCGAATCCAGGACGTCGCGGAGCATGACTTCGCAACCTTGCAAGGCTGCATCGCCGAATCGGAGCTTGAGATGTTCCAGCACCGAAATCTCCTGCTCGAAGTCCTTGTTCTTCTTGAGCAGACGCTCTGCGATTGAGGATTGCAGTTGACGCACAAACACCTCCTTTGTGTCGAAGAGCGTGATCAGGCTCCCTATCACGTCGTTCTTGGTCTTGGCGTAGTCCGGTGCCGCGTCGATCGGGTCAGGGACCCAGTCCATGTTGTTCCAGTCAAAGTCGGCATCGTCGGCACCACTGGATTGCGCATTGGTGTTGTTCAATTCCACGGCAAGCTCCGTGAGAACCGTCGGGTCCGAGGGCGTTTCTTGTCCGTCGCTGTTGCCCGGGTCACTGAGGAGTCCTACGACGATGACCTTGACTGTGTCGTCGCGCTCGCGGAGGTAGCGACGTAGCTTACGCGCAACACGATCAAGGAGCACACCTTTGGGGTCAAGGATGCGAAATGCCCGGATGATGGAGATGTAGATCTGAAGAATTTCGACTGTCGATGCCCCGGGATGTAGGAGACGCGCCTGTAGGACATTTGCAAAGTCTTGTGTTAGATATGCTCGTGTCGCAGGGTTGGTCGTGAATGCTCGCAGATCTTCGATCGCCGGTGCCGTTGCGTCCCACTCGACGACGATGGTGAAGAGTTCGTCGACTCGCAGTGCACCCAGACGGGCCGTCGCCATGTCCTTCCATTTCTTGACCTCGGCCGGATCAGGTGCATTTCGGCCATCGTCTTCAAGATGGGAACAGGTCCATTTGGCAATCCGAGAGAGGAGGTGCTCGACCCAGAAATCAAGATGCCTTTCGAGTCCTTCGCGGTACACGCCCGCGTAGGACCAGGTAATGAATTCCGCAAGAAGGTCTATTAGCACACTGGCGAGTTGTTTTTTGAGTGTCGAAGATCCTATGGTCGATTTCCACCGTTCAAGCTGTGGCCATAACGGTGAGCCAGACTCCCTGGATAATTGTGTCGTGTGGTCTTCAGAAGTGGGTTGCCGTATTTGCTGAGGCTCAGGACAAGATCCGAAGTGGCTGCGAAATGGACCTCCGCTCCCAGGAATCCAGTCATCATTGCCATAGACAAAGTCTTCATTTCCTATGCCGAGAAGTGATCGTAGCTGGTCTTTGAGCATTGACTTGATCACCGGTAGCTGTTTGCTTGCAGTCGCGGTGAAGCGCTGCGGATGTTTGGGCGGCCGGATTCTAGGTTGCGAGAAGACCGAGGCGAATGTCGCTTTGTTAGAAGGGAGTACTTCGGTCTTGGACATCTTAGAGATTTGATAAACTCGGATGGTCAATCATGCTGACCATGATGTTGTCATTCTGTTTATGTATGTGTTCCATTAGCCGTAGTTAAGGAGACGCGATGGTGGACGTGAAGTCCCTTCGGTAAGTGTCGCCAAGAGATTAGATACGATTAGATAAGATTCGGCACTTTTATGTCCCTTTAACGTAGGTACCTATTGTACCTGGACTGTTAATACTCCTGTAGAAGCGACATTCAAAACAATCTCCGATGGAACTTCAAGTTTGTCCTGCAACAGCGCCAGTGACCTCGTCAATTCCTGCCAACTAGTTTCATTCGTGGAGCACCACCAACTGACCACCAACTGACCACCAAGACAATGACAAGAAGATTATCAAGCCGTTCTTTGTCAGCCAAGTTCTCCATAAATGAATCTCTGGTGACGTTTAACCTAGACGCGTCGCTTCTGTCTCAGATAGCCAATTTTCGATGACAACCTCAATGACATGGAATCCGTCCAGAAGAACGTCTCGCAGATATTGACATTGGCCTGCCAATCTCTCGGAGTCGGCCGTGAATCTAACAGCTTCAGACCAAGGATCCAAACTTCGGACGTAGGATCACCCATTGAAACAAGGACTGACCCGACCCAGGTCATGAAGTCTTCATTCTTGTCCGACACGTCAATAGAGACCGAGTTCAAGTGCCGGCATCGAACTTGCAAGTAAGCTTTTGTTATCCAATAAAAGGATCTGGTGTCGTCATGGGAATAGCAGAAACCAAGCAGGCCGAGTGTAAGGAGTTGCTCGACTAGCGACAAGTTTGGATGTAGGAGGAATTGGCCACTGAGGGTAATGTTCTTGGAGTTGTGGGAGAGGTAGTTTAAACGGTATATGTCCTTCTCCCGTAAAGAGGTGGCAACCTCCTGGCCCCAGGCATTGACACGTGATATCATTACTATGATCTGATGGCTGAGCTGACTCGACAGTGCAATATTCATGATCCCTGGCGGGAATTTGGCAATAACACTGCACAGGTCCGGATCGAATGGATGAGTCGGGTAAGTTAAAATTCCGTCTGCCGGGATAAGGGATTCCTTGTGACTCGCAATATACTGCCGGGAGGCATAAAAGTTCAGCCATCTAGCAAGAGACAAATGAGCCTTGATTAGTTCCGACCGCCCTTCGAGGAGTGATGGAGGGGCATGGCACTTACGCGACTGCAATTGTCCGCAAAAAGCCGTCGAAACCTAGACAGAAGTCATCAGTAAATGACGTCCACAAGAAATAAACCAACACATCTTCACCTAGTCTGTCTGGGCCACCTCTGAGGGTCACTACATGTCTGATCCCCTGAGTGTGCATGTCGACGGCATCAAATCTTCCCGACATGGCCTGGCAGATTCGAAGTCAGCATGTCGTGTTAACCGTACTTGTGAAGGTGCACACCTACTTCGAACCCGCATAGATTGCTCAACGTCGCTACGACCGCATCACTTGACCTTTGTGACTCGTCCGTCAATCGCTGGCGGAGCATAGAGACAGCTAGCTGGTAGTACTTGAGCGTCTCGGAGGAACGCTCGCGAGTGCCGTTCGCGGCAATATCAGCACCCAGAGAGGCCATGGCGACCATGGCACTGAAGACCATACGGTCACGCAGAATAAATGGGATATATTGGCGCAGAAGCGAGAGATCCTGACCAACCCCTGTGAAATTTGGCCTCTGATTTGCTGATGGAGCATAGGTTTTCACATCTGGCCGCCAAATGACGTGACTGTTAGTGTTTATTGCTGATGCTGCTACTTGGAAGCAGGAGGCTTCGAGAACATACAGAATTGGACTGCTCGATGAACAAAGGGATTCGCTTTCAGCGGATAGCCGGTATGTCGCAATTCGATCGGAGCGGGACTTGACAAGCGACGACTCACTTCCCTGGAATCTGAAGGACTTTCTACACTGTGATTGCGGTGGAAAGGAAGTTGATTGCGCTTCAGCGGGCGATTGCCAGGGCTCGAGTATTGCGACAAAGATTGGGTATCGTCTTCATTCTCTTGGTGCGGAGCTATGGGCGAGGCCGATGTTTGTGTCGCACGCCCACTCTGAGGTTCACCACGCCGGTACATCCTCTCGCGGCTCAGTCATTGTCGGAAGCAGTATTACATAGATAGGTAGGTCTTCATGGTGCCCGTAATGCATCAAGATTGGAGATAAGCCGACCTCCCGTCGCAAAAGACTTTCGTATCGCGGGCCGGTATTTATCCAAGGGGAGAAAGTCGGCCGGGGCTCAGGCTCCGTGTCTCGGCACCTTTATGAACTGGGAACAAGGGAGCGACCTGGAGGCATCTGGGTGATGGTTCAGGAGCGACAGAGGCGGCATGTCGCGTTCTATGCATGGCGGTCAGGGAAGCGTTCGTAAGCACCTACTCAACAATCCTCTGTACTTGGTGGTGTTTCGTATATCTCGTATTCTTCGTATTCGCGAGTCTCGCTAACTTAATCGCGAGCGTGATGGCAGGCCGTCAATGATATAGGAAGCAAGAATAATGCAAAATACTCGGTAGGGTGGCTCCTACTTTTGTACCATGCCACTCCGGAGTCTTACAAATCCCATCCAGAGGCTTTGTCATTGTTTTCACCCCGGAGCTGATGCTAAGCTTCAGGTACCTTGGTAATTCGTGATAGCGTCGCGTCCCAGTGTGTTATGTAATCCACATATAAGGCACCAAAATCCACTGCCGACGAGGCTTGCAAGACAATGATTTCTCTCGCGCTAACATCTCCACCTCCATTTCCAACGTTCAACTGGGGCAATTCTCTCTCGCACGAAAATGCAGTCATAACATGGACCTGATTCTTTTGACCGAGGTATCATCGTCTCCCCCGGCCGTGGACCAAGCCACATTCTGCCAGTGCTGAGAAATTTCCTCATCAACGACCCGTACAGTTCAAGATCAGCAAAAGGTCAAAGTCACGGTACAAACGCAGCCAGGTCCCTGTCGTTTCGGATCACAGCACACACGGGGCTCTATTTGCTTGAGTCCCTGTTCCACCAGGTGCCCTGCAGGATACAATGCTCCCGACCCCCTCGACCTCCCACGTCTCGTACGACACAATCTACGAACCCGCCGAAGACTCGTATTTGTTTCTGGACACGCTCTCGTCCCCGTCAGAAACGGCATGGCTTCACTCCCGCTTCAGTGCATCCCAAGATAATTCCACCGGCGGCAGGACCTCCTCGCCCACTCCATTCCTGGTCGAGCTCGGCCCGGGGTCGGGCGTGATTATCGCCTTCCTGACCGCGCACGCCCGCACCCTTTTCGGCAGAGACATCGTGAGTCTCGGAGTCGACGTCAACACCTACGCGTGCCAGGCCACCAGAACCACTGTCGAAAAATCGATTGCCGAGCGTCACGGAAGCAAAGACAGCGGCGGTGATGGCGCAGATGGTTCCAGTATCTACCTGTCCTCGGTGAGCGGTGACCTCGCCACGCCCCTTCGACCAGGTGAAGTGGACGTCCTCATTTTCAACCCGCCATACGTGCCCACGGACTCGGTCCCCGCCTTCCCCGGCACATCGAGGACGGGTAGCCCACCATCCTTTGAAGAGTCATCGCATCTTCTCTCGCTCTCCTACGCTGGTGGCGCGGATGGCATGGAAGTCACGAACCGCTTGCTCGCCCGAGTTCCCGAGATCCTGAGCGCTCGAGGCGTGGCATACATCTTGTTCTGTCGGGGCAATAAACCCGAGGAAGTCAGGGCTGCGATTGCGCGTTGGGAAGGAACCGAGCAGTGGAAATGGTGTGCCGAGACGGTAGGTACGAGCGGCAAGACTGCCGGATGGGAAAAGTTGGAGATTGTGAGGATATGGAGGCAGGGAATTCATGAGCAGCACTGAAGTGTACCCTGGGTAATCCACAACGATGAAACGATGGGGGTATGGATTGCAAGACCTGTATCGAAATGGTTGTCTAAGGGATCAGTCTGTCTATCTACACCGCCGCGGAAGACATTATGCCAGGTTACCTGTATCTACCGGCATTACTACCACATACCGAGGGCCTATCACACGCCTCATTTGCGACCACAAGAACCCAACACATTTTGAGCCCATTCCGGCTGGCGCTTCCAATATGTTCTTGTACTGCCGATTCTCAAATCGTCTGGGATGGGAACAGAGAGCTCACAATCCCAGGCCATACGCTCTGACGCGCGAAAAGTAAAAAGGCTTGTCGTGCCTTAAGCTAAACTCGGCCCAGTCGTCCGTCAAAAAATTATAACTCCAGAAGCCTTTCCAGTTGAGTTTGTTGTTCCTGGTCATATGTTTGGACCGTCCAGCTGACTTCAAGCACAGATGCATGGTATACCTGTACCGTGGACCGGCACCCTCGGTCTCGATCTGCAAGTCACCAGGAGCCAGCATCGAGACATCGGACGGTCCTACCCTCTCCTGGGACACGTTCGTCGCCGAGTTGTCGAGGCTAGGATGGCAGAGACGCCATCGGCCTCTTAGAACATGCTTCATAATATTCTGGGCCGCTGGCGGAGGCGCAACATTCGCTGCTGCGGCCGAACTTGAAGCCGGAGCTTTGCCCAACGCTGACTTCCCAGATGCTGGCGTGAGCTTTAATGAGTTTGCAGCGTCCTTCTTATTGGAACGGACGTAAGCTAGATTTTCTGGCGTGAGGTGATGAACAACATCAACCGGCTCTTCCACCGTAAGAAGCGACATGCAGGTGCCATCCCGGAAGAAACGGAGGTAGCGATAGTATGTGACTACGTGGATTGGGTTGTTCCAAGTATACGCCGTGGCCGACGCACCTCCAGGTCTAGTGTAGTTGACGGTGGAGATGTAGACGCCTGTGAAACGGATGCGAGGATAATTGTGAAACACATCCCGCCAGATTATTTCCTTGGGGAAAGAAGACTCTCGCACCGCAGGGAGACCTTCGTCGTATTCCTCACCCACTTCGCGAAAGACGAGTTCACGTCCTTGCAGGTCGGTCACAAATTGATATTGTTGCCCGCCCAGGCCAAATTCTGGACCGAGGGCAATCCGTTTCCAGATGCTGTTGTCGGTCCAGACGTGGTATGCGAGCTTTTTGCAAACGAGTGCCAGGCGAGAGAACACAGCTGGATCATAGACAGCGACATGTTGGAGCAGATCGAGAAGGACTTCGGTCGGCAGCTTCTGAATAGGGCAAGGAGGCGGACGGTCGCCCTCAATGACGGGCGGTGCACCTTGAATTTGACAATGTGCGAAACTGTTGATGAGGTCGGCGATGGGAATTTCTTCTCGGGGTTCTTTCGATGAGTGGTGGGCAGTTGAAGGGACGGTGGCAGAGGCATTGGATGGGTTAGGGTTCGTTGGGTTGGGCTTGGATGGAAAATGCTTTTGTCTGTATGACTGATCGACCTTTGCATCGAGTCTGTACGCTTTGCGATAATGTGCCAGGCTATCACCAAGATTACCCTGTCTCTCCCTCTCAACGGCGTGCTCGAAATGCTCAAGCGCGCTTGTCGGCTCCTTCAGCGGAAGCTTTTGGGTGAATTCATCATCATCGATGTTGTGGATGCTGAGCTCTTCGACATGTTGAGCTAATGTTGAACTGCCCTCGCCTGGATTGTCGTGGTCACTGTAATGATCCGATTCATCCTTGATATCGGCCACTGGGTGGCGAGTCGGGGGTTTGTTAGTCGGTCTCTCTAGTTTGCCCTCACTTGTTCTTCTAGCTTTCTCTGGTTTCGACTGTGCGGGTTGTTCCTGTGGCTTCCTCGTGCGCGCATTGACCTCTTCTTTCCATTGCTGGCGAAATTGTTCCAAGGCTGAGGATGAATCATCCATGGCGCCGGGACTGGCGTGGACGGAATGTGGTGTCTGTGTAGCGATCAAGGTCGGAATGACGCCTGCGTCATTTACTGAAAAATACTGAACACCGACCAAGGTTGAGAAGGTATAAGCAGGTAAGAAGAAGAGCGAATGATCAAAGGGCGATGAGTTGTTTGTTGGTTTCGAGATTACAAAGACTCACAACGGGGGATTCGGCGATTCTGGGGGAACTTGATAAGAGGCACAGGCACTGCAGAGTGCAAGGGTCAGTGCCCGTATCTGATCATGACGCGCCCTCCGGTGCCGGCGTCTCCCGACAAACATCCGTCCAGGCGGCGAACTGCATCATTATTTTTTTGACTCCCAGTGTGAAGTCTCGATGTCATAATCTTTTTGTGGCCGCCGCCGTGTAAAGACTCTTCGTCTCCTTCTTACTCAACGTTCAAACCTTCCATACGGGACAAACCCTGGGCACATCCTCGTCTCCTCACTACTCGACGCCGTGTCGTCGCAGGCTTGAATGTCCTACTCCTTCACCTCCGAACCTGCGCAGGCACTTGACGCTGAATCCTCGCTCGGTCAGGATGCACCACCACAACTCCAGGGACAACGACATGACAGAGTACAGCCCCAAAAGCCGGAGGTAGCCAGTATGTCGACATCTCCCAACCTCGACATAACCACCTCGCAGCGAATGGTCTCCGCCACTTGGGGCAGCGTCTTGACCTCGCTTCTTGGTAAGTCATGATCTGTTCAGTCACGCTTGAGTGTCTCTAATCTCTTTTCGTGTAGTCACACCTCTCGATGTCGTGCGTGTGCGATTACAAGCGCAGCATGCTCCGACGCCCGTCAACCTCTCCCGCTTCGCCGCATACTCTACTAACTTCAAACAACTCCCTCCGGACCTAGGTGTCAACTCATGTTGCCGAGAAGTCTTCTGGGTAGGCAACAACGGCCAATTCTGCCTGGCTGGAAATACCCAGACACAAATTGCCGATGCGGCAGCACATGAATGCGCCGTGGAAGAGACGCAACGGAAGACGTTCAATTCAACTTTGGACGGGCTGAAAAAGATTGCGAGGAATGAGGGATACACTACGCTGTGGCGTGGATTGTCTCCGACATTGATGATGGCAATCCCCGGCAATGTCATCTACTTCACAGGCTACGACTGGCTCCGGTACAGTCATGCCAGCCCGCTCAAGAAATTGACTAGCGATGTCTATGTCCCTCTTGTTGCTGGCTCGATTGCTCGAGTAGCGGCAGCCATTGCGGTCTCTCCGATCGAAATGTTCCGAACCCGAATGCAAGCGACGGCCGGGACCAGTGTTTTCAAAGAAACCTTGCTCGGAATGCACCGAATGACGCAGACCCAGGGCTACACTTCACTGTGGCGGGGATTGACCCTGACGATGTGGCGCGATGTGCCCTTTTCCGGAATATACTGGTGGGGATACGAGGCTGTACGGAACCGACTGACGGATGCACGGGAAGCTGCCAAAGGCCACGAGCTCAGTCCCGGGAGATCTCTGACGGGAGCACGAGAGTCCCAGGCAAATGAAAGTCACATGACAACATTTATCGATAGCTTTCTGGCAGGCTCGATTTCTGGCGCAGTCGCCGCATTCGTGACCACACCATTTGACGTTGGAAAGACGCGTCAGCAGGTATATCACCACGCCGGAGACGATGCCCCTTCAGTTGTGGCTGCAAAGGAACTTTCGAAGCAGGGCAAACATATCCCCGAAGAGCTGTCGCTGCCACGGTTCCTATATCACATTTTCCACGAAGAAGGGATGGCCGGATTATTCAAGGGGTGGGCCGCACGTTGCATGAAGGTCGCTCCCGCCTGCGCCATCATGATCAGCAGTTATGAGGTTGGAAAGAGATGGGCGCGGCGAGTGAATGAGAAGAGGGAGCTCAGCAAGGTTGAAGCCTGATAGACTCTGCGAGGCTTCTTCTAGTGTCTTGTTTTGCATCCTTCATCATGGGCAACGGAGGTCTTTTTGTTATGGATGTGTTTCTTTTTGTAAAACTACTCGTACTGGTGGGGAGCTTTTCATCTCCTGCATAGCAATGGTGTTTTCCGGTACAGGAGATTTGGGTCCAATGGCTTTTGATTGTACCTGTGTGTGCATGTATATATACGGCCCCTCCGTCTCGACTCTGCCCGTTTGATAACAAGCTAAGTTGGGCTATGAATGAAAATAAAGTGACCTCTGTGAGGAAAGGAAATGTCTGAAGAAGAAGACCTTGCGTCGCCTCAGAGGATCTTGTTAGCAGGAACAGTGTAATCTCGGACAGTTGAAGTGGAGTATACTGTAGATAAACTTATCGCCGCTTCAGAATAGATGCCTAAAACGGGTTAGTTTGTTTAAAGCAGCAGCAGCAGCATCCACAGTTTTTCTATGTACATGTAACGACAAGAGAACTTCCATTCAAGCGGATTTGGGTGCTTGGCTTCAGCCTACCTAGGCAGGTAAATAGCGGATAACCCAAGCAGCATGGGGAGATAGCCCGATTGCAAAAATCCTAGAGTAGCAGGTCGTCGAGCATCGGACCGCTTCCGGGCCGGTGGCCTCGACTCAAAAGGGCTGTGGTACAGATGCCGGTACCCTTGTCAAGTCTACCGAGGCTGAGACACATCAGGGGGAGGGGGCCCTCCCAAGGTGCATACTGTAGGTAGTTCCAAAACTCCGCGCTTCTCAGGCACAGTGTTTCCTCACATAGCGAGGAATTTCCCAAAGATCACAGGGTCAGAGAGCCAGCTACTCTCTTATTTATGGCTTAACACAGATTGCGGGTAATTATCCGATGCAAGGAATGGCCACAGATTGTGGATGTGATGTACCAGTAACGAATGTAGAGAGTTGAAAGTCTGATCTGACATGACACGTAAAAAGAACGAATCATCGATAACTCTGTAACCCTTGATTCAGACCGAGTCAGTTCCTCAATGCGCATTCCCCAGACTACCCTGGCCAATAGTGACTTCAGGGAATGCTACTAGTAGACTCTTCGTGGCCATTACCACGGTACCTCTTTGCCGTCATAGGACAGGAATTTGCCGGATGAATTTTCTCGACTCGCGCCGTCAATCTGCCGGTGGTTATCAGCCATCAGGTTACTCAACCTGCGAATTGAACTTTGACTCACGACTCCCAGAACACCTTCGACACTCTGCGCGACGGTCAACGGTGGCTTGCCAGGGTAGTTCCATGATTTGGCAGCCATGTCACCCATTTCGGTCTGAACCCACCTGGCTATTGTTAGTTACGAGTCCCCGACTGTTGCCAAGGTGCTCACTTACCCAGGATGCACAGCAACACTGACGATACCTTTGTCTTGGAGCTCGAAATGGAGTTTGCGAACAATCCAATTCAGGGCCGCTTTGGATGGTCCGTATGCGCCGCCTGGAATTGGCTCCATCCAGTCCCCAATGCAGCCTACCGACGAAGAGAGAAAGAATACCTTCTTCGGAGTCGACGATGCTCCGGACTCAGTTGAGGCTTCCATCAGCGGCCAGAACGCCTGGAACAACATCAATGGTGCGATGGTGTTCACCTCGTAATGGTCCCTCATCTCTTCAGCCGTGGTTTCGAGGGCGGGTTTCATCACACCAGTATGTCCGATGGAGCTGATGAACGCATCGACGTGGCCAATTGACGATGGCAGTTTGGTCTTGATAAAGTCTTTGAGGTCATCTCGTCCAGGGCTCCTGCTGACATCGACCGCCAGAGCGTGCAAGATACTACCTTCGCCCTTCGGCACGCTTGAGCATTGCTCCTCCAGATGCGAGGCTCGTACAGGATCTCTAACGACGCCGACGACGGTAGTTTGGGGTCGGGCGAGAAGTGCTTGCACAAGTCCAAGTCCAATGCCTAGAGAAATGTCAGTTGAACAGGCCACACCCACAGACTTCAGGAAGTGGTGCTTGGACGTACCCTTGTTGGCCCCAAGAACCACGTAAGTCGTGTTCTGAGAGTTACCTGCCATGTTGGAACGTGCTGTGTGTCTCAAGAGTGGTAGCGAAGGTTCGGCCGGTGATGTGCGGGAGAGAAAGGCAACAGGGAGATTTTGCGGGGTTTAAATACTACAACAGGCATCGTGAGCAAGGCGCCCAGCCTGACCAACGCTCTGAAGACCAATAAGAGCGGGAAGTCAGTGTCTCTCGTAAGTGGGAAAAGCCAGCAACGAAAAAGTGCTCGTCCTAGTCATAATATGGCTCATTTTGAGGCCTCAGGGTGGTTCACTTCTAGGTCCCGGGGGAAATTGACGACCTGAAAGAGACAGTGTATCATCTGTTTGTCAATCTAAAGCTCCTCATTGCGCGGATGAGCACGTCTTGGAAGCTACACACGATGCAGTTTTCGAAAGTATTGAATGCTTTCATGGTTGATACGATTACATAAGAAAGGGGGAAGACGAGGCTGTGCGCGTTGCCAAGACATCGGGGAAATTCAGCGACGAGGCTCCGATTAAGAGTTTTTGATGTCCTTCGCGAACTACATCTCGGCCTCTGTCATTTACATCGTACGAGTAAAAATACTCTGGATTTGGCTTGTTCCCGGCACTTGCACTCCGTCGCTCTGCTTTTCCGGGCATGTCGAGACCAGGGACCGCTGCATCCAGCCATGGAAAACCCAAACCAGCGAAGGGAAAAAAGCGATCTGCCGCTGAAGCCTTTGCGCCAAAGTCGACGTCAGTCCAAGATTCGCTTCAGGCACATCGCAAGAACCCTTCAGTTGGGAAAACCGTAACTTTTACGGATGGCCCCGAAAGGAAACGCTCGGAGAACGTGGCGACAACCCAACCAGCGTCACCCAAGTCTACCAAAAGGCCCAATCTGAGAGAACGTGCTCACGCATTGCTTTCCGTGCGGCAGAAGCTACCGATATACGAGCACGCAGATGCGATAAGACAGGCGTTACGCGACAGTGACGTGCTACTCCTGGTCGGAGAAACGGGTTCTGGAAAGTCGACGCAAATCCCGCAGTTCCTGGTCAATGAGGAATGGTGCAAGAAGAAGACGACCAAAGGTGGCGCAAAGGTCGGAGGATGCATCGCCATCACACAACCCCGGAGGGTTGCGGCCATCTCATTAGCTCGGCGCGTCGCTGAAGAGATGGGAACCCCCCTTGGAAATTCGAGCCCCGCTTCGCAGGTCGGATACTCTGTCAGATTCGAAAACAGCACGGGTCCAGCCACGAAGGTCAAGTTCCTCACCGAAGGCATGCTTCTGCAAGAGATGCTGCGGGACCCCTGGCTGAAAGAATACTCTGCCGTTGTGGTCGATGAAGTACATGAGCGCGGCGTGAACGTCGACCTCGTGCTAGGGTTCTTGAGAAGACTCCACGAGCAGAGGAATGCGGATGACGGAAGGGGAGGCGTCAGCATGAAGGTGGTCGTCATGAGTGCCACCGCGGACATGGAGAAGATCCAAAGGTTCTTTGCTTTCGACCCACCCGACGTTCCGTCCAAGGGAGGCGACGACGATAAGGCAGCCCTCGCCAAAGAGGCTATTTCTACAGCTGCAAAGACCAGGACCAACGCGACGACACTCTTCATAAAGGGCCGTCAATACCCCGTCACCGTAAACTACACGCCCGCGCCTGTCCCGGACGTGATAGACGCGGCCTTCGAACGCATCAAGCACATCCACACGCACTCTCCCCTCCCAGGGGACATCCTCGTCTTCCTGACCGGGCAAGAAACAGTCGAATCCCTCATGAGCCTCGTGACGGCGTGGTCGACTTCCATCGCCAAAGACGCAGCGCTGAGCAAGACGCACCTCCCCAAGCTTCTCGTCCTCCCGCTCTACGCGGCGCTCCCGTCCGCTGCGCAACAGCGCGTCTTCCAACACACTCCGAAGTTCACGCGCAAGATCATCCTGTCGACCAACATCGCCGAAACGTCCATCACGGTCCCTGGGATCCGACACGTCATCGACACCGGCAAAGCCAAACAGCGACTCTTCCGACCGTCCCTCAACCTCGACACGCTCCTGACTGTGCCCATCTCACGCAGTTCGGCCAACCAACGCTCCGGCCGCGCCGGCCGCGACGCCCCCGGCACGGCGTACAGACTGTACACGCAGTCGGACTTCGCGACGCTCGCGCAGGACACGGAGCCGGAGGTCCTGCGCTGCGACCTCTCGCAGCTCGTCCTGACGCTGAAGGCCCACGGGATCGACGACCTCGCGTCGTTCCCGTTTCTGACCACCCCGCCTCGGCGCGCCCTCGAACGCGCCCTCGTCCACCTCCTGCAGCTGTCCGCGCTGGACCCTCGCTCCGGCACCATCACCCCGCTGGGTCGGGAGATGAGTGTTCTCCCGTTGCCCGCCAGCCTCGGCCGGGTGCTCCTCGCGAGCGCCGAGCCGGACTACGCGTGCACGGACGAGATAATCGACATCGTGTCGGCGTTGAGCGTGGAGAACATCTTCCTCAACGTACACACCAACCGTGCTGCAGGTGGCGACTCTGGACCAAGATCACCTTGGTCCTCCGCGACTCGCAATCCATCTGACGACTCGTTGACTCGCTTGTTATCCAAGTCGAATTCTCACACTTCGCGTACGGACGATGATGCCGACAGTGATGACGACGATGGCAATTCCATGTCCCGCTCGGCGATCGTCTCTCAAAATCGCGGCGCCCTCTACCGTCGCGAAGGAGACCACCTCACCCTCCTGGCGACGATGCAGGCCTACGCCGCCGAAACGACGGACCGCCGCCGCTGGTGTGACGACCGGGCAATTTCTCACCGCGCCATGTCCGGGGCGATGGACGTGCGGAAACAACTTGCGAACGTAATGGAGAGGCGTCGTCGTCGTCGGCGGCGGAGCAGCAGTGACAGAAGGAAGTCGAAATCCTCTGGTGCATCTACGTCTACATCTACATCCGCCTCCCCCTCGGCTTCCACCCGCACCGGAACAACTGGTCCTGGTGTTACAGGTGCCGGTACTGTACAAGGTGCAGACGTTGTAGACGGTACAAGTGACACGGACCCACCGTCACCGTCACCACCACCACCACCACCGCACGACCCGACGACCCTACCTACACGGATCCTCAAAACCCTCCTGACCGGATTCCACACCAACGTCGCCAGACTCTCGAGTGACGGGTCTTATCGTACCTTGATCACCAATCAACCGGTGGCGATACACCCGAGCAGTGTTCTTTTTTCCGCCGCCGGTGGTGGTGGTGGTGGTGGTTCCGTCATGGACGACGACGACGACGATCATCGTGACTCATCCGCCACCAACGCCACGACGACGATGACAAGAAACCCGAACAGGAATAGACCTGACACCGTGGGAGGAGGAGGAGGAGGAGGAGGAGGAGGAGGAGGAGGAGGAAACCGTCGGAAGTACGAAGGCATCATGTACAACGAGTTCGTGTTCACGGGTACAAAGGCCTACGCCAGGGGCGTATCTGCCGTTGAAATGAGGTGGATAGGTGAAGTTTTGAGGTCGTAGCATTAGCATAGTACAGCATGGCATGGCATGGCATAGCACAGCCAAAAAAAAAAGGCAGAAAACAAAACGACGAAAAACAACAGAAAGAAATACTAGCCACTCTCACTATAACCATCAAGTGCATACCTAACAAACTACCTACCTACTTCAGGTACACATGTATAAGTCTTTCTTCCCCTCATGTCATTCGTTGCGGTAGAATTCATAAAACTGAATTCCACTGCCACTGCATCAAACGACTCCATTCGCATCAACGCGCTGTGAACGCCCATGAACGAACGAGCTTTGATCGTGAAAAATGACCTAGATCCACCAGGATCCCATTTGGCTGCAGAACCAAAAAAGAAATCAAAAGTCCTAACGCCACTCAGACGAAGAGTCAAAACTCCTACTTCCAGCAGAAAACGATGATCCCGGCCGTGTCATCTCATCTATCATGCGACAGAGAGAGAGCCTCGGCTGTTCATATGCTCCCCTAACTCCTCCATCCCTTTTGCTTGACAATCGATCATCCGCTGCACTGGCATCGAAAAGCCGGGATACTGGTATCTCAAATGTATAAGGGTATGCGCATCATCATAATTCGTTATCAAAAATAAAAAGGCGATTGCTGCTTGCAATTGCAACTGCTAGAGCCCCGAGAGCAAAAGACCTGGTCACCGAACCCAGTCTTCATCCTCTCGCTCATCGCCGTCCAACGATAATTCGGGATTCGACATGTCTGGCGCCACTGACCATGACGGATCTTGGGCGATGCTGGTGGCGGGCATAGGAGGTCTCTCCTGAGTTGTATGCGCACCAGGAACAATGTCCATGTGCGCGTACATCTGTGCTTCTCGTATCGTATAAGGGTGTTCCCCATTTCCAGCACTGCCAGGTGTCGACACGCTCGGAGTCATGCCCCGGCTTACACTGGACATCCTTGATTGCCCCTGAGATGGATCTGGAGATGCCATTTGCATCTGTGCCATTTGTTGCTGCATTTGAATGCTCTGTAGACGCCTTGTCTCCGCCTCAGCTCGTTTCAGATAGTCGTCAATATCGAGGCCTCCAAGATATTCAGTAGCCAACATGTTGGTTTGAGGTGTGCCATAATACGAGGATGCTGAGGACAACCTATATCTATCGGAGGCGTCGTCCCCTCCAGCACTACTGAAATCGTTGAATGCGTCTGGGTTCGGTTTGGCCTCGACCGACGCCGATTTTTGGTCGCTGGTCCAGCGACTTGATGGTGGAGATTGGTCTTCCACCTCGGACACATCCCCATTTGAAGAGTTCAACCCAACCCGGTTGATCTGTTTCGCCAGATCAAAAGCCAGATGGTTCGATTGTTGTGGTTGACCGAAAGCATCAAACGAACCCGCATTGTAGAAATTATTGCTGGCATTGTTGCTCATATTGTTGATGTTGCCACTGTTGTCAAGATTGTCGAGGTTGAATGTTGACCAGTCAACCGAGGCTATGTCGCTGTATTTAGGCGGGTCGTAGTCGTGTGCTTGTTCGTAGGTCATGAACCAGCTCTCGGGAAACTGTTCTGGCAAGGTCAAGTCGGATTGACTTGCATTGTGACTGCCTTGTAGGCTGTTTGTCTGAGTAGGAGGGGTCTCGGTGCCAAACGGCGAATAAGAATAGGCAGAGGGATCAAAGCGAGGAAGGTTGAGGTCTTGTAGGGGTGGCTGAGAGTATTTCTGAGGGCCAAGTATTGGCGAGTTGTGTTCTGATCTTGCTTTGCGTTCTAACATGGCCATCGCATCGGTGATGGAATGGTGTAATGGTGACTCATGGTGAGGTCGTGTAGATTTGGTGAGCAAGAGATTATCTGTCGATCTTTGGGCGATCTCCCGATGCCCGTGAAGGGAATTCGATCGTGAGGGAATCTTGTAAGGAGCACCAAGCTGGTTATGAGCATCGTTGAATTTGTGCACAGGCTTATGATGACCATTGGTGAAGATTGTAGTTTTGGGATCGTGCGAATTGTGGTTTGGACGCGGTTTAGGGCTGTCCTTCGCTTGCGTCAGCCGCGCGAGGTCTTCGGGGACGGTGTCGAGGTCCTTTTTCAAGGAACAAGTACAGCGCTGGCCATGTTGGCAGCAGCAGGTGTTTGATTCTGGTATGGTCAGTCTCTGCGCGAGATGCCGTACGACAGACTGCATACCGGTCTTCACACCACCAGGTTTTTCATGCGGGCACTCCTCTTTCGCATGCGCCTTGTCATGGCATTCGCATTTGACATGTTGAGAACGAGCCTTTCGCAGGCCTCGGCAGTGTTGACACTGCGACACTGGTCGACCCTTCTTGTTCACATGGACGAGAGGACGGTCTGCGCAAGTCAGTATGACTCCAGATCATTTTTGCCAGCCTCGCGAGTCGCAATAACACTTACCCTGATGGTGACAGGAGCTGACACGATGGCCTCTCACACAGGCCTCGCAGGCGAACTTTTCTCCGTTTATGAGCATCGTTACAAGGCGCAGTCTCTTTCTGTATTCTGTTCTCTTAAGATGTTGCTGCCGTACTAGTCGGTCGAGCGGGAGACGGAAGTGGCGGAGTGACAGAGCAGGACGGTACGGGAGGATTCAGAGGTCGATCGGCGTATCCAGGCGACACTCGATGTCGGACGAGCCGCAGTCTTTCAGAGGGCGATGGCCGTCGGTGTCATATACATCCAACCGAGGGAAAGTTCTCGGTGGCGTAGGGTGCGAGGCGAAAATGAAGGCAGGTGTATACGGAAGGGGAAGTAGAAAGCAAAGGCGGGAGAATTTTCAAGGCAAGAAGACCGCCAGACGCCGAATACGAATTGAAGAGGGACTGAAGAAAACGAGAATCGATCAAGGATATCGGAGGTTACGGGTCAGGGTCAGCCATGGTGAGCCCGACGACTTCTCACGAAGAAGATGCTGATGAAGATAGGAACAGGAAGAGTGGTAGGATGAAGGGTGGTGGGTGTGAGCGGGTAGAAATGGCAGTGCGAGGAGAATGACAGGAGCGAGTTGCAGGGTTTTGACCGGGGGAGGGAAGATCTCGAGCTACGTGACTAAGTGAACGCAGCAGCAAGTGGGTGGTTGAGGGAGGATTGCGGACGGGCAATTCCTACAGTGGCCGGGTGTCCGTGTGTCCATGTGCCCATGTGCCCATGTACTCGTGGATACCCAGGGAGATCCCCCTTTAGGGACCGAACATACTGTACAACAGTAGTTAGCGAGCCCCCCAGAGGCATCGTTCTCGTAACTCACACCGAAGCCAAAAAAGATAGATTGGGTGCGCCACCCGCACTGGCCTCGTGGTCTCCTGTGCGAGGTACGTGTCCGGGTGCAAACCTTGCAGTGCCTTATAGTGAGGGTGGTTATGGGCGCCCTGAAGGCACTATTGACGCCTATCAAGGCACAGCACGTACCGATCCTGTAGGCAGGCACTGGCACCTACCAGAACCCGCTGAACAACCATTGTCTTTGCCACCCTCGATTCCGCCGAAGTTGCCGTTCCCTACACTTGCCGAGGCCGGTGGGCTTGATGACCACGGTGTGGCTAGTGGGCTGCTCTAACCCTCCCTGTACGTACAGCACTGCGCGAGCATCTGTAAGCCTTGACTTATCAAGTTCTCAAGCCACAACATCGTTGGAGTCGTTTTGCAGGCTAGTGAGGCTCCCCTTCCGTCAAAGCAAGTGTTTAACGCCTACGGATACGTACACGTTCCCACCCACCTTGTCTGCAGTTGGACCCGTGTTATTAGTCAACTGACCCCGACCAGGCCCGTTTGAAGAAGATTCGTTCACTCGTACGACACACTCTCGACCACACATACATACAGATACAGTACGGAGAATTTTTCTCGGGCGACCACCAGACTATACTAGATATCCAGACGGGCCGATTGGTGCATGTCCCCCACGAGTCAGATCTGCTGCGTGTTCCTGCCTATTCAGTTCATCCAGGCCCGAGATCCCCACGAACTCGTGGGCCCGCTCCATGTCAGGCTCATCCTCGGCCATGCTCTATTGTACAGAGTACGGTACGACGAATTGCCCGACTAGAAACCAAATGCACGGGTAGTGGAAGCAAAGGTTGCAAAAGTGTAAAGGTTCAATTTTGGTATTTATATCAACGCATCAACTCCCAAAGGGAATAGCTGCTGTAAATCCATCTCCCTCGTCTCTATCATATATCAGGCATGTTTGGAGGCTTGCAAACCCCTTCTGGAAGCGGCCACACGAAGGCAAGCCAAGCATGAGAAGGACTGCAGCCATCATCGGATTGTCCGTCCATAGCGTCGTGATGCCTCTCGCGTCTCGCGTTCGTGTTGTTGATGCCGTCTCAAACAGTCCGAACGCTGTTGATCCCAACTCCAGGAAAATGCATTGCAGATTGCAAAGAAATTCTGTACAGCCCGAGAAAAGCATGGCTCAATCATTACAACTTTGACTTACACGGTGGGCCCAGCCTTGATGACCTCCTCAGTGGCCTGGTCGGAGTACTTCTTGAAGTTCTCGTTGAAAAGAACAGCCAGCTTGGTCACCTCATCGGTAAAGTTGGCCGTGCCAGTCCAGCTCTTCTTGGGGTTCAGGAGCTCATCCGGAACGTTAGGGCAACTCTTGGGCACGCTGAGGTTGAAGATGTCGTAGGTCTCGTATTCGGCCTTGGCAAGCTCACCAGAGTGAATGGCATCCAGGATAGCCCGGGTGTACTTGAGAGGGCAACGCTTGCCGCCGGTAGCAGCGCCGGCACCAACCCAACCGGTGTTCAGCAGCCAAGCATTGGTCGAGTGTTCTGAGATCTTGTCTGCCAGCATCTTTGCGTAACGCATCGGGTGCAGGGCCAAGAAAGGCTGAGCAAAGCAAGAAGAGAAGGTAGCTTGAGGTTCGGTGACACCGTCCTCGGTACCTGCCATCTTGGAGGTGTATCCGGAGATGAAGTGGAACATGGTTTGGGCAGTGTTCAACTTGGAGATCGGTGGCAGAACGCCACGGGCGTCACAGGTGAGGAGGATGATGTTGCTGGGGTGGTTGTTGCTCAGACAGGGGATCTTTGCGTTGTTGATGTATTCGATGGGGTAAGCACATCGAGTGTTCTCGGTCAAGGTGGCATCGTCATAGTCGACATCACGGGTCTCAGGGTCGAAGACAACGTTCTCGAGGACCGAGCCGAATCGGATGGCACCGAAAATATCTGGTTCCTTCTCCGCAGACAGGCCAATGCACTTGGCGTAGCAGCCACCTTCGATGTTGAAGACTCCCTTGTCGGACCAGCAGTGCTCGTCGTCACCGATCAGCTTACGCTTAGGATCCGCAGACAGCGTCGTCTTTCCGGTTCCAGAGAGACCGAAGAAGACAGTCACGTCGCCCTTCTCACCCTCGTTGGCTGAAGAGTGGAGGGTCAGGACGTTGTGCTTGACTGGCATCTCGTAGAAAAGGACTGTGAAGACACCCTTCTTCATCTCACCAGCATATTCCGTTCCGAGGATGACCATCTCTTTCTCGGCAAAGTTGAGGGAGACACTGGTGGCACTGGTCATACCAGTGGTATATCTGTTGGCGGGGAAGGAGCCAGCATTGTAAATAACATAGTCGGGGTGGAAGTTCTTCAGCTCCTCGCGAGAAGGTCTGATAAGCATGTTGCGCATGAACAAGGCATGGTAGGCGCGGGCGCAGACGACCCGGACGCTGATCCGGTAGCGCTCGTCCCAGCCGGCATAACCGTCGATAACGTAAATTCGATTCCGGGTGTTGAGGTAGTCGATGGCACGTTCCCGATTAATCTTCCAGACCTGTACGAAGATAACGCGTCAGCCATCTTTCCTAAACATTCCGCAGATACTCCATGTATGCTGTAGGGGGAGGTGGTAGAATGTGGGGGCCGCGAGTGCCCCGACTCAGTTGCCGAACATGGGGGCTCCGTCCGCACCCGGCAGCCAAGAAATCTTTAGCCGACAAAAAGGCAACAAAACGTCATTTCGCTACTTGGAGCAACGCGGGGCAAAACGTGTTCGTGTGCCAAACCGAATGCCCAATTGCTGCCGTCCGCCCACCACCATTCAGCCCGTCGAGGGTGTTGCGGGGAAAGCCAGGGTATATACCAAGGCAGCGAATGCATTCGGGGCCAGGGCTGCGCTCGTTGCATCATCCTCGGGCTGGCAATATCACATGCGAGGTGGGCCGGGGATGGGCATGGGCATGGACGAGAGGAATGAAGACTTGTTGACGGACGTGAAAGTTGAAAAGACTTACCTCTGGTGACATGGGCTTGTTGACGGGTCCCCACCACACGTCCTTCTCTGAGCTCTCCTCCTGGACCACTCGCTTGTCTAGCGGCGAACGACCAGTCTTGTTACCCGAGTAGGCACTCAAGGCGCCCGAAGATGTGATGGCGGTACCGGTCTCGTAGACCAAAGCATCTTCGTAGAGAGCCGAGACAGAGGGGTTGGCAACAATGGCCACTCGGTCGTAGTCAATGTGGGCGGTGGTGTGAAGTTCCTCTTCAAGTTCTGTGTGTTCACGACCCGGCCTACGTAGCAAATGTCAGTCTGGGATGATCTTGAACAGCGGCGACGACATCGTTGACATACTCAACACCACCTGGGTGGAGAGCGGTCTTGTTGACCGATTGAGAGACCATTCTGGACGTGTAAGCTCGCAAGTTGGTTTTGGCTAGGTTTGAACGGGCTGTCCCAGTTGCAGGAGAAGGCGAGTGAGGACGGATTTGCTGGATAGCCTGAAGACGGGTAGAATAGTCAGAGGCCATGATGCGGAATCGACTCTTTTGTATACTCCTGACGCCGGGGCCAAGCCGAGTGCTTCTTCCGATGGCCAGTTGTATGAACGGGAGACTTCGGAGGACGAAATTGAAGGCGGTTCACAAGGAGCGTCCGAGATTTTCCGCAGGGCAGTGATTGGATCAGAGACGAGCCCAGTGGGCGTACGCGGGTAAACTATACTCTGATTATTGGAGATGAGATGCGGAGCGAGCAGAATCAGTCTTGATGTCCTTCTTATTATCGTGAATCGAGGCTTAAAGGATGAAAGACTCGAGATGAGGTGGCGGCAGAAAGATGAGAAGCTCTCGAGAGCGCAGGTGGAGGCAGAAGGAGAAGTCAGCTGGGGGACCGTGGCCTGCGTCTTCTCAGGCCTTCATTGTCATCGAATGCGCTTCCCCCGCTTCCGACCACCGCGTTTCCTTCCACCCTTGTCCCTCTCAGCTCCAGTACGAATTGCATATTCGTACCAAGTGCCACCATTTACTGTTTCTGATGGCTGACTACCTAGGCTGACCTCTGCCTATTGTACCTCCCGCAGACGCCACTGGACACCCCTTTCAGATCCAGACTCAGACCGAGACCAGGCAGTTGACGGAACATCACGGTACGAGTCTCTACGTAACTTCCCATGCGTACGAGTTGGACGTCAAGCCAGGGCAGAGTTTTGCTGATTCCAGTAACATCGATGTGTGACAGTGTAAGACATGATTGTTGTTACATACAGTCAGGAAGAGATGGAGAATTCCCGGAACAACCAAGTCCTCTACGCTCCACCACATACACTTTGCGTCAAAGAAAGCGGGGGATCGCTTTCTATGGCCCAGACCAGATAGCATCATACCAACAAGGTTTTATTCGGTATCGTCACTGCCGGTCGCCCGCAAACAGAATAACTGCATCATTGTCTTGAAAGCAGCCACAAGCAGCCAGGTAAATACATGTAGTCTCGACACTTAATCAAACACGCAAGATATCCATAGCAGGTCCAGAACAGAGGAGACTTCCGGGTATTTTCAACCTGGACGCTTAAGCAGTCTTCTGCCACGCCCCATATACACCAAGCAAACTGCTGGTCGTGCCAGCCAACCCAATAATTCCGTCGTCCAAGTTGAGGTAGCCCAGAGCAGTGCCTGGTACCGTCAGATCACATAGATCTGAAACAAGCTGGATGTTGACCGCCTTTTGTTGTCTGCGCATCATAGTCAGCCTGTAGGAACGCATCTCTCAAATAGGATCACACTTACTTCGCAATCTTCACCTTTTCAACCTTCGCTTCGGCATCCTTCTCATCAACAGCCTTCGCGCGCTGTCTCAACTTGTAGTTGTTATAGATTCCTGAGACGGCGCTTGCCGTTAAGCCGGTCCACCAGAAGCGGAACGCTGTCGCCTGAATGTTCTTGACTCTGGGATCCTTCTTGACACCCATAGCATCCAGCACGGTCATCATGTCAAAGAGCAGGTAGCCAGCATATCCTATCTGGCGCAGAATCTGAAGGTATTGAGTGATCTTGTCCCCGTTGCTCGACTTAACTGCGGCATCATAGATTTCGGAGCCAGCACGCAGATGCTCCACGAACTTGCCGATACGTAGGATCTTCCGCGTCAGGCCCAATTGAGTCTTGACAACGGTCCATGGCTGAATGGCGCTTGTCGGGTTGTTGGTTCGATAGAGGTACCAGGAGTAGAAGCGGGCAAAGTATTGAATTGTACGGAGGACCTTGTCTCGACCGACTAGACGGAGGTCGCGTCAGCGAGGCGCCCGTTGAGGTGCAGCAGCGATACTTACCTGTGGTCGCGACATATCGGAGATAATGGGTCACCGCAGGGTGATAGACGACGGCATCTGCAACCATGATTGCAGTCTCGGGAGATTCAGGAACAGGCGACTCTGAAACCCACGAAAAAGGGTCGATGGCGAATTCGGGGAGGCGCAGGTCGTTGATAAGAAAAACGAAAACCCTAGTAGTACTCCAAGTCGCGATTCTGACCTGCAGCCGGCGACAAGACCGTTGATTGTAGAAGTGGTGAGAGTTGAGTTGGAGTGCAAGCCAGAATCAAGGGCGAGCCGTGAATATTATTCCCCGGTTACTCGGGATGTTGTAAGTGGCCTATTTATTTATGTGCTGGGCATGTGAACCCCCTTCTCTGCTACCTCGGTAGTCCGTCTAGTTCTGGTTCGAGTCTGGCCGACCAATGTTGGCTGTCGTCGCTGAGGGAGCCCGAGCCTGATGGATTGACCCAAGGGTATGAAAAGCATATAAGATCCAACTTCTCGACTCTGATTAAGATATTTTGGATGCGCGGCCGATAGAGCCTTTATCGTTTCAGCGCCTTTGATGCTCTCATCTCGACCTCCAGCTATTGCATGGACAGGTCGTTGATTGGATTTCAAGATGGAAAGCTTGCGCAAATAGCTAACCAGCTTCGACTTCTTCACTGCTCGATTGATATCCTTCAGTAAGTATATAACAGTATCTCAAAATGTGGCTGCTTGCGAAGTCGTTCACACTGGGCAGATCGGAATTATTGTAATTCCGCTGTTCAAGCCGAGGTTCCTTCGCTCCGCCATTTTGCGGAGACGTGGGATTTCCCTGATTGTAAAAGTCTCTAATAACTAAAGTATGCCAGCACTCATAGAACAGTAACATGCTGTGCGGTTATTCGAATAGGCTCCCTGCAGCATTTTAAGCATCCAGCCTTGCTCCCCTTACATGATCTACCGCGTTCGCTCTGCAGGCCTCGAAACTATCCCACGATGCCGACGAATTCGTCATATCCAGACATCCAGATTCCTCAGGCTGACCTGTGGGGTTTGATGTTTGAACAGCCGCGGGACTTTCCTGATACGCAGGGTAGGCCATGCATGCAATGTTGAGTGCGTGTACTGAACGGACTGTGCAGTCATATACCGATCTGTCGATAGCTCTCGTCAATATACATGGGCGGACGTCAAAGAGGCGGCCACCGCGTTCGGAGGCGGTCTCCGTAACCTTTGGGACTGGCAGAAGGGTGATGTTCTGAATATCTATGCCCCCAACGATGTCGACTTTGCGGCCGTTGTCTACGGCGTTTTCTACGCGGGAGGCATAGTGTCCCCCGCCAACCCGGCGTATTCGGTCGATGAATTATCCTTTCAGTTGACCAATTCGGAGTCGAGGGCCATCGTTACAACCATCGATTTCCTACAGACGGCGCTAAGAGCAGCAAAGAAATCCGGTATCCCCCAGGACCGTGTCATCTTGCTTGGTCAGGGACGGGACCCTAGCCATAGGTGCAAGCACTGGACAAACATCCGGAAGACTAGCGGCTCGTCAAGATACAGAAGACGCAAGATGGATCCGGACAAGGATCTCGCTTTCCTGGTTTACAGCTCGGGAACAACTGGATTGCCGAAAGGAGTCATGCTCAGCCACCGAAATGTTATCGCCGACTTGTTGATGATCAAATCTTCCATGGGAAAGTGGTACTCGAGTGGTCAAGATAAGATCCTCGGAGTTTTGCCCTTTTACCATATCTATGGGTTGACAGGCCTCGTCCAGCAGCCCCTTCATCGAGGAATTGAGCTAGTGGTGATGCCTGCGTTCAACCTGGAAGTATTCCTAAAAGCCATTCAGGACCACAAAATCACATTTATTTACGTCGCTCCACCCGTGATCGTACGGCTCGCGCGGGACAAGCTTGTTGAGCAGTACGATCTCAGCAGTGTGAGAATGATCACCAGTGGTGCAGCGCCACTCACCAAAGAGTTGGTCGACGCGGTCCACAAGAGGTTAAACATCAAGATCAACCAAGCATATGGCCTAAGTGAAACCAGCCCAATGACCCATACACAGGTAAGAGACTCCGACGTGCACTGAGAGTAGCTTGGGGCTAATATAATGTCGCCAACAGCCCTGGGATGAATGGTACACTTCCGTGGGGAGCGTCGGCAAAATGTTCCCCAGCATGAAAGCGAAGTATATATCAGCCGATGGCGAAGAACTTGGGCCTGGCCAGACTGGAGAATTGTGGTTGTCTGGACCCAACATCTTCAAAGGGTACTGGAAGAATGAAGCAGCGACCAATGATGCCATAACGTCGGATGGCTTTTTCAAGACAGGGGACGTCGGCTTCCAGGACAAAAACGGCAACTTTTACATTACCGACCGCGTCAAGGAACTGATCAAATACAAGGGATTCCAGGTTGCTCCGGCCGAACTAGAAGGAAAATTGATGGACCATCCTGCTATCAATGATGTCGCCGTGATTGGAGTTAATGATGACCACCAACACACCGAAGTGCCTCGAGCTTACGTGGTGGCTGCTGCGGGAAAGACGAGCGAGAAAGATGCAGCGGAAATAGTCAAGTGGTTGGACGGAAAGGTGGCCAACCACAAGAGACTGCGAGGGGGCGTGAGGTTCATTGACGAGATTCCCAAGAGTGCAGCTGGCAAGATCTTACGGCGGGTGCTGAAGGAGAAAGCTAGACAGGAGAATTCGAAGCCCAAAGCGAAGTTGTAGACAGAACGGAGCAGAAGGACACATCAGGTCTAGGTACGAGTACTGTACATACATACACAGACACGTTACACCGTAGGGAGGCAGCCTCCCATATCGATACGTACCTGTATTATCTTTATTGGGCTCATTAGTTTCGGGATGTGACCTTAAGCTCCTCTACGAGCACCGGCACCCAGGGAGCGTCCACCAGGCCTAAGTCGAGGAGGTCCATCCTAGTTAGCGAGCCACTGTGCAGCGCTTAGGTGGCCCCTATCCAGTCCCGGGGCCCCTCTAACCTAGAGAACCCCCTGCTTAGGCGTCACTAGGCGCTCACTAGGCGGTGCTTCGGCGGCGCCATGCAGGTTTTAGCGGCGAGGCAAAGCCAGACAAGCATCAATACCAAGCTTTTCGCCGATCGAGCTTGGGGAGCCTCGTGACTCTTTTGGTGCCGCTTCTGCCGACGTCCGATGCCTCGGAATCACCATTTTCATCCCACAATTTTTATTCGACCCAGACCAAAATTTCTTCACGGACGCAAAGCATTAGAATCTTCCAGACCACCACCCACTGAGTAAACCCATCTCTGGGAGGCGTATTTGCACGAGCCACTCAGTACCCCTCCGGCCTGCTGTACGCGTGGTCACAGAGGGGCTAAGAGAATCCCTGCAATACAAGCACCACACTGTCAATAAGTCAGTATCCCTACGTCTTCCCAGCGGGCTACGCGTCCCACAGATAAGTTAGCGCACGAGTCCGGCCATTTTCCTGGTTGCAGTTTGTACGAGCGATCCTGCTGAACATCGTGTAAGTGCACGGCGCCTCCGATCCCGTCTCCATCGTGGTGGCTGCTTCCAAGTTCCACGACGTTGCAATCAGTGGCGCTTTTCAACCACTCAGAATGGGACTTCAGTTAGTCGATTGCAACGGAAAGTCTGTCAGATGAGCCATGCCTACCTGGGTAGATCGACGTCGACGTCGACTATCACGGCCAACGGCAGGGGAGATGATTTGGGGTTGGCTCGACAGCTCTCTCAACGTCACCATCCATTCCGACCTAGTACGCACGAGTAACACGTTCTCGATCTTTCGTCCATCATTGTTCACTGCTCCTTCGTCTAGGGAGCTACTTCCACCGCGTTCCCACTCAATTATTCCGTCCCTGTCTTCGTCTGCTTGTACCTACTGCTTTTGGGAACGTCAAGCCGGCTGAACTGCCCGTCAAAAGATTTTATATCTACCCTGCAAAGTAATCTCTTTCCTCTGACTACATCCTTGTGACCTCAACCTCTGCTTCACGTCATCAGCGCGTTCTGCAGCCATGGAGAACGAGAAAAGTGTCAATGAAGGTTACGCTCCTGAACAGGATCGTCGGGTGTCAGTGCATACAGCTCCTCTCGATGCCACACCCAAGACAAGATGGGAGCGCAGTTGGCCTACCATTGCCTGTGGTGCTGGACTTTTCTCTGATGGCTACCTGAATGGGGTAAATCTAGTCTCCTGTCGTACCAAGCCACCTGAACAGCCATGCTAACAACATCCTAGGTCATCGGATCAGTAAACACTATGCTGAGGATTCTCTACAAGGACGAATATGTCAATTCTAGCGCCCAGAGCAACGTATCTTCAATCGCCTTTGCTGGAACCGTGCTCGGCCAGCTGGTATTTGGCTATCTGTCCGATCACTGGTCCCGACGCCACTCTCTCCTTCTGTCGACCATCATCTTGATTGTATTTGCCGCTCTAGGAGCCGGCTCATATGGCGCTGGCGGGAGCATTGGAGGCATGTTTGCCGCTCTCGCAGCATACCGGTTTCTACTCGGCGTTGGTATCGTAAGTACAGCAACCCTGGAATGACTTGTTCTTCAGAATAAGCAAGGCTGACAAGACCAGGGAGGTGAATACCCCGCCGGTTCAGTGGCGTGTGCCGAGGCGACGGGCGAACTCAAACACGGCCATCGCAATCGCTGGTTTATTTGCTTTACGAACCTCGCAATCGACGTCGGGTTCGTGGTCTCGTCCTTTGTCCCCATGATCATGGTCTTGATTTTCACCGAATCCCATCTCCGCGCAGCGTGGCGCATGTGTCTCGGCCTCGGTGTCATTCCGCCCTTATCCCTGTTGTACCTGCGAATCAAGCTCCAGGAACCCGAGGAATACAACCGCAACAAAATGAACCGCTACCCCTACTGGCTGATCTTCAAGTTCTATTGGTTCCGACTCGTGGTCGTCTCGTTGATCTGGTTCGTCTACGATTTCTCCACCTACTCCTTCGGCATCTACTCTTCTTCGTGGCTTGCCTTTTTGCTGCCGTCCGACGCTCCTCTCTGGAAGACCTTTGGCTGGAACACTGTCATCAATCTGTTCTACTGCCCCGGCGCGATCATCGGCGCATTCCTCTCGGACATCCTGGGCCCAAAATACTGTCTCATCCTGGGCGTCACGCTGCAAGGAATTGTAGGCTTCGTCATGACGGCGATATACAAGCACCTCGACCAGCCGTCGCAGGTGGGTGGGTTTGTTGTCATGTACGGCATCTTCCTGGCGCTCGGAGAAGTCGGTCCAGGTGACAACATTGGGCTGGTCGCGTCCAAGACGTCAGCAACGTCGGTGCGAGGCATGTACTATGGCTTCGCGGCCGCGATGGGAAAAGTCGGGGCGTTTGTGGGAAACTACATCTTTCCTGATATCATCAAGGCAGCAGGCGACGACGTCATCAAGCAAGGCCAGTACCCGTTCTACGTTTCGAGCGCGTTGTGTATCTTTAGCGCCTTGGTTGCGTTGTTCTGCCTCCCGAACATCGGCCAGGATACCATCACTGAGGAAGACGAGAGGTTCAAAGCGTACCTCATCAAGCACGGCTATGATGTCGACACTCTGGGGACGAAGAAGTTTAGAGAGGAGAAGACTTCGTTGGCCACGAGCCCGTGAGGAGGTACTGTCTGTGGTGTTTGCTTCTACGGGTGGTATCTGAGCTTTCAGGTGTGTTCTGTCTGTAGTCCAGTCGGGACTCGGGTGACAGTCAACGGCATATCTGAAACCATAGAGGATAAGACGAACAATACGATACCTTTCCTGACGGTTTGCTATCTTTTGAGTATAAGGGGGTCATCGTGAAGAATCGTGGGTGCCTTCTTTTGGAATGCTCGTGCAGGACAGGGAGACACTGTCACCATCACGATATGAATATCTAACTTAATATTTGCCACTTGGTGTTCTCCACTCTCTTACTAAATACGTGATAAGTATCGTCTTTAGGTATGTATCAACGACGTGAGTCGCGAGGTCAAGATTCATTTGAAAAATGCAGAGAATGCTTACTACCCTACAGTGGTTGTAGGGGGGAAGAATAATAAAATGTCCCTTCTGACCTTTTTCAGACGTTATCTAAAAGGTCAGACACTCGTGCTGTATGACACGTACTACTTAGATACTCCTTACCGTGTCTCATTTTCACATCTCCTCAAGCTCAGGTACCAAGAAGGTCCTAAATTATAAAACGGCGTATACGTCCGCGACAAGGCCCGCTCATCCATGGTTGAAAAAGTATTATATCTCGTCAGTTGGCCCGTGAGGAGCTCACCGAGAACGACCTGTGAGGTAAAGCTCGCTGCACGCAATGTATGTATACCTAACATTTACAGTTTATTACGCTGTATAACGAGCGGGCGTTGTCTCGAAGAACAAAAACCTTCAACGAATCTATCATCTCAGGTACACACCCGTCACCACACAGGTCACTGTATACTAAAAATGTCTTCTTTGACCTACTATGTCACGGGTGTTCGTCTCATGTTTACTTACTGGACAGTTCCATCAATTATCACTTTTTGAATTTTTTTTAAAAAAAAAAACTACGTACTCTCACACACAAAAAAAAAACAAACAAAAACCGGCCGAAAAAGGGAAAAAAGGAAAAAGAAAGAGAAAAAGGAAGAAAAACAAAAACCCCCAAACCAACTCCTAAACTCCCAAGACACCGACAGCACCACCAACCACCAACAACCACCGCCCCCGGCATAAACACACCAACAAACCACCGCCCACCAGCACACAACACACAACACCCCCTCCTTCCCCCCTTACTCACCCCTGGCCAAGGCCGCCATTGTCGCCATTAGGCTCGGCGTCCTGGGATCCAGGACGGGCGGCCTTGCCAGGGGTGCTCTCTCGTTGAGAGAGAGCAAACTTGTCTCCTCGCATATAGCGAGGGCCTCTTCGGCCGAGGCAGGCACGCACTTCTGCCCCCCCGTCAAGTACGAGAGGGCCCTCAGCTCCAGGTTGTTGGCCCCTGGGCCGAGGCAAACACAGTCTAAAACGACCCCAAACCTTCCTAGTCTGAGGACCACGTCCTCGAGGCGCAGGCGGGAACTGGTGTCCCTGCCGTCGGACAACACGACGACCCTCATCTTGATGCGGTCGCCGCTGCCGCCTTGGAAACGGCGGCCTTCCTCGACCAGGTGGTCGGCGGCGAGGGCGAGGGCGTCCCACAGCGCCGTGTCGCCACGGGCCGCCAGGTTGTCCGCGGCGCCGCGGAACTCGTCAACGAACGCCCCAAGGCGCTCGTCTATTCTGGCATTACTGCCGAACGTGACGAGCCCGACGTGCGTCGGGTAATCGTTTGCGACCAGGCGGTCGACGAAAGATCCGAAGACCTGTTTGGCCAGCGCGAGGGAAGACGATGACGAAGAGGACGAGGAGGACGACCGCTCTTGCGCTCGCGAGTCGTCGTTGTCGAAAAGGTAGAGACCGATGACACGGTCAGGCTTGTACCCTTCAGGAAGGGGCAGGTCGTCAGTCGAAACGTCATTGTTGTTGTTGTTGGAGTCCTCATCTGTCTGAATGTGAGGCACTGGGAGGTTTAACAACAACGGAGACAAGGGCTCCCAGGAAGAGTGTCGAGTGCCCTGTAGGAAGTCATCGCCGACGTCTTGGATCTCGGTCCAAACGGCTCGGTCGACGTTTGGTTTGAAAGGCTGTTTGAACTGCACCTGGTAACGCCAGGCTCGGAACAGCACTGATACAAAAGTGAGTTGAGAATGCAGAGGAGTCCAGTAACTGAATGCTTCGCGAGTTGGATTATCCCCATGGTGCAGCTTTATGAGACACATCTCGTCGCCGTCGTCACGAAAAGCTGCTGTTCCTGGGACGTGACAAGGTCCGATTGTGACAATTGGTCGGCCAGAAATGAAACTCTTTGCGTTTTCCTCGCTGCATGGAAGACAGGTGCCATTGATGAAGAGGGAGAAGTTAGAATGGACGGCTCTCATACCGCGGAATGCAAATTCATAGACGTCCAATAAGCGCGCTGTGTGAGGAATCTCTCGCGTGAATTGAACATTTGGCCCAATGAAATCAACAATGTTTTTTGTGTTGCAAGGGTCGATTTGTGAAATTTCTGGCGAATTCTGAGGGCCTCGACCGATATCTTCGGACTTGAGCCAGTCTCTGATTTGCTTCTGCAGATCTTCATCGGGGGTCAGGGTCCGGTCGTCAAGAGGAAGCCCTGTCATAGGTGCCGAGCCTCTGATAGTGAACCATCTTTCGATGGCTTTTCGGTCATAGACGAAACCGTCAGTTGTTCTCACAGGTTCTGCGAATACCGCAGAACTTATTGGACACCGAAAGTCCTCTGGTACGGTAAAGATATCATCCATGTCCATGTCATTCTGGCTTTTTCCATTGGAATTGCGCGGGACTCCCTCACCGATTGACCAGCGAAAGTCTGATGGTTCAAAGCTGGGATCTTTCGCAGAGAAAAGTAAGGAATCAATCAAAGCATCTTGATGAATGTTCAATCCTTCAAACGTCTTGTGGAGGATATTCATCTTAACTTGTATTAATGAGACGGACGCAGGATCTGTGGTCGAAGCACTGTCGCTGGTCTTTCTAAGTGACTCGGAGAAGGATGTGAGATGGCGATCAGTGTGTGTCCGTATGAAATCAATGATTTCTCGTGCGACTGTTCTTGACTGATGCTCAGGAGAGTGGTGAATGATATGAAGAATGTCATCGTAAGCCTCATGTTTGCACAGGAATTCCTTCATGTAATCCAGGTCGACTGTCGTGTAGTCTTCACGATGGGAAAGGAGGTGGATCTTATCACCATCAGAACGTTCAGTAGCGGTGCCATCGTCGGTGGCTGTGAACCTGGGCGGATTGTTCATGCTGTAACTGCAGTCGACACAAAACATAAGTAGTTCTGCAGGAGTCGTGTCTCTGCGTGTGAAAGCGTCGGTGGGACAATCAAACATCCAAGTGCTCTCACGTCTCATTCCTAGAAGAATTGGTTCAAGTGACTGAACCACATTGTGAATATCAACATTTTCTTCAATCCCTGTCAATGGATGGAAAATGACATTGCGTTGGCTCAGGGGCACAGTGGCAGTTCTTCTAGTGCAAACGGCCATCCTCCCATGGCCGTCAAGCGTGAGGCATGGAAGTTCGGCCAAGGAGAGCTGATCAGGGTGTACCACGACGAACCCAATGCGTTCGCACTCGAGTGTAAGGATGCCATTATCCCCTGTGAGGTGGTGTGGATGGAGGTGAGGTGGGGTACCAATGGTTCGTTCATCGTCATCACGCAATGCTAATAGGAGATCTTCTGCTTGATAATATGAAGCCTCGAGGCTCACTCCGCCATACAGCAGAGCAAATCGTATGCGTTCATCGTCTTCCACGCTGCCGTCTAGCAGATAGCACGCTGGGCTTTCGACATGATCGCCTGAGGATGAAAGTACGTCGAAGATAGATCGGTTGACAATGCCGAGATTGGTCGAAACAGGGTCTGTCAATGGCTCCTGTGTTTTGGCATCACGCAGATCGACAGTGCGATAAGCGGTGAGGTATGGCAATGTTGTTTGTATCCCGGTTGAATCTTCGAAGTCTTCCCGAATCTCCGCCTGATGTCCGGCGATTGTGAGGACTAGGCCAAGGAGCAATCTAGCACATTCCAAGATTCGGCCTTCGTTAGGCAATTCCGGATGAAAAGGCATAACATTTTCTGCAACGGCCGCAAGACTCTGGACGAGAGCTGCGCTTTCGTTGCATCGAAGTGTCTTGCCGTCCATCAAAATGTGAACTGCACGGACTGCAGGAGCGAAGCGTGTCATGTTATGAACGGTGCGAAGGACTTCGTGGTGGTCAAAGTCGTCAAAGTCATCAGACGCGATGATATGAGTGAAGAGGCGCAGAGATGCCAAGGTCGTTGCCATTGCGCGTTCAGTTGACCCTCCCGGCGGTAGCTCCCAGTGCGGACCAGCGCTGAACATTGAATCATGACCCTCCGTTCTCTCGCACTCGTCTGTGCATCTCCGCTCGACAGCGAACAATGTCAGGATTCCTTGGCTGGCAAGTTTATCCAATTTGGAGGATTTCAATGTGAGGCTCGAATTTTGTGTATTGATGGGTCCTTCAAAGGTGTGTAGATCGAGTCGGGTGACAGATAGGCTTCCAAAGGGGTTGTCTTCTTTAGAGTCATTGTCGTTCTCCCCCTTAGATGGTCGATCAGGCATACCAATGTGTTGACGGACGTCGGATTCAATCTCTTCGAGCGTGGTTGACAATTTGTATTGATGGCCCTCCTTCAGAAAGGCACCCGGGAAATCATCGTGGTAATTTGGTGCCGTATTGGGTGTTAGGATCCTGATTCTTAATGATTCATTGTTTGAATCGAAGAGGGAGTGTACTGAGGACAATTTAGTCGCGTCAATGAACAGGACTTCCGAAGGAGGGAGGACGTCGTCCAAGGTGTCTGCAGGATCGATCATAAGACCATCTGAAGACCCGACTGTAAGTCTCAAGTCTCGTAGATTGACGGTTGATGGTAGTGTGCGATCTTGTGGAATGCGCTCTAGAGCAGCTCGTGCAAGTATGCCTGCAGGATGTTCGCCATCAAGCTGTAGCTCAAGGTCTAGCCTATCGCCTTCTGGCAGGATTAGAACGACCCTGTAAGGCGCCATGGCGACGTTTGAAGCTGGTCAAGATGAAGATTGGGGATAGAGAATAAAGCTATGGAGGGATGAAGATAGAAGTGGGATCGCGAGGTTGAATAGGGAGAGCGGACGTGGAGGAAAGCTGTGAAAAGAACTTGAATGGGCAAAGAGGCTCTGTATGGTCCTCCAGGGGGATAAATGAGCATTCAGAGCAGGGCGGTGAGTCTGGATAGAAGCTCTCCTTGTCCGAAAATTCTCAACTGACCGCAATAAATGTATGGCAGTCTGTCGTAGCCTGACAAGTTCACCTTCATGGTGTGCTGAAGTCGCGACAAGTTTTGCTGAGCGGCTGCCATAACTGTGAGTCGCCTGACCTCACCTATTCCTTACCTTTTCCCAGAGTACACTTCACGCGAAGTCTTGTAACTGGATATTGACGCGTGCGCGTCCAGGTGAGCCCAAGGCGTGAAGTCGCAAGTGCCCTTCATGTAGAGGCGCAGAATCAACTGCTCACAGATCAACAAACCTTACTCTTCTCAGACATCCATCGGTTATTCTCATGCAATTGGATGCTGTTAGCTGTTTATCTCTTCCAGGCGCGATTCACTAGAGTCAAAGCTCCTCGGGCAAAACGCAGGAGAACGTGAAAGAAGTAGTACGTTAGATGGAATCTGCCAAACAGGGTCTAACACTCCACCGTATCATATATGGGGTGGATCATTAGGTCTTTACCATCTATCTTGGCAGGGTCCTCCCTCAGTGGTGAGCATTTGGATGTACAAGGATGCGAAAGTGGCATCCTCGAATGACAGAGTCGACTATCCCAGGCATCACACCGTCTCTGCAAGATATCTGTTTCTTTTCCAACCTGAACTTCCATGCCGAGCTTGCTCAATTGATTGTGTCATCTTGGTATCGCAATCTCACGGCCCTCATCGACCAAGACATCTCCGTCTTTCATCCCACCCTGCTTCTACGTATACCATTTGTTGCGCAACGTTCCTCAGCGAAGAGCATATTCTTTTGCAAACCCAACGCTTCTCGACGCCTCCGTCCTCGAACTGCCTTCTAGCCTTTGACCTATACCATCGGCGGGCCTCATCCTTGTCTTATACCAAATTTCGGCGCATCGTTCCATCATCCTCCGTCCATCTCTTCGTGAGCAGCATATCAAACTTGGCAATAGATGAGAGCGTGAGGAGGTGGACGGTGACTCATTCGACGGAGGAAGGGCACGTAGGGCTGGCGCGCACGCAAGGAGAGTGTTGGGCACAGGTGTTGTGACTACCGACGGTCATCGAAACAGCCCGAATTCCACGCCCAAGCCAATATCTTGACAGTGGATGAGTCTTTAGCTCGGTCTCCCATCTTTGTTCGCAACGCTATCCCTAATGCCTCTTCAACCTGAGTAACTGGACAGATATGGAATCACGGGAATTTGCGACTAAGGACGAACTCTGGCGCATCCAAGAGACTCTCAGCGAGCTCTCCGCAACTCAAGCTGTTCACTCCGACAGAATCATGCGTTTGGAGCAGAAAACGTCTGAAGGGAGCAGATCGCGAACTCTTTGGGGGTCAGCATCTCCCTTTCCAGGCGGTCTTGGTTCGTCGCATCACGGTACGTCGGTCACATTAATGGTTCGGTCCTGTCGCTGACAACTGTAGAATCTACTCTAAATCCTGCGGCTGAGGCCTTTCGGAATTTTGATGTTGAGCCTGCTGCAAGTATGATGAGTTCATTGACCTTGGACGCCACCGACGAGTCGAGACGAGCGGCGGCATCACGGGCCAATTCTGTGCGTTTCGATGAAAGTGCGAACAACCACTATGCAACATCTAGACAATCAATAGAACTTCCCACCCGAACAGGAAGCGGTCTTGGAGGCCACACGCTCTCGGAGAGATCTCTGTCACATCGTTCAGACGGGAGGCCCAGTGTTGCTGGATTTGGTCGGACAAACAGCTTTGGTTTAGAGCAAAGCCGCCTTCTTGGATCCATACACAACTCTCCCCGCGTCTTGGGAAATCCACCGCCCGGTTTCTTCATCCTAGGGCCCTGTCCCTCGATTATTCGCTGTTGGCTGACCGAGTCATTTTCCAACGATTCCCTCCTCTACGCTGCCATTTGCACTGGCTCTTCGACGTCCTCAGTAAGCCTCGCTCTGGTCGCCAAGCTTGATTTGTTGGATTCCATATTCGATGATGGCGAGTTTCGTGCCATTCGATTGCCTGTCTATCTCACCGAGGCGAAAATCCATTCTCCTGCTGTTCGATCCGCCAGTCCAGTGCCTCACGTTCCAACTTTGACTGTCAAATTCGTCATCGACGAACAACCAGTCTGCGAGACGTCAATACAGATCGTCTTGGGTAGTGACGTGCTCAGGAGTCACAATGGCGATATCCTCTTCTCGCAAGACAGGTTGATGATTTTTGACGAGGAGCGGAATCAGCTTTCCATACCACTTGTCCGTCCGGAAGATGACGCCTCGTACAAGGATTTGTGCACTGCACCCCGCAGACGAGCGGCGTCCATTGAAGGAGCCATGCTACCCCCGCCGGTATCTCCAGTGGGTGTAATCGGGCGACCCGGAAGGTCAAACACTGCACAGATGGTAGCCTCGCCTAGGGTGGCACCATCAAGCAGCATTCCATCGGCCACCCCTTCTGAACCCGGAGACATTCGCAGGTCTGATCTTCACGCCGAACAGTCCACCAGATCAAGCCTGGATCTCACGCCTTCTCGGCCTGCAGATGACTCCAAGTCGACGACCGGAAGCGAGAAGTCGTTTAGTACGCCCATGTCCAAATCTGGTCAGGGGGTGTGGTCGAATTCTTGGCGGTCAGCTTCGAGTTTTACGCAGAACGACCAGGCTCCGAAGACTTCTTCTACGTATGCGCGTCCCAGCGTGTCACGTCCTATGAAGATCTTGCGGCCGGCTAAGACTATGGCTAACGCCACAAGAACGGCATCGACGCCGATAGGGACCAATGGAACGGATAATCCTCCAAAGCCAGATGAATTTGGCAGAAAGGCTAGCCAAACCGACCTCAAGGACAACGCGAGATCAGCTCAGTCCACATCGACAATAAAGAGCAATCCAGTCGGATCGGGTACTGCGTTTGGCTGGCTTAACACTGGTCCACAGCGTAGAACGACGGCCAATGGATAAGAAGGTGTGTTGGTGTTTCAGTGCTTTCACGGATGCGACAACGTTTTACGGGTTTTTGCAGTGCTCAGGAAGATATATGAAAACAAAGGTAAATGGTGTATCATCATTCAGGTCCAGCCTCTGAGACTTTTCAGACAGAGGCATGGCATGTATTCTAGGTAGACGATGCCACCTTGAACCGAATGTGGAGGTGAAGAGGATTCGGTTGGGTGCAAGGAAGACAAAAACCCAGATAAATCTCCAGATAGCCACAAGGCCAGAATCAAAGAAGCACGCGAATTGCGAAGTGCGAACTGTAAATTGTGAGTTGTACTTTTGAGTCGTGTATCGTTTGGTGTAACTTGTGCTGTTCTCTCTCTGATTGTTTCTTCTCGAGCTCTCATCCCTGCCACCGTCAAACCCCGACATTTCTCCACATTCTTTCGTATCGAGAGATCGAGACCGAGTCCCTCGTACGGAGAACAAGCGTTTCAACATCGGCAATTCTCCCGCTGGTCCGATCTCGCCCGCATTTGACCCCGTGGTGGGATTGATTTCAAGACCACAAACATCGTACTTGACTTTGTCAGAAACGTTTGCTATCGTCATTTCTATTATTGCTTGGTTTCATGACAACCAGTGCTCTTTGTAGTCGGACCTTTATCTCAGATTCTCGTCATCAAGTCCTTAGAACTGCTGCCGGTCATTGTACACGGTCGAAGAACAGACGCAGATTCACAAGACTCGCAAGAATGGCTTCCTCGGACTCGAAGCGGATAGGTATGTGCAACATATGGTTACGACCCGTCCTGGTTGTTGATACTGACCATGGGTGATAATTAGAGAATCCGGTGTTGTTGTGAGTCTCCAGCAATGCGTCGTTTCTCTGGCTCTCACAGTCGACAATCGCTGAAAACCCACATCACATCCTCATGAACTCGAGAACCAAAACAACCCCCTTATCCAGCAAGACTCATGTTGTGCTGATATGTGTGTTCTACGACTACAGTATCTGTGACATTCAAGAGAAATTTCGGAAGGCAATTTGGGAATTTCCAAAGGTGTATGTGTACTCTGTCTTGACTTGAGATGATTTCCCTGACCCTTTCCTCCCTGCCCTCCTCGCTTCACCGGATAGACAGACAGACAGACAGACAGACAGACAGACAGACAGACAGACAAACCGACAGACCACCTGAATCTCAGTTCTCGATATCATCACCCTCGGTATGAAGCATACACAAGGTACACTTGGCTGACACTTTTGAGGCCATTATAGGATCTCGACGAGCGCAAAAATGATCAAAGCAGGTAAGATGTCCTGTTTATTCCGGACACTACATTGCCTCACCTCCCCCAATGACCCCCTTCCATCCCATCCCACGCTCACCTTTTCTCATGGTCTGGTTGAAAGTGTGGCTGCTGGTATTGGTATTGGATATTACATGTGTGGTTCTTTGCGCGCCATGTGACACCCTGACCCTGACCCTGACCCTGACACTGCTGACACTATCTCGATCTTTCTCTCTCTCTCTCTCATCTAGCCCAAGTCCTCAATATCCCAATCTACATCACGACGCAGAACGCGGCACGTCTAGGCTCGACCGTGTCTGAACTCACGTCCCTCCTCGCTGCCGCCGACTTGTCCTCCGCGACGGCGACGGCGACCACCGAAGTCGACAAGACGGCGTTTTCGATGCTCGTGCCCGGTCTCACGGAGCAATTGGAGGCCGCGCCGTCGGGACCCGCGAGCGCGGGCAAGAAGATGAGCGTCATCATCGTCGGGATCGAAACCCACATCTGCGTCACGCAGACGGCTTTGGATCTGCTCGCGGGCGGCCACAGGGTTTACATCCTCGCCGACGGCGTCAGCAGCTGCAACGCCGGAGAGCGGCCCGTGGCTCTGTCCCGGCTGGCCCGCGAAGGCTGCACCGTCACCACGAGCGAGAGTCTGCTGTACGAGGTGCTGGGTGATGCCAAGGACCGGAACTTCAAGGCCATCGCAGGGCTCGTCAAGGACACGAAAGAGGACACCAAGGATGCCGTCGAGACTTTGTGTAGTAGACTATAAACGATGAGAAATCGGAGGTACACTAGGCAGATCCTAAATACTGTCTTCTGCCTACCACCTACTGCCTCGTACCTACAACCTACTACCTACTATTCACAGTTGTATGCTTTGATGCATTTTGCGCCACGTACGCTACACTACACTGCTAGGTACACTATCAGTTACATAAAACAGGGAACCTCCAAATAGATACCAAATGGCGACAAACTACCACGCTCCCACCAACAAAACGGGCAACGATTTCCTTTATCCTACACTACCTCGACTTTTCCTTACATAACTCCAGATGTGTGCACTTCACAACGGGTCTATAACATTGGATACGGAAGGGATTATACAGCACGAAAACAACACAGTTGCAAAAGAGACAGCCATACACACACACACACACACACACACACACACACACACACACAGAGAGAGAGAGAGAGAGAGAGAGAGAGAGAGAGAGAGAGAGAGAGAGAGTCAGAGTGTCGTTCTCTTCAAGGACCAGCTTTCGTAGTAGTAGAGACGAGAACGAGAATGAAATATGATCGCGACCATGGATCATGTCAGTGTCAGTGTGAGTATCAAGAAAAAGACGACGACAGTAGAAACCATACAAACAACTCGATTGAATAGGCAGTAAATATAAATCCATTTGTCGCAATAATGCAAACATTCAATTACGAATCTCGCCTCCCCCCCTTCACACTTTTTAACGGCAAACACAAAGGTCAAAACTAAAAAAAATACCGACAGCAGACAATCCAGACGATATAAAACGACTAGTATTAGTACAGTAGCAAAACTCTCAACAAGCCATTGCCTTGGCTGCCTTGCACACCTGCCTTACCGGCGTAAGAAGAGCGAGAAAGCCACGGGGATAGCTACGGCTGCAGCTACTAGTAGCATCCTGCTATTGGTGGGTTAGTCAGAGTTCACAGTATCGTCACTGGAGCACAACAGAAAATGAAAACTTACTTCTTCGCCAGTGCACCGCCCTTTTTGGGCGGCGGCAAGGCACCAATCTCAGGTGACTTCCTCTCAATGTCTACCACCTTTGTCACTGGGACGGGTTTGTGGGTCTCCGTGGTCAGAGGCATTGCATGCTCTGGTGCTGAGTAAGGGGGAGGTGCAACATCTGGAATTGAAGCCTCTTTATGAACGTCGTGTTCGTCTGGGGTGGTCACGTCAGGCTGAACGCTTAGTTCATCCTCCAGTGCGGCAACAGTGTCATACACAGTAGCACTGTCAGCCGCGGCAGCAGTATCGGCAATTGGAGCTTGGCCGATGCTTTCGCTGTCACCTTCGCTCTGCTGGGGAGTAGACTCTTGAGTCTGTTCGGCTTCGACGGTGAGGACGTTGTTGACATTTCCAGATCCATCATCCTCTATGGCAACATCAGCAATATGAACACGGTACTAGCCGGCATCATACGAACCGGTCGGCGTAGATTCATCCAAGGCCCACCAGTCTCCAGGACCAAGGCGGAACTTGTACTGGTATTTACCAGGTTGTACTTCTACGGTATGTGTGAACTTGTTCTGACCGTTTTCGAGCTTTTCACAGGCCATCTCCACTGGTGACCATTCTGAAAATGCCCCGGCGACGTAAACAGGGGCTTGCACGTCGGCTTTATTAAAGGTAATTGTGGTGGAAACCATCTTGTTTGGTTTTGTTGGATAGAATTTGGATATTTCAGGAAATGATATGTGAGGGTCTCAAGGACGATAATGACAAACGATTCAAAGGCCTGTACACGATCCTGGTCAGTATAGTTTCCAGAAAGAGTCATGGTAGGGGTAGTATCAGATGATGGTCATGCAATCATTGCTCTGTCGAGATGTATGGCCTTTTTCAGCTTTCAATATATCAATCCTGTCCTCAGTTTCGAGCCGAGAGGCTATAATGGGAGTACATGACGACGATATGAGACAAAACATTTCAGGGCACCCAAAAAAGATCGAGTGGAACATCCAGAAAATGCAATTGGCCGGTGTAACGGACAGTCGTCCAGGTTGCACCACAAACGGATCTCGTCTGTGAAGCTCAGACCAAAGAAGATCGACATTGATCAACCCGGGGCTGCGATGATTGGGGTAGCGTTTTCTTACCGGCAACAATGGCTAGGCGTAGAGACTGATGATGGAGATTTGCAGAAAGGAACAAGATGAGATAGCTGCAGTAGTGCTCTGATGAGAGACGTTCGGGTTTTTTGCTGATTGGTGACAATTGTACAAGTAGAAACCGGGCAAACAGCCAGTGTAAGATCTAATGCTTCAGTGTCAGCGGCGGTAGATATCGAAACAGTAAGATACATCTCCTGCTCATCAGGCACTCACCCGGCAAAGTAGTCAAGCAAGTTTTTCACAAGTTTTTGATTCTTTCTCTTTTGTTTTTTTGGATGCTAAGAAAATCGAAACGGTCCGGCCGATTCAAGACAGATGATGGAGGAACAAGAAGCAGGTGCCACTGTGCCTCTGTTGTCGGTTCTGGCGGATCAACTCTTCTTATGTATTTGTGCGAATATATGTCTGGCCACCTTCTCCTGCAGTATACAAGACTACTGGGGTGTGTTTGGTGCAAGAAAAGGGTCAGAGCTTCTAGTTAGTAGCGTCAACAAAGACCATCAGAGAGAAACAGAAGCTCCGAAGAAAATGTGACAGCTGGTATGGAATTCGGAAGAAAATTGAGGTCAAGGAGCCAGTCTAGCAATCTGTCACACCACACACGTCAAGGTCAACGTGCTCCGGGCGGTTCGTGCTCTGGGGACAGCGTCATTCTCACAGGCAAAAGCTGCCGATGCAGGACGATATGGCTGCGGGACCTGCTCGCACACTATGGGGCTTGTGAGACGGACAAGATACTGTACCGAATGTCGCGAGTCGCATGGCGCATGGCGCAGGGCAAGGGGGGTTTCCAAGGCCATGAGGGTGCAGGATGCATGATGCATGATGCGTGGAGGAGAAATCTGGGTCTCACCCGTTGGCCAACAAGTGCTCGATTGGATGTATGAAGTTCAGATGGCGACGATACCCTGGCTAAGCGAAAGATAACGGCCAACAACGCCACTTTGTTGGGGCCGTCAGTTGCTGTGTGAGGGATGCGAGAATATTTTGTTTTTCTCGCCGGGGTCTTTACCGGCGGCACATCCGTCCATTAACTTTGGGCTCCTCGTATTGTCGTTCTTGAATCCTGGAAGCGAGACATGTGCCATTTGTCCTGTGTACTCCATAACATGTGTGATGGTCATGACGTGCCCGGCTTCTCTTCCTCCCGCCGTCAGTGCTCCCCGTGTCGCCATGGGAAATACTAGGCCTAGTAGCCTCCATTTCTTGCGGGAGGACCTCATGAAGGCTTCGGTGAGACGACTAGCGACTATCCAAGATCCTTCATGCTGAAATTGTCACCGCCAGTTGAATACGAGAGCAAGTTGTATAATTTTAAAAACCGCCAGAGCCGTGGCTCATCTACCTATGCAACCCGGCAATAATCTTGTCAATAGCGACCGCTTGCTCTCTGACCTTGGGACAGAAATGCCTCCGTAATAGCTCGCTTTCCCACACTCCGCTTCCAGTAGCCAGAACATTGGTCCCTTCGACAGATTCGCTTTCTCCCCGGAAAACCCCGTCTCCTTTTCTTTCATCACTATACCACAAGGCTTCGATCTTGCGCCCATGCTTGTCTGCTATTTGGGCAAGCAGATTGAGCACTGCAAGCGCTGACTTTTCGGGCAATTGCAAAGACACTGTCAACAAGCGCTTGAAAAATGATGCCGCCGCGATACTTGGCGGAGGTTGTGAAGGTGTAAGAAGAATTGAAGCTAGGACTCGTGTCAGAAGCAGTATGGGGGTGGATATGTTGATCCTGTTAGTCGCCTTTTCGGTTGATTTGGAGGAATGAGGATCCGGCAGTCGCAAAGACTTTGGGCCCAACTCAATGTCTGCATCCAGACATAGCGGATAGAGAGAGCGATAGGTGTGGGAAGTGAAGAAGGATAGATCCAAGTGTAGAGTCGATGCCGCTTTGGACACATCTTGCCCCGAGAGAAGAGTAAAAGCCGTCTGTGTCGAAAGGAGACTCTCGCGGGTCATGTTCCGGACCTCGTCTCCGTCCACATCCACTGCAGCGCTCGGTCCTTCACCCAAATCCAGTTCACCTCTGAGCGCTTCGTCTGCCTGATTGATGATGTCCTTGAGGGCCTCGAGCACATCTCCAAAGAAGTCCTGGTTGATGAGATGAGCATACTTGGCCAGTCCTTCAAGCACGGCCCCCATCAGTTGAGGTACCCTGGCTTTCAAGATGCGGAAATAAGTGACAAAGACGAGTTTCAGTGTTTCGGATTGCATCTTCTCCCGCTCTTCGTAGTTGACAATGGCATTCGCTTCGCGCATATCCTTTTCCACGGCCTTTCTCTGCTTTGCGAGTTTTCTCTCCTTCTTCGATCTGTGCTCGAACTTTTCCTTCTTTACCTTCCTACCGTGGAGCTTCGACATGTCTTCAGGCTTGTCCGCTTTGGTGGTAGAGCTCGGCGTAGTCAGTTCTGAGAGGAGCCGCAATTGAAAGAATGTGTTTAGAACTTCCTCTCGAATACGATAGTCCTTTGCCTTCATCATCTTGGTCAACAGGCTGACGGCCTCCAGGGACGGGCCTCCGTCCTCATCATCTGAGAAGAACTTTTCCACCGTTTCGACACACTTCACGAAATCTGGGGTACTTTCCCTACTGGCCAGTTCGTGCACTAAGATGTTCAGCAGCTCCGTGCGGAAATTGAAATGTGGAACAGATAGAAGTAATGTGCAGGCACAGGTTATCGCAACACTGCGCAGTGACTGAGCATCTTCATCACCCTTGCGACTTTTCGCAAGACCACCAAGGTGCTTCACATAGCCATGATATCCTGTGACAAGGGCCTGTTCGTATTGTCTTGTCTTCCGCACATCTTTGGATATCTTATTCCCTAAATCTTCGTCCTTGTACGAGCGTATCCGATAACCAGGAATGACGTCTTTGTAGACTGCCACTTGCGCTGCAAGAACGAGTTTCTGTACGGGGATCGGAGATTGGGAATCGGCCAGTTGTGCAAGTTTTTTGAATGCGCTGGCATGCTCCTCGGGGTCTTCACTCAATAGGCCGGCCAGTCGAGCTATTTCTTCCTTTGCGCCTAAAATTTGTTGCTTAAGAGGTATTGCAGGAGCGGCAGCTTCAGACTCGGTGGGAGGAGTATCTTGCGCATCGTCCTCCTGGCTATCGCTGGCCTCGCTCTCTGAGCCTGAACCGAGAAAGCTATCCGAGTCGTCTTCAGGCTCTGCGACTTTCAGATGTTGGAGTTGGCCTTGCGCGGTCTTAATAGGCAGTCTCGTGGACTCTTTGGTTTTCTTCGAACGGTTCTTCTGTGCGTACGCTTGTTCAAGATCCCAGTCAGCGGCTCGGGCGAAGAGGTCTGAAGACTTGATGGTCTTGGAAGGCACATCGTCGTCCAGAGGTGGGGTGACACGCCTGCGCTTTGCTGGGCGGCCATGAGGCATGGCTGCTATGTTTGCAGTATCTGTATGGCAACGAGACCTCGTACTCGGGAACCGCAGATGAGGAACAAAATTTCTAAGAATGCGTTGGATAAACGCCGATGATTAGCCGCCCTTCTGCAGATTTATTTTTTTGGGCTGCGCAACCATCGATTCGAGACACGCACTGTGCAAGTTGTCTGAGTACCCACAGGTTCTGAGGCGATATTAAACGCCTGATTTTCACCATGAGGCCTCTCACTGATGTCGAAACGCAGACGTTATTCACAAAACTGGCCAACTACACTGGTCGCTCGCTAACCCAACTCATCGCACCCTCCGACTCTTCGGACGACGACAGTGATCGCCATGTGTTCCGCCTGCACGAGTCTCGAGTCTATTATGTTCGATTATCGCTTGCCAATCTAGCAACAGCGGTTGCTCGAGACAATCTGCTTTCGTTGGGCACCTGTGTTGGTAAATTCACGAAAACTGGAAAATTCAGGTTGCACATAACAGCGCTGGATGTGATTGCACCGCACGCACGATACAAGGTGTGGGTCAAACCAAACGGAGAAATGCCTTTTCTTTATGGTGGCAATGTCGTCAAGGCACATGTTGGCAGATGGAGCGAAGACTGTCCTGAACATTCTGGGGTGGTTGTCCTCGCCATGGATGACACGCCACTTGGATTTGGGGTGACGGCCAGGTCAACCGCGGAAGCAAGGAAGTTAGAACCAACGTCTGTGGTGGTCTTCCGACAGGGCGATGTGGGGGAATACCTGAGAGAAGAGGACAGTTTGTTTACAACTTGAGGAACAGCAGAGCCGTTGATTTTCAAAATTCGAACGTCACTGCCGGCCAGAAAGCCCCAATGTACGAGTCGCAGCCGCGATGTACTTCGAAGCAGGGCGCTCATGGCCTCTCCATTGAGGGCGTCACTGCAACATCCAGCAGGTGAGAAATCCATCATCAGCGATCGCTGCAAGCTTTGGATCCAGTCCTGAAGGAGATTTTGAGGAACGGGTCCTCTGCGAATTGCCAGCATTTCACACACCAGTCCGAAAAATGCTCTCAGCAGACACATTTGTTCAGCAACACGCCTCTCCTCTCCTGAAACTCGCGGACATTTGAACAACCCGGTGTACATGGAACAAACCAATCATTTGCACCCTGAGACGGAATGAATCGATAAAGCTTGCGGCGCAATTCGACTTCAGATTTTGCCCCAGCCTCTGCTTGGATTGAAGACGCATCAGTATGAGACGTACACTCGCGTCGGAAGAGTTCTAAAGAGACGGGAAAGTGGAGGAAGCTGGACCGCGAGTCCTTTGAAGGTTGCAGTGAGATACTACGGGAAATGTTGGTAAAGAATATTATTGACAAACAAAGACGCCTCTGTCCAATGTCGACTTGTATGTCTCCTTAACGCACTTTTTCCTGGCTGAAGTTCAATTGTGCTCCATCGTGTCTACTGATTCTTGCCTTGCTCCAACTCGTCGTGCTTAGAGGCTCGCACTTAAAATAGATTCTTCGGCAAGGCTGATCAGCGACCAGGACACAAGGCCTTTCGCGGCGCGTCGCATTCTTACTGTACCTCGTACTCTTTAGCCGGATTCGTCCGTCCATGAGTGACAACTAAACTGTGCAAGGTTGTTGTAGTCAATCAGCCATCGAAACGACCAGGAAAGCGTCATGATTGGATCTTGGTCGTGGCGCAAGCGATTCTCAGCCGAGTCAGCCGGATTGGTGTGAGGACGACGACTGGACACTAGGCAGTTTGACAAGGCGACAAGGCCGTAAACCTCCAGTACAAGACGTCTGGGAGGTCTCTGTGGCCGTCTTATGAGTATGTAACGCCAGGAGTCTCCTATACTGCGTGAGCACCTCGCGAAAAGTGCTGATGGCGATGCTGCCTCGCTGAATTCCCGCTTCCCCAAGTCCTCGTCCATCCCTCTATTTGCGACAGGAACAGACATTCTGCGATGCCGTTTTTCTCAAGCAACCGAACAGCGCGAAAACGCCGCAAATACCACATTGATAACACCAGTGGCCACGATCCCGTATACCAATCGACTTCTTTGCCTGCTACCGTGATCATTCCGGGCGCCGTGTACGAGCACCAACAACCGCATTGGCATCGGCCGCCCGTTCCCTCACCCGCTGCCTATCCTCACACGTACTCAGTGGTGTCCTTACCAGCCCACCAAGCGGTTACTGAGCCACCATGCAGGCCTACCCAACACCAGCGTACCTGGTCCCGGCCAGAAGCCGTCGTTTATAGTATGGCATCGGCCGCGGATGACCTGCATCGAAGAATTGATGACAAGCTGGACGATGTCATATCACTGATCGACGCAGACGCCTTCATCGGCTCGACAAGAGAACTTGCCATATCTATACCTCCCTCGACGTCGTCGGGGTCCTCGGAGCCGTCCACTGACCGAGACTTGAGCGGCCACGCGAGACCAAGGAAGCACGGCCAACCTAAACATGTCAATGTCTTCTCCAAGCTCGACCTATACCTCAACTCCAAGCTCCCTACTACGCTCCCACCTCTCAGAGTCTACATCCCGACGTATCCCTTGCTTTGTCTCGCCGCACAGTACTCGCTGAACGCCTACAACCAACCACAGTCCGCTTCGGAACGCAAGGATTATATCTCGGCAGATAGCAAGCTCGGCACCAAGGCCATAGTGGTCAAAAGCATACCGTGCGATGACAAGAAGACGATTGTATTTGCCATACGAGGGACGAGCAGACTCAGCGTGCGGGACTGGGGGGTTAATCTTCGAGTCGACCCTGTCTCACCTGTGGGATTTCTCGACGACGAAGGTAACCTCTGCCACTCCGGCTTTCTCAAGGTCGCGATGGCCATGGTGCGACCCATGGCTTCAAGACTGAGACAGCTTCTGGAAGAGAACCCGAACCGAAGTAGCTGCTCTCTTCTGATCACCGGACACAGCGCGGGCGGGGCCGTTGCAAGCCTCCTGTACACGCACATGCTGGCCGCGACCGTCGACAGTGAGCTGAATGCCCTCACGAACTGTTTTAAAAGGGTTCATTGCGTCACCTTTGGCGCTCCCCCCATTAGTCTCCTACCTTTGCAGAAGCCGACGACCGCAGACGGGCGACTGCAGAAGTGTCTGTTCCACTCGTTCATGAACGAAGGGGATCCTGTCGTGCGTGCCGAGAAGGCTTACATAAAGAGCCTCGTCGATTTGCTTTCGCGCCCTGTCCCGGAGATTCAGAGGAATACTAACACGTCACCATTGACCAAGTTGGGTGCGAGCATGTCCATGCTGGATCTGTCCCTTGGGCCGAAGAAGAAGACGAAGCCACAGAAACGAGTTGATGGTCAAGTCGCGGATCCGTCGTCCAAGTTGTGGTGGGACGTCCCGGCCGGCATGTTTTCGAATGCAGGACGTCTCGTGGTGCTCAGGGTGCCTCGGGGCAAGACTGAGAACGACATCACGGCCAGTATCGTCAAGGATGAGCAGTTGAGACAGGTCATTTTTGGAGACCCTCTTGCACACTCCATGGAGTTGTACGCGAGCCGGATTGAGACTCTGGCGGTCAGGGCTGTCACGGGCAAAGCAGGTATCGTTAATTAATTTGACGATTCTCTGGAATGAACAGCCCGTATCATGGGGCATGCTTCGGCCGAGTTGGACAGCGGGTAATGTGACGAGATTATGATTTTGGTATGGAACGCGAACGCTGACATGATTGATACCCCATCTTTTCACCCTTTGCTTTTTCTCCTTTGGGGGGTCCAATACATTCATGGAAAGCGGTGTGTCTGGGGAGGGGGGGTTTGGAAAATGGAGGACCGACTATGCTCTAATATCTCGTATGCATATGAGGCCCGTCGAGTATATTCTCGTCGTTATGTACGAAGAATATCCATCTAATGTACTGGGTAGTCAAAAAGCTCCTATGTATCATCGGTCCTGGTGCATTTACAGAGACAAGACATTCAGTAAAGTAGTTAAATTGTAAGCGTACGTACGTCCGCAGCATGAGATGCACAATATTAGAGCACACAGATGGAGTTTCCTCTACAGACGTAGTACAGTATTGCAGAGAAGCAGTACAGTACAGTACCAGTATGGAGACCACTGACCGCTTCGTCAACTGAGGTTTATTGGAGACGTTATGCTCATCCTCGAAATCTACTACATGCTCATAGATATAGAATAAGGTCAGGGAGGTAGGTAGGTAGGTGAAGATGCAATGCATCCTTCTCTCAACATCAACACTACATACGTACATAATGGACAGCGAGAACAGAACGAGCCCTTGCTTCCCATCCTTTCTGATTTCGTGGATTGATGCGTGGCACAAAACTTTAGGTACAAAGAACGTAGGCAACTAGTGTACAGATACGCGAGACTGTACTACACCGTGAGTGTACACTGTGCACATCGTGCCCCCGGCGACTCGCTTGAAGTGAGTGATTCATGCACCCACAAACTTGACCTTCTTCGGCCCTGGACCTCCAAAGTCCGTGGTCCGAACGTGTCGATTTAACATGCGGCTCCGGAAATGTTGCAAGGACGTCGTCGGCGTGGGCTTGGCCTTGAGGAGGTGTTCGTGGTGGGGCAGGGCGGCCGACGCGGGCTGACGTTGTGTGGACGGTGTCGACGAGGTGCTTTTGGCGCTTCTGGCTTTCTTGACGATGCCGGATGGGCGTGTATGTGCAGAGTCGGTGTGGGCGGTGGATTGTATGTGAGAAATGGGGGTTGATTGTTTTGCGGCGGAGGCGGTGGTGGTGGTGGTTGTGGGATTGGTGACGGCGGGAACAGGTACTCGTAAGGAAGCGCTCGGCGAAGGTGACAATGTTTCGGATTGGACGTGCGAAGCAACGGGTTTGTCTTGGTCCCGCCTTGTGGGTGACGATGGCACGGGAGGGACATTTGATTCTGTCGGCTCTTCTTGGTCGTCGTCGTCGTCGTCGTCGTCGTCGTCGTCGTCGTGGTTACCGGTGGTCGGCTCTACGACGATGGTGCTTGCATCCTCTATCTTGGTTGCAGCGGATGATTCTTCCACTTTCGAAAGAGACTCGCTGGCCTGATCGGTAGCCGTGGGGTGGGCGGTTATGGTGGTGTCCGAATCTGTCAAACTCGGATTGTCGGCTGGATTGGCTACAGGCTCAGGCTCATCCTGGTCGTTGATCGCCGTGGCTGTTGCACCTGTGACCTCGGCGTCAGGCGCCTCTTCTGTGGTCGATTGGTCGCGTACAACGTCCGTCCCGACTGAGGTCGGCTTCGGCGAGATGACATCGATGGTGTCCGAGGTTGAGGCTAGGTTTGGCTCTTTGTCCTCAGTGGTCGGCAGAGTGGCGGTCTTTCTTCGCTTGCTGGTACTGCCTTTGGTTGCACTTCCCCGTGGGTTTCGAGAAGATCGCCGAGCTGAACTCCGTGTACTCACCACCTCCGGCGCAGCGTCGCTATCATCACCACCATCATCATCGTCATCATCTTGTTCTTCCGTTGCAACATTGCGGGTCTGTGGATATTCCGCGGGCGTTTGGAACGTGTCGAGAATCGAGTCCTCAGGCTCGTTGCTGTCAAATCGTTTCCTCTTGTTCGCGGGAGTTTTTGCTTGCCGTGGGGTGTAGAATTCAACTGGTGATTTCAAACGTTGAGGGAGCTTGTGCTGATTAGTGGTGACTGGCGTGTCGATCCGGGAGTGTCGTGGTTGTGGCGTTTGGTCGGCCTCGACAGAAATTTTGGAAGCTTCTGAATTGGCGCTGTTCTTGGGAATCTCATTCTTCGATGCTGCTTGCCTTTTCGACGCTCGTGATATAGTTGGCGATACGGTACGATTGGACGTGTCTTCAACACTGGAAGAATTGGGCGTGTCAAGACCCAGTCTCTCTTGTAATCTCGTGGTCACCATTCCGACTGAACATCCAGGTTAGGAGCACAATATATATGCCTACAGGTTCTGGAGAAGCCTCGAAAGAGTTCCGAGAAGTGTTATGTAGGTTATTAGTTTGTCGTGTCGACAGACGGCGTAAGACAGTGGAATGGTAGTCAACACGGGGCAAGTCTAGAAAAAAATTCAGTCATGAACTTTGATAGGGCATCTCGAGCCAATCTTATCTAATTTAATCAATCCGCTGATCTTCACCCCGCGATTCCATTCGCGGGCTAAATCCGAAGGTTGATCTGTCATCACCCCTCGCCGACGAGAGTTCCTCTTGCCATAAACCTTATGCATTAATGTTGCATCGCCGGTGGTGGGTACAAAAGCTCTTCATCTAAATTCCAAAGAGAATCAGGAATAGCATTGTGGTCTCGTGGCTGTCCAGGATTCCAAAAGAGTTATTTGATCGCCATTGTTAACGAAGGCTTCCAATTCCCTCGGAGAGGATCGCACAGACCACCGACATCGGAGACCGGAACTGGTGGGAGGGGCGGAAGGGTATGTATAATAAGTTGGCAAAAAAGACCTTCGTCTCTGCTAATCACGACGACAAATTGTAACTAGTACAGGTAGCTGGGCCCCGACATTCCTGGCATCAGGAGAAAGTCACATGTTTTTGCGAGGAGCAGGGAACTTCTCTGCACATCTTCGGTGCCGATTCGGTTCAGAACGCCAGCGGTACACTTGGGTGTCTTCCAGGCACTACGCAGCAGGGATGAGTCCGATAGCAAGAGCCAAATCGCTTGACCACCTCGTCTTGACAGTGAAGGACCTCGATACGACCGTCGCCTTTTACCAAGAAACCCTCGGCATGCAACATACCTCCTTTGGGGCAGCGAATGATCCGAGAATCCAACGACATGCCCTCAAATTTGGCGGTCAGAAGATCAATCTCCACGTTAGCGGCAAGGAGTTCGAGCCCCGAGCCCAAAATGTGCAGCCTGGGAGCAGTGATTTGTGCTTTCTCATAGAGGACAACGTCGACGGCGTACTGGCTAAACTGAAAGAGAAGAAGATTGACGTTCTTGAAGGCGGGAAGGTTGTTCATCGAACCGGCGCTCAAGGCGCGCTGCGTAGCGTCTATATTCGTGATCCCGACGGGAATTTGATCGAGTAAGTAGACCTGACAGACGACCCCATTTTTGCTCGTATGAACAGCCTCACTTGGACTGTCGCGGCTGACGGCGGTGTCCACCCGAATAAGGTTATCAAACCTTGTCCAGTAGCACCCAAATCGATTCCCAGAAACGAACGGTCAGGCACTATTAAGCAATTCGGGAAAGCCAGGCAGATGAGGGTTGGACAGGTGGGAATTCGTTGACAATTGACGAACAATTCATGCTGTAATAACAGAGGTATCCTCACGCCCACGAGGTCTGCTCGCTCTCGCTGTAACCTGTGCGCAACACAGCGCTAGGAGAAATAGCATTCTGACACTTGACATGGGAGATACACGCCAGGATCCTCCACAGACGTTCTCGTTTAAGAATCCTGAAGTCAAGCCTTTGCTAGGGCAACGTATTCGGATTTGTAGTAGGGGTGTGACAAAAGACCTTGACGGCGTCATTCAGCTGGCGAAAACGTGTACCAATATACCGCCGAGTTTCTGTTGATTCTCGCTCAGCTTATCACTGGCCTAGAACACCGTCGTAGAAAAAATCCGGTAAGGGTTGCGAGACATGGAGATTCCTCGGATTGAACTTGTTGCCACAAGCCATCAAAACGGCGGTGTAGAGATGACTACCTTGATATGGTAGCAACTGAAGCTTCCGTTTCTTTAGGTTTCCACCAGAACACATCTCTGGATAAGTCGATTACGATGACCAAAGTCTCAGCACACCACAAACCACCGTGAAGTACCCCGAAGGAGGTGGGAAGTGCCAGGCGGAGCTTTTCTCGGTCAGTGTACTGGGAGCTTTGATCCAATTTGGATAATGTAGAGCGGTGAGAGTTGAGAAAGACATCTCTATGAAGGTTGTGGTCTCTTCAACTTTGCCTAGAACCGGCCCATGCATACAATGATATGCGCCGGACTTGTTCTCGCAGGGTGGTAAGGGAATGCTCTTGAGTTTGACGTAAAGATGCATGGAATTGGCAGACCGGTCGAGCCGGGATCTACAACAGGCTCCTGGCCCACCAAACCCTCGCCAGGCACGAGTCTCAGCGGTGATTCACCCGTCAATTTCGGGGGCTTATTCATGCTCCATTGGACGTCCTGACGGCGACGATGGTCTCTGAACAGGTAGTAAAAGTACCCAATGATCAGTAGACTGTCATCAGAGGGAAACTGGCCATGAGAATGTTAACCTCAATCAAGTGGGTCCACAATTCTTCTCTGAAGGGGTAACAGGTACCCAAGGTCAGAAGGCTGTCATCCGGGGGAACTGGCCATGAGAATGCTCATCTCAAATCTAGTGGTTCCGAAATTCTGTAATTCCGTCCATTGCAAGGATCCTTGCATAACTAGCCTGCGTACAGTGCAAGCTCAGATGATCATTTAGTTTTACTGTGGCTGGCTGAAGTGAGTCCAGATAGACCATGAAGCGTAGGTCTGGATTCGATAGCCGAGAGGATCACTCAGATGCGCCGGGGTCGTCGGAAGAGAGGATATGGGGAGGAGATGGCTTTTCCACAACAACCTTTCAAGATGTGTAAGTGGCCAGCCTACCTGGCCCGTCTCTGCGGCTGTTGGGCAGCAAAGGGCAAAAGAAGGGGGCATGCCTCATCTACCATTGGCAATGCGGCGAACGCACGGAGTGTTCCACAACAAACATGCGCACTAAGGGTGCATTACACATCTTGCATTGCTCATCGTCGACAGTCCAGAGCCCAAGAGTCGGAAACATGTCTCTGGTACGTAGATGCGCTGCAGAGCTCCCAAGTTGAACAAGGTGCCCAAGCTGCCGAATTGGGTGCGTCTCCGGAAGACCGTTCGCGGCCAAAGCTGTATTGAGCTGGACAATGTGATTCGGCCAGAGCACGAGTATTACTGTCACAGGGCTGTCTGTCCAAGCGCAGTGCGTATTTGGTGGCTGAGGGTAAACCGTCTTGTTGTGCTCCGTATACGTACGATGTCCGAGTCAAGGGCCGAGAACGACCAAACGCAGCTTGGCGGCGGAAGAGGCTTTTCTCATCACCACCATCACCACCATCACCACACCCACCACACCACCAATCGTGCCGCCACGCCATAAACCAATCCCTAAGGGTTTCGCACTCCACCAGGCCCTAGTCACCCCGATCGAAGATCGACTGCTGTGCTCCTTGTCCTCATACGAGCCCATGTCGATGACAGCAATGGTGATTGCTCGCATGTGCTGTGAACTGATAGCTCGGTCCGATACCGAAGACGAGTGGAACAGCGCAAGCGATCGCAGCATTCGGTGGCGAGGAGCGACAACCGTCCCGCCTGTGCTACTGCACAGATCCCAGCACCGGGATGGACCAGTGAGTCCAAGGCCCGTGCCAATGTTTGCGTCCTCTGCAGGCGCTCAGTCCTCCTACTGCACGCGGCGCATGTGCCCTGCATCTTACTTTTCTCCCCTCCTCGTCGATTTGTCTCACCCACCACGCTTGCTTCGCTTCGCACTCGATGGGCAGACATCAGCACCACATCCTTGATCCGGCTGGCCAGGGACGATGCGAAACGATTCCTTCGAGCTTACGAGTGAAAGAGATGATGGTCGATGGAATTCGAGAGTCCTTGCCTTTGTGGACCTCTGTCGAGGAGCCCGTTCTCGAGGTCGGTACTATGCCGTTTTCGCCTCGGTTCCTCGTCTCGACTTGCTGAACTTCCTGAATTTTCGCTTGTGATGTGCTGTGATACCCACCGGCTCAAACTCTGGAGAAACTCAATGCCGTGTATTCGTATTATTATCTGCAATGCACGCGGCCGCAAGCTTTCGCCGGTTCCTTAGCCTGATGGCTTGCATATCCCCTGACCTCTATCCTCTCGAGAACGCCTGTCAAAGTTTTTGGCGCCCCAGTCATCCAAAGTGCTGGTCCGCCGGGACGATCTCCCCCTCCGTGATGGAGACGCCAACTCGCGTCCCATGCTCTTGGATGCATTAATCTACCACCCTTCGAGAGAACGGCCGCTGCTAGCGTGACGAGCACCCGAAGGGATATACTTTGACCAACTCTGCCAGTCAAGAGCTTATCGCCTCCGGCCCTCGTCAAAGAGAATCCCCTGGATCAGAGCCGAGGCCGCAGGGTTGTTGATCCTAGCAAAGTCCCAGGCGCCTGCCCTGCGCTTTCTGTGGATGATCAACGTCTCGAATCCAGAACTGCATCAGGAGCCGTCACAACTTCTCGACGGCGCAGAAAATCTTTACACAGGCCTGCATGAATGCCGTGACTCTACGCGCGGTCGTCGATCCTGGCTGGATCTTTCAAGCTGCGCGGATCGCTCCCATAACTTACGACAATTGGAGGCTTGAACACTTCTTGAGCGTCCTTCCGCCTTTTACACACCTGCGGATTTGCATAATCGACGAAGCCACAAACACCATTACCGGACGACTTTCCTATAGCCGAATCTCGGTCATCTGCGACCGTCTAGCCTGGACTCCTTCTTCGGATTTTTTGAGCTAGGGTTGGGTAGCTTCTCTGCGTCTCGTCATTTGTTGCCATCGATCAGATACATCATAGCAGCGACGGCCTCTTCCCCGCCCATCGGGCCATCACGCCACAAAAAAGCTTTGCTCCAGATTGTCAGTGCTTGCGCTGGTATATCCGTGGCGTTCGTCCCACAATTCTTGGGTTGGTAATTCCAGGGTCACTCTCTTTACAAGGCTGGCTGAGACGCCAAGCGGCGGTTGAATCTTCAATGCTCGGAACCCTGCTGCCAGGATTGAAGTCTTATTATTTCGGATTGCCGCGTTATTCACACGCCATCAAACAATCACCTACGCCGGAGCTCTCCCTACAAGTATCATGACTACTGTGGTTCAACACTCTAATCTCGCTCCTTCAGCTTTCGATTTCCATCACCAATCTCAGTTCGCGTCGACACCGAATGCGTCGCGAAAGGAGGGAATGAATCCACATTACTATGGTCCTCCTGCTCCCACAACAACAGTTGGCGAAAACTCTCGTCCAACTCCTACCGTACCCTTCGCTTTTAATATTGGCGGGTCACAGCAATCATATATAGCTTTGGCGAATCCATCTCCACCGACTTTTCCAGCCTCGATACCTCCGCCTGGACCTCCGCCATTCTCTGTTTCACCTACCGCCCAAGCTTCACTACACCCCATCTCCTCCTATCCTCAAACAGAATCCGCAGAAGTTCTCTCAAGGTATGTCTGAGACGGGCCGCTTTAAAGCATGCGAATTGAAGTCGGAACAGGTCCTCATTAAGAGCGTCGGCTTCTTCGTTTCCGCCGTCTGGGTCTCAGGACCAGCTGCAGTTTGCACAATCGCATTTCCACGGATCCACAATAAATTCATCAAGGCGAGCAGATGCTCGTCATGGCCATTCGAACGCAGAAGCTCTTCCAGCTGCAAGGCCGCTCATCGACCCCCAAAAGCCAAGTAGGTGCTCACTATATGTTCGACAGCAGCCTAGAGCCGCCCGCGCTGGACCAGACGGGAAAGACAGAAGGTATCTTCACACATTTTGATTCCAGCGTACGCTCTCGTATTAATCCTTAAAAGGCCTATTGATCCTCCGCCAATACTTCAGTTGATGATGCAAGACTTTGACCCAGACAATCCTGCAGATGTGGAAGAAATCACAAGCCAGTGGTGGGTGGTGTACTGTAATCTGGTGGCGGCGGAGACACCGAGTCAAGACTTAACCACCATGCACTTTTTTCGAGACGACGGTAGGAAAGAAGTTCAAAGGTTGCTCCTTGGGACTATGGTGGCCAGTCCGACCGTAACTATGGACGACCCTGACCCGGAAACGATGCCGCAACATCCGAGAGCGCCTTCTGCTCCTCCCAGTCCTACGATTGATCGGTTCATTCCGAGGTCTTCAGCTTCCTCGACGAGGAAAGAAAGACCGCCTCATCAAATACCAGGCTCGTTCTTCATCTTCCCTGATTTGTCCGTCCGAAGAGCCGGTGACTATCGCCTACAATTCACTCTTATGAAGATGGAGGCCGGAATTTTGAACCAAAAAGGCTCAAAGGTCCCGGCTGTCGATATCACCTTCAGCGAGCCCTTTCGCGTCGTCAATGCAAAAGATTTCGATCAAGTGCAGCCGAGTACCAATCTGGTAAAGGGTCTCCTACAGCGTGGCGCAGGTTTCCCTCTGAAGCTCAAGAAAGGAAATAGAGAGGGCCAGAGACGCAGAAGGCACAATTCCGGAGGTGATTCGGAGTACTACGATGACGATGATGATTAATGAGAAGGGCGAATTTGGGCTCCTATCAAGAGTGTGACATGAGGCATAAGAACAGTAGCATGATCAGTTCAATGCTATAGTCCTTGGGAAAAGGAGTTCTAATGCATACGGGTCAGCGGAGGCCACCTCGGTCTCTGATTCCTTGAGTATTACAGCGGATTTAGGCGGTTCTTCCCAGAGCAAACCTGCCTCAACCAAGCCGTGCATACGACAAACATGCTCTCAATGAGTACTTCACGACAGTATGTCCATCCCACCAGGGGTTCTAGCCTGGATACCCACTGTTGGTCAACCTATGTGTGGGGTTCCTATGCTGGCCGGTGAAGTCGTTCGCAGACCAACCGAAGTCATGGGACTAACAAGTAGCGTTGACCAAAGAGAACTTTGAGCGACTCTAGGAGACGTACATTGACGTTCTCGCTTACCTGGACGGCCCGGAAAGTCGCAGGATGATCGTTCCGGACGTAAGAAGCTAATGTGACAGCCCAGACGAGCTGTCGAGGAGCAGAACCACAAAATGCCATGCACGCTTTGCACAGGCAAGATTGAAGGAGGCATTCCGGGCTTGTCAGGAGCCAGACTTGGTCTTCACCAATCCACGTTGGAAACGACCAAAATCTCCTAAGAAACAGATGCTTGGTGCCAGCGCGAAAGGATTAGTGGGTAATGCCCTTAATGGACCCACTGTCCATGCTAGGGACGATAGGGGGTGTCGAATGCAAGACCGCCATGAAAGGCAGATTCTCTCAGTTTGAGGAACAAGCAAGCTCATCGAAGCCCAGCTCATACCGTACCATTCTGTAAAGCGAACTGTCCTTGTCCAGCATGGTGGGGAGCGACTACTAATGTGCTGGATTTGTTTGAAGGTGCGAGCATTATGAACATGACTGCGTAACTGGTACATCTTAAGACGCTCACACCTACCTGACAATGTGTGAGGTGGTTCTGTTGGTCGCTTAGAGAAGTCCAGACCTCCAGCTAATGTGAGGCGTCCTCCAACTGATCTAAGGGCCGATCAGAGGGCACTGGGGCAGTGGGTCGAAGGAGTCAATCTGGAAAGTCTCGAATAGATCTGCCCCCGGTCACCGTGATCCACCGGTACGACAAGCGAGTCGGGAGGGGGCCCCATCCAAACGAGATTAAGAGAGAGCACGGCAGCATACGGGTCTTGCGGAAGAATCAATTGGATGAAGTATTCCTGGCGTTCACCTCCTGGCAGAACACCCCACGTCTCTCTGGTACGCTGATACAGATACTCTACACCTATCAAATCTCGGTGTCTAATATGGGTCTTGCTCGGGTAGATGCACCAGAGGCAATAAAGCGTCAAAAGCGGAATAATCGGCCTGGCCCGGTTGACACCATCTATATCATCATGACTACATTCTCTGTGTACGAGTTAGTCTGTGACGTTGAGACTACGAGTCACCTCAGCGGCGGCACAAGGATAGAAAATGCCAACACTACTATCTCGCCGATGCAGGCACAGGCATCTGACCAGAACGATTTCGGCAAGGAGAAACGCCGGACTGCCATAGTACGGCGGTGACACCAGCACGAGCTTGATACATCATCCGTTCAGTCTCGGCTTCGGACGAGATGGAGAACGGAGCACATCATTTTGTTGTCTAGTCCGAGGACCTTCACGGACCAAAAGGGCTCCGAGAATCTTATCTGGCAGGCCAAGGCTTATGAAACTCACTCCACGGAGAAGACAGCAATCTCTTGCCTTCTCGGACGGATCAGACCCTTTCGATTACGAGTACCTTCTCTGTCTGCAATTCTTCACTCCTTGGCGGTCGGCTGCCCTGAGCACAGACAGAGAGAGAGAGAGTGTGTGTGTGTGCGTGACTGAGCGGAATAGACCCACCGACTTCAACGGAGTTTCAACAGCCCCCTCAAGTCGGTACAGATCGTAGATCGTACATACCTTGTCAACTTATCTGCCGTGGGCAGGGCGAGGCGGCTGCAAACCTTTGGTGAAGCGACCGTCTCTAATTTGATACTGTCACGGGCGCGGGGGAAGAACTCTTTCGCATGAAACCCCCTTTGGGTACGATGCAGAGCATGCTGCATTAAGATGGGCATGTCGGTTACCTTCGACCTATTCCTCGAGAAGTCCCCTCTTCCAGACTGAAATAAAGCTAAGATCTACAATGCCTTGATGGTGGGTCCTTTGCATAAAGCGTTATTCTTCCCCTGTGAGGTTCTGAGCTGGGCCCCTTTTTCAGCGTCAATGGATGCAACAGGGACTGCATGGGACGAGCCCTCAGCACACGTTCTGGATGTACTACGCGTGCGAGCACGTCCCACGCTTCCAGGAAGGCGCCACTCGTCGTGCCATGAAGCATTGATCGAGGGATGTCCCACATGGATCGGCATATCATGACAGGATGGTCGTCCGATCTACGATTCTTCAAATCGGCAGGCATGACGGGGGTGCTTCGACTGCAACGCTTTTGATAGAATCATTAACCCCAGGTGCACCAGGACGAGATGTCGCCCTTGTGGGTGTGGACCAAGAGTTTTCCGTTCTGGGCACAAAGTTGAAGCCCACAATGGCCAAAATAGGATTTCATGTCCGTCCCAGGCGTCCTTCTGAAAAGATCCATAGCGGTCCGTTGCACGGCGGCATCCCGCTTTGCGTCGGACGAGACGACGGGAGACGGAAATCGGACGACGTTTCCACCTGACGTGGAAGAGGAACCACCGGCACTTTTTGTATTATGCCAATACGAGTTAGATTGCGTGTTGTGTGTAAGGCGGACCCATCGACATGTCGAAACCGAGATGCCATCGCCCCAATACAACACCAATCCTCAACACCCCTACTACCCAGTCAGATGGGCCGCAGTTCTGCCTCTTGCGGAACAAGTACCACGAAACATGACCCAAAGGTCGTGAGAAGCACAACATCTGCCCACGGTTGAGACAAAAAGTTCTTGCAGGTCGTCGCCGACAGATTCATAGAGGGAGAAGACCTCCATCCAGTCTGTGGGCTTGGCTTCTTTTCTTTTTTCCCCTTCTTTCGAACAACTGTCATGGAGGGCACGTCCGAACCTGGCACGCCCTCGGATGGAAAAAGCGCCGTGCATTATCATCATAATCGTCACGACTCATCCGTCTCGCCCTCGAACGGAAGCAAGATGGAAAACAGTATGACGCCCCATGAACAAAGAAAATGAGAGCAAGTTGCCGACCGGCGGATATGAGGACCGGCGTGCGAACACCAAGAAACTATGTTTATGAGCAACATTTACTACTGCTGTCAGCTTCTCGTATTTTCGGACGACCCCTTCTGATTTTGGGGAAAAAAAAAACCAATAACCCATTCCTCTGCTCCTGGACCAAACAGTTGCAGTTTCTCTAGGAGACTCCGCTTTGGATCTTGTCAGTGCTGCGACGAGTAAGAGTGTGGAGTACTTGAACGGATTGGTGTCGGACCAAGTACGAGAAACGAAAACGAGTAAGAGAGCGCGTGACGAGACAACCTCGAACACGAAGGCAATCCTCCTTTTTCTTTTGGAGTGCTTCGTAATGAAGAGGTGAAGACACCCGAAACTCTGAATCTCAAAATGGACAATGCTGGAACATTGCCTGAGGAGTGGCGCGGCGTTGGCAGATCTCTTTATCTCCTGTACTTAGTCACCCTGTACTTGTTCTTTGTGCACCCGAGCACGAGAGCGCCGAATCTTCCAACAGGATCGAGTAATTCTTACATACATGCGTTTGTCATGATCGTAATAATGTCTTACGAAAAGAAAAAAAAAAGACAAGTCCCGGGAAAAATACCCGCGCAAAACGGGGCGGGCCATTCACATGGTGGAGTAAGTACACACAATCGCCTGTACCTACGCACAGTTTGCGTGAGATGTGAAGGGGTGGTCCAATGTCAATGACATGTGTTATTCGAATGGGATGATAAGAGAGCATTGCTCCGGCCTCGTACTCGTGCAGGTAGTAATTGAACTATCGGTCAAAAATCGTACCATCCTAGAGGAGTAGAGCCAACAAACAAATTGATCTACTGTAACATCAACATCAAGATTCAGATCGAGATAGTGGTCGAGATCCAAAGGGCACGATCAGAGCTCTAGATCGTGAATGTCGTTCGGGTTACAGACTAACTAATAGCTGCCTAGGTAGGCAAGTGCATCCTTGACCCCATCTTTGCCTCCACGGCCTGGCCTTTGTCCTTGTTCCTCGTACGTACGAGAGAGATTCTTGGCTTCGTTACCCTTTCTAGCAAAAGATCGACTGCATCGTTCCACGCCAGGATCCAGAGAGATCCTACTCGTACTTGCTTCAGAGTCTGTTTTCCAGAACGCCGTATGGTCCCGATGATCAGCGCTCTGGTTCGAGTGACCATCACGAGAGAGAAAAGTGAAGCTCGTAGCGACTTTGATGCAACGATCGCCCACACTAGTTCAAGGTAGTCGTTCATCGATACCATAGCTGGAGCAAAGACCTTGGGCGATCGATGGCTTGTAATGTTGCCAGGTGTTTGCCATGTTGCCTACGTACGAGGGGGACAACGCGATGCTTCGAAGCCATTTCGTTTCATATCGTCGCTTTTCGTTTCGTACCATGATACAGCAACATAAAGCGGATGGGATGGTTCGCCCCTTGACTAACCCTTCTGAAGTGATTCCTCTACTGCATCATTCTTGCTTCGGGCTTCAAAGTCCTCCAGGAACCAATCATCCTCAGATTTCCTGGTCATGAACTCGTCGTTGTACCAATGTTGTGCGAATCCATCAATGTACTCAACCCATTCTCGATCGGTGTCGAGTCCCTGATCTTCAAGGTCATCTTTCGCAGTTGTAAGCCATGGTATGGCGTCCTTGTCCAAGCCATGCTCACGTAGCAGAAGCGCAAGTCGGAGATATCTCCGCGTCTTGAGACTTGCATCTGTGTTCTCCAGAGCTGCGCTCAACCCAAGCCACTCGATGCCAATCCAATTCTTCGGTTTGTCTTTCCGTTCAGACGTAACCCAGTGATCGTTCTCGTCCAGGTGGTGGTTGAGCCAGCCGTCTTTGCCTAGGTGGTAGAGTGCGAGCCTGACACAATGCTCTGCGCTCCCTTCCATGGCAGACATGGTCATGAGGGACAGCCACCGGTCGGAGAACTTTGTGACCTCGCCTGGCATGAGGAGAAGCTCGTGTGCCGCCTTGGGGTCTTTCCACTTCTTCACGCCGTCGCGGATGGCATTGTCGAGATCCCTCTGTACCGGGTCTCCTTCTGGATCGTCCCTGTCGAAGTGTGATAGATAATGATTTGCCGAATCGTGGACTAGGCTCCATGTTGGTCTGTACCTTTCGAACATCTCGGCTCTAGACATGAGACGATTGCTAGGCTCGAGCATGGCGTCAAGCTTCTTGGCCAAAAGGTAGTTGGCCTCAGCACCCTCCTTTGAGTGCGACATCTCGGTGGCTAGTTCACACCAGAGAGACATGGTACGCCAGTCGATCATCTTTGCGGCATGTTGTTTCAGGAACCCAGACACTCGGCTCGATACCTTTTTCGATTGATGTTCGATAAACGCGACTTTGATAGCTGCCTCCAGATCGCCGGCCTCGAAGGCACAACAGAGCGAGTAGTAACCTAACTGCGCAAACTTGCCGACATTCTGTCTGTGGAAGTCGGCTTCACCAAACGCTTCGAAGATCCGCGGAAGGACGTTGGGATTCAGCACCAGCGCGACCTCATCGGAGGTGAGTGCTTCCTCGTAGGTGCGGGTCCATTGGCTGTTATGCAGAGAGGTAGAAACCGCACGGTCATGGTGGATCTTTGCCCTCTGCAGCTCGGCGCGGTGGTGATTGAACAGTTTGACTACGGTTTGGATGGAGCGGAAGCCCAGCTTAGTGAGCTTTTGGCCGAGCGCGAGTGTTATGTAGTAGTTGTCTAGGGGGCTTGGAGACTTGGTGAGCCGTGTGAGATTGTTCTGCCGATCCCGGACTGGTTTCATGTTAGGAGGCTTGCGAGCGGCTCGTGAAGACGACGATGGTCGCAGAGAATTGAACGCATTTCGACCGAACAAACAGCGGCCTCCAATGTTGGGAAGGGCGGCTCGACGACATAGCTGTGGGAGGGTTTGCATGTCGTGCTGGCTACCGTAGCTCTATTTCCACGGCATGGTCGAGCCTCCGACGCCTGCTTCGTAATACGACCCCGACAAAAGAAAAGTTGTCTGGTGGTGTCAACAATAACGGGGGATCATCAAAGCGCCATCTCTACAAATGCGGAGAAATCGCAGGCACGAGAACGCGCCAAGAACAGCGGAGGCTCGTTTTGAAGACCGAGTCGATGTATCCTCGTCAATCTTCTCAGTCTTTCTCTCCAGCAGCACAACCTTTCGCAAGTGCTTGATGTCCAGGATTCGAATGCCACAGTCATATCCCTATTCCAACGCACTCCTGCTTGCATTCCGCACCCCCAGTCCCTTGGCGCAGATGTGTTACCACGAATCATAACCTCTGCATCGAAGGACGATTTTTCGCGTACTGTGTTGAGATGCCTGCTCCGGCTGGAACCAAGCGCGTCCGAGGCGTTCAGGTCTACCGCCCTTTCGTCTACGGCACCGAAGCGATCCCTTTCGACCCCGAGAACAGACCTAAGGATGCGCCACCCGACCACACGCACAAGTGGAAAGTGTTTGTCCGCGGGATCAACAACGAAGATATATCCTACTGGCTGAAGAAAGTCCAATTCAAGTTGCACGATACATACGCCAATAGTGTGAGAATGATTGAAGGTCCTCCCTTTGAGGTAGAAGAGACGGGGTGGGGTGAATTCGAGATTGCGATCAAGTTCTACTTTGTCCCGGAAAGCACCGAGAAACCGCAACAGATCTGGCATGGCCTCAAGCTACATCCTTACTATGGTGACATTGAGCAGCAAAAGCGCGATAGATCGATGATTAGCAGCGTTTGTTACGAAGAGGTCTTGTTTAATGAGCCCGTAGAAGTCTTCTACGATCTTCTCACGGGCGGTTCCCAAGCAACAAAGTCAAAGACCGGAAAAGGGGCCAAAAGCCAGATAAAAGCGCCTCCCACTGCAGAGATACCCATGAGAAGTAGTGGAGGTAACAAATTTAGCAGAGAAGAAGAAGGCAAAGAGTTGGATCGGCTGGGTGAGGCCGTGAAGAAAGTACAAGCGATGGTGGCGGAAGAGAAAGCCAGGCTGGTAACAGAAGAAGCCAGGCTACAAGAGCTGGAAAAGACGGAAGGAAAGCCCGTCAAAAGAAAGTGAAATACAAACAGAGTAAGGTCGACAATTTCTCGCGAGACAGGTCGACCCATCTGCAAATGTGAGTAGAATCTTCAACAACCATGACATATACGGCCTGGGTTTAAGAGCAAGCGAGAATTGCGATTCCGACAATTGTGCGGCTTCGTCTGCAAACCCCAAAGACAGGTCAACATTGTCTCGGATGGAGGCTTCTCGACATAAGCGATCCTGAGTTCGATCCCTCCTCTTGCTCAATATGCCTGTTGGCCGAGCGGTACCGACGTACAATTCTGAGAAAACTCATTGAACCGATGAAGCCTAAAGCTCCATGAAAGGTGTTGCCTGGTGCCTGTCTCATGGTTATGGAGCGATTGCGCGTCGCCAGGCTCTTAACGATGCACTTACACCCTGGGCTGACTTGGTGGATAGCTTCAGTTGCTCTGCGTTGACATCCATTTGGCTGTTGATCGCAATACTATCCGTCTAAGGCCCGTCGATATATGGTTTAGGAACGGGAAAACATTTCTGACACCCTCAGGCCATTCCCCTCACCCCTGGAGGAAGTCCGATGTGCCTCACCTGACTAAGGCCTCGAGTCAAGTCGCACAATATGACCCTCTGCAGAATGCGATTTGCTTTCTGCAGAAAGAGTCTTACCTGCGTACCACTGAAAGATGAAATTTTCGTGTTTTCCCCTCTACAACGAGGCAAGAAGACATCATCTTACCTTGGCTACGTTCTTTTCTCAGTTTGAAGAGCGTACTGGCTACGGCTTGCGACGGAGGATCTACTATGTCATGACTGCAAGTCCACGCCTGGAGGAGGTAAACCAGCAGTGCTGCCCATGTCTGATAACGCCCTGGAGATGACTGGATGTTCACAATCGACTGATCTTGCAGCCTTCAGAGCTCCATCACACGTTTACTCACTACGATATGGAATAGAAGTATACCCTCAAAGCACGAAACCCGCACTAGTCGGTGATTCCGACTACCAAATAGAATCCATTTCTTCGCGCAAAGGCATGGCCCTCCTCCCTAGTACCTGTGATTTCAAGTGATGCTTCTGGTATCATGTTGTGTAGTCGAGACGTGTCCAAAACATATAGATGATAAACGTGTAAAGTCTGTTTCTTATCTGTGGATGTTCCCAGAATAGTCTTATCTCACATAGCAGTTCCTCTCTCGAAACTCTCCCGTATGTCGGCCGTGTATCGATCGTAAAATCTGGCCAACTTCATGTTGAACTGCTTGTTCTTCTCGTTGATATACGTGACGTCACCTCCTTCCTCCTCACGTCCTCTTGCGCGCCGAGCCTTGAACCTCGCTTCCTCGGCCTTTCTCAGATCCTCGACCAAACGGTCAACGTTTTCCCGCTTTGGCTTCTGCTCTACAAATCCCGTGCTGTCGTTGTCTGCATAAAACCGGCCGTCCCTGTCGATGGCGACGAGTTCGCCATTCTCCATCTCGACAATTTCCAAACCGCCCGTGCGCGCGGCAGTTTCGAGAATCTCCGCCTTCTGACGCTCGTACTCTTCGCGGTTCCTGCCGCCGTCTTTGGCCGCGGCTTTCTCGAGATCTCGGATCTGCCGATCGTACATCTTGGCAGCTTCGGCCGAGTAGTCTGCGAAGGCGTTGTTCTCGCGGGCGTGCTTCTTGCGGTTCACACGTTCGTCCCAACGCTCAGATTCCTCGATGGTGTAGTCCCACGCACGCTTGCGCTCGAAGGCGCCTTTGCCTTCGTCCTCTTCAGTGTCGGCTTTAAGGATGTTGTGTGAGGCGATGGCCGATTTCCGAGACAGACTCGCGAGGACGCTGGGGTCGATGGCGGCGCGGGTGGCTTCTGCTTTCGCTTCGGCGAGGTTGGACTTGGCCGAAGCGGAAGCGCGGGACTTGAGCGCTTTGAAGCGAGCGAGTCTGTCGGTCGTTGTTGACGATGCCGGGGGCAGGGGTGTTTTATCGCTGGTCGCTTGCTCTATGGATGGCTCGGCAAGAGGCGTTCCTCCACTTTGTTCCCCCTGAGATTCCGTAGTCTTGCTGTCCTTTACATCGGTTGTAGGCACTCTCGTGTCGTTGGCGGCTACGTCTGTAGAAGTGGTCTCCTCCGGGCTCGGGCTGAGTTTGCGCCGTTTTGACGGAGGCATGATGGGTCGAAATCAGCTCGAAAAAGGGTGAAGTAAATCACGAGATGGAAGGTGGTAGGTTTACGGTTAGATCGAAGCAATACCGCATGTTACAGTGCTCGAGTTGCCTTCTTGAATCGCAAACTTGCTCGCGCATAATCCAGGGCAAAAAAAGACGTCGTTAAGCGTTCGGCAGACCTTCCGTAAATAACCTCCGTATCAAATACGTCAGTGTTTGCGCCAAAAAAGTTCCCGATGATCATTCCACGACTCGCAGCGACATGGAGCCTTCCTGGTAGGAGGTTGCTCTGACTGCGTCCTAGCTGATATTCGAACAATAGCAGGCATCTTCAATCCAGCTATAACAGAGCATGTCTCAGGCTGCAAAGAAGAGGCTTGTAGTTGCTGGCGGGAATGGCTTCCTCGGATCTCGCATATGCAAGTCCGCAGTTGCTCGCGGTTGGGACGTGACGTCCATAAGGTACAGCTTGTCCAACCTACCACATGTGCTTTACTGACGATGACCCAGCCGTTCCGGGGAGCCAAAGTGGTCCTCGGTGACCTCAGAACCCTCACCTCCCTCTTGGTCAGAATCCGTCACCTGGGCTAAAGGTGACATCCTCAAGCCTGCGACTTACACTTCGCACCTGAAAGGAGCCGACGCCGTCGTCCATACTATGGGCATTCTGCTCGAAGCAGACTACAAGGGTGTCATTTCCGGGAAAGAGAGTGTCTTCTCCGGCCTCTCAAGAGCCTTCAGTTCCTCCAAAGCCGGCAGCACGAGTAATCCTCTCGAACGCAAGCCCGGAGCTGAGCTCGGCAAGGGCGAAAAAGACGGCCAGATCACATACGAGTTGATGAACAGAGATTCTGCGATTGCTCTAGCTCAAGAGGCGGAAAGAGAAGGCGCAAGCACCTTCGTGTATATCTCCGCCGCCGCAGGCGCGCCTATGCTTCCAACTAGGTACATCACCACCAAACGAGAAGCGGAGAACACGATCGCTAGCAATATGATCAAGTTGAGGAACATCTTCATACGGCCAGGCTTCTTGTACGACAGTAGCCGGAAATTCACGCTCCCGATAGCTGCCTCCGGCATGGTGGGAAGTACTGTCAACAGTCTAGTTGGCGGCAACCTTACTAGGATATTTGGTGCGGCTGTGGAAAAGCCGCTCAAAGCGGATCTGGTGGCTGATGCTGTTGTTGAATCCATAGCCGACGAATCGACCAGAGGCGTTGTCGACACTCCGTTGATAGAAGCACTGGCTGCGAAGGCCTGGCGCCGTACTATGTTGTAATTCTTGCGACCCCGAAAGAGCGCCTTGACAAGTATTTCTTAAAAGAAAAGCAACCTCGAGAGTAGTGAGAAGGATATAATTATCGAATGACTTGATTATATAACTCATCCGTAAACCCCAAACGACGTGTTCGGGGTAGTCAATCATAGCCAAGTCCCTGGCACTGTTAATGAGGTTATCTCAACAGCAGACATGAAGAACCAGTCGAACAACGCAGCCGCTGGATCTTCACCTGATGACCTCGACCGCCGACATCCCAGTCCGGCATATCGGTGTCTCCTGCATTGACTCTATCATACACTCTTGTCCAAACGCCGTAGATGTAAACAAATCCCGCTATGCTAATCACACGTGAGTGAAGATTGGAAGGGATGCCCACCGACGCAGTGGGAGAATGGCCTCGTAAGGTGGAACTCGAAATTTTGTACAGAAGAGGACATTCCTGAAGAAGACAAGCGCACTCATTGAATACATTGTCTGGTGCTCGTCTTTCGTAGGTGTCATATTCTCGGATTATAGGTTGGCGTTCTGGCTTTCCTGTGGAGGCTCAAATAGGACTTTGCGAGTAAGCTGGTCACTGTCAGCAAAGATACGGTCAATAACACGGAGTCTAGCTTACCGCCCAGGCGCCAGCAATTGATGCGACGATACCACTGGAGATCAGCATTGGCTTCAGCCCTCTTGTGCTCTTGAAGATTGCTCCGCTAAGTGCACCCGCCACTATGCTGTTGGCCGCATCGTGTTTGCCGCGATAATAGCCGAGCGTGGAGTTGAAGCCGTTATAAACCATTGCTACAACTCCAGCGGAGTTTCCCAGGAAAGGCCCTCTCCTCGTTATGCTATTCAGGACACTGTTGAGGCGCAACTTCGGAGGTGCCGATGCGGGTGTCCGATTAAGGCCCTCTATTAAACCCCATGCTCCACCAGTAGTCAGAGCCGCTAAGTACACGGTTCCTGTTCCGTAGCAAAGGTCGTCCGACCAGCCTCGAGAGGGTAGAAATGATCGAGCGCCCGGAAGATCTGATAAGGTTGATTCGTCTAACGAAAGATAGTCAAGTGTCTGTTGATTCAAACCAGCCAGAGGATGCAACTTCGAGGCATCGGGAAGAGAGGCGGCTCCCAGGAGCGTAGAGACGTCGGTGGTGTATGAAGGATCGAATGATGCTGGGGCGTAACCTCCGGCTGAAGGCGTAGGCGCAGACTCGGTCTGATGAGGCTCTGCCTGCTGTTTTCTCCTGCCCGTGAAGGCGTCCCAGACCGACATTTTGAAGGGATGATGGAAATCTCTGGTCGAACGAAGGAGGATTACGAAGAAGGGCGCGTGTGGTGTGACAAGAGGACGGTCGTTAATGCGCTCGGCGATATCGAAGGTAAAATGATGCTGGAGAGAAAAATGTTAGACTCGGATCGACGGCGGCGCTACCTGGCTCACGTGACCATCCACAACCGAAGAATTTCCGCCAGTTTCTCTACTGTACAACTTCTGGGCAATTTTTGGGTCTATCTGCCCTTTCACTACAACAACATACAGCATGCACAATTGATGAGGCACCCTGTCTGGGATTGAAAGATGGATTGTCTGGAACCTCACAGACATTGATCGGGTCTGGGGCTGGGATGGATGTGGTTTCACGGGCCCTCGAGGCTCCAATACCACTTTCGATCGCCATCCTCTCGGATCTGGGGAAGGGCGCATTGCGACAGGCATTGCGACAAGCCGACCAAGTCCCCCAGTTGCAAACTCTTTGGAAGGGGCTCATTCTCACCGTCCGAGATCCTCAAGTTCTCGACAAACACATTACGGCTGCTTGCAATGCCCTGTGTGTATTTATCAATGCCAGTGCTGCAAGTCCCTGTGCTGAGCTCCGTTGCTTCACAATCTCGAGAGAAGTATGGCTCGATGCTTTTCAATGTGCCCATAAAGCTTTCGACGACGGGATGACGAAGCCGGCTTTTCAAGTGTTGGAGACTCTGTGTGATATGCTCAAAGAAATGTCTGATACGGAAGTAGACAGCATCATGACAATTGCTGTTCCACCCTTAGTCGAGATTGTGCTTCTGTGCTCACCTCGGTCTGGCCTCAAGAAAGCTTGTCTCATGCTGGCTGGGTTCGTTCGAAAGACTCAGGTCCATGACTATCTCGAACGGTTCGTTGAAAAAACAACCACAAGTTATGCACTGGCTTGGAAAGAACGTCTAGTCGAGCATCATATTACAGTAATGGACTTGTCAGAGATAGGAAACGGTAGTATGCCTTCTCTTCTTCTTGCCCTGATCTTTGCAAGCATTGACGTCAACACAAGAAGTACAGCCATCAAGACCTGCTCTGCCCTTTGTTCTCGTGGACCAGCACGACCAGGTCGCCCCAGTCTTCATGATCTAGTGGAGAGCGTCATTGGACTATACTTGGAGAGGAACCATGAAGCACTCGGTGACTTCGCTCAGAACATTCTGCCGGTCGTCCTGGACGACAAGCACAGGTTTGCTGCTTTTGCCAGACTGCACGCAAGAGACTCCTGCGAAAGCGAGGCGCGATTGGCACTGTTTCTTTCTACATTACGTGCCGGTGTGTCAAAGAGCCTGTTAACGGAGGGAGGTAAGTGCTCTGTGACGGTCTCCCGATCTACATTCCCTTCCCGCTAACTAAGATATGTTGAACAGAAACTTTATCGATTTTTAATTCTGCCTTCCCAGAGGATCGACATTCGACCGAACAAGATCCATACCGCTGGTTCTCACATATATTCAAGCTGTCAAGCTCAGAAATTCAAATATTGACGTATGGGCTTTTGACAGCATCGGCTGCTGCTAATTCAATTGTCCCTGAGGGCGCTCTAAACTGCATCAGTCTAGGCTTGCGGTACCTTCATGATGATGCGGACGCTCATGAGAGAGGAGAGATTATGAGTGTCACGAAGAGACTGCTGAGAAGAATCCAAGCAGGGTGCTCGGCACTCCTAAAGCAGAAACAGAACGGGTCCGTCTCTGAAGCAGATGTGGTTGTTGCGTCGTATCGCCGTTTTACATCAAGTTACTACCACTTTTTACGAGCCGAGTTGAGCAGTGGAGTCTCATATCCACGCCACATACTGGCCTTGCAATCCCTCCAGTGCCTTCTCGACTCCAGATTAGAGATTGGCACATTCTCAAGTGACTCAGAGCTCATGACGTACTTGTGCAATCTCATTTTGGACCCTTTCGAGGATGTCAGACAAGCGTCGACAGCTCTTCTCCATTGTCTCGCCTCAGAAACACCAGAAGTATTGTCTCTGGCTATCAATCCTGGACTGCTGCACGGCGTAGAGTCTCTAGTTGTTCAGACTGGCAGGAGCGATCATGCAGACGGGATGGGAAGACTCTGGGCAATACGCTCCCACCTGAATCGTATCCTTCAATCCCAGCAAAATTCCGCCGAGACAGCACTGTTGAGATGCATAACGCAGTTAGAAGCTCAGCTATCTATTGAAGGAAGCTTGCAGCCCGGATCAATCTACCCCTTACATGGTTACTTATTAGGGTTGAGTTTTCAACTCCGTGGCTTCGAGGCCAACGACAAACAGGCTACTAAATTTGATGCTGCACGGATCTTGAGGGTATGTTCTCAGGTATGGGATCAAGTCAGATCCCAATTATGTGTTGATTCTCCGGAAAGAACTTCGGACCTGGCCGACGACGACGGCACACAGGGCCCTAAAGACATGCTCGCTTATTCTTGGAGAGCTTTGCGTGACTCAAGGTAAGTCTACTTGATACACCATGCCAGTTTTCTGACGTGGACAGCCTCGTTCTTCAATCGTTGCTGTTGGCATCTGGTCCCGATAAAGATCTATATTCGGCTATTGGGTCTCTCTGCATGGACCAACTAATGTCACTTCGACATAGAGGTGCATTTTCGACAGTAGCGAATACCTTCCTTCTGTGTTGCGAGACTGTCCGTACCTCGACCGAAGCCGGCGTCCGTGGTCTTCTCCAAGAGTGGTACAGAGTAAGTGTTTTGAGAAGGTACTGTACAAACAAAGCTGACTCTCACAGATCGCTTTAGCACAGATCGATGAACAGGCTGATCGTCTCACACGCCGCTCAGCTGGATTGCCTGCAATGATCACGGCGTTGCTCAGCCCTTCGGATATGGTGGTTTTCTCTTCTGCGATAGCAGATCTGACGACCATCGCCAAACAAACAGCGGAGAAGACGGCTTCAGATATAGGAGAACCAAGACTACCCCAAGTGCATGCCTTGAATATTCTTAAAGACATCATGACAACATCGAGGTTTGCAGCTGTTGTGGTTCACTTTTTATCATCGATAATTGAGCTAGCGGCGTTTTGCCTCACTTCAAAGATTTGGGCCATTAGAAACTGTGGCCTCATGCTTCTCAGAGCGTGCATCAACCGCATCGATTCCTCCAACGTTTTCGAGAATGCTGACACCATCTACTCGACGGAACTAGTCTTCAGGGAGACGTCCTCCTCGATTGCCGTTCGCATGCTTCAGTCAGCACACCAAATTCCGCATGCTGCGGCTAATGACACGATTGACCCTACTGAGCTCGTGTTTGCAGCCTTGGATCTGCTTGGACATGCTAAGATCACTGCTAGTAAATCTGCAGAAATTGATGTTGTGATTGCTCGAGAGTTGTCAAATCCAGCATGGGCTGTACGAGACCATGCAGCGTTTTTGATGTCGCATCGTTTGTCCCCATTGGGCACCGGACACGCAGTTCATAAATTGTTCGAAGCGACTGCAACCCTGTCATGCGAAAATGGTATCCATGGACGCTTGCTCTGCTGCAGATACATCATGGAGGCGGGCACCAATTCTTTGAACATCAATGAGCTAGGAATCCTGTTGGAGCTCCTGGCGAAAGACTTTGCACCAAGCAGTACGGCAACAGCTTGGTCTCCATATGTCAATGCCGCTTGGCTGGACATTCTTAATGATGCCAGCGTGCTTATCTGGAACCGCAAATGGCCGTCCCGCATGCTCTGTGTGCACCATTTCCCCGACGAAGTGCAAGCATTACAGAGCAGGATATCTGTTCATAGCCCTTTTTTGACGCAAAGGCTGCTTTTATACAAAGTATTCTGCTACATGTTCTCTGATATCACACCATCGCAGATAGAGACGAGAAAAGGCCTTGTATGCCAGTTTGCGGACGATCCAGAAGCACTACGCGTCTTCTTGGAAACTGTGCATACCAAAATCAGCGGCCGGCCAACTCCTACCTTGATCAACTTGTTGGTATCTTTGATCAGCGAGAATTATAGTGCGCTTATGGGTCAGCCAGAAGTGCTCGAGAGAGCGTTCGCTTGCTTGGAGAGCTGCCTTGCTTCGGACCTCAAACCTGACCTGAGCTTGTTGATGCCACTGCTCGACAATATTAAACTGCAAGAACTTGCAACGTCCAGAGGGCTGTGGACTACGGCTTTGAAGCTGGAGGCGCACATGTTAAGGTGCTTCAAGTCAGAGCATATGGCGGATTCCGCTAGTATGAAGCGTACTCAGCTATGGCTTGACGCTGTTGGATATGCCTCGAAGGACTATCTCGAGTTCCCTTCGAGGTTGAGTGCGGCAGTTGCGCTTTCTACTTACATTGGGCATGTTAAGTCAACCATGGAGAATTCTTATGAGAAAAGGCTCTGGCCCCGTTTACTTGTTCTTCTCTACGATCTCTTGAACGATGACGATGAAGAAGTGCGTGCCGAAGCCGTCACAGCTGCAAATATGTTGAGTTTACAACATATGCCAATCATTTCAAATTTGGGGCTTTGTCCTCTTGCGATCAGAGAAGCTCTTATCGAGGAACTCTGCCAGGAGAGTGTACGCTCACATTACCCAATAGAGGCTATACTAAATAGATATTTGCGGATTGGGCGGGATGTTCAGGGTGATCTTGAGGATGATCACAGCTTGCATCTGTTCGAGCATTCGGTCTCGTCAAGGCTCACCGAGATCGTTCGGTCGAAGAACGATCTATTCGCGGAGGAGAGGCAGAACCTCTACGTCGACGATGTACGTGAGCTCGATATCTGGTCATATGTACTGTGCCAGTACTCTTTTCACCTCTTACCATCGAGGCGACTTCAACTGGTCTTGCGATGGGCGTGTGAAGGACTTGATCAGATCGCGAACATGATGGGGCGCGTGGGTCCCTCGTCCACCAACTTGACATTATCGCATCCCCTTGGAGTTACATATGATCACGACTTTTTGGTGGTGTTTGTGCAGGTCGTAAATCTTGCGGGTGCACTACTACATTGTCGACTGAATGCTATACCTGGGAATGAGTTACATGAGAAATTGGAGCACATTCACCAGTCGTGTCGCGATACTTATGGCAATCCGGTTGCTACTGAAGCAGTGAATCGGGCACTTGAGAATTCAAAGTGAAACACAAGAGTAAATACGAGGCAGCAAATTCCACTCACTCAGTTGCTCACACAAATACAAGAAACAAAATAAACTCCACGTCCCAGCATCGTCCACAACAACAGACAAAGGAACAGGTCGCAGCTCCTCGCCACAATCGAGAAACGCCCTCACATTGCCATTTATTTCACGTCTCAAGAGACTACAGGGGACTCCAAAAGAACTGCCACACCTCCTAGGCGTCACCATGCAGCCAGGCCTCGGAATCCTCCTCTGTTTCCTCCTAATCATTCCCTTCTGCGGCTGGCTCGCATGGCGATTCTTCATGCCGCACCTCCAGGATCAGATGGCCATGGTTGAAGCTGGCGAGCAGCGAATAGCAGCAGGACATCCACCCGCGGTCAATGGCGCATAATAGAGGATCAGAGATGAAACCCACGATGAACAGTGGAGGGCTTTCACATACAAAGGCCTGCAGGAATCAAATACACCAGGTTTTGAGGAGGATTAAATCGTGCCTGGAACAAATTTCAAGTCAGCATCTGGTGGTCTTTCCGGGACAGCAGAATGGTCATACTGAGTTGTGGTAGACTTTTACTCAATTGTGCAGTTGCAGCCATTGCAATAAGCTCCATGTGAATAGTTGTTGCGTTGCTCACTCTCCTGCTAGTACCACTCCCCTCTTGCCTCCTTAGTTTTTCATCGTGGGTGGTGACTGATTCAATCGACGCAACTCGGTGTCTCCAAAATTTATCATCATCTCGTCGCACGCAGCAGCATCATCATCTCCCTCGTCTTGACCCTTCAACCTGAATGCAGCCAAAGAAGTTGGTGCCTCCTCACCATGTCGGTATTCACTCAACTGGTCACTGCAACAGCCACTGCAATATTTTCGCCGAGCGTCCTTACTGACACCGTCACATCCTACATACCCACCACGATCCCTGCCTCAGCTGGTCAAGCTGTGACTATTAGCCTCCCGCCGTTCGCTCCTCTGCCTGTCCCGACGACGAAATACACACCGTCACCTACGATGGGGGCCACGGTGACTTCGCTCGCCACAGCCACGGTGATAGATGTTTTCTTGCAGGATTCCAAAAGTGTCATCTACTCAACCTGGATTGTGTCATTGAATCCCACGGCGACATCAGCTGCCACTGGAACTGCGCCCTTGGTATATGTGGTCGACCAACAGAGCGATGATGGTTGGAACACTTGGTCAACAGGCGCACGGGTCGGCTTAATAGTGGGGGTTGTGCTCGCAGGACTCTTCTTGCTGGCTTCCTTGTGCTGGTGTTGCTGCAGAAGGTCAAACTTCTGGTTTGTGCATCGGTGGCCATGGAGTCGATCGATCGACAACCCAAGCATGGGTCAAGGAATGTCGATTGTGCAACCGACAATGGTAAACGGGCCAATCGTGCCTTATAACAGGCAGGGTCATGTTATCGGCTATGTATGAAAGACACAGCGAACGCGGATCATAGATGGGCAGACTTCAACATGAAATTTGGGGGAGGTTGCAGAGTCACACCGAGATGAAACAGAACATCAGGCTTTAGATCCTAGCCAACAGGAACAGGTTTCACGTAACAAGAGGTTGTCGACGTTGACCCTTGGCTTGAGCTGCTATCAAGCCGTCCACAACGTCTATCGATCAGTGCTGGTGTGGGAACAGGCACGATTTTCGCAGAACACAATGTGAAGGCAATGAGGATGAGAGGAGGCACCGTGGGCTCAGAGAGAGTACAGTAGTCCAGCTATTGCCAATGCAGTTCCCTTTGCCCTTACCAGCGGCCCCTAGCAGAGCCATAGAAACAGCAGCTGCTACGCATAGGATGTTGCAGGTCGTCACTTGAGAGGCGCCTAGAAGTCCGTCCTCTTTGTACCACAGCATGTGCTTTGTACTTTTAGTGGTGGTCCAAGCTTATCGAGTCGAAGGACCAATGACGTGACGTGGTGGCTGTCACAGTCCGCTGCGACCTGTATTCGGAGATGCCTTCAACCACCACTACGAGAGTCCACATATAATCGACCAGCCCGTCTAATCGACTTGCGTTCATGGCATCATTGTTTCACGCAAGGTAATAGCAGCTTCGGAAGTGCATTTGCATCCACCACTTGTCCTTTGCACGCAGCACCATGTGGCAGGATGATGAAGACAACAATCCCTATGGATCCTACACCAACCAGGACCCTTCCGTTGAATCAACAAACCACCCAGCCCTGAGCACGACCTGTATGCTCTATTAATATTCCTTGAGGTACTATTGCTGACCCCCTGCCACAGACTCTAATGACCCCTCCACGTCTGACACCTCACATTCACCCCCGACCAAGCCTCAGTATTCCTCGCGATCCGAGCAGACCACCGACGATGAGGAGGAAGAGAACCAGCAAGCCGGGGCAGGACATATACCGCCTAAAGGTGGATACGACAGCAGAGTGCAGCAGATTTTATACGAGAATCCAGACCTGGAGATTGTCATAACTGATGCGGGCAAGAGTTCAGATGGAGGCTACATTGTCTACAAGATTCGCACTGGAGTATGTTACCCTGGTTGGAAGGGAAGCGTGCGCAGCTAACTTGAGCAGGACATTGAGGTCACCCGGCGCTACTCAGAATTCAGCTCGCTGAGAAACGCGCTGGTAAATCTACATCCTACGCTGGTAGTTCCTCCCATACCCGAAAAGCATACCATGGCAGACTATGCAGCAAAACCAACCAAAGCTAAAGAAGACGTTGGCATCATCGACCAACGCAAGAGGATGCTTGCAGTCTTCCTGAATCGGTGTAGGAGGATGAAAGAAGTGGTTGAGGATGGTGTCTGGTGGAGATTCCTCGATCCGAACTCGAGTTGGGTGAGTGGCAATGACTCAGACAAAGAGGCGCTTATGCTGATTTTCGCAGAATGAAGTTCTGCATGCTCATCCCGTGGCATCGGTCCCGAAGAACAACCTGAAAGCCCCTCCGTTAGACCCGGCAAACCCTACTCAGGCCCACAACTGGTTGCCTGTACCTTCTTCCTCCGCCAAATTGAGATCCGGAGGGCCGACATCGAGTAGCGGAACGCCAATATCTCCTCCGGACCAGACTTATCCATCTGCTGTCGCTCACACAACGCCTGGACCTCAAGTTTTCGGCCGCTTCCCTCCGTCTTCGGACAAGCTGAGCGAGGCCGACTTGGACCCTTACTTTATCAACTTCGAAGCCTCAACTCGCGAATTGGAACTTCTGTTGCAAGGTAGTATAGAGAAGGTGAATCGTCGCACAATTGAGCATTTGACAAAACTATCAACAGACCTTTCGGAGCTGGGGGCACGGTATAATGGCTTTTCTCTTTCTGAACAGTCACCAACCGTAGCAGCTGCTATCGAGCGGGTAGGTCAGGCGGTCGATAGTACCTACATCTCCACTGAAGAGCTCGCCTTGGGGTTGGGTGCAACTTTCGCCGAACCGATGCGGGAAAGTGCACAGTTCGCCGGAGTGGTGCGCAACGTGTTGAGGTACCGCGTCCTCAAGAGAGTGCAGCAAGATATGACCAGAGAAGAGCTCGACAAGAAGAGAGGTCTCCTGGAGTCATTGGAACGCAGCGAAGCAGAGGCCAAGAGAATTGACGCATACTTGTCTCAAAGCACGACAATAGCCAGCCCGCCTAGGCGGTCGACTTCGAGTGCCTCTGGTAGGAGTCCACCCGATCGATATGGGCATGAAGGGCACGACGAAACCGAATCAGTCGACTCTGACTTTCCGCCGACTCATGGCGATACGGGAACCTCTCCTCCACCTTCTGCAACCCAGGGCCACCCTCCTTCTGGACCCACGTCTCCTGCTTCACATAAAAAGTCACCGAGCGGTAACTTCGTGACGAACAAAATATTTGGTAGTTTCCGACACGCCGTCAACGGTTTCGTGGACGTCGATCCCGAGAGAACGAGGCGGGATCAAATCGGGAAGACCAGAGAGAGCTTGACCCATCTTGAGCAGGCTCTAGAAGTCTCAGAAAGTGATGTCAAAGATGCAACTCAAGGTGTCATGCGTGACCTGAAGAGATTCCAGAAGGAAAAGGAAGATGATCTTCAGAGATACATGGTAAGTTCCACATCGACACAGTAAGATAAAGGCTAACATCTTCAGATCTCGTATGCTCGGTGCCACATTGAGTGGGCACGGAAGAACCTGGAGACCTGGTCGGAAGCCAGGGAGGAAGTGGACAAGATTGTTTCGCGATAGCCAGCCGCAGGGGGACGCAGCAGGAGTGGCCAATAATGTGGGATTATTTCAAATGTGCAGAGCGTTCTCAGGCCGCCAGGCTGGCAGGCATTGTATAGTCAATAGGTCCCCTGATGAAATCCATTATGAATGTGGTCTCGTTTCCAACTCCTCTATCGACCTGAGCCCATCCTTAGACTCGAGCTCGTGCAGCTTCGACGACTGGTCACACGGTGTCCTTGTCGGTGTCTGGCAGCCAGGTTGAGTTGAGGGCCTCATATAGGGAGCAATCAAGCGTTGACATGGGAGTCCTCACGAGATGTCAAAGACGACAGCAATCAAGAAGTGGCCCTGCGTCGTCTACCAAAGTACCAAAGGACGGGGAAGAAGGCTGCGGCGCGACAAGTCAGAGTGACGCAGCGCAGCGGAAGCCGGCGCCTGTCCGTTTTGGGTGCATTTGGCAGAAGACTTCACAGAGAGTCTAACAGATTTTCAACAGCGTCAAAAAGGCACCCAACGACATCCTCCTGCTTTCAGTCACATAGCAACGTAGTCATATTCTGGAGAGTCACTGTCGTCCACAGTGTGTCTCGCCTCGCTTTCATTTTACCTCCTAGCCGTCAGATTGCCTTTGCACCCAATTCATTTTGGCCCTGACCGGACTGCGCACTCAACTGCGACTGACTGAGGGCGGCGACTATTAAACAGGCCCACCACCTGACGTTTCGTCGTAACTTCAATTCTCATAGCCTCGCCTTCGTCCTCGCCTCTTCCCTCCCCCTCCATCCTTGCAACCCATGGTACCGGCATAGTTGCTGACGGATTTCATCCTTTCCCGACCCTCCGAGCCTGCCCTCGGGACATGCCCGCTTCCCAAAAACAACAACTTTCACAGTCCGAGGATGATTCCGGCAGGCATCTGCGATCTGCATCACCAGCTGTAAAGAGACCGGCGTCCGATATGGGAGCTCAAGACCGAGAGACCTACCCGAGCGACGTAGAGATGGGGGAGGCTGAGTCGACGGGGACGACGCCATTTGGCCAGGATTCGGCGCAGAATTTGAACACCAAGGCGAAACAGCCAGACCTGGGACTAAGACACCGCGACAAGTCTTTGACGAACAGTCTGACTCACGCAAGCAACCCCAGAGCAAGTCAACAAGCTGCGTCCGATAAAAGTGGCAGTTCCAACTTCGACTCTCTCATCCCCAGCCCGTCAAACCAGTCAACTGCAGCTACCTCTCTGAACACCGATGCTTCTGTTTCCGAGGCTTTAATCCCTCCAATTGACGAACAAATCGCCAAAGTTACCCAGTTGATTGACAAAGAGCTTTATGACGGTCAGAAAGGCTACGTCTTATCTAAAAAATGGTACCAGAGAGTCCAAGCCCGCAGCTCACATGCTGGCGAGGCCGGAAAGATCGACAAGTCTGCCACTGAAGGTGAAGTTGGGCCTGTGGACTGCTCCGACCTTGCAATGGTCATTGAAGAATCCGGCCGACTTTTGGACCAAGGAGGAGAACCGTATGTTCCTCTCCGGCCAGGCCTAACTCTCAGCGACGACTTTGTGATCCTTCCACAAGAAGCTTGGGACATGGTCATTTCCTGGTATGGGCTCGCAAAAGACTCGCCTGTCATAGCACGCTATGCCATTGACGAGAGCGTACCACCTAGTGCTCCGCACATTGTCTGGGAACTGAACCCGCCGATCTTCTCGTTCTTGAAGGTCCCAGCTGAACACACCGCACAGACTCAGCGTGAGAAGGATCTACCACCCCCACGGTTGTTGGCTTCCAAGAAAATGCCCTTCATGCAATGGTTGAAGGCTGGAAAGCAGCTACTACGCATCAACATAAACACGAAAGTTCGGGTATGGAGGATCCTCGGTGGTCTTAAAAGCTCCACGGCCTCCGGGATCCTTACCCCCGCAGCTTCGAGAAGTGCTTCTCCCGCACCTGGCGCCGAGATAGTGGCCAGCGCAGGCGACAAGATGCTTCTCGACGTCAACTCATTTGCTGCGTTGATAGTGGGCGAGCAACGCGAACAAGTGCAGCAGCAAGACTTGACCGCAGATCCCAAGTACAATGGGTCGTCTACCTTGGGCTTCCTTGGATTCGGAAGGGATGATGTGATCGTGTTGGAGGAGCAAAAATCCGGCAAAGAAGATTGGCCAAGTGACAGTGTGCGATTGAGTCTGAGCAAAGGTCTCAAAAAGACTGCAAGCGCCCTGACCCCCAGTGGCAGGTCGAGTCCTGCACCGAGCATGATGACTAGGGGTCGACAGAAGAGGGACGGAAGGCCACGCGGGATCACGGGATTGAGCAATCTGGGCAACACCTGTTACATGAACTCGGCTCTACAATGTATACGCAGTGTTGAAGAATTGACCCAGTATTTCTTACATGATCAATGGAAGAGGGACCTTAATGTGGATAACCCCTTGGGTCATCACGGAGAGGTTGCCAGGGCATATGCCAACCTTTTGCATCAGATCTATGACGAGAATGCAAGCTCAACGAATCCAAGCAGGTTCAAGAGTATCATTGGGAAGTACGGTCCAAGCTTTTCCGGTTACCAACAGCAAGACTCTCAGGAGTTCCTTCTTTTCCTTCTGGACGGCCTGCAAGAAGATCTCAACCGCATCCACAAGAAACCTTACATTGAGAAACCTGATTCCACAGATGAGATGGTGCACGACTTTGCAGCGCTGAAAGAGTTCGCGGACAAGAATTGGGAGATCTACAAGGCGAGAAACGACTCGGTAATCACGGATCTCTTCGCGGGAATGTACAAGTCAACCCTCACATGCCCAGTATGCCAGAAGGTTAGCATCATCTTCGACCCCTTTAACAACCTCACCCTCCAGCTACCGATCGAGAACAATTGGCAGAAAGAGATTTTGTTCTTTCCATATGGTAATCGCCCTATCCGGATTGATGTAGAGATCGACAAGCATGCCAGTATCAAAGGGCTGAAGGAATTCATTGGTTCAAGGACCAAAGCTGACGTGAATCGCCTGCTCATCGCTGAATCATACAAGAACAAAATCTACAAGATTTTCAACAACAACACCGTCATCTCAGAAGCCAATATTCAGAATGGAGACACCATTTGTTGTTATGAGTTGGAGAGCGTTCCGACCAATTATAACCCGAACAAAGCCAAGAAATTCTCGCTTTATTCACTAAACTCTCGGGAATCAGATGATGACTTGGTCGGTGAGACTAGCCCGGCAGCCGACCGTTTACTCGTACCAGTGTACAACAGACTCGTCAAGAACTCAGGGTCGAGAATTGGCTCCAAGCCCTTCTTCGGCCAGCCCACGTATGTGGTGCTCAGTCGCGAAGACAGGTCAACGTATGACGGCGTATTGAAGAAAATCCTCGACAATGTGAGCAGCATGACTACAAGGGGTCTCTATGAAGATGACAAAATCGAGTCGGAACAAAACGATACCACTCCAGAGGGCTCCGACACAGTGATGATGGCTGATGACGTGTCAAGTTCTGGTTCTAACCTTCCGATCGATTCGTCTGTCCAAGGGGAAGATGGTCTTGTAGATGTTTCGATGCGCGATGTCAGTCAAGGTCCGGAACCAAATGTCGACTCACCAGGGGGGAGCAGCACCCAGAGTTTGCAAGAAAAATCGTCAATTTCTCGAGGACTGCGACAGCTCTTCTCTATTCATGTCGCCGCTACAGGCGAAGGCATACCGACCGGCTGGAATAACATTTCGGAGACACAAGAGTATGAGGCGATCGAATCACGAATCCCCAATGTGGGATCTAGAAGTCTCAAGTCCCGGCGGTTTTCTAGTCATACCAATGGCGACAGCGAGTCTATCACCAGCGACGACGATCTTGCCGACATTGAACATGAAGAAAATGCAGATGACAGTAACGGCTCTGATTCTGGATCGAACCCTGATCGTGTGCTACAAATGGCTGTGGAGGTGGATTCGGACACTGATTTGCCTTCCCCTCGTGACTTCGTAAAGGGCAGAAATCCAAAATCGAGAAAGGCTCAGAGGCAGCAAAAACGCAACAAGGCTTTGGGCAAGCGCGTTCCTCGTCGAACACCACCCCCTCCTCCCCAGCCTGTGCCGAAATCTCAAGGCCAGGGATTGGTTCGACCAGGTGAGGCTATTGTTTTAGACTGGAGCCAAGAGGCATACGACGCATTATTTAATGGTTCTGAGGACGATGAGGAAGATCTGCGCGGGGTGGCAACCTGGAAGAACCCTGAGTTGCTTCATGACGCCGACTTGGTCGCTCGCCGTGCACAGCGATCAAGCCGAAGAAAACACGGAATCACATTGGAGGACTGCTTGAACGAGTATGGAAAATCCGAAACCCTGTCTGAGCAGAACGCATGGTATTGTCCTCGGTGTAAGGAGCACCGACGAGCTGAAAAAATGTTCGAGTTGTGGAAGGCGCCCGACATCCTCGTTATGCACCTCAAACGGTTCAGTTCCAACAGGAACTTCCGTGACAAGTTAGAAGTTAAAGTCGACTATCCGATTGAAGGCTTGGACTTGTCCAGCATGGTAAGGGATCAGCAAGACGGCAAAAGCTTGCTTTATGATCTAATCGCGGTGGACAATCATTACGGCGGGCTTGGTGGTGGTCATTACACGGCATATGCGAAGAACTTCTTCAATAATGGTTGGTACGAATACAACGGTAAGCATACATCTTCTACCTGGTTGACCTCTGCTGATTACCCTCAGATTCGCATGTGTCGTCCAAGACCGACCCAAGAGCTGTTATCACCGGTGCCGCCTATCTCTTGTTTTACCGTCGGCGATCCGATCACCCTTTAGGCGGGGAGCAACTAGAGGAACTACTGGACTCTCAGAACGATGCAGAAGCCGACTCTGAAATGCCTGAAACCTCGAGGGACTCTTCGCCCGTTTCGGGGGAAGGTCGGCGTCTCGGCGACTCCTCCCACTCTGGGTTGTCGAGCGCTTTCGCAGTAGGTCGAACTCACCACGTGGGAGTGGGTGGCTCGGCCATGGACGAGGACAATCAGGATCAAGATCTACTAGCCGTCAGCGCAAGTCAGTCGAGACTGATCGGGCCAGTACTGCCGGGGGATGAGCTGCCAGGCTATCCCGAGGACGAAGGCGTCTCAATGGAGTATCCTTTTTCCCAGCCATCTTGGAGCTTCGACCGCATTGGCCAGACTCAGGCACCGGCGCCGTCGGAGGACGGCATGTTTGGTGATAAGGGAAGCTCGAATGACAGTACTCGGGTCGAAGGCGATACCGGGAGCCCTGCACCCAGTCTCCCAGCGTTGGATGAAGAGGGCATTTTCAGTGATCCCATCCATGGAGAAGATTTCTCAACCCGCACCACGAGGGAGAGCGCCCCACCTCCCGAGGTTCCGGGAGTCATGGACGACGATGAGGATGATCTTCCTGTTCAGGAGCTTCGAGCCAACCCGGACAATGACGAATTGAGCTTTCACCCGGCGAAGAGGTAGAATTGGAATGGGTTGGAGTCTTTTGAATCGTCATTGTTTGCGGGCGTTTGAATCCTGGAGAATGTCAAGATGCAGCACTCTTGCATCACGGTTGGCCAACTGTATCCGGCATGAGGATATCCTGGACTGAGGACGCATTATGAAATGAATGAAACCGGTAGAGGTTACCACAGTCTTGTGTCATTCGTGACCCGGGTAATCGAATATTGTACGCAGTCGAGTATCGTACGCTGAACATAGGTGCCTTACAAGATCAAAGACCTAAGAATTCGGTCAAAATATCAAAGTATGGTTTCTGTCTGCGACTACATGAGGGATGTTGAGGTATTCATATGTATAGATCCCTGGAGGTACTGTACCTAAGGAACACATTCTGTACCTAAGGTACACATTATGTACCTTGGTATCCGTAGTAGAGGCGGCTCTGGCGCACCTTGGATCGGCGACTTTTGAGTCCGTCCCAGACGTGGCTTGGCATTCTTCGTCTTGTTCTCCAATACTCTTGACTTTGACAAGACTGCGGTGCATGTCCATAACAACAAATCGCGACATGATACGTGACTTCAGTCCAAGTCCGCTCAACTTTTGATATTACTCTGTGGAGTTTTTGGCGCCATGGCGAGCACACTGACTTCACGCGATGAGCCCAAAGCGGCCGAGTATGCTGGTGGTATGAAACGAACATTCTCAACCATGGCGCAGTGGAACAAGACTGCGACGCTTTGGATGTGTACTGATGACTCGCTACAGACGAAGTTTCTGCGCTGGTTCTCGACCCGGGATTCTCAAGCGTGCGCGCCGGATTCGCCGGCGAAGACACCCCCAAATCGATCGTCCCTTCATACTACGCATCTACAGGATCGGAACGACTGTTCGGCGACCATGTCATCGATGTCCCACGCGAAGGAGTCGAGATTAAAAACCCGCTGAACAAGGATGGAATCGTGGAAGACTGGGACGCGGCCGAGGCGCTGTGGAAGTACACATTCGCACACAAACTCACCGGGGTCCGACCGAACCGGGCGCTCCAAGAATGGCTGAACGACCCCAAGGCAGTTCCGGATCTGCAAAAGGCTATGGCTGAGGCGGTCGACACGGAACGGTGCCTGGAGGACCACCCGCTGTTCATGACGGAACCGTCGTGGAACCCGACGAAGTCGCGCGAGAAGTGTGTCGAGATGGCGCTGGAGTCGTGGGGCGCGCCGGCATTCTACCTGGGCAAGACGGGCGTGATGGGCGCGTTCGCTGCTGGGCGGCCGACGGCACTGGTGATTGATTTTGGCGCGACGCAGGTGTCGGTGACGCCGGTGCACGACGGGATGATTCTGAAAAAGGGCGTGACGCGGGCCAACATCGGCGGCAACTACCTCAGCCAGCAGGTCCGGAACATGCTCGCGGCCAGCAACGACATCAGCATCACGCCGCACTACATGGTGCAGTCCAAGCAGCCGGTCGACGCGGGCCAGGCCGCCAACGCAATCCTGAAGACGTTCCCGGAAGGCTTCAAGCACCCAGACGCAAGCTTCCGACGGTACCAGGAGGACAAGGTCGTGCTGGAGTTCAAGGAGATTGCGCTGCAGGCGTGGACCAACCCGAACATGGCGTTCCGGGGACAGGGCGAGGCGCTGGCGCGGGACATGCAGTACGCGCAGCCGTTCGAGTTCCCCGACGGCTACAACCAGACGTTTTCGAGCGAGCGGTTCAGGATCGTCGAGACCATGTTTGACCCACAGTGCCACTACCCTGCGACGGCGCCGGCGCAAGGGCAGGAAAACGACGAGTACCCGGCGCCGGAAGAAAAACATACGGTCCCCGGCCTGGTCAAGGCGTCTCTGGGCCAGGTGGACGTCGACGTGCGGCCGTTCCTGCTGTCCAACGTGGTCATCACGGGGGCCGGGTCGCTGATCCGCGGACTGCCAGACCGCATGCAGCAGGAGCTCAGCAAGATGTACCCGAGCTCTCGGGTCAGGATCCAGGCGTCGGGCATGGCGGTGGAGAGGAAGTTTGGCAGCTGGATCGGCGGCAGCATCGTGGCCAGTCTGGGTACGTTTCATCAAATGTGGATTTCGAAAAAGGAATACGAAGAACATGGGCCGGGTATCGTCGAAAAGCGGTGTAAATGAGGCTAGCATGAGTTATGCAATGGTGGGGAGATTCACAGTGGCAAGCAACGATTAGAGAGCAATCATCATGACTACGGCGACGACGACGGCGGCGTGGGTTTCGTTATTTTACCTCTTTGCACTTACGAGGCGTACACGGTACGAGTAGGTAGGTACTCGGTGTCGGTGGCCTTTGCCTTGTCGCCCAGATCGTCCTTGTGTCTACGGAGTACATAGGTACATTACGTTGAGTCTGTGGCTCCTTAGGAGAATGAGTGGACTGGAGTCAAAAAATAATAGGGGGGTGACAAGGCTCGGTTGGGCAGTGAACCTTTTTTTTTGTTTTTGTGCGTATGGAGATTATGAAAGAAAATGGGGGAACGAATACAAAAGAGTCTCGTGTGAACGATAGATAACTTGGGTATGAGTAGGTATGAGTAGGTATGAGTAGCTACTTTAGAGAGAGCCATGTCTAACTAGTTAACTAGTACTCCGTGATCCTCGGCGTTTAGTGTTCACCACCTACCTGTAAGGCGCCCCGGTACTCGGTACATACTGTACGTATTTGGTGTTTAGTACTCGGCATCAAGCATGGTCAACTCAAGGTGCATCATGGCTCCAGTTCCTTCAAGTACCTAGTAATAATTGGATAGATAGATAGGTGAAGGAGGTAAAGCTAGGGAGACCTGATCTGTACCGCGGAGAGCGAGTCGGTAAGAACCACCGGTAGTTATGCCAGTGGCATCGCAGGGAGGAGAGGATCGAGTGTTCCGGTGTGGATGCTCTTTGTCCCAACCGCCGCATCAGTCTAGACAAGCAGTGTAACATCGGCCGGGGAGGGCGCGATGAGGGCGTGGGCTGCAAAAGGACCAGGCTAGCTCGTCAGGGGTGCTTCTCTCAAAAGATAGGGGATGGATCAGGGTTGCGAAGACGCCGAGAATGAGAGAAGCGGTGAGGAGGCGTGGAGGAGGCGAGCAGAGAGGATGGACTGCAGGACTGGACCTTGCACTGTTACACAGAGTACTGTACAATATCTAAACCTAAGCGAGGGTGGTCGGTTGGAGCCACAGAACCACAGCGCCGGGTCAGGCGTCCCATGTGTGATGTGTTTGTTGCACGCAGTGGGAACAAAGGACCATCCGTGACGGAGCATCATTTGGCGGTGGTACAGAGCGTGGAGGGCAGAGAATGCATGGTACGGGCATGAATGTACATGGCGTAGGAATCTCACAATATCATCGTGCTATACAGATACACAGATACGGAGTGCCACCTCAGGTACCTCTGACTTAGAGGACTGAGCATTTGCATCTCCCTCTCCCCAGTCACTCTCACTCTCACTGTCCCCTGCACCCGAACTTGTTGTATCCGTATTACCTTAGAAAAATCTCGGCTCCTGTCGCCACCCTCTCTCTTCACCTCGTACTCGTACTCGTACACTAAATGAAAAACAGACCAAAGACTCTGCAAAATCCCAAAAACGAAACAATAAAACTTTAAAAGAAAAAAGGACACTACTGAAGAGCCTCCCGACGGCCCTGTTACAATACTAAATTGACTCTACAGTACGGAGTGTAAGCTTGATTAGTCGACGTTAGTTTCAACACCATCGACCGCCCCCCGTCTCCTGTTGCACTTGTCCCTTTCCCTTTCCCTTTCCCGTTCCGCATTCCTTAGCTGACCTAGAGTTTTGAGTTTCACAGATCAGTCGACTCAGATTCAACAGACTCTCTGGTGGCTTGTCTCGGTCGTCTTGTCCCATGCCCTCGGGTCGTAAGGCCAGCTGGATTCCCTTGACTTGCCGTACGTCCTCAACAGGCCCGTCCAGATCCTACATTCCCCCTCTAATCCCCTCAAGGTCCGCTTCCTTTTCTTTTTCCATGGCCCCAATCTCATTCTCTCAACCTTGACAGTCCTCTCTTTCGCACCCATCGCCGCCTGAACGAGGCATGTCCGATGCTGGATCTGATGCCGACACCATTGCACCGTCAGTTTTCACAAACACCACCACAACAGCGATATCGGCCGTCACCACTACCCAATCCATGGATTCACCCATGGACCCCGACTCAAACTCCGCACTGTCGGACGAGGCCAGCTTCGACACTCGGTCTCTCCATGCCAGTGTTCTAGACTACCCCATGTTCTGGGGCCGCCGCTACCATCGATACAAAGAAGGCAGTTATCTCTTCCCCAACGACGAGGACGAATCGACTCGTCTCGACGACCAACACGAAATATTCAACCGTCTCCACCACCGACTCTTCTTCGCCCCGCTCCATCCCGACAATGTCTACAACGTCCTCGACCTGGGCACCGGCACCGGGCAGTGGCCCATCGAACTGGCCGACTCGAACATCCTACCGCACGCGGAAATCACTGGCATCGACCTGTCCGCCGTCCAGCCCGTCGACGTCCCGAGCAATGTCTGTTTTGAGATCCAAGACTGCAGCGACGACGACTGGCTCCGGCCCTTGGACAGCGTCGACTTCTGCCACGCCCGCTTCCTCGCGGGGAGCCTCGTTTCTTACCGCGACATGATCCGCACCGCGAGGAGGTACATCACCCCCGGCACCGGCTGGATGGAGATCCAGGAACTCCACCCGACCCCCGTGAGCGACGACAACACCATCCCCGACAGGTGGCCGCTGAAGGTCTGGGACGACAATCTACACCGAGCCGCCGCCAGGGCCCTCGACCCTCCACGCCCCGTCCGGGTCGCGAGTCATCTCAAGTCGTGGATGGAACAGGCTGGCTTTGTGGACATTCACGAGCACGTCAGCAAGATCCCCCTGGGTTCGTGGCCGAAGGATCCGCATCTGAAGGACATCGGCACGTGGTGGTTGGAGAATTGGTTGAGTGGCTTACCTGGCTTCACGTACAAACTGTTTGGGGTCGAAGGCCTAGAGTGGACGCGCGAGGAGATTGAGGTCATGCTTGCCGAGGTGAGGAAGGCGGCCAAGAACAAGGCTGTACATGCCTATCAGAGAGTTTATGTTGTTTACGGGAGGAGGCCGAGTAAAGAGGAGGAAGCAATGATATGGGGCAATGGACATGGATGAAGATGCGTGATGAGAGCGGGGCCAGGAAGTACGTTTCCTGCTTCGCGGCAGCAAATATTTTTTTGGACTTCACTATACGATGAACGACGAGACGAGACGAGCCGAGGCAGCGAACCGTTATTCACGGACGGATTGGATCCGATGCGTCATACTCAGGTGTAACCCCTCTCACCTCAGTCAAAGGGCAGCTTGTAGTCATGCGACGTCGCATCAGTCTGGAGGAGGTCGACACTGAAGCGCTAAAGACGGACAAACAGACAGACACACACACACACCGAGAGAGAGAGAGAGAGAGACAGAAACAGAAACAGAGAGAGAGAGAGGCGCGTACGATACTTGGGCTGACGTCGAGGGAGCGTGGGCGTGTTGCCAGGAGAGAAGCAGGAGAAGGAAAGGCCGGAAGATATGATGAAACAACAAACACTGTTTCCGTCCGAATCACTCGCGAGAGGAGAACAACGACATGTGCCATATTGTGATGCAATGCGGTACGCCACGATATGATATAACATGATATAATATGATATAATACGATACGATGTGTTGATAGAAGCAGAAGAAAGTCCCTCAGGGATAAAGATACAAAATGATACCCCCTTGCGTGAGCGACAGGCGTCGACATTGCGATCCCCCTCTTCTCGTCTCGTGTAAGGTCTAGACCTCACAAAGGGGGGAAGGATGTCGATACGTGATATACTCGGTCAATGACAGAGAACGTCTTTGTCTCTCTCTCTCTGTGCGCCCTTTGCGTTTGGACAACACCTGGGTTGTTTTTAGTTCGTACTCGATGCTTTCGAGTCCTGCTTCTTCTGCCTGTCTTCGTTTGCCACCTCGGCTGCCTACTTGAGAGTTACCCACGCCCAGATCCCCCGTCGAAAACTTTCTTCCACCTTCCCAAGCGCCAGTTGCGGCCCCAATGAGAGCTGAATTAGCCTCGCCAGAAGCGTGTGTGTACCCAAAGGCGAAAAGTTAAACATGGAGTCACACCGGCCGACCATCGGGACCAAGGATCAGATACCAGAATGGCTGCGCGACAACGACTTCATCGTCAGAGGACATCCGATGCCGACCTACTCCTCCTACAGACGGTCCTTTCGTCTTCTGTGGAGGTGCTTGCACATGGAGACCGTGAAACATATGGACCCACGCCCTTGGATCGGTGTGGCGTTCGTCGCCGCGGGACTGGCATTGTACGTCTATCTATACACGGCACTGCCCGCACTCTCACCGTCGTCACACTCCTCCTCCTCCTCCTCCTCCTCCTCCTCCCGCCCTGGGCGACCAATTCGCCGTGGCCTCCGCAATCACCGCGGCCGCCGTGTGTTTCGGGCTCGGTGCCACGTTCCAGATGCTCAGAAGACACTTTTACACGGTCCACCACCTTCGGGGGCAGAATGGTTCAACAAGTAGTTAATTCAGTGGATAGCCCTTCTCCGCGAATACCTTTCCGGCAGTCTGGAGAATTGTAGCCACGCTCTCACCCAGCCACAACGACAACAGGTCGGTTCTGGCTGCCTCCACCTCCTTTGTAGCACCTCCGGCGATCTATTTATCAAGTGGTCAGATTCAGAACTCATCGAACGACCGGTGACAAACCGGGGGACTTTTTCTTCTTCTTTCTGGCAACAAAGAGTCTTTCTTACGAGGACACATCTTCCGCTGGTCGAAGCCAGAGATGTTTGTACGATTGCGTTGGCGACGCCGTCGACCGTGTTCGCCTTCAGCCCTGCGGCTTCCCACATCCCCGATAGCTTCTTCGAGAAGGTTGGGGTCGGAGTGTAGAATGGCGCCACGGCGTTCACCTTCACGCCGATGGCCCGTGCGGCCAGCTGAGACGACCGGAGCAGGCCAACCAGGCCGTGCTTGGACGCGACGTAAGCCCCGACGCCGCTGCTGCCGAAATACCCAGAGGTCGAAGTGACGATGACGATGGACCCTCGAGAAGGAGAAGCGGAAGGGGAAGATGCAGCAGCAGAGGTCTGGTGGAACCAAGTCTGATTTCGCTGCATATGGTACATCGCCAGCCTTAACGCTGTGGGTTTCATCCAGCAGAGCCCGGGGAAACGTCAGCAGTCTCCTCTTCGCTAAATAAAATGAAAACGTCTTGAAATCTTTGGGGGAGAATAAAAAGAACAATGTGTGTGTGTGTGTGTGTGTGTGTGTGCAAGCCAACTTGGGCGGTTAGATTATTGGATGACTCTCTTATTACTTACTATTCAGTGTCCCTTTGAGGTTGACATCCAAGACTCTGAACCCTTCGATTGATTCCTGCAGTTCTCCCTCGCTGTCGACCGATCCCAGGTCAAAGACGCTCTTGGTTTCCATTATTCCGGCGTTGGCGATGACGATGTCTATCCGCCCGTGGTATTCAATAGTTTTCTTGAACAAGGTTTTCATGTCTTCCCAACATAGAACATTCGTAGGATGGAAGATGGCCTTTTCGGGGTGCGACAGAGAGGCAACGAGCACTTCGGCATCTTTGGCCGTGGATTCAAGATCAGCTATCATCACTTTCGAGCCGTGAGACACGAAGTGTCTGACCGTCTCCGCTCCGATGCCGTTTGAGCCCCCGGTGACAATCACAACGGCCTCAACGAGAGATCTCACGTCGGGTGACTCCATTGCAGCCTCACAGCTTGAGAAGTCGCCCTCGTGATTCGCAGTTGGAGCGACGCCGCCGGACATCGTCAGGACGTAGCGGAAGGTCGGGGAAATAAGACGCTCACACTTAGGAGCGACACATCTGTTTCGTCTTCTTGTTGTTTGACTAAATAAATACTCAGCAAGACCGAAATCGGTAGTCCCACACTTACTCTTACTCCGAAGTTGGAAGAAAATGGCCGAGTGCATTGTCCGAGTGACAAAAAGCTTTCCGTGGTTTTCACGCCGGACTCCATACCAGGTGACCCGAACCTGGGGAATGCAAAGTATTCCACTAGTTGGCGCAGACAGAACATTCCGAGTTTACGAAGAGTTGGGACTTGTTATTGCCAACTCAGCAAAGCTGTGTTAAGTTGTCCCTCCGAGTATTTTCATCGTTTCGTAGGAAGTGTCTTTCGATGCCATAGAGACTCTCAATCGCTTTCTTGACACACTACTATCTGCTCTCCAGTCCCTACAATATTTACAGAAGACTTTAAACTGACAAATTCGGCGTCTTTTTACTCAGGTGGACGTGATGACAAGTCTCGGCAACATCTCCCCATTCGGAAGGTATCCACAGGGACGATGAACCTCACAGTTCGACGTCTTCCAGCAATCGCCCATCGGCAAACCAGATATCCATTGCCTTGGACATGGATTCAACATATGCGCGAGGCGAGTCATCCGCCATGGCCTCTTCGAGAAGATCCTGGGACATCTTGTTGGTACTATCCGCGCGTCCCATGACTCGCTCTTCATAGTTGCGCACTGCAGTGACCAAATCTGCCGGGTCTTTTTGAATACAGAGGAAAAGATCCAGCGCATCCAACATGGCAAGGTTGGCCCCTTCGCCAGCGAACCACGACATGACATGCATTGAATCTCCTATCAGTGTGAGTCCGGGTTTTGTCTCGTAGCGCATACCCAGTGGCATCCTGTACTGAGCCCTCGGGTTCCATTTGGGGTCAAGGCTCAGGATTACTTCTTTCAGACGACCATCCCAATCGCTGTAGACATCTTCCAACAGCATCTTTGTGGCATTCTTCTGGTCTGTCCAGTCAATACCGCTCTCGAACGCCCACTTCTCCGGCACCTTCAAGCATGGATAGACCCGGAGACTGTCGTCTCCGTTGCGCTGCATGAAAATGCCGCTGCCGTCACTGAGCGCAAACACGGTTCCTCGGCCGATGAATTTACCGAGTTCAGGAAATTTCTTGTCCAAGTTTGAGATGCGACAGTCGATCACCGTCAAGCCCGTATACACCGGTCGCGTTGCCGTCAATAGTGTTCGTACTTTTGACCATGTCCCGTCGGCACCGACAATCAGATCGCCCACTGCTGAGGTATCGTGATTCTCGAAATGGACCTCATACTTTCCGTCGGCTGTTTTCGTGATTTTGGAAATATGGTGACCCCATTTGAGATTCTCAGGATCAATGGCGTCGATCAAGATTTTCCTCAGCTCCGAACGGTCAATTTCAGGTCGACCTTCCGCGTCAGGAGGAGCCTGGTGGAAGAGCCAATCTTTCGCATGTTTGTCCATGAATCGATAGTCCTGGTCATGGTACCTGGCGTGCTTCTTGAAAGAAGCTTCAAGGCCAGCAGTCCGGAGAGCACGTTGGCCTGATTCGGGGTGCAAGTCAAGTGATCCTCCCTGGAACCGAGAGCTTATATTTGGTTCACGCTCGTATAGAGTGAAGGGAATTGAGTGATGTTGTAAGAGCGCAGCAAGAGTAAGGCCAGACGGGCCCGCGCCGATGATGATAATATTTTTCTTCAACATAGTCTGGAGTAGATGATTTGGCTGTTTTTGGATTCTTACCCCCTGACAAGACCCAAGCTGATCTCACCGCTCTGTGGAGGGCTCTTGCTTTATATCAGGTTGACTCTCATCGACATCCGAGACGTTCGGAAAGTGCACCTGCATGTCCTTTACTGAAATCCGGTGGCCGAATGGACTTCCATTCCCCCACGACGTAGGTTTGACCCGGCACGAACGTAAGAACAACGAGCCCATGGAGTCCCCTCTCTCACGTCGGCTCGGACATTTCTCAGTCCACATGAAATGTCCGAATATCTAGGATTTCAATCTGCGTCCTCTCGATTTTTCTTTTCAGCTGGGTGACTGGGCTCAGGTGTCACTGCGTATGTCACAAGCACACCTTGTGATAGCAGGCAAGCTTCAGAGTTCTGTCCAGCTGTCTCTAATTTCAAGCAGCTCTCCTATTGCTTCCGGGAAACTTGTTACAAGGCATAAGGCCTAATTATAGCCCGCGATTCTGAAGCAACAAACCGCTCGTAAGTAGTCCGGAAGATCATAACTTGTGGCCTCTGATCGTGTAAAGATGGTATTCATATTCTGTGGCTCTATGTCTATCACAGCACCTCTCCTATTGCGCGTCTGATAGCACGAGAAACCTCTTCGACACGACTGATGGTGGGAAAGTGGCCAGCTTGACAAGTATGAACATCGACTTTACGGCCACTCTCCGCCTCTATTTGCCTGATAACAGCCTCTTGAACCTGTGGCGGTACTGCTAGGTCCTCCTTACAGACTAGGTATGACACCGGAACGTTATGGTAGCCTGAATGGGAAAGTGTCCCAGTGAAGCTGATCCTCGAATGTGGGAGCATCATCCTAGCAAATTCCACTCCCTCTTCTGGGCGCAGATCCGAGAAATTTGTTTGAGCACAACCGTCTGGTTCGGGGACCATATAATCGCCCTGGAAGCGAGACAGAATTAGCTAAGCTGGCCCGGCTATAATGCTCCGTTATACTCACATCGATCTTAATGAATTCGGGCATATTCTCGCCCATCTGTGTTGCTATCGAACCTCCCACTCCTGGAACAGGGGAGCTGATGTAGAAAAGCCGAATAATACCCCCTTTTGCCTGGGATAGCACACGCTCCGCCTTTGTGACACCCTTTGAGCTTTCGGTACCACATATGCCCCCATATGAGTGCATGACAAGGATGATTTCTTTGTCCTCATCGGCCAACTTGCTGGTGAGGGACTTGATGTGGTCTGCGTCCTCGGCCATTGTTGCAGCTGAGAATCGCCTGCGATTGCCAACGGAAGGAAGATCAATCACAATTGTTTCGTAGCCATGGCGGCCCAATGCCTCAACCAACCCCGTGTAAAGGCTTGGGGGAGAGAATGAGGCAGGAACAACAACAATGACAGGGTTACTGGACACTGGTCCGTTGACGATCGACATCTTCGCGCAGGCAGACGAAACTGAGGTATTTCGAGGTGATTGCAACGGGTTTTACTTTGCTCGAAAGTTTATTTCTCCAGGTAAGAAGAAAAATTAAGTTATAGAGATTCGTAGATATTTCTCGTGGATATCAAGACTTGACGGTGTGACCCCTGGTCACACAGCGGATGCGATGCGTCGGACTTTTGGCTGTCTGGATTCCCCGTGGAGACACAACGGAAGCGGGAGGAGACTTAGAATCACCCACAATTCAATGTCCGAGGAGCTCGGGAAATTACAAAGCTGCCTCAAAAGCCGACGTGAGTACTGCTTTTCGTCGTAGAGCCTACTGTAGGACAATCTTGACACAGCAAAGTCAGTCACGGTTCCGTCGAGGAAGCTCGCATATCTCCTCTGGACATTTAAAAGGAGCAAACAGGTAAACTCCTGAACGCCCTCTGTGGTTGCCCAAGAACCTGTTAGAGCCTTGAACTGCTCCCTTTAGGGTCACAGTCTTTTGTCTTGAGCCCTCTCAAAGTCTCCCGTCATGTCATATCCTGAAGATGAGCCGTTTACGGCCTCAGTCCTCGCTTCCTTCGGTCCTGCCGCTCCCGTGCGCGCGAAAGAGATTCTGACTTCTTTAATCCGTCACCTCCATGCAGTCTGTCGCGAGGTTAACCTTACAACCGAAGAGCTTTATGTTGGACTGGATGCTCTCAATCGGGCAGGACGCATGAGTGATGCGAAAAGAAACGAGACATTACTTGTTTCTGATTGTCTCGGAGTGGAAGCGTGAGCATTTGGCACCCAGGAGACTGATTGTCAAAGGATCGTCTAACCTACCGGCCAGACTCGTGGACGAGATCACCCACAAAATTCTTGCCGAACAAACGTCAACCAATACCTGCATATTGGGTCCGTTCTATCGAGCTGATGCACCCAGATACGAGAACGGAGACAGCATCATCCAGAAGTACCTCGGTGGCGAGGTCACTTGGTACCATGGTCGTATCCTTGACGCTGACAGCGGAAAGCCAGTTGCTGGTGAGTAGGAGAATGACTTGAGCGCATTACTTCACTTGTTTGAGGAGCATCCGGGATTGACAGTCCACAGGCGCCGAGTTGAATGTATGGGAATGCGCGGCGAACGGGTTGTATGATCAACAGGATCCATCTCAGCCCGATGGAAACATGCGTGGTATATTCCACGCAGACGAGGACGGTCGATACGATTTTTATTGCATCAAGCCGATACCCTATCCTGTCCCGTACGACGGGCCAGCAGGAGATATTCTGAAACTCATGGACCGCTCTCCATTCAGGGCAGCACATATACACTTCATGGTGGAGAGCGAAACACACCGCCGACTTGTCACCCAGGTCTTTCCTAGCGACGACGCATATCTCAACCGGGATTCTGTCTATGCGGTCAAAAATGACTTGATTATCCGCTTTGAGCCCCCGACACCAGAGGCAATGAAAGGGCGGGGCGCACGAGGGACGGAGAGTGGCGTGCAATGGGAAGTGAACTATGACTTCCGGATTAAGAAACGACCCACTTAACAGTACCCCCGGATCCTGCGTAAGGTTTCGTAGAAGAAAACGGGATAGCGTCAAGTACTAAGGGCCTATCGGCATTCTAATAGCAAACTGCTTACATACTTGAAATGTCCGAGAAGTCATCGCCAGCACCGTTATTCTGTTGGTCAACAAAAGCCGAATAAGCCGAGGGCATTGCTCCCTCGTCCGAAGTTTCTTCGCATTGGAGCTTTTGACCTTCTTCGTTTTCTAGATTTGCTGAAATTCCCCGTTGGAGATCCCCAGGAAAACTTATCAGCTCAACAGCTCGGAGATGCATTAGACTCCTGTGGAGAATAGCGTATTCTCGTCCGCCGTCGAAAGGGCGTCTTTTACCGAGGATATCCGCAAGTTCCATCCTGCGATTCAAGGTCAAGGTTATGACACACTGGCTGCATTACTAAGAGGCCCTCGTCACGAAGCTGCTACTAATTCGAGAAAAGGAAGTTCCTGCTCGATATTTATCGCTTGGTTAATAGCCTCACTCGCTTTGGAATTGTTTCCCGGGATCCGAGAATAATGGAACATCAAACCAACATCGTACAGACTCCTGTAACGGAAACAAGAGCTAAGAAACGACGGCGTCCAGCTCTTGCTTGTCTTCCTTGCCACCGACGAAAACTAAAGTGCGGTCGTGAGTTTCCGGCTTGCGAGAGATGCAGAAGAAGAGGCCATCCGCATGACTGCATTTACCGTGAAGTTGCGCTTCGCACTTCGGTCGCCATCGAAAAACTCCCAGGCCTGACAGAGGTTATGGGTAGCTCCACGGATACAGCCACTGAGGATGGGGTGCCAACCTACTCTCGGACGACGGAAACGGAGACGACAACAGCAACCTCATTACAATCACTTAAGCCATCAAGTCATATACAAGACGAAGAAGCAGAAAAGATACAGACCGAAGAGGTAACAATCTACAAAGGAGAAGATCTCCTCACCAGGTTCTATGGGCATACCTATCACCGAAATTTCTATCAGCAGGTATCCCTACCATGCTAGTCTATATTTGTCCACCACCGTGCTAATCTTTGTTCATAAACTTACTAGTTTGACGAACTACGACCCTACATCCAGAGACTTAAGGCACAGTGCCCAAGCATCAATAGGCTCCGAGACGAAATCCAGTCCTTAAAAGTCAATGCCCATGGCCTAAAATTTCAATTAGACAGCGCCAGCGTGGTGTCTGACCTCCACATAAAGAGCCTGATCCCTGCCCGAGAAGTAGCGGACGAGTTGATTAGCATGTACATCACCCGTTTCGAAGCCACACATCGCGTTATCCATATTCCCACTTTTATCGAGACATACAAACGGTACTGGAACAATCCGCAAACAGTACAGACTGCTTCCGTCGCTCAATTCTTGCTAGCGATGGCGACGGCGCTAAGTTGCCGTGAACTTCTGAGGTGGGATCTGAAAATCGGGGACAAAAGCATGGCAACCCGCCAGGCGGCAACTACATGGATACAAGCTTGTGAATCTTGGATCTCCTCAAACACAACAAGACCGCTATTTCGTCGTCTCTCGATGATGGCGACCAACTGCCTTCTGGTAATTGCAAAAAGAGCAAATAACATTCAAAGAAACGAGAACTGGACAGCGACAGGTGCGTTGTTAAGGTCGGCAATGGCTGCCGGGTACCACAGGGAACCGGATGGTCGAGCCAACATTACCGTTTTCTATCGAGAAATGCGTCGTCGCATTTGGGCTACTGTTGTCGAGCTTGATCTTCAAGCCGCAATAGAACGCGGAATGCCACCTAGTATACGAGAGGACGATTTCGACTCGAGGGCTCCATTGAACATAAACGATGATGCAATTTACGAGTCGGCAACAGAGGCCCCAGTAGCATTGCCTCTCCAATCTCTTACAGACACCTCTTCTCAAGCAGTTGCTTACCGCTCATTAGGACTTCGATTGAGAATATGCGCTCTGATTAACAACTATCCGCACAAAGCAGTTGGGTCCCAATTTGACGAGGTATTTTCTCTTGATAAGGAGGTCATGAAAGCGCTGAGGGAAATTCCATTGACCTGGATCGTCGGTTCGGTCACAGAAGAGTGGCAGACGCAGAGGCCTTTGTATGTAAGATCGATGTTAGATATCTTACTTCGCCACCAGCTGGTTCTACTCCATATGCGCTTTGCCAACCAGAGCGAACATTTTCCTGAGTCTTGCCACTCACGGCGAGCGAGACTGGAGGCAGCGACAAGCATCCTAAGTCAATTCAAAACCCTTGTGGATAACGGGATTCTCCCCCGATCTGGCTGTGATACCTATCAGTTTCAAGCCGCCATGACTGTTTGCCATGAACTATACCTGAGACACGAGGATTCCGGTAAGCCGCCCCCTCCCCCAAGTAGACTTTCTGGCCAGTCGTGAAGGAAGCCACTAATGAGTCAAGCATCTGTTGCGACGGTATATCCTGGATCAGGCTTAGCCGAGTGCTACATTTCTATGGCCGAGGATGTGTTATCGATGATGGAAAGCCGCATCACCATTCTCGCAAAGGGACTCAACGAATACTACCTGCTCACCATGGTACTTGGTCTGGTCAAGACGAGGTTGTGGACGGACCGGTCCTCGTTTTTCAATTCGGAGGCCGTCGAGAGGATCACAAGGATCATGATTATCCTTGGCTCAATACGCAAGCCGACAAGGAGCAACGGTCCAAATCCTGCAGGATCTGTCCTCGCCTCCGAGTAGGTCTTCCATATCGCGCCGCACGCAGGGTTTCCAGGTCGTCACACACTGACATGTGATATTAGCCAGATTTCCGGTGGTGAAGTGGAAGGGACCATCACAAGCCTCCCGGAGTCATTCCTCAACGACGAGATGGAAATGCTGGGCTCTGTGGTAAGTGGATTGACCGTCGACTTCACGTTGAATCTTCTTCTGACGCGTAAGAAAAACAGTGTACGCAAGACTTCGACCTCTTTGTGGACGAGTATGACCTTCAGGCCTTTGATCCGTGGGCGGCTGATGAAGGCACTCCGATCGTGAGGAGTCGGGACTTTGACTATACCACAGCTGTATAGTCGAGCGCAGTGCATCGTTGATCACGAACAAGGATGGAAGTTGCTCGTCCGTAGATCGTCTCCAGAGTGCGAAGAGGCCTCGTGAGCCCCCTGCACCCACGTCGAGGAAAGGGCAACAATTCCATCAAGGAGAAACCGACCCCACGCCAACGCTCTCACTAATGTGGTTGGTACCGGCGTGGAGAGAAGTAGATTGTCGTAGCACTCGAAAACAAGTATTCCCGATCCTTAGCTATACTATTACTTTGGGAGATGCAGAAAGTTGAGGGCGTGACGACACTACCTAGGTGGATGAGTACATGGTAATGTGAAGTTCGAGAGCCGTACTCCTTCCCCCCTCCCCCCCTCTCTCTCTCCATCTCTCTCTTTCGATCTTGGACTGAGGACGACATCTCAAAGATCGAGACCTTGAATTATCGAATCGTAATGAGGCTGAATTATGCAAAGCCAACATATATCCACTCGTATTCCTGAAGTCTAAGTTTTCGTTCTTGACTACCTACATAGGTAGGTACATTTGTTAGTGCTGGAAGTATTTGGAAGCACATTTTACATTGCAGTCTATAGTATAGTTCCCTTTCCCTTTCTTCGTCGGCGAGCTACTCGCCTGGGCTAGCTAGGGAAGGCGAGGCACGGTTCACTCAACCCTGAAGGACCATAGCATAACACTCCCGAGAGCTTCAATCTCTAATCTCTGACCTTTCTCGTATCACGACTCGCGTCTTCATCTCTTGTAGGAAAGCCGAGCTTGGGTATCTTCTTCTTCTTCCCACGCTTATCACCAAATTGCTCATCGAATTTCTTGATGTCGCGTAGCGAACTCATATCCTCCGAGATACTGGCCGAGATGTCTTCAAGGGCCTTGTCGAAATGTCTCTTCGCCAAAGTCCGTCGACCGGCATGTTGATACGGTTCATCGCCCTGATGTTGTTTGGCAAGGTCGTTCTCTTCACGGACACAGTTGAGCGCGGCAGCGACGGCCACGTTCTTCAGATCCGAGCCAGAGTAGAAAGGCGTCCGTTTAGCGAGGTCGGCCACGTCGACGTCGTCGGCCAGCTGCTCGTGGCGAAGATGGATCTTCAGAATCTCCAATCGGTCCGGTTCGGTGGGCAAGTCGACAAGCAGGCGACGAGGGAGACGACGCAGGACAGCATCGTCCAGGTCCATCGGCCGATTGGTCGCCACCATGATAAAGGCACTGCCAGAGTCGTTGCTCATGCCGTCCCACTCTTTGAGGAACTGATTCAGGAGTTCACGGTGGCTTACGCGACGCCCCTGGTTGCTTCGTGCGCTGAACATGGCATCGGCTTCGTCCAGGAATACCACACACGGTGAAAGCTTCTTGGCCAAGCTGAACAATGCCTTGACGTTCTTTTCGCCTTCTCCCACGTACATGTCGTTGATGTCGGCCGCACTGACCTCTAGCATCGTCGCACCAGACTCCTTGGCTACCGCCTTGGCTGCCAAAGTCTTACCAGTGCCGGGTGGGCCGTAGAGCAGCAGGCCTGGAATCTTGTCCGATGCAAGGACGCCATATTTGAAAGCGTCAGGTCTGACCAAGGACAACGTGGTCAGGGTTTGGAGAGTGTCGATCGTCTCTACAGGCATGTGCACATCGTTGAATGTTGTGGAAATGTTTTTGGCTTCAATGATACCACCCATGAGCCGTTTTTCATACTTTGATGCAGTCGCTCGGATCGACGCAAGTCGTGAGTCTTCTTTGGGAGAGGCAGAGGAAGCACCTGTTCGACCGCCAATTTCTAGCTTCAGTTCGACGCTGTTCTTCTCCGCCCATCTCATCTTGGTCTTGTCGCTGTGGTTCAAGTGGGCTATCGCGGCACTTATGACAGGCTCAGAGAGACCCTGAACAGCAGCAAGAGATTCCTGTAGTTCTGCTTTGTCGGTGATGCCAGGAATATCTTGAATTGGAGGAGCAGCGCCGGCAATGTATGTTGCCAACCTTTGCACATATGAGTAACTCCAGATCTGGGCTTCCAAATACGATCTGTCGCTACGAGCAAGATGGTTGAAAAAGTCACGTCGCCAGAATCCAGGTTCCAGATGGGCGAAGACTGATGGCTTTTGCCTCCGCATCAAATCCCACAGGTGTCTCATATTAATCGTTGCAATTCGTTGTTTCCGATCGTGAAGAAGCGCAAGCTTGGATGTCGTGTTCGGTAGCACTGGGGTGATGACAATGTTATGAGATATCTCATCTCGATCGCCGAGTTGGAAGATTTTGATGCCCTCTTTTGTCAAAGGATCGGAATCTTCTCTTAGGGTGTCGGTCCCAATGAGAAGCAAAGGTGCGCCCAGTTTCCTCTGTCGAGAAATGTCCTTGTATAGTTCATGCAAGAATCCGAGGCCCAAAGAAGTCTCCTGAATAGATTCAAGGTCCTTGATGTGGACGATCACAGCGTTCTTGGGTAGTCCGTTTTGCTTTGCTGCAGCTTCACGCGATCTTTGTAGAGCTTGCTTCCGTTCACCGCCATCGGTTTCCTGTTGTACATCCTGGCCAGTTAAAACCTTTTGCCGCTCCGAGAGGCTGGCCAGAAGAGACGGAAAGATCTGTGGTGTTTCACGGAATCTCCCAGCTTTCAGACCTTGCTTCGACCAATTCCCTCCCGACGAACCTGGTACCTCGGAGAATATCTTGGTCAATCGTCGTCCGAACATGCCTTCACTCGATCTGCGGTCCGAACTTCCGAAAAGTGATTTGAGATCTGGAAGAAAGGGCTTGCCGATCAGGACTGGCATTCCCAGTGGTGATGAATTGGATGGGCCTGATAAGTCGTCAACCTCCATCTCTTCCTCCTCATAATCATCATCTTCTTCTTTGGATTCTCGAAGCCGTCTTGTTGCAGATGGATCGGAGAATGCATCATTGTAAACATCGTAACTGAACATGCGGCTGGAGCTGATAACACCAGGATCCACCGACGCTTGCGCCATTAGGCTTGCAATATCCTGAGCATCCAGGCCCATGAGGTCGCAGCCCAAGTCACGAGCGAGATCTTCAACAACGTGCTCCAGCAAAAGGTCACCATCTTTGCCCGCGTACCGCAGCAGTAGATGTTCCCTTAATCCTTCAGTTTCTTGGATACGAGAATGCGCCCCGGGCAACTGCAAAAGGCCTCGGGCAGTTCGCATAACCTCTTCATATTGCTCGTCTAATACGAAGTATCTTTTCTGGAAAGGTCCATCAGGCCTGGACAATGCTGAAGGGTGATTCACATCCTTTGGATCTTCGGCTTGTGCTGATTCATCGTTGTCCAACGAAGTGCGGTTTTCAAATCGATTGTCGCTTCCCCCAGGTGATCGAGGAGGCGATCCATCCGAGCTTGGGGAAAGATGTTTGTCCAAGGGCTCACCGGTAACCAGATCTGCAGCCACCTTTTGTACCCTTGAGCGAGTGCCCTGTGCTAAATGTTCTTCTCCATACAAATGAATATTGCTGTTTTCGAACCATTGCGGCGTTGAGAAAGTATCGCCGGAGCTCGACACCCGATTGCGCATTCGTCGCCTGGACGCTGACCCATAATAGTTCGGCGTAGTCGAAGGGATGCCGTTATCCGAAGTGGAGGGTTCGTGAGCAGCTGAACTTGCTACAGACTTCTTCTGCTCTTCTAGGAGTGCCCGGCCCTTGGTCGCTGCCGTACGTGCATCTTCAATGTTCTTGTCATTGTCGCTGCCACGACCGCCTGGAGGGCTAGCGCTGTTCGAAGCTTCTTGCGGAGAACGAAATCGAGGTGTGGTGTGAAAGGAGCGTGTTTTGCTCGACTGTCTGCGGGCGCACAGGCGGCAACTGGAAGCAAATATATGCGTGAACCTTAGTTCCGCTTGCAAGGTAGAAGTCATTCGAGCGAGCGACGAAGTTGCGAGGAGACGGGCTTGTGCAAGAAATGCCCTGGTCTGAAAGTCAGCAAACAAATTCCCATGTGAAGTGGCGTATCAAGCACGTAGTACTCCACCGGAGAAAATGCACTTTAAGGGCTGCGCCGGAATTTCAAGATCTTTCTTGCCGCCACCGATCCAGACAATCCTCTTGCATTTCACAACGACATTTTGGCGACTGAGCAATGCCTCCAGTGATATGTGAGATCTGTAAGGACGCTCGAGCAGCTGTCATCAGACCTAAAAATTCACAGAAGATTTGCAAGCTGTGTTTCTTGAATGTCTTCGAAGCCGAAATTCACGAAACAATTGTAAGCAATAATTTATTTTATCGTGGCGAGCGAGTGGCAATTGGTGCATCTGGAGGGAAAGATTCGACAGTACTCGCCTCGGTTCTCAAGACTCTGAACGAGCGATATGATTACGGACTGGATCTTGTCCTCTTGTCTATTGATGAGGGTATCAAAGGCTATCGGGACGACAGCCTAGAAACTGTCAAGAGGAACGCACAACAATATTCTATGCCGCTCGAAATTGTGGGCTACGATCAACTCTATGGCTGGACGATGGATCAAGTCGTGGCTCAAGTAGGCAAGAAAGGCAACTGTACCTATTGCGGGGTGTTTAGGCGACAGGCACTGGACAGAGGGGCGGCGAAATTGGACATCAAGCATGTCGTTACCGGGCACAACGCGGATGATGTCGCGGAGACTGTCATGATGAATCTTTTACGCGCCGATCTACCCCGACTCGCAAGAGCTACCTCTATTGTGACAGCAAGTGCAGCAAGCGAGATCAAACGAAGCAAGCCACTCAAGTATGCTTACGAAAAGGAGATTGTACTCTACGCCCATCACAAGAAGTTGGACTACTTTAGCACGGAATGTATCTACTCACCTGAGGCGTTCCGTGGTACTGCAAGAACGTTGATCAAAGACTTGGAGAAGATCAGACCGAGCAGCATCCTGGACATTGTCAAGAGTGGAGAAGATATGGCCACGTTGGTTCCCCCGGAAGTCAGTAGCTCTGCAACTTGTGGCGCGCATGCCGACGAAGACACGAATGGCTGTGGCTCCAGTGGTGCGGTTGGCGACTCAATGGCGAAGGTCGAGGAACAACTGGCTGCAAATGCACTCGCCAGCGAAAGCGAAACCGAGATCAGAGTCGCCGAGGATGCTCAAATATCGCAGACTCTGAAGTCCGCAGCCACAAGTACCCACGATAGAAAACCAAAGGGACGTCGGAAGATGGTTAAGCAAGTTATGGGTCGGTGTGAAAAATGTGGCTACCTATCGAGTCAGAAGATCTGCAAAGCATGCTCGCTCCTCGAGGGTCTCAACAAAAGTCGACCTCGCAACACTATCGAAATAGGCATATAGGACAAAGAGGAGAGCACGACCTTGCTGAAGCGTGTGACGGGTCTTTCAATCTCTGCTGGCTGAAGGTTGCTTAAGCAGTCTTTCGCCTCGAAGCTATTCTCCGGTCGAGTATCGCTGCCAATGTGGTGTACGCCTTTCCAAAGAGCAGCATTACGATTTGTACGCTCAAAATCAACGATCTCGCTATGTGGTTTTTCCACGTCATGATGGGCCTGGCCCCCCTGGAGAACGTCGAATCAACGAATTGAAAGGGGAGTCGAGCTCCCAGATGATTGACAGCCACCGACAACCCACTGCTGAATCCATCCTCGTGAAAACCATATTTCGTCCACGCTCCACAGTAACTGATATTCCTGATATTCTGGATCCTCGGTAAGAGTTTCTGGGACTTTATGGCAGTTGCGTTGTACAAAGGATGAGAATACTCCCAGATGCCTTGAGCTAACCGAGGATCTGGCATGTTCAACGGATTCAGTGTTACCAACACCGGGCCATATTTGTCATCTGGAATATGCTGTAACAAGTTCATCCAGTAGGTCAGGCATACTTTTGAGATATTTTGGCTGTTGGTAGGAGGGAAGGGCGACTCTGTGATATAATTCCAGGCCGACCATGCAACTCGCCTTTTTGGCATCAAGGCAAGGTCAGAGTGAAGGACTGCAACGTTTCTACTGGTCTGAAATCCAGAGAGAATGCCGACTTCTTCTTGTGTTGCACCAGACTTCACGATTTCCAGGGCTTGATCACCATGTGTCGCAAGGATAACGTGATCAAATTCCTGATCCCTCCCGTTGGCAGTGAGTACGACTTTATCGTCCACAGTCTCTAATGCTGTCACCTTACATTCGACGTTTATGCGGGTCTTGTCGAAGCCTTGGAGCACAGCATCGAGGTATTGCTTTGATCCACCTGGTATGGTCATCCAATCTGGGCGTCTAGCAACAGTGCTCAAGAGATGGTGATTGTACATGAAGCGGACCAGTGTGACGGCAGGGAATTCTAAAGAGCATTTATCTGGGCTAGTACTCCAGACAGCAGCTGTCATAGGGATGAGGTAGTCGTCCCGGAACTCTTGGGAATAGTTTTCTCTGTCGAGGTAATCACCGATAGTTTCTTCGGCAACCGGCTTGTTCTTGGATCCAGCTTCCATTTTGTCGGCAATGTCATTCTCACTCTCGGACTCGGCATGCAGAAGGTCTATTGCAAATTCATTGAAGCGGATAATGTCAAATATCATCCTCCACATGCCTGGGCTGAATAGGTTCTTGGACTGAGCAAAGATGGAACCAATGGAAGTCCCAGCCCACTCAAAACTCCCCTGATCACGGGAGACTCCGAACGTCATCTCTGTCTTTTTCGTTGAGACGCCTACTTCGTTCAGGAAGCGAATGAAATTGGGATAAGTGGCGCTGTTCATGACTATGAAGCCAGTGTCGACGTCGACCGTTGCGCCATTTGGTGCTTCGAATGTGACTGTATTGGTGTGCCCGCCAAGTCGCGATTCTGCTTCGAATAGATGAACTTCATGGTCGGTGCTTGTATTGAGAGCCCACAGGGCTGCAATTCCTGAGCAGCCGCTGCCAACGATTGCTACTTTCTTTCCCATAGCTGCTGACAAGCTGAAAAGAAAATACCAGTGGGATTTCTTCGTGTGTTTTCAGTATTGTCTTGAATCTGTTTCATATTCGAGGGAATTGCGTCACCGTTTCAAAAATAGTATACATTCTACCGCAAAGCAGACTTGGTCATGTTCAAGAATCTATCTATTAAGGAGATTTCTACACTCTAGCTGTACCACCATCGATAGATGTAAATAATGACATCTATGATCCGTTGAGTATTGTCACAAAAGCAGCGGCAATATCTTCTCTTACAATAGAGAGTAGGCCCCAGCCCTTACCATATCAGACTAGCCTGATTCAGCCAGTTGTCAAAAGCGGCAATTGGACGTTATCGGCTATCGCCTCGGGTGTGTCTGTCGACATGTCTCCAGGCCAGCCACCCTGCATGACATCGTCGTTTTAATTGCGCAGCTGTGAATGCTATCCATCTACTCCGTACATAGACGCTCTACGAAGTCGCAAAATTATCTCCTAGTCTACAACAGATATTCCTGTTACCGGCTCGCCCACGAGAAGCCTCTGTCCCATCTCCGTCTCTGCAGAACCCTTTCCGACACCACTAGGCATCACTGAATCCTGTCTCCTCAGCCGCGAACATGTCGAACCCTCTGGACACGGACGCAGGCTCCGAGCTCTTCAGCACCTACGAAGCCGAATTGAAACTCGTGGAAGCAGATATCACCCAGAAGCTAGACCAGATCCCTGAACTGTCTGGTGAACAGCGTAAAGCCGCCATCCGTGGCGCAGAACGGGCCATTGAAGAGGCAAAGGAGCTGGTGCGTTTTCTCTACTACTTGGCACCCATACTCAACATACTAATGCTGAAATGCCCAGTTGGACCAAATGACGCTTGAGAAATCGAATATTCCAACATCCGCGCGGTCCAAAGTAAACACCCGTTTCCGCAACCACCAGTCCGACGTAGACAGCTTGACCCGCAAGCTGAAATCACTGGCGGATTCAGACCGCAAACAACTCTTCGGCGACCGGTACACAGACGACCCAGAAGCAGGCCCGCGTGATCTGCAACTTGAGCAGCGCCAGCAACTCCTCTCTGGCACGGAGCGACTTGGCCGGAGTAGCAACCGACTGAGGGAAAGTCAGCGCATCGCCCTTGAGACAGAACAGATTGGTGCATCAACACTGGCAGATTTGCATCAGCAGAGGAATGTGATTGAACATACGCATCAAAATCTACTCCAGAGCGAGGGATATGTTGATCGGAGCGTCAAGACGTTAAGGGGGATGGCGCGTAGGTGAGACTCTTGAATACCTGACCCTCGACGTGCAGGAGCATGTGGTGAATGAGTAGACTCCTTATGCTAACATGTACTTTACAGGATGGCTACCAATCGGATGATCACTATCGCCATTATCACGATTTTGGTGTTGTTGATCATAGGTGTGATTTATAGCAAGTTTAGGTGAAAGGCAGGAGACAGGGATTCGCTATTTCATCACGCTGGCGTTTGTAAAAACCTAATAATTCCACAATTGTACAGAGGGATGGGGTTCACGATCGATTTTAGCGTCCCGGATGTATTGATTGCGTAAAAGAGCAACTACGTAGTCGGCGTACGGAATAAGACTTATACGTTTCTTAAATAGCAGGTTTCTAACCTGTATACCTGATGAGGCCTAGGCCTATATTAAGAAGGAATCCGACCACCACGGCCATCTTACGCCGCTGACTCCATATACCATCCTCCCTCACACCCCACATGAGGCATCCGATGGGCCAAAAGAAACCCATAGCCGTGCCGAAGATCATGTCATCCAACGCACCACCCTGCCCTTCGTCATCGGTCTGCATACCACTCCCCATGCCATCGCCCAAAGCACCTGCCTCTCCAGCCGCATTCGAACTGTCAAGCCACCTGTCTTCCATGTCGCGCAAGGTATTAGGCGATGGCATGGTGTCCGGAGTGTGTGTATGAGCCTGAATGGCCAAGAACTGGAGCCGCAACGACTGCACCTCGGCAGCAGTGAAGCCTGCATTTAACAGCCTCTCAAACCCTCTCGGGATGGGCGTCGTAGTTGTTTGCTGCCCCTGCTCCTGCCGCCGTTGTCCAGACATGGCAGCATCTGCCTTCTCTGACTCTGCCGTTGCATTTTGAGCGGTCGCGGCCTCTTCAGCGAGCTCGGCTGCCGACAGCACCAGATCCCCAATCGAGCAATGGACATAGATTCTAGCCTGGCTGGGCTGGTCGCGAACGGCGAGCTTTCCCTTACTTTTACCATTTCCAGCTGCATTGGCATCGTCGTATGGCCCCGGCGTGCCCATGCGACTAGGAGGCCGGGAGACAGTGCGCCTGAGTGAGGCTGTAAGCGGGACATCGTCTATGAGTGCCTTGCCCGCGTAGATAAGTCGAATGCGGTGTTTGGCATACTCCGCGGGTAGGCGGGTGCGGATGAGCTGTTTGAGAGTCGCGGTATTGGCGCTCAAAGAGCCCGGGAGCGTAAGCAGGAGATCGGGCAGCGAGGCAGAGAAACGGATGGTCAAGTCGAGGTCATTGTCCTCGTTGGAGGGTGTGTGGGAGGTTGGGAGTTTGAGGGAGCTTGACATGGGTGATTTACCCCGGAACAGTCTCAAGATAGCAGGCCAGGCTTGCTATCTGCATACTGTGGACGTACGGGGATTGAACGCCGTTCTATGTGTCAATCTCTGTACAGAGGGCGGCGTCAACGGTCGTGTGCGGGTATGTCTCTTGAAGGTCGAGCGAGCCGCAGTTGGTAAGGCACGTTTACTGTAAATATGGTCAATTAGATTCACCGTAAGCTACTGTGGAGCATTGGCGCAGATATCGCCATAATTCCTCCACTCCTGCTAAGCAACAGCAACACTCTGTTGGGCTGGCGTTCCGACTGGAGTCTTCCGTTGCTGCAGACGTTGCTTCTCCTCCTCCAACATCCTTGCTTGACGTTTGACCCTCTCTGGCACCACTTCTTGTCTCATCCCCTGTATCCTCCAACCTCGAAGCTTCTCTCGTCCTCCAATCTCTTGAATTGTCTTAAGCTCCACAAGACTGTGTTTGCTTTCGTCAATTCGGTCAAACTCAAATGGCTTTACCAAAGACACTGGGGGATTTGTGATGATTCGTGGCAGACGTTTGCCATTCGTGGAGGCCGAATGGACCATCAACGGATGCAAGAGGATAACATCACCAGCGTTTCCAGTCATCTCGTGAAAGTTCTCATCCGCACATCCTTGAACGAGTTTGTAGTAGAATTCCAGTCCGTTCTCAAAGTTCTCTGCTCCCCCAACAGGTGTCATTCTCGGGAAAACGCCCTCCGGATGATCGTAAAGATATCTTGCGATTTTCCCAATACCTTCTGAGCAAACCCAAGTCCCACCACCGTTAGGAAGAATGTCTGTGAACAGGGGGATGACCAGCAATCCTTGCTCAGGGGAGTCCAAGAAATGAATGAAAAAGTCGCCGTCAACATGCCAGCCTTTCAGGCCCTTAGGGTGAGTTTCCTTGCCTTCGTTCTCTTTTGTGCCTAGGTTAACAATAAAGGCATCTCGCCAGATTTTAGATGGCTCGCTGATTTTGTCCTCTCCACCAACGAGCTCACAGATGGCATCATATGCTTTCGGTGCAAAGTCTTTGATGGCGACTGAATTGTGCGAGGGCATGTTCGTTCTCTCCGTAGTCCAGGCCTCAGGGTTCTGGGGATCGAAGCCTAGACGGGTCCAGACGTCCTTGGTCCAGTCCGCGGCGGCCTTGCGAGTGAAGCACCCGGGAACACGAAGAAAGCCATACTTCATGAAAGAGTCCACTTGTTCAGGAGTTAGATGCTTTAACTGTCTGCTTTCCATCGTGAAGTGGTGCTATACCGAAGGGTTGTCAGTCACTGTAAATTCGAGGCGGATGTATTTCCTGGTGAGTGAGGTTTCTGGCCGGTGTAATGCCGAGCTCAGAGCTTTGATATAGAACTGCTTTTCCCGAGAATGGTAAGTCTAATGACCGACCGTGGGAATGCATGAGATCTCCCTGTCAATATGGTTCTTGCCCCGGATTTATTGTTGCCGATCAATCCCCAGGGACCGAGGACATATCCATTTTAGCCGGATAACATTGCTTAAACAACTGGGGATGGCATGACATCTCGAGCTCCAAAACTCCGAACAATCAATGCCTCGCAGAGTATAGCGATGAGACATCTCGGCCTTACCTCCGTCCGGGTCAAAGACAGAAGGCAGCACAAGCGATCAGACATGTCAATGCAACCAACATGGCTCGGCAGACATGGGCTTCCAGCTGAATAGTGAAAGTTTGAGTTTGACCTCGACCCTGGGTACAAAATATGCTTTTGTCCATTTGGTTTGCACACGCGACCCACAGCCTTTGCGCTACAGCCTGAATGGAAGTCTTGGGGAAGTTGTATCCTGAGTATCTCAAAGCTATAGGTCCTGACGACGTGCTGAAGGTGGAGACGTATACCAAAGCTGGAGTAAGAGATGAAAGTGAACTCTACGGGGAAAAGTGCACCATTTCGCTTTAGCTGCCCAAGAGAGCTCGACCCCTTTCAATGAATGCACTTTGTTCATCCCACAAATGACGCCCAGCGGGCGAAGATGTTCGGCATGATATGGACCATGGTAATATTCTCAAATGGTCAGATATCAAACCTGGTCACGGTGGATACCATCAAGCATAGGATTGAATAGGTTGAGAGCCAGACCTCGGAATGGTAAGCTAATCAAAATTACAGAGATTGGAGCTGGCGAAGGAGGAAGAAACCCCGAGGAATCGCTTGCAGGGGAGGCGTTCACCGGGCTGCACGTGCGAAGACACAATTATATGGACGTGCCGCATAACCGAATTGTTCGTGTTCGTTGACATTGAGTTGAATCCTCTGACTCGCCAGTCTACTACGTCTTCATGATGCTGTGGAGACCTCGAGACCCCTGTTTGGGGTAAGGGACTTCATCTCCAGAATCTAAAGTACAATCCCGGGGTCTCTCTGGGCACTCTCCTATTATCCGGCAGAGGCTGAATTTGTAAACAGTTTAGCTCCTATCAGCTCTAGGAAATGATCTATGACCTGCAGCAGCTTGCTTGCTTCGACACGATACTCGAACATTGCACCAATCAAGTACTGCCTCGTGAAAATGCAGTGGGTATCATTACTAGGCTGCATACACTCGCCATGGGGTGTGCAGAATGGTACAAAGATTGGACTTGTCTCCCGATTTGGAGCAGATGATACGCTTTGATCCAAGATTCAAAAAAGAGAGAGAGAGCTTGAGACGTAATGGTTGGAATTGCAACAATACATCCTGTTCACCAAGTCGAGCGAGAAATCGCCGTCGCTGAAGCCCCCGAGCTGCGCAGGGTGATCTGGTACAAGGATGCCGGACTGAGAAAGCTCTATGCCCTGGTCGTTGCGTTATTTTTTGCGTCCGCGACGACCGGTTATGATGGGTGCGTGTGGTTGCTGTGCTCTTTCGTGAGGTGGCTGCTGACAAGGTTGTTGAGATCGATGTTGAATGGCTTGCAGATCCTCGATGTCTGGCAGGACTACTTCGACCACCCCAAGGGGTCCATGTTGGGTCTCTTTGGGTCCATATACAGTATTGGAAGTTTGGCAGGCTTACCCTTTGCGTAAGATGCACCCTTCTCCCGCAACGCCTGGACAAGGGTGCTGACTGCACAAAGACCTTATCTCGCTGACCGCTTCGGCCGTCGTATCGCTATAATGGCAGGTTGCATGTTCCTGTTCGTTGGAGTGGCCATCCAGAGTGCATCACAAAACTTCTCAATGTTCATTGCCGGTCGCTTCTTCGTCGGTTTCGGGAACAGCATGTGCTCGAACTCTGCACCCCTCCTGCTCACCGAGCTCGCCCATCCTCAGCATCGAGGCAGGATCACGACTGTGTATAACCAGCTTTGGGATATTGGTAGCATTGCTGCAACTTGGATCACATTTGGCACCTTCACAATCCAGAACAACTGGTCGTGGCGTATCCCTTCGATTTTCCAGGCTTTCCCGACTCTCATCGTTTTCTTTGCCATCTGGGTCATCCCAGAGTCCCCAAGATGGTTGATATCCAAGGACCGCCACGTAGAGGCACTGGCCACGTTGGCCAAGTATCACTCCAATGGTGACGAGTCAGATTTGACCGTGCAGTTCGAATTCCGAGAAATCAGAGAAACTCTGCACCTGGAGTTTCAGGCCAAAAAATCAAGCACCTACCTCGACTTTGTCAAGACAAAGGGGAACCGGTATCGGTTGTTGCTCGTCGTCGCTCTTGGTCTGTTCTCACAGTGGAGTGGGAACGGGTTGACTTCATACTATTTCTCGCTTGTGATGAACAGTATTGGGATCACGGACAAGCAGGAACAATTCAAGATCAATGGCTGCAAGACGATTGTTTCGGTAAGTAATGGAGACCAGCCGTCGTAAAAGAGAGAATAAAGCTGACATGTTTAGCTCGTTGTCGGCTTGATCGCTGCAGCCGTCGTTGACAAGGTTGGAAGAAGACCGCTGTTCTTTAGTGCAACACTGGGTAAGTAGAGCTTGGACCCAGGACAGCGACGATGCTCATCCATGCCACAGGAATGTCCATCTCTTTCGTGCTTTGGACAGTTTGCTCTGCGCTATATGACCTCCATGACAACCTTGCCGCCGGAAAGACTGTAATATTCTTCATATTCCTACACGGAGCCTTTTACAACATCGCCTGGTCTGGTCTGCTGGTTGGCTACACGGTTGAGATCATGCCGTATAAGCTGCGTGCGAAGGGATTGATGTTGATGAATTTTTTCGTTCAGGCGGCTCTTGTGTTCAATCAGTAGGCACGCCTTGTGCTTCACGAATTCTGGATCATGCTGAAACCTTCCCAGGTATATTAACCCCATCGGCCTTGCGCATCTGCAACCTCGTTGGAGATTTTATTCCATCTACTGTGTAAGTAGTCACTTCTCGGCGATGCTTGGAGGCATTCTGTGGGGTAACTGACCATGAACGATAGGGATGGCTCTTTTTTGAGCTGATTTTCGTCGCCTTGTTCTTTGCGGAGACCCGCGGGGTCACCCTTGAAGAGGTGGCAAAGATCTTTGACGGCCAAGATGCTGAAGTGGCCCACATTGACCTCCAATCGGTCCAAGAAAAGGTTCAAGAAGTCGAGATTTCGCAGATTGAAAATGTCAAGCCAGAGCAAAAGGTTTGAGCTTGGCGTTCACACAAACGTGAGCGGTTAGTGATGGCACAATGCTAGCGTCAGTATCACTGACTTGTGTTGCAGGAGTTTGCACGACGAGTACGCTCTATTTATAGTGGTTACGGGATTTAATAGCTGACAATACTTTCATTCACGTTGGAAATAAGAACCTTGGAATGCGTCGAATATCTGATGAAATCTGGTTGGTAGTCGTGTGGCTGCGTCATCGTGTGCCCCGCCCCCCAAAACTCCCGTCCAGCGGTGCAGAGAGCACATAGGATGAAAAAGAAAAAGAAATAAAATGTCAAAGATGAGAGAATGGGGAGGGGAATATTCTCGAACTCTATATACTCTCACTCTTCCGATGCTGGCTTAGTAAAAACTGCCCTGGCGTCTGGAACCGTTACGCTGTGGCGCAGCCTTGTAATTCGGCATACCTTCTCAATACTGCGCATAAATGGGTGGATTTAACTCGGCGCAATTTTGTTTTTCATAGAAGGACGGCCTCCGCCTTGGGAGGGTCCTTGCAAATATTTCATTAAACAGCCAGAAAAAAAACAATCAACAGCGTGGATTCGCTAATGGTCACCCACTTAACTACTGACACGCCGGCACGAGGCTTAAGTATGGCTGAGCGAACGGGAAGCCCTGTTCTCCTCGTCCTATGGTCGATTGTGACGGTAAATGAAGGAGTTCAATTGATACGAGGTAGCAAGGCGCTCCTGCAGTTGCTCTCGTCGAGACGGCTAAGGTTTTCCAAACCCATTTGATCCTCTGAGGACCGCAACGGACGTCTGTATTGTCCTCTTCCCACTCTCCCCATCATCCTATAAAGCTCACATGAAGTTCTGTATCTGTCTACATGGACCAATGGCTTTGGACATCGCACCACAACACCATCGAGGCATGGGGGAGCCGCAAAACACTATTCAACCCATGCTTCTAGTTACGCCCCTAATTATGCATGGTGCAATTGTCGACAACATTTCTATGAGCTTCTTAATAAGACCCCCTGTAAGATGAAACGCTCGTCTATGGATAGCTCCTTCTTCGTTATTGGGGGTTAGCTCCAATCGATGTGGTTGCAGCCACGCACCGAACGAGCCGACCCACCGAACTAGGGAAACTTTTGGGCATGATGTTGAATATGGTGGTCAGGAGCCTTTCCACATGCCGAGTTTGCGGTTGATATCCAGATTTAAAGGTTTGCGTCTGCGAGGATGAAATGCTACATGGGGACTTTTGTCCACGAGTGAGTAAGACGCTACAGTTTGAAAGATGCATCAAGAGGGACTTGCGTATTTGTCGAGATGAATCCGGAAGAACCGTTGGAAGAACATCCGATCTTCTCTCATACATTATCCATACTTTGCTATCCTCGAAGACATTACTATGCCAAAGTCCGTACTATCGCGACGATGCGGCACAAGCCTGCTCTTTGGGAACATCCCTTTTGACGGCACGAAAATGCGAAAACGCTTCCCCTGCACCTTCGTTCCTGAATCTTCCTACTTTTCCCGGCATTGTGTATGTCCCGTTCCGCTCCCCTGATATAGCACAGATTGTGGGATACTTTCATCCTGATGCTCTCTCTCAAGTCTTCGAGATAGCGTATGTCATCGGTGGCACAGCGGTTTGACAGACCACTTTATGCTTCCAGATCATGCCGAGTCGCTGGAAGAACGCAAAAAGAGAGCCTTTTGGCACATACCCTAAATATCTCGATTGCCACCATGCCGCAAAGGTCCCTGTTTTAAAGTAGACGTTGTCAAACCCACCGTCCAATTTCCAGGCTAAGAAAGGAATGGTCCGCCTACCTTCCACAGGCCCAAGTTCTGCAAATCCAAGTGCCTCAATCACCCAGGGGAGGAGGGCAACCAGTATCCCAATGGCGATGACAGTGGTGTAGACTGGGTGTTCACGTGCAAAGTCAACAGCCGCTGCCACTGCCCTGTCGAATGCATCTTTGAGCGGTTCTCCCATCTTCATACCAGCCTTCAACCCTTTCTCGAGTCCCTCTAACACTCTCTTCGCGAGAGTTTCGGTCCACTTTCGAACACCCATGACAATTGCTACTTGATTCTCTAGATCTTTGCCAGCTTTTTCTGATTCTTGAAGAACACGAATGATGTCGGTGGCAGCTCGAACGTCGTCGTCGTGGCTCGGAGCTTGGACATACATCGCAGTGTCCCCGTAAGTTTCAGGATCACAACCTCCAACGGCTTCGTGGAAGCATTGCCGAATCGAGTCGAACATAGTATCAGAATAGAAGCAGGAAATCGAGAGTCAAATCCACAGGAATTGCTGGACGCAGAGGATGTTACTGCAATAATGATAGAATCGAGTTTAACATGGAATCAATGAAGAAGGAATCACTATGGCGCAGTCAGGCTGAGGTTTGAATGTGATTGTGATTTTACGTGATTATGCACGGTACTTATTCTGCATGCCTCAATGAGTTATCCAAGCAGGAGACTCTACGTGTCATCCTGTCATTTGCTCCTCGCTCAAACAATTGGAATCTCAGCTTAAGATGGCTGTGGACTAGCCATCACTTGTTCAACATAGAACTCAGAACCACATACTGTGGCTAGAAGAACGTTCCAAGGTGAATGATTCATCCTCAGTGCTATTATTGCCTACCACTCAACACTTCTATTACTGCGAACGACTTAATGTGACCCACGTCCCTAACCATGTCAACGCAGCCTCGATTTCATAGTTGTATGTATACATGGAAGCCAAACTTATTCCATGGTCTATCTGCCATGCTCGACCAGATATTTTGGTGAGATTTTGCCCTTCTCCCGAGTATATTACCACGTCAGGCGGGACATCGGCCAGCCGTACTTTTTTCCATAAACGTGGAGGTCTGGTTTTGGGGCACGATGGGGTCGTCTAAACCATTGTGACACAGGATCGGGGTCCTGATGCGTTGGGAGTGATGGATGGGACTTCTTCCGAACAGCGCCTGCTCCCTGTCCCTGTCTAGCATGTTGGGAGGTAGCACAACCGCTCTAGATATCGCGACTCGAACTTGTGCGTGTCTTGGACTAGTATTTTCAAATCGGAAATTCCGCTCTCCGCCACGGCGGCGGCCCAGATATCGGGATACTTAGTGATTCCTTGCATGGCGGAGAAGCCTCCGGCAGGATACCCCGTCAGGCCGACTCCGTTGCGGTTGATGAGCCACCCACAAAGGGTAAGAACGAGGAAGGTCAAGCCATAGCACGAAGCGGCGCACGTAAGCGAAATAGTCGACTGGGGTTTTATCGTAGAGGCTTGAAGAAAATCAATTCTCTAACTAGAAGTGAGAGAGCGACCCGCCCCTATATAGACAGCAGCAATATCAATTGGTCTCCATATCCAAGATGGCCATTTCTTCAACACCAATTATGGTCAATTATGGTTGTGGTGTGGAAAGCCCGAAAAATCTTGCCGTCCATCCACCATGAGATACCAGCCTTTGTCGCCCAAGCTTCTCTGACTCTTTGGACAGTTGACGAACTTTGTGGCGATGATGGTGTTCGTCAAGTTGAGTGCGGCACCGTGGTTCAATAGCATCTTTTCGCAGTGCGACGTATGGGAAAGGTGGCCGATGTATCCGTCAAGTGGTTGTCCGTGTATGATGGCTCGATGCATTTTCCTCCACATGTAGGTGCAGTGGTACATGTGATATTCCTGTGTTACATACAGCTCCGAATATTCTCCGTTGCGCAGCGCCTCGTACTGAACAGGGACCGTGCCATTAGAATCTCTATACCATTGCCAATCGCGCTGGGCAAGGAATTGCGCGGTGAGTTCTTCATCAAAGCAGCGCTTTGGCAGCCAAGCGAAAGACACAGGGTCAAAGCTGCACCCGCGTCTCACAGCATCGGACGCTGAGAGCCCACATGTATCGACAGCGTCACTGCTCGTATGCCCGCGCACAAAGGCATATCCTAGTAGTCCAGCAATGAAGCATCCAAAAGCGACGATGTATCCAAAGTATTTCTGCCCTGCACCTTTTTGACTGCGCAGAGGCATCCAAGTCTTGTTGCTCAGATCTTGATCTCCTTCAGAGTATTCTAGTGACACTCTTGGATACGACATGGAGAATTCATGGGATGGCGTCTACGGAAAGGAAAAGCGGTGCTCGCCAATAGAACGCAGAAATGTTCATAGAGCCACACCGATGCTTGCTGGCTTTGCTGCTTGGATTCGATGTAGAAAGCTTCACTGGGTCACGAAGCACTCTCAGTTTTTCAAGAGAAGGTTGCGAGAGAGTCAAGCCCAGGTCATGCAAGAAATTGAAGAACGTGCAACTTCCGCAAGACAAAAACTATAGCAGGGGGACACTCTTCGACGATCCGTAGCCGCTTTCTCGTCACGTGCATTTCGCCAGTGGATATAGGTGGAGATTTCCTGATCATACATGTAAGAATGTGGATCATCGTCGCTGTGATCAACGTAAGACCTCGACCTACTTCGAAGGGGTCACAAAAAGACCTGAACTTCTCGTTTCTATAACCAAGATTGGTCCATGGTAGCGCGCCTATCACGCATACAGGCTTATGCTCTAGCAAGGGCTCCAGGAGCACCTACTCCATGTAGACACCCGGTGAAATCGCCGCCAGGTGGATTGATTACTGAATCCGCTTGTGGAATGTGCCTGGTGGGGAAAAGCAGGTGCTTCGAGAATTTGCGAAAGCCTCCCTGACTAGACGTCTTTTCGTGCTGACACATGATATGCTGTGAGTCGTACCAAAGCCCCGAGTTCTGCCAAGTTGCGGTATATGTTTCTCAACCTGGAAGCTTGGTTTCACCATGTTCCATTTGTGGGTCACAGTTGACAAGAGTCAGTAGCAAGACCCCGTGCATATGAGCACTTTACGGAGTTTGTCCACACCACGAATTGCACAATCCAAACAAAGTTCCCGACTGACGGTCGATTTCAAGAATTTTAAACGATTTACCTATATGCCTGACAATGAATTATATTGGAGTGAACATGATCTTCTTGTATCTCATGCGATTACAGCCTTTCAATTGACTCCATCTTCGGGCCATCAGCTATAGATCTATGACCAAGGGGGATTTCCAGTATCGTAGATCAACGGGTTCTTGAGTGGCAAAGTCATCCGGCTATGCCAGTAGATAGACAGTGCGAAATTAAACCGAAAGATCTAAAAGTATACTCTGGGCCAGATATTCATGGCGGTTTTCCTCCCACGATTGACAGGCAAGCCAGCGTGAAGAGTGCGTTCATCCCCTGTTCCGTTCGGATGGAGATTAATCCAAAAGATCGCATTTCCGACCACTGGTTTGACTCGAAGCCCGGGATACTCTTCACGCTGCGAACTCATGATCGAGTCCATGGCGGTCTCCGGCAAGAGGCCTGGAGATTGAATCACTTCTGGAAAATGAGTTTCGCCCCCATCCAAATCGGTTGTGGCCTCGACAATCACAAAGAAGCTTGTGAGCCTGTTGTATCGCCTGCCTTCGGGATCATGATTTCCTTCTCCTCTGTACCAATCGAAGTGAGCGTTGTACTGTTGAGATTCCGTGTAGCGGACAAGCTGCAGACCGTCAAGGACCCCTTCCATTGCAGAGCCCTGAAATTCCAGCGCTCGAGCGGCGATACAATCAACAACAGGCTCATTTCTCAGCAATGTAGCTGATGTAGACGATCTTACAGATGCATTGCGTTCGTTTTGGCCAAGCCGAGACGGCTCAAACTTCGGTTCCCTGGAAGAAGGCATGTCAGATTATGATGCTAAGGAGCATCCTGAGCTGTGGGACGTCTTCCAAATGCTTCTTGTCCTCTTAGTATTTGCTTGCTGTACGTACCCTAATTTCAGAAGGAGTTCGCTCTCCTCGGTGCTGATGAAACCATGTATATAGATCAGCAATGGATCTCGAGACAGTATAGTGGTTTTGTATTCTTTATTGACGCATTTGAATGCTTTCGAAAGCGATCGACTACTTCCAAAATCTCCGATCCCAAAAGGAAGATGTCTTTGCCAGTCAGAGAATTGAAGCAGGGCAACCATGCCGGCCAGTATCAGACCATACCAGGAGAGTTTCTGAACTCCTTGTACGAGTCGTGATTGAGGTGTCGCCTTCATTGACTCCGGGTTGTGAGAATGCTTCTCTCAAATAAAACCAGAATGCGAGAAAATTTACAGAAGAGGAGCCGAGGAGAGAACTCGAGGCCAACTGTTAGAGCTTCAACAATCTAACTGAATTCTCGGCGAGAACCCTTGGTCACGGTAGACTAAGGTTTTGAAGCACGGTCTGGTTTAGAGGCCCATCTACAACGAGGCAGAGCTGACAGGTTTCTGGCAAGAATGATCGCCAAAAATGTGGGTCAGAGAGTTAGATGCCTATTGCTGACGTTTGACATCAATCGTCTAAGATGCAAAAGGTCAAGTAATATTGACGAACGAGTCGTTCTTCACAAAGGCGCACCTAAAGCCCGATTATGCTATCATATGCACGGGATTGCCTTGTCATCCCATCCTACTAAGACGTCGTACTTATCTAGTAACTCGCCAAATCATTAAGGTTACGCGAGCCGACCCACTATTCTAACCAGTCTTTGCTGAACCAAGCTTCAAGCCGGAGATGGAGCGGGGCAGAGCTTTTCAAGTATACACCTATGTTGAGTGTTCAGAAACTATTAAATTACGGAGACCCAATGGCTATGTCTTTCTGTATGAATCTCAGCCTGTTTGTAAGTAAGCACTAAGTAGTGGACCGGAAGTTTCTGGATCAGCACTATCAACAGGTATTCTCCCTGCAATTCTGGCTTCAGGACCGCTTATCCCCGTTGTGATAGATCTCGTTAGACTAATTTGCTTAGTCAAAACTACCGGGCTCCAATTGTATGCACGTCAGCACCTATAGAAGAGCACACTACATCTCAGTACGTAAAGCAGATGTTCGGGATTGATCTCCGGCAACTCTCCGCTACTACCCTCAATCCACACTCACACAGCTGGGGTGTGCTGCAGCGTCAAGTAAGGCGGGGAGTAAGCGAGTCTCTGTTCAATTATTTACAGGGTATTACTTGAAATGCGACACCATTACCCGGTCAAGCCTTGTATTGCATCGTATTGCGATGAACCAGGTGAAAGATTTTTGACAGTGCTTCAACCAACGAAGTACAAGGTAAGAATTGATGTTACTATATCGCAAACAAAACTTTGACAACTTGGCTTTTGGTAGGTGAGTACCCCTGTATGAACATGATCATTTACCAGATGATAACTATCCTCACTGCCGGGAGAATGTTTCATCGATGACTGACTTAATTATTAGTGACCGAACCCCACCGAAGGATTGTAATGAAGATCTATACTCTTTGAGGAGCAGTCGCAACAAGCAGGAGCGGTAGGTGGCCGCATGCTCGTTGGATGGGCTCACCGGGGTTCACTGGTTTGCTCAAGGATTCGAACTGGTTTCAATGTGGTGAGACGAGTTTGCCCTTCAGTGCTAAAGGAAAAAGGCCTTTTCCTCTGATATAAATAGCGGTGATTGTCTCTCACCTCTCACGTCACCTTCATCAAAATAACTCTGTGTCGGCCAGATTAAGCCACAGCTCCCTACCGCTATCCTATCTTTGCATCAGCAAACTCTCATTCACTCCAAGATGAAGAACATCTCTTTCTACCTCGCATTCTTGGGTGCAGGCATTGCTGCAGCACTTCCTAACCCAAGCGGAGAGCCGCATACACTCTGGATCAAGCGTGATCCCAGCGGAGAACCACATACACTCTGGATCAAACGTGATCCCAGCGGAGAGCCACATACACTCTGGATCAAACGCGACCCTAGCGGAGAGCCACATACTCTCTGGATCAAACGCGACCCCAGTGGAGAGCCACACACTCTCTGGATTAAACGTGACGGTATCGAGAACGAGGCATAAAGAAACCTACGCAGTAAGTGGCTTTAAGACCCAGGGCTGGTTTGCGACTAATAGTATTTTTTTTAGCGAGATTCCATCAACTGGCACCAAAACTCTAAGACAAGACGACCGAAGGGCACTAAGTGGAGAGGGGTATTAGCTGGATCCACTCGTTCTCCTAGCTAGAATTCATTGTATATCCTCATAGCCAATCAAATACAGATTGCAGAATGGAAAGTTGGTTTGCTTAAAGTTGGCTTCAGATGTTCCTTTCTTCGATCAGAGTTCCCGGAGCTTATGCTTTTCGTATAGTCCGACCACTTCACGGACCCTTAAAGCAATTCCATTCTCGTTCTCATCAGCCCCAATACTCCTTTGCCTCGAACAATCAAAGAGCAATCAGGAATTGGTACCACGCCACATTTACTTTCCAGTGCTCAAGGTACGTTGCCAAACGACTGACGATGTGCTATGCAATTCAAAAAAGTTGCATATGTCAAGTAAAATTGTCGTAACCATTGTCCTAATCGTAAGCAGGATGCTCCTCTCGTTGCCTCTTGCTCTTCTTCAGGTGGTTCCCATGGGAGCCCAAGTTATGCAACAAATGAAACCACCGATGGTGCTTGAGGGCATATATGAGCCACTTGACCGAGATATCATTGGCACGGGAGCAGACGGTACAATCAGCCTGGTGCGGCGGGTTACAGACGACCGGACTCTAGCCGCAAAATGCTTTCGACCAAGGCCGACTGCGGTCCCTGAGGACGAATACTACAGCAGCATCCGGTCCGAGCACTGGCTATCTTCACGACTTCAGCACCCCAACATCATACAGGTGTTCGACCTCATCGAAGGCACACGCTCCCCATGTGAGATCATGGAATATTTTCCTATGAATCTAAGACAAGTTTTACACACAGGCACGCTGTCTCTGGGGCAGATCGACTGTATCTTCTACGACATGCTCTTGGCGGTGGCATACATGCATAGCATGGGATATGCTCATCGAGATTTAAAACCTGGGAATATTATGATTGATAAACACGGTTGGGCCAAGTTGATAGATTTTGGCACCGCGAGTGCCATTCATGATCCTCTCAACGGCAAAGCAATAAGAATCCATGGTAAGTCAACGATTCCTTCCCTTTCTACTGGATCCGATCCCGTACTGTTTACTGTACAGAGCTGACCTGACAATTCTTTTTCTTCGCAGGAGTCTGGGGTTCTTCAGAGTATTCAGCACCAGAATGCCACGGCGAAAGCACATTCGAGGGTATGCCTGCGGACATATGGTCTTTAGCGATGGTCTACATCTTCGCTGTCACCACAGAGGAACCATGGACCTCGGCGACGAACAGATCCAGTGTATTCTCGCGATGGGTGAAATGGAGGACTATTTTGAAGGCTCACGGCTCCCACGTGGATGCCGTCGCTGCTAATTCTCTGGGTACTGAGCTAAATTTCGTCTCGCATCTGCCCAAGGATAGTGTCGAGCTGATCCTGAGGATGACCGAGGAAGATCCGAATCTGCGACCTACATGGCAGGGTATTTTCACAACTCCCTGGATACGAAATTTATCTCGGTCGTGTACAGTACATGATTAGCGGGAGTGATTACCACGGGTTCATGGGTGCATCTCTCTTCAAACTTACTCCCTTCATTCGAAACTCTTCTATAGGTATACTTGGCCCAACTCACATCGATACTTTGGATAGCTTTAATTCCTTATTAAATGTCTGTTTCTTGCTCTACGTACACATTTTCATGTGCCCACCCCATCAAAGCGTCCCAGTCCCGGCACACATGGGTATTGTTCGCTTCAAATGTCCCGAACACCCCTTGGTAAGACCGCTCAATGGTATTATCTGCATTGCATATCGTCGATTGCCGAAGATATTCAACGCAGTGCAACGCATGTCCCTCAAAATCTTTCGGAGGTTTGGTCCCGTTCTTGGCCATGTAGACTGCTTGTAGAAACATCCACTGCAAAGAAAGAACCAACGGTCAGTTTCGTGGAGCTGAGACTGCGCGACAATGGAATGTTGAACATACTACGCAGTGAAATTGGTGGTAGCCAGAAACTCCATAGCCTCTCCCCGAATCCCATTTGAAAGACATGGCCGCGAAGATCCCTTCGTCAAGATATGGTGCCCACGCGTTGTGAACGTGGGCTGGAGGACCCATGAAACGCGGGTCCTTGATGAACGTGACTGTCTTCCTAGGAACTGAAATTGACGGTCAGCTACAGTATAAGTTGCTGGATGGAGGGCTATGCACACATTCAGGACCAAACATCGGTGGTCGAACACCCTTTGTATACTTCACCGCCTCGGAAAAACTTGTAGTCGCCACTTCGTTGAACGTGAATGAAGTCCGTGCAGGCGTGGAACTCATCGAGAGCAACAGAAGAGCAACGCCTTCTACCACTGCAACAAACAATACCGCGACAGGTGCAGTTCTACCAAATATGTTCCACGGTTTTGGTCTCCCTGCTAGCTGGTTGAAATCCGAACCGTTATCGTCCATATGTACCGAACGATGGCTTGAACCCATCAACGGCTCTGTAGAGTTCGTCGTTCGCTCTTCGAGCTGGTATTCTTTGGAGGATCTCGCCTCTTCCATATTTAGTCTATTTTCAGTCGCCTGAAATTTCGGGTTAAGAATGAGGTGGACAGCACTGGGCAAGTGCACTGAGTCCTTCATTAATTCCGAACTTTGTCACAGCTGACCTTCGCGACAGAAAATCACTAACGGATGAGATTCGTCACTTGAAAATGGTGAAATGACTCATCCAACCCCTCGCAAGCAGGAAAGTATAGTGCTACAGGACAACAAGGTGCGTCGCATCGTTAGACCAACTCCCCGCTCTGTCAAGGCTGCACCAACCTTTAACCAACCGTGGAAACATTGCGGGGATGAAGGATCTGTCAGCTTTTGCGGATCAATAAGCACTATTCCTGCGTCACCGGTCGTCGACGACACTCCAACCGGATGGCACGCGACGAGTGCTCTCGAGAGGTCCTGCGCGGATTTCTGAACTAACATAGATCAACCTCTCATTGCCTCTTCTGGATCGGTAAGATACCGATGGTCCTCATTGTCAGGATTCCCGATCTGACAGGTAGTTTAGCTTGATGTAGCATTTTGGCATCTTTAACATGGGTCACCGGAATCCACATTCGTGGATTGTTTGAGAAAGAGCTACTACCGTATGTGCTTACACTACTCCCTCAGCCCCTGGTTTTGCAATCAAGTGTTTCGTATTGTAATTTTCAGAAATCCATTTTCACCATTCATTTACTTTTACAAGATCCATGTATACAGGACCGGAGACATGGCGGCCCTGACCGATCACGAGTCAGTCTCCACTGCTGACGAGTTCACCACCTTCCAGAAAAGGGAACTAATCATTCGCTCATAGAAGGTGAGATTCAGTAGTGTCGTTTTCCGAGAAGAATAACGTCCTTCAAAGTATGCTGGTAGTTTGGGAGGCGTTCGTGCTTCTTGGACCAGAAGAAGCATTCGACCTCCTCGCTGTGCTTCCACCATAGCAGCAAATCTCCTGTCTCCTACTCTTGCACTTTGTCGCTTTGTTGCTCATTTCTCCGGTATGCTTGAACCGTGGATTGCCATCTTTCAGATAAAAATTATCTAGAGACTACTTTGGCCTATGATGAAGGCATCATTTCTCTGCGGTGGCCATGTGCCCTATGACAAGATCGAAGACCAAGAAAGTTTTGATAGCGAAGACATTTCAAACGCAGGTGAAGCAATCAAAGCATCCGAAAACCGACCAGAGTCACGCCCCATCGATCGCATCAGAAAGGGAAATGTGACTCGGCAAGAGGTCTTGCTTGCAGTCATCCTGGTAGCGTGGGCCATCACAGTCTTCGCTGCCCTTTCACTATGGCAGAAGCTCATTAGAACAGAGGGCGGAACGCCGACCGTAGCATCGGTACCGTATTGTAAGTATTGCTGCATACCTTAAGGCCAGTGACCGGAGAAACTGAAGCAGTCTCTGCAGTTCCGGCCCAGTACATTTATTGGGGACCTGATTTGATCATGGGCGATGTACCCACGGAGGAGAGCGACCGGGCTTGGGAAGCACTCATGCCCAGTAAGTTGGCCTCTGCTGCCTTTTTCAACAGAATATTCCTTTTACAGATGAACTCACATGGCATTATCTTGCAGTTGGAAAGGGGTTCGTCAATGTCAATGACGACCCGCACAATCTCTCTCAAACTACTATGTATGGTGTCTCCGCATACCATCAACTTCATTGTCTGGTACGTTGTTCCCATTGTCATTCATCCCGGCAGGGACATGAAGAAGAACCATACCCAACTGACTCCACGTTCTCTTTAGTATATGGTCCGCGAGCGAGTGGCACTGACGATACCGCCCGAAGAGGTCGAAACTTATCGCGGCCGGCTAAGAGAAGATTACGAGATGTATGGAAGGGCGGGGGACAAAAAGTCGAACCCGTACGCAGCAACACTCAATGCCCATGGTAAACAGCACATGGGATCCTTACATCATGTGTTTCACTGTATGGACTATCTCCGTCAAGCAATTATGTGTCTCGCAGACGCTACATTAGAGCATATCGATGAGGGAGGAGCTCCAGGATGGGGGGACACTCACAGGTGTGGCAATTGGGACTCCTTGACCAAGTGGTCATACGAAAATCGTGCCAATAGTTCGAGAACAGGAATCCATTAAGCTCTGAAACAGAGCCATTAGGTACCATGCAAAGCAATATCATATTTAAAGCTCTCATGCGGAGACTTGAAATCGAGTGAGACTCGAGTTGGAATTCCATTTCGAGATGATAATCGTCAAGGGGCAACTCTCAAGATTCAAGAAGCTCACTCGTCTTTCTGAACACCACCCGCCTTGCCTTTGGCAACGTCCAGTAACGTTTCATTTCCGCTCAACCCAGGCGGTTGAGGCGCACCCCCAGGTGCCGTGCTAGCAGAAGTATTTCTTCCCCACTGCGATTGAGACTTCTGTTAAAAAGCCCACTGGATCCTGTAGTCTCCATTCTGCGTAAAGTGACCGTAAAAGGAATGGTACTGCGTTAAATAACACGACGACGCGGAGAGATGCTCCCACCGACTAATTGAACGACAAAATCGGATCACTCCCCTTCGTAGCTATCACGACGGCGGAAGAGAAGCCCGTGGGTGGCAAAATCCATGGCGTTATAGCTTCCGACAACTAGATTGATACCCGGCACCCCCAGATGGAATCCCCGTCTCTTCATGGGTTGTTTACAGTGTGACCACTCTTCCCCGAAACGACTGGGAGCTTAGTGTCGAACGCAATATAGGCATGTCAAGCGTGATGAGCGCCCATGACGATACATAACTGCGCCAGTTTCTCCCACACGTGTGATTCCAATTCGCGACAATTCGTCCTTCAAGATGCCAACCTCAAGACCGTGGTGGACGTGTCGCTGTGGACATGAAGTCTGGTCGGAGAGTTACATATCTGGAGAAGTAGGGACAGGACAGTTGACGGCAAATTCTATACCATCCAGCTTTGACTAGCAACCCCCGCGGTCACTAAACACACCAAAGGGTGATGAGCTTAGCAAGTCGAGGCCGCGAGTTCACCAAGTACCTAATCAGAGGCAAGTAATAGTTTTGTTACAACAAATTATCAACACCCCGTCACTCAATTTGAGCCTTCAATGTCGAAGAAGGCCAAATACACGCTCCACAAACAAGGATCCTAGAGGTACGATTCCGCCTACCTTGAGCCAGTTTCGCCGGCTTTAATTGACTATAGTATTCAGGATTAGTTTCTCGAAGCTACCAACATTAACTCGAATGATAACTAGTCTGTCCTATTCTTCAAAGCCTTGAGATTAAGGCGAGATTATTATACTCTGTCCCTAGAGATCCTGCGTTGTTCAGTGCGAGCTTCCGACTTCAATTGCCGATCTTGTTTATTTTATCACACTGAAGTGGTGGAAATAATAGCGCCGATGGGACTCCTCAGGGACAGAGCGAGTTCTCTTCTGCCCTCCGAAGGTCTCTGACATCTCCGTAATCGAACCGTGCTATAGACCAGAGCCATATGTATGTAACACAGGGAGGATCGGGTCCTATGGGCTTTCCGTTGTTATGCAACGCTTAGTTCTAGGCGATGTTTAGGGGCCAAACGGGATGTATTGGCGAGTCTGACCTCCCTTTCTAGGAGGGAGATATCTATCTATTATATAGGCAAAGGGAGTGAACTTTCTCTCTTTGAGGAGGGCTTCCTCGCCGCCGTACAGCGTGCCGCCTGGAGTCATCGGCCGCCATCGGGCGGCGTTCTATCGGGCGACGCTCTAGACCGAGAGAAATCCTCCGTGAAGGCCGAGAATATTGTCATATATAGTGAAAGCCAGTGAATTATGGTGTTGCAAAAGTTGTAAGGAACGTCAGGGCGTCGGCGTTCCGGCGTGAGTATTTGACTTGTAAAGATGGTCATTGGTAACGCCCGCAACTCAGCCCATTCAACATACAAACCCAGGGACTTTCTGCTGATATTTTACAGCCCGGAAGCCCAAAGACCCTTCATGGAGCGCAGGGAGCCCAATAGCTTTCAGAAATACAGCGTGAGCGATAGATTGTTGGCGAAGCTTCACAATATCAGAGTGAGGGATGTGCTAGGCAACAAGAGGCAGACGTGCGAATTTCGATAAAGACCGGAAGCGCTTGAAACTCGAGGCGGAACCTCATGGAGAGAAGGCAGCTCTCCTTAAACATGGTATGTTGATTGAACCTGAGGAACAGATATAAGAGACTCGAACTGATTCTCGCACGCAAGGGACGAATCCAGTCCTCCCAGCACTTTCCCACTTCTGTGATCGAATGCAGATGATCCCATTGGACCGACATGAGCTATGGCGAGAGCCCGTAAAGAGACCACCGATCCAGCCTCTAATCAGGCAAGGTCCAAAGAGCACGCCTATCTTGATCTGCCCAAATTATATCGTAAAACGCACACACCCCTTTTTTTACCCCCTTTTTGTTAGCGTCTATGCTAACCATCAAGAAAGAACAGACGAGGATCATTTTCTGCAAATAAATGATATCCCGGAGCCCCTTCCCGACATCTGGCTAAAAGAATGGTGGCCGAGAGTTCAAAAATATTTCGGTCCTGATCAGGAGAGACTTGATTATTGTGCCCATATCGACGATGCTCCAGAGGGTGCGATTCAAAGATGTGATTACGGCATGTTTCCGCAAAAATACGAAGTACTTTTGATAGCATCTCCACTTGAGGATCCAGTGCTACATAATTCGACTGGGCTGTCCATCGAAATAATTGGGCCATCCACGGAACTGTTACCCGGATAATGGATACTTTGTCCGATGCATTCAACCTTATAGGCTTTCCAACACAGCCGCCGGTCCCGGTGCTAACTGACTGACTGACTTCCTGGAGATCACAAGCACAAAAGTCAAGATCGACTCCGTTGCGGCATCAAGTCTGTGATATGTCGCTCTCGAATTTGTCGTCACCGGAATCATGATGGCGCTTTGAACGGCGATAACAGGCTGCAGCACCACTATTTAGACCTTCAGGGTCATTCGAAGTGTGAATCTACAAACCTGCAAGCATGTCTGGGCCATTTACCTCGGAAGTGCCGCCACGCTCTCTGGCTGCGGTCCAGGATTCCTCTACAAAAACCATTTGCACACAGGAGAGAGATACCCCGACTCCAGAATCTACACAAGTTCTCGTCCGGATCAGCTGTACCGGAGTATGCGCCACGGATCTACATCTGTGCAGAAGGGACCTGCCGTACTTGCAACCGACGGTGTCGGTCGGCGGGCACGAAGGTGTGGGCGACATCGCGTCTCTGGGCTCAAACGTCAACAAAAGTCTGTGGAAGATCGGCGACCGCGTCGGAGTCCGCTGGCTACACAGAGTCTGTCTCCAGTGTGACTTGTGCACGAGCGGGTACGAGAACCTCTGTCCAAACAGGAAGATCAGCGGTAAGGACGTCGAAGGATGCTTTGCGCAGTACGCGCTGGCCGACTCCGAATACCTCGTCCGCATCCCGGAGATGGTGAGCGACCCCGATGCCGCGCCCATCCTTTGCGCGGGGGTCACGGTGTACAAGGCGCTGAAGATCGCGCAGCTGCGAAAGGGGTCCTGGGTGGCCGTTGCCGGCGCGGGAGGCGGGTTGGGTCACCTTGCGATCCAATATGCAAAGGCGATGGGGTTAAGACCTATCGGTCTCGACGCTGGCAAGAAGGACATCTGTCTCACTATCGGCGCCGAAGCTTATGTTGACGTCCTGGAGACCAACGACAGCGTCGCGGCCGAGGTGCAGAGAGTGACGGGTGGCGCTTCTGGCGCACTGATATGCGCATCCAACGGGAGAGCGTACGCTGATGCCGTCAAGTACCTGGCCAAAGCTGGGACGATGGTATGCATTGGCCTCCCGCCACGACCGTCCCCGATCCCCGTTCTGCCCGAAGACTTCATCGCAAGGGGAATCAAGATCATGGGCACTTCGACAGGCACACTGAAAGATACGGAAGAGGCTTTGGACTTTGTGGCTCAAGGGCTGGTGAAGCCGAGACTTGTCGAGAAGTCGTTGGACGATATTGAGAGCGTTCTTGAGGATATTGAACATGCCAAAGTCGAGGGGAGGGTGGTTATTAGAATGGTACATTAACATGATGATATACGATGCTCTACGGCCGGAGCATTCTACACTACAGAGTGCAGGGCACTTACGAGTACGACAAGTAGAGGTACCTAGGTGACATGCACCTTCTGTCGACGAGCCCCTTTTACACATTCCGTTTGCAGATACCTATACGTTTACTCCACTAAGACTATCTCGCCTGCTCTTTACAGGCCAGTGAGGTTGCAAAAAGCTCGTCTTCGCATCACGGCCGACAGGAGTAGGTAGCCGCCGTGTTCGTATTGTGGTGTTGTCTAGTAAATGTCAATGCTCAATCAAAGCATGCCGGATACGACAATTACGCAAAGGGAGGTTTTGTGATCGAACGCTTCCAATAAAACAGGCCTAAACACATACCTATCGGACGAGCACAGCCTGGATTTCCTTTGTTTGAGAATATCTCCGCCCGAGGACGCTCAGGAATCTTTCCAAACCAAGAGATCAAAGTTCTATAATAGTCTATACTCGCAACAGAAGCACGCCGTTCAGGAAGAGACTGCGGTTGGGGACTGGCCTACATCTTCCGCATACTCAACATCGTGATTCATATCGCCACTCAGCTTTTATGCTCGCAGACACCACTCCACCACCACCACGGGTCAAGCCCAAACTCTCACCCGACAGAATCAATAAACAGTTTATTGTAACCCCTTTCGCGACCCGCGACACCCGCTTCGTCCTCTGGTACTATTTCACCACGAACCTTGACATCCAGTCGATAGCCATTGCCAGAAACGCCACGTTCTATGATGCCACACAACAGTTGATGACCGCACGACAGACAAGCAGCATCGTGAACAAAATTGTGCATCAACGCTTACCCTCCTTCAGAGACGAATTGAACACCGGCGGTCACTTTGCCAGGCCGATAGGGTTTGGCTGGGCTCCTTGCGACCATGGAATGCGCTGTTCCGAGTTGGAAGGGAGCGCAGGAAGGCCACCGATTATGCGAAGCTTCAGCCGACAGGGAATTAGTGGGTCTCAGAAGCATCGCAACCGCAATATGGCATGGCGCCTGGGAGGATCTCCTGGCATGTCCAAGAGATCACGGTGTCGGAACTGATCAAGAGCAAGTAACATAACCAACAAAACCTCAGACGCGAGGTCCAGGCGACTCTGCGAACTCCGCAGAGACTTTGCCGGAGTCACTCATGGAAGAATGGCAATTGTCGGAGCTTCAGCTGTCACCTTCTAGTAGTAGAGACCGAGAAGAGGCCGTATAACAAATTTACACGACGAGAAGGTGCGCGGCAAGAGGAGTACCCATGGACAACTCACAGGAAAGGACCGAATAACTGTCGTGCACAGCTGGATGGTTTGAACTCCTCTGTCAGGGAAAACCATTTCTTGGAATAGGCTGGCGTCCATTGGGCAATGGCGGCTGAGTTTCGAGCTTTATGATGAACCCCACCAGCGACTTTTACCTCGAACACCACCGGTCACATAAGCTGATTCCTCTTCCTCGAACTTCAGCCTTTCGACGAGTTGACGAGCCCGAAAACTTTTGACAAACTTCCAAGCCTCTGTGTCTGCCAAATTCCAGGCTTCGGCAACCCTTCTAATCCTGAGCACATCCTCATTCTTACTGCGTATTGTCTTCGCAGCTTTGAGCAAAAGGTCCACTTCAATGGCCGCCTGCTCCTCTGTAGGAGGAACAGGGTCAGAGCCCTTCTTGCGTTCTTCGGGCAGTCCGGGAGGAAACTTGGCCCACCGGTGGGGTGCAGGGACAGGAGGAAGAGATTCACCATGTGAAACTGTCGTCCTGGGAATTGGGAACCCGAAGTGCCAGTCAAGATGCTCAAGCCAGTGTTCTGGGAATGGAGCAATTCGTTCCACTTTGGGGTGAGCATCGTTTGTCGGAGATTTTGGTGGGGGCGGAGGAGGCCAAAAGGAAGCAGGAAAGTACTCAGTGGTGAACCATAGAGAACGACTGGAACCGTATTCTGAAGCCACCGCATCCTTTAAGCTCACAACTCGGCTTGGACCTCCTCTAGAGTCCCCAAGGATGTCACGGGTGACAGCTGTGATCCACGGATCTCTCTGAGTGTGACGTCTGATGTGAGCGACAGTCAAAACGTCGCTCCGATTAGCTAGCGTGGCCATGGTATAAGGATGAGGTACTATTGAAATTGTGAAGAGCGATGAGGTATTTCTGAAAGAAGGCGCGACGGTTATCCTAAACCTAGATCCGATGCAAGGACTGCATTTTGGTCGGTTGGGCGGACAAGAAGACTGCAGTATGGAAGCCGGACATTCAGCAAGGAGCCCAGCTAGATCTTTGGCTGGTTTTACAAGAGTGAAGGTATGTGCCCCAAGTGGCTGCAACACAGCCACACCACTGCTAAAGCTATTCTGCCATATGGTGTGGAGATGGGCAATCATCAACTGATTGAGTGAGCGTCGACCCTTGTTAGTGTCGGTCAGAATTTGTTCGGCTAGGATGGGATATTTCGCGGGGATCGTCTCAGCGTCGTAGTGCGCGATCGATGTAGGCTGCTCGACTTTGAACCACTCCGAGCCTAATGCTTCTATCATGGAAGCGGTAGAAGCAGTTGACTTGGGGTTCTCAAGTACTGCTTTGATGGCATTATTGATCTGAGTTTGTTCTCCAGCATACAGGCCGGATCCAAGTCCCTCGAATCTGGTAAGGTGTGGGTATTGTCCGCGGCGGAGGTGTGAAAGCAAAAAGTCATCATACGCTCCCATTGGGAGGCAGTACCAGCTGGCAAGCATTCCGGTTCCCATATGAGCCCATGCCATCCATTGCCTGAGTTCCTGTTCCAGCGCTGGGGGCAGCTTCTCCGCCTGCAATGTCTGATACAAGGGGTGGCTCATAGCCTCTGCCTCGGTCAATATAACAGGTCTGAAGCCATGAGCCCACCATGCACGTCGCCAGGTCAGCAGGAGCTCTTTGTCCACTTCCTTGACATTCTCATCTCTTTTGACCGTGGTATCGTAATACGTATACACGGGAGGACGTTCAGGGAGCGGAGGGAGAACCACACGCTCCTCGTCGAGGGTAATTGAAGACGAGAAGGGGTTGAGCCATGTCCAATGGCTGTACCAGGAACTATCGCCATGGGTACTGTTCTTTTGCTGAGGAGGTTTGTGTGCGGATTTTTGGAAGGTGAAGCGGAAGGGAACATTGAGGTTCGATATAGATTCGCGGAGGGCTTCTCGGTATCCAGACGCCTCGTCCAAGGCACTGGGCGCTGTGTTGGAAGTCGTACTAAAGATAAGAAAGCCGATCAAAAAGACTACGCCGACAACGATGTATCTGGAAAGTCGTCTCGGAGCCATGATGACGCCGGTAGCTAGAAGAACGCAAAAACAAACAGAAAAATATTTCAAGACATGTAAATCAGCATTGAAAGCACCTAGTGGCCCTGACCATCACCAAAGGTACGCACATATAGGAGAAAGAGGCAAAATATTGCATAGCACCATCAGAGGTGTACGCGTTGCAGCTGGGGCTATCGCCGGCAGCTTGAGGCGTCTAGTCTATTGAAATCGCCTGGCTCAATGAGGTTAGTGATCCTTATCTAAGCTTTGCCATGATAGGCATCAAGTCTTGCTGCCCTAATATTGTTCTAGCCTGATTGGGCGCCGCTCCAGCCTTGTCCAGCCTTGTTTGCACTTCTCCACGGTCCCACCATCAATTAATTACCTTCCGTCATCGGCCCAAAAGAAAATTATCGACATTTACTGAGTCACTTGTACCAGGTTCGCTTGGAGTCCAATGCAATCTACCAATATGGCGGGGGACGACTCGAGTGAAGATCGCCTGAATTGGTGGACCTCGCTCCTACAAAACCAGACCCTATCTCCTCTGACGAGAGATTATCCAGAGGCGACATCGGGAAATGTGCACGATTGGGCCGTTGGTGCTGTCGAAGCCTCTTCGGCGCCGGCAAGCACGTCTCAAGCGTTGAAGAAATTGGGAAACTTGGGTCCTACAGTGACTGTACTGCAGACTGCCCTTGTTGTTCTCGTGAGCAGACTGACGGGCGATGAGGACATCAGCATCGGTGCCAACTCCGCAGAGAATGAACCGGCTTTCGTCTTGAGGACGTCGGTAACTGCCAATGAACCATTCTCGCAGTTGTACAAGAGGATAGCCGAGGTTTCGAATCAAGCTGTTGAAAGAACCGTCCCGCTTGATATACTCAAGTCTCGATTAAAAACATCCACGTTGTTTCGGTTTGCTGTCCTCAACACAACAGAAGACAAGTCCGATGGTGTGGCGGATATGAAGACGACAGATCTTGTCCTAAAGTACCGTCTTTCTCCTGCCGGCGACCTTTTCTTGACTGCTCGATACAATCAACTCTTGGTATCCAGTAACAGAATAAAGGGGTTTCTGGCCCAGTTCACCCATTTTCTCGAAACCGTCGCCGAGAATGTCGATGCGGCTATAGGTGGAATCGTGTTCGCGACAGAGGAAGAAAAGAAGTTGCTCCCAGATCCGACGAACGATCTCGAGTGGTCTTCCTTTCGTGGTGCCATCCACGACATTTTCTCCGCAAATGCAGAAGCTCACCCTGATCGCACCTGTGTGGTGGAAACCGCATCCGATGACGGGCCTGAAAGAAGTTTCACCTATCAACAGATACACGAGGCCTCCAATATTTTGGCTCACCACCTCGTCAACGCTGGCCTGGAACGGGGGGAAGTTGTCATGATATATTCGTATCGTGGAGTTGATCTCGTCGTAGCCGTGATGGGCACCTTGAAAGCTGGAGGCACCTTTTCCGTTCTGGACCCTGCTTACCCACCAGATCGACAAAATATCTACCTTGATGTTTCGAGACCACGAGCGCTTGTTGTCATAGACAAGGCTACCCAAGACGCTGGGGAGTTGTCGGAAAAGGTGAGAGGGTTTATCAAGGACAACCTAGACCTCAGAACAGAAGTACCGGCATTGCGACTGCAGGATGACGGCTTTCTGCAAGGTGGAGAGATACACGGCAAGGACGTCTTCGACTCTATCCGAGATAAAAAGGGCAAGGGGCCTGGTGTTGTTGTTGGACCAGATTCCACGCCTACGCTTTCCTTTACATCCGGCAGTGAAGGCCGGCCGAAGGGCGTCCGAGGTATGATTTGTGGTCCAAAGGGAGTATTTCGCGTGTTAACCAGCTTACAGGTCGACATTACTCACTTGCATTCTATTTCGACTGGATGGCAAAGACGTTCAACCTCTCCAACAAGGATAAATTCACAATGCTTAGCGGGATCGCTCACGACCCGATCCAACGAGATATGTTCACCCCGCTGTTCTTGGGTGCGCAGCTTCTAGTCCCATCTAAGAACGATATTCAGAATGAGCGTCTGGCAGAGTGGATGAAGAAATATGGTGCAACCGTGACTCACCTGACACCAGCCATGGGCCAGATCCTTGTTGGTGGTGCAACTGCACGTTTCGAGAAATTGCACCATGCCTTCTTCGTCGGCGATATTCTGATCAAACGAGATTGCCGATCTCTCCAAGACCTAGCCCCCAATGTGCGTATTGTAAACATGTACGGCACAACGGAAACTCAGCGAGCGGTCAGCTACTACGAGATCCCGAGTCAGAATGAGGATGGCGCTTTTTTGCTGAACATGAAGGATGTGATCCCCGCTGGGCGTGGCATGTATAATGTCCAGATGCTTGTGGTCAACCGATTCGACCGTACCAAAGTGTGTGCCGTCGGAGAGATTGGTGAGATTTATGTTCGAGCGTCAGGCCTAGCTGAAGGATACCTCGGGACACCGGAACTTACAAAGACCAAATTCGTTGAAAACTGGTTCCCTGGCCACGAAAGAGGACTCGAGTCAGACAAGGCTCGCTTTGAAGCAAAATATAAGAACGAGCCATGGGCCAAATATTACTTGGGACCTCGCGACCGGTTGTATCGAAGTGGAGACCTTGGACGATATACTCCGGAAGGAGACGTGGAATGCTCTGGCAGAGCAGACGACCAGGTCAAGATCCGGGGTTTCCGTATCGAATTGGGTGAAATCGACACACATCTGTCGCAGCATCCCTTGATACGTGAAAACGTCACACTCGTTCGAAGAGATAAGTTTGAGGAACAGACGTTGGTCAGCTACGTTGTACCTCAATTGCAAGCTTGGAGACAGTTCTTAACTGAAAAGGGTAAAGAAGATGAGCAGGATGACAACTCTCTGGTGAGCAGATTCCAGCGTTTCAGGTTACTTCAACAAGAGGTGCAGGAGTATCTCCGGACCAAATTGCCAGCATATGCCGTTCCATCGATCATCGTTCCCATGCGAGCCATGCCGCTCAATCCCAACGGCAAAATCGACAAGCCCAAGCTGCCGTTCCCCGACACGGCAATGCTATCTGCCAGCAGACGCCGCAAATCATCTACTCTTCAGCAGCTCACTGAAGGTGAATTTGCTTTGGCGCAAATATGGGCCAAGCTCGTACCTGGGCTTATCCCTAAGACCATTAAACCTACAGAATCGTTCTTTGAAATTGGTGGCGAGAGTATGAAGGCACAACAACTGGCATATCACGTACGACGTAGCCTCGGTGTGGATCTTGCAATTAGCAAGATCTACAACCGACCTACGCTGAAGGAAATGGCAGCCATAATCGATCAGATGAAGTCTGCTGATTCTCTGGAAGGTCGTTTGGAGGAGGACACAGATGCGAACCAGACCAATGGCGCCAAAGCTGAAGATTTCTACTCAGCAGATGCGGTGAAGATGGTCGAACAACTTCCAGAGTCCTTTTCTACTGTGTCCTCGACAGACCCTCCTTCAGAGCCCGTGGTGTTCCTGACAGGTGCGACGGGATTTCTAGGATCGTTCATCCTAAAAGACCTGCTTGACCGCCAGAGCCCTGCCGTGAAGAAAGTCATTGCGTTGGTGCGCGCCAAAGACGCAAGCGCTGGTCTCCAGCGCATACAAGCTACGTGTCAAGCTTACGGCGTCTGGAGCGACTCTTGGAAGACGCGAATTCAGTGTGTCGCAGGCAACCTCGGTCCGGCCAAATTCGGGTTGTCGGACGCGGAATACCAAAACATCGCCCAAGAAACTGATGTTGTCATCCACAACGGTGCTCAGGTTCATTGGATCAACACGTATGACATGCTCAAGCCACCTAACGTGCTGGGTACGATCGAGGCAGTCAAGCTTTGCGCAGAGGGCAAACCCAAGCTGTTTGCTTTTGTGTCGTCCACAAGCGTGCTAGACCACGAGCATTTTGTTGCTGAAAGCGAGCGAATTATTGCTGCTGGCGGTGAAGGCATCAGTGAGGCTGATGATCTCATGGGCAGCAGCAAGGGCCTTGGGACCGGCTACGGACAGACGAAGTGGGCCTCGGAGTATCTGGTCAGAGAAGCCGGACGGAGAGGACTGCGTGGTTCCATCATCAGAAGTGGTTACGTGCTGGGGTCGGCGAAGTCTGGCACCACAAACACTGATGATTTCCTGATACGAATGCTGAAAGGTTGCGTGCAACTGGGGACGCGGCCCAACATCAACAACTCAGTCAATATGGTTCCAGTCGATCATGTCGCAAGAACAGTGGTCGCAACGGCGTTCTTCCCAGCTGCCCCTAAGGGAGTCAGCGTCGCTCACATTACAGGCCATCCTCGTCTTCGTTTTGTAAGTGTGATCCATCTCATGACCGCTTTTCCGATGAAGAAAGGCTTGCTTCATCACTGATCAATTATGCATGTCGCCGTGACGAAGATTCCTTGCTGATGATTTGCAGAACCAATATCTCGCCGTCCTTCAAACGTACGGCTATAAAGCGGAATTGATCGATTATATCCCCTGGGCATCTTCACTCGAGAACTATGTGAGCAACAACACCGACTTTGCGCTCATGCCGTTGTTCACCTTTGTTGCCAATGATCTTCCGTCAAACACCAGAGCCCCAGAACTCGACGACAGCAACGCCGAGAAGTCTCTCTACGCGGATGCCAAGTGGACGGGAGAGGACGTCAGTGCTGGAGCAGGTGTCACGAAGAATGAAATCGGCAAAGTAAGTCGTCTTGATTTCAAGTTGCGGTGGAGCCTTGCTGCAATTCAATACTGACAGTGCTATAGTACCTTGCATATCTCGTAGAGATTGGCTTCCTTCCTGCTCCCAACGTGACGAGTGGTGATGTGAAGAGGCTGCCACCAGTCAATATCGGAGCCGAGCAACGCGCAGCTCTGGCCAGTGTTGGTGGCAGAGGAGGGTTGAGCTAGACAGTGCACATCACCCCACGACCATGTTACATATGCTGACGAAAACGATTGGAGAGGGAATAGGCAACCGCTAAGACGGTATATTTACGCTTAAATTAGCGAAATAGCTTCGCCAAAAGCAAAATGAATTCATGCAGTCCTAACGATGCGCTTACGTCGACTGCCAGAACGTTTTCCCGTGCCCAGTTGTTTAGGTTTTGCTTACATATGCGGCCGTCTCCCGGACTCCCTATACGCGCAAGCCTTGAAAATATGCTTCGTCCAGGAATGCCTCATCTTGCGTGGAAATTTGGTGCCCAACGTCGCCCATACTCACGCCAACTCAGGATCACTAGACCGGGTATTGGTAATCAGGCTCCCAATACACGGGGCGAAGCGTATAGCAAGCCTTCTTCATAAAACTCGCCAAGCGGAAGATCCAAGACCACTATTTCTCCCGTACTTCAGCACGAACCCGGGTTGGCCGTTTCTCAACACGAAAGGGCAAAGGCGACTAACTATTCTACTGACGCCATGGGAAAACTGTCACAAGAATCCAAGGCCGACCTGTACGAGCCCGATCCCAATTGGACGGCGTTCGCCGAAAAGAACGGGTACCTCAGTCCGGACGCATCAAGCAATGACTCCTTCGTTCTGAACGTCGAAGGCGACCGCGCAGCGGCGGCGGTGAGTGAAGCCGAATTCTCCAAAGCGCGTCCGTTGTCGTCTTTTGGCTACAGCTGGATCCTGTCCAACGTCACCGTCCGCGACGGAGCGTCCATCAGCGTCAAGATATCCTATCCTACCTCGGTCTCTCAGGAGGGCGCAACACCCACCAAGCTCCCCGTCCTCTTTGTTACTCACGGCGGCGGCTGGGTTCAAGGCACCCATGTCTCTGCAGAGTCATCGACCCTATGGCCCCTCTACGATCACTTCAAGCTTCTCATCGTGAGCGTCGAATACCGGCTCGCGCCCGAGCACTCCTTCCCCGTCTGGATGGACGACAGCTGGGACGTGCTAGAGCAGCTACTCTCCCACCCGGCGACGTTCCTCTCTTCAGCAGCAGCAGCAGCCGCCGCCGCTGGATCTGGAGATACAGCCGCGGCCCTGAAGAACGTGCAGCCCGACCTCGACAGAGTCATTCTGGTAGGGTCCTCGGCCGGCGGCGGCACGTCCGCTTATCTCTCGCAAGCGTGTCGGGACCGCGGCCTCCCAATCTACGGCGTCGTCCTCAACTACCCTCTTGTGTGCGACTACCGTCACCTGCCCGACGATTGCCGACTGAGTTACGAACAAGGCACCACCAACGCGGCACTGTCGTCCGGTGAGATGCGCGCGTTGTGGCACCTGTTGATCCCGTCGGCGACGGCCGGCACTGATCTCAAAGCGAGTCCGTTGTTGGGCAACCTCAAAGGTCTCGGGAAACACTTGGTCTTCGTTGCTGGCCACGATCCGCTGCGGGACGAAGCGCTGAAGTATGCTGAGATTCTGGAGCGAGAAGGATGCGACGTCCAGCTTTTCATTTACCCTGGTGTGCCTCACGGATTCACTGACGCATGGGAATTGGATGCCTCAAAGAGATTCGCTGAAGACTTTAGACGAGGGTTGAGCGGATGGCTTGGACACGATAAAGTACCGGGTAGCCAGTGAATTCTGCGTAGGTCAAAATGACTTATAAGTTTTATGTAGTTAGTGGTTCGATCTAGAAAAGCAACCTCGTTACTACGGTACCATGTTTACTTTGAGGGGCGTTACCTCTATCACATTCTACTATTCTCGCTTATCCAGACTCCAGCTTCTCCAGGCCATAGACCGTCGAAACTACAGCTGGCTATAAAGCATAAAACATTAAAATCATTACAACCTTTCATCGTCGCAAGCCAACGAATTTTCCAGCACTCGAAAGTACATTTCCACCGCCCTGCTGTGCCGCTCCCTGTGCCACCTCAGACGTCTTCCCGGCAGCTTGAGCTGCAGTCGTCCCAACACCCTTCGCGGCATCTTCTGCCTTTCCGCTCACGCTCTTTCCCGCGCCGACAGTCTTCTGGGCTGCTTGAGCTGCATTGGAAGTCGCGGATTTTCCTGCCCCTGTTGCTTTATCGACTGATCCTGATGGTAACTTGGACAATTTCGTGTGGATGGACTCAGCAGATGGCACGCCTTGTTCTCCCACACCTGCCGACGGCGACTTCGCACCAGATTGTTGCTGCTGCTGACTCGTCCTCCGTGGACCCAGCTTTGGAGGCTTCATTCGAAGTTGTCCCACACTCTCTTTGTCCACCTTTGGAGTCGGGGCCGACGCGGATGGAGTCTTGACAACTGAAGAGACACGCTCGAGTTTGTCCGCGGGAGGAGACCTGACTCCAGAAGAGACTCTCTCGACCTTTGCGGGTGGTGATTTCAAGCCTGACGGCGTTCGTTCCAGTTTGGCGGAGGGTAGTCCATCCAGCTTTGGCGGGCTTGGTTTCTCCGCTGCTTTTGAGGGCTTTTTTTTGTCCAACTTTGGACTATTTTCGGTGACGTTCCTCGACGACGATGCGCGTTTCTCCAGTTTTGGCGGTGCTTTCTTCTCACCGCCACTGCCAAAGCCGAGACGAGGTAGGCCGGGTAGATACGAGGCTGCTCGGGACGTGTATGTCTGACTTGCCTGGGGGGTATCTTGTGCTTGCGATGTTGCTGAGCTGGCTATCTTGCCGCCTGTGCTTGTCACTGTGTCCATGCCTTTCTGAGTCAATTGCCCTGTTGTCTTTGCGGCTTCCTGAGCATGGCTTACTGCGTTCTTGCCTCCGTCAGTAGCTTTACTGGTACCGGTGTCCACACCCTTCTGAAGCGTCTGGCCTGTGTTCTGTGCCGTTGTGCCCACTATGTCCGAGACGTCTCCGGCCTTGTCCTTGATAGGTTGCGGAGTGCGGTCATTCGCTTGATGGATGATAGGGGCCTCTCTTGCAGCTCGTCTCGAAGACTTCACAGCTGGATTGTCTTTCGGGTTGAGGGTGTTCTTCACAGTCGTTGTCACTGTGTCGGACAGCGTCCCTGTAGCTCCCTTGGCTGCAGACGCGGTGGTATTGGCCACATCAGACGCTGTAGTTGTGGCATTCTCGCCTTGCCCCGTGGCATCCTTTTGAGTCCCACGGCCTGCCCGCAAGGAGGACAGATAGGATGAAGCTTGCGAGATGTACCCTTGGCCCTGGTCCACTGTCCCTTTCCCTGTCTTTCCTACTTTATCTGTTGTCTTCTTGGTGTCGATGGGGCTATTCTGTGGAGCTGCAGTCCCAGCTGTGGTCGACGTGCTAGCATACGGCATGCTGGGCAAACTCCTGTATAGGCGCGTCGTAAGGGGTTCGACTGACCCTTGTGATGTCTTCATTGTCTGGTCAGTAGCTTCTCCTGCCGCCGACGAAGGGTCGTTGGTCATTCCCTGCACAGATCCTGTGATCTTCTTCACATCATCCGCGTTCGGCACCTGTGGTAAGTAGAAGTACTCGATCGCTCGAGTTACAAGGCTTTTCTTCGTTTGATCCCGAACCATCTTCTCCAGCTCGCTTGCCTCTGCTTCACCTTCGGCCTCCTGATCTTCGTTACCGCCACGACTCTCCCTCCTAATCATCCAACGTCGCTGGTTCTCCAGGCTCTCTTTCTTCTCCCGCTTCTCCATCTCGACGAGGGCCTCCTTTTCTCTATCCACTGCATCCATGTCGACATCCTCGAACCCGATCTTTTTCAGAATCGCCCCAATAAGATAGCGATACCTCTGGTGGCTGCTCACATCCTCACTCACGTCGAAATTCTCGACCCCGCTGAGAGCTTCTACCTTCTGCAGCCCGGCCACGCCGTACTGTACGGCGCTCGTTCTGTACATGAAGCCGAGCACGTAGTCGTTGACGCTAAACACGTTGACAAGACGGCCTGCAACCGCGCTCCTCAAGACACGCCAGTCGCTCGTATCACTCGGCGTTGGGCTTCCGATAAGAACGGCGTTCTCGACGATCTCAAACGCGCCCCGTCTCGCCAGGCTCGTGAGACACGTATACACGACTCTGGCACCGAGACTGTAGCCGACCAGAGTGACAGGTCGTTCTCCCTGTGCTCTCCTGACCAGCGCGTCCGCAAGGACCTCGCCCGCCTTGTCGGCGCGACTCTTTGCAACGCTGAACGGGTTATCAATGACCCTGGCGACCTTCATCAGCGCAACGGGCCACATGGCGCCGGCCAGATCGGCAAATATGGTCCGCTTGACAACCTCCTTCTGCGCATAACCCCACGCGGCCGACTGGACGACACCGTTCATCGCGTTGCCCAGGTTCAACAAGGCCTCCAGTTCCCATTTGAGCGCGAACACCTCGCTTCCAACACCAAGCACGCGCCACGGCTTGACCACCTCTTCCTTCTCCGTCAGCCATCCACTCACGCCGATCGTGACCCTCAGCTTATGGTCGTGCGCAGCTTGCTCAACGTCTTCGCACTTCTTCGTCTTCCCGCCCTTGCTGTTGTTCTTTCCGTCTCCGTCGCGTTGCATCTCTCCATCGTGATCATTATCGTCATACCTTCCGTGAACAGGCAAGAATCGAAAGTCCTCGACTTCCCTCGCGTATTGGTCCATCATCTGACCCGTCATGCGCCCACCGTACGCGCCGAACAATCCACCAACGAGTACCGTACTCCCCGCGACGCTCCCCAAATACGCCGCGGCGGAGGTCGCACCCAGGCCCAGGCCGCCCATCACGGAGCCCACGCCCGCGGCCACCAGAGGCGCAGCAAGCCCGCCGCTGACACCGAGGATGGCGGCGCCCGCTGCCGCCGCGATCGCGACCTTCTTCCGTCTCGCGTGCCTGTTGGCCTCGATCTTGGCCCTCATCGCCTCGTCCGCCGACGTCTCCATCTCCATCTCCCTCGCGTGCTCCAGCAGGCCCCGCGCCGTGGTGTACTCGTCCTGCTCGAACGTCTTGAGCGGCAGCTTCAGCGAGCGGGTCAGGTTGAGCATCAGCACGCGCGAGAAGGCGTTGTAGTGTTCCAGGCTGATGAGCAGGAGCAGGACGGAATGGAGGATCAACGTGCGCTCTTTCATGGTCATTTTCGTCAGTGGCGTTTTAGCCCCAGGGTAGAGGTCCTTGAACTTCAACAGCGCCGCAGCCCTGTCGCTGCGCGGGCCGACAGCAACTTGGCCCTTGACCACGTCGACTGGGACTCTGGGCGTCGCCGTCGCTGTCGCTGACAACGACCCCTCTCGTTCTGGAGTCTTACCGGCATCAGCGGCCGTAGCTGCCGTGGGCTGGGTTTTCTTGTTCTTCTTCACCTTCGAGGAGGAGGGCGAAGTGTTGACGGCCTCCCCGACGCGCATGATGACCTGTTCGCGCCACTCGTCGAAACACTTCAGCGCGTCGCTCTTCAGCGCTTTCATCCTATCCGTCGCCAGATCCCTGTCGGCCTCGTCCTTGAGTCTGCGCTCGCGGTCGTAGCTCGACACATCGGCGTGCGGGTCCGCGGCCATCATCTTCTCGTCCTCGCTCATCCCCTCGCGCAACAGAGCTCTGTTCAACCCGGCCGTCGAGTCGAAGTTGTCTTGGATCAACTTGCGCATCGACTCGGCCAGGTTGGCGACCAGGAGTGTCAGATCGGCCCTCTGGTTCTCGTTGAGGATGGTAGTCAGGTCGAGTCCATCTTGACCGTCGTCGTCTCCGTCGCCTCGAGGTCTGTCGTTGGAACTTTGACCATGGCGTTGTTTAATCTGGTGTTCTGGCATCTTCGGCCCCTGTGTTGACTGGCCTCCGTGTCCTTTCACCACTCAATATCTTGATTACCTTCTAACTACCCGGGGTACCTTCGGCAGTCAGTACAGGGTATAGGTATGTAGACGGGAAGATCCCGGGGCTTGGCAGCCTCGTGTGCGAACAAAACTCCAAAACAACCAGGTCTTCAGGAACTCTCGAAATGTCGACGTGCTGTCGATGACAGTCACCTGGGACTAGTCGACTGTCTATTCTGTAAGTGACCAGAAATGTGAGAAAGCAATGGGAGAGAAAGGGAGAACAGGTGTGGCGGTGCAAGCAACGCAACTTGGAAATGGGGAATACGAAATGCTGCAGATACATGACGTAGACTTGGCTGGCGATTTCAGGGATGTTCCCTGCAACATCCACCAAGTCCTGCCGCCAAAGATCCCCAAAGCTTGGAAACCAACAGAGACGATAAACGGGAAAAGGTCCAGGTAGGCAAGAAAAAGACAAAGAGAGCTGGTCGTACTGCAATTGGTGGTATCTCAATAGTTTCATTTCATTCGTCTTTCTGGGACCATGGGTACATTTTTCTCCGGCTGCCACAGAGACGAAACATTTTGTCACGGCATAATTTTCTGCAATAATGCAACGCCCTGTCCAGGTCTTTTGCCTGTCCAAGAACACCACGGCGCCATTCACCTGATGATGCATAGCCGAAAGTCATCGCATGAGAATGGATCAAAGAATCGTGCCGAATCTAATGAAAACGGTCAGCAAGCGCACATTCAAACCGCAGTAGAAGTCTGGTGAGACTTACCCAAACGTCTGTTTAATGCTGCGCACATAGTATCCCTCCCAATTCCGTTGAACCACCTCTTCTTGGCCCACCGGAACTCCAGTCCAAGTAACGCGCATGTTGGTCACTCGGTCCACGTCGTTTTGGTCGAAGAAGATTTCCTGAGTGCTCATATGCCCTTCTGGCCATTGTGCTAGCCTCCACTTTTGCACAATCTTCTTCGGCGGCTCCAGCGTCACAAACTCTCCCGACACGTTACCATCGAAAATGGCAAATTTGGCACCTGGCTTTGCACCCTCAAACACCCGCGGAGGAGCTCGAGTAAAAGCCGCGAGACGTTGAGGATCTGTAAATGTCTGGTACATCTCTTCTGCCGTTGTTCGGAATTCGTCTGTTGCCGTGACTGTTGTCGTATTGACGGAAGATTTGCCGGTGGTTGTTGTGGTCGTGGTGTTTGAGGGAATAGGAGTTCGTTCTCTCTCGGGATGCCACGTTGGTGTCGCGAACCCGCTTGAAGGATTGGAACCAGGCGCGTGTTGTAAATCTTTTCCATGCTCTTTGATCAGAGCGGGCCCAAGACTTGAAAAGACCTTTCGGAGTTCAGGGGTGAGTTTCGACCGTACTAAGTCTTTGACTGGTTGTTTCTCTTTTGTTTCGGAGTAAATGTCTATCTCGAACTGTTAAGATGTCAGCGGGGCTGCCGCGGATCTAGGTCTCGGGTATAGGAACGTACAACGTACTCGTCTGGTTCCGTGTCGTACGCGCACTCTGGAACCCGAATACTTCCACTAACGTCTGTGCCATCTGCTGTCTTGCCTGCGTCCACTGTTAGGGCTTGTTCCCCAACGGCACAAATAGGCGACATTGGCTCGTACCTTCGTATTGAAGTTGTAATACAACGTCGAAAATCGTAATAACTTTGCCCTTCCTTTGGCTCACCTCCACATCACCGTCCATGGACACCAGTTTAGTGATCTGGGCGGAAACGCCATCTTGCTCGGCCGAAAGCTTCTTGCTCTCTGTCTCTAGATAGTCCTTGGCCCACTGTCCCGCATCTTTCATCACCCAGTGCCAGTTGTTTGGGTTGTGGAGAACCATGAGGAAATGTCGATGGTGAGGGGAGACGGAGTGTCAAGTAGACGAGCTGAGGAGCAGTTCTATTTCTAAAACAAATCAGTGAACGAGTCCACAGAAACGGAGGATCATATATATGTGGTAGACAAGGAATTTCAGAGGGTAGGCATGTAGCCATATAAAGCTGATCCGCATGTAAAGAGTACAAGTCTTCTCAGACTGGTGCCAGCTGGAGTCTCATCATGTAATTAGGTAGGGAAACCGCAAACTATACGTACCTCTTGCGCACAAATAGGAGCGAAGGGAAGAGCAGTGTCGTTCGTTGCGTTCACTTCGTGGAAATCGTAAGAATCGTGAAAAAGTCCGCTCTACATAGAAATGTCATTCCAGTAGCACCGAAACATCTAGAAATTGAGAAGCCGTTTCGGTACTTGCCAAGAGGAAAGGAAAGTATTGCGAGATCCGCCCCGGATCACGTGCTCCCTAGTTTTGGAAGCCGGCCATACTCGTACATTCTTTCCCTCTCTCGGAGAGCCATGTCCCATGGCTGCACAAGTACGTCCACACCCTCTTCTGGAAAAGGATGACAGTTCATGCGAGATCATCGTTCTTTGGTCAGACCGAGGAGTAGTCATTATAGCACAATCTCTTCGGCGTTGCGGGCTCCTTTCCGCTTTTTGGTACCATACCTGTATGTCTAGGTACGCTGGATCTCGACTTACAGCACGCGACCAAGAGGCCATGGAATAAGCTGCAGAGAAGCTTCAAACACAAAACTGGCCCTGGGGAGAAAACCCAAGTACATGGATTCTCGATTGAAAGCTTCTTTCTCTATATAGATCGGGCCTTTTGCAGCCTGACTAATGTCCCGCTCTTGCAGCCCCAAGAAATGGACGAGAGCCCGGTGATTTGCCCATTTTCCAGCTTGTGAAGAAGCTTCAAAGAGAGAGGACGAGTATGGCAATGTCGAACGCCAGGGAACGCCAGAGGATATCTTGCTTCCACTCCCTTGCGCCGTTCCGACCCCCAGTGAGCGAGCGTGGCATTTACCGATACTGTCGAAAGGCACCCACGGTCAGTCTCTTGCTTCTACGATCCACACATACACGGCAGATGCAAGCCCTCACCTTCTTGAAGCCAATCTGCTCTGCTTTTTCTCTGAAAGCCTGTCGCGACATGTTCAAGCCGTATTTTCGAATGATACCGGAATGCTTTTTATCGCCGTTCACCCGACTAGACGACAAGGGTTGTTCAGTCAGTGCTCATCCCGACCTTGTCAATGGACATGGAGGGTACAACTCACCAGCCGCGAGAGCCTTTGCCGTAGGTACGAGGTCGTGAATAGTGGACTGATTCGTGAGACATGGTTCGAGAATGGACGACTTCCTGATCGCGAATTGTTGCCAGCACGCAAGTATGTAAGTCAGCAATGTTGCAGATTTTATTGTTGCGGGTACTTGGGTCCTTTTAATCCATGAGATAGTCCTTCCTGTAGGGAGTATCACTTCGAATCTTAAGGTACTCAGTTTCGCCTTGGCATTGAGACCCCCGCTACAGTCGGGAGGTACAGGTACGTCTACATTCCGACTCGCGAACAAAAGTCAATCTTGTGGGACGTTGACCAATTGCCGACGTAAGGCACGCAGAAGACCCCTTCCAAAGAATGTCAAGGGGAAATTTCCTATGATCCGGCGTGTTGAATGTGGCCTATGAAGGCAACGAGGCTGTGATTGACACGATACGAGCACAGCGCATGTTCCTGCTAAGCCACGTGAAGTACATCGGGAGAAAGAATGACGCGAAGAGTACACCCTCTTATTTTCGGGTGGGTTCCAGGCTGTCTACCTGTTCGATTTGAAGACGCTCAAATGCCTCGCAATTAAGAGCACTTAGTTGTGCAGAGCGCTTCCTGGTAAACATGCAATAGTGGAAGAAAATAATCCTTCGCCCTTGAGTCCTCCAGCAAAACACCACTTCTCCTTGCCTGATGGACGTCCGGTCCTCATGATTTTCCCATTGGTCTTCTTCGTACACTCCCTTCCATAAGAGCAGATTTCGTCGGCCGTTCAGCGAGCATTTTCGACGTACTCGGCACTTGGCTTCTCATACTTTGCGCAGAAGAAACGTTCACTGTTTCGTGACAACCAATTCGTGAACTTGAGCAGCTCGGCTTTCAAACGCGCAACTTGATCTTGATCCAGGTTGGTTTGAGCAGCAATCTCCGGCATGTTGGCTATACGAGGTTAGTGAACATGCGGCAAAAAGTGAAGCCGATGGCAGGGAACACTTACTGAGCATCCTAGCGACGAATTCGCCGCCGTAGCAGTCTCCTGGGCCTTTTCCTTCCCATTCGGGGTATTTGCCAGACTCCCATAGCTTGCGCATCTGTCATCAATCATTAGCCCTCAGAAACACAAGATGTGATGGAATACAACCGACCTCTGCTAGCTGCGGGCGCTCAAAGCGATACAACAACAATTTTCCAACAGTCTTTTCAAAATAAATCTTCAATCCAGCGACGAACTCCTCCAGGATGTCAGCTTCCGCAGAGCCGATCATACGATTTCGCTTTTCTTCATTGAAATACTCGTCGAAGATGAAGTTGGCTGGGGTCTTGCTGGGAAGCGGGACGAGAAGCATCGACTTGGTGACGTTTTCCCAATCATCGACTAGGAGGTTTTTCAGGTGGTCGGGGATAGTAAATCGAATCGAGGGGCGGTTGTAAAAGGCATCTTCCTGTGATACAGCAAAGCACTTGTCAGGGTCGAGCTCTAGATGGGGCAAAGGAAAAAAGAAAAAGAAGCTCCGTGTTCAGCAAATGTGTTGAAGGTATTCAGGGTTTCTCCGGGAGATATTCGATTAGGGTCCAGTTGTGAAGCTTCTGACATCCAACAGCGTTCCAGACATATTAAGGGTGTGTAAAAAGAAAGTTGCATGTCGATACGAGAATTTGGTGCTTGCTTTCAACGTCGGTCATACGTGCCATAGAACTGCTTGTGGATTATGCGGCTTGGGTCTGAACATGGGGAGCATGCAATTGATACGCTGTGTTCAAGGGGCCAGCAAACAGAGGAAATCAGTGACGAGCTAGCCTGGGCCTTGCTGCGAGCTTCAGCGTCTCGGTCGGCGTGAGGGACGATAAGCAGCGTCGACCATGCCGCTAGATCGCCAGCGCCGGTCGACTGCAGGGTCTCGGGTTCGTGATGCTTTACTACCCATAAGGGAAGATCGGGCAGACGGCTCTGAGAGTGCACGGTGAGGAGGAGTCCAATCACTTTCAGGGTCAGTGATAGTTGCGTCTGAGTCGACCTCAGTGATTGTGGCATCTGAATCATCCTGACTGGCTGTCGTAGATGGAAGCGGAGGTGCAGGTCTGCCGCCGGTTTGCCTTCTAACAGAGCGAATGAAGTCATTGACAGTCTCTCTCTCTTCCCTAGTCTCGTCACTGAGATCCTTATCGTCGGCAGGCTGAACAGGCTGAGATGCACGGTTGGGCTCTGAGCGACGCTGATGTAACTGGGGTTTGTCATGGGTAGCTGCTACGGCAGGCGCTTTCTGCAAGGATGTATCTTGATTTGCCTTCGAAAATTTCGACTTTTCGGATGATGTTTCCACTTCGACGATTCTTCCTGGCCGTGTCTCTTTCAATGGTTTTCTGGCTGCTGTCTTCGGCTTCGTAGATGCTGCTGCATGACGAGGACTGGGGGCGGGTGCTTGAAGCTGATCCGAGGAAGGTCTGGCACGTCTGGTGTTTCTGGGGACAGTGGTAGTTGGTTTCGTCGCTGGCCAAGCATGAGGTTTGCGGGTGCTCTGCCTACCAGGGGTTGTTGTGTTTGAAGGCCCTGATGTTTTTGCAGAGGTTCGTGCCTTTGCAGGGGCTCGTATTTTGGTAGGGGCTCGTGCCTTGGTAGCTGCTGATGCCTTTGAAGGTGCACGTGTCTTTGTGGATCCTCGCGGCTTTGTAGGTCTCAAGGGCTTTGCAGGTCCAGAGGTCTTTGAAGGTCCCAACAAACGAGAGTTCGCCTGGACGGCTGCACGGCGTGGGACATAAGGCGTCAGGTCAAGACTTGGATTGTCACCAAGGACAGGGTCTCTTCGCTTCTTTCTCTGGACCACTGCTTCGCCATTGCTGGTTGCGGAGCTGCCATCCATCTTGTCTTGCGGTTGCAAAAATCACAGTGCACAATGTTTTCTTTGAACGAGTCCGTCACTTTTGTGTGTACCAGAAGGCGTGTGTTAATATTCTGGGGATCTTTCTCCTTGCTCAAGCAGGTCCGTGGTCCTCTAGGCTCAGAGTCCGTAGAGAGTACGAGTTGGTTCACGAAGAGAGGTCCACGGGAAACGGGTATCCAAGACAGGGCAAGGTCCTCCTCACGACAACGAGCCAGTGACGGCTGCACGGGGTTTGGGACTCACACACCTTCTCGATGTCGTTATCTCTGGCACGCTTGGTGCCTCTCCCACCGGCAGGAACAGACGACGTCCGTTCTTCGCTGCCTCGGCCTGATCCGAATTCCGAACCTTGGCCACGACGGGTTTTGCCTGTTGCCTTTGGTTGTGCTTTGGTCACAGCTGCGGTGGCCTCGCGTCTCAGATTGGCTGCGAGTTCGCGATTGTCGTCTGTGAGTTTGCGCAGGCGATCCTGAGGCACCCAGTCGTCCCAGCTAGACGGGATATTGTCAGCGATTTCCTTTTCCGGGCTCGACAGGGTTCTATCTCGATGAACGGAGTGGGTTTGTGTGCAGTGTTTAGCGGTGGAAGTGGTAGACGCGACGCGACAGGGAGAAGTGCCGCCGGTAAACACATCGTTTGGTGGTGAAGGGCGGTCACGAGGTGCCGCTCACGGCTACTGGACCGTCGCGATCAGGTGCAGCGAGTGCCAGGCAGTGCAGCCTTGTATCACCAGGAAGGGACGCGTAAGACGCAGTGAAATTGGGCGGTGACAAAACTTACGTATTCTTCCATCCTTTGTAATGGACTCGATATTCGTGTGCTGAGGTCTTGTCTTTCGGGTCGACTCGCCGGACTTCCAGCACCTTAGCTTCATAGAGCAGTTCTCCATGGAAACATAAGGCCTTTTCGTCTTTCTGATACATCGGCTTCGTCTCTGATGACTGCGGCGGCATGGTGATTCAAGGGATATGCGTTGAAGTTTGCGAAAAGATGAAAGGAGGTGACGGAAGGAAAAATCCAACCCTGCGCCCTCAACAAGAGAAAGCTTGCGCAAGTGCTATCAAACTGCCATTGAATACAATGAGCTCGACCTCAAACCGAAGAACAGTGAATTGATCGAGATGGCGTTAGAAGACTTGAGGATACAATTCAGGATGAGTTGGTGGTTACAGATTGAGCCTCAGACGGTGCTTCACTTTCTCAAAGACCCCTGAGCTCTGATTGGCTCGTCGCGACGCGTTCCCAATGCCACTTTACACCACGCCCTCAACCTCATTTCCACGTTCTATGTGAACAGCCTAGCAAAAGCCCAGCTACAGCCATCATTGTGTAGGCTTCAGAGAGAAAAGTATACACTCACACGCCGATTATTGCCAGTAGAAGAAATTCACTCACGGCACCCCAAATCGCCAAACCCTGGCTCGCTCTCTGTCAGCTGCCTCAGCAAAGAACTGTCCAGCCTGGTGTTTCAGGCGCCAAATCGACAACGTTCAATGCCCTGAATGGTTTCGTGAATCAGTTCAATTGGATTAGTGGAATTTCTCGTCAAAATCTGAAGCCCACGCCTCCGACCGGGGAAGACCGCCAACGACGAGCAAGACGTTGACCAGCTAGACCTGCAGTCCTTTCATCACAAAAACCCCATAGTCATCGGTGGCACTACCGAGACGTTTACCCTCGGAATTGACATCTCGCGGAGACTCCATTTGACTACCGTACCCTGCAGTCATTGAGCGAGTGTCTTGAACGATTCCGACCGGATCTAGTTCGTACTGGCCCGGGACATTCCAACACGACAGCGTGTCTAGGTGCCTTGGGTACTCTTTGACTCCTCAGTATCCCGCATCAGCACCACTCGACCAGGACTGTTATGGTACTTCATCACCGATAACCGACGAAGCCATGCCACCGCCAAACGAGCATCAGATCCTAACGTCCTACCTGCTCCACCCGTCTCCCTTGCCCACCATCCTCCCCTACACGTCTTTCCAATCGCTCTTCCCATCCGCGACGAGTCGGACGCACACAGACCTCAAACCTTTCTACCGCCATCTCCAATCGCAGCGCGACAGCACACTCGACGACATCCGGCGCCGCATCCGAGAGGAATGCCGAAGCAGCACATCCCTGGCGGCCCGTCTCGCGCGACAGATCAGAAGGGAAGAACAATCGGAGAAGCCGACGTCTCGAAAACGCAAGCGCTCTGCCCCCCGCCGCCGCCGCCGCGACGACGCCTCGGACGCCGCAGCAGCAGCAGCAGCATCCTCATCATCACCATCATCAGACCCGGAATCCGAAGATGCTCGCGTCATGAAATCCGACGCCGACGACGACGACAGCGACACAGACGCGGCCGCCGAGACGACTGACCAGGTCGAACAAGACCTGGACGCCCGCCTGCACGGACCGCACGGCTCGACGCTCCCTTCAACCACGGCCAGACAGAACCACGGCGCGACGTCGCTTCTTGACGCAATGAAGAAGGCGGGTTCCGAGCTTGAAGATGAGATAGCGTCTCTCGAAGCCCAGATCGCCGCCGCCCGCGCCCAGTGCGAAGATAGGATAGGCAACCTGAGCGATTTGCGATATGGACGCTTCGCCCAAAGCCGCGTCGGCGGACAGGACGGTGGAGATGGACACGACGGCACGGCAACGTCGCGGCAACAGGAACAACAGCAACAGGGGATCGAGAAGGACGTGGTCGATGCCCTCGCCGACTTTCGGGCACGGTTGCAGACTGTGTGAATTGGATTCCGCTACTCTCTACGGAGTAAATTACAGACGGAAATCCTACAAAGGGTGTTAGCTTTTGGATGGAGCGCGGAACGGATCACATAACACCCCGTAATGACGAGAACTCTTGGAACTGATCTGTAATTTGACTGAAACTCCTGTGTTGACTTTCAATCTTTCTTGCATCTGTTTCAATTTCGCGGAAACAACTATCGTGCATGGATATTGAACAATCCCTTCCCATCTGTCCCGTTCCCGTCATCGTCATATTCACAACGTGGCTCGTTTGTCAAGCTTTGCATCGTGGCAAAATCGACCAATACCAACAACAACAAACGAAATATACACCCACGTTTCAAACTTGGCTTGTTGTCATGGTCACTATTCCAACTTGATGCTCACTAGCTCGATCCTGGTTTTGTCGTCTCTTGACCAAATAATAAACACGGCAACTTCACAAACCACCCACCCTACTTGTGCGCCGCAAGGACCTTGTCCATCTCCTCGGGACTACCCATGAAGATGCCCGATCGGTCGTGGATGCTCGTAGGCTTGACCTCCAGCATCCTTTCCATCTTCGAGTTGACAGCCTTGCCGCCTGCGTTCTCCATGACCATGGCCATGGGCGCGCACTCGTACAAGATTCTCAACTTGCCCTTGGGGCTCTTCTTGTCGGCCGGGTACGCAAAGATACCGCCGTACAGGAGCGTACGGTATGCGTCTGCGACCATTGACCCGATGTACCGTGACGAATAGGGCTTGCCCCCTTCTTTCGCGGGGAATTTCAGAGACTCGAAGTATGCTTTCGTCTTGTCGTCCCAGTACAAGCTGTTTCCTTCGTTGACCGAGTAGATGGCGCGTTTGCTGGGGATACGCATGTCGGGGTGTGTGAGGATGAATTCACCTAGAGCGTTGTCCTGCGGGCCACCATGCGGTTAGCAAATGTGCTTCTTACGAAACGTAAGATAGAGGAAACGTACCAAGGTGAAGCCGTTGACAGAGCCGCCCTTCATGGTGATGACTAGTTGGGCCGAGGCGCCGTACATGGTGAATCTGCGACGTAGTATATTAGTATTTTTTGTCTTCGCCATAGGTTCAAAGGAAGAACAGGGTCGTACCCGGCAGCAATCAACTCTGTTCCTGGCATCAACAGATCCTCTGGCTTGGGCTTGTTTCCGACCACATTTTCCGGCAGTTTCATGATACCGAAGATCGTGCCCACACTCACACCGGCGTCGAGGTTACTCGAGCCATCGATGGGGTCGCAGGCGACTACGTATCTCGCATTCGGGCTCTCATCAAAGTATATGATCTCATCCTCCTCTTCCGAGACGAGGGCTCTGCATTTTCCGGAGCCTCGCATGGCCGCAACAAACAGATCGTTTCCAATGACGTCCAACTTCTTCTGGTCGTCACCCGTTGTGTTGGACGAGCCGGCCAGACCGGTCAGGTTGATCAAGGTGGCTCGGCGGATGTAGTAGGCGATGGACTTGAAGGAGAACTGGAGAGCGTGGCATAATAGCCTGTAGATTTCAAGTCAAGTCAGTTCATCCTGCGTGTCTACAGCAGCACAACGAAAGGGGTGGTAGGGGAGGGACTGACGTGAAGTCACCGGTGGCTTCCTTGTGTTTCGTCTGCTCTTCGGTCAGGAAACGTGTGAGGGTGACGATTTCGGTGTTGATTTTCTCGGTGCCGGTGCCGGTGGCATAGCCGTTGGACTCGCCATTGCCGTTGGCAGCCATGTCGTCGTTTGGAGAGTTGGTTGGTTCAGGAGAGCAAAAGCACACGACAAAGTCTCGAAATCCGGGGAAATGGAAACAAGGCGGCTCAACACCACGATCGGATAATGGTTTCTGGGAGATGCTGGGCCTGGAGCACCAAGACACACAGATGATATGGACGAGCTGGATGTGAGAGGAGACGAGTAGCAGAAGAAGAAGAAGAAGAAGATCGAGCGAGACGGGTCAGAGTGAACTGAATTGTAACTACTGACGAAGAAGTCGAGGAATGTTTATCATCCCGAACAGCCCCATCTTTCGGGTAGTCGAGGCATTGGATGTTCGCACACAGGAGAAGGACATGTCTCCGGAAGGGGGAGCACGAAGGCAAAGGCCACTTGTGGATGGCACTCCGCATGCCAGATGCATCATCCGAACAATCTCAGTCGGTTGGTGATGGGAGTAGCAGAGGGAGCGACGCGGTAATGGATGCGAGAATGAGGGGCCATGAGCTCACACTGCGCCGAGGTCACGGCCAGTCCCTGCTTTTCCCGAGTCGCCGCCCAGACTCGCTGCGCTGGAGCTTCTGGGGGCGTTTGGAAGGGCAATTGCGGGCGCTTGGGGGGCATTTCCAGGCCGCTTCCAGACGCTTGTCTCTCCCGCAATCTCCCGATCTCCCACATCGAACGCCATCTCGGCATTTCAACACCGAGCACCCATCAGCCCAGGCGCAGCCACGGAAGAGGATCAACTAATCGCCGCCGGTCCTGCAGCTGCGTCATCGGCCACTGTAACATCATGGTCATTCAACAGCATCTTATTCATCAAGTCCAGGTGTCCTGGACATACATGTACATTGAGGTGACCTGTAAGAATCATCTTCCAAACAGCATGACAAAATCTGTCAAATCCTCGTCTGCTTGTCAATCCATCTCTCCGGTATATTGTCTCCTCATCCAACGACACACCACGCTTCCGGTGTCAGCCCACATTCTTCCACACACTCTCTCACTCACACATTTATGCTTCATTGAGCTTCTCTGCTCGTTGGTAGAACTCTGGCATGGGTTCAAGCTTCTGCCTCAAAACCCACGTCCTGAAGTGCCAGACTGCATTCTTCAACTGGTAACTCATGTGCTTACGCGTGCTGACACCGAACACTTGATCGAGTTCTTCCAGTGTAAGTGCCTGTAACCCATCGTTAGTAACGAACGATCTCAGGCCCAGCCAGCTGCACGACGTACCTTGGTCTCAGGGACAAAAAGTAATATCAAGAACCACAAGATGATGCACCATGCACCATACCACCCAAACGCGCCTTGTGGCTTGAACGCAGTCAACAGATGTGGCCACGAGAAACTCAAGATGAAGTTGAAACACCAAGTTGTTGCCGTTGCCCACGACATGCCGACATCACGCACGTGGACCGGGAAGGCCTCGGCCGAATAGGTAAACGGGACTGGTCCTTCGCCAGGAGAATAAAAGACCTCTGCCGATAATCAGCATTCTGTTTTGGTTCAGGTGTCAATGGTCGAGACTGATGCTTACCAAACAGGTACATTCCAGTAGTGACCATACCGACTTTGGTCTTTGGCGCCTGGAACCAGAAGCTAAAGCCGGTCCACAGCAGAAAGATGGCAAGGAAAGGGAAGGTAAATAGCAACAAGTTTCTACGCCCCCATTTGTCGATGGTGAAGACAGCGGGGATAGCAAAGACCCAGTTCAAGATGCCGGTACCCATTGACGCCAATAAAGCAGAGTTTGTTGAGTATCCGGACTCGATAAAGATCTGAGACTCGTCAGCAGGACTGTACAGCACGATCGGAAGGAGGCTCGGGAAAACGTACAGTGGTACTATAGTAGGCAATAACGTTCACGCCACAGACTGCAATCCGTTAGAGTCGAGTCCTGACAAAGCAGAACAAGGATTACTCACATTGTTGCCCAAACATGACAATCCAGCTTGCCAAAGTGGCTCGTCGGTTGCGGGGTACGGTGAACAACTCAATGAATTGAGTGAACAAGTTCTTGCCTCGGTTGGCCTTTCGTTCCAACTCGACGCCGACATACGTGTAATAGGTGTCTCGAGCGGCCTGAAGGTCGCTGTGTCTCAAACGCTGGAAGGATCGGAAAGCCTTTTCAGGGTGCCTGTGTTGGATGTACCATCTGGAATTGTGCTTCAGTACAAGTCACAGTCGGCCGCGGCGTTCAAAACATCTGCTCACCTTGGACTTTCAGGACAGAAATACACTTGAGCGCACACAATGAGAGGAAGCACGACCGTGCTACCGAGCATGAGTCTCCAACCAAGATCGGGATCAAGGCCACCGAAAGCGACGCCCATGATATTGCCCAGCATAATGCCTGGAAACATTGGTCAGATATTGGGAGATCACGTCTGACGACAGCACGGGTTCAGCGTGCAATAACTCACCAAAAGCCGTCCACATTTGCCACATCATGACCAGTGCGCCTCGAATAGGAGCCGGTGCACATTCGGCAGAATACACAGGTACGGTGGAAGATTTGGGTCCAATGCCCAGACCTGACACAAACTAATTAGCGGTTGTGTTCGAGTTATGGGAGGTAATGTTAGTTTACCGAGAACAAATCGAGCCAGGAACAGATTGACCCAGGAATTTGCGACTCCTTCCCAGATGGAGGCGACAGCAGCAATGAAGCAGGAGATGAAGATTGTGCCTCGACGAGCAAAGACTTTGTTGCAAGGCTCGGTCAACCAGCAGCCGAGGATTGCACAGCACAGATACTACATTCCCGCTTTTGTAAGTGGATGATGGATCGTGTTAAGACGGGGGTGGGGTGACCCTACCGGAGCTCCAACGACAAGTCCTGTCAAGTTATCGACCATGTCCTTTGAGAAACGATCTGTGGTAATGTTGAGCTGCTTGAGATACAGTGCTTGGGCACCGTTGTTGACCGTCTCATCCATGCCTTGGACCTGTTGATGAGCGTTAGCCTGGTTATGTCGTGTTTTCAACCACACGAAGAACTCACCGCAGCAGCAAGCGAGCACATGACGACAAGCCAGTACAGTGTCCATGGCTGATTCCATCGATGGGTATGCTCCCGACGAAGAACCTCGTGGTCCTCGGGCGTCAGCTCACTGATGGACTCTGGGGAATGAGGGTTCTGTGCGACCAGTGCCCCCTTTTTGAACGTGTCGACATGGTCCATGAGGTTGTGGTCTCTGCAGAACGTTTCAACCTCGGCCAGTAACTGTTCTCTGGGGATGTCACTGAGAGGGTTCTCGAATGCCGCACTCAGATGCTGGGTGTCGACATCGGTAAAGCTCTTCTTGCGTGGCCGGTCGACGTGTTCGATATTGGCCGTGTTGGCGCCGGTGGCCGTCCTCTCGCTCGACTGAGACCGCTTCTCGTTGGACTGGTCATGGATCTTTTGGTTATCAGCCATGGTGGGCAGGCATATATATGCAAACGTTCGTGTTTGTGAGTGTCAGTGTCAACGTCAATATCAATGTCAACGCGCCACCGAGGACAAGAGAATGTGAAATGACGCTTTTACGGCGGATGCCGAGACGGACACAAGGTACGATATGGTGGAAGATGTAAGCAAAGTCAAGAGAAAACCAAGAGCCGACCAAGAGATTCTTGTGCGTCTTATCTGTTTCGTCCCACAAGTATTCAGGATTACTGTCCTTGAGGCCCTCTATCGTAGATCACATCTATTGTTGGGTTTGGGGAGTCGGTTGTACGGCAAACGCCTTGTAAGGGTCCAAGTGTGTGTGAATGCGCCTCGAGCACCGACGACGTCATAAACGGTGCCTGGTCTTGTCCTGAACCAAGGGATGTACTCGTATAGGTCTTGTCCTGGTATAGTTTCTTGACTGATCGTACATCCCGTACTCTTTTCTTAGTCAAACGGTTCGCGGTCACCGGGCCATCGTGGCGTCCCCTGCAAAGCGAGTCCGTGCTGGGGTGGCCTTGTTTTGGTTCCTCCTCGTCTGGGTTTGCGGGCAGCGGTGGGGGAGACGGTGAGTTGTGGAAAAAGGTACGACGATCGCTAAGGGCGATCGAACGATGGACAGCGATCGCGTGTGTACGTTGGTCAGAGATGTCAGGCGCAAATGTCGATCAACGGAGCCGTCATCAACGTGCCATTTGAAGTTGTCGATCTCCTATGGATCGGTCTGGCACATGCCGCCTGACGCCCCATGGGCTTAAAGAGGTATCAGTCCTCGTAGCGAGTGATGCAGGAGCAGGAAGGGAAGTCCCCGGTCTACCTGCTGCTCTAAGTCCGGGTGAGTTTCTGCACGAGGACGGAGAATTCTTCCAAAGAATAGGTAGGTACATAGGTACATAACATGGTACTCGAGGTAGGGTACGTGCCTTGCCGAGTATAGCGATGTACGGTATACGAATACCTCCCCATAGATAGATATCCGATGACGTAAGTGCCTCATGTACCTTTGTATAGGTACTCGTACGTATAGAACGTACCGCACTCACATGACTCTCTGATAGCCTCAGGTACTTGTGACGCTCCGCAACGTCGTCCATCTGTAGGTACCTACAGCAGCAAGCTACAATATGCATGTAGTCTTGCTTCGTACTCTGTTCTCATCCTCGCTCCCTTCACCCGTCAAGCACCTCAGCTACGAGGTACTCCATACCCTGTACTTTCGTCTCGTAGATAGAAACATTTCTATTCGTACCTCCTGACCCATTCATCACAATCGTATCACATTACCTACACTCTCCCATCGTTGCCATACTACTTAATTCCCGTACAGAGCAACATTAGATCCCTCTTATCCATCCTCTTGCATAGACTCGTCCCATCCCCCAATGCTCTCCAAGAAAACGTGTACCAGTTTCTTCTTGCCTTGCAACGCACTCCCCAATGCCTCCAGCCACTGTTCCTCAATCATACTCACTTGCTGCTTAAGCTCCGCCGTCGCCGATGCCTCTCGTTCTGCCTTTGCCAATCTCCCATCATCCGCCTTGGTCACAGGCTGAGCTACAACTTGTTCACAGGCCCTCGCCGCCTCTGCGGCTCGGTACTCGGCTCCTATGAGCGCCCCATTCACCTCGTGCAGCAAACAGTGTAGATTGATTTGAGATTCGATGAACTGGTACGTCGATTTCTCCGCGTGGTCAAGCAGCGTGTACAGATACTGCTGGGGGTATTCATGGTATGTTGGGTTCTCGATATATTCGGAATCCGGAATGGCAATCGGTCCCAGATGGTACAAGTCGTCCGGAATTTTCTGGACCATGTCGAGGAGACTGGGCGCGATATCCCAGAACGAAGACGACTGCAATTCTACCTCTTGCCCGACATTCTTCGCAACTAGCTGGACGAATGTCCGGTAGCGTTCAAGAGACTCGTCGCAAAAACTTTTCCGCCGCGCAAGGCTGTCTCGCGTAAAAAAGTCCTCGGTGTCTCGAATCTTTTCCAAGTTCCCTGCTTGATGGTAGGGCAGCAACACCATTGCCTTGTATTTGTCGTTTCGCATACTCAGAAGATCAAAAATCTCTTTATGGATGGCTTCTCGAGTCTCGAACAACCACTTGAGTTGCGTCAGATACTCGAGAATCTCGGGCGTGGCGTCTCCCTCTTGCTGTGCTCGATCCAAGTTCGAAGTGTGCATTTCCGCCACCAGGTTCTCCACCAAGTCATTGACGTTGTTGGTAAGCTGTCCCACCCGCTCGTTCAACATGTCATGCATCGGGTTGATGACCACATCCTGGAGGGTATCAAACTCGGCCTGGAGACATGCCTTTTCAGCCGCATGCTCCTCTAGCCGCAAGGCTCGTTCGGCTTCTGCGGCATCGGCATAGGTAATGCTGCCTTCTTCGATTTGCTGCTGAATGTTGGCCTTGAATGTTTGCCGCCCTTCTGACAGTTTCCGTTGGTGTTCTGCTCGTAGTGCCTCGACGCTGAGGTCATGCCGGCCCCGGCGTCGCTGTATTTCACTGAGATCACTCAGGTTTCGGACCGCTTTCCGGTATGCCACCAGCCTAGGGTGGCTATTATTGACGGCTGGGTGATGCCTCGGGTACGGCGGTGGAAGAGTGATGAACCTGGAGATGTCCATGGCGGTGTACTCGGACTCATTTTCCGAGGTTTTGTCAAATGTCGCGTCGTTCACATCACTTCCATAAATGCCGAATGATTCTGGGTCGGCTTTTTCTGCTGGATACACGTCCTCGCTACTGTACAGCTCGTCGAAATTAGTAGGCGTGTCAGCTTCAGAGAGAACCTCTTGAACCGAGAGGGCAGGTAAACCCATATACTTGGACTCCCTCTTAGATCTCTTCATCTTTTTCGGCCCGCCTTCGACTTCTGATCCGCTCTGAGATTGCCACCAGCGACTGGCAGTTCGGCCCCGAGAGCTCACTTCGTCATTGCTCATGCTCGCTATCGGTGAAAGCGCGGGACGATAGTCTTTCCACCACGTTGCTTCCGGGTTTTGACCGCTGACGAAAGCGTGTTCCTTCTCAACAGGAACTCCTTCAACGGCCGCCTCCTGGAACATCCGTTTGTTGAGGGTCGACGTGTCGAACTTACCATCCACAAATGCTGAAGGATACCGCTGTCTCCGGATCCGTGATTCTGCAACGACAAAATCCATAAAAAGTTGCAAGCGCTCTAGATCTGTATTTGCTTGGCTTTCGCGAAGGAGAAACTCCTCGTGTCGACGAGAAGCTTCTTTGACGAATTCTTCGGGGTCACCCGGTACAACCTCGCAAACCGACGATGCATTGGAAGGGAGAGCGCTATGAGCAGACGTAGGATTTCTGTGGCTTGGAGGAGGTGTTGGGAGAGTTCTGGGGGGGTAGAGAGGCGTAAGAGGCCTGCTAGTTCTTGTACGGGAGCCTGCTCGAGAGGTTGCACGGGAGCCTCTACGGTCTGTCGCAGGTGTGGATGGGCCTGAGAGAAGAGAGTCGAGGGTAGGGGAATGATCAGCACTGATGCCACCAGGACTTCTGCCATCTAGCCATGGATCTGTCTCGATGGTCAACGCACTGAATCCACCTTGAGATCCCTCGTAGAGGCTGCGTCTATTTTTTCGCCGCTCAAGTAGACCCCTAGCGGAAGATACTCGCATAGCCGCGCTTCGACTCAACCCGGCTGCATTTATGCTACTGCGATCCAAGTTGGAAGTCTCGATATGCAACGCCATCGGAGCTCGGGAGTTGGACCGCGAAGTCGAATCCTCCGTCCAATTAGCTGGCGTAGGCGGCATAGGACTCAGCACTGGAGCATGGACTGGTGCTCGATGGTGGAATCGAGAATTCGGTCCTGATACTTGACCCTGAGACATTATTCGCACCCCGTTTGCGCTCAGCGATCTCGTGTTTGGTGGTGGCGGACCGGGAGGTGGGCCAGGTAGAGGCATCCCCGGCTGCCAACTACGCTGTTTGGATGAAGATCTTGACGTCGAGCTCCCATAGCCTTTGCTGCTTGAGGTATGGCTGGAGCTTGCATCAGCAGACGCTGCCCTTCTCGAGGCCGGAGGGAACGCTCCAGGAGCATTTCCACCATCTTGCAGTACACTAGGCAAGAATGTTTGCTGCGCAGCGGCGGTGTTGATCGAAAGACTCGCTATCGAGGCTGGTCTAGCAGCTACAAAAGCAGGTGATGACCGAATGTCCGCATGGTCCAGTCCCATGCTGATTCGAGCGATTCGACTATCAATGCCGGTGGTTCGAGCCGTACTGTTAGAATGTTGGGTCACCTTTGGAATATTCGAATGACCACCGCCGCCATCGTCCAAGGAGTACGCCGGCTGGGTGAACGGAGAGACGACACCCACAGTGCTGGCAGGTGTGTGTGTCCGAGATTGATTCCCGCCGGTAAACGTGGAATCGGCAGGCGAAACAGTTGAGCTGGCACTTGTGGCAACAGCGTCTCGTGCTGGCGGAGCTGTATATGGTGGTGGAGGACTTGATATGCCATCTGGATCTAGAAAGAGATCAGTCCCTTGGTTTGACTGCTGTGGACGTTCGGAACACTATTTACCCTCCGGCTGACCTTCAGCAGGTCGAGCGTCCATAATCATCGACGATCTCCGGCTGCCTTCGACCCATTCCCTAGGATCATATGGAACATTGTAGTGCGACGACGCCGACGCTCTTCCAGCCATGGGCAACACCGTCCTTGGGCTAGGGCCTGGCGAGGACACGTATGTGGGAGAAAATGGGCCATGCAACGAAGTTGCGGAAATCGGGGTCTGCGTAAAGATAGGACGTGAAGTAGCATTAATGGTCAATGGCGACGGGATTGCGAGACTGCTAGGTCGGACTGGAGAGGCCGCAGACTGCCCATCCCTAGGTCGAGGCGGAGGAGGAGGGAAGGCAACAGTACTGGGAGAGTATTGCGCCTGTTCACTGACAGTCCACGGTCGACTTTTGAGGGGTCAGCTTGCGGGCGAGACGTGTTTTCAAAAAGCCCGGACGTACATGGACATGGTGGACGTCTCAAACAGAAGAGCGTCCTTCACAAACTGGCCAGTCTTACAAGATTGGTTGGCTAAGCGCCGACGTGCTCCATGTCACAGTCGGTCGTGGGATACACCGCATCGCGTAGGCAACGGCGGCCGTGTCAAAGATAGAGTCGGGGATGTGATATGGCAACAAGTAAAGCAGACTCGAAACGCTACAATGCAAAGAAAGGGTAAAGTCTGGTGATGATCAAGCCAACGCTTGGTGTTTGGATCCGGGGGATTGGGAATAGCAGTGTTCTATTCTTGCCCTCGAGGCGGCCGCTAGAGACAAGCTGCCTAGCAGGGTTCTAAGGCAAACAGCCATCGTGGTTGGAGACAGAGTATCTTGCAGCAACAGAGGCAACGTAGATTGGATCAGGCGGGACAAAGGCGCAGGAACCCTAGAAACAATGCGGGATGGCGCTGAGTGCTTGCACCTGTGTTGTAAGAAATGCCAGCGGCTATTTGTGAAGCCACGGCCAATGAAGTCGACGCATACTGTGATCTCACCGTCTCGGCCAAGTTGCCCAACCTGAACAGCACTATCCCAAACATGTTAAAGCGCGGCCAAGACTGCGCCTCGTATCTGTGTGATCCGACCGTCGAAATCAGTAATTTATTAGTATTTATTTTTGCAGGGACAAAATCTAAGTCGGCTCAAGTTGTGCTTCCAAACAACAGACCTCAACGACGCACGTTTGTGCTTGGGCTGTTATTCCATTCCCCGTCCTTAGTTTATGTTGCTGAGGCACAGGTCCTGCGTGAATGGGAGAAGAGCTATTGTCGAAAAGCCTGCTCCTGGCATATTACGGATTTGTCGAGTACCAATGATACGCAGCTAACCCGGTAGATTCGTCGGTGTCCTTGTCGTACGGCGAAACCCCCGGTTAAAAGGAAGCAGCTATTTGGAAGAGGTGGCAGAGAGCATGCGGAAACTCAATGGAGAACCTCGACGGTCACGACCTTGAGCGCTGGCAGAACTGAAGTTTCAAAGTGAGTTCCCAACCCGTCATTCCCAGCACTGTGATGAATCTGCATACCGTAACAAACTAGAGTCTTTGACCCTTCAGGGAATGAAACTCAAAATCGCATTGCACGTCAGTCTGATCAACCGAATCTCCCACCACGCTACATCCTGTCGTCCTTGGCTAAGACTGACTCCGGAAAATAGTGCTTTCCTGCGTTCTCTACGATGCAATGTGCCCCGGCCCCTGACTCGACTCCGGTATGTGCCTTCCGTCCTCGCTTCGTCCTTCCCCCTCTCTCATGATGATTGTTTTTGAAAATATACGCTGGAAATTACCGGCTGAGGCTTTCGAGTCGCAGAAGATATCAAATGGCTATTCCTGATCGAGCATACCCAATATTGCATTCATTCTCATGTATATCGTGTCCACCTGGCTGACATCAAACCAGGTATCGATGTGGCTCCTTAATGGTATGGCTACCTTTCTAATCCTCTCGTTCTCCTACAATTCTTTGATGAATGGCACTGGGCGCCGACAGTCACAAATGATTGGTCTTGATGGAAATGCCTTATTGCGGCAGGCCTAGAAAACCTCGCCCACTGATTTCGACATGTTGTTTCTGTTGTATTGGACTCTTCTTGAAGGACTAGGCTAAGAGTCGATGCAGGCGGCGAATTGCTTGAGTTATTGCCATGGGTAAGCTGAACACTTCTTCCTGTTACTCCAGCCTTTTCCATGATGAACTCTTCTAGATGACGAGTCTTATTCAGTCCACTGATGCAGACAAACACAAACTACCATTCATGCATTTCCTGAACCTTCTCCTCTGCAACCATGTACATCTGCCATTCTCGCGGAACTTTGCTGACAACAACACCAGGTATTGTCTCGCTTTTCTTGTATGTGAAAAGCCCTATGCTCGATCTCCCCACAACATGATGAATAGACACATTCACAAAGACAAGCATATGTCCAAGTCAGCTCTGCTTGACCAAGACGAGACTGTCATACCTGATTTTCTGCTGAGATTCTTCTTCACGTTCACAAATGCCTTGAATCTGGTACTAATACTGGGTGTCCAGATCCTCGTAGATATCAGTACTATTTTGGTAAGTTAACCTTTTTGCGTTATGCATTTACATGATGATTTACTCTATTTTATCACGACGGTCAACGTAGCCAATGCATTGACGACCACAGCCTGTGACAGGGCTTAGATCTGAAAACTCCTTTTGCGAAGATGTTCAATTGCTGGATGTTTCTGGTTCTGATGCTGACCAAAGTTAACAGTGTTCAGAGAAAATTTGATTTCCCGTAGACTTGAGGAGGTTGCTGCCATACATACAAGCACAATCAATGATAATTAGTCCATGACCTGTTTACCTGTGCTTGTCGACACCGCGCACCCTTCACTTTGTGTGGTTCACACCTACTTTACTGCCCTTTCACACTTGTCTTCACCTTTCTTCACAAATGGTGCCGTTCTTCACTTCACCGTCCTCAACACTTGCTCTCGCGCCGCACTAACCCATCCTCAACACAATGTCATCGCCGCTTTAGCATCTCCTCCGGCCGCGCCGAAGTTCACCCGAAGAGATGGCTTCTTTAACTCCTTACGAGGACGAGAGACGAGCAAAAACTCCCGACTATGACGACTGTGGATTCTATTCTAAAACACGATTTGTCCACATCCTCGATCTCTTTCGTGAAGGTCAGGCTCGAGATCTCGCGCTGAAATCTCCCAGCAAAACCCCAATTTCAGCTTCAACATACGATCTCCGTCGAAGAGTGTGTTCCTACGCGCACTTTGCAGTTGGATACGAGGACAAGAGCTCATCGGACGATGACTATGACCCAGCTACCGAAAACCGGCGCAGACCAGTAAGGAACACAGGTCGCGCTGGTGGGAATCAGCGCAGCCCACGCGGTACGAATCAGAATGGTGGCGGAGTTGATACTGATGTTGGCGGTCTTCGAAAGCGACAGAAGATCGTTCCGCCGAGACTCCAACCTGGAAGTTCAAAGGAAGCTCCAAGAAAACTAGCTACCCAGCAAAGTTCTCAAGGCCGATCTGAAATCCCGGGCCAGGTGGAACAAAGCGGCGGCGGCGGCGATCTTGTCAGTCCGGATTCATCACAAGGTCGATCCATTCGACCTCGGGGCGAACCTCGGGACTCATACCTTGGGAAGCTAGATGAGGAGTCCGCTGGAATTGACAATGCTAACGGCCGAGCATTACGGAACAGAACCATACCCGATCAAGAGCAGACTCAGCACGAGAAGGGAGCAAAGTGTGCAGGATGTCACGCTGCAAGAAAAAAGTGCATTTGGACGATCGGTCATACCTGCGCACGCTGTAAACGACAAGATATCGAATGTGTCAAATGGACGGATGATTCTCCTATTGAGACCACCCCGACAAACGATGCCTCATTCACCATACCGTCGATGGCGGATGACAATATGGAGACCAAAACTGAGCAAGGCGTTTCCACGCAAACATCACCACTTATGAACCCGCAGCACGTCGAAGCCTCTGTACCAATGAATTCCCGGACCTCTCCAGATCCATCACAGCTCCCGATAGGCAGCTCGGCCAATCCTATCGTGCTGGATTCGCCGCCAGACTCCCCCCTCCTGTCAGCATCACCAGCCTCAATAAGACAGATTGTCACGCACTGGGCGCATCCGATCGATTTCAAGCATGTAAAGAATGCTGGGCCATGCCATTTCTGCACTGACTTCAGATTTGGGGTTTTTGGGCACGGTCGCATCACAACTAAGGTTATTCAGTACCCAGGATCTACTGCTCTCGAAGAGATCGGCGATGGCCATCGTTCTAATGGGAAGGAACCTACTCGTATGTGCGTCATCTGTGCTCTACGGCGGATCTACATTTCAAAATGCACAGTTCACCGATTCAAGCATATGGACAATCAGGCCGGCGTACAGAAATCTATCCTTTACGCTCAGCAGCTGCGGGCAGAAGTGTGGGATCCGCCGGTCGATAGTACTGCCTACTCCACCTGTAAAATATGCCCTGAACTCGCAGACTGGCGTTGCTGTGTCGACAAGACGGTTGGCATAACAGGGGATCCGCTTAGGGACGGTCGGGGTCCAGGCAGAGGCTGCGGCTTGCAACTATGCAACACTTGTAAACTTCAAGTTGAAGGTTGCGGCGGTGTCTTGGAGAAAGACAGGATCATGAAAGCTGATGGCAAAGAACTTCGTGCTGATGTTGAATTCTTGTTCGAAGAGAGTCTCCTTCACCGAGCATATTGTAAGTCTCATACATTCTTTTGGGAACTCTCTGACTGACCTGAACAGTTCCTCCGAAAACCTGACTCCTCGGTTTGAAACATCAAACGACGCCGGCTTGGAAGAATACTTGGTTTTATTTGAAGAGATTGGAAGACCGTCCGGCTTGGTATCAAGATCTTCTTGGACGCAACAGAGCTTCACGGTCCTTGGATTCAGGATTGGTGCCTCCCTGAAAGAATGTTAGAGTCATATCAAACAGGAGCGAGAGGTTGATCATGTCGAGCGATAACAATCCTACTCGCACGCACGACAGATAGTACAAACCAATGATACCATACTCCGGTGCATTCCTCCTAGTAAAGAAGATGATAATACAGGCACGACTTTAGGTGGTGTAATTGAAATTGCCAGGGAGTGACATGATAAGCAATGACCGCGATAAGAAATCTCGGGCTCTCTTTCTAGCTGACTTCATCTCCAGCGGTGACAGCACCGGAAGCGAAGATCAAAGACGACTACTTGTCAGGATCCGAGAGCACATCGACGCTTACTATGTGTATACACTTGACGCTTTTCCAGCTGTAAACTTGGCGGAACTGCAAATGAATTGCGCAAGCACACTTGTTCCGTCACTGACGCCCGCCACTCCTTGTAAGTTGTGGCACTTCCGCTCCTCCGCGCATCCGTCGTACACAGGCTACCGCTCCAGCATCCGAGTCGTCCCTGCTACCACAATAGCCAGCCAGGTTAGAAACTCGCCGGAACTACGACTCTGATTCTCAGGAGGAATCGGGTGGCTCATCATCCCACCCCGCCTGGAGCAGCCGAATCCTCGAAGCGCCACGTCCGAAATACAGCAGACTCAGACGTTGGTTCTTGGACAACCTCGAACCATGAGTTTCGTTCAATCCAGCCCCATCGCCATGATGAGTAGGAGTTCAATGAACAGGGTGCTACAGTCCCCCGATGTAAGTACAGCATTCCAGCTTGCCCTTGTTGTCATGCCGCATTTCTGGTCGTTCGCGAGCTTCTGGGCGTACGGAAAGCTCTGACATGGCGACCCATTTCATTGGGCACCGCCATGTTGTGCCTGTCACATGAGGCATCGTGGCCATACTGTATTATCCTGAAAGGTGATTGTGTCTTTCCGGAGGCAAATTTCTCTCCGGGCGGCGGTGATGGCGGTGCCCCTCGGTAGCCCCCCATAGTGATTTTCACCCGCCCTTCAGCCGAGGTCAATCAAAAGCCTCCGGGGGAGGAGGCGCCCAGGCAACATTCGATGCCAGGGACCTGGCCAGTCGAACCCAGACTGTCTACACGAGCTAAAGGCGGAGGGCTTTATACGCTCGCACAATACCCATGCCCAAAATATCTGATCCATCCCTCAACGACATACTACAAAATTTCTCTGTTCTATCACACGACCCGCACGACCACTGGTGGAGAAACCCAGATCTGCATGTGGGACAGAAGATTCCTCAATTCTCCGAAGAGGAAAAAAGCCAGCGGGCTTCTCTGCAAAATTGTTGTCGAAGTCAGAGTCTGGGTCACCGCGTCTAGTTATACGCGGCGTCCATCCCCGACGTCAACCGATCCAACCCATCTCTTCAGTGCAGACGACACGTCGCGGGCGTGGTCTGATGAGTGATTGATTTTTTGCACCATTCTCCGACAACCTGTTGACCTGGGTGTGCCTTTGTCTCCTCCTTACTCACATTTGCGTGGGCAACTTCGGCATTCTCCAAACAACACCTCCGCGCTTCTACTCCCCCGGAAACTACAAACGCAACTGTTTGCTCGTCACAAAAGTCGATCCGCACAAGCGAATTATTGGCTTTGATCTTCGCCGCTTTGTTTGCTCGTGTTTGCTCGTAATGGGTCAAAGCGTGAGGCCACCTCTTTTGTCTAATTGAAACCGCAATCGAAGCCTAGTGGTCACACCGATAGGACCGGACAAGCCGCTATTGCTCTCAGCGCAGTGGCGACCACACTTCAGCACGATCCCTGTATTCTACGACCATGTCTATTTCTCCGCCAAGCAGTGACCGTGTATGCAATTTGTGATAACTGCTCGCTGTTGTTAGCTGCTACTGAAGGTCCACATGCTAACTGTGCGAGTAGTCAGATGTCACCCAGATTGTGGTGGTTATGGTTGGCTTGCCAGCGCGAGGGAAGAGTCTAATCGCTGGCAAAGGTATGGTACCAAGCATGCAGAAAAGACCGACCATGATCTGATCGATCTTCCAGTCAAGCGTTATCTACGATGGACATCGGTCAAAGCAGAGGTATTCAACGTTGGCAAATATCGTCGGACAGACAATCCACATCCAGACGCCAAGTTTTTCGATGTCAACAACACGGAAGGCGAGAAGGCGAGAAAAGCTGCAGCCGAAGCCGCGGTGGCCGACATGCTTCAATGGTTTCAGGACAAAGATAACAAAGTCGCCATTCTTGATGCGACCAACTCGACGAAATCGCGACGCAAATGGATCCACGATAAGATCAAGGAGGCGAACCTCCTCCACCTGTTTGTGGAGAGCAAGTGTGACGATGAAGAATTAATCATGTCGAACATTCTTGAGGTCAAGACGTCTTCGCCAGATTACATTGGTCAGGACCCCGAAGCTGCAGCCAAAGATTTTCGAGATCGCATTCGCAATTACGAGAAGGTGTATCAGACTATTGATGAATCAGAGAAACAACTGACCTATGTCAAGATCATTAACATTGGGTATATCTCGCTTCCCACGCATGACTTTGCACCAGACTAACCCATTCTCCAACAGTGCTCGCGTGGTTATCAATCTCATCCAAGACTACCTCCAGTCACGCCTAGTCTACTATCTTACAAATCTACACATCAAACCACGCAGTATCTGGCTTTCACGGCACGGCGAATCCGAGTTCAATCTCGAGGGCAAGATTGGCGGTGATGCCAACCTGTCGGAACGTGGCGAGCGCTACGCCAGACTTCTTCCCGAACTCGTCAAACGTTCTGGCCTACCGAAGGATGCGCCCCTTACAATCTGGACCTCGACGTTAAAACGGACCAGTCAGACAGCCCAACATCTCCAGAAGGAACTGGGCTGGGAGAAGTTGCAGTGGAAAGCTCTCGACGAACTCGACAGCGGCGTCTGTGACGGCATGACTGTATGTGCACCATGTAGTTTTCCTGGTATTCGCATTGTGAAGCTAACTCTGGACGGCAGTATCAAGAGATTGCCGAAAAGTATCCAGAGGACTTCCAAGCTCGCGATGATGACAAGTACAATTACCGGTATCGTGGTGGCGAGTCCTACCGCGATGTCGTGATCCGACTCGAACCGATCATCATGGAACTCGAACGCAGTGAAAACATCATTATCATCACACACCAGGCCATCGTGCGCTGCATATTCGCCTACTTCATGGAGATACCACAAGAAAAGTCGCCGTGGATGGAAGTGCCGCTTCACACACTCATGAAACTGACGCCCAAGGCGTACGGAACCGAGGTCGAGCGGTTCAAGGCCGATATCCCAGCCGTCAGCACGTGGAGGCCTAAAGGCAGTACCGCGAAACACCATGACAGCGTCAGTGAAGGAATGCCAGAGAGCGTGGTCGGTGAACCGTCGAAAGTAGGAATCCAGAAAGTGACCAATATCAATGAGAAAACGAAGGGAGAGGTACCGACCATTGAGATGGTAGGACTGCCTTTACCATAGGAGGAGGAGCGTCGGGAAAAGGTGGGACGACAAGGTCTGATGAATCAAGTCTTGATGACACACCGGTTATACCTAGAGGGGATTAAGGGATCAAACAGGTTACATTTGCATAAACAGACATGGATCAATTTGGGCTGGTATTGTGTAAGACAAGGATACATTTATGTATGTGAGAGAGAAAACGCGAGACTGACCGTTGGTATCCTCGTGGGTTACTCAAGCGAACGAACAGATAGATGGGCAATGATGTCCTGCTCTCTGGATCACAGAACCCCTAGTGCCACTCAGGTTTCCTTTTCTTGTTATTGCAGAGCACAATGGCAAGTCCAGATGGTACAGTTCACGTCCGCGAACCCGAGGGGAAGGGGGGAATGGGGGGGAAGGGAGGGGCCTAAGGCGACAGTACTCGAAAGAGAATGGAATGACACTTGGGCTACTCTGTAATCATGAGGTGATGCGAATATTTTAATCTGTATTTGCGTCGCTCTCTCGTCACTTGTCACTCGTCACTCCTCAGTCTCTATACTTGGTCAGTTTACTCTCTGTCCACTCCAGCGCTTCGACAAGGAGTCTTTTCTCTCCTAGTCTGACATTGACCGCCATTCTCTCCCGGATTGTGGTGGTGGTGTTGAGTAAGAGGTTCTGGTCCTCTGCCAAGGTGGTAGGGTACAGGTCGAGACGTCGAAGGACGATACTTTTTAGAATGTCCAGGGTCACGCCCTTTATCCTTTTCGCTTCGTCCTTTTTAGATTTAAATGGCTTGGTGGTTGACGACGACGACGACAGGACCCTCGTAACGACGTGGCCGACTACATTCACCATATCTTCTGGGAAAGAGACGAATTTGGCGTCGACGACACATAGGCCCTGGTCATCTGGATCTCCGGAGTCACGCTCGAGGACGAAGGCTGCTGAGTCGTCGTTTTCAACGCCGTCGTCAAAGTCCAGGTCCAGGTCTAAACCTAGACGGTTGTCCTCGTCACGCTCAATCTCGTCGAGGATCTTGTCCACTTGTGCTTGTATTTGCGTCTGTCGCCGTTTTTGTGTCTGCGACTGCGGCAGGTAATCGTCGTACCCTCTCGTGACGGTCTTGACCAGCGACCATGGAATCTCCACGACGTCGTACCGCGCGTGTTTGGGACTCGTGTAGCCGTACCGACGCAGCAACTCGCCGTTCGGGAGGGGCCCGTAGTAATTCAGCACCTCCTCGCCGGCCTTGATCTCGCGCAGCGACGTCATGGTGAGGCTGTCGTCGCCGTGGGATAGGTGGGCGTTGAACTCGGCGTCGGCGTTGAGCATGTCCGCCATGGGGACCATGCCCATTGTGCTTTTTGTGCTGCTGCTACTACCTGCACCGGCTCCTGGGGCGGCGCGGTCTTCGATCCACCCGTCCTCTTCTACCCCGGCCATCTCGGTGTCTGAGTCCGCGTCCTCCTCGTCCTCGTCCGGTTGGAGGTCGAACGCGTAGGACATTATCAGGGATCCTATTATGTGGCATCGCTCCAGGAGGGCCGAGTCGCTTAGCTGTTGTTGTTGCTGCTGACTGTCGCCGCCTGGGTAGAAGATGTCGGCGTGCCGGCGGACAACCGGGATGATGCGCTCGGTGAACATGCGGTTCGCGGACTCTTTGCCGATCTTGTTCAGCATCGCAGACCCCTTGAGGGCTGACAGGTCGCCGTCGGTCCAGAACATGAGCGTGTTGAAGGAGTCGGCGCGCTGTGGGAGAATAGAGAGGTAAGGCAGCCATTGCGACGTCGTGTGGTGCAGGGATTCGTACAGAAGGATGAGAATCAGATAGAGCCATGAGTCGGGCACGGAGGGGTCCGATTCATCATCAACATCGATGTCGTCGTCGTCGTCGTCGTCGTCGTCAATATCAACATTGGTATTGGCAGTGGCGGCGGCGGCGGTGGCTGTGGCCTTGGAAAACAGTTCTGGCAGCTTTTTCGCCAGCGTCGACGTCTCTTCACTGATGATGATGTCTCGAGGGATCGTGAAGAGGTCGGTGTCTGCTGCGATGTCTTGAGTTGCTATGATCCCCCGGCCTGCATTGCGATCTCGTAGATCTACGATTTTCAACGACGGGTGGAATTGTGTGCCTGGTTGAGCTTTGAACCAGTCGAGAAACGTTGTCGACTGAGTTTCGAACTCGGATGATGAGTCCATTTGGTCTTCTTGTTTCGTTTTTTTGCTCTGCTTTTGTTTATTTTTCCAGACCGAGACCTTTTTTAATTTTTAGTCTTCAAGTTCAGATACTCCTTTTTGCTGAGTGGGAAACGCAGGTGGTAGATTATTTTTTGTTTTTGTTTTTGAATTTTCTCCCGTATTGTTTACAAAGGAGAAAGAAAAGTCTTGTTGTCCACAATCCTCGACTAACTAACCAATTGGCACAGCAATGAATCCTTGCATCTCTTCGCCTATTCTGGTCTATCGTGAGTATCCTCAACCTCTATGTCCCAAAATTGTATCATGGCTCGCGGGATGTGGTCTTTTGCCTCGCGCAAGGCATTGCCGCAGCTGCGCGGGCCCATTGGTCCTTGCAGCTCACTCAATATGTCTGAGTTCGTATTTTCCTTATCGTCACTCGCGCTTCCAAAATGCCGAGAACCAACGCATTCTGACCTCACGAATCACATTGAACTTCAGCCCGTGACGCAACTGACGATCGAATGATGATCTGAAGAACTTCTCACGACCCTCACCCAGGCATCTCGTACACCACCTCGTATTCGCATTACTGGCACGCCTTGCAGAGTGTCTTCGCTCTCGGAGCCCAGCTACCTTACACACCTAACATTGACAACATGAATCATTCAGCGCGTATCGAGTCTACGCTTTGCCTCCAGACGGTTATTCTTCTGCTGACCATGTCATCGACCTCCCAAGGACAAGGATAACAGACATTCACACCCTTTTTGGATCCGACGACTCATCCGTGGTCCCAAACGGATATGTGCCATGTCGACGTCGCCACAGACTCGCTCTTTTGATTTGGCCTCTGTTCCGCCTATATACATCCTACCAAGTCACCTTACCCCGGAAGCATTGCATGAACACGAAGACCTTGTCTTCAGACTAGGCGGTTCCCTCACATACGACTCTCAGGAGGCACGGGTGTTCCTGGGTAACATCGGCCAAAAGAGACGTGCTTCCTTTGATCTGAGAGCAAGAGGAGTATGGACAGAGGAGGCGCCCTTGCCTGAGACGGATCGTCAAAGTACAACTCATGGCAGTTCTGACGAAGGACCACCTCGCAAGAAGCCGAAGGCAGGATGGATCGAGCGCGATGTAAAAAGGCAAGCAGCAAAACGACGGCCCAGTTCTAGATCCAGTACAGAATCGTCGACTCAATCCGATGACGTTCCTCCGCCACCAGATGTGTCCTGGCCGAATCTGAAATCGCACATCGTCGTCCTCAAACTGGCCTGGTTGGAGTCCTGTATCAAACAGGGCCACATCGTTCACTACAGACCATTCATAGTCTACACGGGCAGAATCATACCCAAACCAGCTGGTGAAGCTTCTCCCAAAGCACTACGCGACCCAACCACATACGTCAAGACGACTCCGGGCTCGGCCTCGGGCTCGTCGTCATCACACCATGTTCCAAAGCCCACCACATCCATTCTCGAACGTGCCAGAGCCGACGCAGCCATGCATCACACTTCGAGTAATAACACCTTCCACCCACACCGCCGCCGCTTCGGCGACCACGCGCACTCAACACCATCCCTAGCAAAGCCCCCACCCAAACTCCACCGCACCACGACCTCGGAATTCGAAGACCTCGCCAACAACCCTCTCCCGCCCCTCCCGGACTGGGCTACGGGTCCCTACGCACACTACTCGTGCTGCCGTGACACGCCCATGCTCACCCGCAACGCCGCCTTCATCGCCCAACTCACCAAAATCAAAGAGTCCCGGATCCTCACGCTCGACGACATCGGTGTGCGCGCCTACTCGACGTCGATCGCCAGCCTGTCGGCGTACGAGCACCACATCCGGCATCCCGAGGAGATCATCCGGCTGCCCGGCTGTAACGCCAAGCTCGCATCGCTGTGGTCGGAATGGTACCACTCGGCCGAGACGGACGGGGAGCGATCAATCGCCACGGTGCGCGCTCTCGACGAAGACGTCGACCTCCAACACCTCCGCCTGTTCTGGAACATCTGGGGGGTGGGCCCGGATACGGCGCGCAAATTCTACTTTGAGCGCGGCTGGAAGGACCTCGACGACGTGGTCGAGTTCGGCTGGGCGGGCCTCACGCGCGTGCAGCAGATCGGCGTGAAGTACTACGACGAGTTCATGGCCAAGATCCCGCGCGCAGAAGTCGAGCAGATCTCGGGCGTGATTCTGGATCACGCGCGGAGCGTACTGGGCGTCAAGCCCGCGCAGTACGGCGGCGTGGAAGACGTCGAGTGTATCATCGTGGGCGGATACCGCAGGGGCAAGACCGAGTGCGGCGACGTCGACGTCGTGCTCAGCCACCGCGACGAGGCCAAGACCAAAGACCTCGTCGTGGACATCGTCTCGAGTCTCGAGGCCACAGGCTGGATCACGCACACTCTGAGTCTGCACACCACGACTAGTGACCGTGGGCAGGCCACGTTGCCGTTCCGCGCAAACCACCACGGCGGGGGTTTCGACAGTCTCGACAAGGCCTTGTGTGTCTGGCAGGATCCGAGGTATGATGATGGTGACGCCGACGACGAGGAGGAGGGACAGCAGGAGAAGCTCCCCGATCGTAACGAGAAGGATGAAAACGACGACCAAAGTGGCAATGCCGTCGCCATCAAAAGCGGAAAAGTGGCAAAGCAGAACAAAAACAACAAAAAGAACCCCAATATCCATCGACGCGTAGACATCATCATCTCGAGCTGGCGGACTGTCGGATGCGCCGTGCTCGGGTGGAGCGGCGGCACCACCTTCCAACGAGACATAAGACAGTTCGTCTCCAAGACGAGGGGGTTGAAGTTCGACAGCTCGGGAGTCAGGGACCGTGCTAACGGCTTGGTTCTGGACTTGGAGGCACCCAGACCGAAGACCAAAGAAGCACTCGAGGCCGCCTTGAAGGGCAAACAGCAACAACCACCACAACCACCACCACCATCACAACAACAACAACAACAACAACAACAACAACAACCACCACCACCACCACCTGTCGCTAACGCCGATGTCGAATGGGATGACAAGGACACATGGCAGGACAGGGAGCGCCGGCTGATGGACGGCCTGGGGTTCGGCTATCGGCCTCCAGAGAAGCGATGTACAGGGTGACGACGACCTCGGCACAGAGGTGCGGCATCGTCCACGCGATACATACGTTGCAATCCTTTGGAGGACGAAAGTGGCCCGGAATTGACTTGGAAAAAGGTTTCCCCCTCGAGCCTTGAGATGAATTCTTTTGGACGCGATCAGCCTCATCGCATCAAGTCCAACCGTATACCACGCCTACGCCGCATATGGGGATTCGGTATATTCTAGCGGTCATCTTGTGTCTTGATCTAAATTGGGTGGTTTTCGCAGTACATACTTAGTTACTCACGTACACGTACGCACAGCTTCTTACAACACGTATAGCCGGGATTAGTTGCAATTGAACTTCTCTGCTTTCTTCTTTCTTTCCTTTTGTTGTTGTTGTTGTTTGCCTTGACAAGAATTCCGAATCTAGTTCTTCGTGCAGGCAATTTTCCCATTTTCTATACACTTTTTGTCTTGTGATAAATCCTCAAGTTCCCAGGTAGGATAAAAAAGACGCGAGCTAATCTACATAGAAGCGTGAACCCAATATAGTCCGCGCAAGTATCCACGACATATGTTAGCCGAGGCTCATGAGTAGTAGCTCATGAGTGGTAATGGCAAATGACAATGTCAATCCCTTCGACATCGACATCGAGATCACTTCACATCAGATCACCTCTTCTTCTTTCCAATACTCGTATCAATGCTTCCAATCAGGTACGCAACCACAAAGACCACCACGAATCCACCAAAGATGGTCAATGGTTTCCTCAGCGCCGACAAGAGAGTATACTCGTACGTCACCAGGAGCGTAATGTCCCTCGCCTCGTCCACAACATTGGTCCCAGAGAGCTTCAACACCGTCCTGCCTAGCGTGTCCATGAAAGTCTTGTGCACGCCGTGCTCAGCGTGGAGACTGGGGACGCCGGTGCCGCCGTGGGTCTGGTAGTTCACGTTGGTCGCGCCCTCTGGCAGAATCACACGGAGAACAAACTGCTCGTACTGGATACCCTCAGCCATCTTGGGACCCTGGACGAGCGGAACGGACAAGATATACGCATCCGACGGAGTCTTGAGCTTGCGCAAGAACGACGACAGGGCGTTGTTCCATCCGATTCGGAAACTGTACTTCCACCCTCCAAACAATGGGTATCGGGGCTTGAGCTCGAGGCTTGCGTCGCGGACCGCGTTGGGTCGGAACCGAGACGTCGAGACGTTGCCGATGTCGTCGGTGAAGTACGGGTCAACGCTGCCGGGCCTCAGGGGCACCTTGAGTTCTCGTAGAGCAGATGTGCTCATTTGGCCCGAGCTGATGTAAAAGCTTTGCGTGCTCCAGGCGACACGTGAGAAGTGGTTGGACAAGGACGCACCGTCATGTCGGAGCCAGTACCGCTCTTCGGTTGCAAGGTTGCCGCCCCAGTGTGACACTTCAATGTCGCGTTCGAGGACGCTGCATACCAAAAGGGGTTTGTTGAACTCGTAGCGCACAGAAACCGGGTACGTCGTGCCTGGTGAGACCTTGGACGTGTCGTAGGGCCCGTACGAGTATTGTGTGCCCTGCCTCTCCGGGTCGGCGTTTGATGTCAGCCCCTCCGTCGTCGTGTACTCCGGTACGTCGGTTGAAGGGAATTTAACTTTTGTCTTTTGCTTGACGGTCTTGTACGCCGACGGGGCATATGCGGAGAAATCGTAGGTGAGGTATTGCTTTTCGTCTTGGCGGATAGATGCAGGGAGAGGTCTCAGAGCCCCGAGGATGTGGTAGGATATGGAGAGGGTGACGGTCCCCTTGGGAGGAACGGGTTCGTCAAGGTGGACAACATAGTATTGAGTTGATCTGCACGGATTGTTAGTCGAGGGGCGCTCATTTCGATGAGATGATACAGCCATACTTGGGGGAATTGCCCGATGCATCCAGCACTTCTGCCACTGCAGCAACGGTCACTTCGAGTGTGCCCTTCTCGGCATTCTTTTTGTCTCTGACATCGAACCCTCCGATCCTCCCGATCACATCATAGTCGAATGGAATATAGTATTCCGATTGCGGCTTCTTATCCGTATTCGTGATCAGGACGTTTGTTGTCTCTCTGACGTAGCCTTTCTCGAGGTTGATGGTCCGGACGAGGTTCGTGTTCTCGAATACTTGGGACGGCTTGAAGTCTTCCTTTAACAACTTCTGAGTGGATTGTGATACAGTAGAGTTCGAAACCGCGTATGTATATGCCGTGCACAGTCCGACAACTGTGCTCACTACGGACGAGAACCTCATCCTCGAAATTGACCAGAAAAAGAGGTCATGAGCAGCAGTGATAGCGTTGTTGTCGCTGTGAGTGCTTTCGTAGTAAGTGCTTCGTTGGAAGCGGTTCGGTGGAAGTGCTTCGGTGGAAGTGCTTCGTAGTCAGTGCTTTAATTAGGCCAGCGTGGAGAACGCTGTACGAGTACCTGAGGCTGCGGAGAGTCCGCGCTTGAATGGCTGCAAAATCCACCGTAGAATCGCTGCGGTTGAGCATAGTGGCCCCAAAGCGGACTGACAACGTGAAGACTCTGATTGGCCTGAAGCTATTGATCCCGGCGAACATTGAAGTTCCAAGTGCGCAGTTCAACCAAGTAATGAGATCCTGCGAAACTCCTCAAGAGCTGAGACCTCGCCGGTAAATCTAGCATCGCCCAGTATGGCTTCGAAAGCCATTCCCCATCTTGTGCGCCAGGCCACGAGGGCGGCATCCAGAGCATCTCAAGCTCATCCTCAAAGACAACCATTGCACATTCGACCTTTCTCCAGCACACCTTCATCAAGGAGCGAAGCACTCTTTGTCGTACGTGATGGCTTTCTCTCTCGTTGGGCCCTAAGATCACGAAACAAAGGAGCTAACCTTTTTGTTCCTATTTCTTTTAGCACCGCAACACGCCCGAAAACAACCCCTCGATCCCTTTTAAATTCAACAACACCAACCTCCGGCTAATCGATGAGATCCTCAAACGCTACCCGCCGCAGTACAAGAAGGCGGCCGTCATGCCGATACTGGACCTCGGCCAGCGCCAGCACGGCTGGACGAGCTTGTCCGTGATGAACGAGGTGGCGCGCATCCTCGAAATGCCGCCGATGCGAGTCTACGAAGTCGCCACGTTCTACACCATGTACAACCGCGAGCCGGTCGGCAAGTACTTTGTGCAAGTGTGCACGACGACGCCGTGCATGCTTGGCGGCTGCGGCAGCGACAAGATCATGAAGGCGTGCGAGGAGTTTCTGGGCGTGCATTCGGGCCACACCACCGAGGACAAGCTCTTCACCCTGCTCGAGGTCGAGTGCCTGGGAGCGTGCGTGAATGCGCCCATGGTCCAGATCAACGACGACTACTATGAGGACCTGACGCCGGAGACCATGAAGACCCTGCTGCAGGCGCTGAAAGACAGCTCGACCATCAGTGGCTACGATGCGAGCAAGGTGCCGAGACCTGGACCCCAGACCTACGAGGGCAAGCAGAGGGAGACGTGCGAGCCGAGGGGAGGTCTGACTTCGTTGCTGGGAGAGGTACCCAGGGTCCAAGACCACATGAGGACCGATGGGGAGTTGTAAAAGAGAGAGAGAGAGAGAGAGAGGTCGGAAGTTTGAATGTGTCGGTATTATTAGCCTGCCACGGATATTGCAAGACTTTTCTTTAGGAGAGACGGCAATGGATCATGCTCCGTAGGCTTTGCCTGCAAATCTCCATGTGAGATTGCCTCTCAACAACTGCACATATATATAAATGTATGTAACAGGACGAATGGTTACTGTTCGCGAAGAGCAGATTCCAGGACATTGCTTGCCACCACTACCCGTGACGTCGTGTAAAGCCCGACGTCGGTGTCCTCCCAAAGTGGTTCATCATTACAATCATAACTTCATGCCAACTTGTCCAATTTCGAATTCCGTGTGTCGTCGATACCGTGTCCTCTTTTACCATGCGCCGCTGTGCTCATTCAATCATATTTCCCTATACGTCCCAGAGAAGCCGAAACCACGGTCCAAGTTAATCCAGGGGAATTTTGCACCCATTCTGCACTCGACAGCCTCCATGCCTATCCAGGGCATGCCACACTAGAGACTCTGCCAGAGCCCAATGCTCCCATTTTAACACTCACTACCCGGGGCACAGATGACCTATGTGTCAAAGAGCCATGTAGTTTTCTTTTTCAGCGTATAAGCCGAGTGTGAGACCGTATGCTTCTTCGTGATGATCGTCTTGAAAGGATGGCTCTTCGAGTGTTTCTCGTAGGGCTCTTTTGTGCAGAGAATGACAGGATCTTCCTGGTGGATGGTATGCTCAACATCCCAATCTTCAGACCAGTTGAGATTGTCGGTCGCGTCATCCGTTACTAACAGGTCGTCCTCGGGGGAAGACACCGACAACGGATCAGAAGTGTTGAGGGACGAACCCCCAAACGACGGCTCGGTCGGCTGCCAGTCAACGTTATCGGCCAGAGGATTCGCATAGACCATTGTCCAGGTCAAGTCGCCCTCGAATTCTTCACCGTTGGCGGGCTTTTCGACGTCGGAGAGGTGCGGTTTGATGGCTACATGGTCAAGTGGGCATTCCTGGACACGCTTGTCGACGACATACTTCTCCACGCGCGGCTTGAGACGATTGGGGTCGACGTTGTCGGTGGCGACGAACCATTGTTGACGACCGCCGTTGGTGAACCAGCCGCTAAACGAGACGGAAGTGAGTTTCAGATCGGTCTTGAAGCGCTTGATGACCTTGACCCAGCATTCACGGCGGTCCGCCCCGCCGAGGAGGGTGATGTTGGAGAGGTTGAGGTGGCGCAGCGTCGCGCCGTGCAGCTTGAGAAAATGGAGCAGGTCTTGGTCGTGGCATATACATGCGTCCAGCGTCAGTGTCTCCAGTCTCGGAGCGAGCGGGCGGTGTGTCCAGCCTGCCGTGTGTGTCTCCAGGAGCGCGGCAAGATCGGAGACAAGGTCGTCATCTGTATATTGGCAGCGCGTCAGACTGCAGTCCGTCATGCGCAGTTTGAGGCGTTTCAGTTTCTTTGCAGACCTCAGAAGGAATGAGATGGCTTCAATATGATTCGCCGTTGGCAGCAATGTATCATTCCGAAAACCGAGCTCGAGTTCTTGAAGATCTTGCAAAACATCTCGAAGGAGCCTGAGTTGGTGGTTGGCGCCGGTTGGTCTGATGGCCATGGCTCCAAACATGCCGCGGGCATCGACGTTCATGGCCTTGAGGCTGTGTAAACGAATGTTGGAGGAATAGGCTGCGGTCAGAATGCCCTTGGTATATGACCTGCCTGGAGTGCCGGCCATGGAGGAGAATTTTACGGCCTCAAGGGAAACTTTGTACTTCTTGCACATCTTTTGGTAGAAGTAGGGGATCTTCAAGGAAGCAAGGGAGGTGAAGGGGCCAGGCTCTTCCGAGTCTTCGTGTTCTCGCACTCGAAGCGCCCTCAAATTTGGCAACAGTCGCAATGCTTTACCTAACATCGCGACCTCGATCGCCATGTCCTCGTAAGGCTGGAATCTCCCTTGAGTTACAGCCTCGATGGAAAGATCTCTGCCGGGTGTGGCCATAAACGATAGCATGGGGTTTTCGGTCTTGATCCTATAGAAGAAATTGCCAAAACGAGCATCGTAGACTAGCTTCGTGACATGAAGAAGAACCTTGGACCGTTCGAGTGCCTCCATAAACCCACGGATGCACTCTAGATTCGGGATCAAGACAACCTTGCTCCATAATACTGGTGTGGCCAGCTGCTCGAGCGTCTTGGACGCCAAGCGTACGTTCTTGAGAGTGGAACCTGGGCATGCCTGGATGATAAGAAGCAGGATTTCATTGGGAAGTTCAGGGCAGAGATTTGTGTGATCAAGAGTCGAAAGGGGATTCATTATCGAGGGTTAGGTGTCGGGTAGAGGATGTCAATATCAGCGGCATGTAAGAGTGAGTCTCAGGAGAACCATGAAGAGAGAGATCTGAATGTGAGGAATGTGCACAGCCTTCTCTGGAAATGGCCGATGAGGCTGCCTTGCGCTTAGGACGCTTAGTGTGGTCGGTTGCCTGGAGGTGTTGAATGGAGAGACCAACAACTGTTGAGACTGACTGAAATGTATCGCACTCCGGAGCGAGCAGCGGGCTAGGCTAGACCGGTAATCGGCTTGATGCAGAGGACAATCATTACGCACACGAAGAAGAGCGAAGACGAGGTGTTGTTGGCATTGGGGAAAAGTCACCAGACTTCGCCCAGGATCATAAGCCACGCTGAGCTGCGATTCGCTACTGAGGAAGACATCTCAGCCACAGGCTGACCAATGGCTGGTGGACCATATTTGTGGTAGAAGCAGTGATGAAGAAGATCCCATGCTGTTTGAGTGTCCAAAAGTCTCCAGACACAATGTCGCGTTCACATGGAAAGAGTCGGTGCGTATCATATACGGCGAGGATGTGGTTGTAGATGGAGCCGACGAAGTCATCGGCTGGAAATAATACTTCTGTCAGACCCTAAATTCTGCGTGATATATCATGTATATTGGCCTGTCTGACACAGGACCGGCCTGCGCAGATCTAGCTTTTACCCTGTCCACGCTACTTGCACTAACTAGGCGTGGGATAAACATGGGGCTTGTTCTGGAGGAGGCTACAAATGCGACTCTCGGGCACAGCTGAAGGACTGAGAGTAGTTTTCTCGATCGTCTATTGTCGGGCAACATCATCAGCCACATTGCCCAGGTGAGCGTAGACTGCTAAGGTGCCTACTCGTATTGTAGGTACCTATGAGCACGGTTAGAGAACTACAGTATGTACTGCACCGAGTCACTAGCGAGACATGAGCTAAGGAAGCGGGGAAGCTATGATGTATAGCTCACCCAAAACAGCATGTTGGCCGAGACCGCCAAAAGCCACAAAAGCCCCTAGGCACGTGGGCACCCTTGGCCTTCGATTGGCCGGCATGTGCTACAGCCAGACTGCGGCTGGGATGGGAAGAGAGACTTGCTGAGGGAAAGCATGAAAACAATCTTCGAGGTCAAGCGAGACCATGCATGTTAGGACGAACTCCCCCTCCTCATGAGCTGAGGAGCTCGTGTCATTGGATCTACCCATATTTGCACCTCGATTTTTTTATACTTGTCACCTTCTGCTACCGTCAAGCTGCTGTCCTCGTTGCATTCGCCCACCGTGTCGCTCTCTGGGTTCTTGGGGCGTTGAGGAGGACTTTCTACGTTTATCTAGTCATAGCCAACCTCCAACATGAAGTACGTCTTGTTCTAGGCGTTCCTGTGCCTGTACTGACTCTGAATCTCCGCAGGTTCGGTCAACAGCTCCGGCAATCTCTTATCAAGGACTACTATTGGCACTATATTGCCTACGATGACCTCAAGGACGCCCTCAAGAAGCCTTTTGTCAATGGCAAGAGTGGAGAACGCGAGCCCTGGACCGAAGATGACGAAGCCTCCTTCATCCAACTGCTAGAAGCCGAGCTGGACAAGGTCTATACTTTTCAAAAGCTCAAGAGCCAGGAAATCGTCTCGAGGATAAAATCCAGTGAAGCAGAGGTCAAACAGGTTCTCGAACGTCAGGAGCAGCAGGGACATTCTGATCCTGAGTCCGATAGCGAACTTGAGGCTGATTTCGAACTGTTGGAGCAAGATCTGAGCGATATCATCGCCGACGTGCACGATTTGGCCAAGTTCACCCAGTTAAACTATACTGGCTTCCAGAAGATCATCAAGAAGCATGACAAGCAAACTGATCTGATCCTCCGTCCTTCCTTTGCAACCAGACTGAAGGCGAAGCCTTTCTTCGCCGACAATTACGACGCCTTCATCGTTACCCTCTCCAAGCTCTATGACCTTGTTCGGACAAGAGGCCACCCTGTAAAGGGCGACAGTTCTGCGGGGGGTGCTCAGCAAAACTTCGTCCGTCAGACAACAAAATATTGGGTTCACCAAGACAACATCACCGAGCTCAAGCTCATCATCCTCAAGCATCTGCCCGTCCTCGTCTTTAACCCCAACAAGGAATTCGAAGAGAAAGATTCGGCAATCTCTTCGATATACTATGACAACCCGGAAACATGGGAACTGTACGAAGGCCGTCTCAAAAAGACCGAAGGCGCCGAGGCAATTCGTCTGCGTTGGTATGGTGGGATGGAGACTGAGACAATATTTGTGGAAAGAAAGACGCATCGAGAGGACTGGACGGGGGAGAAGTCTGTCAAGGCTCGATTCACTCTGAAGGAGAAGAACGTCAACAACTTCCTTGCCGGTAAGATGACAGTCGAAGAAGCCTTCGCGAAGATGAGAAAGGAGGGGAAGAAAAGCATTAAAGAAATCGAAGATCTAGAACAGTTGGCTCGCGAGATTCAATATCGCGTCGTTACACGGAAACTGGTTCCTGTGTGCCGGTCCTTCTATCACCGTACAGCCTTTCAGCTTCCAGGCGATGCCCGCGTGCGTATCTCTCTGGACACCGAGCTGACAATGGTCCGAGAAGACAATCTCGATGGTAGAGACAGAGCAGGCAAGAATTGGAGACGAATGGACATTGGTATCGACTGGCCTTTTTCACAGTTGCCTCCGGAAGACGTCGAACGCTTTCCTTATGCAGTCCTGGAAGTCAAGCTGCAGACGCAAGCTGGCCAGGAGCCCCCTCAGTGGGTGCGAGAGCTGACATCAAGCCATTTGGTCGAAGCTGTCCCAAAGTTTTCCAAATTTATCCACGGATGTGCCACTATGTTCCCCGACAGAATTAATCTTCTGCCATTCTGGTTTCCACAGATGGATGTCGACATCCGAAAACCCATCTCTCACCGCTTTGGAATCGAACGACCAGCCAATACGGTCAGCTATTCGACTAGTGACGTTGATGAGGATGAAGAGGACTCTGATACTGAATATGGCCAGGCGACTGGCAAGACCACACCATACACCAACGGTTCTCACTCTTCTGGCGATGACCAACAGCAGCGGTTGAAGGCTGCAAGGCGGGCCTTGGACGAACATAGTCGCGCCCAGGCCCAAGACGTCCGAGACGCAAATGCTGCTCCTGGAAACTCATTGGACGAGGAAGAGCGTCTAGCCGCACTCCCGTTGGCCGAGGAGGAGTATATCTATGACTCTGAAATGGAGGATGAAGAAGACGAATCTTCAGGTGCTCAGCACGATAAGTCCTCGTGGAAAGCGTACCGCGATGTGCTGGAGCACCATGCGCAAGTGGTAAGCGATGCAATCGTCAAACTCTTCCGAAAGATACCTACGTCGACCCCTCTACCCCAGAATGGAAACATTGGTGGTGTCAACCCTCTTGGTGGCCAAGTCCAAGTCAAACGCTTCAAAGCCCCACCAGGCAAAAGAATCCACGTCCCTGTTCGAGTCGAGCCGAAGGTCTACTTTGCAACTGAAAGAACCTTCTTGTCGTGGCTGGAGTTTAGCATCATCATCGGCTCTGTTGCAGCCACTTTGCTCAACTTCGGTGATAGTGTCAGTCTTGCTTCGGCCTGGGGCTTTACCGTTGTCGCTTGCGCAGCTCTAATATACAGTGCCGTTATCTACTGGCTGCGTGTACAGATGATTCGGAAACGAAGAGCAAGTGTGTCGAGATACTACGACAAGTATGGTTCAACGGCATTGTGCGCGGGGCTCTTTGCTGCCACTGCCGTTACTTTTGTGTTCAGAGTGAGGGAGAGTGGATGGTGATGAAGTTGATTGCCTGCGGAGGGAGAGGGGGAAAAAGCCCAACTAATAATACAGAGGACGTTGAACGTGTTATACATACACACACAGGGTCATGAGTGTACTTGGTGCAGACTAGCTGATATGATAAAAATGCGCAAAGAAAGGGATCTGGAACGGCCGTTTGGGTAAAGGAGGATGGGATGCGGGATCATGATCAATTAACTACTTTGATTCACTGACCTCGCCTCGTCCAAGGGATAAAGGGCTGCAGATTTGTACTTGTAGCGTGTGGAAGTTTCTAATTAGTACTCTGTACATGTTACCTGAGTTATGCTGCTATCACCTACCCTCCCACCTACCTAGTTAATATGCACTATATGTTTTTGATATCTGTATCTGTATCTGTACAGAACCTCCCTCCTCTTTGAAACACCAGAACGGGCATGATGTTGTATCTGATTGTATAAAGACGTCACGTCTATGATGCACCGACTGACCGTGTGTCTCGTACATCTGGTAGACACCTGATCTGATACGGCATGTATCTACGTAGTCAAGTATACGTGATATACACTTACTTACCTAGATAGTAGGTGGTGGTAATAGGCAGGTACTTTTTACTCCGTGCTACTGAAGTAACTGATGACCAGCAGATCCCATCTCAACCATTTGTCCCCATATCACATCACTACCATCTCTGGTACCCTTCTGTTTCTATTCTCGCTGTGGATTTCGTTTTTTTGTTTTTTTTCGTGTCTGTTTTCCCTCTTCCCTTTCCCCGTCTGTTTATTTTTCTCTTCGCGCACACACACCACACCAAAACGCCCGTAGGGAAGAACAACGAACCAACCAACTCCAAAGAAAGTAAACCAACTAGCTGACCAGGACGACAAGTTCCTTTCGTCTTCTTCTTCTTCTTCTTCTTCTTCTTCTTCTTCTTCTTCTTCGTCTTCTTCTCCTCGGCATCCCATTCACACACACACACAGTCAAACCTTTGTAGTACTGCTCGGTACAAGATACATCTCCCCGGTGACCATGTACTAGTTCCTCAACCTTCGTGTCTTGCAGGCCCCGTGCTCATGCTCCTTCACACTAACCTGCCTAGGTGGTGTGGTCAGATAGTGCTAGTCGTCTTCTATGTCGTCGTCTGAGATGTACAGCTTTTCCACAGCGCCGAGATCAATTCCATCAACGCCATCCCCGGTGCCAGGACGCGGACGCGCACCATTTGAAGATGTCGTCTCATTCTTGCGAAAAGTGTGTGGCATTAATGGTGACGGGACTGCCCCAGTTCGCCTGCTCGCTGATCCAGACAATCTCGATGCCGCGGTTGAGACTGAACCGCTCCCAGTCGTGTTGACGGTCGCGTCCCCACCGGCACCAGCACCGGCACCGGCAACAACATCATCATTCTCATCGTCGTCTTCGGGTCCTTGATCTCCAACAGCGGGAGACAAGAATACATTCGGTCTAAAGGTGGTAATGCGTTCAAGAACACCGGTGTCCTTGCTCGTCGTGGCAAAGATCCGGGTCATGTACGGCAACACTTCGAGCGTCAACGTATCTTTGGCGTACCTGATCTGTCTCCTTTCGCGCTCATCATCGTCATCGTCAGCTCCAGACCCACTCTCGATCCCTGAATACGTATCTGCACCACCAAAAGCCCTTGTCCGCCAGGTCGCCACGCCACCGTCACCGACAGTACTCGATGCTTTGTGCGACAGAGCCCCGCCCGAGCCCGTCCCTAAGCCGTCACCATTCACGTACATCTCGATCAAACTGTCCATCTCCTCTGTCGGTTTCCACAGTCTCAGGCTGGCCGGGTAGAACATTTTAAACGTATCCCCCTTTTTCCCACCTGGCAGAGACGCTCGATTCACCGGGTATGGAAGGCTGAACAGCAGGCCTCTTGTGGCAACTTGAAAACTGATCTCATCTTGCCGGAGCGTATCCGATGACCCTGCCTGTAGATTCGCCTGGATGATCGAAGCGTACGGGTTCCAACTGGCACGTTGGGAAGGCCGACTTTCAGGATTCAGCACGTCGCTGACCGAGAGCATGTCGGAACATCCATCGAAGCACTCTTCAAACTTGTCGCCACTACACGAGAGGATGTAATTCTCATGTAACGTGGAAATAAACGTTTGAATGTCCGTGCCAGTCTCGCTGAGTAGAGCCTCGATGTCGACCTGAGACGCCTTGGGTGTGTACAGATGCATGAGATGGTCCGGCGGCTTGGGTGGAGGCTCTGCTCGTGTATCGAGGACTCGAGGATCTTCACGTTTGTTGTACACAATTTTCCCTGCTGCATGAAACATATCAAGTGTCGTCTCCCGCTGACTCACCAGCTGAAGAGAATCCCTTTCCATGTCGGTCAAAGGCACATTGTCTTTGGACGACTTCTTGGCCTTGGCGGCCACTGTTCCAGACCATTCAGAGTTGTTGTCGCCTCGCAAGCACAAGAACTCGAGCGAATTGACGGCGCTTCTGACATCGCCCATCTCTGCTAGTTTCTGGATGACCGCCGGCCCTGGTACTCTCCGTCTTCGAGAGTCTCTTGCCTCCTTTTTCATGACAATATCCAGCGCCTTCGTGACAAATGTCGGTGCTACGGGATTGAACTCCATCACCGTGACATATGGATTGTTCAAGATCTCCGGGCCGAGCAGCCTATGCGCCGTAAAACTATCCGTCAGAGCCGTGGATGAAGAAAGCAGCGTCTCTGAAATAATAATCACCACAGGAGGAGAACCGTGGTCAGGGCTTGGTTGTCCTCGCAGAGTAGCCGTAGAAGCCGCTCGACTTCGTGCTAGGTATTGAAGAATCACTGATCTGAATGATTGGAGAGCACCGGATAGTCGGGCCATGGTGGCAGGGAACTCTTCGATCACGAGAACACGATGAGCCGAGTCTTGTTTCGACACATCGGACTGGGTTGAGTCATCGCCAAATACAAGACTACCAAATCGACCGCCTCGATTCAAGAACTCATCAAACTGAGCCGCAACCGAATTTTTGCTTCCAGTTTCTGAGGCTGTGGGATTGTGCCACGGGACCAGTTGCAACCCCATTGATTTCGCGAGAAGTGACAACGTTGTCGTCTTGCCGCTCCCAGCGGGCCCTTTCAGGACAAGGATCTTTTGGCCATTCCGGCCGTCGATTTTGCCCTGGAGCCAGTTCTGGACATCCGAGACCTTCTTCTTGTGCACTACCAGCTCTTCAAGACTATTCGGTCCATAGCGATCGGCCCACGGTCGATGTCCCTCCTCCGGTTGCGTTTGATTCACATCGTTCGAGGACGGCCGATTCATGTCGGATGGGCGAACAAATCGCTGGCTCGCCGGGAAACTGGTGCCAATGCTCCTGTTACTGGGACCAGAGGTAGCAGAGATGGCCGGCTTTCGTCTGTCCGCAGCGGGGCCACCTGTGTTCGTCTTGAGACCCAGCTCTTGCAACGTATCGTCAGAGAGATCGTCATCCTCGATTGCGTCGAGCAGTTCTCCATTCTCTGCGTCTATATCCGGCGTCACAGACTTTTTCCTCCATCTCTCCTCTGCTGTAGCTTTGCTGAAGAAGTTATGCAGAGACCCGGACTTCTCTGGCTCAGCCTTGATTCTTGTGGTCTTTCTTTGCTTTTCGGGGGACGAGTGTGAGGGCGATTTCTGCGCAGGGCCCTTCTTTGCAACCGCCTTCCCTTTCGGAGTCTTTACCGGTGATACGTTCTGGGAGGTTCTGCCATCAAGAGTAATCTCACGCTGGTGGCTTGATTTCTGTGTCTTTGCGCGAGGTTGCTCGCCTTGATCACTGTCGTCCGAGAGGACGATGGTGGATCTGCGCTGCCTTTTGGCAGGCCGGAGAGCCATTGGCAAACATGCTGGTGTGTTATGCGACAGTAGCAGCAGCAGCAGCGAGAACTTGTGTGGTCCGAATCCAGCGTGAATCGCCCAGAGTGAATGCTCAATCCCGCAATTTGAGTCCGACAATCAGACGGTGAGAATGATTGGCCAGACGCGAGTCACGTAGGCACGTGGTTCAGCCTTGCCATCCAACAACACCTTCAGCCTCGCGTAAAGAGCTCAGAAGCATTCGAGTATTAGGTACCTCAGGTACACAGTGACGCCCAGCTTCTGCACCTGGAATAACCATGAAGGACATCTCATAGTCCGGATTGGCACCACCTAGGAATATGATACTCTGAATGCTACACATCCACTCATAGATTGTCTCAATCACGATTCAATATGCTATCCTTCAAGTTCGACCAGAACCCCAAGTCATACACATTGTCCACTTCCCGTAGACTGTGCACCTTTGTCCACCTCTCATCAGGCACTTCGTTGCCTTCGTCCTCTGCTCCTCTCTCGCCAACACCCTTCCCATTTTCTCTGTTCTTTCTGAGCGTAGGTTGTCGCCCATCAACCATCCTGACGAGCCACCACTTGGCCCGCGCACCCCTGGGCCATGGGGACTTGATATCCTCGTCTCTCGGCTCAACATCGTCAGGTAATTTGGGATACGTCTCTCTCAGCTCGGCTATTCTGGCCCTGTACACCAGATCATCAAGTATATCCTCTTTCCAATCACTCCACTTGGCACTCTCGTTGGTGGTCATGCCGGCCCAGACCAAATAGACATGATAGACCAAGAACGCCGTGGCGAGCGGGAAACTCAAAATCGTGAGCATCATGATACTCCCAATCCTCCACTCGACGCTGATGGCCCAGGCCCAGCACTGCCAGTACTCTCCCCAGGTCAGAGCGGTGCTCCATCTCTTCGCGGTCGCACTCCCCCTCGTCAGCGCCGCGGGCACAAGCCGCTCCTGCAGCCTCGCGTCCAGCAAGACGTAGCCCAGCCTCGCACCGTACGCAAGCAGCACCGCCGTCGCCACGATCAACAGGTTGAACCACAGATAGTTATTCCGGCCGACGCAGTTGTTGATCCAGATGCAGTGGTGATCCTGCTTCTGCACGCACGCCTTGCAAATCGGACAGTGCTTGCTGCGCGCCGGCTTCGCGAACCGACACGTGCTGCAGAAGTAGCCCGGGTGGAACAGCGCAAAGTCATAAGGGTAGGCGCGTATGCACTCCGCGTGGTTCTCGGGTGTGACGTTCGAACTGGTCGTGGCAGACAGATAGAGAAACACCATCGGCCCAGCTATCAGACACGGGATCACGATCTTTTGCGACGTAGCTAGCCGATCCCACGCCGCCGGGACAAACATCGCCTCGCCTATGACTTGTAAACCGAGGAAAAATATCTACACGCAAGGTAAGTAAACAAACAAGAGTACGCCCCTGAACAAAACGAGAAAAAACAGACAACCCCACAATTATAGAGCAATCGACAGAACTCGAACAGCAACGCTTACCAGAACAAGTGGGTGTTTCTCATTCATCAGATAATTGCCCGTCCGGGCAAGGCTTCGCGATATACGACGGCCCGTAAGTCGTTCGTCCACCGCGATGAATCCATTCGGTATATGCCGCCATAGTAATTGGTGTAGGAAGGCGATAGGCGTGCGTCTAGAATACAGATAGAAAGAGTCAGTTCATTGAAAACTACGAAGACTGAAGTATGTTTTTATATCTCCAGATATAGGGGTGGTGGCACTACATGGTAAGAGAGGGTCGGAAATCTCACCTGAAAGCCGGCAATCTTCCAAAAAGCGCTATGAAGACGATAAACGAAATGGTCAGAACGACTAATGCTATGGTCCGAATGAGACCCATTGTACGAAACGAATATCCCTGAGCAGGTCGTCCGTGCCCAGATATGTAGACAAAGGTAAACAGACACACAAAGCACACGAAAAGATAAATGAGTGCCTAAAGTAGGATGCCTGTCAAGGCTGGTGAGGCTGAGCACAAGGCTGAGCAGGGGAGCCTCGTGCAACGCCAAGACAGGCTTATAGGCTTTCATGCCTATTAAAACGGCCCCCAAGGCCTATAAGACCCCCCCTAACGGTGCCTAGACTTCTACCACCACCAAATAAAAGGACTGGCACCAGACATCTTTCTGAAACCTTAGCTCTAATCGATCCAGAAATACTTGCAAAATAAAGATTCTTGCCATTCATGTGGTCGCCGAAGTGCCATGGCGAACATATGATTTAGACCGTTCCAATCGCTTGCCTTTCGCTCTTCTCCTGCTCATCGTTTTTCAGTATGCACTCCAACTCTTCCCTACTAAAGTCTAGGGGAAAATTATGCATATAGAACAATCAATTTGCTCTCACGGCGACCATGTCGTCTGGGGACCGACCTGCGCCGGCTGGCCATGGATTTCACAGTAAGGCGTGGCCCTACATATCAGAAAAACGTAGAGGATAGGCTGATTTCACAACCTAGGGTTAATTAGAGCCACGGTCTTTGGTAAAGTCTTGGAGGACTACGCACCTTGCAGCTCTCGCTCCTATTCCTGGGCGTCATTGTACTTCTTTTGGGAGTAGATCAACTTCCCGTCCTCGTACGCATGGAGTGAAGTTAGACGGCCTGTCCTGCCAAAGACCTGTCCCGAGATATGAGGGTCTGGATCACTACTAGAAGTATGTGCTGCCCCGCTGGTCTGTATTGGTCATTCTCTCCGCTTGGTGGACGACATCAACGTCTTACTGAATCTCAACCCTCTCGGCTATGTCCTGCAACTCCATGTCTTTGCGGGCTGCATTCTTTTGGGGCCTTCTGCTGTGCCTGCTGTCACAGATCTACTGCGGCAGAAGGCGGTTTCACCAAAACACCTCCTGACGAATGATAATTCCGCCCCCAGCATCTTCTGATCTTGTAACATCCAATGCAGAGCATCATGGCTCCTCTGCGCGCTCTTCGACACAAACCTTAGTCTCGACCTTCAGCGGTTGCCTCTCGACTGGATCCCTTTCAACTTGTCGAGGAGGAGAACTCGCCGCACTATGACCCACGTTACTTCTACCCAGCCCGCATCGGAGATGTACTCAATGACCGATATCAGTTGGCGACGAAACTTGGCCATGGAAGCAGCTCCACAGTCTGGCTTGCGCGAGATCTCAGACAGTGTGAAAACCAATCACCTTGTCTGACGTATAGGGTACTAATCCATTTATAGGTGGAAGTGGCTCAAAGACCAATACTGTGCAGTCAAGATCAAAGCAAATATTCCGAGTCCTGCTCATGAGACAGCTCCTGAAGAGCTGGAAATCCTACGGCATATCACAAACATCAACTCTAGCCGCGAGGGTCGAGAGTTCATCAGACATCTCCTTGATTCATTTACAATACCCGGCCAGTCTGGATATCATCAATGTCTTGTGTTCGAACCCTTACGGGAGCCACCTTGGCTTTACCAGAGACGTTTTGTCGGCGACGTACTCCCCATGGAGATGGTGAAGATCATTCTTCAGATGGCATTGCAGGGACTTGATTACCTGCACTCAGAGTGCCATGTTATTCACACCGGTACGTCAATCTCACTTACTACCAGAGTGAGTGTAAAACTAGCGTCATAAGATTGCTGACCAAGTCGGTAAGATTTAAAACCCGACAACATTATGGTGAAGCTCGAAGATCAATCGATCCTGGAGCGCGACGCCGAGGATGAATTCAGGCACCCACTTCCGCAGAAGTCCTGCGAAGACGGCCGTGTAATATATCTTGCTCGAAATGATTATGGACGATTTCGAGGACCCGTTGGTGTCATTCGCATTTCTGATTTTGACCTTGCGGTCTTTGGCGGTCGCGGTTTGCACAAAGGCTGTATTCAGGCGGATCTCTACCGCGCACCTGAAGTCATTCTCGACGCTGGATACACGTACAGTGCCGATATCTGGAGCTTAGGGGTTATGGTGAGTGTTGACTGTCGAGCTTTCCGAATTTTCCACGACTCACATGGCTAAATCGTACCCACAGCTTTGGGATCTACTGGAAGGGAGATCGCTTATCAAGAGCAACGTGCCGAAGGAAGGCCAGAAATACGAGTACGACGATCAAAGACACCTCGCGCTCATCACAGCGCTGTTGGGAGACCCGCCTCAGACCCTTCTCACGCATGGAGATAGAACGTCTCTGTTCTACAACAAAGATGGTACGTCTGTTAACATCTGCCCGAGCACAACTCGAATCCTTACTTGACAATTGATAGGCCGCCTTCACCAGCCGGATCTTATCCCACCTGCTTTCAGCTTCGAGACCACCATTGCAAGCCTTGACGGGGAGGAGAAGAGATTATTCATCGCCTTTGTCCAGAAGATGATTCGATGGCTGCCCGGCGAGCGGAGCACGGCAAAAGACCTCCTCAAAGACCCATGGCTATACACGGGACTCTCTGGAGATTAACAAGACGCAGGGGGGATTTTATTGTTCTTCTTTTGGCGAAGTGCGAAGCGATCATGCCCGAGGCCTCCCGCCTTGTGTTTGTCGTCAACGGGGGGAGCTTTCCGAGCCCATTTCGGCATTGGCGGTGAAATACCCTCGCGGCCCAGGGGGTGCCCGGTTGCCTGCTCCCGAACCCATATCAGACCGAGAGTCGTCGACGACCTGAACAGCCCAAAGCTGTGTGCTTCCCAGATAAGACGCTTTCGTCCATGGCCACCGGCCAGGCCCGGTCTGAAAGAGCCAACGACTCGGAAGGGGCTCGAGCCGACGCCTCGTACCACCACCACCACCACCACCACCACCACCACCACCAAGACGTTCGCAGATGGCAGCAGCTAACTAACGGGTGTCTACCCTCTGAACCAACGCCGGTCTAAAGAAGTCCCAACCCCCTCCCCACCCCCAAAAAAAACAGCCCATGTGCTTGTTATAACCAGCAATGTCGACCTCCAGTGCTTGTAGTACACCACATGCCGTCGAGCGCGGTTCTACTAGATGGTGACTGACCGTAACTACTTACTTTGTTGGTGGGAGTTCTTCTTGGAGAGGATGGAGAGGGCTCCACCACCACCACCATCATCATCATCATCATCATCATCACTCACCACCACCGCCACCACCTCGTCAAGAGTAGAGAAAGCCTGAATGGCTTCCTTCCGGCGAACATCAACATGTTCATGCCCCAAGGATGAGGCAATCCAAAAACCAACAACGGGCTCTGCAACAACACGTATCGTGGGTACCACGTCGGTACCCACACCTCAAGTATTTACCGTTTGCAACTGGGGCCTTCGACGACCTTGTAATAATAATACAGCCCTCGAGAAGAATACCTTGTCAAGTACGTTTTGATATCTTATTATTCGCAACCAAGCTGTGGCCATTGAACCGAACCCACGGAACCAAAAGCCTGGCTGGGGTCCCTGCAGCATCCCTATTGACCTCTGGCTATTCCCATCGATCGTGTGCGTGTCTTTGCATGAAATCATTTCTCGGTAATAACAGAACAAAGCCTGAGTTTGACGGCCGTCGAAGCCCAAGAGAAGCACCGTCATCACTCACACATACTCCTTGTCCATATCGACGCCTAGTGTCCATTGAACCCGACAAAACAAACACCTCCTCCCGCGTAGCCTGTAGTACAACTAATGACACCTGTGCGACCGCTGGAAATCTTCAAGCATGCATACTTTTCGTCTTTCGGTGGCCTTGCGGACCGGACCTTGACTTGCCGGGGCTGCTTGTCGAACCTCCTCCGTACGTTTCGGTCCGAGCATGACCGGGTCGAAACCCAGTCGATGATTCTGCCTTGAGCTTCTTCTCCCTTCTGAGAACGAGCTCTGTCCAGCCTTTCACCTGTGGAGACGAGCCCGGCACGTTCTTGCCAACGACTTGCGCAAGGGCGACCATCCACTGTTCCTTTTCGGCAGTTGAGTCGGCGTAGAAATCAATAACTTCGCCATTTGCAAAGCGGATACGGAATCCCTCTTCGACAAACATGTAGCCCTCCTCTTCCTCCGCGAAACCACTCTTGCGTCGACCGCCGCCCTTCGTAGACGTCTCCTTCTGCGTCAGAGTAGACTTATCGTCGATGAGGCGGCTGGCCTTGGCAAGGTTGATGGTGGCTCGCGGTTGGAGAGTCGTCTCGTGGAAAGCAGTCAGTTTTGTTCCTGCAAGCTTAAAAAATCGTCGTCGCCAATACTGCATTGCGGTCAGCGCTACTAGAGATTGGCCTTCTTGAAATTCATCTTACCGGGCAATCCCCTCCTTGCTGGCTTAGATAGCCCTCAAATGCCTTAATGCTGGCTTGTTGTTGCAACCGTTCCTCGGCCTCCCTCATCGCACGCACTGCGCCGTTCATGCTCTTTGGCATTTCTTCATCCTTTGCTCCTTTCGGTTTCGGCACATACAGCAATTGCAATTCGAGCTTGCCAATCTCATAAGGTGGACGGCGCTGAAGTTGCGTCACCCCTTTCTTGCTGCGGGAGCTGCCAACGTGAACCTCCTCAAGAGCCCACTCGTTGAAGCAAGTGATGTCCACAGTGTATGGCCTGCCGTAAGCATGATTCTCATGCTCGGACAGAGATACATAAGCACGCGCAAACGAGCCATCCTTTGCGACCAGCCCTTGAACCAGCTCATATGCAGATGGAGGAGTGACGGGTCTTCTGCCTGTTTGGGCCTCATGCATCGCTTTCAGCTCCGACTCTTTCTTCTTCTTAGGAGAGCCAAACAATCGTCCAAAAGCACCTTGTTTCTTAGGCGAGGACTGTGCTTTGCTGGGTGACTGTGGTCTTTCAACCTTCGGCTCCTCAAGCTTCATTTGAAGGGTGAGTTGGAACTCCAGGTCGTTGAGAACCACTAGCTCGAACTCCTGTCCGATCGGTGCACTTCGAGCGAAATCTAACCAGGCAGTGGTAACGCAATGAAGTCCGTTATCCAGTGTCAAGGCGAAATAGGTGCGTTCGTCTATTCGTGGTTAGCTGGCATGATTGAAAAGGTTCGGCAATACTCACGTTGGGGGAAGGGCATTTGCAAGTCTTTCACGCCAACAACCTTCACAAACAGGCGACCACGCTCGGAGCCATCTTCCCAGTCCTCGCCTTCGGCAATTTCGTCTTCTGCGACCGCGTCTAGAGTCTCCTGAGCGTTGCTCATTTGACCTGGCAGTGGTGGAACAGGTCCTTCCATCTGCTTCCTCTTGCTCATAGCCTTTTCCCCTCCAACTCGAATGCTCTTTCTTCTCATCTTACCATTCCAGGGCTCAGCAGTCCATGTGGGCTGACTTGTCTTTCGGGGAGAAGTCTGAACTAGATTTGGATCTGGAACCTGGGGTACAGAGGGGTCGCCTGGAACGCCAGGAAGCTCGGGAGATCTAGATTCATCCTGTGAAATGCGTTCGCTGGCATACACAATTTTGGTATTCTGACGCATGAGGTAGCCTCTCTGTCGACGACCAGCTCGATTAGCAAATGACTCTTCAGAATTTGGTTCGCCAGGGGTAAGAGCTCTTTTTGGGGGAGTCCGTGCTTCATGGGGCCTGGAAGTGGCAGGGATTTTGTCCATGGGGTTTTCAATCTTCGGGTCCCTGGGACAAGGAACTTCGACAGAAGGGAAACGGCCATTAAACGGGTAGTAAAGACGCTGCAACGAGAGTTCAAACTCTACCTTTTGGGCTTCCACCACTCGGTCAAACTCCTTTTCGAGGCCCAGGCCAAGTCCTTCATCAAGGGAGTCGTATGGAATGTCCAGCTGTACTAAGCTGCTCACGCGGTTGCTCTCGGGGATCTTGTGGCTTGTTTGGGTGTGTTCCTCGTCTAAGTTTGTATGTTGGAAGGGGTCTGCGCCGTGGCTGCCAGCCTTATCCTCAAAATCCGCCGAAATGGGAGAGACTGGAGAGGGCGCCTTGTCGTGAACCACAACCGAACCGCTGTCTGATGGGGAGACAGATCTATCACTATCATCATGAGCTGTGGACCTGGTGTCCGAAATATCAGACCCATCGGTCACTGGAATGTTGGAACGTCTGGAGTGTCTGACAACGGAGTCGGGACTCCCAGGAACAGCGTCCTCGACTGCTGCAGAGAGAGGAGCTTGGTATTGTCTTTGCTGGATCTCTGGGGTGTAGGATCGTTGGATAGACTGGCGTAAGGCTGCCAGATCCGGAAGATGAGTCGAATGTGTAGCGCCAGGGTTTGGCTTTGATTTCTCCTCGTTGCTGGCCAAGTATGATCCAAATCCAACGTCAAACCCACCTGCGCTGCCAAAGTCAGTGAACTCAGGCAGTGACATGCGATTTTCGGCCTGTAAAATTTGCTCTCTAGTTGGGCTTCGGGCCTTGGGAGTATCTTGTCCATCTTCGGTGTCTGGAATCAAGGACTGAGACACAGGGACTTGAGATGCCTGCGAGTATTGGCTTGTGAGGTCGTCATCTTGATTGGCGCTGGTCTCTGAATCTGACACTCGACGATTGTACAAATCAGGAATCGAGTACAAGTCTTCCTCTTCTAGCTCTTCCTGTTTGATCGTTGGCTGTGTCGGGTCTTCAAGCGACGGGATCGGAATGTCTGGGTCATATGATACATCACGCGCTCGCGTTGCCCCGTCGAGTTCTTCACTGCTCTCTCGACTGTCCTGTCCTGGGTCACCGCGTAGTCCCTGCAGGACCGATGCTCGAGAAAGCTGGGGCGTTGAGTTTCGTGATTCGGAAACCTCGGGCTCAGCTAGGCGAGGCATTTGGGACTTTTCAAGACTGGAATCGCGAACGGGGCTGGTCTCTTTCGATCCCATTCTCCTCATTCGGCGTTCCCGCTCTTGTTCCTGAAGTGCCATGAGTCTCAGTCGATCGTCGCCTGTGAGAGAGCTGGAGACCCCCATCTTTTGTATATCTGCCTTGGAAATGCCAGCAGGAATTGGAGGGGTGGGAAGAGACCTTCCAGAGATACTCAAGCGCTCCAACGTTCCAGATAGGTTCTCATTCCAGGATAATCTGTTGCCACCTGGTGGGAGAGGCGGCAACGGGCGAGTTTGTCCGTTCGAGTCTACTGAACTCGCGCTGGTCTGATGTGGGCGAGATGCCAAAGCACCCGGATGTGCAGTTGGTGCAGGACTACCGCAATCATCGTCGAAAACGTCTTCTTCCCTACGCGACAGATCTGTGCTGGCTGTCTCTGGGCTCATGAAACGCCACTGCTCCGGCAGGACAACAGGGGTCTTGTCAGTATCCTCCAGTGAGGCGTCAAAGCTGTCATCTTGATCCATCGAAGAGCCTCTCTCAAAGCTTGCATCCTCGTCCTCCTCATCCTCGTTAGACTGATAGCTGCCTTCGCGAGACCCGGACGCACATGACGAAGGTGCCGGGGTGGCCATTTCATACTCATTAATCTGGGGTGGCTTCTGGTCAAAAGTGACACTCTTCTGATGGCGATGCAATCCACGACCAGCGGGAAGTTGTCGGCTCTGAATGTCGTCATCATCCTCCCATATACCTGTTTCAGGGTCAAAGCCACTTCTCCTGAAGGCGGCTCCGGTCTTCTTTGACAAGGATGATTTTGTGGGAGGACTGTTCAACCTGCTCGGAGACAAAGGGGTAATAAGGCTTGTGGTCTGGTCCTTCTCTTCAAGCCCCTTTTTCACCTGTGGCTGTACAGGAGATGTGGAGGAAGGGGCGACATTCTCTTTTCGGATTACATCTGAACCACGAATTGGTGATTGGTGCCTTGAGAATTGCATGCTGTGAGGCCTTCCATCTAGGATCGAAGGACGCGATGGATCATAGTGACTGTTCTGCTCGATGGCAAACATACTGCTGTTCTTGACCCTCGAGGCCTTCTTGAGATTTTCAATCGATGACCGCTTGGTAGGAGAGGCTCGGGAAGGGACAGGATCGTTTATAGTTTGATTCTCTCTGGCAGGGGAGTTGGGATCACGTCCCTGCCAGAACAGTCGTGGTGATACGCCAGAGAATGGAGAGGAACCGGCCGGCGAGTCTTCGTTGCTCAATAACTTGCCCTGCAATTGCGTGAGTGAGGTGTTGTTCCAAGGCTACAAGATCTAAACAACGCACCTTTGGCTGCGGGAAGCTAGGAGAATTTCTGCGCAGGGCCATGGGACTGAGCTCAGACAGTGGTCGGTTCGTTACTCGGGGCAGCTTGGAAGGTGATGCTCCATTGCTACCCTTCTGGATTCGTAAGGGTGGGACCTGTAGAGGGACGGTGATATGTTAGAATTCTGCGGAGGACGCACGAATGTCAACAATCGACGACAGCACGTACCTCGGAAGCCATGCTGTCTAGAACGTAGACAATGGTGTTGTAGCGCTGGAGCGGTGACGCTCAGACCATGTGATTGAGGTGTGGAATGAATGAACAGTGCGCAGCAGGTATGAGAGCTTAATGGCCGATGCCTCCAGCAGGCAGTCCAGCTGCGACTTGTTCTCGATAGTGGTAGAAGAGGAGAAGGTAACGATCGTGTCGAAGAGTGAATTGAAGTAAGATGCGACCACGACGAAGGCCAGTCCAGTAGGAGACTTGCTTGGTAAAGAACAGACTGAGGAGAGTGTGTGTGGTGTGGGTGAATTGAATCATTTGCGGCGCTTCTAGTTTTACGCGCCGATTGGCACTTGATGACAACAAATCCGTCGTCGGTTGGTTGCCATGGGCAACTCGCCAACTCCCGCCCGGTTTGGCCCCCCGCATCACAACATACAATTCAACATTGTCCTCGAGGTGCCCAAGATTCTGTAGATATAGTTTTGATACTCCGTTGTTGAGAAACCCGGTCTGGGTTTGGATACCTTCTCACCCAAAACGGAGCCTCCGGACCCCTGTGTCCATTCAACGATCTCTCCGGGGCCTTTTCCAGAGTCTAATTGATCCGGCAAAGTCCTCCACGTCGCTTTGCTTTGAACCCCATGCAGCCAACCTCCGTCTATATCCTCGAATGCTGGCTCGAAATCCATGTCTCTCCTCCATGATCTGGGCTACTTTGTCGAGAGTGTGAGTGAGGTATAACTGGCAGATCTCGTGTTTGTGCAATTCCCACGACTTCTCTGGCAACATTCTATGTTCACTAGTTGGTAAGGTCACGATCATTGGCATTGTTGCGGCCGTTGGTAGGTTCTCAGGCAGTGGTAAGGTCTCAGTCGTTGGCAACGTGTTCGGAAGCTCTGTAATTGCTGAAAAAGTGGGGGTCATCGAATCGAGGATAGAGTCTCCAGATGCGTGACTGGGGTCGCGATACGCTCTAGCTTGGTCTTCAAATTTCCACAGGCAGAAAGATCTTTCAACAAGGAGTGAACATTCTAGGAAGCAGAAATCACTGAATGAGTCATTGGGAACGCACCAACTGAACACATCCTTCCAGCGATAGTCCATTAAGTCCTCGTCAGAAAGGGCGATATGGGCAAACTTGAGGCAAACCAAGAGTTCGGTCCAGCCTCTTGATCCATATGCAAATGTAAATCGCACTGGGAGGTAAGAAAAATGTGAAGTCCCCATTTCAACGACTTCCGGCGACAATTGTAGCCAGCCGAGGAGATCTACCACTTTCGAGAGCACGTCGGGGTCCGGGGTGCCTGTAAGCTCAAGCCGCCCCCCTGGAGGCGAGTGGCGTCTCAGATGACGCTGTGACATCAATACTGCAAGAGGATAGGAACACTGTAGCAAGCTGGTCATCCTAGGTCGCTGTAGAGATGGATGAGAATGACGGGCCGCGTCCGCCGTAGCCTTTGGAACAGGCGGTGCATTGCTTGCTCGTGGTGTATGGCGAGCTTGACAGGTCTGTACTCTGTCATCATCATCAAAGAGCCACGTCCTCACAGCCCCGGGCGGCGGATGCTCAGGCAAAGAAGGGGTTTCCGCTCGATAAGTTGGCTCGAAGGGAGTGGTGGGAAGGTCGTAAGTGAGAGCTGGTATGATACGTGCCGAGGTTTCAATCGAGCAATTTCCACCATGAGGATTCGCTGCCTGGGGAACTCTCTGCCTTGACCGGGGCGATGGCGTTCGTATCAAGGTATCTCCTGGTAGCGGAGGTGAGACATTGGCGTTGACTGCCTGCGCAGTAGCCTCACAACGTCTGGTATCCCGATCGATCGCACCTGACTGGAGTTCTCTGACAGCTACAGAGAAGTCAGTAGCTTCGCCTTGTGGCTCTTTCCGCCTCGGCGCCCTGGATGGAACTGTCCAATTCTTCCTCAAATTCCACAGTTGTAATCTGTAACTGAACTGGTTCTCCCTTTGACTTTCAGCACCTGACATTGCAAGAGAAGACTGACGACATACGAGGCGTTGAACCCATAATCCTCGCGCAGTATCTCTCTCACCTTGAGCAATGGCAAGTTTTCGTCTGCGTAAAGGCGCTTGATGACAGGACGAACGGCCTCCCACTCTTGGGATCTTGCGGTCGTCTGTCTCGAGGAAGCTGGCAGCTGGTTGAATGCTCCCTCAGTGTGGCGACTGACAGCACTCATCACGATTTTCCTTACCCATTCAAATGAAGCCGAGACAATATTCGCAGCCGGGAGAGAGACATGCTCGCATGGTTAGCAACGAGGTGTCAAAGAAGAATGTTGAATATAGGGTGATCTCCCGAAAAAAAGATCTCTGCACCATCCATCAGGGGGCTCAGGGAATCAAGTCCAAGAATTAGTCGGAGCAGTCCACTAACTAGTTAGTCCGCGACGCTGATATACAGCTGGGCAAACACGTCAATTGTCAATACGACTAAGTGGAAGGAGACTGCTGAGTCAGAGACCTTTTTTCCAACTTAGACGCTTTCATGCCTAGTGGCCTAGGCATTAAAATATTGTCTTGAGCCTATAAGTCATACTAATAGCACCTAGAGTTTAGGCGCTCTCGTTGGCACCTACCTCTAAAGATGTATGCTTTCAATCTCGCTAAGTCTTCGCTCCAGGTACTCCCCTTAGCCCGGTTAGCCTTCTCATCCCTCTAAGCTTTTTTCCCCAGGCACCCTCCTTAGCCTCAATCACAGTATGTTGGCATTTTAGGTATCATCCCTGAACGCTTAGTGAAAATCGCCTTTCTAGCTCACCAATCTTACTTCGATTAAGCTTGACCGAGGCTCCTGTGATGTTGCATAAAGCGCGATGCACACTCTCCGTCGCGTGCTCAACGAGCATCAGCTGTCTCTACCCTCCCACACTCAACGTAGCCAGAAATCACGCTCCGTGCGTTCCGACACTTTGGGCCCCTTCCGCATGGTATTTTTGCAATACACGCTTCAGGAGCTGATCGGAAAGCTGTCGGTAGACGTCTCTCATACCAACAAGGCCAGGCCACTTCTCGTGACAAAACGTCAACAATATCAGGCAAGAATTGGATATCCGACATATGTTCTCCAGATCAATGCTTCCTGTCTCTTGAATGTACTTTGGATCTGAAAGCGTCCTATGGAAGGTCGTGTTCCCATCCAGGTAGAAGAGGCAGTAAGCCTTGATCATCATACTCGCCAGGAAGATGTAGTGCGCGGACATGAAGGTCATTGGGTAGGTACCAAGTGCTCCGTTCCTCGGAGCTTGTACGATCTCCTCGTAGACTTCCACAAGTCTTCCAGCCGATAGGAATATCTCCTCCGGGACAAACTGCATCCGTCCAGGCGGCGTGTTGCTGTCTGCCGGCCGGCACAGAAGGTCCATAACCAGAGGCTGGAAAAGGAATAATATAGTTGCATGAAAAGCAACCGTGCAGGTGAGTTCTCCCACGCCGACAAGAGCCACCGTCTTGATCGTTTCTGCGTACCAGGCATCGAGGGTGTTGAGTCGTTTCTGATACCAAGACATGTCTCGATATGCAGCCCCGTTGGGCAAATATAGCTCCGTGAACAGCTTTGAGCGAATAGAAACCAATTTCCAGTGTTGCACCGTAAAGAGAGATTGAATTTGGACAGCATTGAGTTCTGCCGATTCCGTTGGACTGGAAGCTGGATACTCTGTCGTGACAATTGCGTCTGGGAAATCGGAAGGTCGGCCAAAGAGCTGGCTGACTATGTTCTCCAACGTGTACAAGCTCCAGAAGATCTTCTTTTGTTGCTCACGATCGATAATACAACTATCAGAACCGAGCTCAGTGTGGTAGCCAAGTTCGAGACAGAGACGGCATGCGTAGTCAAGCAGTCTCCATATGTCTCCTTTACGGGGACGAAACAGACAGTACACGATCAGCAGCATGAGCGCACGTAGGGAGTCGGCGGAGACTTCAGAAGTGACCTCAGCGATGCATTTGGTCGCCTCGACGTAACACCCGTGATCACAAGCTATTCGACTGGCATTGTACCGAGAGCGACTCGCACTGGCAATTGCAGCTATTATTTTGATGCGGAAGAAATGGTGGGCTCGGTGTCCTTTGAGTCCACTGGGATCGATACCACTGCTCTGAATGTCCCAATAGTCCTCCAGATCCGATAAGACAGTTGATTCGTCCAAAAAGGGGTAGAGGACGTGGATAGAATCCATGTAAAGCTCCAGAGATCGCTCCACCATCGACTTGGTGATAGTACAGTCACAGCCTCCATGGAAATCGGAGGGTTCCATGTCCGTGAGTATCGCGCTGTTGATGGGTGGCAGCGAGAACATAGCACTATTCCTCACTCGGGTCATGATGTGGACCGCAAGCGAGAATACTGAGCTGGATCCGAAGTATCGCAATGTCGGCCCATCATGAGTCGTCACTGGAAAGTGGAACCCCGTCTGATGTTGGACACTACTGTTCACTGGAATGATGCTGCTATCGCCGCCGCTGCTGCTGTGAGCGGCCTGAGGATTTGGCGTAGTGAGTGTGTCGCGAGGCGAATATGGCTTCTGCCCAATCTTGCGATTGTCGGCGATCTGCCGTTGTAGGTTTTCGGCGCTCTTGATCAGGGAGTGGATGTAGCTTTTAGAATTTCCATTAGCCAGAGCAGAGCCAGGACATATCCTATGTCAAAGATGCACATACCTCCTAGGAAGGACCTGCTTGAGCGCGTGGTCATAGAAAAGACATTCCTCTTTGGCCCTTGCGCATCGGCTACAGGATGGAATGAGAGTATCGCATTTCCGACGTCCCTGCTGACATCTCTGACAGCTGGGGAGTGTCTTCAGAGCTTTGGAGAAGTCACTGACGGAGAGTGTAGTTTGTCCGGGGGGTGGGTCAGGTGAGTGCGCATCCATGATGCTTCAGGATTTGATTGCTGTTTCTTTATAGCATCATGATAAGATGTTGGAAAAGAGCAAGTTGAAGCACCTCCAGCAATCTGCGTACGGCTGTGTCAGGTACTTGTAGTATCGACGCCGGAGGCAATTTAACCATGTTAAGATTAGGCACTTCTGGGCATGTCTTCTGGTGCGATTGGCCTAGAGTTAGGGGCTTGAATAGGCGTCGAAGACACTTATAACGGTCTTCTTGGACTGAGAACGGCGTCAATGACTGCCTAAGGGAGCCGGAGCGTCTTATCCCTCCCCAGAGCCTTAAGTTAGGTCATTACCATAGGCTCTCAACCAAGTAAACACCTATAGGTACAAAAACTACATCTACGAACTATAATGTTTATGCTCCCTAGTATTACGTCTCATGAATTGGCTATACCTACACCCTCTAATACTATTTTGACAAACCTTCAACCCTTAAGCAATCGTATCCTTCATGACAATTGCCCCATGAAATCGTTCATTACTTCATCATGGCCCAGGGCCACATCCTCCCAATTGTAGGGATCGGTCGTAGCTGCCAGAGTCTCCAGGAACGCTTCATCCCAGTTCATGTCCTCTCCTAACCCGCCCTCAAAACCGCTCAATTCCATTATATTGGGAAAGCCATTCCCAAAGAAGGTCTCTTTCCGGGAAGGGCCAGGCAGAAGAAACTGGTCGAGCTCAGCTTCCAGCGAGGATGGGTACATGAGCAACGCTGTTGACGTCTTCATCATGATTCCATTGATGAGCGGGGCCAACAGACGCTCAAATGTGGCTGCGAACTGCGATATTTCTGGCCAGCCATGTGCCGCAAGCGCCAGTAGGTTCGAGGTGAAGACCTTGGTCTTGTCAAATATCTCGCTGGCGGAGTACCTCTGAGAGATCTCGTCAAAAGCATGTCGCAGACAAAACACAGCCACCATCGCAGTTTCAGCAGTGTTGTGCGCTGCAAGCCATGGTTTTCTCAGAAACCCATTCAAGATTGGCTCACGGTTGTGCCTGGCAGCTCGGGATGCAGCTTCGAAGGCCGTAACCAGGCTCTCCGTCGAGGGCATAGACCGTCGGGGCGATGGTCTATGAATACGGACCAAGCCTTGAGCATAGGCAAATTCCACCACCTCGTCAGACGATAGATTGTCGCGGTACCAGCGCATGAGTTTGTTTTCGGCCTCGATCACCCAGCTCTCCCAGTCGCAGTCAAGTATCTTGCCCTGGAAATGTACTTCGCTCACTTCGGACTGAATTCGACAGTAGCTCACCCAATCTAGTACAGCGGGCTTGGACATTTCCCTCTCCTCTGCATTATTCCTTGGTGATTCAGGCAGTCGAGCATTTATTAAAGCGTCTGGAATGTAAAGGGGTCGCTGGAGTGCAGGGGAGATAGTACGATCCATACAGTACGCAGCCCAGAAGAGTCTCCTTCGCAGTTCAATCGTCTTTCTGTCAAGAGTGATGGGTCTTACCGGCTCTCGATGCAGGCCTAATTCGAGACAACAGCGCATGGCCGCTCCGTTCATGATCCAGATGTTAGCACACTTCGGGTTGATTTCGGCGTATTGAAGTATGAGGAGAGTAGCCTGAAGGCTGGCTAGGTCGTTTGGATATTGCAGGCTTGTGGTCAGGTGCGAGATACCCTCGTGAAAAAGGACTTCCGAGAAAGCAAGACAACGGGATTCGTGCTGAGTCTTTGCGCATCCCAACGTAGAGGATATCGCAAGGACGAGGTAAATAGCGAGAAAGGGAAATGAAGGCCGAACTCTCTTAGAGGTGCTCTTGTTCCTCAATTCCCGCATGGTCACCAGAACGGTTTCAAGGCTCTCATTAACTTCTTCCTGAGATATAACTGGCGACAGAGGGAACACATGTCGGATATATTTCCGGACCAAGGTCTGAACGACGTGCTCGGGCAGGGTAGCCAACGTCGCCACGTCGAGCCAATCTTCTTCAGAGCTGACCGGGACAGGAACACGACGTGGTTCAGGGCTCTGAACAGTGATGATGGGGAGGACCGCTGATGGCGTTAGACCCATACGGACGCGAGACACAAGGTCAGTCAGCGCCGGGTCCGTGGGCATGGTCGCTCCCACCATCGATCGGAATTCTGAGCTTCGAATGATGCTTGATTCGAGATCGCCAGTTGTCTCTACAACCCTGGTTTCTTCGAACGTCTCTGCCGCTTGTGACAGTATGGCCAGCGGGTCCCCATTTTCTCGGTGGAAGCCATCTTCCTCTCTCGCAGGGAGATTCTCGGAATTGTCTCCCTGACTCTCCAGGTTGTCATATCCAGTGACAAGGCCGTTGTCTTTTTGAGCTTGGAGTTCAATCTCCCACTGGGCTATCTGTGACTCCAGAAACTGGACCAGGCTGCGTGGGACTTGAGCCTCGCTGTCGACAGTGCTAACACCAGTGCATGTTGCCTTGGCGGCCTCACATCGAGAACAGACTGGTAAGCGACGGTCACACTGGGACAGAATCAGCGGCGTCTCTCAAGAAGCCATCCACTCCCCCTACCTTGACCTTGCGTTTTCTACAGCGCGCGCATGACAGCACTCTTCTACTACAGGATGTTGCATCAGGAGGCGGTCTCATGACGAAGTGCGCTGACGCCCGTAGTTCCGTGGGAGTTACGGCGAAGGCATTGAGGACGCTGTTGCGATCAGGTGTGGGCGCCTATCGTATCTCGAAGATGGTCTTATCGTCGCTTCTTGCGCTGAGCTCCGAGTTAGCGGAGAAAATGCGCCATTGTCCGCTGCGTTAGATTAGCCTATCGCCTCCGACCGAGTGGTCTGCCCCAGAAATGTTGCCAACGCAAAGCAAGGATGAAGAGCATGATGGAATTGACAAGTGGAACACGTTTCCTTGAAACAACATTGACGTGTTTTTGAATCGGTGAAGGAGGGTACGTTACTTTAGCTGACCCCAGAAATAGAAGTATACAATAGACTAGCTAGTGGCGATCCAAGATGTACGTCGTGCTCAATCGGATCGGTCGCTGAGGTTGGCTGCGAGCATGGCAACGTGGATTACTTGATTCACAGGGTTACGTACCCCAATCTGGACTCTGCCGTCGATGCTCAAGAACACCTCCCAGAGTGGGAATTTGTGATACCGTATTGGCCTTGATCACGCTGAGCTCATTGTGATCTGCTCCTGTCACGACTCACTTGAAGGTCAAAGCAATGGGAATCCCGATTAGTGTGGATCGTGGTGAGTTTTGGTATGCAAAGGGGTTTCCTAGGTACGTTTGAAAGGTGAGAGCAGATGCTCAGCTTTTTCTTCGCCCGACTTTCAATTCCTTTTGCTACCTATCGTTTTCTAGATGGCTAGCTGTCCCTCCTATTCTCGTGCTTAGTGATCTTGGGTTGGGGCGGGTGGTCATGGTTTGAAGTTTCGACGCCCATATTCATTCTGTCGGACACGGAGTGACGGCCTCGGCTGAGAATCGTCTATAGGGAGTACCGTGGCATCAGCTATCGCCACGAAGACTGGAAAACGTTGCAATGAAAGCCACATTCGAACCAAATCCTCTCAGAGACAGGACAGACTCCCGTTCGATACATGCAACCTCCATCAATCAATTTGAAACACCATAAAAGGATCCCATCTGGCTGTGCGGCGTCTTAGTGGGCCGTTATTGCCCGTGCCATCTCTTCCAATGTATCCTCTACCACGTCCATGTCGCCGAAGATGTCGTAAAGTGGTTCGTTCTCGAAGACGGTGCAGAAAGCACCACGAAACCTTGCAGTGGTGGTCAGTTCGGGTCAGTTCAGGGCTATTAAAAAAGAAATTTCATAATCCAGACAATTGATATCTGGGTTTTCGTGTTCGGGGGAGACCACCAGTTGGTGGACGACAATACTCACCCTGCTCGGCGGGCAGCTGAGACGTCCCACATGTGCGCAGCTGCGAACCATACCTCGTCCGCGCCAGCCAACTCGTTACTCAGCAGCGCCCTGTAGGGTTCCAAGGCCGGCTTCGGAACTCCGTAGGTGTCGGACGCCAGAACATGATCCACGTCCATGTCGATTCCGGCCTTGACAAAGTACCCGTGCACTTGCTTTGGATCTCCGGCCGTGAACGCCCACACCGTGTATCCGGAGTCTCGAAGGTGCTGGATGCACTGTTTGGCGCCCGGCCGTGGCTCGAGAGACGCGTACGCGTCCATGAGGAAGTCGAGGTCCGCCTCGGACGCGAACTCTCGTGGCTTCGTTATGCCGGCCATCCACAGGATCCGGAAGAACACGGCTCGGAACACCTTGGTGAAAGGAACGTAGTTGCCTGACATGCCGCAGTATGTGTATTCGCGCTCCGCGACCTCGAACCACGTGTAGCCGAGCAGTGAAGGCTTGATGCCGGCATCCTGTAACGCCGGGCCCAAGCGCTCTTCGAGGGCCTGGAAGACGCGGTGGTGCGACACGACGGTGCCTTCAATGTCGAATACGACGTGCTTCTTCTCCGTCGGATGGGCCATGGGTCTGTAGATGACTGGTCTCAGAGGTCTCAGACAGGCCCGGAAACACAGGCCGAGAAGAACAAAGGACGTGTTCGTCAACTGTGCATGTGTGAAGTGAGTGAATGAGTATGTCTGGACCGCTCAAGAGAACAAGGATGGCTGGTAACTGTATCTATCGTGGCTCTCTATTATGCGTCATAAATCAGATAAGGGACGCGTTGGGATGTTTTGGCTCCGTGTCGTAGAATAGAGGAGGGTATGACTAACTTTCCCTTTGACAAACTCTCACCTTTTTGTGTCCTGTGTACTGCGGACGTAACGCAGCCCACGAGAGGAACTGTAAAACGACCTCCTTAACGGAGTACTCCGTGACTCGGCCGTCCAAGACACATTCTTTGTAGATATCTGCCGGTCGTCTCTCCTCGCGTGGGGAGCGGGGAGTGCGTGTACAGTGGATATAGAGAGAAAAAGAGAGACATGATTTGAATATGTCTCATGCTTAACACGTACCTACCTGTACCCTGTGCTCGTGCCTCTGATTCAGATATAGGCACCTGAGATGGGCATGGGGACGTGCCTCGGTCAGGTAACTAACTCACGATAAAAGTCTGATGCATTGATCAGGGAACGGGGTGCTGACGATGGATCGTTCTCTGGGTCGTTTGAAGAAAACTCCTGGAGTTCATTGTACTCAAGGACAAAGGACGGACGATTGAGCCGAGGAATTGAAAAGTCAAGATTTGAACGGGGACAGGGATACGTGCGCAGCGAAGCGGAAAAGAATCTCCTGCTGAGGTAATTAAATATAGGATGTTGCATGTGAAGAGGAACTCGCTCTGTGTATGACTCTGCGTGCAATACTTACTCGTACTGTACACGATCAGATTCACAAAAAGTTTCGACAGCAAAGAACTCGAGCTTCCTTTGCTCCAAATAAATGTGGTATGCATACATAATATAATACCTTAGGTCAGCATGCTCTTGCAAAAGAACACCACCACCTCACCTCGCCTCACCTCTCACTCGCTCAACACTGGCCTCGTTCCATTCAGCCAGACATCGAACGGTGACGGCGACGACAATGACAATGATGACGATGATGTACCATGAAACTACGCCTCACAACCACCATGTACCTTGTAGACTCAGAGACTGCACATGCTTTTCGAGACAAATTGACCGTTCAAGGCTCTCAGTCAATAATGTCATGATTGTTTCGAATTCAAGCTTCTTGAGTCAATGGACGGACGAGGGATAAAGTGATGGTTTACGTTCACCGTCACCTCCGGCTTTCATCCGTAGACCATGACCATGATCATGACATGATTGACAATGTTCAGAAAGAAACCTAGCCACATACTCCGTACCCGTCGTGGGTACATAGCTCCGCAATTCAGTTCTGGACTCACTAGGCGTAGACAGACACCAAACCCACCCTTCCTGTTTGTTACTTGTACAGGATCTGCCGAATCGGATCTATTTTCCAAATCTAATACTATGAAGAAGAAAAATATCCAAGCATGCAGCAGGAGAAATCTTGGATTTAGACTTCTGTCAACGTCAAAACACTTCCATCCAACCAACGCGGCTCTCCCCTCTCATTCTCAAAACAGATGCTGACGTACATGCACATGCACATGCACATGCAGGAGAACGCAGCATGTAGCGTGTGGCGCGTAGGATGAAGTCGTAAAGCGAGATGGAGACTCTGTTTTGACAGTAATTTACGAGCTGTTACCTTGCAACGATACTGTATGAGTGAGTACTTGCATTACTCTGTCCTGGGTAATACTCAGGTAGGTATGAACAGGATTTCATTTCAAATTGTCAAAAGAGTGTCGGAGGGAACAGTCAACCGTACCTTCTTCCGAGCTCCGATTCGACTCCATTATTGACACACAGCAGAGACAGGGGAATGTGAAGTTGTCATCACGAATAGATTGGGTGTCGTGTATCGAATGCGGATGTGTTTGTGTAACTGTTGAGAGAATTGAGCGTCGTGGTCGCATGACCTCTTCCTCGGGACTTTTGAAGTGTACAAATCCATGCTAATGAAAGACTTTGTGAGATGTAGCCAACGAATTCTCAAGAAGAGCTTCCACGGTTCCTTGGGTAAATGGTGTTCTCGCTGGCATATGCCGGATGCTGTGCGACCTGAATGGTGACGAGCCGGGTGTTGTTCGCCAATCAACCCTTCTTGGTTATCCAATCGAACAGAAGATTTTGAAGATAGATCAACACGATCTCTTGGTTCTGCAATGGCACATAGCCTCTTCAGGGGCATCGGAACTTGATTGATAGCTTTGTATCGGTTCACATGGTGCCACAATGTAACAGATGCATTGGCCCCTCGTGTCTGTGTTTCACTGGAAGTGAATCTCGTCGGCCCGTCGTGTCGTGGGAAAACCTGTCCTCATTCCGAAGTTGTGGTTGGAGACTTTGAATTTCCAGCTTTGAGGTCGTCGTATGTGTGGCGATGTGGCTCGCCCAACCTCGACTGCCTGAACAATACCGCTCTGATCATGTGTATCCCTGGTACGAGGCCTGTGTTCGATAGATGCTTACTTCCCCGTCACGAACCAGGTGGCAGTGCAAACGAGAGAAGCTCGCTACGGGACCTTACCGCGCAAAGGTAGCAAGGCACTGTGCACGCATGCAAAAACTGGGGTCGACCCTGGCATTGAGATGTGTCGTGCGTGGTCAAGCTCAAACTAACATTGTCTGCCGGCATGATCCTGCATGGGCAGTGCCGGAATGTTGCCGAGTACAAGGCGTCCAAAACACGATAGGAAGAACCATGCCCTCACTCCATGACAGAAATAGCCCGTGCCAGGATCGGCCCTCTATTTATGTCAAGCAACCAGACGATGCTTACCCCCTCTCACTGTGGCGAACCTTGAGGTCTAAATGAGAGCTTGCATGACAACATCTTTTCACGCTATGCGAAACTCGTTAGCTCACAATCTCAGCAAAGGTGCCTGAGGTGGCAAGCATATTGACAGTGTAGCCAGCGTGAAAATGTCGGGTGTATAAGCCTCCTCATGAACGAATGGCCAGGTCAGTCATGCAGTGCACATCCCACCAGCCACGATCGAGCTCGGCCGGGTATCTCGCAACAACAATCCACATTGAAGTTAAATAGTCCGAGGAACAACGATCCGCGATCGAAATGTGAGAAGCTCGTTTGCTTCTAAACCTACCAATGAAGACTGATAGGAGGAATCTAAGAGCTAGGTATCGTCAAATGTGGCCATCGTTGAAGAAACTTCCCGAAGGCCACACTGTGGCGCATGCATAATGCTATAAGGGCCCCAAGGCGCTGACAGTATTGTGGATAGAATACTACATGTTAAACTTCATCTGTGAGGCCTGGTTTGTAGCAGGTGGCCGACACAAGGTCGTCCCAACGTTAGAAAACGTCCGCACTTGCTTTGCTCTTGGTATCGCTGACGCCGAATCGGCTAGAGACAGCTCCCAACTATATTCTCAAGGTAGACGTTCCCAATTAGGCACCCAATGGTCGAGCGGGCTCGGGCAGACAATGGGCCGGGCGGCATTTGTAGTTCCGCCGTGATCCATAAGTCGAGAAACGGATACAGCGAGTGTGAGCGAAAGGAGCCGAAATTGAAGATGGATTTGGACACATGTAACTGGAATCATGACAGCGAGTAAGAATGGGAATGGGCAGCCAGGCATACGATGGACATCTCGTTGTTTATGGCCCCGGTCAGTGGAGTTGTCGCTGGTCGTTCAGGAAAGTCGAGGAGATTTGCCGGGTGCTCGTGGGATCTGGTGGGGAGAAGCTGTGGTGGCACTGTACGGAGACTTCGAGGTCAGCTTTTCATTTCATGACAGCTTTGAAGTCGGAACAGAACGGTACTTGGATGGCTGACAGGAGAAACCATTTGCTTGCCTCAAACCTCGGAGGGGACGCGGACAAGTGTATCAAAGTAGTAAACACGCCGTTCTGTGTTTCGCTCGTATCCGCAAGGTCGAGACCGGTGAACCACGATGGTTCATATCTCTTGGCCGATCTGACAGGGCGATTAGTAAAAAGAACCTAATGTCTGATTAGTCACAAGCCCGTGTCGCCTGGGGTCAATTGAGTGCTAACGGTCAAGGCTTGGGCCTCATGGAACCCAAACTCTGAGTAGGAGCGATCTGCCCTTCCTGGCCTAGAGGCATGTTACTTCGAAATTGACTTCCCTGCTTGTCACATATATCTGAAGCCAGCCTAAGACACTAGATCTGACATGCGCCCACCGGTCATGCAGAATGACGTCTACAGTAGCGACGATATCTAGAACTCTGTTGATTGTTCTTTGCGGTAAACAGAATATGCCTTTTGCTGAGAACCCATGCGCTCGAGATCGAGAGCGATCAAAACAAGGGATGTACATTGGCACCGTTGGTGCGTGACAGGACCGTTCCGCTGATGTCGCGCGATCAAAGGTAAACCGGGCGGTCGGTCCCCTGATCGGTAAGGTAGGGTATGAATCCATTGATGGGGGTACATATAGTGGTCTGACATAGCAGTGAGCAGTTTCGCTAGGATACCACACCTCAAGATGATCTAAATGGTATTTGGTGAAGCAGGGATTAGCATGGTAGGTAATGTTGCAGACTATAGAGGCTGAGTCACAGTGTGAGCCGTAAGACCGCAGTTGCAACGGGGACTGATACCCTGGGACCATGAGACTCTCTTCAGCAACCGTCGACATGTTTGTGGAAAATTGAAATCCTATCCCAAACCACAGCCTTGTCGGACGGTGGCCGGGTGGGGGTTTCAAGTCTAGAGGCCCACTGGATGAGCCTCCGCCTGTGACCGTTGTGCTGCTGCGCTCTGGGAGATGTGAAGGTCGTAAAGACAGCAATGCTAGACTTGAAGAATATAACGATGTCGGAATCCTTGCAGGTGTCGATCTCATGGCGCATTCCTCATAGCGACCGCAGTGCTGATGTGCTCCTTTGCATGCCGGGATGATGCGCTCCGAATAACCGCTTTCAGGGTGGCTACCGATTCTACTCGACAATCCCTGCGCTGAATCCACGCTTGGCGTAGGGCTGTAGGTTGTGATCTGACACTTGGCGAAGGAGCTTTACAAAGACGATGAAGCGAGTTGGATCCCAGTTGCAAGCCTTGCAAGCCTTGCAAGTTCTCACAGTCCAGACGGTCTCGTCACTAATAAGATAAGGGAAGGACTGGCCCCCGCTCCCCATACACGGAGCAGCGGGCTACATTGATGCATACAGAGTCCAGACCTTCGTAATCGAACCAGTGTTCCCCAACTTGGAAAAGGTATATCCCTGTCTTGTTCAGTCTCGGAATGCAGCCGCGGTTGATCATTCGAAGTGGTCGAGGAACAGCTGAGATCATCCCGGCAAAGATTGCATGGCACAATCAGCGGCAGGAAGCGAGGCAATATCGGTGAGAACCACGCCTCTCGATGAATGAGAGCTCTGGTTTTGAAAATGAAGATAGTACTGGAGTGGTATTTCGCCTCACCACTTTCAAATGACTATGTCACTTTGGGTATCCACGATACCGATCGCAAGGAATGCGATCTTTGGACGCGGTTTAACATGTACAAAGGCTGGTGGACTGATAAGCGTACACGTAGCGAGAAACGCCCCGGCCATTTTAAGGGAACAACTCAGCATGTGTACGTAGGGCTTTTCCTGTTACGAAAGACTCGTGTCCGAAAGGAGCAATTCAACACTGCACTGCCTACGTGAAATGGATGAGCTGGCAGTATGTTTTACGAGACTTTCCCCCGCATGAACCATGCTGTTGGTCCGTGGCAGCGGCAAGTCCTGCTCAATGCAATGCATGTGGCAGCAAACGGTCGAGATAAGGCATCAAGGTGGTTCCCAGGTGTGCCTTTCTCGTCGCTGCTCGTGGGCTGGCTGAAAAGTTGTGGTGATCGCTCGCGTTGGCTTTGGTGACAAAACTCACCGTAACTCGCCACATGCTGCCGTTGGTTGTTCTATCTCCGCCAAGTGTAGAAGGAGGGACGAGGCGCGGAGCCCGCGCGGGTTGTTCTGGGGTCAGAGGGAGTGCCGTGTTCGAAGCTTTTATCTAGCTGGCGGAGCTTTAACGCCAGAGTGATAAGGAGAGTGGTTGCGATAGCGCCACCAGCTTGATTTGGTTCGCAGGTGGCTTGCGGCTTGCAAGTTACTCGACAGACATTGGCGTTGCTCTCTCTTGTGAAGCAGAGCACAGCAGCTGCCTGGCCAGCCGTCTCAAGCTCGTACTGTTACCACCCTCACGAGATGCTGGAGGCTGTGGAGGGCGATGGCACCGTGATGACTCGCTGATGCCCCGCGCACCTTGGCTGAAAATGATGACCCGGGCAGTCGAGAGGGGCAGGCAGTCCCAGCGCCGAGAGAGAGAGACGGGCTAATGTGCGAGAGTCTAAATCCAGAGTAACATTCGACGATAAACACGAACAAGTTGGTTGAGCAACAGTAAGACACGGCAAGACATAGCCGAAGGCAAGATCCTTGACGACACCAACCCAGAGAAAGTGCCCGTGAAAAAGAGTTCTCCTCTTTCCTTTCAGTCAATGACTATTCGAAGTGTATCCTTAGCTTTTGACACAGGCGATCCGGGAGGTGTTATTGGTCTGTATATTCGGCTCCCAAATCGGTGTGTGGACGAGCTGTCATGGCCATCTTCCGCCGCGCCGTGCATCCATCCACTTCCTCGCCCGTGTGATAAAGCAGGTACTTGTAAGGCTCGAGGGACGAGGGCCGAGTGTCAAAGCCCAGTCGAGCCAACGACAGGATGCTGACGAAAGCGCTCGGTATTGGTGATGCTGTGTACCGGTGACTGGGGCGGTCAAGCAACGTCATGCAGCTAGATGGATGACGCCTCTGTAGGTGTCCAGCTAGGGCAGAATCCTAGACATTGCTATTTCGAGCAGCGCAGGGAATGTTTTCAGCATAGCCGCCCCTCCATCTGAGGGAATCTGGAGGCAGAGGCGTAGTCGTCCGTGTGCGTTTGCGAGAGGCGCCCAATCAGTCTGGACGAGTACCTCAATGGTGTGTCTCCTTTGGGAGTGTGCCATGGTGTGATGCCGGCTTATTCGCCGGGTATTGTTGATTGTTGTTCAGGCATCAAGGCGTTTGATTATTATACGAAGGCCTTTCAAGGGTCGTGCATCCCCGCGGCTCAACCCTTGCAACTTGTTAGGCGAGCTGATACGGGTATCGCTGGGCAAAGGGCCTGCAGGTGCAGGCTCTACCCATGTACTCGTACAAGTCAACAATGACATTCTCCACCGTCACGGACCCAGAATGCAATTCAACCCATCCCTTGACTTGATCGGCCACTCAGCCAGACACACCCTTGCGGTCAAGAGTCCATCCCTCCGAGGTACGAATACGCGGGAGCGGTACAGTGACAGTATTGCACCTCCCCATCTGTGTGCTCGGCAGGTTATCTCCAGGTCTCACTAGCCAGCCTAGTGCGCCCTGTGCGTGTCGGTGCGGGTGGCAGGTGCTAGGCAAGGGCACCTGCCTATAATATGAGAGGCACTAAGTTAATCCCACCGAGGTGCCTAAAGGCTAAACACTGCTCGCACTGCTCGCACTGGGCCTAGTGAGCCCTCGTATTGATTACAGCCACAAATTACCAAGTACCCTCTTCCGGGTGGTCACTGTAATGCATTTTCCATCTGTCGTACGCTACAGCTGCAGCCCTGCCTGCCTCTTGGTCTCCATCTTGCTCCATCCGCCATCATTGTCGATCTCTTTTGAATCTTTGAGCTGACCTGGTCCTTTTTCCCTTGGAAATCATCCTCGTCCTCCCACCGCAGACTTTCGTATATGCCTGCGCTTGCTCTCACGCTCGCTCACATCACCGACCTTCTTCCGCCTCTCGTTGTTTTGCCTGTTGTTCACATTCGCTTTTGTCCTCGGAAACCACCGTCGTTCACCTGAATCCCGGCCACCCCCCAGATAATGATAATTGGGACTCGGTACCCTCGTCAGCCTTCCACCTCTCTCTGTCCGAGCAGCTCTCCTTCAGGCTGTGACGAGTCTATCATCGGTTGGGTCAACGTTTGAGAAAGAGGGGGGCGGTTCATATGCCGGGAGAGGCTGTGCGCTGTTCACACTGAATGAACAACCTTGCCTGGCTTTTCAGCCCTCAGTCTGTCCATATGGATTCACCTACCGAACGCATGCCCATTGCATGTGTTCACTGCGCAAAGGCAAAGGCAAAATGTGACAAGAAGGTAGGTCGCTCTTGATCGGCTGCTCTGCGGCGTGCTCGGCCTCGAGCCGTTGACGGGATCGGCTGCTGCAAAATATTGTCCTGTCGAGCCGTGAATCCTCGGCGATGTCCCTCGTTCCTGGTCTGACACTGAGCTTCACAGGTTCCTTGCTCAAGATGTGTTGCCAAACAAATTGTTTGTCAGTCTCGAGCCACCAGACGGTCATCACACAATCCTGGTCGGCGAACCAACCCACCACCTGCCCTTCCGAGGCCTCATTCAGAGCGAGCCCTGCACAGCTCGGCCTCATTCCAAGTTCCCCAACTTTCTCCCTTCGCTGCAGTGCCGCCGCCGCCTCCCATGAATGGGATCTCGCCTCGTGAGTTGGCTCCAGAGTGTGTGCAGGAATACCGCTCATAATTGAACAGATAGGATGAGCCCTAGCACGGTACCACCACATCGCCTGAGTCTTTCAGAACCCATCCATACTGTACCTATCGCACCGGCCATATTTGGACCAGAAATGGATCATCAGATGCTCCGGAATGGATTCACTCACACTCCGCCAGACATGGCCGTTCCGATCACTCCAATGATGCCCAACATATCCCATATGGACAACTTTATCCACATGCATGGTGCTGCGTATGACCAAGACGGTGAAAATCATTTCTTGGCCATGGGCAATGTCCATGCAAACATGATGGACTTTGACGCCAATAACGTCTTGGATTTCATGTCGCCCCCTCCGGGCATACTTCACGATCCTAGCGAACCATTCTTCGTGAATGGAAAGATGGGTACGCACACCCCTGATCATATCCCATTTCCCATGCAGATGCATGAAGGGGCCACGCCGTTAGGTTTGCGCCTGGGTTTGGAAAGTCCGCAGCATCTGTCACATCGACCTCCGGTTGGGCTTTCTCCTTCCAGCTCCTCGTCAACAAGTGGCCTGCAGGAACCGGACGCCGTGCTAGCTGCACATCAAGCCTGGCCATTTTTCCAGTGTAGTCGCGTAGAAAAGGATTCGGCCTGTGCTCCTCCCAAGACTGCTGCCATATACCTGGAAGGTCTTGCTCAGACGCTTCGAAACCAGGCCACCTGGACTGCATGGGCATCCCAGCTTGATGAATCCATTCTCGACATTTCAACAGAACGGAAAATTGCCACTGAGCCGATCGTCGGCTGGTCGAGAGAAAAGCTCCTCGCAATCACTCAAGGATTCCTCCACAAAGCCTTGGACATCCACAAGGCAGACCACGCCGCACGAGAGGAAACACCGTCGAGTCCGGACTCCAGTCGAGATGCTTTTCTTATGCTGCCACCTCCAGATGTGATGCAGTACTTCTTGAGAAGTTATGTTGTCCGATACGAGCCGTACTATTCTTCGGTAGCTGCAGGCCGATTAGACCCCAACAGCCTGATGCAGTCAAACAATAGCAAAGCTGCCAGCCTCCTCATCCTGTTGATGGTCGCATCCGGAGCTTCAGCAACCGCCACCGTCGAAGCCCGATACGTCACAAGCGGTCTGACCGAGGCCTGCAGGATATCCCTCTTTGACACAATCGAAAAGGATGTCCTCCAATCGCGAGAAGTACTGGTTCTCCGATCCGCCTTGCTTTTCACCTGCCTTGCAGCATGGTCCGGCGACAAGTGGCATATGGATGTAAGTTCCGGTTCGAGATGAGTATTGTAGAAGCATTCTGACTTGTTAAATAGATGGCCATGGGTCAGCGCGGAATGTACCTGGCGGTAAGCTTTTTCTTGAGGTTCGGAGTTCTCGGCTAACAATGTCAGATGCTGGCACATTCTGGAATGCTCGATGCTGACGATCTATCTATCAATGTCAGCCAGTGTAAGCACGAAGCCGAGAAGACCTGGGAAGATTGGAAACAGCACGAGGCCAAGCGGAGGTGGGTGTTAGTCCCGTCTTACATTACCGAGGCAATACTGATATTGTGTCCAGACTTGCACACTCTTGGGTCACTGTCGACCAAGAAATGAGTCTGTTCTCAGACACGACCCCTTTGTTGTCTCTGGTGAACCTCCATGCCCCCATGCCAGATTCTGACGACCTGTGGCACGCCGAGTCTGCTGAGAGTTGGTTGGATCTCTTTCAGAAGGTCCATAGTCCCACGTACCAGGCTCCTGCCTCGCTTCGTGATTTCTTCACAAGTTTCGTGGATGGTGAATTGGCAGGCAAAGAGTTATCTCCCACCCAGCTTCGATTGCTCTTGCATCCTCTCCAAGCCCAGGTCTGTCAGCTGCGTCAGTTCATTGCTTGCTTACCAGATGGCGGTAGCCATGCAAAGGGATCACGCTCCATTTCCAAAGCGGCTTCCAAAGCACGACTAGAAGAGATTTCCTCGCTGTTGCAACAATGGTATTCGATTAGCAAGCAGAGCTTCTCCGGCAACACGGGCACCTGCTGGACGACTTGCGCGAATCTCATCATGTACCACCTGATATCTTTGAATGCGATCACCAGCTTCAAAGACATTGAGCAATTTGCACGGCGAGACGTCTCCCTGGGACCATTCCGATCCGCTTCATGGCTCCAGATGCGGTGCATAGACCAACCTGAGGAAGCATACTTCCATTGTGGCCAAATACTGCGCCTGATCCGTTCAATGCCCCATCCTGTGCGACCTCCTTGGTGGGCCGGGGCAATATATCGGGCTGCATTGACTGGTTGGGCTACCAGCATGGCAAGCGGCAACGCGCGGTTCTCCCCAACGCAGTCTCAGGTAGAACCCGAAAGACCTTTTGCTATCGACGATCTTACCCCGGAGACTGAAGCCATTAGTCGATACATGAAATATCAAGAAGGAACACCAATGCTGTCGCGAGCCGACGGGACGTTGGCTCCTCTTGAGATTCCCTCCAACATTCTTGAACACTGCATCGAAGTCCTGGATGATGATTCGTCGATGCGGCTGGCTGAAGGCATCAAACGAAAACTTCGAGTGTTCCTGGCTAGCTGGAAGGACGTTTGAGACGACTGTACAGCTCTTGTAGCTGTGGCGAGGAGCTCGCTCGTTCTTTGCACCGGACAAGGTGTTGTACAATCAACGAGACCTTAGCTAATATTCTGTTTGATGATGCGATATAATGGGCGTGATGTTACCGCCGTGTATATAGGACAGATAACTTACGCCTTTGATGATGATGTTGATGACGGCATGCTGGGGTGTTTTGCGACAACAAAGAGGTTCGGGTTAATATCACAGTGGAATGGTGAAGGGCGCGGGACAGCAGGAATGTTGGTGGGCGGGTTTCGTCCTTGTCGTGTTGTGTACTTGGTCAAGGGTGCGCCGGCCTTTGCACTTGTACGTAATGCAAGGCAACGACGGGTGCCATCAGCTAGTTGATGTCAGTCTTGGAATAACAAGATCAAAGTGCCTTTTGGGAAACACACATGATGCGTTATGCGAAGGCCATTTTTAAGTCTGGGGGAGGAATGTTCATAGTCGGCAGTGTCCATGTTGTTCCAAATGTTTATGTTTTCATTCACCACAACATCCATCTTGTTCCGAGGCAAAGATTGACTTTGGGCTGAAAAATGGCGGCTCACCATTTGACGTGTGGCAGCAAGGACAAAGTTCGGTGGCCATGAAAGGTCCGAGGGAGATACGGGCAGGAGAAAGAAGAGGAGGAAAGAAAAGAAAGGAAGGAAAGAGGAAGCAAAGCAGAGAAGGGGAGATCTGAAGGTGAAGCCGCCCAAAAGAAGGGAATATTCGAAAGCTACCGTGACACGTGGATACTGAATAGTGAGTTGAGTAAATTTGAACGGTCGTTTTGGACGAAGTAATAAATGATCAAGGGGTGATTTACCGTGGTTGTTTTGCAGAGAGTGTCGAGTTGTCCGGTAGATCTTTTGTCTGTAGATGCAGTAGTAGGTAGGTAGTTTTGTCGGTTATGGTTCACCTTTGTCTTTTTGGGGGAAACTTGTTTGTGGTGGATGGGATGTCGGACATCGGACGTGGTCTACCACCGACGATGATACCCTAGAGGGTATCTACGGAGTTTGCTATAGGCCGCCTTTTTGCTCCAAACTACCAGTTCCAGTAAAGGTACCTGTCGCTACGAGGTACCTTGACCTCGGATGGGGTATCGTGGTGATGATTTGCCGGTGGGCTATCGAAAAACTAAAAAAGCTTCTACCTACATACTCCGTTTGCTCGAGAGACTCAACGCTACCTACCTACCTACCTAACAAATGCACAGTAGGCACCTGAGGTACAGTACATATGTACCATGTATGTATGCACCCGGACTCGTACATGGTCCACACTTACTGCGGGTGTAGGTACTCAACAACGTCACTCTTTACTATTCACCTACTGTACTTTTTACAGAGGGTCGGTCGGTTCTCTAGGTACATGGGTAAGTGACTGACTGACTGAGTAGACTAATTACCGGGGGTACGGAATGTCACTTTTAACAGTGCGGAGTACCTACAACCTATTGTACTGTACCCTACATACTAACTAGTAGATCAACTGATCAAACGACGATCGTCGAACACAAGGTTCGTGCTACCGAGGGTGGTTCAACCACTGTACCTACAATACCTACCGACCGTAGTTCGTTAACTTAGTTTCTCTCCTAGGGAGTCGAGGAAAAAGCACTTGTCAAGATCATCGTCTCCGCACTTGGAACAAAAAGCCGTTGAGACTATTAACCACCTAAACTAACTATGTATATATTTTAGATTTGCCAGGGTATGTAACTGCGAACCATCCTAGCTTGTACTCCGTACCTAGGTAGGCAGGTACCCGTAAACCCCTTTAGTACAGTCCGTACAGTCCGTAGGATTAGGTGGGAATGGGGATGTATTGGCGATCTACGTATCTCTACAGGGTATATTGTACAATACACAAAAAGCGAAGCGAGCGCGTCGGGCTTTCTCTGAGTTTTTGCCCAGAGAGAAACAACAAAAAGAAGGGGCGCGAAATCTCAAGAATAGGCCGTCGGGGCGGAGGGGGCCAAGGTGGTGCGGACGGGTCCAACCTTGCCCTGTCTGAAGACAGACAGACCTACTGTACCTACCGCAAGCACCTACAGAACTTGCTTAGTGAGCCTAACGTGTCTACGGTACATGCCTGTCTCTCAACCTAGGTCGGCCGGAAGGGGCAGGGGTAGTTGCAGAGGCCATGTGCAGAGTATGCATGAGCCATGAGGTGGTTGTCTTTAGTCGGAGGCGATGGACGGCGGACTGCACACCACCGGGGCTCCGTACTTTACACGTTTCGTGTCCTGAAGCGAGATTCTGCATGTATATGTGACCTCTGTTGAAATCCGTTTCCGCGGAATGGTCGCGGGGTCGAGGGGAGGACTCGATTCGGACTTTTTCCCCCCTTCTCCAGAAAATGTTGTACGAGGTAATGAGGGCGACGGATATGATATTAGGTAGGTTGAATGACGGAGTGGCTGCAGGGGCCAAGGAGACGGAGAGAGAGAGAGAGAGAGAGAGAGAGAGAGAGAGAGAGAGAGAGAGAGAGAGAGAGAGAGAGAGAGAGAGAGAGAGAGGGAGGGAGGGAGAATGTGTGTGCGAGTTTAGGACTTCGGATGTATGAATGTATATTATTGCTGGTTTAGGTATTACGGTACGTAGGGGTAGGAGAGAATAGGATAGGATAGTCCGTTGGTAGACTTTGTGATTGCGGTACCCAACATTCAGGCAGAGCATGAGACGTGGTCATACAGATTGTAGCGGCGGTTCCTACAAAACAGCTATGATGAGTCGACGAGCGAGGTAGATATCAACCATGGAGCGTCAGTGATATACGGACTGTATGTTGAGAAAGAGAAATGAGACCGAGCTCACAAACTCGGTGAATGCAAGACCTTGCACTGTTTCCTTGATAATCGTACGGAGGAGCGAGTGCTCGTGCTGTTTGTAGGTACCTACGGAGCAGCAGAAAGAGGATGAGTCAGCCAAATATCGAAAATGTCTACATGCTGTCCTGTACATACAGTGCAATTATGCTGCAGTCGCTGGCACACAGAGAGTCTCTGGTGCTTTGGGGTTGTACAGTACATACATACATACATACGGTAGTGCCGCGTGGCTAAAAATAAGCAGAGTTTACGGGCCAAGGGCAAATTGAGACAAAGAAAGGACCCTGCTAGCGTTCGGACTGGACCAGGCTCAAAGGGGCATGGTGGGTAAGTTTCATACCTACAGAACCGTATGGTAATCTATTTCGGTACAGGGGGAATCGATGTGAAGGGAGAGACAGTGGAAATTTGGTGGTGAGCGAAGCAGAAGTGACAACTAGAGGGAGTAAGGCATCGTTGCACATTCACATCCACATTCACATTCAGATTGATATTCACAGTCACAGTCACATTGTCGACGAGAAGATTCATTCGAGTTGAAATCCAAGGACAGGGCGACTCTCTTCTTTGATACCCTGACCTTTGCATGCTGTTCCTCGATGCCCTCACCATCCCTTTGTACTACTTGAGAGCACACCTTTAGATACACCCTCGTGTTGTCCTGTTCGTGAGGGCTCCGTGAGCATTGATGCATCTTGACGAGTCTTTGGTAGCACAGCAGTAGCAGTACAGTAGCCACTGTGTCAATAATAGCCAGCGCCTGGACTGTACAGCCCCTCAGCCCCTCAGCCCCTCGGCCCCTCTGTGCCTTTGTTTACTTACTGTACATTCAGTCTTGTTTGCCCCGCACTTCAGGAACAACCACCACATTATTTTGGACGCGCAGTAGCAGCGACGCCTCCCTTCACCGCCTCAATCTTTTCTTTTCGTTCCAGGGACCGGAGTGGGATGGCCTCGTTGACTCGTGCGTCGTAGGTGAATCAACCCGCGAGGCTTGTCAGTCCGGTCCCGATCCAAGAAAAAACCAAGGGGAAAAAGCACAAACACTCTGTCCTCTTGTTGTTGTAGTTACCGCGTAGAGTCAACTCGCAGTCCGATTTAGTGTCGGGACAGGGGGCTCACTAGGCCACGCGAATCTGCCACCTCTGCATCTATCCGTCCGGAGGGCGATTGTCGTGGTCCTCACCCCTATTTTTCCTCAAAAATTCCCTATCCTGCCATTTAATTACTTTGGATTGTTTGTCTTCTCCCTTTGACTCCAGCATTATTCTTGCTTTCAGCGGTCAGTCACTCCAAACTTCCCTGCTGTGTGCACATCCCGCTTCCCATCTTCTCGCTCAAGCGCAAGTTCATTTTGCTGACCAAGGCCAACCAACTATTTACTTCTGACAGATTGTCGTTGACCGCCATTTCACTCGACGTTAACCCTTTCAAACACCAAAAAAAGTCTCATCATGGCTGCTAAGGCTGATATCCGCCTCGACGGCAAGGTCGCTCTCATCACTGGAGCTGGCCGTGGTCTCGGTGCTGGCCTGGCCAAGATGCTGTCGGAGCGTGGTGCCTCTGTCATCCTCAACTACGCCAGCTCGGCCAAGGCTGCCCTGGCGACCGTCGCCGAGATCGAGAAGGCCGGTGGCAAGGCTGTCGCCATCCAGGCCAACGTCACCAAGGTCCCCGAGGTCGAGAAGATGTTCGAGGAAGCCATCAAGGCCTTTGGCAAGCTCGACATTGTCATCAACAATGCCGGCATGGAGCACTTTGGCAAGACCCAGGACGTCACCGAGGAGGAGTTTGATGCCGTCTTTGGCCTCAACACTCGTGCTCAGTTCTTCGTATCGTCACGTGCTCTGAGATATTTGAGCGGTACGTTTGATCTTCCGTTCCCCTGTCGAGGAGAAACACGAGACTTTACGTGGCTGTGCGCTTAGGGAGGAGCTTGTGATGCTAACTTTTTCTGCACCGTTTAGATGGTGGTCGTATCATCTTCATGTCTTCAATCGCCGCCAGCCTCAGCGTGGCCAATCACGCTCTGTACTGCGCGTCCAAGTCGGCCAACGAAGGTCTCGCCCGATCGTTCGCTGCCGATGGTGGCCCACGACGAATCACAGCCAACGCCATCGCCCCTGGTGGTATCAAGACCGACATGTTCGCCCAGAACGCCTGGCACTACTCCCCCGGTGCTACCAAGGACACCCCGATTGAGGAAATCGAGGCCGGTATCGCCAAGCTCATTCCCCTCAACCGTTGTGCTGTGCCAGACGATATTGCCAAGGTCGTCATGTTCTTGTGCCACGATGACAGCGAATGGGTCACTGGTAAGTTCTTCGAGTTCGACGGTCGAAGACGCGAAATTTTAGGCCAAACGGTTAGAAATCAAGATTTCGACGCTAACTTCTTCTTTAGGCCAAACCATTCGTTTGACTGGTGGTAGCACCATTGCTTAAGCGTCTTGGACTCATCAGAACAGGGCTTCATACAACTCCCTTCGCCTTCTGCACTCTGAGAGTGGAATTTTTCGAAAACTCACCCTGGATTTTTTTTTCGTTGGTTATTGCATAAAAGCATGCCTTTGGCGACGATCCTAGAAAAGTTTTGTGTGTGTGAGGAATCAATCAGTCCACAACTTGGACGGGAAGGTTGGGAAGAACCGGGAGAAGGTGTAGGTCCTTGCGCCACCTGAGGCAACGACGAAACCCCCTTTTGTATGACAATCTACTTTGGAGAAATGACAAACACCTCAAGACGAATGCCAGGTTTATGATCAACCAAATAGATGAAATTTTTTTTTTTGGATCGAGATAGCTCAATGCCACTATCCGTTGTCCATACCCGGTGTCTAGGTAGTCCAGGACTCGTTGGCGTTTCGTGCTTTACCGAGGACTATCCTAACCAGAGCCAAGTTTTCAACCTATCCTATTGCACAGAGCACAGAGTCGAGTTCTTTGCGCACCGATTACCTGGGGTACCCATACTTCGATCCGTCTCTTGCAGATGGTCCAGGGTATGCAGTACTCCGTACGGACTGGCCATACACATTCCCGACGGAGTAACCTGCATTGCTAAATCAGAGAACATGTTGCCGGACATCTTCCTTTGAACCCGCCTCGCACTACGGAATACCTGTCTGAAACTAGACTCAGGTGCTGATATCCTGATCCTTGGACTGCTATATACTCAAGTGGTCGACGAGCAGGACGTCAGGGTGTCCTCCGTAGCCGCCACCCATGCTGAAGCGAGAGTCGACACTCCCTAGGGTGAACTAGTCCGTCGGCGAGGAAAGACGCCGACATGCCGACACCAGATATTGCATCACTCACTGCACTAGTGTATTTGAACTGCTGCCTCCCCGGCCACTTTCATGAAGTTCTACGCTGGTGTAAAGAACTTTGTAGAACACGGATTTTTAAGTTGTCAAGATGCCGTCTTGTTTCTTAGTGTCAACTTGCTGTTTTTTTTTTTCAGCACCGGAATGTTTCGCACGAGTTGAGGGCGAGAGTGAGAACACTCGTCCAATGACCAGAATTTCAGGGCTGTCGTTAGGCATATGTCCGAGGACGACTCATTCAAACACACGACTATGGAGGAAGTCAATGGGTTTCAGGGCTTCTGACGAAATGGCTGTTGCTTGACATCTAGCGAATCCTGAGCTGAGCGAGAAGCCTCAGACGACTGTGAGTCAATCAGAGCCTCGAAGCATGAAGAGACGCCTCATCCACACGACAGAGACTGAGGCCTTTGTCACGACGGTAAACTTCTTCATTGTTTACAGCTTTGATCACTCTTCCCCCAAAAAGGGCTTTGTGCAACTCTGTCTACTTTTCCGTTGTCTCTTTTGCAAGGATTCTTTGATGAATCCAAGACAGGAGCAGCAGACAACAGGTCATGGCAAGTTTGAAAAGATGGACGCCCCTGAATTTTTAATCCATCCATAACCCAGCTTCCTGCTCTTGAAGCTGACGCTGTTTCTTGTTCGCTTGATCGTTTTCGGGCTTGCTTTCTTCGCGAGGAGCTGTACGTGCAAAAACTGTCGGGTTGACCTCGAATCGCTCCACACCAAACACGGAACGAGTACACATCATGGCCAGCCAGAATCATCCACAAGAGTCATCTACGCACTCGGCCACGCTAATGGCAAGACTGAGAGGCTCGGCAAAGAAGAAGACGAGTGCGATCCGGGCAAAGTTGTCAGGTTGTATTCACTCTAGCGCTGACGGCGAGCCATACGAACCAGCTTCATCTATTCACGAATTCCTTTCATCTACACCGCCCGTGAGACAACATATGCATGAAGTGACGGCTGCCCAAAACTCATACGGCGGAGCTTGGTCTCGATGTCGCCCCCAGGAGCAACTCGACCTAAGATCGAACCACAGCCAGGCAAATATCTCAGAGTTGTCGGCACGGCCAAGCGGGCAATTTTCAATGAGCACCGTGTCGGTTTCATCAAGCACTGCTGCTCCAGGATGGGAAAACCCTCCACCTGGCTTGACGTCCAAAGGTGAGCACGCAACCTTTATCGCCTATTCTCGCGAGTGTGGTGCTGCCAACCTCACCACCACCATTGAGAGGCCCGATGAATTTAAGCGATTTCCTGTCCAGCGCCACAACCAAACGGAGAGGCAGGCTAATTCTACGTTAGCAGGCGAAGAAACCCTCGGACAGCTGGTGAGAAGCTCGCTCCAGCGGACAGATGATTCCAAGCATATCGCAGAATTACCTGCAGCACACGAATCAGTGTCGGGTACGAATTCCACTCCTATACGGGCAACCTCGACCGAGCCTAGTCGATACCAGCCGTATCCTGGACCAGGAAGCAAAAAGCCGGTGAGTTATGTGATTCCATCCTTGCAAGCGGGTTACGTCCACGGCGTTCCACCGAACCTCCGAGCTGGCCACTCGAGACATCGCAGCGACATGACTAACGCACCCTCGTCTCAGAACCCGCATGCGTCGGAGAGGAGGGCACGAGAGAAGTATTCGTGGCCGTTGGTGGACTTTGAAGAAGAGATGTTTTTGAATGCCGAACCTGCACGAGCAGGTCGTCCTGAGCCTCGATGCCGACTGCCCAAGCATCAAGAACCTCGTATCCCGGACCTGGACTTTTCATCGGGAAGATTGGAAGATGAGGTCGCTGCAATGCTAGGAGCATTGGCTGTTGATGACGGAGCGTCGCTAACAGGACCGCCCATTACCCAATCGGGAAGAAGAGAGGCTGTGCATGAAATGGAAGCTATCGGGCCGATCACGAACTTTGTTGGCAGTACGCAGGTTCACTCTCGTGGGGGCGACTGTCTCCCTGCGCATCGAGTAGAGCTTGAAGGGACGAGGTACGTGACGAGCATCTCGCCTGAACGACGACGAGCACAACAGCGGCAGCAACGACAACGTCGACAAAGTACCATGAGTCCCGTTTCTCCCCTTTCCAGCGACGGCGGACGCGTGGCATATCACGATTACAATTGGCCTCGATTTTCCGAGGTGCAACGATACGAAGATCCCGCAGGAGAACACAGTCGACGGTACCGAGATCGAAGACGTGAGATGCGCAGAGACCGAGCAGCAGAGCGATATCGATAGTCTGAAAGCATGGGCTACGAGCACGGATAGGATGATTCTCAATTATCCATGTTTCATTGAAGTGTATACTACCACACGGGTACTGACCTTGCAGTATCCAAGATACTTTTAGGTTTTGTACTGCGGGGAGGTGTTTTCAGGATCATGTGGCTCTTGCGAAGGCGATGGCTCGTATCCCAACTGCCGCAGGTAGTGTGTCCTCATCGACTGATCGTTTCGGGGCGGGTATAGTGCTCGTAACGGCTCACTAACTAGTTAGGCTGACTGAGCTGGTTCTCGGTGTCAGTTACGAGTCGGCTGGAAAGTTTCATCTTCTTAGCGTCAATTTTCGGATATTTATTGTAACATGGCATGAAAGCTTCGTCAACCGGTTGGTCTGTGCGGTCTCATCCCAAGTCTCGATTGAGTTTATCAGGGCGCACGCCCAGTGTTTGTTCTGGGGATCACGAATCCGTACTGTCCCTGCTTGTCGGCAGGTAATGGGTGAAGGGCAACAATAGTCGGGAATGAAGCCAACAATCGGTCAATGTCGGAGACGGTGGTCACCCATGGCTGGATTGGGGAAGCCGAACGCCCGGGTAAGCGTTGATGCGCTCGTAGCCTCAATCCCAATAATTGTACAAGTGATGGATAGCCTGCTAGCCTCAGGCAGCGATGCCTAGTAACGCCTGCTAGGAAGGCCAGAATTGGGAAGTCGAAGAGCGGGGGGAGTCGGAGATGTGTAGTAGAGGTTTCGCGTCAGTCAGGCACTGACTGACCTGTTGGGCAATTCGGCCAGTACTAACTAGTTAACTCAGTGTAGGACGGGACGCCGTACTATCGACCCGAGTTAGTCCATCCAGTCCCGAGTCAGCGAACAAGCCACCCAAAGAGCGGTGTGTCTTAGTGCAAGTATTTACAGTATTATGTGTGGGTGGTGGGCGAGTGGGTGAGCGGGTGGGGAGGATCTTGGTCTGCACATGTTTGACTGCTTTGACATGAAACCGACTCAATTCAACTCGACTCGCTCCCAAGGTAGTAACCGCACGTACTCTTGTTATTGGGGACGGTACATGACAATTGCCAGATTTTAACACATGCTTCAGGTATGTACAGTACGTATCTCACATGCCCAGAGACTCGAGAGGAGACCAGGGTATCGACCAGGTCACACAAAGTCAGCTCTAAGGACGAGTACGAAGTGACCGTTGGGTCACGTCTTTTGCACGGCGGCCAAATATGGGCTTCATGGATTTCGCATTCGTTATGGAGTATTTGGAACATGGACGATGCTCGTCTGTTGATCGGCTCGTCTGTCTGCTCATCATTCCCTCGTTCTCTCACTCCTTTGTCTATCACTTTCTCGCTTACAGTCTCTGATTGTCATCCCATTGAGCCCAATTCCCTCGGCTCCCACTCTCTCGCCCCCCCACGTTCCATGGAGAGGAGCCTGACGTCTAACAAATCCGGATCGCTGATCTTCGAGCTGTTGATAGGCGACGGGATACAATGCACGTCTGTGAGAGTCAACGCGAACAAAGAAGTAGGCATCATCAACCCCATGGGTCCAGACATTTAGCCTGATACTGGCACAGAGAAGAACCATCTTGAGCTGGTCAGGAAGACAGACGCCTGCTAGCACTTCCATTGTCAGCCCTTGATACGCCGCCGCTTCTGCGCGCAAACGAGCCGTTGTTTCTCGTCCTCGGTACATGGGGATATTGTACCTCGTATTCTCTCTAATTCCGCCCCGTCGCCGCATCCATGACGATTCTGTAGGAATGATGCTAGGTGGTGGTGGTGGTGGTGGTGGTGGTACTCGTACTTCGTTTCCTCGTTTCCCTTTTCCTTGTCCTCCTGCAGTGGTCGGGACATTAGTATCAGCTTCGATCTCGGTGACTTCTCTTCCTCTTGGTTCTCTCACTCTCTCTCGGTGCGACGCTGCGAATCGCCAGCATCCTCATATTCTCTGCCTCCCCCCTCTCCCCACGTCCAATCTTACGAGAAAGCAAAAGCTTGATTCGCGCTCTGTTCGCGGACAACGTCGTCTGGCTCGGGTCCCTGCGCTAGCCACAGAAGACGAACGTGCTCGCCGCCACCGTCTAGAAAAGAAGCCCTAAAAAGTGGAACGGGCGATTCCTCGACATGGCACTGGTGGCTTAAAAAATTCAAAGTCTCTTCCCGTCTGAAAGGGCTTCTCCAGTTCTTCTGAGACCTCCCCTTGCGCCATTGCTTCCCGTTGGTGAGTGCTCCGACCGGAGCCGTCAAAAACAGCTCGTCAGCAAAGCCCTCAGCCTGTCGTCCGCTTCCTGACGCGCGACTCGAGTTGGACTGTAGCCGTCACGCACTGTCACGGTCCATTGTCGCACTTCGGCAATACAATAGCGAACTCGCAGACACTCGCCAGACCGGCCAGAGGAGTCAAGCCTGCTGACATACAATTCCCGATCCTTTCCTCCCACTCCGGTTATACAAGTACGAAATTGATACAGTACATTCTCTTTCACGCTCTCTCTCACACTCAACACTCACGCTCTCTCTCCCTCCGGCCAGCTCCCGCTCCCCTCGTATCTGAAAGTCTCCTCCGAAACCCCCTTTCCTCAGAGGTCGTCGCCTTCTGTCTCTTATCCACAGGAATTTTTTTTGGTTCGCCCGGGAGCAATTCTCGCATCAGGCATTTTTTCCTGGCAACATTGGCTCTCTCGCCTCCCTCGACAGACCCCTGCTTTTTCCATACTCCGAACCAACCCACGTGTACCATTCCGCCGGTGTCCTCGTCAGCCCTCCACCCCACTTCGCGAAATACTTTTTTTGGCCGACCAAGTCCCCATTATTCCACCCACGAATCGTCGCGCAGCGATCTTGTGCACCGGACTCTTGCATCCATGAGCTCGATACAATACAACCTCCTGCTCCTACCCTCCCGGTGACCTTGGCTGCAAGGGAGATTTTGGAGCGAGAGGGATTCATTCCGTGACCATTACCTCCCACCCACTCACTTACCCACGAGCACCCCCACGATAAGCTCAAAGGACCACCATGTACAAGAGCTCGGCGCAGATGAATCACTACATGTCCAGGAATGGGCTCCCGTCCCCGGAAAACACGAATACCAGCGACTCGGAAGCAGACATAGTCGACCTGCTTGACCGTAAAAGGCGGGAGCTGGACGACGAAATCGCAAAGTTCAAGGCCGTAAAAGATCGGGAGTTTCGCGAGTTTGAGAGGGATTTGAGATCCCGAAGGAGGAATCAGGGCTATGACATTTCGCCTAGCAAGAGGTCTACTACATCTGCGAATACGTCCCCGTTGAGTTTGCTGTGCTCGACACAAAATGGGACGGCCAACGGCTGGACGGCAGGACATAGGTCGAAAAGAGAGGGCAATGGTGTGGGCGAGAAAATCACAAAGGCCACCGCGCCACTGAGCAAGCCCACCTTGTCGCTGGACAAGTTGAACATCACCGGGGAAAGCGTGCTGCCCACGCACGGCAGCTTGAGTACACCACCGACGCCGTCGTTTCCTCCCAGGGGCTCACTCTCCTCGGACGCTTCCTCGTCATCGGCGACAATCACCCCTCCGCGCCACGAGTCGACAGACAAAGGTCCACCGACGCCGGCGGCGGAGAAGACGGACAGTTTCGCCGGTGTGTTCACGCCCGTGTACCTCCCCCTTCTGGAGTCCCAGGACCGGCCTCCGTTCGTGCGCAGCCCCCAGGCCTTGACGTCCGACGAAGAGGGGAAGAAACAAATCCAGCTCCATGAAAAGACAAAGTGTGAAGCCGAGCGACAGCGAGCTACGCTCATCGAATCGTCCCACAGCCTACCGGAACAGCCGGTCTCGCCGACGGTAATTGCAGCAAAAAGAACGCGGTCGGCGCCGCTGATGAGTTCCAGTGCGAGTGCCAGTGTCGGAGTAAGCCGGCCGAGTGCACTGCGGACGACGAGTGGTGGGCACCAAGGGCACAAATACAAGAAGAAGCACGTGATGTTCCAGCTGGCGGATTCCAAGGTGGTGGAGCCGAGCAGCAGTTACGAAGAGAGTCCTGTGAGTGCGGGCAGTCCAAGTGGAAGTATCAGCTCGACATCGACCGTGAGTTTCCAGCAGAAAGTCGAGGATGTGGATGCCAAGTCTGGTCCCGGTGCCGATCTCGATCCCAACCTTGTCGGCGTCAACGGCCACGGTCGCGGTCACATGCACGGTCACGAGACGAGGGGACCATCACAGCCGCAGCCTTCGGAGGAACAACTTTCCCCGCGTAGTGCAAGTGGAAGTGCAAATGCAAAGTCAAAGAAGAGCCCGAGTCTAAGAGAACGACGACGCGGGAAGGCAGGCCAATTTCTGTCGCCCATGCCGAGTCCGTTACCGAGCCCAGCGCCCAGTCCGACGATCGCGGCGGACACCGATCTTCTCGCTTCGGCTGAGGAAAGTGGATTCTCTGGTGGGTTGACCGGTGCAGATGACGGGGGTAGCGGCGTTGGATTCTTCGAGCTCGACGAAGAACTGGCGAGTCCCGGACTGAGAGATAGGCCGATGCAGTCGGAATTGGAAGAATTGGAAATGGGTATGGGCATGGACGTTGACTCGCAATTGGGGGGTGATGGGGATGGACAGGCAGAGGGACGGGGGCGAGGGCGAGGAAGAGGGGGACGAGGACGACAACGAGGACGAGGACGAGGAGGAGAAAACGGTGACGACGAGAGCTCGAACAAGACGACGATGACCGCGGGCAGTTTCACCTCGGGAAGCGTACCGATTGACATCGTCAGACCGACTGGGCCTATGATTACGTCTAGTTGGATCGGCAGTTTCGGGCATTGAAAAAAGGAAGGAAAGGAAAAGATGATGATGGTGGTGGTGGTGGTTCAACACCGAAAATAAAAAATTGAAGGACACTTACCTGCACTGCACTGCACTGCACGACATGCTATGATACGCCATGTGACGACGGGCAGGAGGAGGAGCAGGAGGAGGATGTTTTCCCCAACCTAGGTGCCTGACTTGGGTGAAGGTGAATGGGGACACGCTTCTAACTGACTAGAGGTCTCAGCAGTGTGCCCTGTCTGGCTAGGTAGGTATTTTGGGGGGTCGTGGGACATGACGAGAAGAAAGAGACAGCCCCCTGGATACCTCCCCCACACCGCGGGTACCTACCTACATACCAACGTGTGAGACAGGCACGGCAGGGGAGCCATGGGGATACTGTCTGTACCTTATTCTGCATCGGTCGTCTTTTGATTGGTTTTTTTCTTCTTCCGTCTTTGTGATTTTCTGTTCTTGTGGTTTGGGTGGGCCGGGGCAAAAAGGGAACGAAAAAGGCATTGTTCGGCGGCATATATTGTGTACATAGTGTGTGTGTGTGGCATGGTCTAAGCAAAAAAACAGGGGGGGAACCATTAGAGGAAAAAAAAGTAATGACAGGAAAGGAGGAAAAAGGCAGATGATGATGATGATGATGATCATCATCGTCATTGTCCTCCTCCTCCTCCTCCTCCTCATCATCATCGTATGGTATGATACGGTAGGGTAACGGAGTATATACATGTATATACCTTGACATATTGTACATAAAGGTACCACCTACCCACCTACCTACCGGGAATATACTCGCCTATCTGAGTACTCACTCGCTCACTCACCTATTGTACTCCCTCCCTCCCTGTCCACAGCCCTGCATTCCGTATCGTGTTTTTCGTCATTATTGAGTCTTGGAAGCTGACCGAGCCGAGTCTTGCTATCAGTGAGGTGTCCGACGCCCCCACCCCCCAAAAACAACCAGCGGGAGTATGGGACATTGATACCAATGGAAATGAGGGAAATTGTGACCCATGGGAATCGAACGGAGATCGAATGGAAGAAATGAGAACCCTCTTTGGCATGGCATACTGGTAACCAGTTAACGATATACCTTCCCGCCTGATCTATGTTTCCGTTTCGTAGAGTATGGTTCTAGGGCCATTGTGACACGTACAGTACAACTCAGTAACTACCTGGGTTACCTTCCTATACCCACCCAGGCCGCCCAGAGTACCTTCGTACCTACCCCAGGAAAACACCTGCCTTAAAATAGTGTACAGAAGAGATACATAGATGATGGAGAGGTGAGAAAAAAGTTGGACATCGAAGCCGAACAAAATCAAATCAACGCTTGTCCCTTGTGCATTGCCTCGCGGACCTCTCGAATGATATCCTTCCTGTCGTGTCTTCCCATCAACACGATCCCCCTACCACGACGGTTCATTCGGCCCATGCGGCCTAGCCGATGGACAAAATCGATGGTCGTGTGAGGAACGTCGTAGAGGACCACGTGCCGTACGGCCAGGGTATCGACACCGCGCGAACCAAGGTCCGTGGTCACCAGGACCTTGGTGTCCGGGAGATGGCGAGTCGGCCGACCACCACCGCCGCCCTCGGTGACGGCTCCCACCTCGGAACTGTCAAAGGGGATAAAGTCATTGAATAGTTTGGTCTTCTTCTGTTGTTGGGCAAGAGCCTTCTCGGAACCCTCGACCACAGCCGCGGACGTGAATGTCGACAGGATCTCGGCTTGTCGCTGTTCGGTCGTGTCTCGGGTCAAAGCGACGGCGTCGATGCCCTTGGTCGCGAGGAATTTGGCAACCTCTTCGGCCTTTTCGCGTTCGTTGACGAAGACAAGGATATGCTTCACTGTGTTCCGGGGGTTGAGGTCCTCGTGCACCGCCTTGCCGAGCGTCCAGATGACATCGGCACACGCCAGGTCGCGCGAGCCACGGTACGGTTCCTTGTCGATGTCGACCGCCCCGAGTTGCACGCGGCGAGGGATCGTGTGCAGTTTGGGCGTCACGATCCGTTTGGACTGTGGGAACCGGCGGTCGATGAACCGGTCCAGAGAGTTGGGAATAGTGGCGGAGCAGAGAATGAGCTGTTTGAGTGTCGGAGCAGCTCGGTCGATAATGTCGCAAGTCGTCTCGCTGAATGACCGGTCGAAGAGGGAGTCTGCCTCGTCCATCACAAGATATTGGATCCGAGAGAGGATGCCGGGTTCCTTCTTGGCGATGCTGGCGATCAGGTGTGGCGACGATACCACTATGTCAATCCCACTGGGTTGGAAGAGTCGGTTTCGAATCACCGTCGCGCTGTTGGCAGACGAGATGCCGGCGGACTTGTACTTGACAGCGTGACCAAGCGACTTTACAACCTTTGTCACCTGGGTGATCAATTCGGAGGACGGTAAAAGGATGAGTGCTCGCGGCTTGCCCATCTTAGGGTGCTTGGGTCCTTCGGTTTCTGAAGGGTCGGCTTCAAAGACAAGTCGATTGGCACGCTCCTCTCTTTCTTTGGCTTCTCGAGCCTTCGTTTCTTCTTCCTCAATCTGGTCGAGTTCTTCTTGTTCCTTCACGTGGTGGACCAGTGGTAGTAGATAGGCCATGGTCTTGCCTGACCCCGTTTCAGCAGCGAGGAGGAACTGATCGTACTTGGGAGCATCTTCTGGCAGTTTTTGTTTCTGGTATTCGCCCTTCTTGCTCAGTAGCGCAGGAATAGCCAGCTTCTGTATAGGGGTAGGCGAGTATTCCTTCAAGTGGGGCAGGACCTGACTATACACAGCATCAACGACTTGTGGCATCAGTCCAAGCTCTTCAAAAGACTGTATCTGTTCCAGCTTCATTTTGAGTTTGTCTCGCTGATTGTAGGATAGAGGTGCCAGGATCTGTTGCATCTTCAAGGCGTGAAACGTAGGTCTGTCGTCTTTGTCCGCTTTGCTCTTTTTGCTCGCCGTCGACACGCCTGCAGTCGCACCTCGATCTCCATCAGCACCTGTGGCAGGCTTCGCTCGTTGGGTTCGTTTCTTGATCTCGGTTCGTACGGACATCCTGGGTCGAGAAGGGAGTTGACGTGGCATTCTCTTCTCTGGTAATCTCGCAACCGTCTGATTCATTCCGGCAAACGGTCCGGCTTCGTCGCGTTTAGACGTCCTCCTCTCTGGGCCTGACCTGCCCACGTCATGTGAGAGAGTCATTCTTGAAGGCTTCCTGCGCTGGCGCATGGCCGAAGCCATGCCTCGTTGAGTCTGCCATTGCAGCACTGATGGTCTGAAAACAGATACTAATGCTCGGAACTGGCATGCAGGGCATACGGCGGCCGAGGAAGACATCGAAATGTCGCAAGTAACCACTGTGTGAGCACTGTGTTCAAAGTACCTTTTCTCGCCTCCCAATGGAATCTTTTTTGTTTCGTCGGCGAGATGCGTCTGGATACTCCGACGTTGACGCTGCTTTTGGGGGTTGTTCGTCGCTGCTTTATTAACCATAAGTACTGCCTCGAGGCGACTCTGGAGCACTCGCTCATGCGAGTAGCTGCGAGCTGGTGTTCCTCTAACACCTTTATCTTCCTTTTCTCCAATAGTTTTGGACTTTAAAGTGCTTATTGACTCTGCAAAGTTCGATATATCAAGACCGTTTCGAACGCGACGACGAACATGTTGATAGTCGTTAATGACTGAACAAATGACAGAATGATCACTAACGACACCTGCCCACGATGGCTGAAATGATAAGCACCAATGTCAAGAGAATCGTCGTCTCCATGCTACACTATGATCACGATGTCGTTACATATCCTATATCGGTAACAGATCTCGAACATCCAAAGCAAAAGCCCCAGTTATACCAGTATCAGTACTTGGTGCTCGAGCCCCGCCAAACATTCGTACCCCTTGGAAGGCTGCTAATTTAACTTACGTACGGTTTCACCCTTTAGCGCTCATGGCCACTCATACATTTCTGTTTGGTTCAACATTAACGAGTGATCGGCCATTTGTGCGTTGCTCAATGCCTGTTTGTGGTCTACTATCGCGAAGTTGACCTTTTCTGGCCCGGGGGCAGATCGTTGGCGGCTCTCAGCCAATTTCCAGCAGGTGAGCTGAAACTTCAACCAAAGATTCACAATGATATTACATTCTCCCTCGGTGTTCTAATGGATTCCTTGCTGTCACTCGCTTCAACTTTGTTTCATTCGTGACTCGTCCAACATATTGATGCTTTGCTCGACGGTCGAGTCACCGTCCTTTTTTCCAACCACAGCATGCTTGGCCGGGGCTTTGCACTTTCAGCCTTGTCCCTGACCCTTCCGCTGGGTTGGGCCGAGGAAGATCCCCAATCTAATGTTTCAGAACAGTCGTATGCAGTCCTATATCCTCCGTATACTTATGTCCCGTCTGTTTTCGCCGACTGGAAACCTCATCCACATGGTTGTCCATTTCTTAATCGCAATGGAAGCGTGAACCCGCTTGGTCCATCTCAGCATCCCTGGCCTCCACAATCTCCTCCAGGATTGCCGCCGATCCAGCCAGGCCAGCCATCATCGTTTTGGTACGAAGAAATTCAACATGATGGTATCAGTCCTTTCATATCGAACGCGTCGGACTGGGTTGTTTATCGAAATGTGAAGGACTACGGTGCCATTGGGGATGGTAGCGCTGACGACTCTGCTGCCATCCAAGCAGCGGTCAACGCCGGCGATCGAGGCCCTGGTGGGAATGGCAAAGGCACAACTGGTGCACCTGCTGTGATTTATTTTCCCGAGGGGACCTATCTCATGGGCCACCCCGTTCAATTGTATGTCGACACGGTATTCCTGGGGAATCCCATTGCTCGACCAACACTCAAAGCATCCTCGACCTTTAACGGGACCACGTTGATTTATGCCAAAGATCCGGCCCTGGACGCCACGATCAATTTCTACATCGGTGTGAAAAATTTGGTCTTTGATTCTACGAGTGTTGCGCCAGACACAGAATTTCTCCTTATGGACTGGTCGGTCAGTCAAGCTACGCAACTAACGAACAATCTGTACCGAATGCCACGAGGATCTTCACATACCGGTGTCGCAATGCCGGAAGGGGGCTCAGGAACGTTTATGGGCAATCTGGCTTTCGAAGGCGGCTTCATTGGGTTAAATTTCAACAATCAACAATACAGCGTCAAGGACGTATCTTTCAGTGGCTGCAGTACTGGCATCGTAATCAGTCATGGTTTTGATATTGTCTTCCAGGGTATTGAGTTCACGGACTGTGACATCGGCATTAATGCTACCGCCGGAGATGTGGGAAACGTGGGCAGCTACGTCTTACTTGATTCTGCAGCAGAATCTGTCGATACGCTGATCTTGACCAAGAGCCAAACCCCTCCTGGATCTAATACTACGACCGGAGATGATTCGGTAGTTCTCGACAATGTCCATGTGCACAACGTTGGGAGAGTGGTAGTGGCGGGAAACACAACTCTATTGACCGGTGGCGTGGATAAAACATGGGTTTACGGAAATGCGTACATGCAGAATGGCCGTATCGGAGGTACTCATGATAACGGAGTGATATCTGACACTGCGAGAAGTCTTCCGCTGCTATCTGGCAACAGATATGCCACATTCTCTCCACCAACATACCAGGAATTTGATGTCAGACAGGTTGTCAATATCAAGAACGTGACGGGTCTGCCGGTGTTTGGTGATGGACAAACTGTGAGTGCTCCATCCCTGACCCTCTATATCATTGAAACAACCTTTAACTTAAAACTAACAGGATGACACCGACAACATCAATGCCATTCTTGCATTGACTGCTGGCTGCGCGGTCACATTCTTCCCAGCTGGAACGTACCTAGTCACGTCTACAATCAACGTCCCACCTGGATCTCGGCTCATTGGCGAAGCATGGTCCGCTATTTCAGCTGTGGGAGCATCCTTCGCTGATGCCAACAATCCTCAGGTGATGGTACGAGTCGGTGAACCAGGTGAAGTCGGCATGGCGCAGATCAGCGACATGCTCTTCACCGTTGCCGATGTCCTCCCGGGCTGCATTTTGGTCGAAGTCAACATGGCTGGAGCGAAGCCAGGCGACATTGGTTTCTGGAATTCGCACTTTCGCGTCGGTGGCGCCGCCGGGTCAGCCGCCGAAACCAAGTGCGCCGACGCATCGAATCCCTGCCAAGCAGCGTTCCTGCTGCTACACCTGACGGCTTCGGCGGCGTCAGTGTATGTCGAAGACATGTGGGGTTGGACCGCGGATCACGACCTCGACGGCACCAACCCGCAAACCGTCGCCACGGGTCGAGGGTTGTTGGTCGAGTCTCCGGGCCCTGTGTGGCTTGTTGGCACTGCCTTCGAGCACAATACATTGTACCAGTACAACTTCGTCAATGCCGCCAATCTCTTCGTCGGGATGCAACAGAGCGAGACTCCGTATTGGCAAGGTACCGGATCCCCGGCTCTCGCGCCAGCACCATGGCTTCCAGACAGTCGCTACAACGACCCGACCTTTTCGAACTGTGCCACTGACGATGCCAACTGCCGAATGGCATGGTACCAACGTGTTGTGGGCGGCAGCGACGTCTCCATCTACGGCAGCGGCTTCTGGACTTTCTTCAACCACGTCGGCGATTGCCAGGGCGCCGATGGGACTTGCCAGAACAATGCTGTTGAGATCACTGAAAATCCCCAGCGTCTCTTCTGGTGGAACCTCAATACGCGTGGAGTCTTGAACCTTGTAATTGACCAAGGACAAGTTCTTGCCACTCAAAACAACAACCCGGGTTCCTGGGGAGCCGTTGTCGCTGCGGTCTTGACGCACTCGGGCCTAATGGCCCAGAAGCTCTTCAAGAGGTTCTCAAGATAGACGACAGCGAGTACACACTAAGTGGTTTATGTAGGTGATGGCTAGAGATAAAAAGCAAGGCATTTTTTGAGCGAGTCATGGGGTGGTTAGGGATAGATATACAATGGGATCTCCTGTTAGCGTAATTTCGACGACTTCAATAGGTAATCAGCCGCACTGCTGGTGAAAAGCTAACCTTCTCCTTCCAGGATGCGAGCAATCGATGATCTTCAGACGCCGATATCCAGTAGGTTTTCCCTTGCCCGTCATCCATATATAGCATGCTCTCGATCTCTTTCTGGTCGTCTTTCGAGGTTTCCAGCTTCTACGTCGATCCGAACTTCTTCCAGCTTCTACGTCGATCCGAACTTCTTCCAGAATACCACCTCTTTGCCAGCTCCATCCTGAATGTGATTCATTCACAGCTCACACTTCCTGTATTGGTGGAGACAGATCCTCGAATTTCCGCGGGGCTATCAACATGGACGATAATCTTGAGCTCTGCGCCGGCCCCTTTCCGATACGCGTTGATCTATTAGTATGTTTGAACGCAAGAGTAATGGTCTTTCAGGGAATCGCTAGGTCCTGAGACACATCATCAACGGGTCAACTATCAGAATCAGATGTCATGATGCAAAACAATATACTGAAATGTCGTTAAAGGAGGACTACTGTACAGAAAAAAAGAGTCGAGTCGATTTGAGTAGCAAAAAAAGGCTGTAGAGCAAAAAAACTGTAGACTAATCAATGGTCTGGCCCGGGATCGAACCGGGGACCTCGTCGGATGTGTGTTCACCTTCTGTGAACGACGCGTGATAACCACTACACTACCAGACCTCAGGCCTCTAAAATAATGAATTATTTTGGGACGATTTCGGAAGCAAAATGTGGGCTCTAAAAGTCATAGATGGGTTTGTTCTTTCGGCGGGTCGACGCTTATTTACATGCCATTCTGACGTTCATTGAGTCTGAGCCGTAGTCTCCAAGCTGCCCCTCGCCAGGCAAAAAGCCCCATGGTATCTGTACGCCACAGTCACACTTCACCCTTCGTCTATTTGCTTCAATCTCTATACTTCCAACAAAACTTTCGGACCAACTAAATATAAATATGGCGATGGATATTTCCAATGTTGCAACACCAGCCAAATGTACGGCCGACTTCTGTCTGATACCTATAGGGACCCCGACTGCTTCCGTGTCGGCTCAGATAGCAGATGTTCAGCGATTGATGAAGAAAAGCGGCTTGAAATATTCCATGCACTCCGCAGGAACGACTGTTGGTAAGTACCTAAAACTCTATGTGAGCTATGTCGTCGTAACACACGGAGTGTTACTTTCTCTTTCGAATAACATCCGAAAGTGTGCTCATGGCTTCACAAGGCCACATCGTCTACTGGCTGTGACTACCTTATATTGTCTGGAAACGGAGCGAGTGCCATTCCAAGCTTGCCCATGGCTGCGATATTAATATTTTATGTTCCAATATACGCTGACGATTACTCTTCGTACAGAAGGATCCTGGGAAGATGTGACACGGCTTATTGGCCAAGCTCACACCATCTTACACGACAAGGGAATCGTGCGTATCCAGACAGATATACGAATTGGGAGTCGAACAGACAAAGCACAAACGATGGAAGACAAGGTCGCAGCCGTGGAGAAGTTGCTTGCAAGTGAGTCGTAAATGATGACTCTGACTACGTTCACTGTTCCATAAAAAGAAGCATTGTCAAACGAGCATAAAATGCTCAGTCATTAGCAATGTCATAAAGTGTCGATATGTCGCGATCACAGTGCAATTCCCGCTGATGTAGGTCTCGACCACACAGACCGTTGTGTAGAATAGTCTTACATCGGTACGAGTTAGTTGATAATACAACTTTCTCCGATCAACAACTCAGGTAAAGTCTAGAGGTCTAGATGCGAGACCAAGCCAAGTTTGATGAGTTGTTCAGCCAGTGTCTGGCGCCAGATCCGCGCTGAAGGGAACGGGAAATGCTGCGCCTCATGTGGCTGGAGATGCGTGGCTGAGCTCGTTTGACGTATCCAGCGGGAGACCGCCTTCTCGCCATTCAATCGGCACCACGCAGCCCAACTCGTAACAATGGTCCTTTCTATTGGAGATGATGCCCCTGGGGTTGCCGCCCTGGTTTTGGCGAGCCCTTGGGCATTGAAACAATAAGCCTCACTGAGACATTTTTGATGGTTTCTTTGACTGTCACCGAAGATGCTGTCTTTGTTGACCGCTCCATTACCAGCCATGCTATTTTGATACCTCCTGCCACTAAACGAACTGTCACCTCTACACGGGATCCCTGCTGGGACGTACACTCCATCTAATCCAACAACGAGCATCGAAGACCGTTGTGATCGACCACGTAATTAACGACCTATTTCAATTATCTGAGCACAAGCTTTCCAGTCCCCTCTATACCAGCCTGCCATGGCTGCAATTCACCAGACCATAGCGATCGTCGACAAATCAAACAAAGTTGTCAGTACAACAAAACAGTTGAAGAACGTATTCAAAGAGGCGAAACAAGCTTATCTTGAACGAAAAGCCGAAATAGTTGCCGACCGAAGAGCCAGGGAAGACAGAGAATTGAGAAAGGCTCTGCAGGCGGTGACTTTGGCTGAGGAGGAAAGATCAGAAACATCCCACCGATCGAGGAGAAGGCATAGTCACAGGAGAGAACACGATCCAGACAGACGTCGGCCATCAGCAGGAGGGCACCACCAGTCTTCGGAATCGACAAGAAGGAAAGGCAATGCCGACAAAGGGGCATCCCTCGTCGACAATCCGGTCCCAGTTGGGGTCACTTCCGCTCCGGTCGGTCTCGCCCAATTCAACGAGGAGCTGTACGGTCAACATCGGCCCGCTCCCATTTCCCCAGTTTATCCCCCAGAAGGACCTGGACTCTTACGCCGGACAACCGATATCCCTCTGGAGCTGGCTCGTTCTCATCGTCCTCCACCCGTACGGTCCCATTCCACTTCCGAAGTTGATGATCACATTGACATGGACCTGGCATACGGCGAATTCCATCCAGAGTTACTCATGCTGGATCCAAAGGTGGAACGTACGCTGCAGAAACAGGAGATGTCTAGTTTGGTCACGAAATGCAAAATCTTGCTGGACGAAGCAAATTGCGCGCAACACAGTGTCAGAGCAATTGTAGCTCATCTCCAGAAGAACCCCGATGCTATGGCTGCCGTTGCATTGACACTAGCGGAAATCAGTAACCTCGCCACGAAGATGGCGCCAGGAGCACTAGCTGCCTTCAAAACAGGTGCCCCAACAGTTTTCGCGATGCTCGCTGCTCCTGAGTTCCTCATTGCGGTCGGTGTGGGTGTAGGCCTCACCGTTGTAATGTTCGGTGGCTATAAGATCATCAAGAAGATTCAAGCGAAGGTTGGTGACAAGGAAGAGGAGGCTGCTGAGGAAATGATCGACGTGCATGAGCTTGATCGGATCGAGCACTGGCGACGTGGTATTACCGATGCCGAAACTGCCAGTGTTGCAACCAGTGTTGAAGGTGAATTCATCACGCCTCTGGCGGCTCGCTCAATGGGACATCTGCCGATGCATAGGGACTCCAGCCATGATCGCCACGGCGGGAAGCCTCGAGAAGAACGACGAAAGAAAAAACACCGACATGTCGATGAAGACCCAGACCGAACTGTGGTCGGGAGTGAAAGCTCCAAATCGCGGAGAAGTAAACTGGACAAGCGAGAACGAGCTCTCATCAAAGTCAAAAAGCCAAGTCCATTGCGAAGAATATTCAGCAGCAAAGATACGGACACTTCGTCGAGAAGATGATATGTGGAATCTGGAGTACATGTTACTCTTCCCTCATGACTTTATGGAATACTCTTTTTTCATTTTAGAGCATGGCGTTATGGTAGAGCTGGAACATCATATTTAAATTCTCTATACATACCTCGTGGGTTTATGACGCACGATATAACGAGATACAAAAATCTAGGATTCAAGCCGCAACACTGATGCTCGAAATACATCTAGTTAGTCCCTCTAAAGTTGTCCCGCCCAGTACGAGTATTGAAGACGGTATGTCTAACCTCAGAACGGCCAACAGTCGGAGACGGCGCTCCGGATTTCTTAGTCATCACGTGACCTGCGGCGAAATTTCGTTGTCGAGCGACTGAGAAACATTCATCTTCACTTCGATTGTATTATCTCTATTACACTTAGAGTCGTCCTCGCAACGACGATATTTGTGCGCGGCTGTGCCTTTCCGGAGCGTTCAAAGCCGTGAGACCTACATTCTGCTCCTACCGCCCTTACGTCGACGCTACAACCTCTGTCTCGCGGACTATCCTACGCCGTGGTCCTAGCATTCCTAGAAGGATTCCCTCGCCTTCAGGGTCCCTTGCTGATCAAATACTATCACAATGGATCACTCGCGAGATCCATGTCCGTGGGTTGCGCTCTCCGATTTTGGAGGTGCCTTCTCCATGGGTGCGCTGGGAGGTAAGGTAGCCGACATTTCAACGCAACGACAATAGACTGACCAAGCCTTAGGAACATTATGGCACGGTATCAAAGGCTTCAGAAATTCTCCATATGGCGAACGGCGGATAGGAATGATCACCGCCATTAAAGCTCGAGCACCCGTAACTGGCGGCAACTTTGGCGTATGGGGTGGCCTGTTCAGCACATTCGATTGCGCAGTAAAAGGCATCAGAAAGAAGGAGGATCCCTACAATTCGATCATTGCAGGGTTCTTCACCGGTGGCGCCCTTGCTATAAGAGGAGGTTATAAAGCAGCCCGAAATGGAGCCATTATGTGTGCTATCTTCCTGGCAGTCATCGAGGGAGTAGGTATTGGTATCCAGAGATTAATGGCAGAGAACACAAGGCTCGATGTAAGTTCATCCGCAGAGAGCGAGCTATGCTCAGAGCTAACACAAGCCAGCTTCCTCCTCCCGGCACACCACCCGCAGATTCTGGCCGCGTGGCCGCCTGACTGGAGATGGCCACCACTCCACACTTTATCTAAGATTTCCGCTGGGTTTGATGTCCTCACGACCCAACTTTTTTGGTTTCTCTACTCTTCGAAGTCTCACCTTCCTCCGGTCGATGGGCTCTTGTGCATAGCGGGCGTATGGACATAAAGATTTTACGTGCGGCCAGAGTCGACTCTGGTCGACAAAATGTTGTGGTGTCGACGTTGATACAGAGGAAAGAGAGCAATGCGTACCGTCAAATCGTGATCTTGATGGAGCGCCTGGCAAATGAGGCTTCATTTGCAACGCAGGTTGTAATATATGTATGATGATAGAACAGTGTCGATACTACACCGGCTAATGCGGACTATAAGCGACTGCTAAGGTCTTCGCTGTGAAACAGTGTGGGTGCAATTGCCATCGAGTGACCAAAGTTGATGAACACGCTGGAAATACTCCGTTCAAAAGTCCTTCAATGCCGCGCGTCTAGATTTGCTGATTTGGGAATGACTTTCTCTTGCTACAGGGGAACCTGTGCACTCGTTAACATGTGTGGCTTCTGAATTGTATCAAGAATTAAACGACTGTTGGAACTTGATGTCAGACCTAGGATGGACGTCTGGACTTGAAGTGCTGAGCATCAGGTGGTCTGGGGAAGCAACCTTGTGACCGCACAAGGCTGCGCTCTCGACACCGGCGATCATCATCCGCAGTCGCAAACGCCAGCGACTCGCCTGGCGGCCTCCTTCGATCTCACATTGCCATCTTTTACCTATCATGCGTTTCTAGGTTCTATTCTTGTCACAGTATTGTTCTCGTTACAGTTTAGCGCTGGATTCTCGCTGTCATGCACTATGGAAAGCACGCATCTCGGAGCGCAGCCCTTGAAGAGTCCAGTTCAGATGCGCCAGACAAACAATGCAAAGTCAAGGCTGCCGACCTTGGCTTCGATGTCCCTGAATACATTTTGCCTGATATTATACCTATTTCAGACTCAAGATCAGACTATCTGAACATTCACCATCAGCGGGATCGAAGACTACGTCTGCTTCTTCGACGCTTCACCAACCAAATCCAGTACGGTTGTAGGAACAGCAACTGCACGACACCCACATGCTTGAGTTACAGGAAAAGAAACAGCACAGGGCCATTAAGAAGATATACGGATCTGAGTGCTAGAACGCTAGCATGCCAGCTACTCGAAGACTTCTCGAGAGGCGGTAAAGAACCGCTCGCGGAACTTTGTCCTAATGAACCTGTCGTGCCTTGGTATGAGGATCCCGCCGTGGCTAAGAGGAGGCGTACGAGCCTGGACAAGACATCCTATCTCCCAAATGGCCACTCAACACCGTCGAAGAGTCAGCCTCAAGCGCAGCGCGTACGGAACACCTCGCCACGATCGCAGAGCGCAACTCAGGAGCGAGGGAACTTAAATCACGATGGCGTCGTCCAAGCAGGCCGGGCAATACGAGGCCTCGACATCTCCAAGGAGCCTAGAGAACTTTCTGGTGATGTTATCGACGTGGTAAATTCGGCCCTCTCTGGCCAGCAAAATGCAGGAGAACGACGAGAAGAATATCCGACACACAATAGCATCATTCCCGACACCCATGCCGCATATCGCTCGCCTGATCCAGTCAGGTCCAAGGATATCGCTTCATTCACACAGACTCTATTCGATCTCCTGCCGTTGAGACTGCTTGACTGGTTTCCTTCGAAAAGTTTGCGTTCTCACGATGACCTCACCGCAAACACGCACGTCTCCAAGGGTGATCAAGATGAACGAATGCCTGGCGAAATGACAAAATCGGACGATGAACAGCGAGGCTCTGAACACCCTGACAGCTCCAAGTCTCACTCTACGCCACTGCGACCCAGTGATACGACTAGTCAAGAAGCACGTAATGCGACCTCCCAAGACCATGAAGCCGAAGGTTGTCGGAGACCGCAATTATACAGCCTTCGAACTCTCAACTGGCTCTCTCTGCCATGGCTCCGGCACATGGAGATGGAGAAGGTGTCCATCTACAAGAAAAGTCTGCTCCCATTCTTTCGACAAAGCTGCTCATATTGTCTCAGCCACCCTCACCGACTGATTCGCACCGTCGTAGACCTTCAAAAATCCCACCCTAGGTCTTTCGGATTAGAAGATGGTGATGCCCTAGATAACTCTACCGACTCTCCTCCTGGTAACACACCTGACGATGGGCCAAAATTGGCAACACAGTTTAGAAGGGACCTTGACGGGATACTATCAAGTCTCGCACTGCTCGATGCTTTCGAACAACGTGAATTGGTTCTTGGTTGCATCCTCACTGCCTTGCAACATGCGTATCGCTTACCACGTGGAGTGGCCGCGCCGAGAGTTGGCAGACGGAGCCTATCCATCACCGAAAGCGATGAAAAAGCGTCAGCCAACAGCAGAGCGCATTCTTTCGTACAGTCCGACTTTTCTTCAGATGAAGGAATGGACATCAGCACCATCTTCCAACAAAAGGACGATTCGCTCCTCCCTCTGAGCGATCATCACGTTGTTGAATTGTGCCTGGTAGGACTGCTGTCGATTGCTTCACTCGCCTTTTCCGGATACTATGGGAGATTCTGGGGCAGCAAAGCACCTTTCGACCGCCTCGCAACTATACGTAACAGCGGTCTCGCCCATTCACGGTGGCAGTCACTGGATCCCAGGGACGACAAAGAAGAGACCCAACACTTTATTAGTGTAATGATCTGGGCTCTCGATGTATTTGACGATTGGTCGGTGCTTCGACTCCTCTATGCAATCACAGACATCATAAGTCATCGGCTCCTCATGGAGAAATCTTCCGCAACGATGCGAGATCCAATCCTAACCGGTCTCAAGAGGAAGAAGAAGAAGAACTTGGTCACTTTGCTAGTCCAGCGCTTCGATAAAGACACCCTCAGAGGATGGAACTCCTCGGATCAGAGATCGAGCTGGATAGGCACCGTTGTTATAGAGCTCTTGAGGACAGTGTTGCTGAAAGCTTGGGACCGGAAAGCTGTCGTCCAACGAAATGGCTCAGTTGGTGGTACTTTGGAATTGTTGGCTGGCTTATTCCACGAAAGAAAACAACTGAATTTGACCGCAGAGCTGTTCCAAATGCCGTTCATCGCCGATGTATTCGACGAAGCGGCGATGCCTCGCGAATGGTTATCCTTTCGCGCAGACACGCGCAAGATGCATCTATTGTCCTTCTCATTCCTCTTTGAGCCTGCAACGTTGGTCAAATACTTCAGAGCCATCAACCTTGACATCATGAAAAAGTCGTACGAAAGTGCCACACTAGTTTACGGTGATGCAAGACAGTATTTGTGGGCTCCGAAGATCCCAGTCTACGGCCACAAGGAAATTCTTGCTCAGTTACGGCCACATATGGCTCGTTATTTTGTTCTCACTGTGCGAAGAGACAATCTGTTGAACGATGCAATCGATCAGATATGGCGTCGGCAACGGATGGAGATAATGCGTCCTTTACGTGTCCGTGTGGGTAAAGACGAGGGCGAAGATGGCGTCGATTACGGTGGCGTGCAGCAAGAATTCTTTCGTCTTGTCTTTGCAGAGGCGTTTGACCCAGACTACGGTATGTTCACTGTCGACAGTTCGACACGAACAGCATGGTTTCAGCCTGGGTCATTTGAACCTCTCTACCGCTTCGAGGCCCTCGGGATCTTGATGTCACTAGCCATCTACAATGGTATTACGCTGCCAGTGACATTTCCGGTGGCACTCTATCGCAAGCTTCTGAGTCTGAAGGTGAAAAAGCTCGATCACATTGCCGATGGTTGGCCGGAATTGGCCAGAGGGCTCAAGACTCTACTCGAATGGTCGGATGGTGATGTCGGAGACGTGATCGCCAGGACATACGAGTTCAGTTACGAACTTTGCGGCAGCACTGTAACGGTTGATATGCTCAAAATCGGCCGTGAGGATCCGTGGCCACAATTGACGTTACGACCTAACAGAAAGGGCAAGGAGAAAGCAAAGTCGACTTCCTTTGAACTTCCGCTCGAACCGTCATTGACACCACCAAGCCTACCTTCTCCAGATTTACGACCAGCGATCACACCGATACACGGGAAGTCGTCCATTAATATCAAAGGTATTTCGACCCCTCAGAGCATCAACAGCGATCTATTAGAAGAAGCTGCCCTCGTCACCAACGCGAATCGTGAACAGTACGTCAAGGACTACATTTTATGGCTCACTCATAAATCTGTCCAACTTCAATACGAGGCCTTTGCAAAGGGGTTCTACACTTGCCTCGATCGCACAGCACTCTCGATATTCACGCCCGAAGCTCTCAAGACGGTGGTGGAAGGTCACCCAGAGATCGACATCAACGAGCTCGAACACACCGTCACGTATGAAGGATACGACCGAGATTCTGAATACATTCAAGACTTTTGGCGTGTCGTGCGAGATTTCAGTCCCGAGCAACACAAACAACTGCTCGAATTCGTCACTGCCAGCGATCGTGTGCCTGTGAATGGGCTGGGAAGCGTACAATTTGTGATCCAGCGCAATGGAGATGATGAGGACAGCAGACTGCCCAGCAGCAGCACCTGTTATGGACGGCTCTTGTTGCCTATGTACAGCTCCAGGGAAATCTTGAGGGATAAGTTGAGCAAGGCAATAGAGAACAGCGTAGGGTTTGGGACGCTGTAGATTATAAGTCTCGAGGGTTACCAGACAAGGGGACGACAGGGAGGTTTGTACGTTTCTTCCTCTTTTCGAGAAGGATGTGTCCTCGGGTACAGGACAGGAGGATATCTCTTTTCGCTCTAGATTCACGAGAATTATTCGATGAGAATGGGTTTTTTTTTTAGCGGTACTGATTATTTCTGCACTACTAAGAGGTAGTAACAAGGTAGTTGAGTAAATCTAGGTAGTCTTTGACGGACCACTTACTTCATTCATTCCATTCCATTTTATTCTTGGTTTTTTTTTGTTTGCTGTCTCGCTCGCACCGTCTCGATTCTGCGTGTCGATATGGAGATCATGGGAGTCCTTGAAAAGAAACTTTTCTTTCAATTACTTTAAGTACCCGTGTGTATATCATAATTATCGTCTTCTGTCAGGCCCAGCCAGGTCTTGCCTCGCCAAAAAAGGAGAGAGAAAAGAAAAGAGGGAAGACGTTGGTGGTGAAAAGGAGAATTTAAACGTGGAACTTGTTCTGCCCTGTTCTATTCGGTCGTCTCTGAAACGTCGGTGACGTGTAAAAATCAAGGATCCAGATAAAAGAAAGGATGCCCCCCCCCCCCTGGGATGGACATAACAGACAACTCCGGTGTTCTCTGGAGTATCTGACCGTACCCAATTGACGCTACCCAAAATCAAAAAAAAAAGTCTCCCGGGTCCCAAACCCCAGATCTGAATTCTATTCCCGATCCCAATACCAGATCTCGACTTCTATTAATTCCCAATCTCAATGATCCTTCGTCGTTCGTCGTGATGATTATTCCAAAATCTCCAAACCCTGTAATCTAGTTAACTACTCGCTCGTCTTGTCATTTCGATCTACCGAGTCCAAACGTGTGAGTGATGGTGTGATAGTATGGTGTACGGGGTCTGTGTATCACGGTGTCCGTGTAAGTCTAATAACCACCCCCGATGCTTGATGCCTGATGCCGCTGAAGGAGAACCGATTTGATACCTGTGCGACATTTGTAGGCGCGAGGGAGACCGGGTTGGTCTGAGGGGTGGATGGGTGGTTGGCAGGGTTGGTTGCTCTTGAGTCTACGCGAGGACCTCAACCTCACCCGTGGCTTTGTTGACGCTCATGTTCTTCGCGGCGGGTTCCTGGCCGGCCCTTTTTTCGTCGTCGACGTCGTCCTCGAGAGACTTGGTCGCCTCGTCCTCGGAGCCCAGCTTGTCGGGTCGCTGGAGGCCCTGGTCCTCCCAGCCCTGCATCATGCGCTCGAACAGCTGCTTCTGCGTCCAGTGGTCGAACTGCGGCTCGGTCTTGCCGCGGCGGCGGCGCGAGTCGGCGGTCTCGGTCAGGAAGGCGTCCGAGTCGGCGTCGGAGCCAAAGTCGGCTTCGAAGGTGTAGGTGCGGAACTCGCAGTTCTCCCAGCCCGTGCCGGCCAGCTTGTTGGCCTCTTCCCAGTCGTTGGTGAGGTAGTGGAGGTACCCGCCGTGGGTGACCAGGACCATCTCGACGTTCTCGTCGCCTTTGTCGGACGTCAGCTCGCGGGCCTTTTGCCGCAGGAAACGCCGCGTGTCACGCGCGCGCGCCGCGATGGCCTCGCTGGCGGGCGAGTAGCGGCTGTCGCGCGTCTTGACGTTCCACCCCTCGGTCACGAGCGAGAGGTCGACCGGCCAGCCGTGCTCGGCGCACCGGGCCTTGAGGACGTCGGGGTCGGAGCCCGTGTCGCACGGGAAATCAGACGTTTCTTGAGCGTCCGGGATGGCCAAGATGAGGGGCGAGCATTTGCCGTTCGACAGCGCAGGCGAGAAGGTGAGGTATGCGGTGTGCAGCGTGCGAGAGAGCGGAGAGGCCGTGACCAGGGAGATGTTGGACTGTGAGGATGGCGGGAAGTGCTTCTGTTGAAGCTCGGCGCATTGGGATTCACCGAGCGGCGTGAGCATCGGGTCTGGCAAGGAGTGGAACTCGCTGCCGAGATTGTGATAACCTTGCGCATGGCGGACGAGGTGGATGCGTGGTTGAGACGGCATCTTCGAACTTGGTGGTGGTGGTGGTGTATACTGTGGTGGCGGGGCAGTCCAAGTATCTTATACGCAGCAAGAGGGGGACAGGCTCCGGGGTGGTAATTGTTATATGTGCGACGTAGAGATGTGTGGCAACGGAACGAACGAACGAACGAATAGATTTATATAAAGACAGGAATAAGTGACATCTGGTGAAGACAGTAGAAGCAAACCGGCGAACAAAGACCTCAATCGGAGGACAGTAAATGAGTCAACCGTCATCATTGGGCTGTAGGAAAAAAGTCGTGGCAAGTCCGGAGCAAATGGCCCGTTATCGTTTCACATACCTCGTCGCCAATGCATGGGATCCATATAAACTGGGGGTGAGTGACTTGAATGAGGTGAATCGATTGGGGCAGCTGGGAGGGTCGTGGTACCGGCGGAGAGTGTGTGATGTAGTTTGGTGTTCTGCCTTTCTACGCTGGAACTAGAAGGCGGGCCGCATCATTTTCCACCCTCGTCCTCCTGTCCCTCCTGTCCTCTGCCCTTCACGACCCCCAGACAAAGGAGTCGAGCTGAAACTTGGGGTGTATTATCAGCATGTATCACACAGCTCAGAGCCTTCTGGTGAACGCGTTTCTTTTCAACAAAAGCTAGTGTATGCTAAGTGCGTGAGTGTCTGAAGCCCAAAGGTCTGAGATCCTGAGATTATACGGAGTATGAGTACGTAGGTACGGTATACAACATAGTACGCGGTCCGATATCGAGATCGATGGGGATTGCCGATGGCGGTAACGCCCTCACACCGCATGATTCGCTGGGAATACGAAGGACCAGGGCAACAGGTGCCCGCAGTCCATGAACAAATAACGCGACGCCTTGTGCTTTAGAAGCACTCTACCGACTCGTTCAATCGCAGAAACGACTGGTACGAGGGTATGGGGACGAATGACGACCTCATGCTGTAAATTATCCCACATAGACTGCGCATTCCAAGCTGCGGTATATTAATTCCTGTCTACATTCGCGTATAGCATCCCATCATTCCGCCCAGGTCACATAAGAACATAGGCACATCCATACATGCACATCACACTAATCACTCATTCTGCTGCGCTTCGATTGAGCTCCCGCGTAACCAGCCCATCCAGCTGCTTCTGTTGGCACGTTTCTGAGCCTCCTCTTCGGCATTCTGGGTTTGTACCAGGCGCAGTGGTCGGAGTTGGTTCTGCTTCATCACTGCCCCAGGAATATTGGCCGGCGGTTGGTGACTGGGGGCCCCTCCTGACACCCCCACAGGAGAGCTGCCGTCAGTCGTCGACCGCTGTTCGTCGCTGTGATCACTGGTGACACTGTTGGCGGAGCTAACACGTGTACCTGAAGGCATACGAGGGAAGTACGATCCGCGCCCTTGAGAAATCGACGGACTCAGGGGGCGGAGCCCAGGACTCATAGGTCCACCCGAAGCAGTACGCATGGGAGATCCACGATTCATCTGCTGGACCACTGCAGCCGCCGCCATGTCGGTCTCGGCCTGGTCAGACCTAGCCCGGCGGTGCTGGCCACGATAGAGTGGGATACTGGGAGCCGTCTCAGGATTCTCATTTGCAGACGGCGCTGAAGGCTGCGCGTAGGACATTGGCCGGGGTCTAGCCCCTCCAGGTCGTGACACAACAGACCGTGCTCGCTGCAAGAACCCGCTCACAGCGGCGGGTGCCGCATTTTGCGCATCGGGCACCGCAGGCAGTGCCTTGTCGGTGGTCGCGCGCTTGGGCGGAGTGGCAGGCACCTCTTCGGTGTCCTGGAAGATGTGCTCGAAGCCAGGTTTCTTAAGCATACGGCCAATGATTTTGTCAATGTAGAGACCGAGTGCTTTGTTCTGCTCTTCGAGTACCCTATACTCTGTTTCGAGCTTCCTGAACGCGTCCGTCTTCTCGGCTTCCTCGGTGGATTCAAGTTCTTCTGCCAAGGAACTCATGCCGCCGGAATCCTCTGAGTGATGCTGGCCATGGATGAAATCCCCCTTCAGAGTCTTCTCGCTAAGAAGCATCTGGAAACTCTCATTTTCTTCGACTAGTCGCGCGTTTTGCATCTTGATTTCCATCATCGCCCTTTCCAGCGACTGAAGTTGCCCATCACCAACATGCTCTTGTTCAGCTAATCTCAGCTGCGCTTCCGCCAAATCGAACTTGAGAGCCTCGATGGTCGAGTCTTTCTCCTGGAGCGACTGCAGTATATCCGGAGCTATGCTGTCACGTACCCGGCTCCCCTCAATATTTTCGGCCGGAGTATCGGCCTTTGAGAAACTCGCACTGAAGCGGCTGTTGTTGATCTTCTCAGTGCTTCGGGTGCGCAACGTCTCGTTCAATCTGCTGATCACTCCTTGAAGTTCCGCCTCTTTGCTGGCTTGTCTCTCACGCTCTTGCAAGAATGTCTCCCTGTCCTCATTGTATGTAACTTTGAGCTCCCTGTGTTGTCTTTCACACTCTTTCAGTTCCGCCTTTAGTTGATCCAACTCGGTCTGCCTCTGATAATCTCGTTCCTCGGCAGTAGTCTGCTCTGCTGCTGCTTCATCCAGTCGTTGCTGCATGCCTTCTAATTGCCTTCTGTATGACTCGGATGCCTGCTCGGCACGCTGCACTTGTTCTCTGAGGTCCGAGATCAACTGTGCATTTGCAGACTTGGCTTCTTCGCTTTCGGTTCCCTCGTCGGTAGACGCAAAGGAGGTACTTGTTCGCGTGGGTGCTTTGCGCAGAGGTCGTTGCTGCCGGAGAGAGGGGGTGCGAGCAAGGCCTTGACCGGTTGTAGACGGCACTGAGGTTGAATGGCCCGGTCTACTTGGACTATTCTCGTTCAAGGGGCGACGTGATGAAGGGGAATTTGTAGAGTTAGATAGGGGGGCCCTTGATGGGGTGGACATGTTGAGTTGTAAACGGTGTTATCTTCAAAAGTCAATCTGGCGCTTTGGCTTGATATTGATGATGTGAATGGGAAGAGCGCCAATGTCAATTCGAGTGAGGGAGAATGTCTTTTAAAAACAAAGGTAGTATCCCAAACAGGTTCAAGCCACGAGCTGAAGAGATGCTGGTAACGATGGTATTGGTCAGACTCGCAAAGGCGCGCCTGCGCCTCGATGAGATGTAATGCGGCCGATCAACTACGGTTGGAGACCAGGCGATTGAGTAATGCACGTCAAATCTTCAGGCGGTGCAGGTACCTAGGCAGGGAGGCAGTCAGTCAATAATACAGACCAACAAAACATTACCAGATGGGTCGCATCGCAGAGGCCGCACATGCCAGTCAGTAAATTTCCGGAAGGACAATCATGGCGGACCCGACGACTCCTGATTCGAGTGTCGAATCTTCGAAGCCCTGAAACATTGCCCCAACGCAAAACAAAAGGCTTCTTTGGCCGAAACTGACAAACATGGCAAACGTTGCAAACAATGCACACACGAATATCACGTGCAGCGAAGCGCCAAGATTTTGAGCCGGACATTTGTGGGCAACCCAGAAATTTACAACTCGAGGTTCGTTTGATTTTGTTCTACCAGCAAACAAACTCGCCGGAGCGCACTCACCATCTCATACCTACTCGATCAACAGTAGAGCGCAACGATGGCACCAAAGAAGGCGAAGAAGACATCCGACTCCATCAACTCGCGCCTGGCGCTTGTGATGAAGTCTGGCAAAGGTTGGTTCTTTCCTCGGCTGCGCTTGGTGTCAATGTGAGCAGAATCTAATGTCTTCACAGTCACCCTGGGTTACAAGTCCACCCTGAAATGCCTTCGATCTGGAAAGGCCAAGCTGGTCATCATCGCTGGCAACACCCCCCCTCTCCGCAAGAGTGAGCTTGAGTACTACTCGATGCTTTCCAAGACCAATGTCCACCACTTTGCTGGCAACAACGTGAGTTCAACAACAAGACCCTGAGAAGAAGCTCATCTGGGCTTTGGAGGGATTGTGACTAATTCGTGATATCCTTCAGATCGAATTGGGCACTGCTTGCGGTAAGCTCTACCGATGCTCAACCATGGCCGTTCTCGACGCCGGTGACTCCGACATCCTCGGCGCCGCTGCATAGACGACCACAGTCTACCACATGATGACTGCCAATCGATAATGATCTTCCAATGATACCCTCATCAGCATGTCGCGAGGATAGTTGGCCGGATGGGATGGAGAGCATCTACGAAGATGCTCCCCAGACGGAAAGCAAATGTGCCCTTGGGCGCCGGATAGAGGAAGCATAGAAGTATCTAGTCAAATATTCAGCTTCCTTTGGGTGACATAAGTTCTGTTTGATGTTGCTGCACAGTTCAGACCCTTGGTTCCCTTTCTGGATGCCTTTGGCCTACCTACAGAAGCCGTGTTCGGGCTATGCAAGTTGGCCACTATGCAGCATCTCTGGATTTGCACCACCTCTCCGAGTGCATCTCCTCAACATGCAGGCTTATTAAAATGTCGAGGTGTTGAATGTCGAATGCTACAGATGAGTAAGAACCACTAAAATGCCCCGTTCGAGGAACCGCAGTTGCGGTTACTACCACCAGAGCCTGTTGAGCCTGTTATGCCTCAAATCAGCCCAAGACAGAACTCCTATAACGATCCTCTCCATGAAGGCAATCGTAGTGTAGAGGATAGCCTTGTTTTCTGACACTTCGGGTCCTTCTGACAATGCAGTTGGCAATATTCTTGTATGGGTACGAGTTCTTAGAGTAGGGAGATGGTCGGCAGCCGGAAACAGAACAGACCGTGTCATCACGTGACGCACACATTCTCTTGGCAGAGCGGCGAAGTTGATTTCCAATCATCCCGCGAATGCGCAGACTCTTTAAACATCATCGCCTCTTATCACTTCTTCACCTCTACCACATCGTTCGCAAGAAGTGCAGTTATTCTGAACAACTGTCAAAATGGCCAGAAGACCTGCTCGTTGCTACAGATACTGCAAGAACAAGGTCAGTAGACAATCCCCGGTATATTTGTGATCATAAAAAACTGACTGGGTGCAGCCCTACCCGAAATCTCGATTCAACCGTGGTGTCCCCGACCCCAAAATTCGAATTTTCGATCTCGGACGAAAGCGTGCCAATGTCGACGAGTTCCCTCTCTGCGTGCACATGGTCTCCAATGAGTACGAACAGTTGAGCTCTGAAGCTCTCGAAGCCGCGCGTATCTGCGCCAACAAGTATGTTTCATAAATCTAGAATGGGAGAAGGATCGCCATCTAACAAACTATTCAGGTACCTCGTCAAGATTGCCGGCAAGGAAGGTTTCCACATGCGTGTTCGCGCCCACCCATTCCACGTTGTCCGTATCAACAAGATGTTGTCTTGCGCTGGTGCCGATAGACTGCAAACCGGAATGAGAGGTGCTTGGGGAAAGCCTCAGGGTACCGTCGCCCGTGTGAACATTGGTCAGATCCTCCTGTCAGTCCGAACCCGAGACGCCCACCGTGCCACCGCCATCGAGGCTCTTCGACGATCCATGTACAAGTTCCCTGGCCGCCAAAAGATCATTGTCAGCAAGAACTGGGGTTTCACTCCCCTCCGCCGCGAGGAGTACATCAAGCTCAAGCAGGAGGGTCGACTTCTCCAGGATGGAGCCTACGTTCAATTCCACCGCAGCCGTGGCGCCATCGAGCAGAACATCAAGCGATTCCCCGGTGCTTACGAAGTTGCTAGCGAGGCATAGATGGACGGTGATTCGGCGTGCAATTGGGATGAAGGCATGATGTATTTCTAAGTGGATAGCTGAATCCAGCTAGATTCGCGAGAAATGAATCAATGATTGATGCCAACTCCGGTATCCTACATTAGGTTCTCCAAATGAAGAACGCAAAGTTTGACTCGAATCCACCACACATCAGTTTGTGCTACAAGCACGGCTTCCTCTAAACCATCATGTCCATATTTGCTCATGTTGAAGCTAAGTCCCCACCGGTACGTGGTCATGGGCGAAAATGGACGAGAATGAACACACGTCGCCCCTCGGTGATATGTGCTGGGCTAGATACCTCATAATGTCATGGCAAGCATCGAGTCTATGCAGAAGTGTATGGCATCATCTCGTAGGCGATCGTGATGGTGGTAGATTTCGTGCCAGTGGAACTCGTTTCGAGTTTCTGAGCTAATGGAGTCGCCTCTTGTCCGGATTGTCCTTCAACTTCATGACTATTCCCTCGTAGAAGATTCACAGTGTGAGGCAAACGAGTCTTAATAATACGGAGGACATGGAACATTCAAGCGAAAGGCGCGACAGGGGGGATGATTATGCCATTTAGATAAGAAATGGCGCTTGGCTCTGTAGCTAAAATAAGGCCGTGAAAGGGCAACAACTTATTACAAAGTACCAGGACACAAGTACCTGCTGTAGCTAGGTAATCAGCAGATAATCCTTTGTACGCCCAGTGGGTAATAATTAGGCCAGCGAGACAGGCTCGTCAGGAGATTTGCATTGCAGCGTCATGCAGCACGTCTTCGCCTGCGGACTGGAGGCATCGTTGATCGTCTTCCGGGGCCAAGGATGGCAGGGAGGCCAGTGAGAGATTCTCCGTGACGAAAGGATGCCAGGTTCGCCCTGTTCCAGCTTCCCAGATTCACCCGGACCGTGCATTATCGCCCGATTGATTACATGCAAAGCGATGACTCGGTCACCACCAACAATTCAAAGCCAGCCCATCCATCCATCCATCCATCCATCCAACGCATAGACACCTAGACTCCTGTCACTCAACCCCCGTTCAACATTGATTAATATCCTCTCTCACTCTCTCTCTTTCATTCTATCAGCCGTGACATCCGCGTTTTCGGATGTCCCTATGTCTCTGCGATCGCTCCGAACTATAACTTAAACTTCGACTCTATCATCCCCACCGCATCTTGTGACTCTCTTGTCCAAGCTCATCACTCAGACTGCCTTGCGCAGCCTATATCGGAGCAGGCCCTTCACGCTTGGTCAACCTCGCGAACTTTGGCAGTGTCGATAGGACACAAAGACCACACAACAAAGAACCTCCTCCTCCTCCGCCGCCGCCGCTCTGCCTCGCTGATTCTCGCGAGTATAAAGACCGCCGTAATTATCGTGCCCCTATAGCACGACCAACCCGTACAACTGCGGGTTGGAGATAATGGCCTTCCAGCAGTCCGCCGCCCCTCGACCCATTGTCGTCAATCATGCTCAATCACCAGAATCATCATCATATCATTCCCAGGCACGAGCCACAGTCGAGGACTCACAAGAATGGATCCTCTTCACTCCGTCCGTTGCCGACTCAACCATCACCCGAACCCATACCACCCAGACAGCTGGTCTGTCCAGGGCAAGCGATGTGTCATTGAATACAGCAGGAAGGTCGGGCAGACTTGAGGCTTCAGTATTTGAAGAGGATGTCACAGAAGATGGTGAGCTCGATAGCCTGGACGATGGGCTACATGCGTTCCGGGAACCACCACTATACCCCACTATCTCCCAACAGACTCAAGGCGCAGTCCTACCGACCCATGATGGACTGGGAACTTTTCCAGCCTCTAGCCCCCCGGTCCTAGAACAGCTATGGCAACATGAAGCATTCAACTCGAAACGAAAGCATGATGGCCATCATCGCCGGCCATCAAGTGTACAAAGAAGACTCGACACTATCGACGAGATCGAACAACAAGCCAGTGAAGAGAAACGCATGCGAATTGAGAGATGGCGCATGGAGCAAAGTCAGGCTCTGATGGAAGAGGTAGAGCGAGAAACCCGTCGACGATTACGACGGGGATCTCGGCACTCCACTTATCAAGACAGTCATGCCTCGATTCACGATGATATCCTTGGGTCAACGCCTAGGCAAAGTGATTATCTGTCGAAACCTGAGGATGAAAGCGAAGAATCCGAACCTTTCTGGAGGCGCATCACGAGAAAGTTCATCCGGGATGTGATCGGTATCGATGAGCCACTGCTATCTGTCATCTTCGGAGAATCTCTCCCGGAAGATGTTGAGAATGTACCATCATCCAGCGGAATTCTGCCTACCATTCCCGAGCAAATACCAGATGTCCTCAGCGCCGAGGATTACACTTGGAGAGACAAGCTACTACAACGAATTGCTCGAGAGCTGGGTGTGTTCGTGCACCAAATCTCCCCACAGCCGGGACCCCTTACCACCTATTCTCGCAGTCCTGACTATGCTGGCATGCCTGTAACTGTACCCCAATCAAAACCTCGAGGAGCCGCAAGCCGTCGCCCAGAACCTCAAATCAAGGACACAATGACATCGGTCTTGACTCCCAACTTCCCACCGACTGTTCAGGATCCTGCTCATGCTGAGATCTGGGGATTCGAAGAGGAACCGGCATCCAACTCTTCTCCACCTGACTCAACAACCAATTTACAACGAGAGCGAGAGTATTGGGAACGCGAGCTTGATTTGAAGATGGTGTTCAGGTATCTACGAGACAAGTTTGCCACGCGACCAACTACCCAGTCACCACTACCATCTCAACAAAGGGTGGATGATGCGGCTACCAGAACCGCCATCATTCGTCAGCACCACCCACTTGTTGCTAGGGCACAACGGTCTCCTGTCCGCTTACGGCGAGAGTCACGAACCAGTGTGAGACGACCGACTAGCAGCTGTGCAAGTGAAAGTGTTCGAAGTAGTCGAAGAGCGTCGCTGGTGAAAAGTGGCTCGAGCCGTAATTATTGGGATATTGGTGGAAGTGTCGGCAGTGGGAGTATCTGGGCCAGTGGCGGCGGTTGGGGTGAGGTGTAATGTTCTAGCGTGCGACGGGCAATGGCTACACTACCTTATAGAAGGGGTTTTCGTGGGTTTTCATGTCTCTGTGAGAGGGATGACTTGTACGAATATATGTTGACGACTTACACTGGGTGTTTCACGGCTGATCATGGGCATTTATTGGAAACGACACCTGAGGGAATTGCATCGGAATCCCCAGGCTCAGGATAAGAATATATCAACAACCTACTCTGGACGATTTACAATGACTAGGCAACCGCACATGGTTTTCTGCTCTTTATTGCGGATCGTACTCGTATCGTGTCTGCCTTGAGAGATCGTCTTCTCGTCTTCCTTCTCACTGCCTGTGACGGCTTGTGAACAAGCATCAACCTTGGAGTTGCCACCTTCACGAGTGACTGCCAAATGACGTAGAAGCGCTGTCAGGTCACATGATATATTTCCAACTCTCTGATTGGTCTGTCTGTGGTGGGGTCTCCTTTTCGCCTCTAACTTTGCCTTTGTTTACTTTTGCACTTTAGCCCGACGTAAAGAAGTGAACCATCATCCGCCTCCACTGTTGTTCTGTTTCCTCTTCTATCCAAGTCTGTTGCGGTTGCGCAAGATCTTTGCTAAAGTTTTTCCAAGTGTAACCGGCCGCAGCGTTGCAGACCACAGGTCGTCGCCGTCATGGCCGAAGACAACGAACTCTATTATCTCCAACCTGGATTTGACCTCAGCACCCTCACGATCCCAAAGCTGCGGTCCATCCTCGTAAATCACGACATTCCATACTCATCCGCGGCTAAGAAGGGTCAGCTGTTGGAAACAATCGAACAAGAACTTTTGCCGAAAGCTTCCAAGTTGCTAAAGGCGCAGGCCAGAGTTCGTCGCACGAGCAAAGGCATCACGGATGTTCCCAGTGGCCAGGAAAGTACCATAGACGACGATAATGAAGGCGACAAACAGTTGATGCCACCTCCGAAGACGCCACGAAGCAGGAAGAGTAGATCAGACTTGGCCACTGAACATACTGACTCCGCACCATCGACCTCCCGCCGCCGCACGAAGACTCCAAGCCGACGGAGCACGACCCGAACACCAAGGGCCTCCGACACAGAACCAGAAGTCGAAAGAACAGCACGCAAATCTCGCAAAAGTATACCGCAGCCGATCCTTCCACCGGCCGTGAAGATTGAAGAGCCCGATGCCCGGTTGAAGCGAGAGTCGTTAGAAGCCGGAACCAGTCCGTTTTCAGATGAAAATCCCTTCCAGTCTGGCTCCAGTCCTCCATCCGGCGCAGACCGACGAAAATCTGCTTCTCGATCACGCAAGTCCCTGACCGCGACGAGCACAAAGAAGAGTCCTACCAAGCGTCGAGAAACGCGATCGCCACCGATCAAATCTGAAGACGCCGAGCCGTCCCGGGCATCTTATTCCTTCCCAGTATCAAGAATCACGTCAGACGAGCAAGAAGACGGAGTTCAGATCACGGAGGAGTTCACAGCCGACGCCGCTCGTGAGCTGGCCGAAGAAGAGAGGAATGGACAGGTTGTACCGAGTAGACCGTCGGCGCTGGTGCGGCGGAAGAAACAAAAGCCAACGAGTACAGTCGCCAAAACTGCGCCGTGGGCGGTGATGACCACCGTCCTGGCGGCACTCGCAGGCTGGTACAGACAGGAAAAGATTAATGTTGGCTATTGTGGAGTTGGAGAGCCTCACTGGTCGTTGGCTCAGAATCCACACATCCCTGCTTGGGTGCACCAGAATCTTGAACCGACATGTGAGCCATGTCCACAACATGCAATCTGCTATCCAGACATGGAAGTGCAGTGTGAGACGGATTTTGTTCTTCAGCCGCACCCTTTGAGTGTCAATGGACTTGTTCCTCTTCCGCCGACGTGCGAACCGGACAGCGAGAAGCAGAGACGAATCAAGGCTGTAGCAGATAGGGCCGTTGAAGACCTCCGGGAAAGACGGGCAGCATATGAATGTGGAGACACGGTCAGCAAGGCGGATGAAGCGGCTTCAAGTGCCACAGCCAACGCTCAGGCAGTTGCGAAATCTACGGCTCCTAAGCTCGAAGTGACGGAAGAAGATCTCAAGAAGTCTGTCTCAAAGCTCAGAAGAAAAGGCATGACGGAGCAAGAATTCGAAGATCTGTGGCGTGGAGCCTTGGGAGACATAATGGGTCGCGACGAAGTTGAGGTCAAGCACGATAAGTAAGTCATGTTTTCCTCTTGCTTTGCAAACAGCACGACATCGGACGTGTCTCCTCTTTTCTCACCTCATGCGAATCGCTGACTGACCAAGTGTCGCTACTTCTGTATCTGCAGATCCGGACGACTTGTCCTCTCAAGTACTTCCCTCGCCCGACTCCCCTTCGGATGCGCCGTCCGACGATCTCTGGTCCGGACGATTTCGCAAAATCGAATCCCTCTTGGAGTTTTGACGGGGATCATTGTGGCTTTGTTTTATGGACGAAATAAGATCATGGCGTACCAACGCGCCACGGCACAAATTCCGGGCCTGGTGGGCACGACTCTCGATAGGCTCGCGACGCAGGCGGCCTTGTACCACGACCAACGCACTCCAGAGGCGTTCATTAGCGTTGGACAGCTTCGAGATGATGTGTTGAGGCACGTGTTCAGCGCGAGTGAGAGGGAGAGAGTGTGGCAGAACGTCCGCAAAATCGTGGAAAGCAATTCGAACGTCCGAGCTGCGACAAGAGAAGGTGGGAAGACGGGAGAGTGGTCTCGAGTCTGGGAGTGGATTGGACCCGTGGACCTGGCGCCTGGGTTGGAAGGGAGAAGGAGTGGCGGGGGAGGGTTGATTGAAGCATCATCGTCGACTAGGAGAGCCGAGGGTGGTGTTGAAGAAGTATCGCGGACCCAGACTCCGGATCGATCGAATGTGGAAGTGAGACGATGGGATGAAGGACGTCCGATCTATTGATGTGTTTTGGATTTTGAAGAGACCACAGAACGTGTTTTATTTCGAGAGCTTTTAGGATGCACTCAGCTGTGTCTCGAGTGTGCGGATGAATGGCGCTTGCCATGGTGTCCGGGTTTCTCTTTTTTTCTCTACGCCTGTTTGTGTTTGTATTCGACACTCGGGCATGATGGAAAGCCACGGCGATATTTGCTTGGGCCACGACGCAAAGGCGTGGTCATCTTGTTTTCTCTTTCCTTTTTTGACTGCTCTCTTTCAAGTCTCCAGTGGCGGATCTGGATGGTTGACGAACATCACAGGCAGTGTTAACCCTGTTTTCCCATGTTTTTGTTCTTTCTTTGATCTCGGCTTTTTCCCGCGTGAGAATTGAAAAAGGCCAGTCAGACCGATATGGATGTATCGTTTCGGTTTGACTCTGTATCATAGGGAGCACGGACTACGACACGACTATGAGCATGACTCGAGGATGGTCTATCGGAATAGCTTGACGGTGTGGTTTCGGCTTACGGACACCCGATGCCGGAATCAGAATGAATGAGTTTTATTTATCGACGAGGACTGTGAAGCACACGACAAAAGAAAAGTAATATGTTACAAAATGAAGACTTTAGGCGATTACATTCTGTTATGGCGAAGGCACGAACTGTATCTCGACGATCGTGTCGTTCGTGTATGAAAGCACGTAGATAAATCATCTGTAGGTAGTATTGATGTTGGTTTCTCATCGTCTCCCGTGAAGCGCTGTCTCTCATGGAACATTGAAATGGCTAGGTAGAAGTGTAGAAGTACAAGTATAAACCATTCATCTGTTCGGCCCAGTACTTTCAGTACTCTTGTGTGTGTGTTTGGGGGGGGGGGGGGCGTGGGTGTGATATGCCTTGTCTAGTGAACCTCACTGGATACGAAAATCCCTGGTAGGACGAAATTAACGAAAGAACAAGGATGATCCCTTGCCCATATCCCATGTTCCCGTCCCATGACCGTTCCTTCAGCCTTACAGCCTACAGCTCACGAGCCTACGAGCCTACGGAGTACGAACCACGCAATCAGGCAATCCGGTCTCTCAGCCATCAGCCATCAGCCATCAGCCATCATGTGATGATCTGGACAAGCCACCCCTGCGCTTCCTGTTTGACGGGACCATGAAACAGGTTTTTGGGCTCTGGATCAAAAACACAAGAGAGGTGAACCCCATACACACGTGTTACGAGTGAAGAGGAACATGATGGACAGGGAGGGGCTCCCCGTTTCTCGTACAGTACAATAGCACCGTAGCGTCCGAGGTTTCACAACCAAGGCTGAAACAAGTTTTGAAGAAGCGTCGGCCAGGATCGTTCATGTCGAGTACTCCGTGTGCAGACGACGAGTATCTTATTCATGTCCTCGGAGGCACTGCGTATCCCATCCGAAAAAGCAACACATCCACACAAAGTCAAATAAATGCAACCTCTCGAAATGGCGACAACCGACCCGCGTGATCCTCCTGGGTTACGATGGCTCGAAACACTCATTCCGGGTGTATACTTTATATCGGGGTTTGGGAGTCTAATCACATTCACGTCGACGGTTGGAATTGTAAGGAGACTTTTGTCCTTTCTTTTTCTCCTCCCCCATCATCCATACCTGCCTGACCTTTAGCCAGCCGGCAACCCACCTTGAGTGAGTCCTGCTGACCGACTTCTTCTGAATGTCAGTTCGGATCCCCCAAACATTACTACTCCGAGATTCAAGTCTTCATCGCCCTGTCATGGCTATTCTTCACGCTTTCATTGGCCCTCGCGACCTTGACGTCCATGGCTTTGACGTTTCAGCGGGACCACGTCCGTGACGCCTTCTCGCGCGGCTACAAGGGATGGCGTGGCGGTGCCGGGAGCCGGACCGCGGGAGAGAGGAGTGTCGTGTTCGGGATTGTCGTGCTGGGTTCCGGAATGTGGTTGATGCTGCTCGTCTGCTTGGCCTTTGTGTTTTTGAGCCTGAGCGTGGCAGCTTATTGCCTCGCTGTGGGTTGGATCAGTTTCGTGGTGTGTCTCGGCATGATGATTTGCACTGTGTTGTTTTGGATCTTGATGGGTCAGAGAGATTGAAACCAGAGAGAGAAACGAACGCGCCGAAGAATATGAGGAAATGTACATTGACGAGAGTGAGACCGAGGATGAAAAAAATGAAAGTGATGACTTGGGGTGGTGTTGGAATGGATCGAGTTCAATCAACTGCACGAGACGACTTGTTGTGGTGTTGCCGCGTACGGCGCCGCTTGGGCTTGATTTTTGTACTTGTTTGAGATACCCGTGTGCTCTTTCTTTCAAGCACATTCATATTGAGGCTGGAAAGGCCTTTGCTTATGTTCCATTGAAGTGACCATTGTTTGGAGATGCCTTGACTCATGTGATACCCTTTTGCAATCGCAATTCCAACGCGCTTCGACTTTCCACGTCTGAGCTTACACTGGCTCAGAAGTTTTCGCATACATCGCACAAGTTTTCTAGGAATATCCTTTAGATGGGAGATCTCGGTAGTAATGAAGAGACATGACGATGCTTAGTTTACGTCCTTGTTGATTCCCGCAAGGTGTAGAGGAAATCCGGGATATGGTCACGTGGTCTGCATTGTTAAGACTTCGCAAATCCGCTTGGACGGCAACAAACCTCCATCCCCAAGATCTGTGCAGGGCAGCGCGAACTCACCAACGCGACAACCCCTGTCTCAATAACTGAATCACTGTGGTCACGGTCACTTTGTACACAGAAATACGCGTTCGGGCTGCACATTTCCTTGCGCGATCCTGGGCCCTTTGGTTTTGGCATCCCTCAGACCCTCCCTTCGATGAGCTCAATCCGAGCCCATCATGGCAAATGTCTTCGATGACCAGGGAGATACGGGTTTCCGTCGAAGAAGACCAAGACCCATCACCGACTACGGTTCGTCCATAATCCAATGGATGCACAATCGGAAACCGCCGTACCGAGGAAGCTATCACTATGAACAAGAACGACCTAGTCTCAGCTATGTTCTCGACATATTACCTCCTCCAGCGAAACGAGATTCACCAGCCGAATCAATCCCCGTACGTCACTTACACACCTCGTTGGGGAAATCGAAGAAACCTGTCACCGTGGTGAGGTGGATGCCCGAAGGTCGTCGACTTTTGGCTGGCGTCCACAACGGCGAATTCATGCTCTGGAATGGCATGTCTTTCAACTTCGAAACCGTCACAGCAATGGGATCGAGTTCACTCCGAGCGGCAGAATGGTCCAACCGCAAAGATTGGCTGGTTGCCGCCAACGACGAAGGCACAGTCTACTACCTCCAAGCCACACTTAACAACCCGCACCAGTTCAAGGGCCACGATGCTCCCATACGCGACATCGCCTTCGCGCCCGGCGACACCAAATTCGTAACCGCGTCCGACGACAACACCTGCAAGATCTGGGACTTCACCTCTTCCGCCGTGGAATCCGTCTTTAAAGACCATGGCTGGGACGTCAAAGCATGCGACTGGCACCCGACCAAGGCCCTCATCGTGTCCGGCAGTAAAGACCACAGCGTTCGGTTGTGGGATCCTCGCACGTCACGCAGCCTCACCACACTTCACGGGCACAAAAATGCACTCACCGCAACAGTCTTCAGTCGTCTCCGCGACCAACTCCTCGCTTCGTCCAGTCGAGACGGGCAGACGCGCATCTTCGACCTCCGCATGATGCGCGATGTCGCCATCCTCCGAGGCCATGAGAAGGGCGTGACCAGCGTATCCTGGCACCCCATCCACCCCAGCCTCATCAGCACTGGTGGCGACGAGGGTTCTCTCCACACGTATCTCCTCACCGAGCCAAACACACCACAGGGTGTTTCCTCTACTGTCATCTCTCCATACACATCGTCCGACCAGCGTTCTGTGCCTGCCCAGTCAATCTACCCTGCCCACCGCATCCCACACGCTCACGATTCTTCTATCTGGTCCCTCGACTGGCACCCGTTGGGCCACATCCTCGCAACAGGCTCCAACGACCACTTTACGCGGTTCTGGTCCCGCGCCCAGCCGGGCGAAACGACCTGTTTCAAAGATAAATTCCACCTGGGCGAAGAAGGAGCCGAAGCCCAAGGCACATGGGACCGTAAATTCGGCCAGCGCCAAGCAAAGGAGCAGGAAGAGCAAGAAGCCGAAGACGAAGCAGAGGGTCTCGAAGACCAAGCTGTCTCCGGCACCCAATCTGCCGCCGCGGGCTTTTCTATCCCGGGTTTACCTGGTCTGGGAGCGCTCGGCAACGGGTCAACACCGTCTCTGCCAGGTATTGGTGCCACCAACATTCCTCCTCCGCCCATCAACCTCCTTCCAGGTCTACCGAATCAACTTGGGGTTGCACCACATGGTCACCCCATCCCTCAGATCCCAGGTGTCGACGCCAGTTCTCTTCAACGCTTACTAGCCATGTCTCAACAGCAACAACCTCCTGCTTCCTTTCAACAATCACAGCAACAACCTCCGCCGCCGCCGCCGCCACCGCCACCCGGTCTGGGTATGGGTATGGGAATGTCCATGTCCCAACAGCAACAACAACCACCGGCAATTGACTTCTCACAACTGAACCTCCCACTGGGCTTTCCCCCACCGCCACCTCCACCCGGACAATTACCTCCTGGTCTTTCTGGTCTAGGAGGGACTCCGCCCATATCCATCTCTGGCATCCCGGGTCTCGGCGGTGGTGGTCCTCCCGCGTTGTCTCACCAGGGCGGTGGAGGAAATGGAACCAATTCCAGCACGCCGGGTAATGCTGACGGCGTTCGTAGACGAGCTCCTTTACCCAGCCAGCGTGATGGATTCAAGGCAGAGCAGGCGAGAGGGAATTACCGTGTAGCCAGATAAGGAGGAAGCTATCCAAGATGGGTAGGTGGCGTTGTGTGTAGCTGCTTGCCCTAATAAGAATATGGACCGTCTATCTCCATTTCCATTTGCACGGGTCTGATGGTTTGTATTGTTAGTATGCTTTGTGTGTGTGTGTGTGTGTGGTGCGCGTGAGATTTCAGTCAAGGCCTGTATTTCTAGTATTTCTATTTCAAGGTGTCTGTCTACATTAGCAGCTACGTACGTGCTCAGCCAGCATCTATTTCGAAGATTTGTAACTCTTCTGTACTGACGTACGTGGTCGGCCAACATCTACATCTACTACGTCCATTTTCTATACCACGGTCTCTCGCCCCCTGTCTATCCCGTACATCCTTTGCCTCATCCTAAAAATTAAATGAAAACCTGGGACGAAAACTATGAGTGCAAGCAAACAAGCAAGCAAGCAAGCATCAGGGCCCCGTCGGTTGGTTGACTGGCTGGCTGGCTTGCGAGACGAAAGAAATCAACATGCGTCTCAACAACGATAGTGGAAGAAAAACAGCCAGCGCCAGACACCTCCCTCATCATCTAAAAGGTATATATATTCTGACATGGGGGAAAAAGGAAAAGAAAGGGTATCTTCTTGCTCTCGTTTTTGTCACTAGTCTCGCCCTTCACGTATCTACCATTCTCGTATCATCGTCGTCAACTCCATTCATACCATCTCTCACACCATCACCATCGCCATCCATCTCGATACCCATATTCGGATCCATCTCGTCATCCCCTCTCGTCTTATGGCCTTCATCCCGACGTAGGTCGTCCTCCTGGAGAGTCCACACCTTGACATCCCTATCCTTCCCACCACTGACCAACAACCCTTTCCCGGCCTTGGTCCTTCCCCAATCCATACAGAGCACGACGTCTCTATGCGCCTTGCCCCTCCAGAGCACCTCTTTACTACTGACTGCCCAAACGACGATTTCTCCGTCTTCACTCCCACTGGCCACGAACGCTTCTTCTTCCCACCCGTTCATGCCCGCGGTTCTGTAACCCCCAACCACCCCGCCCAGAGTGTACTCGGCATTGACGTGGCCCTGGTACGTCTTGACACACGTTCCCTCGCTGTACCTCCACAGCCTCACGCAGCTGTCGAGGGTCCACGCCAGCAAGAACCGGCCGTTGGGCGTGAACCGCACGCTCGACACGCTCTTCCTGTCTTCGTCGACGAGCGTCTTGAGACACTGGCCCGTGCTCGCGTCCCAGATCCGAATCAGCCCATCGGAGCTGCAACTGCACACCATCGTGCCGTCGCGGAGAAAATCGACGCCGCGTACCGGGTCCGAATGCGCCGGCAACTTCCTCATGACTCGTCCGGCGCGCACATCCCACAAGAACACGGCCTCGTCGTAGCTCCCGCTCACCAGCATGTTACCCTTCGGGCTGAACGCCAGACTGTAAACGTAGTTGCTGTGTCCGAGCAAGGGCGAAGGCGATATCGGAGAGTCCGAGCTCAACGGCGACCACAGCAGGATGCTCTTGTCGTCACTGGCCGAGGCAAGTGTGTAGTGCGGACCTACGGGCGACCAGGCGATCGCATTGACCCCCGCGAGATGGGCACGCAGGGTGCGCAGGTGTTTGAAGGGCGTATCGGGCGTCGGGTTCGCAGGGACAGAGTAGACGTGGATCGCACTGTCGGCGGAAGCGGTGGCCAAGAGTGCCATGTCTGGTGAGAATCTCATCGACGTAATGCCTCGGGCGTGTGCTCGTGGAATCGTCAGAAGCGGGGAGAAAGTTACAGGCTTCGACTTTGGTTGGTCTTCGCTGCGCCGGGCAGGGGGAGACGCGGAGCGTGGAGAGTACGAGCGTTCGCGGGAGGACGACGAATATGACCGACGGCGACGTGAGCGGGATCTGGGGGACCTCGACGAGCGTCTGTGTCCGTCGGGGTGTTCTCGTGCCGAATCGTATGCGGAACTGCCTGTTGGGCTGCGGCTGGTTCGGGGTCTTGCAGATCGGCTTCGTGAACGTCGACTGCGAGGCGACATGTCGCGACTCCCATCTCGGCTTCGGGAGCTAGAGTATCGTCTTTCTCTTTTTCTGGAGTTGGAGTTCTCTCGTGAACGTACCGAGTCTGTATGCCGCAGAGCTTGACGGTGCGACCGGCGAGATGAGGACGAATCGGCGCTGGAGGTCCGACGTCGCTTCGTCGGAGGATATCGATCTTGGTCCATTGTGAGGTGCAAGGCAGGCTCGATTCAAGTCGAGGCAGGGAAAGGAGCCGTTTGTGTCTGTGTGCAATTCGCAGTCTTCCACCTGTTCAGAAAGTCGAAGACGGTGCAAACATGGAAAACACGGTAGACGCGCCAAGTGCAAGGCTGAGCTATTCTAAACCGGGCACGCGAGGCTGACGGATCGAGGCATGCTGTTGCAACAGAAATATATAATTGTCAATCTCCTCCGTTTACCATTCTCGTCCTCGAGCCGAAATTGTTCGCTACCCAGAGTGCATCTACCTAGAGCGCCCTCGAAATGCCTATCCTGGAATTCTCTCCACTCCTCATATACTGTTCTAGGATCCCTACAACTGTGGGCCGGCCCAGTACATACATCGATCGACAAGACAAATCCTCCCTTCGCTCCAAGGTGTCAGAAGACAATGTCTCACTCTTTGCCCTTTTCAACTTCGCTCGATTGAGTCAACATATCGACCACCTCCACTCCGGCTGTGATTGTTGTTCCGGAGATGCCAGCACCACTGTCAATTCTACGTGACAAACGCGCTGTTGCCAGCCGTTCCCCAGAGGCAGCCGAAGAACCATCGATGGATATTGCAACATCATGCTTTTCAGGTGTTATCTCAACTGTCTCGTCTGTCTCATCGGGGTATGGCTTTCTTGTCTTATTGGCATGCTCCGCAAGAATACTTGTGAGTCGCTCATCGTACTTCCAGTCGCGTATTTTGTCTCGAATGATGATGCGCCGTTTGTCCCTGGCATCTGGACCGGTTTGAAAACGTGTCTGCCTCCAGTTCGTGCCTTGTCGAGGCAGAGCCGACGTACGGTGCGGTTGGTGCCTGCCTTCAAAGAGATCAATTGGCTCGACTTTGGAGTCGGCTTCGGTAATCCACGCTTTCCACGCCCCATTCACTGGAGCGATCGCTGTCGCCTCATTGAGCCATTGCGCGGTTCCCGTCAATACGATGGCTGTCCACAGTGCTGCTGTGAAAGTCCTCGCTCCAATCTCGGGGTCCACGAATGTGCGGGAAATTCTGGCCGGTTCGACCAGGCCCCATGACCTTTGGAAATGATGCCAGTCATGGCGAAGCTGTCGAACCGACCTTTTGACAACGCCTTTGTAGTCCAGTGCCTTGTCGTGAGGTCCGGGCAGCGGCGCGATATCGAGGACGCGAGTCTGATAAGCATGCTTCCAGTGGAATCTGCAGGGATTCAACGCAGAGACACCCCAGTAGAGCACGTTGAGCAGTACGTAAGCAGCCGTAAACGATACTTGCAGTTTGTTGGAAGCATTCGCGAGGGATACTACTCCTGCTATGAGCATGATGGTCGAGAACAGCGCAAGTGTCCTATAAGGCGTATCTGTCCGTCTGCATCAGCTCGGTCGTTAATGCTTCATGGTCTTACAGACCGTCAATCTTATATCTTGCATGCTCTGTCTGAAAGTACAGACGAGCGATCTCCTCATAAGCAGGACGAATGACTCGAATAGCGCCCTTCACTTGAAATCAATCATCATGCAAGAAGGTGTATGCCTCAGATTCCCCATGTTGGGTTTGAATATTGCTCTCTCCACAGAAGTACTTACATTTGGGTAGTATATTAGAACATCCGAACGAGGCATCTTGTTCTCTCGCTCTTTCTTGATCTCTGGTTCTGCGAAAACCAATTCCCAACGTGTACCAAATCCTACCGCACAGCTCACCATCGATAGCATGATTGTTGCGAGCAAAGCGAACCCATCGTGGTAGATCACCGACAGCACAACCAGAGCAATACTCATACTGAACCCAAGCAGCGAGACCCAAAGTAACGGTCCGAATGTTTGCGCGCCGAAGGCATCCTTCGCTTCTTTCCTGCGCGTGACTTCGACCAGCTCGACCTCATACTCTTCAAGCTGTCGCGGGTGGACAAGTTGAGCGAAGAAGTTGATCTCCTTCTTTATATTTCCCGAGTAAGCACCTGCAACTATACCTGGCGCGGTTGGTAGTCGCGATTTGCGCTCATGCTCCAACAATGCTTGAGGGGCTGGCAGGAGACGAGGAATGGCTGACCACCAAGATAGACTAGTTACCTGAGCATTTCTCGTAACCGATGCCTCGCCCAAGACAGCGATGATACCGACGATGTCCAGCTGCAGGTCGTCGAAACTGTCGATCCAGTGCATTGTTGGTCAGATACTGTAGTTCGCAGGTTTTATTGGTGTCAACCTGCCTGGAGGCAAATGGTTGAACTGGGCAAAACGCATGCGTCAGACTGTCATTGTCTACTGTTAGAAAGGTGGGAGGAGAGGAGGGGAAGGAGGACGAGGTAGAATAAGAAAGAACATCATCTTCAGCCTCATCGTCAAGCACAACAGTCGGTAGCGCATGATCTTTACATGGATTTGATGTTACACCATACTGTATGCAGAAGGCCGCATGCAGAAATGGCATTGCACTTTTGCACACCTGCTGGCGCTGATCACGCTGGTGCAAGCTTAACCAATGCCAGTGGATGTGTTGACTAGGCTGGGTTGCTGCTTATCGCCTAGCTGAGTAGATTGCATTCAGCCTGACAAATGAGTGTGGCCTCATGAGCGTTGGCACTAACCCAAGGAGTCGGGGGGTCCATCATCATCGCGTACGATTGTAGGTCTCGTGCCGCCTAGCATGTATAGTCAGTAGTCTGAGGAAGCACAATGAGCATCGAAGGTATCAACGGACGAAAAAGGGGAAAGGATGAGGTGGCACAGAATGGGGCCAAACGCTTCAAATGCGAGAACATGCACACCAAGCTCCATATTCAGAGACTAGAGGCGCCATCTAGCGAACAAATCTTCAGCCTTGTTTTTAAAGCGCAATGTGGCCCATGTCGGGGGCCTGATACTCGCTTGAGCAAGTCGAGCCGGAAGTGGGATTTCGTTCCTTTCGGGAGAGGGGGGAACTCAGGTTGATTGATCGGACTGATTTGCCATATATCTGTTATATGTATGTATATAACGCAACGTCTTTGCAATCTCAATTACCTCTTCGGCATTTCACTCAAGTCTCCGTACTTGGCTTGCCACGAGAAGAAATAAATCATCGCAGCCAGAGGTTGTCCGACGAACACGAAGTTAATCCAGAAAATGCAATTACCAATAACCTTGCCCGTACCATCTTTTTTGGCTAATGGCTCTGTACACATGATGAGTGGCAGCTGGAGAACCATCCCGAGAAATGCCACCCCGAGGATAGAGTGAGCCGGGACACCAACAGCCAATTCATGCAAAAAGCCAGAGAACACAAAGACCCAAGCACTCGCAGCTTGTGATGACCAACCGCGTCCTACCAGCGGTGAGTAAATATGCCGTCGCATGAAGTGATAGACAGGTTTGTTCCAGGTCGACCAATACATCTTCAGGTTTGTGCTGTTCCACCAGTCCTCGTAGAATACCCGGTCTCCAAATCTCATTATTTCAGCCAACGCGTTCAAAAACGACTGGAAAAGAGCGAAGAATCCTGCAAGCCAGACAATAATCGAAATCGTTGACAATTTCATCAGTCGTTCGGCGATGGATGGAAAGTCGAGCGAGACCATTCCACCAAGCGAATTGCGCAGCACAGGTACTGCATATTGTGCGCAGACAAGCCAGATAAAGACGGACAGGGCGATAACCTCACCAACGCGCTTGGCGAGAAACGTCCATCGAATGCTCTCCGTACGAGGGTAGTAAGGCTGGTATACCAATGTCGGTGCCCACCAAAAATAGCACAAATTAGCCAACGTGATATTCTTTGGGTAAGGACATTTGGAGTAGAGCTCTGGTAAGGCCGACTCTGGCCCTCCAGGATGCAGCATTGCGTGTCGCAGGTCCCGGTTGGTGAACGCGTAAGAGCATGTCTTTAACCAGAGGACGATGGCATGCAGCTCGCTGATCATGCCGAGGCCGGGATTCTGGATCTGATAGTATACCACACAGCTCGTGATCAACAGGGCCAAAGAAGCATTGAAAGTGTGGGCTACAGCTATCCACCACCATGTATAGTAGAATTCCTTCTTCTCTTTCTCGGTCTCGGGCTTGCTCTGATCGGGATCATCTTTCTTCCTGCGGCCCACCAGACCTTTCGCATTTTCCATAGCAACCCGTTCGATAAGGTAGGCCACAAATAGGTGGCAAGGGGTCAGCGCATAGAGAGCGAGGGCGGTCTTGATATCCGTATCCCGCAGATTCATCTTGACCGTGATAAGCAAGCCATACTTTTTGGCATTCTCGACCACAAGACGAAGGTTCATGACAATGATGACCAAGACCATCAGGTTGCGGAAGCCGATAAAACTCGGAGTTTCGCTTGTCTCGTGGCTGAGGCATGAAGGTTGGACTTTGGAGTGCAGGGCTGCAACGTGCCGGTACTTGCTGCGGACCTTGGGACGCTTGTCTGAGGTGCCATCGGGAACTTGCACGGGTGCTCGAGGTCCGGCTAGATCATCGGCTGTGATATCTCGAGTCCGTTGAAGAAGCGTTTGTACGTTAGTGGCCATGATAGGCTTATTGGAGGTGTCGTAATATGAAGAAGCGTGATATCATCCACAGTCTCCTACGCGTTGCTGGTGTGTAGACATCAACGGCCGTGGGTGGTGGTCAAGGCTCAACCAATCGACATCTGAAGGGGAGCAGTGTGTAAACAGAGGATTGAGAGTGACATGGCGGGAAATATAGGGAACCCCCGAAGCTCGTGTCTTTTTCTGGGCGGATGGCAAAACGTGGAAAATTGCACACTGCAACATCTCGAGACAGCCCAGACCCTTGTTGTTGTTGTCATCATAATGCGAGCAACAAGCGGAACAACGAGGGACTAGATTTTGGTTTTTGGTGGGGGAGGAGAAGCTGTTGGGGCCATACAATGAACTCGCATGTGAAAGTTTTGAGTACTCGTATCTATACGTCTATACGAGTACGAGTGCGAGATGTTGTCCTACTGTTGTCCTCTGAGATGGTCGAGTCAGGGGGATATCCAGAATGCAGACACTCTCCCCATTACGTCCTGATATGCCAGAGAGAATCAGAGTGGCTTGAGCTGGGAGTCTTTTCTGTATTCGTGCGACCTTGCTAACACATTTTCCAATGGGTGCGTTGTACCGCAATATACATGATTCGTGCCGCTCTCAAGTCTCGATAGTCCTTTTGTCCCAGTGCACGTCGTATACCATTGTCCTCTGTAACACTGTTTATTGCTCGGGCTTCTCCTCGATAGCCTTTTTAACAGTTTCTTGAGCCTTGCTGCCCTGGATTTCATCATCGGCTTCAACACCGTCTGCCTCTTCCAATTCGACTTCAATTTCGTCACGCTCATTTGGCGGTCCTTTGTGCTCTGCACCAATTGCCAAATTATCAATGTCGCTTCGTGGTGCTTCTCCTCCACTCATCTGCCACTCCATTAGCTTGGTGAAAGCGCCGTCAGGGCGACTGCTCAGGTCTTTATAAGAGCCCATCTCAGCCACGCGACCGTCGCTACCCAAACAAATGATAGTGTCGGAGCGCTTGATCGTGGAAAGACGATGAGCAATGGAGATGGTTGTGTTGCTTCCTTTGAGTAGGGAAGCTAATGCTTCATTGACTAGAGTTTCGGACTCAGCGTCAAGGGCAGATGTAGCTTCGTCGAGGATTAGAATATCCGGTTGCTTTACCAGGGCTCGAGCAATAGCAATACGTTGCTTCTGTCCTCCGGAAAGTTGCGTCCCACGGGCGCCAACAAAGGTATCCAACCCATCAGGAAAGTCGCTGATGAACTGGCAGTTCGCTCTTCTCGCGGCTCGCATTATCTCAGCTCTAGTGGCATGTGGTCTACCATATGCGATATTTTCTGCGATTGTCCCAGAAAACAAAACTGGCTCCTGCGAAACAATACCAATCTTTCTCCTAAGTGACTTGACGTTCAGTGTCGAAATGTCCTTGCCATCAATTAAAATACGTCCCTCTGATGGGGTATAGAATCGCAGGATCAGAGACGCGATCGTACTCTTGCCACCACCTGAAGGCCCGACAATGGCCACATTAGATCCTTGCGGGATCTCAAAGTCAAGATTCTGGAAGATCTTGACGGCAGGTCGCGTGGGATAACTGAAGGTGAGATTCTCAAATCTGATGGGACCTCGTGCAGAGACGACCTTGGTACCTTTAGTTGGCGAAATGGTTGGTTCCCTGTCTTGCAGCTCAAACAGTCGGGACGCAGCACCGACGCCCTTCATCAATTCGGAATAGAACGAAGAAAGCCCAAACATAGATGACCCGGCATAGGCCGTATACATGAGGAAAGAGGTGAGCTCACCAATGCTGATCGTGCCGTTGGAAACCATCCCACCGCCCACATAGAGCAGACTCAGAATAGTCATGTTGCCCATGAAACCGGTGGTGGAAAAGAAGGTAGCGCTGATCAAGGACTCTTTCTTTCCCAACTCGAATATTTTGCGAACCTGTGTGTTGTAGCGGTGGACTTCGAGAATTTCACCGGCAAATGCTTGTGACGTTCGGACATTGCCCAGCCTCTCTTCTGCAATTTTTGTCAATGTGCCTAGATTTTTCTGTATCTTGCGGCTGAGATTTCGTATCGCTCTGCCATAGAAAAATGCGGCCATTGCTACTGGAGGGAAGAGCAAGGCCAATATGCCTGTCAATTTCAGAGATACCCAGGCCATGAGACCAAAGCCAGCTGCACCGCTGACGAATGCACGCAGGCCATCAGACAAGTTCTGAGTGATAGACTTGCCCACGATAATGGTGTCGGAACTGAGTCTCGAGATCAAATCTCCCACTCGGTTTGCGTCGAAGAATTCCGCATTCTGCACATACGTTTGGCGAAAGAGTTTCGAACGGAGGCGAGCGACGATCCGCTCACCCACAATTCGCAGAATGATGATACGACCGTAGTTGGCTGCTGCGCCAGTCGCAAGCACGGCAACCAGGCCGGTGTAGAAAGTGGTCAGGCTCAACCCAAAGAGCATGTCCGACTTCTCTTCAGCTTCTGGACCCTCTGTTTTGGCACCTCCTTTTGTAGCAATATCCATAATCTTACCAATCGAAAACGGTATCGACATGGTGATACCTGATGAAATCAGCAAGAGAACAAATGCCCACACCAGCACTTTGGCCTCTGGCCGAGCAATCTTGATCAATCGCCAAACTTCACCAAAACCAGCGTTCTTGACGGTGCTTCCCTCTTTCGACAGTCTCGCGCTCAAGTTGACGTGCGAGGCTTGGGCTGCCTTTTCAGACTTCTCAAAAGCCTCCTCTTCGTCGGCGTCATCATTGACCTTCGACCTAGACTGGTCTCGGATCACAGGAGTAGGACTTTCCCAGAATGCAGGAGACCTTGAAAAATATCTGACCTGCGTTGCGATACCCAGGAAGGCGGGTGACGTGACCGATTTCGGCGCTGGGGCGCCATTAAACAGGATTGAGGTCCGCTGGACATAGTGGGCGTTTTCGAGCCGCCTTGTTTTCGCAGATATATGAGAACCGCGCCATGTTATCCGCGAGTGCCTAGGAGCTGAGTTATAGAGAGAGAATAGGATTTTCTGGTCTAGCTGGCGCAATTTTGGACCATGGTGTTGAAATGGACTGAAGGGTGGCAGCAGCGAGCTGCGCATTAGGTGCATGGCCAAAACTGGAGCTGGTGGGACTGGTTCAACGAGATATAAGTGCCTCCATCGTCCTCTGCATATTCGGTAGCGGACTTAGGAGAGGTAGGACAGGCGCATAGATGCGTCTACAAGATGTAGCAGAAGGACTGTGAGAAGAGGAGAGAAGGCGCCTGCCGTTGACTCGGCTTTAACTGTTTAGTGACGATTGGGATACCGATTGCGGCCGAGATGGAGCCCCGAGCAATTTGTCGACTCGGGGCCAAGGCCAACGAGCTTTCGGGCGCCGCTGGGAGCTGGGTGGGAGTTACGGCTCCTAAAAGCTAAGTTAGTGCCCGCGCAATGAGGTAATGTATTTGGTGCAGAATGCGAGTATTGCAATGGGCCCTGCACTCGCCAAAGCCTCGAGGCCCCCGCGCTCTGCAATCAGCCTCATTCCACCCACAATCCATAACCACTCAAGCAATCACAGCTGCTTCTAGAAACATCCTTTTCAAGGCCCAACCGCAACACTTCACACTGTTGGTCACAATTCTCCCATGAACGACTAATAAACTAGGTCCTCGACGTTTCCTTGTCTCGTTTCCGCCCACGCTCTGTCGGAGACATACCCTTCTTCACTATGCCTATATCCTATGATAAATGGGACAAGCTCGAAGTCTCAGATGACTCTGATGTTGAAGTGCACCCAAACGTCGATACCAAGAGTTTTATTCGAGCGAAGCAACGGCAGATTCACGAGCAACGTGCCCAACGGAAGCTTGAAATCGAAACCCTCAAGTACGAACGAGTTATCAATGATGGACTATTGGAAAGAATCAATGCTCTACTAGACGCCCTCAAAAGACATCAAGCAGAAGCCGCCACGAAGAATGCAGTGGAGCTTGTCTTCCAGTCTTTGATTGAAAGCGCTGGGGATCCTGCCAAGGATGAACCTCCCAAACCCCCAGAGGGTGTGTACACACATCAGAAAGAGCCGCAGCCAAGGTATTCCAAGATGATGGGTACCCTTGTGGACCAAGTCAAGAAAGAGGTGGACGAGAAGAACTCCTCCGACAGATTCAACGACTTTGTCGTAGGCGTCAACGGCCACCTATCCAAGGTCCAAAAATTGCAGCAAGAATTGCTGAAGAGATTGGCAGAACTCGAAAAGGAGGCGACCGCAAAGATCACGAGTGAGGATATTCATGAGGGCTTCAGTTATTCTTCCGTCAACAAGTCCAAACCTAAGAGTACCTCAACGGAGAAGCCGAAGCAAAGTAAGAAGACTGAATCCATGGAGCTGCTGAACACACCCAAAGGCTTGAGCGCTAAGACCAGGGATGCTCTCAAGTCTCCAGACGAGGGTGTTTCGTCTGGTGCCGAGGCAGATGTCGAAGACGGCGCACTCCAGCAGCATGAAGACGAGGACGAGGGCGAGGACGAGAGCAGTTTCAAGCTTTCCCCTGAGGGAAAGCAATTCGCGAAAATCAAGTTGGGCGATTACAGAGCATGCCTGCAATTCATCTCGGAGCATCCAGAAATTGTCAACGAGCAAACCCAAGATGGACTGATGATTGAAGCTTTCAATGCCCAAATGAAAGGTCAGGACGAATACGCAAAAGGCTGCGTGCATCAGAGTTTGTTGATCCAATATTGCCGACAACTTGGCCGTGATGGGGTTGGCGTGTTCTTTAAGCGCATCACCACGAAAGGCCATCAAGCTCAACAAGTCTTTACCAAAGACCTGGCGGAAACCTACGAGCGGATCAAGACACGAGCAGCAGAACTCAGCAAAGAAGAAGGCACAGACCCGGCAGGCGTAGAACAAATCCAGCTGCATGCAGTCGAGCCGGGCACCGAGATCCACATCAACGTGCCACAGGCTGGGTCAGAGGACCCCGTTGAGCAACAATCTCGAGAGATCTTTGAGAGATTCCCACCTGGGCTCCAGCGTGCTCTGGAAAGTGGTAGCCTAGATGAAGTTAATGTCGTGCTCGGAAAAATGAGTGTTGACGAGGCCGAAGAGATTGTGGAACTCCTGGGACAAGGTGGTATGCTGAGTCTGCAAGAAGGAGTGATCGACGCGACCAATGAAGAAGGTCAAAAGAGACTAAAGGAGATAGAGGAAGAAGAACGACGAAGGAAGGCATCGGAAGGCGAGCCTGGTGAGGCTGTAGAGGCATGAGGGATGAGCTGCTTTGGACTCCGCGGTGTGCGCCTGTGTGTCTCTACCAGAATACGAATTGTTGCCAGTATGAAGCAATGCAAGAAAACAATGACCGATTTCTTTTCATCCTTTTGACATTATCACGGAGTAAACTACGTGATGTATACATGTATGGACCAATGTCTCGAATGCCATTCTATTTACCCTCCTCGGCTCCTTGTATAGATGTAAGCCACTCTCCCCAGAAACAATTAGTGGCGTGCACCATCAAGCCCGACGAAATATATCAACGCCAGCGACAAAGCAAGCGTCAAAATATTGCTCGATTTTGACCGACGGGGAACCACAACTCGACAACGACATCGACAGCGAGAGTTGAATCAATCGTACAGACCCACCTTGCCACACGAGTCCTCCCTCACCCACCCCCGTTTCTCTCGTCTCTCTTTTCTCTCTGCCGGACCAGGCAGAAATGCCCTCACAACCTAGCCCTAAGCTCACCGGCAGAGTCCACCACCACCCTGGAACCATCCTCGTTGAACTCGATCTTCTTCCCGCTGATCAAGGCCTCTTGCAACGCACACCCGATCCTCACGGCGGTCACGGCGCCTTCAAGCTTCATAGGCAGAGGCAGGTCGTCCAGACAACACGCCGTGAACTCGTTGGCCTCGGTGATGAACGCGTCTCTGAATCGGCCGTAGTAGTGCGGTGGGATCTCGCGTCGGATGCCGGTCGGTTCGTAGATGTTGACCAGGTTGGTTAGCGGTTGCGTATTGATTGCCAGTTTTCCCTTTGTGCCTGTGATCTCGGTGGCTGTAAAAGGAAAAAAGCAGACACACCCGAGAAAGTCAGTCATGGAGAACGAACACCCGGGGAGAAGAACAAGTCATGAAGAGCAAAAACACCAAAGAAAGTCTGGGGAACAAAAAACCAAACAAGTGAGTTTTAACTCGATGTGGGTAAAAAGGCTTTCTTCGGGAAACGTGGAGGTGGTGGCGCGCGTCGTCACACTTACAATCCTCCTGTCCAGCGGCCATCATCCTCGAACAAAACAACTGTGCGATCTTGCCTCCATAAAACTCCACCAGGCCCAGCGCATTGTCGCGGTCGTTGTACTTTCTCAGGCCCGGCTCGACGGCCGTGATGCCAACCGCGGTCACGCTCTTGACGCGGCTGTCCTCGCCGAAAAACCACAGGGCCAAGTCAATGTCGTGGATCGAGCAGTCGACGAAGATGCCGCCGGAGAACTGGGCGTACTCGACGAAGAACCCCGTCGGGTCGAGCTTGTCGCACGTCTGGCTTCGAAACACGGCCGGGACGCCGATCAGGCCGGCGCTCATCTTTTCGTGGGCGTCGCGGTACGAGGCGTCGAAGCGGCGCGAGAACCCGCAGACGACCTTCTGCGACGGGTACCGTTGAAGCGATGAAGCGTACGCGTCGACGACGGCTTGCGACTACAAGGGGACCTCGGTTAGTGACCGTCATGTCCCACCACAAGACAACAACAGAGGAAATCCTCGGCCGGTTGGTGTGGCGGTGATGGTGGGCGATGACGGTGTTTGTTCTCACCTTCTCGACACCCGTGCTTAGGGGCTTCTCGCACAGCACATGCAACCCTCTCTTGATGGCTTTGATGGCCTGTTCCGAATGCACGGCCGTGGCGCTGGCGACGACCACGGCCTCCAACCCGCGGGTACATTCTGCGTCCAGCATCTCGTCATAGTCGAGGTATGTTCGGATCCCCGGGAAGTTCTCCTCGGCGGCCGCGAGCTCGTGGGCTTCGGGCGACGAGGCGGCGACGAGATCTGCTCGCGGAGTCAGGGCGTAGAAATGGTTTGCGTGACGGGCGCCCATGCGGCCCAGGCCGGCGATGGCGACCTTTAGCTTTTGTTGTTGGTATGGCATTTGTTTTTCTTGTCTGGCCACCAGAGTTTCCTGACTCAGAGGTACAGTGTATAGATCCTTCTCCTTATTCTTCCTCTCTTTTGTTTGAAAGGAAGCAACATGCGCTTAGCGGTGTATGTCGCGTGAAGATGATGTATGCGTATTGTTCAAGAAAGTCCAGGCATATATATATTTGTATATATTGTACCTAGGTACCCTGAAGAGACCAATTTAGGAGTGTGGTTTGTATGGTTGGTATCGAGGATGAGAGACAAACGTTGACGAGAAATGAAATATCGACAAATTGGAAGTTGGTATGTACAGCATGGAGTTACGGGACCAAGTATCTATTTCTACCTACGACAAGCCGGCCCAAGACATGCCTAGGGAACTACCTGTACTCTTGGTTGGGAGACTCATCATGGAACGCTGAGAAAATATGGAGTATTTAGTACGGAGTAATGAGGGCGTATGGAGTAAACTACCTGAAGGAACGAATAGGAAGCTCTAACATACGTGGAGATTGTTACGAGCTCGATCCATATTCTTATCCATCCCATGTCTCTTCCGGAGTCTCTTTCGGCATGGATTTCCTCCCTACTTCATGTAACACGCAATCGTACTTCTGAACTACTACCAGAATAGTCCTGTGAATAAAGATGTCCTGACAGGCGCGGCCATAACATGCGCAAATGCCTACCAGGCACTTATACAGACATCCCTCACACCAGACAATGCCGAGTCCCTTTGCCCATTATCGAATCCAATTTTCAAGAGTCCAAAGGTTGCTTGATTTGGTAGGGGTTAAAACTATACGGATAGTACAAAGATCGGTTACTCTGCAACCATATCAAGATAGGTCTTATGTAAAACAAATCCTTCCTGTCGGGAAGCCAGGTTTGTGGATTGATACCTGACCATTGGATGCCGGAGACAATCACCTCTTATACTCCATAACTCCTTGGACAGATCTCTCGGTCGTCGCAGGCCGATTGTATATGCTGGAGCCATCCATCCCGTCCGTGATACATGGTACCAACATATTGGGTTGCCAGAAGTGTTCCGTCACGCAGCCGCGGCCACGTTCTTTCACAAGAGTTCCTTTTCTTCTTCGCAACCAGAGACCACCAAACGGTCAAATCGATCTGAGTGAAGCCCGCCGAGCCATGCCACCAACATTGTTGTTCGGGTCCATACAGTTTTCTCGTTCCAACACTCAACAAAATGAGAAAAAAAAAACGCCCAAGCACCTTCCTGCGCCTAACACAATCAAGAACAGAAAAGATTTTCTTGCAAAGTGTCTCTCTCTCTGGCCCCATGACAAGATACAGAGTGTATGGCGCAATGCCCAAGGGTTCAAACAGGGTATAGTATAAATTGGTTAAATGTAGACTCGACTCAAATACACAAAAATGATGCACTGAGATGCACACACACTCAGTCTGTTCACATCATCATCATCATTCTGGTCGCTCGCTTGCTACTGAAACTCGGTCGGGGTGAGCTGTCACCCTTGGCCCATGGCTTGTTGATGAATGAGTCTCCGTCACCCAGAGTCATGGTGCTCTGTCGGTTCGCGCCGTTCGTGTGTGCTCTTGGGACAGGCATAAGATCGATGGTGCTGCCTCGGTACATGGGCCCCATGAGGCGGTCCTTGACCGACTTGTTTCGTTTGGGTATGCCGCCTGCTTTCGGTGCCTCTGGAGCGAACTTGTCGACCTTGTCCGAACCGTCCGCGTTCTTTTCTCCTGCGAGGATAGCTCGCTCTTGATTGATTCGTGCCAAGTGACGAGAACGGCGGAGGTGGATGGCGAAGAAAGTAATCATGAGGATGACGAGGACTGCTGCAACAGCGATGCCCACACCGAGACCAGCTTTGGCACCGGTGCTCATGTCGCGCCTGTAGAGGCGAGATACTGGCATTGCTAGTGCCGTGTGGGATAGGCTAGTTAGAAGCAGTGCCACAAAGGCTGTTGGAGTCTGGCGTCGAGACATCTTTGTCGAGTAGAACCAGGAAAGAAGGACGGGATGCTGCGTGCTGGAAGAGAACGGGACGTAGATGGTTTTGTGTCCCGTCTTTTCTTCTTTTCTTCTTTGTACAGATCTAAGTCGACCCGGCGTCTTCGTCCAGCGAAAGAGAAGAGAATGAGGTGCTCTTGGGACGAGGATCGGTATGGAGGGAAGTGATTGCAGAGGAGGTGTGGTAATGGAGGAGGGCGAGCAGGACCAGGAAGTAAATAATAGTAGGATCGACGGAGGAAGCGGTAATGACTTGTCTGAGGGAGAAGGAACAAGGAGAGCACGGGAAAGAGTGTCGTAAGCACTTGTCTAATAATACGGAGCACAGGTTCAAGGAAGCAAGGTGTAGAAGAACTGTTGGAAAGAAGTACAGTACGGAGTAGTTGAGTGGCTCTCATGAAAATGACACGCGCAGTGTACAATGGGCTGTAGCTGAACTTTCGGGACCCTCCCAGTCGGGGGTGCTTTGATCAGTTTCGGGCCTGGTCAAATGGTCACAACGCCAGCACGGCGCGACGGAGAATAACATCAAATGGCGCAGAGCTGCAGATGCAAGTGACTAGCCCGCATTGGCTGGGGCGCCTGTTCCTGGAGTCCTGAAACGCTGAGTTGGGGATAGAGATTGGCTGGTGGAGACGGGAGATGGATCTGCTGCTGAATTTACCTGTTTGTCAGGCTGGAGAAAAGAATAGTAACAGACCACAGAGAGCCACAGAGAGTGTATTCGCAAGCGCAAAAGTGTAAAACAGCCATAGCTGAAAGCGTGACAAGGCTTGGTGATTGGATGCAGGGGGTGCATTGGTGACCCAAAGGCCGGGGGGATTCGAGTCCCTCAGGTTCCTCTTGAATTCCAGTCTGTGCACCCAGCGCATCTCCCAGTGGATGAGTGGTGGTACCAAGGTCTGTTTGACAAGGTACAGGCTTCGATCGACGCCTGGGCAGCGCTTCCTACCTCTTGGAAGTTGAGAACTCTTCCTTTGGCCACAGTACTTGGACGGAGGCGGGAGGATGACTGGCGGCACGGGAAAAGTCAGCCAAGCCAAGAACCGTCCGATTGCCGCTGATCTTCCTGGCTGGTGCGCCTCTTGTCAGGAGTCTTTGTGGCTGCGTTTCTGCGTGTCGGGTTCCCAGTGCGCGGTACGGAGTATGATGGCCACGATGCGAGTATGAGTAGCACCACCCATTGATCTCAGCAATTTGCTCTGTGCAATTTCACGGGGATCAACAGCGTTTCAGCCTGCACCTCCTCTGCAAACCTCCAGAGGGTTGCAAGGGCTGAAGGGGATGTGATGCGAGGCTATTGGAAGCCGCACTGAGAGGGGGACTTGGGGGAGCCTTGAAGGACCAGCCGTACCTGGCATTGCGCAGGGATTAACGCTGCAGAAAGATTCGCTCTATGATTGGTGTGCCTGAATGTTAGTCCACCGCGCGTTGACTAAGGTTGACGCGCTACGGACTTTCCGCTCGCCGACACTCCGGCGCTAACCGCTGTTGACACGTGATTTGTTTTGATTGCTCCCGCCATGGGCTTCTGACACCTCACAAACGAGTACGAGCAGTGTCGCCTGCGAACACCGAGCCTGGTGATTCATTCACCTTCGCCAAGGCAACTCCGTGACAGCGCCAACGACGATGATCATTGCTATTGAATGAGCTGACAGGTCATCGGCAGCCCAACAACAAAGTCGTCGGAGTCCTTGACAGTCAGAAGAATTCGATACATTCGATGGACCAACCAACCCAGATATAGAACCCTTCGCGTCTGGCTCGATGGATGATGGTCGCCCACTGTCACCACGACACTACTGCAGTCAATCAACTGCGTTGGTTCCTTCGAGGGGCCACGAGGCTGCCTGTGTCTGCTCTATCACATCACGATTGCCATTTGATCTTCGTCTGATATCTTGTTTCCATGCGCCGTAATTATTGTTGTACAGCATGAGTCGTCGTCTTAAGGAGAAGTGCTCGAGGGACAGCCGACCCCAATCTGTGTACGGCCACCTGATAGTCCATGCCCGTGAGTTCACAGACCTACTAGTGATGGACTTGGTGAGGAAGGAAGGATTCAGGGGCTCCTTAGGCCACCAGGCGTTCCCCCGCCCCCACCAGGCTGAGGATATTGTAGGAAAGGACGTCATTCAGCTGATCCGCCAAGCACAAGCAATCGCACCAAATCAATGCATTCACAAGGCTAGTAGACTGGCCCGAGCAAACTGGTACGGGACTGTGAGCGGTCCAAGTTTAAGACATCGTTAAAATCGCATTCTATCATGACACGCAAAATTAAACTACTATACGTCTGACAGCGAGGCTGAGTCTATTTTTGTAATTCCTTGCAACGCGACTCAGCGACCTTCGCAGCGCCACCACCAACATCAACGTGTCGGCAGCGCCCGAGACATGTCTCAACAATCTCTACACGTCGCCAAGCAAGAAGCTGAGCAGACTGCCAACGGTGAGTCCACCAACGAGCATGAGTCCCATAAAGCCTCCAGCGGCCTCACGTTCATCTGGCGCGACCCATTCTCCAGCACCCATCATGCACTCGCTGCCAAGATACCCGTTGGTGAGGCCGAAGAAAAATTGCACAATGACCAAATAGAAGAAATCGCTGCTCAAAACAGCTCCTTTCCCTTTGATATTGCACAAGAAGTAGAGTGGAATGAAGAGCAGTCTCGCCATGGCCAGACAGAAGAGTGCAAATGGATAGTGCAGGAGCGAAATCCGCTTCCACAATGTTGACAGTCGCCCGAGCAAGTCTCCCAGGTTCCAGACCAAAAAAGCCACAGGCACAAAAATGGCAGCATCGACTCCACCGACAGAACGGATAGACGCAGTGAAGACCGGAAAGACCATGGTGACTGCGAAGCAGACGAAGACTGCTGCCGATAGGAATGGCAATTTGCGGAAAAGAGTGCTGAGAGGAACTGCTGGACGTTCGCCAGCTCCACTCTCGGTCTGGCTGCTCGTGGTGATTCTGCCATTGTCCGCAAGCACGTCTCTTTCAGATGCTTCGTCGTCGACTGCGGCTTTTGCCGCTGAGGGAAGGTTCCTGTGGTGTGGATGGCGCCCCAAGAGGTAGAAGAACGCCAGTAGAGACACCATAGAAATCATTGTCGCCGTCAAAAAGTATATCAGCGCCGAAGTGGGCGAAACATCCGCACTGTCTGCGTTGTCTGACTGCTTTGGAGGTACCACCAGGACCGAAACAATTTGTGCCAGCGGCGGCAGTACTCCCGCGATGGCTTGGCCAGTCATGATGGCCTGTGTATATTCGCTCCTCCCAAACCCTGACGCGAACGAGAAGAGCCCATTCTGTATGAGGCCTGTAGAGAAGCTCGCGAAGAAAATCGCAAGGAGCAGGAACCCAAAGTATACTCCTGCAGGCGCATGGACTAGCGTTGAAAGGGAAAGGATCCCGAACACAGCGGTATTTATGAGCAGCGAGCTTGAAATTCTCTTGGGATATGACGCCCCCTTTTGTAGCTCCGCCAATACTATCATCGACACCAGATTTGTGACGGTCGAGACTGAGATCTCGGCGGCCTGGAAGTGGTTGAGGATCCATGGACTCGTGCGAAAGCGGTTCTCGAAATACGATGCGGCAGCAAGGAACATGTTCCTAAACGTATGCGTTAGAGACCCTGTAATGTCTGCCAGAGGCGGTGGACAATCAACATACCATGCCCACAACATTGCAATTCCCAGAAGCAGAAAGATGCCATACTCGAGCCACGAGAACGCAGAGCCATCTATCACATCGCGCTCGGCATCATCATCATCATCGTGTGTGCTGCTCACGTCGTCTCTTTCCCCGCCATCCTGAAGAGGCTCATAGTCCTGCCTTGGCGCGAAGATACTCTTTATCCAGCCCATCCCGGACAGCTCTTGTAGTTCGATTGCTTGGTGTTCGGGATCAGTGAGCGTGGGCATGCATGGAAATGAACGGGCGCGGCCCGTCGTCGTATATATATGGTCGATTGGCTACGATGTCATATCGAGGACCAAGTCATCCACCTATCTGTACTCCCACGGGATCAGGTAGTCACAAGATGCGCTCCGTTGCCACCGTCGGGTGTATCACGTTGTTGGCACATGGCGATAGGGTGCAGCCGAAGGAGGATGCGGGTCATGAGACCTAATATATGTCGTACGTTGCACCGTAGAATAACAACGGTGGGGTATATGGGCATCCTTTGCTCCTATTGAGCTACAAGTATTATCTCAGCTACCTTATCGATCCATAGGTCAATCTCTTCTTTGGTAGAGTTGAGTTACACTTTGTCCCCGTTCTAGTGCTCGTCAATACCAAGCATACACCGGGACAGTGCTGTGTCGATGTTTGATCCTCTCACTCACCGTTGCTGAATGCGAAGGCGAGTGGAAGCATGTACGCCACAACCATAGGACATCCAGAGCTTTCACTCCCAGAGAGAGAAGAATAGGGATGTTCATTGGAACATCCTCGAAGGAAGACCTATCGCAATCCCCTCCACCGGGTATTCATGGTGACCTTGAAACCTCAAGACACTCTTGTCGCGGTGTCACCAAGATCTTGACGTGGTCCTTGTTCCCAGTTACACGCTGACTGTAGGCCCCTTTTGAAGTTTGTAGTACAGCAGTCTGAACTTGAGGTGCTCACCAATCTCAGTGAGTTGTCCGGCGTCGTGCAACTGATGTGCACCTGAGCTGAGTCTGAAGAGCGACCGAGATGGATGGAACATGGACGAAGCGTGATAGATTGATCCTGTACGTGTACAAGGATATTCTAAACACGTTTCAAAGGTGGGATGATTGTTCTTTGTCAAAGACGGGCCATCTGTGCGCAGCTGACTCGGCAAAAAGTCTCAAAAGAAATCGAAAACTACAGGTTGGGTATGAGACATCTCAACAGTCATACTTGGGCTCTGATCGCCCGCCCCTTCTAAACGCCCATGCTATGCTATGCTTCGCTATGCTCAAACAAACAGACTCACACAACCACCCACGCACCCGCTCGCCACATACCCTCTTCTACCTCCCAACCCCCTCCACCACCACCTACTCCTCCAACTCGGCCTTGTACGCGGCCACGTCCTCCTGGCTCAACCAGCCAAAGCCAATGGCGCTCGCCAGGAGCTCAGCAACGTCCTCTGGCATCAGCGTGGGGACGGCGTCGAGGTAAAGCGACACCGTCTCCAGCTTCCGCCAGAGGGCCGTCTGCAGTCTCCTGGCAGCGCCGCTGCTTCCAGCCACCGCCCGCCCCTTCCTCGCCAACAGCTCCTTGACCAAGTACCAAAGCCACATGACATTGGTCTTGGGTAGGAACCGTTGGTACTTGTCGACCTTTTCCAGGCTGACACCGACTCCACCACTGTCCTCGTCCATTTCTGCCAGGGCTTCCACCTTGGCTTCAACCGCCCTGGCCCAGTCTCTCACCTTTCGATAGGTGTTGAATTGGCGCTGGTCAGACGCGTTGGTGCCGACGATGTCATTGTCTTCCCAATATTTTATTGGGTCGGCGATAATGACCTCCTCCCCAGTCTCCCTTTGGACCTTGGCGCGGGAAAGGGTATAGTCGATGACTGTGATGTGGAGGTTCGAGAGGCCTAGTCTGGCTTTTGGTTCTTCCGTCATGCTCTGGACAACCTCTTCCTCAATATCGGTTGGGCCGTTCAACACTCGTGGCTTGCAGCAGATGTTGCCGGTGTGCAGGTCTCGGTGTTCGAATTCGACTGATTCTTCGGCACTAGCGAGAATCATGGCCGTCTTCCAGAAGATGTCATATGCTTGGAACGCTGAGAGGGTTGGGAAGCTGCCCATTTGTTTTCCGGCATGGTCCATTTCGATGAGAACGTACGTCTGGTCAGAGCTAAAAGCTTCGGTCGGGTCTCGGTTCTGTGCGTCCGGGGTGCCTGTGGCTTTGAAGTTGCGGAACGCTTCGAGAAGCACATCGGGATAGCTGCCGCTAACAACGTGGACGCCTCGACATCTTGCAAAACCATGCACACGGTCGAGAGCAAGGAGGAGCTGAACTTCTCGGGTGATCGAATCCAAGTCCACAATGTCGTCTGTGTCGGTTGACTTCTCCACGCTGAAGGGAATGACTTTTATGACCAATCCTCCACGCTCTTCAACTTTGATGGCTTCGTCGGGGTCTTTGGGTCTGAGTTCAAAGACATCTGCGAATGCTCCTTCACCGAGTTTGGTGCAAACAAAGTTCCGCCCCATGCTTCTACCAAACTCCTGGAAGTCTTGGACTGTTCGATCCACAAGTGAGAGGAGAGGAGCAAGAGATTGCATCTTGTTCGGACCAAGTGTCTATATCAAGGCCGAGTTAGCATCTGAGATATATCCTGTCCAGCGAGGAGGGTTGTTTCCTGGTGACTAACCGCCATTTTCTTTGACGTTGGTTTCCGTCGTCCTCGAAGATGTGGATTGTGTCTCGTCGGTGCCTTTTGCTTTTGTGTTGACTCTAGGGCTTTCTCTACAGTAGGCAAACTCGGCTTGACTGAATGCTCTTTGACTGTCAGTTGATCCATCTTCTCAACGATCGCGTTCTCATCGCCCCCTCCAAAAAGATCATAGTGTATGTCCCTCGACGGCGCCCAAGACCCTTTCTTTTTGCCATACGTCTTTTCCAGGCGGCGGCAAGGCCGCTGCTGGTTTTCGAGTACGCTCAGAGCCTCAGGATCCGCCATCTCGACGTTCGGCCTATTTTCTTGCAATATTTTAACAATGAAGGAGAGGCTCACCGGTCAGGGACGTGTTAACGTGACAGATCCAAAGTCTAGCCTATTGGCGTTAGCGTCGGATGATGCCGTGACCGCCTCGTTGCCCGGAAACTGAAAATGACTGAAGCGGCGTGATTTTCTGTGATGTTCACAGCAGTGGGAGTGAGCTCTTGGCGGAAATCTTGTGCCGCCGCTTTGTGACAGGTGGCAGTACAAAGGCCATCTTGATTCACCATGCAATTTGTTCTATTGACTTCATTTGTCTACTCTATTCACTTTCTATAATCGTCCCAAGATGGATGGAAAATATCCATGTACTGAACAACATCTTGCGGCATTACCTTGGCAGGGGCTTCTCGAAAAGGTAAACCCCGTTGCTGGCCACGATCTCTGCTAGCCCTCGGCTTCCCGCCTCGAAGGACGACCTCAACTCGGTCATATGCGTCAATGATTCTAGCCGGTTTCATGTCCCACATCTTGTCGTACATATTCCAGTAGCGCTTGAGAGCAATTGTGCGGTACCGTCGCATCCATCCTTGTGGTTTCGACAACATGCCAGGACCAAATATCCAGCGGAGACTGTATATGTAGGCCCAACGAATACGATGCTCCCGAATCTGCACACCATAGTTGTCGCGGAGCCTTTTCAGAATGCGAGTCCAGCGTAGACATTGCTCAGGCGATACCTTGCGCATCCCTCTGCGAGGCTTGAAGCACCATCTTACCAAAGCCATTTGGAATGTTTCGTTGAATAACTCATCCAAATCGGAGTTGCGTTGGGGTAGGGTGGTGTTATGTTCCTGTTCGTACAGGCCATTTGCTCTGTAGACTTCTGCTAGCCAGTATATGAGAGCCTCGAGTTCTCGGAGACGGCCTGTCTGACCCAAAGCCCTTAAAGAAACTCGCCAGTACTTCACTGGAAAGGAGAAACCAGAAACCAGCAGATCTTGAAGCAACCCCGTCACAAAGGCGGTCTGATCCACCCCTGTGGAACGAAGAAGTTCGGCCATATTTTTGGCTCGTAACATCTCAGTGACGTCTGATGGAAGCGCCGCAGTAATGTCCTTGCGACCCTTTGGGAGGTTCCTCAAGAGGGAGGCAGCCGCAGGCCAGTCACCAATCTGCAGCATCGATTTGACCATTAGCACTGCAGATCGCAGTTTGGCTTCTTCATTGAATTCTCCGTGACAAAGTATTGTCAAAGTGCGATTGATCTGCTTCCAATCCTTGATTCGACAGTACTCTACCAAGAGTTGCTTCTGCAACTCCAAGTCCTCGAAGACTTCATGATGCATGTCTGTGTTGAGGATGTTTTGGATCATTTCCCATTGTCCCGAGTAGCACAATTTTTTGATGATCTGTACAAATGAGGACGATCCGGTATCGATTTCAAGTTCCTTCAACTTCTCAAACCTAGCCTGCAATCTAGCGTTGTCTGGTGCCGTGCTCGCTATTTCTCGGACGGCGAGGGGTCCAACTTCGATTAAGCCAATAAGCCTTAGACTATTGACCGCAAAATCAAAGGAAAATGCTCGGGTAGCGAAAGCTCGAGCTATAAATTCGTCGCTCAACTTCTTGGGCGCAGTGCCTAAGGTATTGCTAGACACGACATCCATGCTGCCAGGAGAGAAGCCTATCACCTTCCTTCTTGCTCGCGACCATTCTCGGCGCGCCTGTGCTTCAAACGAAGCACCGGCCGCACTAAGTGGTCCCAGGAAGCTGCCGAGCTGTTTATCGTGAGCCGCCAGGTGCCTGATGAACGGTACGAGGACCTCGAAATCAGAGGGTAGATCTCGTTTTGATATCAAATAGGCATGTACCTCGAAAGCATCAGAAGCACGACTAGATTCCCAAAGTTCAGCGATAATATCGTCATAGATATGCGCATTTGGGACTAGATCGTAGATTTTGCAAAACTCGCGAAGAGCTGATGTTTTTGAACGGCAAGCTGCCGAAAATGCGCTTAAGAGATCTTGTCGGCCCCGATAAAGGCGATACTGAGGCTCCAGTAACCACCTTGCGATCTTCGAGGCATTTTCTGGTTGTTCACCTTCTAGACTCGCATCCACAACCTCGGAAAAGAAAGCCGGCCTGTCCGCCTTGTATCTGAGAGCAATTTTGCACATTTGGGCGAGAAAAAGGTAATCATTGGTCCCAGCCGAAAGAAATGTGAACCACAAAGCATTCACGAAAGGATCCTTATTGTCGAAGCGAAGAGAGTCTCCGCGATAGATTGCTCCACGCCAAACGGCTTTGATGCCTTCGTGCCCATTCATGAGAGCTTGCACTCGGGTCAAGAGATGCCATAACTCTATATTCTGACGGTGCGTTGGCTTGTCAATCAAGCGGGATCCAACCTCTCGCTGATGGCCAATATCCGCTTCGAAGCATAGTTGTTCTTTAGTGCGAATGCCGTAAATGAATGCCTCGTCAAGCAAGGAGTCCCATTCTCTGCCTCGCGGATCGTTTCCACAGGGAGCGTGAGCACCAGACTCTAACTCTTGCTCTCGGGCAGGGAGATTGATCCCAGGGGTGGGAGAGGCTGAGTAATGCCGTCTACAGGTGCCATCCCAAGGCCGACCCCCGAAGAATCCTCGGGTGGATTTGGAGAGAACGTGGTCTTTGGCACAAGCACTTTCTCGAAACCGAGGCGCGCAGAGAAGAAGAGTAGTAGGCCGTCTGAGAAGACCTCGTGTGGCTAATCGCATGTAGCGAATCAGATCAATGTCGAGGACGACACTCTCGGAGAGCGTTGAAATGTCAAAAGGAAGGCTTTACTGATGCAAGATGCATCTTGTACGATGCCCAATGTGGTTGTATGAGTTTGCAAAAAGGATCAGGAGACTTGATTACGAGCAATACGGGGAGTCACGTGTTGTAGCTTTCGGCTTGGCACAAGCTTTCCGTCTGCTGAACCTCAACTTCACGGCTACTTCAGTTGATCTTTCAAGCTGCACATTGTCAACATTCAGTATAACCGAGTCCAACCTTCCGAGACGACAACATGGTTACTCCTACAGCTGCCCGCATGATGCAGGCCACCCGAGCCCGCATGTTCCGTCAAACCCCAGCTCAAATGAAAGGGTCAGTCATTCCTCTCCAGCTTCTCTACACCACCACTCCCTCGACCATCCAGTCGTTCACGAAGCATGAAAAGGAGAAACCATGCTGACTTGAGTGTGTGTACAGCTTTGTCATGCGCGAGAACCGAGTGCCCTATTACCAACGCCTCTTCCAGAACCACGATGGAAAAAGACAATGGTGGAAGGTTAGTGATGGATCTATGCATGCCCCAAAATCCGTCAATGCGTGCTTCGAGTGGCTGCCGGACCGATGAAAGAGTAGAGCTGGATATGGTGCTACTTCAGAATGGCCAGCATTAAGTGCTCAGCCTTGCACATTCGATCCCGACATTGCCACGCTGCATTACTTCATGCGCACTTGGTTTTCTCCAAGATTATGTCTGCGCAACCAGGAACCGAAAGATTCTTGATGATTGCCGTATGCGTCGCACCAAAAACATCGACATGGCTCCGCGAAACTCGACCACAGCTCCGTGATAGTGCCTGGGAAGGGCGTCTTTCTGATATCCGCTTATCCGGGCCGTATTTGATCCCCTTCGTTCCGGGGTTTCCTGTTGATGTTACACAATGTCATTGAGCTTGCTGACTTTTCTGATGCTCTAGACGTCACGAAGCCCATACATCCTTTACCCATATTACACCTTGTTGATCGGCTCTTTGACGTACTCGGTGTACGGCATGACCCGCATGCTTTTTGGCCACAAGACAGTCTGGTAGATGGAAACTCCAGTACAGGCCGGAGTAAGATTGAGGTTGAAGTCCAAGACACAAATAGCCTAAGCAGACTCCATTGTACATATTTGATCACACGGTCGTTATCGATAGCAAAGAACACTGGAAGATCATATCGACCTTGACCAAACTGGTGGCAGCTCTTTCGCCCTGCTTCTGTGTGCGCATCTCTGAACCGTTCCCAAGGATAGACTTCTTTGGAAGCTGCGGCGTGATAACCCAAAACACCGCAGCATAATACTCTGCCATCATTGCAAAATGATACAGACAATCACAAACCCATGATCATCCTCGACAATGTCCGAGGTGAGTCCACTGATCAAATTGGTTATTTGCGTTTTCAGAGAGGTCTACGAATGGAAAGGGCTTCGGCAGGCACGTTGGGACTGTATTCACGTCGCTTTTCCTTTCTCCTGAACCGATTTTCACATGGTCGTTTATAGCTGCACGTTGATTGGTGGTGACGTCGGAGATTGCCTGATGCGAGCTTCACGTCGAAGCGACGTTCATCTAACCACGTCGAGGTCATACCCTGGTTCTTATGAATTGGAAATTCAAGAACATTGAAGGCTACGTCCAAAGAAACCATGCGCCGTCTTCATCTACCGCTTTCGACTTCGGTCATTTTGCTCTTCTCAGACGCTGATACGCTTTTACCGCATGACCACTGGCCTCGAGATGATCACAAGGGGTTTGTGCAGTAACTATGCGCCTGTCTATGATTTGCTGAGAGCCTCTTGATGGTATTGTGTTCAATACTAAATACCTAGATACCCGGACCCATCGAATGTTGACTTATTTCTATACTTAAAGGGCTTCCAAACGCCGTCTTTGATGGATCTGCTCAGCGCTCGTTCCCTGTCCCTGTGCCCGCTGAGCTGAATCACGATGTTTCGTTTATGTTTCGTTCCTTTGCTGCTTGCAAGTTTATCCTTTTCCTTTCCCTTGGGGAGCTCTCTGGGTAATATTCAGAAGCGAGACGTTCCAGACTTTGTACGGCGATATGGTAGGCTGCATAACTATTACTTCTACTACACGCGATCTAAAGGCGCGGGGTGGAATCAAGCATTGCTAACTTCTTATCTACATCCAGCACCCCTGGCATACCTCTGCTCTTCAGAGATATACTTCCCCAGCGACATAGGAGCGCAAATCGCCCATACCTATCCTGAAGACGGGTCTGGAAACACCATCACGCCTCCAGCCCCGTTGACCTTGTCCAACATCGACACTCTGAACTCCTTTTCCGGTGGCGGCACAGATGTGTACCTGACTTCTGACGAGGGTATCCGGGCCCTTCCATCCTGGTTCAGAGGCTCCCGTCCCCAATCCGACGGCAGCACGCCTTCAATCGTCGGCTGCGCGGTTGTGACCGTGTCCAAGCCCAACGGGGTCCTTGACGCGTTTTACTTCTACTTCTACGCCTACAACCAGGGGAACTGGGTCCTCGGGCTGCCGGCGCTCGAGTTCGGCGACCACGTGGGCGACTGGGAACACACCATGGTGCGGTTCGTCGACGGCGCCCCGACGGCCGTGTATTACTCGCAGCACAGCGGCGGAGAGGCCTTCACTTACGCCGCGACGCAAAAGGGCCCCGACGGCGTTAGGCCCCTCGTGTACGTAGCCAACGGGACGCACGCGAACTACGCAATCCCAGGACCGCACGATCATACGATTCCCAACCTGAATACCCTCGCCGGGCCCCTGACTGATCACACCGACCGGGGAGTGCTGTGGGACCCGGTGGCCGACGCGTATGTCTACGGCTTTGACAATGCGACGGGCGTGTTCGAGGCCTATAATGGTGTCGATCCCGTGGGGTGGTTGAATTTCGCGGGGTCTTGGGGAGATAATCAGCTTCCTGACAATACCCCGGGACAGATTGATGTGTTTGGAGAGAGAAAGTACGTTGCTGGACCCACGGGTCCGCGTGACAAGGGCTTGACCAGGACAGGGGTGTGTCCTGACGGGAAGAGTTGTACTGTTAGGAGCGTGTTGGTGCCGTGATGGTTGGCTACAGTCGACTTTGGAGGCCGGTGGAGGGTCGATCGAGCTTGGGATACCTGGGTCATAGACCGGATTGCACACGAGGGCGGCATGTGGTAATACCACATTGTACATACGGAGTGGAAATCGGCAGAGATGTCCAGACCGGTAAGATATATGTATGTTACTTTGTAATGTAATTTAAGATTTATTGAAGATGTCAGCACCGAAAGGGTATGGACCTCAGATCAGACTAGGCCGATATTGAGGAAGAAAAGCCAATCTTCACGTTTTTATTCTTTTTTTAAAAAAAGGGAATTGTGGCTAATTGATTTATGGCCGGAAAGAGATGTTGTCCAGAAGAACTTAGACAAGCTTCCGTGAAGTTTTACATCACATTCCCCTCGCCGAGGTACCCTCACGTCGTGATGAAGTTAAACTCGGATTCACATTAAACAATCAAAAAGTCACGACAGCCAGCCCGCTTGTGTACAAGTTCTGCGTATCTCCCCCCACCCCTCCAATATGAGAAAAAAGAAAACAGTTTCGCTCAGAGACCCGACCAGATACAAATTTGCAATAAGGCTAAAGGTACAGTAGATAATTCTGAGGATGTGAGAGATGAAAGGGCGATGGAACACCAGCTGGCTGAAGTCAATCCAGACTCTGCTGGCCCGTTGTTTATTTGGCGGTAAGTATCATACTTCTCATCCCATCATGCAAGAGACGTCATGTCGTAAAACTCGTTGTGATCTGGTGCTGAAATCGGTCGACATCTCGGACATTACATGACGGTCGAGGTAGAAAAATTTGAACTTGAAGAATGGACAGGGCGACCTCATCTCGCCCTTCAAGAGAAGATATCGCCGTCCGAACGTCGAGAAACGCTTGCGCATAGAAAAATCTTCTGAAATCAAAGAACCCACCAGCAGTTGTGGGATGGACTGGCTTTTGCTCACCGGTAGAAGGCCAGAACGCTCGAGAACAAAAGTTGCAATGTTTGAATAATGAGGGAATGGCTGTGAAACTTCCTTTCCAACCTCAAGGCACTTGCGCTTAGGTGTTAGATAAAGTTCTTGGTGGTGACAAACGAATCTGCTTTGATCCTCGTGGGGACTGGATGGTGGAATGCCGTCCAGCCTTCCGGAGCCTTGGTGAGCTCATGAGCTTCTGAGTGGCTTGAGCCGAGCCTGGGCGAGGAGGGATTCCCTCTTGTGCTAGGACGGCCTGATGAACCTGTGTGCGAGGTTTTATCTGGTAGCCAGTTCTTGAAGAGAGGCTTGAAGCAAGGGATGCAGGCGCAGATGATGCCGGTCCCGACTTCGACGACGGACCATTTCATGGTCGGCACCGAGCCTTGAGTCACGTCGAGACTTTCGACACCTTGTAGGACACTGATCCGCAATGCCGAGGCGACGGTGGCGAAGAGGCCGATGGCGAAGAGCAGAGACACGACGTACTTCTGCCGCCGCGGCAAGTTCAGCCTCCAGAAGACAGGGAGCGGTAAGGTGCAGAGCAAAAAGTCTGTGAAGATCGAGAACGCCGTCGAGAAATAGTAAAACTTGTCAATTGGGAGGCAGTTCCGGGGAAGGGTAAAGTCCCATGCACCCTCGACTGGCTTGCATTGGAAGATGGTGACGAGGATGCTGCAGAGCCATACGCTGAGGATGGCTGCACTGAGGGCGTACATAATTCTTCGGAACGTGGCCGTGGGGAAGACTCGAATGTAGGACACGACGATGCTGATCTTGACCAACATCAATGCCGTCACGTACATTACTTGACAGATCCATAGTGTCTGATCTAGTAAGTAGGTGTTCGCGTAGGGCGGTAGTAGCAGCAGCAGCAGCAGCAAGCTCACCTGGACTGTTTTCTTAATCTTCTCAACGAGGTCGGCATCCTGTGGCAGATCCCAGACATGATCGCCGAGGCCATATCGTACGCCTGATCCTGAATCAACACTCAAACCCCATCATGTGTGTAAAGCGGACTTACCAACTATAGCCATGGCGGAGAAGGCTGTGGCAAACAAGCCAGCGGCTACCATAAGATAGTCATCGGCGGCGACATGCTTGACGACGAATGCCCGCACGATCAGCCGTATGCCAATGAAGACTGAAGTCACGGCAATGAAGCAGATGTTCAATGTCTTCAGTTCTGCTTGCAAGGAATCGTGGGGCAAGAACTCCCCTTTGAATTGGTTGGGGTTTGTGATACTGCTGCTCATATCGAATGTTTGTGGAGGGCGCTTTGCCGCCTCCCTTTGTCAGGCTGAACGTGTTTCGTTGCGAGATGCCCCACGAGCGAGCGGTTAGTGGTTCCCGAATGATACAAACAAGAATCAGAATCAACAGCACCGCTCATATACAAACGAAGGACAGAGAGTTGCTCTCTCATCTAGGCCGCACCGATCAAAAGAAAGGGCAACGAACGGTATAAGAGGAGCCATGATGCTCCAGACCACCTTACCGTTTGGTGCGGCACATGGTGTTTGTCCGGGATGTTGAGGAGAGGGGTCTTACCATGCTCGAGGACGACAACCAATGTTGTAGCCAGCCATGGGTGGGATCTGCTAGAGGTAGTACACTGACTACACTGACTACGAGGCAACAGTGCGTGACTGAGGGCATGGATGGTGTGAAGGCGGTTGTCGAACTGACCAACACCACGCAAGAGAGTCAAAATGCATCTACTAGCGCCGTATGGCTGCAGCCGAATCCGGTGTCTTGGCACGGCCCCTGAACGGCCTCGACGTGAAAATCAGCCATTGTCCTCGTTGATTGGCGAAGCTCCTTCAATTAGATCTTCCAATCCGGTCGAAATAGTCTTCTGAACAATCGCGCATCCCAGTCAGTGGACACTCATCCACGAGGCTATTGTGCTTCTCCCGAGCCCTCTGGGGCCTCTGGGGGACATGGGCACGTCGACCAAAGCCCCAGCGTGGGATGATGTCTGCATGATTCTCTCCTTCGTCTAGCGAATTGGCGGACTCTCGACGCTCCCCTCACGTCCATGCGGCATATATTAAGGGCCAATAGCTAAGCCCACATTGTGAGGAAGAACCTCATTGAGGGGGAGTTATCGAGAGTAAGTAGAATGGTATGATGTCTTGAAACGCGAGGCATTTGCACAGAACACTCGTTGAAAGGATTGTCCGACATTCAAGCATGCTCCATGCCGTGAAGTCTCGATCCTTTCATCTATTCCGACGGAGGTTGTGCTTCAGAACTGCGAAGCCCCAATATTGAGGCGAAGGCCAGGCTACTGAGAAGTCAGGACGGGCAACAACACTTCCGAAATTGCAATAACGATCCTTGCAGGGCAGTGGTCGCTTTTTGGATGAGGCTGAATGTGGTAGTTCAACATGGGGTTTTCATTCATTTCAGCATGGTGGTTTGGATTGCTGATGGTTGCCAAGATTAGTGTCAAGACTCCAGGGAATACATTCGGACAATTTTATACAAAAAGGTGCATGTCGCCAGGGGTAAGTGAGGAGCGTCCGGGGCATGATGACAGGACGCGCAATGCCCTGCTACCCACCCTCCCGAACGAAGTTGATGTTGGTGGCTTATATACTGTGAAGCTCCGATTGACGCGGTGTGGTGGATCATTGCGATTACCAGGAGCAGCTCTACATGGTGCGGAGATGGCAGACAAACACTCTTTGGTGCGGAATACTGCTGCAGGAGTTTCAGACGAGAAGCTTTCCTCCTTGATCCCTCCACCACCCCTTGGAGGCTCCTGGGTAACGAGCAGGATTGAATCTGGGTTGTGCACAGGACGCTGCATCTCATCAGAGCTACTTAAGAACTCATCACCCCGAAAGCTCAGCTCAGCTCAGCGATATTTGACCGTGTCGGCTCAGAGGTCTGACTTTCGAGATGTTGGCCTCGATGTGTTCTCCTGAAGACAGGATAGTTCAGGCTGCAGGGGATAATATTGTCCGAACAATGGTTTTGGTGTGCAGATGCCGTGTGAGAAAGTTCAGTGCACGTTACTTGTAGGACAAACTCTAGTTAAATGACGCTTCCGTCCTCTGTAGGCCTTTCACGACCTGACATTGTCACACCAGTGGTGGCTGCAGTGCATCTTCATCCTCGCCTCACCTTCTACGATTCAGTATAGCGACCACGTGACTTCTCATACATATCGCTCTTTCTGTTGCCCTTCACCAGCTCGAAGTTAAAGTCTTCATATGAACAATTGATACTGTCCCACGATCTTGTCCCAAGTTCAAATTCCTCATGTCGCAAATAACATCATAAGCCCAAAACAGTCGCGCAGCCACAACATCGCGTTGTCTTCTCTTCATTGTCACTACAAAATGGAGTCCTCCAAAGAAACATCCTTTCCCCCTGCCAGCGATATCCCCCTCCATCGAAACGCGCCCCTCGCACCTTCGCAAGAGCTTGCGTATCGGAAAAAGTGCATTCAACTCAAGAGACGGCTTGCCGAGATTGAAGCCAACAACGACTCGACGCGCAAGAGAATCACACAAGAAAAAGATCATATCAAGAAGCTACGCTTGCTGCGTGCCATCCTCCTCAATAACTTGCAGGAAATCATGAGCACTCCCGCGAAGAAGTTGACCCCCGAGCAGCTTGAGAAGATCGGTGTACTCTCCAACGGCAGTACGGATCTAGCTGAACTTGCGGGCACCGGCATAACTCAGGAGTCTCGTAATCCTAGACCTGACGGGGAAGGATTGCTCGACGACAGCACAGACGAAAGTGAGGAAGAGGAACCTGAGGTGAGACTGCCCTTTGCTCCCAACAGCATGCACTCACACGACACAGCCTGCAGAAAGACCCGAACGCCGAAGAAGAGTCAACAACAACTACCGTGAAACCATCATGAACGCCAACGCTCCAGGCGAGTCCGCATCGACCGCGTATCAACAGCAAACTTTACCCAACCTTGCTCCTGCAAGCTCATTTTCCCCCGCCCGTCCACACGACCATACAGGCCTGACTTCGTCATTCCGTGTCTCGTCTGGCACACCTCACGCCGCAGGAACATCCAGCTCTTATCCACCCCCTGCTGAAAGTTCTCACAACGGAGGATCTTCACCAATTTACGCCGGTGATCCACGCGCCGTTTACTACGGACCAGGTGACATCAAGCCCATCCGGCCTGACCCCCCTTATGTGCAATTCACAGCACATATGACACCACAACTGGCAGCCAATGGCGAACATCCAGACGACATTCCTGACAGAATTCAATCCGAATGGGATGAACTTACTCCAGACAACCGAAAACTCTGGGAAGTCCGGTATCAAGAGCAAATGGCAGAGTACACGGCTGCAATGGATATCTACAAGAGAGCATCACGACGTGATACTTCGAGCGGGTTTGCCGGTCCTTCATAGAGTGACAAGCGAAAGCTCCTACCTCACCTCCTCGTCTGGCGACTCCGCAGATGAAGATGCTTCTTGCAAACTCACACCAGCCTCTGGAGATGTACGAATCTTAGCAACCTCCCATCATGGACCGCACGATCACACATCAAACCAACGCTGTATGGTTGGAACCCTCAGCCCAACAAGTTCCTAAGGTTCGCATTTTGTACGTCTTCAATCGAGCATCTTCACCACTCTAATGCGTATCTGCACCCCAAGAATCCCAGCACATTCACTTCGCATCGCCAGAGCTCTAGTCAGCAGCGAACGATACAATGGCTTATGGCAGCTACTACACCGTTCACATGACCGTTGAGGACACGGCAGCGATATCGCAAGGACCAACAGAAGCACACAGGAATGATTCATTTGTGCAAAGGGTATCACCAAGATTATACTTCTCCAAGAAAACGAGCATGGTCAGGTAGAGCGTACCTGATCGTCCAAACGTAGCCAACTATGGCAGTCTCAAATCTGGGAGGCATTCGAAACTGATGTAGCATGACAGCGGGAGCACAGTGGCAGCAGCTATTAACCTCCAACGGCTCGAATTAGTATTGTCTTTGCACTGCTCGGGTAGTCTTCGTCCTTAACCAATGATACGTAGCCCCATCGAGGCAGAATTCCTGGTGGTCCTAGGACACAGTGCTTAAAGCAGAAATGAAAATATCCTCTCTTCACGTCCCAAGCTTTGATGTCTTTTTCATTGTCTTTTTCTACATTTCTTATAGTCCTGCGGAAGATCTGACTGAAGATTTTACGATGTCCTCATGTCTCCAAGGCGCTGTCGCTGCACACGCCTCGTCCCATGGAGCATCGACTCACTTGGCCTGTATCAAAAAAGTTCGAACTCCATGGCAGATTGCAGAGCAGAAACCGGTAGAATACGCAGCGTCTAGGGGTAATACATTCTTCCAAGTTGCCGATCCCTGTCTCAGGGTCCAGGGTGAAACCTATACAGGCGCTCCATCTCACAGGCGAGACCTGTTCGGGGGTGTCATCACAGTCAGCGATGACCAGCGAAGTCGATCAGGCACGACACTCTGTCCGTGCCTCTAGCTCTCAAGACAAGGACACATGGGATGCAGAGATAATAGGCGTACGAGTCCTTACTCAGCCGCCACGTCCATCGTCTTGGCCCTCTACCAGTCTTCTTTTTTCCAATTTAGTCCTCGTCCCAGTTTGGGTTGGGACCGGGAGGTTTCGGCCCGCCAGCTTGTCTCGCGACGATGATCTGATCGACGCTGAGGACGGTACGTGCAGCCTCGGTGGCAAGTCTGATGGCCCAGCTCTTCGTCACGAGGAGGTCCAGGATTTGCTCGTCCACGGCGTCCAGGACACCGGTCGCGTCTGAGCCTTCCAGATCGACGCCTGTGGTCCAGTAGGGCTCCTCATCTGACGTTCCGGACGAAGACGACTCTTCCTCGTTCGAAGAGCTTTCGTCCTCATCGTCACTGCCCTCCTCGGCCGTTCCTGTGCGGCGCTTGACTTCATTTGTGTTCAGACGCTGTTGGTGTGCGGTGTACAGACGAGCTAGAACCTCGGTGGCATCGAGACCTGCGCTCTCGGCCAGGGTGCGGGGAATGACTTCAAACGCCTCGGCGTATTTACGGATTGCGTATTGAGGAAGGCCGGGCGTCTTGTCGGCGAAATGGGTTATGCGTTCGACGAGCTGCATTTCAGTGGCACCAGCGCCAGGAACCAGTCGGGCGTCTCTGGTCACGGCTTTGATGACGTTGACTCCGTCGTCGATCGCGCGTTCGACGTCGTCGAGGTGGTTCTGTGTAGCGCCTCGGAGGACGATGGTCGCCGTTCGTGTCGTTGCGGTGTCCGAGTCCTGGCGGAAAACCGTAACTCGATCGCCGCCTATCTCGGTGGTTTCAACGACATCGATACTACCCATTTCGTCTGGCATGGGAGCGCCGAGCCGTGCGAGGGGCGTGGCGTTGCAGACACGACAGAGGCGGCGGAGTTCGAATTTGGAGAGGATCTTAATGACCAGTATACCCATGCGATTGAGATAGTGGAGGGCAAGCTCGCCGATTGTCGATCCGGCCACGACCACTCGCAGACCCGAGTCGTACAGTTCTTTGATCGCGGCTTCCAGTTGCGTTTCTTCGCCTTTAGAAAAGTCCATCATTTCTTGTGCGTTCTTGAGGAGCACCGTGCCTTTTGTCTCGGTCTGGGAGGTATCAATCGGACAGGAGAAGACGCCGACCTTGGCCTTCTTTGCGCGTTTGACGGTTCCGTCAGGCTCTCGGCCCAGGACCATGCCTCGAACGACTTTGGAAGACGACAGATCTCCTCCCATGATCTTGACAACCCTGATGTTGTCAACGTTGAAGTTGGCGGGGTTCTTTGGAAGAACCGCCAGGACTGCTTCTGCGATCAACTGTGACACGACGTCTTCGCTCCCAGACTGTTTCGAGGCAACAACAGTGCGTAGGGCCTTTGTCAATTCTTCTGCAGAGCGCATATCTGAGACACTGTCGACCTGGAGATCTTGTAGGCACTTCAAAGCATAAGCCTGGGCTTTTTCGTAGCCCGACACAATGTCACTGGTCTTGAGACCCATTCGTATTAATTCCTCCGCCTTTTTCAGCAGTTCGCCGGCCAGAATTATAACCATGTTTGTGCCGTCTCCCAGCTCCGCCTCTTGCTGTTGACTAGCCATCACAAGTAATTTTGCAGCGGGGTGGACAACTTCCAGTTCGCGGAGAATCGTAGCGGCGTCGGACGTGAGAATCATCTTTTGAAGGTGGTTTATGACAATTTTGTTCCGCCCATATGGTCCCAGGGACGTTTGGACCGTCTGAGCAATCGTTCTGCAGGCATCGATCTGGGGTATATTAGAACGGTTCGGAGTGTGTTTGAGGGTCTGTCTATACATTACGGATCACGGCTCCATCTTCAGCATCGTAGCTATTGTAGCCGGGCTTAAAGAGACCGGCCTGAGAGGCCTGAGGTATCGTGAGAGACATTGTCGTGGTTTGGTTGCTTGGTGGGAGAGAGATATGTCCTTGAGGCCCTGAACATACAGTAATTTTGAGATTTGTTGCCCGCAGCCTGCACAATCGCAAGGCTGCGAGGCTGCGGAGTCACTAGTTGGTTAGCGTCATATCACGGCCACAAAAGCAGCGTGGGCGAGGGGAACACCTTCGACACTTTACTTGATGCCGCTTCTTGTAACCCCAGACATCCCGACGACGTACAAAGGCAACTGAGGGCTGCAAGATTTCTGACTTGCTTGAACCGACAATACGATAACATACATCGCGCCGAGTAAACCTTGACGGGGAAAGCTATTTGTGTAATACAATACGATCCACTCCCGTTTATGCCTCCCAATCGAGATATGGCTGTGGAAGAAAGTCCAGGGCTACATCAACATCCACCACAGATCCATCTCGCAGACATGGGTGCGATGTTTGGTATCTACTACTATACTATTGAATGCTTCCGGGATAAACAAACATGGTGCGCCCTGGAAATTCAGAGAACCGATCCGCTTTGGCACTTTTACTCGATTTGAAAGGTACTACCATGGGCAAGTGATTAATTGAAAGCCATTGGCTTGAAGTGGTTTGCTCTTTGCCCGGAAGATTTCATGATATGGCGATGGCTTCCATTGAACTTGCAACTCTAAACGCACCACCCTTAGCCAACTGTCGCGGTGTCCTTCACAAGGGATGAACCCGGTATCGAAGCAGTTACCCTTCTTTTTGCATCACGACAGCTCTATTCGACCAGGTAATGCCGCAAACACACTCATCTCGAACTTGCCTATCACCAAAGTCTCCACTCCAATGGCAGCCCAGGCAGGTCGATGGTGTCCCATATACTTCCTCGCAACACTCTGGAGCGTCAGCATCACCTCCTCTCCGACTCCGCCGGCGTGGTAGGTTGTGACTTGGTACACAGAGTTCCAAATCTCTTCGGTGCTTAGCTGAGGATCACAGGCTCGAATCGCCTTTTCTACGTTCTATCCGGCCCATTAAGACGGGGCCCGATGTCAACATTTTGAGCAGGCACCAAAACCAGGGAAACAGGTAGGGATGGGTTAGCATACCTGGAAGGAACATTCAATCTGTTCACGGAGATCAACTTTCACGTCTCCGTTGTCATCCATCCCGACATGACCTGACGTTGCCACCAGGCGACAACCCGTCGGAATGCAGACTGCTGCAGATATGTGAAACTGCTTGGAGATCTCCTCGTAGGCTGGGAAATTAACGCTGTGGAGGTGAGACATCGTGGGTAAAGCGTGGTTTAAGACGCGAGAAGGTTGTGATTGTTGGGTATGAACGAGTTGTGGAAAATGAATCGAGGGCAGTGTTGCAGGGCTTGTCTATCTGAAGGTCCGAAGTGCGTAGAACATCACTAGAAGGCTTCTTTACCTGGAGATATCAGGATCATTTATAGCGGAGAGATTGTCTCTGAAATCAAAGTGGTCCTACGTTCGAATCCACTATCCTGCCAGAAGGAGAAGGTGAAGCATCAAAGATTTCCTAATGGAGCAGGAGGGTCCTCCGCAACAATATGTAACTTGCTAGGGACATACAAACTGGTAAAACACTTCGTCCCTTCACCGGTGCCTCAACAAAGAGCGTTAACATCTTTAATGTCCGCGAATTTCTCTCGCAATCGGGTATCACACATTTCCCCTACGGCTGCCCAAGCTTGCCTACGGATTTAAAGGGGTAGTACACCGGACCAGCAAGGAATGCATAGTCTATGATTTAAAATCCGACAACATCCTCAGCAGGTAGGTCTACTGAGAATTCTACGAGGTAAGTTCCTTACAGAATTGTTAGCAAGGTATTTTCGTGGAGCGCAGGAACAGAAGCAGTTAAGCATGGCTATGCTGAGGTTCGACTTTCATTGAGGCCGGTTACGGGAGTTGTTCTGTCGGTTGGTTAGTTAGACTGATACTTTCAGATGATCTCGCGAATCCTTGGGGAGAGACGCAGTGAAGTGAAGTGGAGGGGAGGGGTGGCAGCTAGGTGGGTACATAGGTAGGCATGTAGATACCACTACGCAAGGCGAATTGATTACCTGTATGCCGACGTTCGACCAGCGGTGCGCTTGGCGTCGATTCACCTCCTCTTATCCCGCCAAGAGGAGTCGAAAGGATACCGTTTCGCCTACATCTAGCAGCGTGCTTCGTAGAAAAAAGCAAATGCGGTTTCATGGGTAGAGGCCTCGCATGGTTCCGACTCCACAATGCATCAACCTCGTCATGCGATGATGCTTTCAACCTTTCCAGGACCGGAAGCGGAGGGTTACTGTAGGCTAGAGGCTCTCCGCAGAAGTACGGTCACTCTCTTGCCGCGAGCTACGGTGTACATCTCAGCAGGCATCACCTGTCATGCAACGTTACGTTAGCTTATAGAATATGGCTCCCCTAGTCGGTCCGGGCACTTCTGTATACCTTGGACTTTAAACAGCAACTACTAAGTCTGAAGCAAGTCACATATCACATATCTACTTTAGATAAATACTGACCCCAACAGGATTTGTCGACTTGATCCTCAACGAATTCTCCCGGGCTGAATATTACCCATTTACACTACCTCTAACGGCCTGCCGAATATACTTCATTATATGTTCCTTGTTGACTATAAGTGAATACTCACTATAGTTAAGGGCTGCACTATTAAGGCATCAAGACCTCAGCCTTACTTACTAGATATAATTTAGTGAACTTTTGCACCTAACTGTTCATCCACCACCAGTGCCATTATAAAATGTTTCTTGATCTAGCTTATAGCGGACGCTAGTATCTGAGATGGAATCAACATCGCAGGTTACCCAACAGAGGAGTCGAGGCAGCTGCCGCCCGCGCATGGTCCATGTCCTGCATTTCGCACCTTTTCCATAAGCTGCGAAGGACGTCTTTGGTTGGGTGTGGAAGGCTATGTTTCTCCCACAAGAGCTTGCTGTATGCTGTCATATGGCAGAAGAACTTCAAGAGTGAAGGAGTGGAGACACGGAGTAATTTAGAGCTCCTTGTATTCGTAGATAGAGGTGTGGTCATGAGTGATCTCAAAAGCGGCGCAGAGTACGAACTCAACACGGTTAGCCGAAACCTCCTAACTCTCGAGTACTCCGTACTTGCAGCAAAGCTGGCCGCTTTACGGAGACAGAGTATTGCGTACAGTATTGCGTACAGAATATTGGTGGCCTCTACAGGGACACGTACTCTTGACCAAAGGAGGTGCCACGAGGCGCCGACAATTGTGCGCATACTCTCCTCTTCGCTTCTGTGATGCGTGCCCATCATGCGCATATGATCAAGACTATGGTACTCGTTCCCGATGGACGGACTGCGTCTTGAAGATCACGAAATCGGGGACTGCGCTCGCCATAATGGCACCCTCCGACTTTGAGAATGAACTCCATCAACTTTTGTCCGCCGATGCGGACGCTGATATCTCGTTGAGGTCTGCTGAAGTTGCCGCTGAATAAACAGTGAGCTAACATGCGCATAGCAGTCCGCGGCAGAATTTAGGAGCCAGTTCGTCATCTCATCAGAGCGCTCCAGACCCTATCTCTTCTCACTCGACCACCCCAAACGCTCAAGCTAGCGTGCCGACCAATGGTACAAGACAATCCCACTCAAGAAACAGCAGCCTTGGCCTGAAGGAGGAACTCTCATCGGATTGGTACGTGGAAGGGCCTGGCCGGAGAGTTGGCTACGATAATTTAACCGCAATCGACTGGATCTATGAATACACGAAAGAAAGGCAGCGTCTGAGGAGACTGGCAGCACTCAATTCAGGCTTGTTAGGGCAACTGAGACAACTTTTCGAAGTCAGTCAGATATGGCTTGTTCTCGTGGCCACTGGAATCTCGGTCGGTTGTGTCGCTGCCGGCATCAACATAGCCTCCGACTGGTTAAGCGACATCAAAACAGGGTACTGTAAGAAGGGTACTGGCGGAGGGCAGTTCTATTTGAACAAGCAATTCTGCTGTTGGGGTCATGACGACCTCTCTCAGTGTCAAGATTGGACTCCCTGGCCCGCCGCGTTAGGGATCCATGTCGCGGGAGGACAATATGTCATAAGCTATATGTTCTTCATTGGGTTTGCAGTATGCCGGTCAGCCTTGCTTGCAGAAGGGAGGCTTACCCTATGTCTAGGTCCTTTTTGCCGTATCGGCTGGCGTGTTGGTACAGAAATACTCGATTTATGCTCGACATAGCGGTATTCCTGAGATCAAAACCGTTCTCGGAGGTTTCGTCATCAGGCGCTTCTTTGGTGGCTGGACACTGCTTGCAAAATCGCTCGGACTGGTAACAGACAATGTTCCTCCCTCGTTGTATTGTCACTGATCGTGTCTAGTGTCTTTCCGTATCGTCAGGCATGTGGCTTGGGAAGGAAGGACCATGCGTGCACCTTGCTTGCTGTTGCGCCAATATTATAATGAAGCCTTTCGAATCCCTCAGCCATAACGAAGCACGCAAACGCGAGGTACTTTCTGCGGCCGCTGCCAGCGGCATCTCTGTCGCCTTTGGAGCTCCTATTGGGGGGGTGCTCTTCTCATTGGAGCAACTATCATACTACTTTCCCGACAAGACCATGTGGCAGTCTTTCGTCTGTGCTATGGTGGCGGCTGTCACGTTGCAGGCCATTAACCCATTCCACACTGGGAAGATTGCGCTTTACCAGGTCACTTATACGACAATCTGGCACAGCTTCGAGATTGTACCATTTGTTCTATTGGGCATTACAGGCGGACTTTTTGGTGGCATGTTCATCAAGCTCAATATGCTCGTCACGAGAATCAGGAAGTCTCAGAGTTACTGGCTTAGAGAAAAACCACTTCATGAAGTACTCGTGGTGGCCGCGATTTCAGCGCTTGTCAACTTCCCTAACACCTTCATGCGAGCTCAGCTTTCAGAGCTAGTTTATTACCTTTTCGCGGAATGCGCTACCATTGGCAACAACGACATATTTGGTCTATGCAAAGCCACTACTGGCGGGGCTTTGTCGATGTTGTGGCTATTAATTGCGGCCTCTGTACTGGGTTTTCTGTTGGCCAGTATCACATTTGGACTCCAGATCCCAGCTGGAATCATACTACCCTCTTTGGCCATTGGGGCACTCTACGGGAGATCTGCAGGTGTTGTCATGGAACTTATACACAAGCATTTCTCAACATCATTCGTCTTTGCAGCATGTGAGCCCGATGTTCCATGTGTGATCCCAGGGACTTATGCCATTGTCGGCGCCGCCTCTGCTTTGGCAGGCGTCACACGCATGACGGTGTCAATAGTTGCAATCGTGTTCGAGCTCACTGGTGCACTCACTTATGTACTGCCGATCATGATTGCGGTCATGCTTGCCAAATGGATTGGCGATGCATGCTCGACTCGAGGCATCTATGAGTCTTGGATCCAAATCAACGAGTACCCATATCTTGACAACAAGGATGACGCGGCCATACCCCAGGTATCGGTGTCAGGCATCATGACGAGGGTGGAGGACATGACCTGTTTGAACGGCAACCAGGCATATTCAGTCGAGAAATTGCGAAAGATTCTTCGCACCACTTCTTTTCGTGGATTTCCTGTCGTTGCTTTTAAGCATTTGGCGGAAGATCCAGCTTCTGTACCTACAAGCTTTCTACCATCACCACGCGAGAATACGTTTCTTGGGTATATCTCGCGGACTGAGCTGTCTTTTGCGTTGGATCGTGTCACAACCTCTGGAGTCTCTTCCCGCAACTCTCCTCCCATCACTCCTCAGACACCCTGTTATTTCAACTATCACGCCGATATTATCTCCGGTCATGGGGTAGATTTGCGTCCTTGGATGGATCAAACGCCGATCACGCTCAATGCGAACAGCTCCCTTCAACTGGCTGTCCACATGTTTCAGAATCTTGGTTTGCGCTACCTTCTCTTTGTCGATAAAGGGGCGTTCCGAGGCATTCTTACGAAGAAAGATGTTTGGTGGATCCTATCAGCAGCCGAGGACGGGCGTAGAAGGGATGAATTTGTTGCTGGGTCTGGAGTGCTTCGAGGCGACGATGAAGACGATGACGGTCGCGACGAGGCTAGAGGTCTTCTCCAGCAAGATGGAGCTTTTGAGCAACTTGTAGCGCCAACATAAGACGCAAACATGAGTTTCACGTTGAGCCTTTTTAGTCGTTGTCGTGGCCCTCAAACTCGATACGACGGACGCCAAAGTCTCTAAAGGTACAAGTAAAAGATGAGGATCCCTAAGCGAACGTAATACTTGCAAGTTGCGGGACAGAGACCCTTGGTCAATGATATAATAATATCCTACACTTGCAGCGGTGTTTCTCCCTCACCGGACGCGTTATGGACGAAATTTACACGGCTCCAGACGACATTCACACCAGCCTGTATCAAGGAAACAAGTGTCAGACCACCTCTGCGCTTGTCGCAAGAGAAATAACGGGCAAGGTCTCGTTAGTCACCTCGGCTACAACATTTGAACGACCCAAAACAGCCTTTAGAGGTGCGCGAGATAGGAAGGTGGGATGTTTGTGATCCACGGCGGCGCTGATTTCGACGCAGCGAGGATCATCCCAAATGAGTGTAGAGGGTCGGCTATAAAGTGATAGACCCGGCCAGAGGACTTTCCCCTGTAACCACGAGGCAAGACGCAATACCACCGGACTCTTGACCATCAAATGCGGACCATTGAATTTTTGAATCAGGGGAAGCGAGCAAAGCTTAGCTACCAAGGAGTCGACCGACGACGATGCGAAATTGACCCTGAATCAGACTGCATTTTGCCTAGTGATGGCCTCGGTAGTTTATGCTCCTCCTCCGCTGCTGATCAATTGATCCCTCTGGCTGTTTGACGAGGATCACCTGAGTAAAGAGGCAGTCGATGGAGATGCAAATGTTGACCCCCGAGACGAGCGTTTATTCTGCATGCCGCTCCGTACTCAGTACGACTCACCAGTAGTCAACCAATGTCTCCCGCAGCTACAGAACCACTTGTCGCTAGTGGGAATGGAAGCTTGTAACTAGATGATCGCCCTCGAAATTTGTAGTTGCATGCTGGCGTGCATCATTCTGCACCTCTAACCCTGATCAGGGACCAGCTATCTGGACGGACATTCGTCGAACAACAAGGAAAGACATGCTCTCGGGATTCCGCTCCCAAAGCGGGACATCTAGTGCGATTCACGCCCGCAAGTCTGCAGAAGCGTCCGGGTTATTCTCTTCTCGTGGCATGAGGCTCGAGCTAGGTCCAGAGAGCGCCCTCTAACTAGCCTGAGCGGGTTCATGAAAGGCTACGGCAGCGAGCGAGCTGCTCATTGCGCGAGAGCAAAGAATCGGGCATGTGCACCTGTATCTTCCCCTTCAACGACGTGACCAGTGGTGGCACCAGCTGCGTCAACGGGCCCAGCGGACCAAAGGCCTTTAGTGGCTAGCTTATGACTGTAACCCAGAGCCACAGCAGTCCCTACATTCGGTAGAGATTTTCCTGCCACGAGAGCCACGAGGCGCTAGGAGCTCGTGCTGACTTCCCGCAACTTCTAACTAGCGTTATGCGACGCAAACCCAAGAGCAAGCGAGAATGGCAGATCCGGTACAAAGCCATACGATGCCCCATCTAGAGCTTCAACCGTCCGCTGCTGTTGGTCAGTGCGACTGCAGAGGATCTGAGGATGTGACCTCCAGGTAGAGGAGAATCCTGACCTCTGAGGGGTTCTAAGGACTCCGGTGTGACTACAGTCTACTGCAAACGCTCGCCCAGCTACTCTACCCGTGATGTTTCTACATCGAGGCCCAAGTGACGACGATCCAATGCTCAAAAGGTCGGGTTTGGACACACCGCCTTTCAGCGCCTTGGTCCTGGTGTGATGAATCTTTATTCTACTGTGATGTCCGTATGGCCTTGTGGTTTCAGGTCGCTCCGTCAAGGCCACATGCAACACCAATGGGATGGCTGGTAACAATGGGCCACCGTCGGGACTTCTAAAGGCGATTGCTGAAATCTTGACTCAAGATGTCAAACGGAGCGGTATTGTCGATCAAACGCTGTAGAGCAGCAGCCCGGGTTGTATCTAAGATTGGTAAAATGTACCTCCGTCCTACACATATGGTGGCACCCAAGCTGCCGCATTAGGACCTTGCATTCCGTTGCACTTGGCCCTTGTGTCAGTGTCGATCGCTGCATCTTGACGTACAACACCTCTACACTTCTCGTTACCACCGCGATGTTGGTTGGTACTTGCATGACGCCAGTTGATCCGGCAAATATTGAGCGAGTTGAAAGGTGGAAGTCCTCGTCCGCCTCCTTGTAGCTAAAGAGCATAGTGCCCTTTCTCCCGCCGTCCGAAAGTCATGACATGACGGCTATGACGGCTTACTGTGCGATGGCTCCTGGAGAAGGGATTTCGCACCAACCCTGAAGGAACGATCTTTCTTCATGCCCGAGACATACCAGTGGCACACCACGCGGAAAGTCTTAGACAACCTCCTATTGTTTTTGATATCTCAATACGGCTGGCTCCTGGCTCCTGGCTCTGGAATTTTCATCCGTTGCCCTCTGGAAAGCAACTGGCAGGGCTAGAGTGAGGCTAGCGACGATGCAGGAACCGTTCCTTCAAGGCCCATACAGATTGACCAACGGCGTCCAAAAACTTGGAAGTCACAATTTCTACACGAACAAATCCGAGACAGACGGGATTAGGGGTTGCACCAGAGAATTGCTACCGCATGTGTTGCGTCAACCTTCACTGGTTAGGGGTGAACATCAATGAGGCTCGTTCTGGTCACTCTCCCGTGCCGGCGTGGTGGCTGAAATAGGTGTCTTCGCAGAAGCGACTGTCTCCAGACTACTGGTTCAGCACCACAAGCCGCTGACCATGGAAGAGGGTCCTTTTCTGTAGTCTGCAGGATGCAAGTATAGTACAGAACTCCGTCTTCCGTGCGGCATGCAACGATGCATTGTCCGTTTGGGGGCCAGAGAAGGTGAAAAATCCTCGAGGCTCCAGCCAACCTCGCTTAACACTGGAAACACATGTGGACAAAACCCATTCTGATTCAGACGGCATCCAACCGAACCCAATGTTCCAATGCCTCAAAAAAAGGCTGGCTCCAATTTCCCTGCGAACACAGCACTCTTTTGCACCAAGACTGTTTCTCTATAGTTCTCCTTTAACTTTCAAGTCGCCTTTAAACTCTTAAACTTTGAAACGATCTGACGAACTGCAGCAGAAGCTTGTGGCTTCTGAGATTCGTGGCCCTCCATCAACGTTGGAGGGGTGACCCTGGTAGCTGTCTCGAACAGTGACAAAAAATCGGATGGGCACCCGTCATTTCACACCACCAGCTCCCCCGTCCGTGTGCCGTACCACTGGACCGAGCCAGTTGGACCAAGCCACAGAAAGGGGAGCCAAACAGGCGGTCTTAGGAGCCCTCGGGCGTTACACTAAGGGATAGGTTGACATCTACGCGATCGGGCGGCCTTTGAACCGTCCCTGACCGCCAGAAAAGGTTACGGATGAATTTTTTCCTTGTTCCTGTCACTGGATTCTAGCTGGGATGGGCAGCTCGGCTCGCCGACCCCTTCTGACAGTTGACAGGTACGGAGCATCAAGTACATCCATGCCGGACAGCTCGCGGTCTAGATCAACCGCTGGTGCACAATCATGTTTGCCTTAAACTGTAAGTTAACTGGGAGTTGTCTGGCCAGGTATGTTGACTTTTCCCAACCTACACTGTGCAGAAATAGTGAACCTGCATCTATACTTACCGATAATGGCACACTAAGGTAAGTCGAAACGACGACGTCTGCTTTTTCTTCTCGCCACACAAAACACTGCATGGTCACTGGTCAGTGTTCAAACCTTGAAATCGAAATCTAATCCGCCAGCGACGTTTCAACACATTAACATCTCTTACGAGGCACTCCAACTACCGCGGGAAAAATTCCGGTTGGGCAGGGCTTCCAAGGGGGATGTCTGCGACTTCTGTCACGTCAGCCAACCTTGCTCGTATGCGAATAAAGGACGGGTTTATCCTGGTTTGTGTGGCTTTCGTCCAGCGCTGACGCACGGAAGGGGTCTCGTGCAGGGGTCATCACGGTCGCCCATCGACCAGGATCTTTCCAACGCACAGCCCAAGGCCCCAGAACAATGGAAGCCCTCGACAGGTGTCTGGATCTCAAGCTTGGGTCAAGGATCGACCCAGAGTATGACAGCCATGCTGCCAACGGGATGCTCGAACAGCCCCGGATCTTGAGGCGTGCTGCAGACTGCAGTGAAGACAAAAGACCCGGCATCTTTTCCTGCATCAGCAGCAGTGATAATAGGGCAGTGTATTCTAAGAGTCCTTGATCAAAGCCAACAGATACTTTGCGTTTCATTATGGAAGTTTCCTGTAGCAGCTGGTGTTGGCGGCTTTTGCGAATTCCCAGTAATGCAATCATCGTGTGTTTGGGCACCAACTGCAATCAGCTGGATCTCAACTCCCCATATCCCCTGTGCTTGAACAGGGTGGGAGATTCTTGTGATAGACTTTAGCCTAGAAGAGGCATGCTAATAACTCCGACGCGCAGTGGGGAGTTGGGGATCCTTGCGCGTTCGAAACTCTGATCCTTGGAAACCCGTTGACAATCGTCTGGAAGCCTGTCAAAACTCGGCAGCTGGGCATTGGATCCTTACATGGCGCTCATGATGCTGGCTTCCCCGGAAGCCACAACAGTCACAGTCCCAGAAACGAGGCCAGTCATCGCGCGTAGATGTCGAAGACAGACAAAGCACTCTGCTCCCATTACGGCGTCTGATGCTGCATGCAAGCTCCCCGGCCGCTGTGAAGTTGACGTGACGATTGAGCGTACAGAGGACTGCTTCCCCTCCAGTGTGGCACACATGCAGTCACCAGAAGGAGAATGGAGGATCGAAGACAGACTCTAGCGTCTTCCTTGCAGGTGGACTCTTGAAGAGCACGAGGTTGACAGGCTGCGTCCCACTGTCCTCCCATACTGTACTCACTCAAACATCGGAGAATGAACCCGTCTCATCTGGAAGCTGTAGCTAACTACTTTGGTGTGCAACTCACGGGGTATACAGCACAGTTACACAAAGGCTTCACACACCAGCAAAGACATCTGGTTTCTCGGTGGCCCGCCACAACCGCTGATCCTGTGTCAATTGATGCCGACGGCGACCCTGCACGCTTGGACCAAAGCGCAGAGACACACAGCAGGCCCTTCTTTTGGCTTTCCGCCTAATGCCCTTACTGCGGACCTCCGCCAGGGCCGGCTCTGAGCCTTTCCCTCAGCGGCAAGGTGCCAAGCGGCGGGTGCAACACCATACGGCTACCCTTGCCCTTGGACTGCGAAAGTGCCGCTGATCCACTGCACTGCTTCGCACCCTAACTGTGGACTGCGTGCTCGAAAGGCTAACTAAGCCTACTCCTAGCCAAAGTCCTGGGTACCCTTCTTCCCGCAATCAGTGGCGGTCAAAGGGCCGTCAATCATGCCTGTGTTTCTTCTCCTCCAGGCTCTTGTTGCGCGACGCCAATGAACCCACTGCGCCGGTCATGACAATGGGATCTTCCCTTGCTGGTTTGAAAACCATCCATCAAACCGTCCCCACCGAGAACCTCGAACTCGTCTGAGAAAGCATCGAACCCACACAGAAGCTGCACCGTCTCTTTACCAGGCTTGCGACCCGCGAGACAGTGCTTGTCCTAAATCCCAAGGGAGGCAGCGTTGCTAGCACTACCGCTGCCTACTTGTGCTGCTACGTATTGTAGTTACCAAGCGTGTACCCTAGCCCTTTTATTGCAAGTAAAACCCTTCCGAGTTGAACTTCTGTTGTCCCCCGATTCCCATAGAACCCACTGAAAGAAACAAGGACGGGAAGCGTCTCCACGTGGCTCCCAAGGCCTGGCATCTCTGCGTGTTTCCTGAGCTCTCCGTTCTCATGATTTACAAGATTGCTCTGCGACGCTACTGCGCCTAATCGAGGGACACTGCCAGTCGGGGCCTCTTGTCCATGAACAAACACGACCGATCCCTCTCCAGCGTCGAGGTGAGCAGCGTGCACAGCGCGACCACCCAAAACCTCTACGATCTCGGGCTCCTCAGCCGCCCTCACTCCAGGTCACGATCAAGCACGAAGAGTTCGAGGACGGTGCAGTGTAAGGACCTTCCAAACAAAGCCCGTGGTCTGAGCCTTTGCGGCTTTGGACCCAGGAACGTCTGTCTCGGAACGGCCAAAACCTTATACTGACACATGATTTACATGTCGCAGACAGTCACCACCACCAACATCATCCGCGCGCCCGCTTTGACGGCTATCCCCCTCGCACAGGCTCTTCATTGAGCGGCGCGACCCTCGACGGCAATTTCAAGCAGTCTAGCATCTCCTCCGGCACTTTGGGGAGATCACACACCCCTAACGAGAGTCGCCCTCGCACCAGAGACCGACGAACTCCGGCCTCGCCTGCCGCGAGCATTCCCGGTGCGGGATACCCTATGGCTGGCATGTTGGAATCAGATCGCGCACGGTCGAGGAGAGAGAGGACCTTTGTAGGCGGAGAATGCGCGGCCTGTGAGGAGCTGTTGGAACATACACTGAGAGGGGAGAGGATCTTGCAATTCTCCTGTGGCCATGTAGCACACGAGGCCTGCTTCTATGAATACATCAAAGATTCGGACGCTCAATACTGCCCGGTATGCGACGCTCCTTTGGGCCTGGATTCCTTCCGTGGGGGAAGCATTCTGGATCTCAGTAAGTTCATCCATAGGTGTCCTGGACAGCAATCCTAACAGAGACCCTAGGCAAGCTGAGCAACATGGTACGAGCGGTTGCGCAGAAGGATGTCACCTCCCCAAGAAGTTCACAGAACACCCCGATGCCATGGGATCGACAAACAACCCAAGGCCAAGAGGATAGCTTCAGTACTCGTGATTTGGCCAGTCGAGAGATGTCTACTCGAAATAGTCGAGAAAACCCCAATCGAGACAGCCGAGATAGTCAGAGGATGCGGATTGAGCGCTTAGGAATTGGACAAGCGGCCGCCAACGGCCAAAGGGGTCCGCTTCAAGCACCATCTACCATGACCAAGAATACCAGCCATACGCGTAATGACAGCGGCGGCAACAACTCATCGACTGACGACGCCAACGATCATCTAAGTCACTCACGCAAGCATGATTACGATCTTCATGCAATGGAAACAACCGTATCAGGCTCGCAGCTGAAGGACGCAAAACAGACGATACCGTCGCCAATTGTCACCGTGCGCAGCGAATACCCTACGTTGACCAGGTCAAGACAACAACAGAGTCTCACGTGTCTTGTGACGATTGAGGTACCTGAGCTTAAATGGCTACCACAACTTGAAGAGGTACAAACACCGCCTGTTCCTCCTCTTCCCACAGACTCTGGAATCAGCATGCCGGGCAGGCAACGACCTGAGCTTACACCTGACCACCTTGCCTATGAAACCCCCGAAGTTCTAGAGGAGAAAACTGAAGAACTCCGGATCCGCGTTGATAACTGGCATGGACTGGAATTTCAGCGATTTGGAAATCTTCGTCTGCATGGAACGGTGCGGGTTGGAAAGGATCGGCATTCCTGGCAGGAGCTCGAATGCTATTTATTTGGGGAGATGTTGATCTGTGTCAAAGAGAAGAAAAATTCTCATCCACCAGTAATCCTCGAATCCGGACGGAAGTTGACACGGTGCACCCTCAAAGGATCCATCTTGATCAAGAGGCATCTGAGGCAGGTGCATGCGTCTCTCGACGAGAACATTCTTACTTTGAATCTCTCAGTGGCGGAACTACCAACTTTCCACCTGCTCTTCCAAGAGAGAGAGAAGCTCGAATTGTGGCAGAAGGCTCTACGGGATCTCAACTCGTCAGACAGCTTGTCAAACTACCCACAAGACTATGAGCAAGATACTTCCGGTACCGATGACGATGAATATGGCCGACAAAATCGGACGGTCCGGCGAGTACCCTCTATGACATCGTCATATGGAGGACCAAAGTCTGCCACGACAGCGGCTACGGAGTACTCGATGCAACGAGCAGTTGTGGATCGCAAGATTCCTCCTTCACTGCACGTTCCTATCGATGTCGTAGTCGTGATACCGGTGTCTTCTTCGATGCAAGGTCTAAAGATATCTCTTCTCAAAGATACCCTGCGGTTCTTGGTTTCCAATCTAGGCGACCGCGATCGTATGGGTTTGGTTACTTTTGGTTCAAGTGGCGGCGGCGTTCCCGTGGTTGGGATGACCACGAAGACCTGGCAAGGTTGGAACAAAGTTCTCAATTCGATACGTCCAGTCGGTCAGAAGAGTCTGAGAGCTGATGTGGTGGAAGGCGCAAATGTTGCCATGGATCTTCTGATGGCACGGAAAGCTGCGAATCCGATTTCAACCATCTTATTGATCAGTGACTCTACAAGCTCGGACAGTGACAGTGTCGATTTTGTGGTGCAGAGGGCGGAAGCGGCCAAGTGAGACTCCTCTCCCAAATGACTCGTCTTCATAGTTGCTAATTTGAACAGGGTCGGCATCTTCTCGTTTGGTCTAGGTCTCACCCACAAGCCCGAGAACATGATCGAGCTCTCCACTCGGACAAAGGCATCATATCTTTATGTCAAAGACTGGATGATGCTGCGTGAATGTGCTGCTGGCGTCCTCGGTGCACTTCAGTCCATGTCGCACCAGAACGTCAAGCTAAAGCTCAAATTACCGGAAGGATCCCCAGGCAAGTTTGTGAAGATCAATGGTGCTCTGCAAACGACGAAGAGATCCACGGGAAGGGATGCCGAAGCCACATTGGGAGATCTCCATTTCGGCGACAAACGGGACATCCTGGTACAGTTGGCCATCGACCCTGACATCTCATCACAAGAGCCCGCACCGCAAGATCCGTGGGAATCCATTGTGTCTGGACTCGAAGCTCTAGGAGGCTCGCTGGACACAGAAGATCAAAGAGTACAAAGTGTCGAAGAGGTACCTCTCCTGCAGGCCGACCTCTCGTATGGTGATCTATTGAAAGATGGCTCGATTATGCAGCTGCCACGCCCGTCACTGCTTGCGATCACCATGTTGCCTGCGCACCCACAATCCCGTTCGAGTAGTGGTCGACCTTCCTCTCCTCCAATCCCCCCCCACCCGATGATAGTACAGCGACGCATGGAGCTGCTCACGTCCGATATGCTCAGCCGCGCGCTGACGCTGGTAGCACGGGGTCAACATGAACGGGCACATCATCTGCTCAACGAGACGAGAACGATACTCAAGGGACTAGGCAAAGGCGGTCTCCCGCCACTACCGCCTGGCCCTCCCGCAATGAACAAGCGACACTCGCCACCAGCGAAGGCGTCGAGCCCAAGAAGCGAGACCTCTGTAAGTATGGGCGTCCGGGACCAAAGTCCTCACTCAGACTCGAGTACACCCATTCCTCGCACGACAGGGGTAGACCTCGCCACGATGAATGCCCTGGACGCGGACATCGAAACCAGCCTGGAATGGATCAATCACCCCGCAGTATTCTCTCGCGATTCTCGCAAAGCTGTCCTTCAGGCCATTGGAGTCATATCCTCTCAACGCGCCTACACGTTCCGGTCCGCCTCGGAGTCAATCTGGGCTGAGCGTCTCCCGGGAGTCAAACGACTGACCGACCAGTCCAGGGAATGGCGAGAAGTGGGAGACGATGCTCTGACCGAAGAATAACGACCTAGTTCTCACGATACTATTGTTTTGAAATGTTGTACAGAAACCCTTTTTGTATGAGTGTGGATACGGGCCATTCACTCGTCGTATTTCTATGTCTCTCTCTCTCTCTCTCCCTCTCTCTGTATCCGGTCTACTATGTTCTCCAAGTTATCCATGTCCAGCGAAGAAGTCATTTTTTATGTTGTCGAGCAGCTTTTGGGTTTTCAGGGTTGGGTCCCCGATGAGGAAAGATTAAGAGAAAATGCAGCTTGAGCGACTTGGCCAGGTGGTTACTTCACGGTGTTTTTTGGCCTTGACGAGGCATTGTTGTTATGGTTGCGAAAGCGAAAGACAGCGAGCGATTGGGCGACTTCTTTCATGACGGCGATCAAAGGTGATCGCAGCTTACGAAGCTTGTGACTTTGCTATTATTCCATACCTTGAGATATTAAGTTGCAGTACTACTTGGCCCCCTTGCGCGTGGATAGTGTGAAATGGGTCTTGCAAGACACATACATAATTGGTTTCTACATATAGAGTACGACGGAGCAATCTATGTCAAGTGTATGATGGGCAAGAAGATACATATCCGAGGGTACCAAGTATTTTGTTTGTCCAGACTGACCTCTTCGTACATGTGCGGCTCTAGCATACTCAATCATTTCGTTTTGGTGTTGTAAGAGCAGACCCACTGTAGTATGTAACTGAGGCGAGAAAAGAAATGCTTGCGGTGATAAGGTAGATTGGAGGTTACATTGATTGACCAACTCCCACCAGTCTACTGCAGAACACATCGCGGATCTCGAACATGCATCCGGCTTCCCGATGGATCACCGTGGGTACTCGTCATGACGGTCTGTGAGTTGGGGCAAATCGTACCCCATCATGAGACTCTCTAATCCGCAGCTAACGAAGATCCAAAGGAATAAAATTGCTACTGGGGCGAATTGTAACATCATCGATGGTCGATTGACCTTTTCCCCTGGGCGGTCCTAACTAAGAACTAATTTTACGGATACTTTCGCTTTTGATGTGGCTCATGGACACTTTTCATTTTGAAGTTTTAATCAAGTAGTAATGACGTACTGAGTGAAGAACTCTATGCTTCGCGAAAAGTGTGTCCGGTGGCGCCTGATGTTCAGAGTCAGGAGGGACAAAGTCCTTCCGGGAAGCTTCAGACGATCTCACTTGGTGAAGTGGACATCAGTCATAGCACTCGTACTTGGTACCTGCTGGCTTCCATGCTCGTACCATCGCAGACCACCTCAGTCATTCGACTCGTGTCGGGACCAATACTGATCTGAAGTCAACAGCAGAAAACTGCATGAATAATATAGCTCGATAGGAGATTTAGTTGTAATGCGTGGCGATGAATACTACTAGTAAGTACCTAATCCTTAGAAGGGCAAGACTTTGCAGCCTCGCGCAGCCTCGTGAAATCCGAAGTTTTGCCGCGAGCAACAATTTTTTGATGCCAAGGCTGGACATGGATGGCAAACCTTTCGACTTGAGATTTCGTCCACGCCCATTCATCGAGATCAACAGAATTCCTTCTTCTCTGGATGAGAGGAGATTCCTCAAAGACTTTGCATCACATCTGGAACCATGGAAGACATAGCAGTGTACTGCTCATGGGCTGATGCACAAGTCCAAAGTGAAGCCAGACTCCCGCCCGAACTCCAGTCGATCATCCTTCAGTCAACGGGATCGCAGTATTTCGAGGCACTCGCGCAAGCAGCCCTAACACCACAACATGCAGATGCACTGTTCGCTTTGTACAGACCACTGTATGCCGAACTAGTGGCTCGCTTTCCAGCTTTTGGTGCCTCGCCCTCGCTTGGCCAGCTGGTAAACTCCGTTTCATGCCTTGCGAGGATACTACCGTTCGCCAAATATTTTCGGCGTCATGTCAGAGATATTTTAGTGAAACAATCCCTGTTAAATCGAATACACGAGCTGGGAGGGCCCTCCGTCAAACATAACACGGAAGACTTGCAATCGTTCATGCTGGCCTTGTTTCGCATTCTATCCTTCGATCGAGATCTACTTGCAGGCACTGCGGCTCCGGTCTTCTTTTCGTCTTTGCTTCGTCACCAGGATGGGACGATACGATACCTTGCGGTACAATGTATTTGCATGGTCATGCACTTCGCTGATGCGTTTTCCGAGCAAATGGTCGAATCATATGTTGGCAAAGGAGCTATTCTGGGTGATTGGGAAGGCAAACAAATTGATTTCCGCTTATTGAAACTGTGGGAAGAGCACCGATGGGTGGAACTTTCTAAGAGACTTGCGGATATGGAAAATCTGTATCAACGTGCCGTCCCATCTTCCCAGGTACGACCTCTGAGCCTCACCGATCTGAGCACAACGACTGCAAGCATTGGAGGCGTTATCCTTCCTCGGTCGAACCCTCCCGAGCCTCCGACATCTAGCTTTGGACTCACTCCTACGGCGAAAAGAAACTTGCAGCATGTTGGTCGTTGTCTGCTTGCAGAAAAGCCCATTTTGTTATCTGGTCCGCAAGGTTCGGGCAAAACTGCCATCCTACACGAAGCTGCGAGGGCTCTTGGCAAGCTCTCTACTTTGATCACGCTACATCTAAACGAGCAGACAGACGCGAAGAGTCTTTTGGGCATCTACACATCCTCTGCTGATGGCGAGTCATTTACCTGGCAGGCCGGTGTTTTGACCAAGGCAATTCAGCAAGGACGATGGGTGCTTATTGAAGACATTGATCGTGCTCCTGCCGAGGTCATGGGTGTGCTTCGCCCTATCATCGAGAGTGGCGAGCTGTTTCTTCCGAGTCGAAAAGAGACGGTTCGAGCGAAGGACGGATTTCGAATCCTTGCGACGATCAAGTCCGCTGGTCGCTCTTCGTCGACGTCCAGCTCGCGCCAATCCTGGCTGTTGAACCCTCGCCTATGGTCTGCGGTTGATGTAGCCAGCTATGAGGTGCATGAAATCGAGACTTTACTTCGATCGAAATACCCTATTATCGATATCTTCACATCTACCGTTCTACATGTTCATGAGCAAGTTTCTGCCTTGTACAAGTTCGACCCGCGTTTCAAAAGCTTGCAAACTAGGTCGCCCTCCTTGAGGGACCTACTGAACTGGGCGCGCCGAATTGCTAAGAGACTTCCAGAATCTGTAAAACTTTCCAAGTCAAGCCCTCTCGCTGAGGCTACGAAATTCCACATCTTCAAGGATGCTGTTGATTGTTATGGCGGATATCTGAGTGATGACGAGCTTCATGACGTCGTAGCTGTCGCCATAGCTCGCCAGATGTCCATATCTCCTCAACAGATGCGGCATTGTCTTGATGAAGGCTTTGGAAGTGTGGTTGACAATGGCACCTCCGTTCGAATAGGTCGAAGCAGTCTTCACAAGATGTCCAGCCGGCGCCGACATAGCCAAAAGACACCTTTTGCCCTTACGAAATACGCCCAACGAACTCTCGACCGTATAGCCGCTGGTGCAAGTTGCTCGGAGCCCTGCCTCTTGGTTGGTGAAACAGGCGTGGGAAAGACCACACTCGTTCAGCATATCGCCAATCTTGTGGGCCAGGAACTTACAGTTGTGAATCTTTCGCAGCAAAGTGAGATCAGCGATCTACTTGGCGGTCTGAAGCCTGTGACTACCCGATCCCTTGTCTTGCCTCTCGTCGACAAGTTCACAATCTTGTTCGAAGACACTTTCTCCACCAAAAAGAATGAAAAGTTCCACATTGCAATCAATAAGGCAGTTGCAAAGCAAAATTGGCCAAGACTGATGATACTCTGGAATGAAGCTGTTCAGCTGGCGGCCGGCTCGCTAGCTCCAGCCACAGATCCTCCCAAACCTGATGATCCCGAACGCGCTGCTAAGAGGAGAAAGCTTGCAACACCAAAGTATGACGCAATCCGCAGAAGATGGGCAGAATTTTCGGAAGACGTGAAGAGAATTCGTGCTCATGTCGAGCGTGGCGACAAGAGCCACACGTTTGCGTTTGTCGAAGGAAGACTGGTTCAGGCCGTTCGCGACGGTGCCTGGGTTCTGCTTGATGAGATCAACTTGGCAACACCGGACGCTCTTGATCACATTGTCAGCTTGCTTCATAATGGCGACGACGAAAAACCCTCCATTTTACTCGCGGAAGCCGGCAACATCGAGACTGTTGTTGCCCACCCCAACTTCAGACTATTTGGAGCCATGAATCCTGCTACGGACGCAGGCAAGAAAGATCTCCCTGCCGGTCTGCGATCACGCTTCACGGAAATCTACGTTCCATCTGGCGACAACAATCTGGAAGATCTCACAAAGATTATCCAGTCATACCTAGGTTCCCACCTCGACAACGACAGGCGAGCTGCTCCTGACTTGGCAAGAGCATATCTGGATCTGCAAAAACTGAATAAAGAGCACAAGTTGACGGATGGAGCCGGCGATGTTCCACATTTCAGCATTCGGTCTCTCGTCCGTTGCCTCTTGTATGTGCTGCAACACAGTGCGAGTCACGGCTTGAGGAGAGCAATGTACGAGGGATTCGCGATGAGCTTCTTCACAGTCTTGAGCAGAGCGTCGGAAGATCTTGCGCTGCCTACCCTCGAAAAGCACCTGCTATCGAATGTCAAGAACAAGCAGTCTTTCTTCCGCCAGCAGCCAAAGATGCCTTTCAATGGAGAAGAATTCATCGCTTTCAGACATCACCTGGTCAAGAGAGGATCTTTGAGCCTTGATTTTCAGCCACATTACATCAGAACCCCCTCGGTTGAGCGCAATTTACTGAATTTGGCACGGGCTGCTTCCATGCGCCGCTTTCCTATTCTTCTGCAAGGTCCCACGTCTGCAGGGAAAACAAGCATGGTCGAGTACCTCTCAAAGCTGTCTGGGAACAAGTTCGTCAGAATCAACAACCACGAGCATACCGATCTCCAAGAGTACCTAGGAAGTTACGTATCTGATGCCGACGGCAAGCTACAATATCGAGAAGGTGTGCTCGTGAACGCCCTTCGACAGGGTTACTGGATCGTTCTTGATGAACTCAACTTGGCTCCTAGTGATGTGCTGGAAGCACTCAACAGATTGCTCGATGACAACAGGGAACTGCTCATACCGGAATCTCAAGAAATCGTTCGCCCACATCCCAATTTTATGCTCTTTGCAACGCAGAATCCAGCTGGCCTGTACGGTGGCCGCAAACGTCTCTCCCGAGCCTTCCGGAATCGTTTCCTGGAGCTTCATTTCGATGATATTCCAGAGGATGAGCTTGAGATCATTCTGCGTGAGCGAGCACAGATTCCTCCTTCTTTCTGTGCCGAAATTGTTGCGGTGTACAAGAAGCTTTCCCTGCAAAGACAATCGTCACGACTGTTTGAGCAACGGAATAGCTTTGCAACGTTGAGGGACTTGTTCCGGTGGACGTCGAGATCGGTCGATGATAGACAGCAACTGGCCAATCATGGGTTCATGCTTCTAGCTGAACGAGTACGGGAGCCTGCAGAGCGCGCCGTGGTCAAGAAGACGATTGAGGAGACCATGAAAGTGGTCATCAACGAGGACGTTCTCTACGGAATGCAAGCCATTCCAAGCTCTGTGCAAAGGACAGGTGCCATCGTCTGGACCTCGGCCATGCGAAGACTTTTCGTTCTGATTGACCAGGCATTGAAGAACAACGAGCCTGTTCTGCTTGTTGGGGAAACGGGATGTGGCAAAACTCAAATCTGTCAAGTCATCGCGGCAGCATTTGCTCGACCTCTAGACATATACAACGCACACACCAATACAGAAACTGGAGACCTCATTGGTTCTCAGCGACCCATCCGAAATCGATCTGATCTTGAATTGCGTATACGAGAGGACTGGCGACGCTTGTTCCCAGCACCAGCCCAGGAAACACCCGTTGATGAAGTTGAGATCAATCAGCTGATTAAGGGGTTCTCAAATATGGATGTTACCAACCTTGACCCTGACGCTGTCGCACGTACACGTGCTAGTATAGGAGCATATCAGTCACTTTTCACATGGAGTGACGGCAGCTTGGTAAGAGCTATGAAACAAGGAGATCATTTTTTGCTGGATGAAATTTCACTAGCTGATGATTCTGTGCTGGAACGATTGAACAGTGTCCTTGAACCTTCAAGAACTATATTATTGGCCGAGAAAGGATCTGACGACAATCTCGTTGTTGCACATGCAGACTTCCAATTCTTAGCTACGATGAATCCTGGCGGCGACTACGGCAAGCGTGAATTGAGTGCCGCTCTCCGCAATCGGTTAACTGAGATCTGGGTTCCGCCTCTATCGCAAGAAGCAGATATCGTGCCAATCGTCCAAAACAAACTGATATCGAGAAGTGAGAAAATCGCACGGCAGATGCTGACTTTTGCTTCCTGGTTTCGCCGTACATTCCATTCTACTGCGTCCGACGCCATCCCCCTTCGTGACTTACTTGCTTGGGCAGAATTTATCAACCGTGCTTCGGCTATCGGAGAAGAGCTTTCCTTCATCCATGGAGCTTTCATGGTCTACATCGATTCTATCGGAGCAAATCCTGCGGGGTTGACTTCCACAGGATCCCAGGATCTGAATGACTCCCGACGAGCCTGCCTGCTACACCTCCAGACTCTTGTGAACATTGATGTTTTGCAAACTTATTACGAAAACCCTGAGATTCAGAGGACACAAAGCCACCTTCGTGTCGGGGCTTTTGCACTTTTTCGAAGTCAGGATAATGGGCAGGATCACTCAGAGCTCGTGTTCGACGCCCCCACAACACTGCAGAACACTATGAGAATCGTTCGTGCGTTACAGATGGCTCGGCCTATTCTTCTGGAAGGTAGTCCTGGTGTTGGTAAGACAGCCATTGTGACTGCGCTTGCTCAAGCCTGTGGCAAACAGTTTACTCGTATCAACCTTTCAGATCAGACTGATCTTATGGATCTGTTCGGTGCCGATACACCTTCCGAAGGCGAACACATGGGAAACTTTTGCTGGCAAAATGGCCCTCTTTTGGATGCAATGCAGAATGGAGGTTGGGTTCTTTTGGACGAGATGAACCTAGCCTCGCAGTCCGTATTGGAAGGACTGAACTCTTGTCTCGATCACCGGAGAGAAGCATATATTGCAGAACTGGACAAGTCTTTCACTTGCCATCCTGAATTCACTTTATTCGCTGCTCAGAACCCCCATCACCAAGGCGGCGGAAGGAAAGGTCTTCCAGCATCCTTCGTCAATCGATTCACGGTGGTGTTTGCGGACTCTTTCCAAAGAGAGGATCTTTTGCGTATCTGCAAAAGCAAGTTTCCGAAGATGCCTTCAGATCAACTAGAGGGGGTTATTGAAGCAACTGCGCAGATTGACCAACTAGTCACTCAGTCTCCAGCGTTCAATATAGGAGGCCCGTGGGAACTCAATCTTCGCGATGTCAGTCGATGGTTGACACTCTGTGAACGGCAACCCACACTTCCAGCATCTGCCCAATATCGCACTATAGTGGCTGAAAGATTTCGATCCGCGCCCCAGAGGACTCTCTCCTTCGAGATAGGCGAACAGGTCTGGCAATCAAAGTTTCTGGAGAGCTTCTACAACACTCTCACACCGACTTTCTTTCAGATTGGGACCTCATTCTTGACTCGAGACAGCAATCAACAGCGAACGAATGGGCCCGACTCCACTATTGCTATATCTCATCTTCCGGGCGCGAACTCTATCATCACTGCTATCAATAATAACTGGCCCGTTATCATTTGTGGCCCTTCAGTGTCTGGGAAGACAACTCTTGTCCGTTCGCTTGCCGCTACATGTGGGGCGGAATGTGTGGAGTTTTCCATGAACGCAGATGTTGACACCATGGACCTTGTTGGTGGTTTCGAGCAGTATGACGTCCGACGAGATATTGTGAACCTACAGGACAAGATGAGAGACATCCTTCGAGGAATTATTGCCCAATCGCTAAACACAAGAGACTCTCAACGTCTTCACGAAGCTTCACTCGACGTATGGCGTCTGGTTGATGCCGAGCAGATCAACCTCGGTGAGCTCTTACGAGTTATGCCCAGCATCTCAAGGTCATTCCCAGAACTCGAGGAATCTATCCACGCAATTGTGGAGCTTTTGAAGACCTCCAACAATAACAAATCACGCTTTGTCTGGAACGATGGTATTCTGATTGATGCCGTTGAGAATGGCTATTGGCTGGTTCTGGACAATGCGAATCTCTGCAATCCCTCTGTCCTAGATCGTCTCAATTCACTTCTGGAGCCTAATGGTGTCCTTGCTGTGAGTGAACATCATAATGCAGGCACCGCTAGAGTTATCAAACCGCATCCAAACTTCCGAATATTCATGACAGTTGATCCTCGCTACGGCGAGTTGTCAAGAGCGATGCGAAATCGCTCGTTGGAAGTCTTCGTGCCGCCCTTGAATGAGGACGAGGTCAAGTCACAGGTCATTCAATACCCATATACGTCGTCTATCGCTCGGTTGAGACAGTTGACACGAGCAGCACTCCAAAATCCCCCGCTAGAGATCATCGAACCTTTTGTCTACAACCTTTCAAACGAGGAGATGTCTCTGAGTCTGAGTAAAACATCCACCATGCCTGGCAGTGTTGTGCTTGAGGAATTATTGGCCTCGATGGCTAGGTTTGACCCTCTTAACGCCTACCGACTGTCATCACTGTCTGGCGACACAAGCTTACCACACATTCCGCAGCTTGTGACTCTCGATGAGCCTTTGTTCCAACTCAAATTTCCAGTTGGCCAGCAAATTTGGAGTCCTGTTGCGGCGGAAGTGTTTACTCGAGCATGGTACGTCACTCTAGGGATGGTCAAGATCAAAGCCTGCATAGCCGCTGCTGCTGAGCACGCCGCGGTGGTCCCGGCTAGAGAAAGAACCGTCCTGGAACGTTCTGTGATGGTCAACGGCCAGTCAAAGACTCTCGCAAGTCTCCCACAAGTTTTTGGCTTTGCGAACAACTGCGTCACTGAACTAGAGAGATCAAGCGCTGGGGGCGTCGTAGATGTGCGCTTTATAAGAGCTCTTGAGCAGATATCTGCGTTTCTGAGTGACATCATTGAACTCTCCAATGCTAAAACCGTGGATGCTACACTTCTGCAAGCCTACAATCAGATATCTTCTGGCATGGCTCGCGATATTGAAGTTTCCTATCCGGGAATGGCAACCGCATTCAGGAGTTGTCTTGATTCACTCGCACCCCGAGACCGAGAACTCAAATACGGCCGGGGACTCCAGTTGATGTGGCCAAAATTCCGACCGGAGACAGCGCAAACCCCTTCCCAGTTGAAGATGCAATTAACATTAGAGTCACTAATTGCGAGATTCGACGCGGCATCTCATTCACTGCCACAGTCTAGAGCGTCGTTGTCCGTTCTCAGATCGAAGCTGCAGCAGACCTATGATTCCGTTCTCACTTCCAAAGATGGACTGTCTTTGTTGGAACCTCTTCAAAAAGCTGTTTCAGAACTCGAGATGAAATCTGAACATGGATTTCCCCTTGGCGGTAAGTTCCAGCATACGATCGACTACATTTACCAGGTCATATTCCTTGGTATTGGAATTACAAATCCCTCCGAGCTACAGGCATTAGCGATGTTCTCGACTCTGCCCAGCATGACATTAGGGCTTGCGGGAGAGAAGACTGTGCCATTCTCTCTTAATCAGCTAGCCTCGCTTAATATTCGTCTTCTATGCAATCAGGCCTTGGTCGGCACCACACTTGTGTCGCAATTATGCTCCGTACTTGACCAACCACTTGGTACTCTTCATCATGCAAAGGAAGAATTGTCCCTTGTTGCACGAGAACTTTCCTGCAACGCGAGTAATCTCGCCAGATGGTCGAATGCCATGATTGAACGTGTCCAGATTGTTGTCTCAGGCATGTTGTCAGCGCACTCTGAGATGCTTACAGAGCGAGGAAAAGCTTGTATATCTGGTCAGCACATCGACGGTCTCAAGCAGCTAGCAGGTTTATCTCAAGACGATATCATTTTACCTGGTCGTGACCGACAATACTTTAGAGAGATCTATTCCCGCAACATTCATCCGATTCTGGTTTTGCTGGTTTCTCACGATCATTTCAGTCTCGGCGAGCTCTCCGATTGTCTCATCAGATTGTCCCTAGCCGGTCTTGAGCTCATGGTGCCGGACAAGATTACGGATCCAGCCATCTATCCATCTGTTGCTTTCCAGTTATACCAAAGGCGTGTTCACGAACTTGAGAGCAGAATTGCATGCCAGACAAAGTTCCACCAAATCATCATGGGACAAGACACTAGCATGGTGATTCGGACACTGAAGGGGGCACTCTCTTGCCTTGGAAGAGTCTCGCCGCCACCAACTGTCCTTAGACCTGATAAGTCGGAGTTAAACAAGATTCAAGAGACCTTCACACGGATCACTCATGGTCTTCTGAGTACCCAGACCAGTCACGACGATGCGGTTGGTCACTCGGGCAAGGTGCGGCAATGGGCAAATGAACAGGGCCAAGTCAATCTACATGCCATGATCGAGCGTCTCGAGAGTGCGAATCGAAGTTATGACGATTTCGTAAAACCAATTCTATGGTTCTTGAAGTGCTTTTCTCATGGGATTGATCTACTAGCAGCACAAGCAAAGGGAAAACACGACGATGCGGTGCTTGGTAAGATTGTGCGACACATTCCAATGCTAGGAGCTCATCCAAACAACCTACAGCTCTGGGATGTAACGTTTGAGGACGTCTCCAACTCCGCACTCAATTTTCAATGGCTGGAATTTGTTGCGGTCGACAAGTGCTTAACGCCAAAAGACAATCTTACCTACAGTCAAGGTTTGCTCGATGTCCTTGACCATTTTTATTTTGATTGGAAGACTCGTCTGGCCAAAGATCAAGCGGAGGCTGCTGTCCAGTCGCGGTATTTTTCCTATCGAGGCGATGGTGCTAAAGATGCCGATGACGAATTGCGTGAGATGCAAGAATTGTTCCCAGATTTCGCGGATGCGACGAAAGAACTGGAAAATCTGGAATCGAAGTACGATGCTCGAGCCGTCGCAGTCAAGCTAGCGACTCTCCATGAGAAGATATACACCTTGCAAGACCCGCAACGTGCCCTAAGAAGTTATATATTGGGTACATTGGAAGAAATCGCCAAATACAGCAAACACACAAGTGGCGACATTGGAGGCAACTTGGTCGACCTTTTGCCTGGTATATTGCTCCAAATGGAAGACAGGGCGGCCGCCTTGCATGGCACTAACCAGCGTCAGGATCTCAATATCTACAGCGATCCCAATGTTGCAGAATATGAGAAGCTCTTCACCCTGGTTTACCAAGTTCAAGCACGATTTGATACCATTGCAGAGAGGTGGCCAGAGCACACAGTTCCTGCCGAAGTGCTTACCTACTGCAAGGAAGTTTTGTATTTGAACCTCGGCGATCCACTAGCCAAGTTCATGACCAAAACAGAGAAGCTTTACGAAATAGTTTCTCAGTGGCAGAGTGTTGCTAGCAAAGAGTGGTCGGTTGTGCCGCTGATTGATCAACTAGCCGCTCTCATAGTCAGCTGGAGACGTCTCGAACTGCTCTCATGGGCTGGGCTTTTGGACGAAGAGAAACGCCGACACGAACAGAACGCCGCTGCCTGGTACTTCATCGCCTATGAGTCTGTACTGCATAACTCTGCGAGAATGGTCGCAGCTGGCGAAAACATGCAACTGTACGGCCAGGACCTGGCACGGACCATCGAAGTCTTCCTTGAAACGACAAGCCTGGGACAATATTCGTCTCGACTCAAGCTGCTGAATACTCTGAACCACACTCTTATGGATATCTCAAAACGTGTTACTGGCATGCTGCCAGTTCACAGCTGTGTTTCAAACATCATTGAGCATTACCGACGATATGAGCCCGGTATTGAGGCAGCGCTTCAAACTGGACGTGGCAGTCTAGAAAAGGCCCTGAAAGAACAGATACAACTGGCGAGCTGGAAGGATACAAATATCACTGCTCTTCGTGATAGCGCGCGCCGATCACACCATAAATTGTTCAAGATTGTAAGGAAATATCGTGACCTACTCAATAAACCTGTGGTCATCTCAAAGTCAGTCGGAGAGTTGGTGGCCGAGCTTCCTGCAACAATCTCAGAACTGAAAATGGCCGAGTCATCGCTCGATGTGTCGACGATACAGCATGCGCTGGTGAAATGTGGGCATGCGTTTCCGGACTGGCACGCAAGACCGGCACGGTTGACCGATACGGTTGGGGCTGCAAAGAGCATGCACCATCTGTACACCAAGAATGTAATCGAGCTCGAGGTTCATCTTGAACTTGCCTCTTTCAGGGACGATTTGAAGAGCGCCATCAAGCAGTTGAGGTCTGAAACTCCTTCGGCGTTGACAGAGGAGAATACTGCTTTGGTTCGTCATCTCCAGGAGAGGAAGAGGCGTCTACTAGCAGACACACTGAAAACAGTATCGCAGATGGGCGTCAGACGGAATCTGCCAACATCGGAGCTCGCCAAGCAATCCTCAGCGGCTCTCATTCTGGCTTCGTCGCCCGACCTTTGCTTGACCGATCCGAAGTCCAATACCTACCAGGCCAATGCTGCGTTCCATGATCTACTTGATGTGATGTCTCAAGTTCGAGCGGGGCGGACAGAGCATTCCGAAGACCTCACAGAGGGCGAGGTTGGGAGGAGCTTGGGCCTATTGGAGGGACTTTTGTTTGTGGTTCTCAATCAACGTCAAGTTGTTGCCGTGTCCGGAGAGAGCTCGGTCAATTTGGAGAGCCAGTTGGCTCTTCTGCGTTCTTGTTTGAGCCATGTTCCTGACCAGCTCTCTGCCTCATCGGATTCTCAAGGTCAAGGTCACGCATCATTGGGCCGACATTTGGCATGGCTGGCAGAAGTCTTGACTCTGTCCTGCAGGATTTTGACGTTCCAGGCGCAACATACCAGCCTTGGAGTTGACCCACTCCTGGATGGTCTGCGTGACTACATCAACCGCGTCAAAGATCACCAGTCCAAACTCGAACAATTACCAGGTCTTCCTCGGGGATTGAAAAGTGAAAATCACGAGATTCCGAAGAAGCAAAGTTTGCAAACACTGTCAGAGCTTGCCACGTTCTTAAGAGAATGGCAAGCTAAAGAGCCTCACGTCGACTTTGTCTTGCGTCAACTTATTCCGTGGACTGAAAACTTGCAAGCTCTACAGCAGGTGAACGAGAGCAGTATTCGCAGCACGACTTTGTCCTCGTGGGATGATCACCTCAGAACCCTGATCGACCAGATTTTTGTGGCCTTACAGAGATGGTCCTCGGCACAAGAGGACAGGCCAAACTCGGTCGAAGACCAGGGCTGGCTCACCAAGGCCGACCGATGTGCTGCTCAAGCAACCCGAGCAATGCAAATTGATTCTATCAGCGCCGGAATTGGATCTCTACTCCACAGTCTCCATTGTTTGGGTCCAAACGACTTCGTAGTTGCCTGTGATCTATTGCGAGTGGCATCTCCAGTCTTTGAGCAATTTTGCGATATCTGTGTGCATTCACACAGCCAACAAGAAGTTGTCCATTTGGAAACATGCCGCCTGGCGCTCCAGCTGGCTAACTCGTTCAACGCACTTCTCTCCCAAGGCTTCTGCCGTCCTTCAGAACCAAGCGAAGGCGAAGAACAGTCTGGCAAACTCGAAAGTGGTACTGGCTTAGGTGAAGGTGAAGGAGCTGAGGATATCAGCAAGGACGTGGGCGAAGACGAAGATTTGTCAGAGCTCGCGCAGACAGGTCAGAATGACGACCGCGATGATGAGATGGAGAACGCAGAGGATGCTGTTGATATGGGCAAGGACGATCTGGAAGGGGAGACGGGAGACAAAGAAGAGCAGAAGTCTGAAGAGGAAGGACAAGAAGGATCTGAAGATGAGGGAGACGATGACGTCGACGAAGAGACTGGATCGGTAGATGACCTTGATCCCACCACGGTAGATGAGAAGATGTGGGATGACATGAAGAACGAGACTGAAGATAAGCAGATGAAGAATGATAAGGCCGAGGGACAAAAGTCAGACGATCAGACTGCTGCTGATGGGAAGAAGGCCGAGGAAGAAGACTTGGAAGGTCAAGAAGGCGAAGAGCAAAAGGACCAGGAAGAAGGGGAAGAGGGCGAAGGCGCCGAACGACCTGAAGCTGAGAATATGGACCCGCATACCGAAAATCAAGACGCTCTAGAGCTGCCGGAAGAGTTGCAGCTGGCTGGAGAAGAGGAAATCAAGGACGATGACATTTCTGACGATGGCATGGATGAAATGTCCGACATTGATCAGCCGGCAGAAGATGACACAAAGGATGGTGAGTTGGACGATGTCGAGAAGGAAGAGGGGCGTCTTGATGATGCCGCTATTGAAGATGATGTCGACGAGAACGACGAGGCTGAGAACGGCGTTGGACAAGACGACGAGATCATGGAAGACCAGGAGCCTGAGCCAAATGAGGACGAGACGGGTGACCACCAAACGCGCGATGACGATGCTGCGCTGGACCAAGATGAGCCCGCTGGAGGCGACACTGGGGCTGCAAATACCCGCCAGGACACAATTGATCAGCAACAAACAGCACAGGGCATGAACGAAGCCGAGCAAGAGCCTAACCCCGAACAATCTCGACCCGGCAAAGCACCCGAGAACCAAGAACAGGGTGAGACAGGAAAGGGTGCTGCCGAGCTCGGAGCCGGGCGGACTGATGAGGTCGAGTACCAGCAGGATGAAGCATTGAGAAAGCTCGCAGAAGTGCTGGACCAGTGGCACAATCGCCGAGAAATATTACCAGCGTCCGAGGAAAATGTGCAGCAGCATGACAAGGAGCAAGACGTTGATATGGCAGATGTGGATTTCGAGCACGTCCAAGACGAAGATGACGAAGGAGATGCTCAAGCCCTAGGTGCTGCGTCTGGCGATCAAGCTCAGAATCTCGACCAGAGCAGAGCAATCGAGGACGACAAAATGGCTGTTGATCAGAATGCGGACGTGCTTGATGCCCTGGAACCAGAAGTGCAAGACAACATCGCTGAGAGATTGCATCGCCTGCAGGCTCGGTCCCATGCAGAAGACGCCAAAGGATCAGGGGCATTCCTCCCCGGTCAAGAACGATGGATCAATCCACCCAGGGATCCAGACGAAAATGCCGAGGCGGGTCAGGATGATGCCCTGTCGGACATTGAAGATATCGACGACCTCAGCAAGAACACTACCGTCCCTGCGTCTCCTCCAACGAGCGCCGCCGACGCGGCACAACTCTGGAACCAATGCTCCGCTGCGACGCATCAATTCTCGCTCATCCTGACCGAACAACTCCGACTCATTCTCTCGCCCACCACGGCGACGAAACTCCGCGGCGACTACAGGACGGGTAAACGTCTCAACATCAAGCGCATCATCCCCTACATCGCGTCCAACTACAAGCGCGACAAGATCTGGATGCGCCGGTCCGTGCCGAGCAAACGCAACTACCAGATCATGATCGCGGTCGACGACAGCAAGTCGATGAGCGAGTCCGGCGCCGACCTCCTCGCGTTCGAGACCCTGGCCATGCTCACCAAGGCGCTCTCGATGCTCGAGGCAGGCGAGATCTGCGTGGTCGGGTTCGGCGACGAGGAACACGTCCGCGTCGCCCACCCGTTCGGCACGCCGTTTTCTCCGGCCGAGTCCGGGGTGAACGTCTTCCGGTCGTTTGGGTTCAACCAGCGTGGCACGAACGTGCGGAACCTGGTGAAGGAAAGCATCCAGCTCTTCCGCGACGCCCGGCTCAAGGGGCACGCGGCGTCGGAGGACCTGTGGCAGTTGCAACTCATCGTCAGCGACGGGCACTGTTCGGACCACGAAGGCATCGCGAGGCTCGTCCGCCAAGCACGAGAGGAAAAGATCATCGTGGTCTTCGTCATCGTCGACGCCGGACAAGACAGCATTCTCGATCTTCAAGAGGCGGTCTACGAGGCGGATCCGGTGCAGAGTGGGGAGATGAGGTTGCGCACGAAACGCTATCTGGAGGATTTCCCCTTCCCGTACTACCTGGTGGTCAGGGACGTGAGGGATCTACCTGGTGTTTTGGCCACTGCTTTGAAAGGGTGGTTTGGGAGCGTTGTTGATGTCCAGTGACTGGTAGATACTTGAAGTACGTTTCATTATTGGGGCGGGTACCAAGGGAGGCAGGTAGGTTGGTGGGTTGGTTGGTTGGTTGGTTGGTAGGGAGGCAGGTAGGGTAGATAGGTATTTGATCTACAAAGACCGTACCGTATACGTGATGTTATATTCTGTCGAAGCCTACGTAATTCGGGTGTAGTAGTAGTAGGGAACGTTGAGACGCCATCTTACCTTGAAGATTCAAGGATCACTCTCGCGACATGCTGACCTTGACTTGTCCTATCACTTAACTCATCCAACTCATCTTGAGATGTAGGTGTTTGTTACTTTGTCGTCATCATAGACATCGTCATGGTCATTATCGGTAATGTTATTTTCCGGGTTTTGTGGAAGGGGGAAGGTGGGTGGGAGTTAATGCTTTTATTCAACTCCCAAGTCCGTCTGATTATCTCTACCAAATTTTGTATTCCAAGGTCGATCGATTCATTATTCAAAGATGCAGTATCCGAGACCCAAAAAGAATTTCAAAGATTCAAGCTTCAGATTCAAGATCCTCGTCGATCTTTGTTCCCAGATCCAAATCTTCAAGAAACTTACGCCCCCTGAGCTCGTCGGGTAGGTAGTCCTGCTTGACCCTCCCGCCCCTGTAGTCGGGGTTGTACTTGTACTCTTTGCCGTACCCGAGCTCCCTCATGAGCCTCGTCGGGGCGTTCCTCAAGTGCAAGGGGATGGGCAGGCCGCCGGCCCCGGGCTCCCGCTGCAGGGCGGCCATGGCGTTCTCGAGCCCCCGGTAGGCGCGGGTCGACTTGGGGGCCAGCGCCAGGGCGACGGCGCAGTGGGCGAGGTTGATGCGCGCCTCGGGCATGCCGATCATCTGCACGGCGGTGTACGTGGCCGTGGTGAGCGGCAGGAGCGCCGGGTCCGCGAGCCCGACGTCCTCGCTGGCAATCACCACCATGCGCCGCGCCACGTACAGCGGGTCCTCGCCCGAGGTGAGCATGCGCGCTAGGTAGTACAGCGTCGCGTCGGCGTCGGACCCGCGCACCGACTTGTGGAAGGCGCTGATGGTGTCGTAGTGCTGGTCGCCCGCCCGGTCGTACACGAGCGTCTTGGTGAGCGACTGCTTGAGCTGCGTCAGCGTCATCCCCGGCCGCGTCGAGAGTGACATGGCGAGTTCGAGGAGGTTCAGCGCCGTGCGCGCGTCGCCGTCGGCGAACGTCGAGAGATATGTTAGGAGGGACGTGGTGATTAGGTTTGAACTTGATCTTGAATTCGAGGTTGACGAGTCTGAAGTTGGTTCTGTTTCGATACCTGTTGTTGTTGTTGTCGCTTCTGGAGGTGTAGGGTCGCCGTCGTCGTGACCCTGGCCGTGCCCGTTGGTAACATTCGTACTATAAGACTGATTGTTCGACACCGATGCAGACGTCGACACAGATGAGGATGTAGCTGTGGAGGTGGAGGCGGAGGTCGATGTTGAGGTGGACGTCTCGGACAGATATACTCCATACTTTTCGCCTTCCTGCCGTACGGCGCGTGTCAAAATCTCGAGAATATCATCCTGCTCCAATTTCTTCAACACAAACACCCTGCACCGACTCAACAGCGCGCCTTGGACGCGGAAACTGGGATTCTCCGTGGTGGCGCCGATCAACGTGACCGTGCCCGCCTCGACGGGGCCCAGGAAGACGTCCTGCTGAGACTTGCTGAAGCGATGGATCTCGTCGCAGAAGACGATGGTCTTGCGGCCCGTCAGGCCCAGCTCGCTCTTTGCCTCTGCGAATATCTTCTTGCACTCTGCCACGCCGGACGAGGTGCTGTTGATCTCGACGAAGCGGGAACCGACCATGCTGGCGATGACGCGGGCGATGGTGGTTTTGCCGGTGCCGCTGGCGCCCCAGAGGATCATGCTGGGCACGCGGTCTTGCTGGATCAAGGACGTAAGCACGCCAGAGGGCCCGACGAGGTCTTGGCCCAGGATGGATGTCAGGCTGCGCGGCCGCATGCGTTCTGCGAGGGGGGCGGCCTTGTCGTGCGGCGAGGTTGTGGGTTTGGGCTTCTTGGGTGGAGGGCCGTCATGGTCGCGCTCGTGGTCCGTCGCCGCGTTGGGCTCGAGCAGCGATGGGGTCCGTGTTCTGTTCTGCGTGGGCTGCGTACTAGATGTGAAGGCCTGGTCCAGGGACCGCTTCACCGAGGACGACGACGGACGAGGGCCGACGAGACTCGGTGACGAGTGGACCGGCTGACTTGAGGAGAAGAACGACGTCGAGGATCCATCACGATCACGTTTCGAAGAGGGCGTCTTGAAGAAGGACGAGACCGGCGCAGCGGTTGTGGTGATGGTCGATGAGGAGGAAGAAGTGCCGTTGTCTTGTTCGACGTCTTCGATACAGTTCGAGTCAATGTGGTTGTTGATGTTGGATTGTCTTACCGATTTGCCGCAGATTGGACAGGAGACCATTTTAAGTCATTCACCCATGAGTCCGCCGTCCTCTCCTCGATCTTTGTCGGTGGCGGCGGTAGTGTCATACGAAAAGCAGCGCAGTACTCGTACTCGGAGACAACGCGTTCGAACCAGTTTAATTATTTATTCAGCCTTGCGATGAGATCATTCGCTTCCGGCGCGACGAGGCTGAGGATCCCCATCATGCTACATAAATACCTGACCCCTGCAAATACTATCCAAGTCGGTCTACTTATTCAACTTCCGTTAGAGTACCATCATAAACAGGAGGCGGCTCATCACTCTCATAACTCGGCGCAGCATATGCCACTGTAATGGGCAACTCAAACTGGATTTCTTTGGTTCGAGGACCCAGGATTGCGCTCCTCCTGTCCAAGCTCAAAGAGCACGTCACCTTCGCCCTGACAGAGTAGGTATGTTGCATCAAGTCTGTGTAAAACGTGGGGGTGAGGCACTGCTGCCGAGGTAGGGGGAAAGAGACTTGGCTTTCCTCCTCGGCGTATAATGAGAAATATGCCGTTGTCATACTCTCTACATCGTCACCGTTATCAACGCTGACCTGTCGGAGCGGTGCGTAGTCAGGATCAGTAGAGTCGGTGGTACAGTTTCGCCTTCGCCATTGCGTGACCAACAGTTCCGAATCCGACGGACACAAAACACATTGGTCATGTATTTGAGACGCCGAAGCCGGGGCCGGAGATGGCGCCGACGTCGACCTGGATTCGGAAGGCATTTGAGGCCGAGGACATTGAGGATGATATTCCGTACTAGATGCTAACGTCCACTGTACTTTGACTTTGAGCTTCGGCATGACCTGGCCATCATCTGTATACGGCATGCCGCTGGCGCCACTGCTGCACACAATGCCCTTGCTCAAACTGGTAGTCATACTCGGATTCGCACTCGCAGTTGTAGTTGTATTCGAACTGCCGAGTCTCAATTTCCAAGACACCTTGATACACGCGACGTCGGCATAACATTGGATTATGAGCGGATCGTAATCCACAATGTTGATATTGAGAATATTCCAAGTGGCCGCAGGGACTGGCGTGCGCAGAAACGGGATCGCCACTGCTTTCAGTGACATGGTCCTCAGAGACATGGTAGGGGTTAACGACACAGTCTTGCACCGACCATGGAGAGACTGGGTTTGTAACATGGCAGTCTCCTCCCTGGCACGTTGTTCACTCAGTCCGCTTCCCAAAAGTTGTATTTCTCGACGGAATGTTCTTGCGCCGCCACCACCGCTATCGAGAGTCTGTACTTCCAGCAAATATTTCACACTCAGCTTCATGATTCGTGGAGATGCACCCGCCGCTGTGACTGTCTCTGCTCTTGCCGTGGCTGCGTATGCGTTTCGGCCCATGACCACAAGCGACGAAGGGATCTGAGACGGGTCGTTGATCACACCGTGACTTGAAGAGAAGGGATCAAAGGTGACTCTGACTCTTGCCGTACTGGTATCTGAGGGATCTGTACTGAGCTTAGCATCGTCGTAGTTATGGCGAACGTCAACAATGGTGTCCGAAGAGACAATGCGTGACCTGTACTCAAACAAGCCAGATTGAGCAGAAGGTTCGAATTTAACAAGCTGCACAGTCCCGGTGAGTCGCACATGGACTAGTTTTGTGTCTGTGTGGCAGAGGGTTTGCTGGTCTCGGGTCTCGGAGTCGCCATCAAGACATAGACTGAACTTTATAGGTTCCGACGAGTAGAAGACAGGGGTGGTAGCCGAAGGTTGGATTTGTGTTTTTGTATTTGCATTTTCATTTGCATTTGCACAGGTACTGCCACTTCCGTCAACGATTCGCAAGGTGTTTTCGAATTCAACCTTCATCTTTATTGTCCCTTCTGACATTTGAAACGTCACAACGCTAGTGAACAATGGAGAGTATGTTGATGGCGACTGGATTGGAAGAACTGAACTCCGGCTTGGGTGTAAGGAGACGAAGTTGATGAAATCACAAGGCACAAGGACGAAGAAAACAGACCTGTACACAAGGCAACGACAGGGTCAACAATATGAAACTTATACTTGTGCTCGCACCGTGTGTCAGACAAGCGTGTCGTTTGCTCTACCTCCGCTCCCATACCGAGACGCGGCCGCATCGAGGCCTTTGCAACACCAGGGCTTAGTCTTAGACGCGGTAATGCCGGCGACGACGAGAGGATCGCAAGAGGCGGCGAGCCAGAGAGTCTTCTTTGGCCATCACCCATCTTCCTCTTTCTCATCACCCTCGACGATGATCAGCCCTCGGTCTCCACCTCCATCTCGACTGGATCGTCGAATCAACGACCCCAGACGATACTGGGCGGAGTGCCGGATGACAAGTAACGGACGATACCATATCGAGGAAAGGATCGTCGAATTTCGAAGGAGAGATGATCGAGGAAAATGCCAAACATGACGGACCAGGGTTCGATAGCAGCATGCAGCAGTGACTCCTCGATGGTTGTGGTCGTTGAGTCAGAGTTGGGATGGATAATCTTCGGGTCTGGAACAAAATAGCGCTAGTGTTCGCTCTTTACAGCACATCGACTCCGGAGATACCTTGCTTGCGGGACATGCCTCTGCCTCAATATGAATACTGATACGATTCTGTTGGCCCCCTTGTTAGTCCAGTCCTTCACCAAAAGAACCAAGAAAGAGAAAGAGAATTTCCTCATGGGGGTTGGCCTGCGTAAGCAGAGCTCTATGGCACACCAGAATCTAGGGAGGTACGTACACTCTATATTCGCACGATAGAAGACGCTCCACCCAGTGAACCTCTCTGCCGTATCTATCTCAGATTCTCTCCTTTGAATCCTCAAACCATATACTTCTTCAACCCTCTCAACCGTTCCTTGGCCTGTTCCAACACATCATCATTCTTACACACGGCAAACCTCATCCAATCCTCAGCAAGATGTGCCCTTTCATCCGTGTAAAACTCGGTCGGTGGAATCGCAGCCACACCCAACTCCATGATCAAAAACCACGACATCTTGAAATCCCGCGGCCGATCCTTGACGTGATCGGGAAACGTATACCCATCAGGCAACTTGACTCTCTTCAGGTTGGCCAAGACGAAATAGCCCCCCTCGGGGATTGAATACGGGATTCCCAATTCATCAAACACCTCACAAAATCGATCGACTTTGCCCTTCATCTCTGTCACCGCCTGGTCCCAAAACCCCTCTTGATCCGCCACCTCGAACCCGATCGCCGCCGCCTCTTGCAGCGGACTCACGCTTGAATAACATATCCTCGTATGCGCCGCCGCCACATACTTGATCAACTCGGGGGGCCCGATCAGGTACCCGACACGCCAGCCCGTCGCGTAAAAGTTCTTCCCCGCGGAGCCCACCGTGAGCGTGATCTTCGCCAGTTCCGGAGACAAGCTCGCGATGCGCGTAAAGGGCACATAGTATAATCGATCGTACACTTCGTCCGACAAGATAATCACATTATGCTTGAGACACAAGTCTCCAATCTTGGTGAGTTCCTCTTTACTAAACACCTTCCCGACCGGGTTGTGAGGAGAGTTGAGTACAATCATTTTCGTTTTGGAATTAAACGCCCGTTCGAGCTCGTCAAAGTCGATGCGCCAGTTCGCCGCGGAGCTGGTCTTCTCAGCTCCGTCCGCTGGAGGGTGTAGGGGCACGTAGCGGATCGTCCCGCCCGGCATTTCAATGTTGCTTAGGTACTGGTCGAAGAATGGTTCAAAAATAATGACCTCGTCCCCTGGTTCAATGAAGCCCATGAATGCGCTTAGCATGCCTAGAGAAACGAGGGTCAGCGGGTGTGTCTAGATTGATCTGAGAGCCAGTGGTATGATTGAGTAAAGGCAGGAATGCTCACTCACCCTCATTAGCACCAGTCGTAATGGTGACTTCTGTCTCGGCGTCCAACTCGCGTCCAAAGAATGGTGAATACGCCTTTGCAAGTGCCTTTTTCAGCCTCGGCCGCCCCTTTGTGGGAGAGTACTGGTTACATTCGACCCTGTCGAGCGCACCTTTTGCAGCGTCAATGATGAACTGCGGAGGGTTGTATCCAAAAAATCCCTGTCCCATGTTGACAATGGGCTGTACCGGACTCGCGGCCGCCGCTTCGTTGACAATACTCCATACATCCTGTTTCTGGCCCGCGACGCGCTTCGCCGGGGCGTATTTCTCTGACATTTTGGGCGACACGGAGAAGAAGGTGCGGCGCTGACGGTGCGAGTATGGGGATGGGGAGGGAGAAGCGGAAGGCCCCGAGGAGCTGTCGTCGCTGCTACAGGGCACTCGTGCGCGGAGACAACCAACGGCGGCAGTAAAAGGTAGGTAGGCTGGACGATGAGAGCGCGCAGATTGAGCGAGAAGTAATCTACTCGGAGATATGGTATAGATATAGGAAGAAGCCGACGAGCGGGAGACTGTCATGAGGAGGAAGGGATTTCAGGATCGGTTTTAGGGGAGATATGAAAAGAATAAAAGACTCGACTCGCCTCTACTCATGCGAAGATTACTCAATGGTGCGATGTCGAACTCCAAATCGAGTGAGAGAAGTCGACGTTCAACCAGTCAAAGAGGGCGGGATGGAATTGCGAGATCGGATGGAGCACGATGATGCCATCAGCAAAAAAAGGACTTGCACGCCCTGTCTATCAATATCCGTAAAATCACATCGACTCACTCACCCACTCAACTGGCCCACTCAACTATTCCATCCAGGTACCATCCATGACAAAATACTCTCAGGACACTTTCCAACACTGTCGGGTCATTTAATTGCTTTCTTTGGATTCATCATCGCTAATCATGGACGTCATGTCTAAAGTACAATCCAAATGCAACCTGTGCTGCGTCCCAATGGCAACCAGCAGTGCAGTCCTGTACATTGTTCACCCTTTTCAACGCCAACCTCAATGCAATATGCACCGCTCCTGTCCATTATATATCAAAAAACAACTCTTTTCAGAACGCCATCCTCAGGTCAAACTTCAAGATGATAACGCAAATGCTCGTGCCCAGTCACCTTCCAGGTCTGTACATATGTACCTGTATCCTCCTAGTGTCTGTCTTCAAGCATATCGCACACTCGCCCCCCTGTTGCCATTATCATAGCCTCCGCCTTGAGGCCAATGATTTTGAGGCGGTTGATTTGCCCAGTACGTCGGTGGTGGTGCTTGTGGGGTCGAATCCCAGTTTCCTTGGCCGTAACCACGACTTTGCATCTGCATTGGAACAGGTGGCCCATCCCAGCCGCGGGGTGGTCTGTTTCGTTGACGAGGAGCACCAGCGACCATTTGCTTCGCTCGAGGTTTTCGACAAGCCCGTACGCAACAACCGAGGACTGCAAGTAGTAATAACCCTCCGAGGGCGGAGGCGAGCGCAATCACGAGTGTCTTGTTGTGATCGATCCATGATCTGACTTCTCCTCCAACAGTGCTGCCTCTGCACACTCCATTTCTGCATTTGCCGTCCCCACCACAGGGCGTCCCATCCAGGAAGTTCTGCTGCATGCTATAGCACACATTCGCCCCAAAGTCGGGACTGCCGCAACTGATAATGCACGTTTGACTATTGCAGGCATAAGTGTCGTTGGTCGACGTATAATCGCCCATCAGGGTCTTGCATTGCAGGTCACGACTCGTGCACTGACCGCTGGCGCAGTGTAGACCGGTTGCGTTTCCACTGTTGCACGACGTCCCATCTGGGGCAGTGGTATCGGTAGGACAGGTGCCATTCGTACCTGAGCATGTTTCCTGGGGATCGCAAACACCAGTGCTTGCACGACAGATAGTGTTTGCGCTCGCAAATTGACATTGCGACGTGCAGCAGCCTTCGTTGCTGGGATCGCACACCGCGCCTGTGTTGTACTTGCAAGTATCAGGATTGCAGCACGAATTACCACTACAGCCTTCGGCACCACCACAGTCGCAATCTTCTCCTTCCTCGACAATCCCATTGCCACACTGATTACCGGTAATGGTAACGACACCTTTGTTATCAGTAAGACAACCCGATTGTACCGAGTTGCGGCCTAGGGCGCTGCAGATGTTGCCGATCGAACAGGGGGAAAATCTGGTGATACCTGGAGATGAATAGGGATTCATCATATACTGCGCATTAGCATCACATGTGGATGACGAAAGGGGGCAGCACTGGCCCGAGTTGACAGTGTTGGCATCTCCACAGGTGCTCGAGTCACAATCGTGGACAGCGCCAAATGTATGGCCCGATTCATGAGCAAACACTTGCCATTCGGTAGAGGTCTTTGCAATCACATTTGCGCCCGTGACGCTCTGAGATGTACCACTTGTGTCTTGTTGAGAAGTAGCACCGCTGTTGCACAACTGTCCAAGCCATGCGAGACCGACTTCAGCGCCAGTGTTACACGTAGTGAAGAGAGACCAGTAGGCGTTGCTATCCCCACGCTGACCTCGCCACTGAGAAAAGAGGTTCAAGCGAGCAGTCATGTCGGTACTGCCGCTGCAGCCTACGTTCCAGGGGGTCTGAGCTGCAGCAGTAGCGGGACACTCAGCCTCGGACACAGTCAAATTTCTCAGACCGAGAGTGATGTTGAAAGTAGATTGATAAAGATCGGACGCTGTGTTGACTTGAGTGATGATGTTCTGTCGCACACTGTCCGTCGAATTGAAGCTGGCAGTGTAGGTACAATCGGTTGCAACCCCAATCAAGGCCACTCTTCGGGTCGTTGGACATCCGGCCGTACTACCGATGGAATCTTTGAGGTTGACACCAGCGGAATTCCCGTTGCCAGCACCACCGCCATCAATGTTCTGGCGTTTGCCAAACAGATGCGATAGGGGCATGGATCCCCAATATCCTTCCTCCTTTTTAAGCTTCAGGTCACGGAAGAGGGGATGTTCCGGGTCGGTATTGAAAGGTAGCTTGTCCGAAGCACAAGTTAAATCAGCGGCAGCGCTTCTCCTCAAGTCCCGATGTGGTTGTCGGCTAACATCAGTGTCTCGCCAGACAGCCATGTATTCGTCTTCTTCATCCTCTAGATGAGGATCTTGCAGGTGTTTGGTCGCCATGTAGGTAGACTTCATTTGAATGTGATGATGGTTGCCCATGATAGTGAAAGCACCCTCAAACAGAGGCCGAACACCGTCTCTTCTCACCACCACGCGAGCCCAGCCTACGTTGGTAGACAACCCGTCTTCATCAACCACGAATGACTTGCCCTGATAGACCTTGAAGTCCCCACGCTGCATCTTCTCGGCATGCCTGACAATGCCATCTTTGTCGACAAACTCGACGTATGAGTCGTCGTGGATGATATCATGGTTCGGTTCTAAACTTAAGCGAATGTGTTCCGAGTGTTTGTGGAGGTCGAAAGTGAGGTCGAAGTGGGAGGTGGCATGGACTCGCTGAGAAGGAGTGTGAATTCGAGGGTTTTCGATTAGAGAGAGGTAGTTGAGAGGATTTCTTGATTGTGAATGCCCTTCACCAAAGGAGAAGAGAAGTATCGATGACGCTAAAAGAGCGAGGCGATGGAGGAAGCGCATTGCGCTTGGGAGCGTGGACAAAAAGGTGCCTCTGCGTCCTTATGACCGCATTAGAACAACGAGAGGCCCTCCTCGATTGGATTTTGTCGATGATGTCTGGCGCAGATACCAACAGTCGCATGGAAATAGACGAGGATGTGCTGTTGGTTGCCTCAAGAGTGGACGCTGGACGGGGTGAAAAGGCTGGAGGGAGATTTCAGATCCGGAGCACCAACGAGCGTACTGGGCCTCGCAAGAGGAATTACTGACAGTAAAGATAAAGGACGGCGACAGACAAACGACTGATGGGGCTCGGTAGCAAAGAAAGGCGGAATGGTAAGAGAAGGGTGTGAGGTGTACGAATGCCCAGACGGATGAGTCGGACTCCAAAATGGTGACAATGATGGCGGTGGTTGTGGTGGTGATAGCAAAACGGGACACGGGCAGACTCTGTAGAGGCACTGTACACGGTAGGTGGGCGCCGACTGGGGATGAGAGTAGTGAGCCCTAAATCCGGACCTGTAGGGTTCCTTGGTGAGTAGCGCCGGGCTCCGTTAGCAAGCCGCGTTGAGGCTGAGCACAGCAACACAAGCACGGTGTCTTGGCTTGCGAGGCTTCTGACGAACCCCTCGTCTGGCCAAGAAACGCTAAGGCGAACATGGTGTGCCCCGCAAGCCACGCCTGGACCTCACTAAGCGGCTTCTCTATAAGCTAATAGCCTTAGGCATGCAATAGGTACCTACCTAGGTAAGTTTTAGCACCGACTCTCGTCATTGATCTCATAAGCTGGTCTGGGCGGGAGAGCAACGAATCTGTGCATGCTAACACTACCATCCACGGAAACTTCTCTACCGAAATCGCCAGCGTCCAGCGTTTTACACTTTGTAACAGATGCTCCCAATTTGACTTCCATGCGTTTCAGGCTGTCATCTAGGTGGACATCCGTCGTTGTAACGAGTACAAATCTCATACGAAGACGCCCCTGAACAATACAAATAATGCTCGGCGCCCCTGGAACCATCGGTCTCTTTACCAACCGTCATTGTGCTGTTAGAACTACACGCAAGAATGAAATCAAGTCATCTTGCTCATGATATATTCTCCGACATCTCCACAGGTGATGGCTATCGATGTGGAGGTTCTGACCAGCATCGTCGCCTCTCTTAAGCCTCAGTCTCAACACCAGGCTCTCTTCCAGCCAGGCCACCCATTCCGAGCCTCCTCTTAAGTTTGCTCACTCCAATCTTGGCCTCGTCCTTTGCGAACTTGACATTCCTCGCCGGAGTCCATTGAGCCAAGCCACGATGCTTACGTGCCTCTGCTCGACTGCTGGCTTTCTTCTCCCATTTGGAGTCTCTTCTAGACACTGGTTGCACAGATCCCGACGAGCCCTCTGTCATGGTAGTATAGTTGGTGTCGGTCGTCGCTACCGTTTCACCGCTAGGACGTCCATTGGCGCGCCCCTCAGCGTTGCCGTCGATATTCTCCTGCGCATTATTGTGGAATCCTCCCTCGGGCGCATTGCTGGCGTCGGTTATGCCCAAATCAGAGGATGATTCAGAACCATCCGAATCATAAGACACCTGGTCATGCTCCTCGTCGTCGGACGGAGCATAGGGGTCGTGTGGAGGGTCGTCCTTCCCGGGTTCAGCGATCTTCTCATGCTTCTTGTTGGTGTACGCTCTGGGATCATGACTGAAGGCTCCAGACCAGTCTTCTCCAGACTTGCTGAGCCACTTGTGTTTCTCGTGCTCTGACGTCTGCTGCTTGAGCACGTCACGCCCTTCGGTCAGAGATGCTTCGTGCATTTCTCGGATGTTGTCAGGGACCTCGGCTTCGACAACGCGCTGTCGGACACCCTCTGCCAAGCAGCACTCCCAGGTCTCAAACGTTTCGCGAGTGTCGTTATCCACGATGAAGTCCCGGTGCGACTCGTCCATGCCTGCTTTGAAGCGACCCCGGAACTGAAGACGTCCCACCTCTTCTAGATCTTCAAGCCCCTTATCCATGAATGCTTTGACGTTTTCTTCAGTGATGTAGTTCTGGCAGAGACGATTGCCATTCTTTGTTTTCCAAATTGGGATATCAATCGGGGCCTCCTCGTTGTCCACCAGATTCTGCAGCCAGATCGACGCGTACGCAGCAGCGCCACGCTTGCCCGCCACGTGGAACTCGAAGATGACAGGTGATCGATATCGGTGCTTCACAGGCAAGCGAACGTGATGGTTATTCTCAGGTGACACGTCGAAAAACACCCCATCGCCTGCCTCAGTCTTGTGGCAACGCTCTCGAGGAATCTTGCCCACACTGCCACCAGTGCGAAGCTTGAGTTTCGTGTTATGATCCCAACCCTTGGCAATGATCTGGCTCGAGAGAAACTCGAATGTGCCGACGTCCCAGCCCAGCATGTTTGGTGGTAAGCGAGTTTCGACGCTTCGGAATAGCAGAGAGATTCTGATACGCCCAAATCCGATGCCTCCATCGAGTGGGTACCATCGAGTTACTTGAGAGCTAGTGGTAAGGATTTCTGACAAACGAAGAGGGACAACACCCAGAATCGGGTCATGTTCGCGGTTACGTTGATCGCGTACTGTGACAGTGACTATTCCAGATCTCCAGTCGCGCATGAATCTCTCAGTGCCAGCATTGAAGATGGGCTTGCTGCTGACAGCTTTCGCTCGAGTACGGTAGACCAGAGTGTCGTTGAACAATATTGTGCAGTAAGATGTGGGCAATTCTGTATCTGTCAGCTTATACTTTTCATACGTAAAACCAAACAAACTTACTGTTGGATTCTTCGTCGGTACCCTCACCGAATGGTTTGGCGGGCTCGAATTCCTTGCCCTTTCTATTACCATCAGAGCCTTTGATGTTCTCCAATTCCAGGTTCACAATCTGATGGACAACCACACTCAGTACGCCACTGGGCCACAGGGGATCCGGAGGTGTGTGTGCCACGGCGTCAGCCTCTTCAGTATCAAGTGTGCCCTTTTCGTCCTGGAACTGGGCATCGTTCTTGAGCTTGTCAGGAAGGTTTTTATCCTTGCCATCCGTACGAAGAGCGGGTCGAAACTTGGGCTTTCCGAAATAGCCAACTTCCCAATGCAATTCACCTGGCATTTCACTTCCATCAGCCACACCAGCCAGCTTCGAGATCTGAGGATACATCTTGCCAGGATGTTGAATCATCTTCTGAATTGAGAGTTCGACCTTTCCAACCATGTCGTCAGCGGAATTTCGATCCGAATCCCAAAGCTCAACACTGAGCTGTTCATTAGCCTTGACGAGATCGGGAGTAACCAGGAGTGCGGCAGTCTCTTCCCACACGGGGTTGAGATCGTCAGTGATTACACGAGTGCAGTACATTGGCTTGCCGTATTTCGAGAACGACAGGTTGATATAGGGGTCGCTGCCGCCGTACTTGCTGCCACGACGATCCTGTTTACTCAAACCAATAGCACGATGAATTCGGATCCACATAACGCCAAGGGCCTGAACATCCTTGGTGATGTCGTCTCCTTGGAGGATGGCTTTCAGATCAATCTGCATTGACTTGGGAGCCACATACATGCTTGCCGCAGCTCCGATTGCATAGTTGACGAAATTTGAGATCAACGGTAGGTTAAGAATATTCACTCCACGTTTCACCATCGGGATGCAGCCTGCTTGGACATGGGGAACACCCATCAGAGTAAAGGTGAGACTCTTAGCAAAAGGTGGCTCCGGAGTCATCTGCAAGCGGAGACGCACAGTCCCAACCAGCTCTTGTAGTTCAACAAAGATTGGCAATGGTACACCGATCAATCCCTTGATGCCCAGGTAGAAAACAAGATTCATGTGCATGTTTCTCGCACGAGAAGAAGCACTCTGGCCAGTTGGTTTGGCATGGTAAGCGAAAGCAATCTCAAGATTGTAGTAGTCACCCCCCTCCTCATCAGCAGCCGCTTCTTGGGGGTCTTTAGTCTTCTTGTTCTCTTCATGGATGCTCTGTTTGAGATCTTGCACTCTCGAGTCCGGTAGAGCTCGCAAGCTGAGAATTCGAATTGGATTATTACCTTGGTCGATCTCGGCCACTCGAACATTGTTGATCACAGCGGGCACTGAGGCTTGCATGACATCTTCGAGTGTGTCTGCAACGGCAGCGAACATCTCAGGATTGATTAGTCCCCAGACGACAGACAAAAATGTGTTCATCCACTCGACAGATTCGGGGAGGAGATTTGCAGTGGCCTATCGTCATTAGTACAGCTCACACAGAAGACAACGGGATCCGGGTTATTCTCACAGTCTCGCCTCGAGTTTGTTCACTAGACCACTCAACTTCGCGGCCACTTCTGACCACCTCCTTCATCCATAACCACACGCCTGAAGCGAGGCACATGCCCAGGGGTACCAAGCCTTTCAAAGAACCGCCAAACATCTTTCCCAAGAAGACGACGGAGAGCAAGATGGCAATGCACAGGCCCCCGGCGCGCTTCTCGAGGACTTCAAACATCGGCTCATAACTGACAGAAGGGGTTGGATGGAATAAAATGTTGGTCTTTTCACCGTGGATGGGTACATCGGAAGTAGATCCTTCAGCGATTGGATCCGGAGGCGCAGTGATATCTTGCTTTTCCTTGTACTCGGGGTTCTTTTGGGATGGATCTGTCGCCACAGGCGTAGGCTTGCCAAGGTTTGCATTAGGTACAGACAACTATCCGACAAGTCAGCAAACAAAAACAATGTTTCCCACCTGATCTCTCATCCGTACCACGGGATTTTCTGCTCTTTTCATGTAATCCTTGCCGACATCTGCGATGACGATGTCCTTTCCGGTCACCGGGTCCGTCACAGTTTTGCCCTCCTTCTTTTGCTGCTCGTTCTTGTGAGGAGTGATTTCACTGGAAGCTCCTAAATTTCGTCGCTGTTCATCGATGTTCTTGTCGCGGTTTGCCTTGTCCCGGTCGAGGTTTGCTATAAATTGATTGACGGTAGGAATCTTGTTGTTGCCGCTCCACGGCTTGCCGCTTTGCGGCTGCTGAGCAGCCATGATGGACCGGAGGCTGAACTGTGCTTCTTAACCAGGGTATCAGGGTATCGAGGGACAAGAATTCAATGGGATAGGGCTAAGTCAAGGAGGAGGACCAAGGAAGCGTCCACCACAGTCCACGCTGCTAAGAGGAAGAGTGCATGAAAGAATGAAAGAGCAAGCTTCACCGACATGGACCTTGGATTATCAAAAGGCCTGGAGAGGTGCAAGAAATACATGACATCGACCTTGGTGGTTTCGAAATGTCAGTGACGTAAATGTTCCTTTCCTGATTCTCAGCACCTGCAAGTGCAGGCAAAGTGTCGTCAACGGCAGCCACAGCGGGGCCAGACCAGAGCCTGGAGAGAACCACAATAGGTGCCAATCAAGCCTGGAGATGTCCAGAGATGCCCCCAACAGGCTCATCCGAATGCCTAGTGGCTCTGATTCCCCTCGCCAACCCCTCCACTACAAACACGCCTAATCTCGCTAGTCGGCGATCTGTCAATGCCAACGACAACCGAAATCTTATTTGGCTATCGTCGCCACACCACAATCAGAAGTCCAAACAAGGCTCCAACTAATGCAGCCACAGACGACAGTGTCCAACGGTCTCCGCCGATGATTCCAACAACTAACAATCCGACCAAGTTAGTATCTGTCGTCACTCCGGGATCGTCTTTCCAGGCTATGAGCACATACGAGTACAAGCCTCAGCCTCAGACCGACATAATGCGAAGTACTTCTCGTACCTTATTCAACTGGAGACCACCGGCCACACTCGATTTCCACTCATCCAAGTCTCCTGTACAAAACCGTCCTTATTCAGAATCACAAAGTCTGCTCTCCGGCCTGGCTCCAGCTTCCCTCTCTTGTTTTCGCCCATCATATCTGCAATATTCTCAGTCACGCACTGAACAGCCTCCGCCAAATTACACCCACTGAATGCCACTGCATTGCGTACGCAGTCATCCACTGTACAACAACTACCAATTAGAGTATTTGTGCCTTCAATCGTGACCTTGTTTCCTTGCTTATACTGATTGCCCGGGATCTGTCCATGGCCCGGGTGCACTCCATCAAGCAAGCCGGCCAGCTCAATGCTGTCTGTGATGAAGACGCATTTTTGGGGATCCGTTCGCATGCACATTGTCAACACTGCAGGATGAAGATGGATTCCATCTGGTATTATGGAGAAATAGCACTTTCCCGTCGCCATTAGTCCTGCCAGTCCTGGGTCGCGGTGATGGAGCGGGTTCATGGCGTTGAACACATGAGTTAGTGCTCGAGCACCAATCTGCACCGCCGCAACGCCCTCGTCGTATGTGGCTGCCGAATGGCCCAAGGAAATCACGATATGAGGATATTCCTCCTGCAATTGACCGATCAATGCAGTTGAGCCAGGTAATTCAGGGGCCATGGTGATCAGCTTGATGGGGCCCTTGAGGTTTGCATCCCCATACAGTTCCGAAAGCGACATCTCTGCCGGTATTTGCAGGTGTTGAGCACTGTGTGCGCCTTTCTTGGATTCATTCAGAAATGGCCCTTCTACATGGGCACCGAGAAGCTCGGCTCCTGACGAGAAGGCTCGTGGTGTCAGTGTCGGTACGATCTAGGTGACCAGGGTCAGTTGAGTTATTCCCAGGTAGTTCTGTCCCAACAGGGGCCCGATGTGGACGAGAAAGGGTGTTCCTCTTACCTGTTTCCATCTGTCTTTTGCAACCGTAGGCACGGTCGCCCACCACCCAGTGACACCGTGAGCTATTTCCATCTCACTGACAGCTTGGAGCTTCTGTTCATCGTCCTCTGCGTGGCCCTTTTGACCGGCCAGCTGCGTAAAGTGGATGCCTTGCATGCCGTTGGTTTGCAAGTCCAGAAAGCCCGGGGCAACAACATAGCCGTTCATATCTATTCGTTCCACGCCATCTTCTCGGAAGTAGTAGTTGGGCGTGATGATGCCTGTTTCAGAACTGAAGTAGAGATCTTGAGCTACAAGTTCGCCGGACATGCAAATAAGGCAGTTAGTGAAACATTTCAATGGCTCGTTCATGATCAGCGGGGTTGGCCTCGGCCGGGAAAGAGATGAGCTACAGCAGGAGGCAAGTTCAAGAGAGGGGTGGTTGGTTTCACGGTGTCATACCGCCGCAAGTATATATATTGCTGACGCAGGGAGATAGAGTGATGGTGTTGGTGACCAGCTCAGCAGGGTTTATTAGGACACCTCGCGGGGAATTTAAATTATCCCGACGACCAAAGCCGGCGACTCCCTACAGCTTCCGAGGATGACTCTGTCAAACGCAACGGAAACTCGAAGATGGAGCAAACATCCATATATGACAGATTGGGCTCTTCATTCTATTCTGTGAGAGAGTCATCTACAACCTCGTAGCTTCGTTATCGTCCCCAACGTCTTTAGACCGAGGAAGTATGTCTCCGCCGTCTCCCGTCTCACCCTCTACGTAGTCCTGTACTATAGCTGTACTGTCCACCTGTTTGCCTTTTAGGTCTGTGGGTTCCGTTTGTACTGGCGGCAAGGTCCATTCCCATCGCCTCTTCTTTCTCTTGCTTCTTCGTGCTGAAGTGCTTCTCGACCTTTCGTCTCTGCCACGATCTATCGACTCCGACGATGTTTCAGAAACCGGCCGAACTTTGCGTTTTCTCCTGCCCCGCCCATAGCATTCATCTACTCTTATCGACAGCATCTCTTTGACCTCCTCTGCCTCATCCATAGAGCCACTGCTTGAATCTTCTGTCTCGGATGAATTCGTCTCCTCGGAAGAAGAGCTCAGGTCAACGTGACGCAATATATATTCCCTAGTCACGATCTCTTCCTCCAAGTTCGAACGAAATGTGACCTTCTTGAGGGCTGGGAAGAAAGCTCGTCTGCCTGGAACAGGCAGTGCAGGACTGGCACCGGCAGAACAGGTCGAGCATCGAGGGCCATATTGCGGCACAGGGGAGTTCTTAAGAATCGAGCGCACGCCAAATGGCAGGCTCAAAGTGTACGGCGCCTGAGACGTCCCTGTTGGAGATAATGATTTGTGGATCGATTTCTGTTGGGGCCGTTTTGGAGTGACCGGCGACGAAGCTGAGATAACCGGTGATGGTCGGAAAGTAAGATCAAAAGCATTGTTGAATGTATTGAAGGTGGTTGGCGTCGTAGTACCCAGCTTGTTGGCCATATCAACGGGGCCACTGCTGGCATGAAAGGTCGGCGTCAAATTCGAAGTCTGTAGTGATAGTTTCGGCCTGCGTGCTTGGGTTTCCGACGACATGGACACAGGTGTAAGTGTAAGCGCATCATTGGGCTGAAGTACAGATGTGGACGCCAATTCGATCGGAGAGAAAAGACGAGGTGCGGTTGTAGGCATTGATATCGTCAGCATGGTCGTAATGGTGAAAGCATAAGATTGACGTGCTGTTAAAGTAACCGGTTCAACGCCGACGACGACCGCCCTTTTTCTGTCCAGACGCTTCTCTTGCCCCAATCGATACGATAAGCCCGTAGAGGCTGACGGACCTCACTCGCAAGGCAGTCACTTGAACAGGCTAGACGTAAGCACCCTGGTTTAGGTCCTTATACGTCCTCCGGTCACCCATACGAGCTGAAGTAGTCTCTTTGGAGTCAAGGAGTCTCCGAGACACCCGAAGGGTTCAGCTGGCTTTGATAAATAAAACCTCGAAGCATTAGTATACGAGCATGCTTGGTTTAAGAATCTGTAAAGGAGGTAGAGTGCAGCTGATCTGGTCCGGGGCGCTTATTACACGTCATCCGGCCAGAAACCACGAACGACAATCCATGTTTCGCCAGACATACGCTTGTGAGGGCCAGATTGTCAACGACGGACAGTCCCACTCCAGGCGACTATCGGACCTACCGTTGGGAAAAGGATCGCCGCCTAGCTGAGATCTGGACTGCAAGAGGTTGCGGACGGGCCGTGATTTTGACGGAGCACTTGATAGCTGGGGTAAACATGGAAATCTAGACGAGCGAGGCAAATATTCACCAAATCGAGGGAGGAATCGCAGCCACTAAGCATTCCAGCAAGAGGTGATGTACCCACGGCATCCTGCATTTCGTAGCCGCCATGGTCTATTTTCAGCTTTGACGTGAATAGTTGGGAGGAAGCGGGCGGCAGGGAAGCGCCGCGAGAGGAGAGTGGCTGAGAGGATGAGAAAGTCAAAAAATAGGCGCAGATGAAAATAGCCACCATGCGGCGGACTGCGACGAGTGGGTGGCCCCAGTGATGGGTCTGGATGCTCGATTTGTTTCGCAGTTCCACCGAGAGTCCTACTTATAGTTATCGCGTCCAATCCACTGGCGGCCTCATCGAAGGTTGATTGCACTCCGAGGGGCATCATTACTCGTAGTCGCATTCGTACTCGCACTGACGAGCCCAACAGACTGACACAGCGGAACGGGAATGCCATGGTTCCAAAGCACAACGTTGGTAGCCCGTGGACCAAATCAGTCGGCAGCCTGAGAACCGTCTCGCAGTTTCAGTTTCCCGTTCCTCCTTGACTAGCAATGATTCTGCCCGCCAAAACTCTGTATGAGCGTCCGGACACAAGCAGGATCTGCCTGAGGCACGGCCCGCCCATCCGAGTAAATTGTAGCTCGGCAGTACTGCGATGGTCTCTCGTGACAAGTATACTCCCATGACGATACGACAGCGGGATTGAACTATCTTATTTGCACCTAGAGGTTGACGGTTTTTAACCAACGACCTGTCACTGCTATAACCTCTTCAACGGCAGCATACCTACGGTAAGAAGACAGGACAACTCATCGCCTCAGCACTTCACCCATTCATCTCGTGGTACTGCAGATGAGCAGCGAGTGCAAAGGAAGGGATACTGTTCTGGCACAGTGGGCATCTTTCCACTTCCTGGCCGTCACCGTCGTCCGATTCCCACCCCCCCGCCATTACAGCCTTCTGATCCGACTGAGAAATCGGAGGACTAGGTGAGCCGCGATCAGAAGGATCGGCCACGAGACCATGCTCCTCCTGTCCATCGTGTAAGCCATCACTGATGACCCTGAAGTTTCTGAGGACCGCGTCTTGAGTCCGGAACATCCTACCAATATCTCGACCTTCGCTGTCCTTGCTCTCAGCTGCAGTCTCCAACATGTTCGTAGCGGCAACATTAATCAGGCTGAGATTCCACCCGCTTGTTTCGTGGTGAAGCTTGCGAAACATCGGCACCAAAGCTTCTTCAACAAGCCGCTCTGCCAACACAGACGAAGCTTCAGAGAGGTTGAACACAAAATTGGGCATAGGTAGGGAGCGCGAAATTCGATGAGACGTTCTGGCTCGGACACCATCTGGGCCAGGCGCCGGTCGAGGCCTTGTTGACAAACGTAATGTTCGGGGATGTGCCAGCCATCGTCGAGAGTTCGAAGGTCCGTCTTCACCCGTCTCATCATCCTCAAGGAGGTCTATATGCATTCGACGAATCAAACGGTCACCCAGAAGATGTAGTTGCTTCTTGACCTGCTCAAAGGTGTGCAAATATTTCATATACGAGTCCTCCTGGCTGATTTGAGAGGGGATCCGCTTAACCTTGCCAACCTCGCTGTGGTCAATACCGTGGAGCAATTCCCACACTTTTCCGCCGATGCCCTTCGGAGAGCCTGGACCGCCAAGAATATTCTCAAGCATTTCCGGGCCCATGCCAGGATGAAAACGGATGTCGAATACAGTCACCGACTCCTTTGTATGACCGTAGACGAGACCGGTGGATATTTGTCCCTCTCTTCCAAGAACGTGGGCTCTGATCTTTTGGGCTAATTTGAACCCGATTCCCGGTACTTTCCCAACATCATGGGCATCGAGGAACTGTGTAACACTGCTTGTGGCGGCAGCTGTAGGACCCAATGGCGGCATAAGTGTGGTCTGGTTCTTCGGTTTGTGGACATTTCCCACTAGCTTGGATAATATCTTGTTGGTCGCGACACCCACGGTTGAGGTATACCCCATCTGGGCTTCGAGCTGATGGCGAATATGTCTTGCGAGATGCGATCCGAGTCTAAGGCGTAGGTGTAAGCGTCGCTCCTCATCATTCAATTCTGCCAAGGGCCCCGGAGCAGGCGGGTAGGTAGGACCGAAGACGTTGGACGCGTCGTATTGAAAACCGGCGGTAGGGTCGGTCTTGTTCAAGCAAAAGAAGGAATGGCCAAGATCATTCTGATTAAGAAGATCCATGTTGTAATCAATCATGTCTGTGCAGTCGAGCCTGCGACCAGTCAGAAACAGATTCCGAAGGGCGTTCGAAGTGTAGCCTACCAGACCTCGTCGAAGCCCAGCCTCTCCGCTCTTCCGCTCCAGATACTTTGTTGCAGAAAGGTATAGAGTTCCTTTGAGGCATTCCGAAATTTGGTCAAGTCCTCTCCTAGGACAATGACGGCTTCTGGACACACTTTCTTTGCCTCAGTGATCAATTGCAACTTGCGAAGGCCACGGCGGCGTGCTTCATAGTTGCACGTCACCACAATCTGCTTCTGTTGTATGGCCAGTGGTACGAATTTCAGGGCTGGGTTTTCGTTCTCGACGACCGAAGCATAAAAGCAGTCATAGTCGAAATGGACGATTATCCTGCTGTCATCCCTCCGAAGAGTCCTGCCGGCCTGCATCTTTGTTGCGGCAACATCGTCGGCGACAACTGTGCAGCCTCAGGGACACAAGACGAGCATCCGCGAGAATTTCAGCTGCGGCCGCTGGTACCGGAAATGAATCAAAATCATAGTGGAAGCGAGGTTCAAAGATAATGCGAAAGAGCAGGCAGCGGGCGAACCGAAGTCTGCTGAGTAAACTCATCACTTAGTGGCCGATCTGTTGGCCGATCGCGTCGTCGCGAAGCACCCTGCACGCGCCCGAGCCAGGAATACCACTCAGCGTAAACAACAACTATTTCCATAGCCTCGCACATATCTGTCGCAACAACAGTTACCCATATGAAGCCACGAAGTCCACGTAGCTGACACTCGGCGCGCTTTCGCGCTACTTTTGTCATCTTCAATGTCTCAAGCAAATCCCGCTTTCCCAGGTCGCAACGTGTATGCTTCTTCATCGAGTAAACTGCCTGATCGCACAGGCCAGAAGCCTCCAGGAATCGCGCCTTCCCAACATCACTCTCAGTCGGCCTTTGGGAGGCGTGCAGATCAGCCTCACCCATTTAACCAGGCGCTCGCATCTCAGCAGCAACATGGCGCCCAAGGCGCAAGACCAGGCTTGGAAAAGGAACCAAACGTATTAAGCGAGCTGAGTGAGGAGCAGAGGGAGGAGATCAATGAAGCTGTATGCGCGAGTATTCTACCTACTGTACTGGTATCACTGACTTGGCATCTTATAGTTCTCCTTATTTGACCTCGACCGCGATCAACATTTAAACTACCAAGAGGCGCGAATCGCCTTACGGTCGCTGGGCTTCACCATTCCCAGGCCTGAAATATCTCAAATAATGCACACGCATGGGGTCCCGAAGCCACAGTTCAAGAGAGGGTTGCTAATGAAAGGGCAAACCACATACCATGCGAGCCAGCTGCTGTTACCACAGAATGCGTTCCAACGTATCGCCGCGCAAAGAATATTCGAGCGCGATCCTGGTGACGAAGTTGAACGCGCTTTTCTCCTGTTCGATCCGCAACAAAGGGGATACATCGAGGCAGACGACATACGAAGGGTGGCCCGCGAACTGGGAGAGACCGGCCTCGAGGACGATGAGGTACAAGCCATGATTGATATGTTTGACTACGATGGGACTGGCACGGTTTCAAAAGAGGCATTTTATACCATTTGTCTTCAATGACTTTTGAATTGATTCAACTTCGGCGATAACGAAGCGACGATTTACCAGTATCTGGATGGTTGTTTTGGATGATGAATTGACTGTCATCCAAGGATGCGGCTGACATTCCTACACTTGGGTGGAATTTAGCCATGTTGGATATGCGCTACACTTGAGCCTGTCATATCTCACCACGGCAGCTGGACAGGGCCTTCCTTCGCCGTCGACTTGCCCATCACCGCGTCCCAGTTTCCAATGTCACGGGTGCCTCGTGGTGCCCAATATGTACCAGACTGTTCCAGAGAGAAGTCTTTCTCAACCCAGTCTGCCAATAATCGCGCAGCATCTTTGGGGTCGAGAGCGCCACCGGCGTCCCAAAACTGATCGAATCCAACTCCCTTGGTCATCTCAGTTCTCATGAAGCTTGTAAATTGTCAGTTTGGTCGAAAAGGTACCCGACTGCTGGAGCCTTACCTAGGGTGCACCGAAACGACAGCTATTCCTCTATCTTTCAAGTCGAAGGACAGCTGTTTAGCCACCATGTTCAATGCTGCCTTAGAGCCATGGTGGCCGAAATTGCCTCCACCTTCCTGCTCATGCCTCAGAGTAATGGAGCCTGACTCTGAAGAGACCAAGACGACTTTGCCGCCTTGAGTCAAAATTGAAGCTTTAACCAGTTCTTGAACCACAAATACTGGTGCGACCGACGAGAGAGTGTACATCTTGACCTCATCGTCCCAATTGGCATTGCCGAAGTCCTCCGTCGCGAAATACCCTGCAGTTATGATACAGCTGTCGACGGTCTTGCCGCGCAATGCCGTGGCCAAATCCTGGCCACAGCTTGACTTGGACAAGTCGATGTTCGGTATCCAGCTTATGTTGCTATGGCCGAGACCCGTAGGAACGTCTGATGATCGAGACGTAGCATATACGCGATGGGAGAGGCTGTCGGCATAGTATAGTGCCAACTCCCTCCCAAGGCCACGAGTAGCACCGACGATCAAGGTGGAAGGCATGTTGCTCGCGTGGAACTCTATTTTGTGAGAGACTGAACTCGGAATGAAGACTCACGATGATCTGCGCAACACCGCCTTCAAAAAGCAGATGGCGACAGTTTATTCTTGACCTTATTATCAATAGTGTATTCACGGCTGCTCTCTTGATGGCGTAACTGGCGGCTCTCAGATTGCACATAAGGCGTTACGTCAGACCATGATGGCTCGCTAAGTGAGTCTGCACTTCTTTTATTATTGAGTGCGGAGAGCATCGCATTTACTTGAGGCCATTTTGTTAGGATCAAACCCAAGTCACCGCCACCTCTAGAGATTTATTTCTTTCCAGCTTCGACTTGATCGTGCCTTCCCTGTTCGTCGCAGATAGTTGGTGGTCTCTTTGCATGTGGTCGGTGAGACCTTGATTTATTGCGCCAAGTCCAGCAACTGTTGCCTCTGTCGCATGTTTGTGTACTGCCCTCGAGTTCACTTTGGAACACAACGCAATTTGGCACCCTGACTTTCAATATACACGATGGCGGACAGCGAAGAATCTCCAGCGCAACGTCAGGCAAGAATACGACGGCAGAAGCGGGAAGCAAAGATCACAGGCTCCGCGACTGAGAGACTCGACAAAATCACCAGGCTCAGTGGAAGGACGCCAGAGAGCAGTAAGGCTATCTTTACCCGCCATCAGGGCGATGCCCGTGAGCAAAGACTAATGTGACAATCCACAGTGCGTCATGAGTCTCCCGCTATAACTCCTCGCTCTTCGACACCGTCGGACATTCCATCGCCTCCCAATGCCATGCAAGATGCCTCTGTAAATGCCACTCCAGAACAAATTCGAGCCCAGGAAGAGTTCCTAAAGGCGATGCTTAGGCAGCCAATGCCACAAGACGGGCAGTCCCAACAAGCACAAGCACAAGAAGACGATCCTATGTTGAAGATGTTACAAGCCATGATGGGAGGCACGGATGGTGGCTTTGCTCCAAATGCCCCGGGTGGCGGAATGGGTGGCATCCCCGGTATGTCTCCCGACGACATATCAAAGATGACAGGACTCCCGTCCTTCCTCACTAGCATGTTCATGGGAGGACAAAAAGCACCACCCACACAAGCGGAAACTCGAACGAGAAGGCTGTGGAAGGTAGTGCATGTTATTTTTGCCATTTTCGCAGGGCTCTACCTAGTTTCCTGCATCAACACGGCGACCGAGACATTTGGCGAGAATCCTCCGGCCCCAGCAACTTTCCAGAACCCCTTCACACTGTTTGCGACTGGCGAACTACTGGTTCAAGGGACGAGGGTACTTACGAGCGGCCACTCGGACAAAAGCGGGATTGGTCTGTGGATACAGATGTTCAGGGAATTTATCGGGGACGGCGCAATCGTGGTATTCATGTTAGGCATAGCGTCCTGGTGGAAAGGAAGCATATAATTGATTATAGTCAATAATGAACAGAGATCTGGATCCCGGCAAGGTGTCCGCTGGCGAACAGTTCCGCAATCTTAAAATTGTGTCCAAGATTGTTGGGTCCAGCCTTGCGTCTGACCGATGGCTTGGACGAGGAGCGGATTGCCCGGGCAAGTCACACCACGTAAGTAACCGGGACTGACACATGGCAGATGGCTGCCCATATCGCGGGTGTTCCAGAGGTGAACCCTGGAGATGCGCTCTAGGCGAGAACCCCGTCTGGAGAAGGTGGCAAAGCTAAGAATCGTGGGTCGTGCCAGCGGATGGAACGAGTGCTCGATACACGATGCGGACGAAGTACGGTTGTCCTCGTAGCTTATTTGCGACATCAATGCATGCCTCAGGGAGGCTCACTAGGCCTTGCCGTCGCCCGAACAGGTGCTACTTTGGGATGCCCAAACAAGTGAACTAGAATATACTCAGATTGTACGGATACTCGCGCGAGCAGACAGACATGGCTCTTGGCTGTGTAAGCGCTGCTTCTTGTACGCGAGGTAGGGGGTAGTAGTCCTCGTTCGGGATCCTGAGAATTGTCGTCATGATGAGCTTCATCGTTGGCCCTGAAAATGATGGACGGTCTGCGGGAAACAGGATTGCCATGGTGGCTTGCCGGACGCAGGCTCGGCGTCAGGTCGGGAACAGGGACGGCAGAACTACCTATAGGCTAGAGGGCAGAAGAGGACAGACGATGATGGGCGGCGTGGCGGAGCTTGTGTATCCTCGTGCAGGTATGTAGTCGTACCGCAGCTCGAGATAGTTAGACTGCGCTCACGGATAAAAGGAGGGATGCAAGATGGAGGGGCCAATTGACGACTGACGCACAGCAAATGGCGAAGCTCCAGCTTTCCCCGCAGCACCAGATGCAGCGCCCGCCCGAATCACAAACTGGTCTGACGATGCTCGAGGATGGTGCAAATCCCACACGCGAGAACCAGGTCACTCGATCAACCACGGATAGAGAAAAGGCACGTTCGTCCTCTTACTCCCTTGTCTTCGCTCTTCACCCTTCACCCTCCCTTCGTCATCCGTCCTCTCGGCCTCGTGCCTATATTAGAGCTCCAGACCTCCGCCCCGATCCTGGTCCGCTTTTCTGTATCATCCTAGCGCCCAGCTGTGCGTATCTGCGACTTCAATAGCAACACAGTTAGCTGCCTCCCTGGTGGCCCCTTGATCCTCCATTCTCCTGTGTTTGCTATCCGTCCTTCACTCTGCTACGCCAGTCACCATGTCTGAGGGCAAGGTCCAGCCTCCAAAGGCACCTGTAGTGGTAGGATATACTCTTCTGCACACCTCTGTACACCCTTACTGACCGTGCTTCAGGCCGAGGCTCACGAGGTGGACACTTTCCAGTAAGTGGTTCGCAAGCCTGAGTTTGAGCTCGAGGCTTCCCCGAGTGGTACTCGTACTGATCTGCTTGCAGCGTTCCGAAACCATTCTTCACCAAGGGACCCGGAAAAGCCCACCTCAAAGATCTCGACGAGTACTGGTCGATGTACAAGGAATCGATTGAACAGCCGGACAAATTTTGGGGAAAGATGGCTCGTGATCTTCTGTCGTGGCAGCAAGATTTCCAAACCGTACATACTGGCTCCTTGCAGAATGGTGACAATGCCTGGTTCTTGGAGGGTCGTTTGAACGCCAGTTTCAACTGCGTTGATCGTCACGCAATCAAGAACCCCGACAAGCCTGCCATCATCTACGAGGCCGATGAACCGAACGAGGGTCGGACCCTGACCTACGGCGAGCTCCTTCGCGAGGTATCCAGGGTCGCATACACTCTGAAACAGATGGGTGTCAAGAAGGGCGACACCGTTGCCCTCTACCTCCCTATGATTCCGGAGGCCGTTATTTCCTTTCTTGCTGTCACACGTATCGGCGCAGTTCATTCGGTCGTTTTTGCCGGTTTCTCGTCTGGCTCATTAGCTGACCGTATCATTGACGCTAACTCCAAGGTCGTCATCACAACCGATGAGGGGAAGCGTGGCGGAAAGTTGATCGGGACCAAGAAGATCGTCGATGAAGCTCTCAAAAAGTGCCCCGACGTCAGCCACGTTCTGGTGTACAAGAGGACCGGCGCAGACGTGCCCTGGACCAAGGGCAGAGATTTTTGGTGGCACGAGGAGGTTGAGAAGTACCCCAACTATATCGCACCCGAATCCATGAACTCTGAAGATCCTCTGTTCCTCCTCTACACTTCTGGTTCAACGGGCAAGCCCAAAGGTGTCATGCACTCGACCGCAGGGTATTTATTGGGTGCAGCAGCCACCGGTAAATATGTATTCGATATTCACGATGACGACGTCTTCTTTTGTGGCGGTGACGTGGGTTGGATTACGGGACACACCTACGTCGTCTATGCTCCATTGCTGCTGGGGGTGGCCACGGTCGTTTTTGAAGGTACTCCAGCCTACCCGAACTTCTCCCGGTATTGGGATGTCATCGACAAGCACAACGTTACCCAGTTCTATGTCGCGCCGACCGCCCTTCGTCTACTCAAGAGAGCCGGGGACGAGCACATCCATCATAAACTGCACAAACTGCGAGTGCTTGGTTCTGTTGGTGAGCCTATCGCCGCAGAGGTCTGGAAGTGGTACTTTGAGTCGGTAGGCAAAGAGGAGGCACACATCGTTGATACATACTGGCAGACGGAGACGGGTTCACATGTCATCACTCCTCTAGCTGGTGTCACCCCGACGAAGCCCGGTAGTGCTTCTTTGCCATTTTTTGGTATTGAGCCCGCCATCATCGATCCCGTTTCCGGTGCAGAGATCGAGGGCAATGACGTTGAAGGTGTTCTGGCGTTCAAGCAAGCTTGGCCCAGCATGGCACGCACTGTCTGGGGTGCTCACAAGAGATACATGGATACATATCTGAATGTATACAAGGGATACTACGTAAGTTTCACGCCAATTATGGCCGGTGGATCAAGGCTAACAGGATGATAGTTCACCGGCGATGGCGCTGGACGCGACCATGAAGGGTACTACTGGATCCGAGGTCGCGTCGATGATGTTGTCAATGTCTCAGGTCATCGTCTGTCCACTGCTGAGATCGAAGCTGCCCTGATCGAGCACGATGGTGTTGCTGAAGCCGCAGTTGTCGGAATCAACGATGAGTTGACCGGCCAGGCAGTCAATGCTTTCGTCTCCTTGAAGGATGGAGTAGATCCAGGTGAGGCCACACGAAAGGACTTGATCCTGCAAGTCCGAAAGCAGATTGGACCATTCGCAGCACCCAAGGCCATTTTCATCGTCGACGATCTTCCCAAGACGCGGTCCGGCAAGATCATGAGGAGAATTCTGAGAAAGATCTTGAGTGGCGAGGAGGATAGCCTTGGCGACACGTCGACTCTCAGCGATCCAAGCGTTGTGGACAGAATCATCGAGACAGTCAAGTCTTCGAGAAAGAAGTAGTTGGCTCGTGGCAACCGTTGGATATTTTTGTTGATACGCTCAATTAGCCCGAAGACAAGGGGAAGGAGAAACGGTGAATATTTTGAAGGTCGCGAAAATACCAGGATAGTAAATCTCGAATGTATTGACACCTAGCTTGCACACTGTCTGCCTGAACGCACCTTTGGCCTACTGAAACCACTTATAGCCACACGGGAAGATACCGAGCGTGTTATTCCGTAGTCGTAACAATAGGTGCAGCTCGCTGCCTGTCACTCCGCCGCCGAGCACGTCCCGGCGATGGAGGCCTAGACCTCTGGAGCCTCAGAATCCAGGTACCACTGGGTGATGACTGGAGTCGTTCTGTTTCTCGATTCCAGGCTCCGAAACTGCCAGCTCGAGTGCTATAGTGTTAGAATGACTACCTGCCGTATGGAACGTCCCAGCCAAAGAGGGCTCTGGGCTGCGGACCAATCATAGTGCATGAGTGGTCGGGCTCCCCAGGCTGACACATCCTTCTTGGCACAAATTAGGTCGCTGCGCTGGAAGACGGTGCGCTTCCTCATCCCCGTGTCCTTCGCAGGCGCGTCGACTTTTACTTCAAGCCCATCATTTCTGTGACTTCCACCTCGTTCTAAAGCTCGTTCGCAGTCGAGCGCTCGAGTGCTGCCAGCTGTTCCAGACTTAGAGAGCGGGCGCAATCGTCTGCCGTCTCTGTCTGCCTTTGCCTCGATTCTTCACTGCGGCGCGTCACGAGCTTTCCACCTCATCTTTTTTAGTCCCTGCATCTTCACTCGTTACTGTTTGACAATACTGCCTCCTGTTTTTCTCCGTCAAACATAGCTCAACGACGCTCTTCCATACCCGCCAGCATGTCGTTTGGCGGCGGCGGATTTTCTTTCGGCTCTAATGCCAACACCCAGAACACCGGTTTTGGTGGGTTCGGCAACAATACAAACAGTGGTAAGTCCATGTCTTTGCACACCCTCAATCCCCCTTCTTCGCCCTGACACGCTTTTGATTTCATCTAGGCTTCGGCACAAGCACAAGCAACGCCGGCTTCGGTGCCAGCACCGCTGCCTCGAATCCCTTCGGTGGTGGTAGTGGCGGTAGTACTTTTGGATCCCCAGCGGGAGGTGCGTGAAACAATTCACTCGTCGTTCCTTCTTGCCTTCGTCGACACAAAGACATTCCATGATCAGCTATTCTGGGCATTGTTTGCGGATCTCTCATATCTGAAGCATCTGCCCACTACATGGCTTAAAAAGATATCCTACGCCTTGCGTCCTTCAATCATGCATCAATACAATGGATGAGCTAACTCCGCTACTTGTAGGTTTCGGAAACACCAACAACACATCCGGCTCTCTCTTCGGCAATAAACCGGCCTCGAATCCCTTCGGCGCGAGTACAAATACGGGAGGCGGCTTGTTTGGCAGTTCAACAACGACACAACAAAACACTGGCTTTGGGGGATCAACAGGTGGATTCGGTACCAATGCGGGCACTGGAGGCTTTGGGAACAATACCGGTGGTTCATCTTTCAGCTTTGGCGGGGCCAATAAGCCGGCCTTTGGAGCGTCGAGCAGTTCAACGCCCCTCTTCGGTCAGGGCGGTAGTGGAACCACAGGTGGTTTTGGCTCAGGCGCATTTGGTGCTTCTGGATCTGGAACCGCGTTGAGCAATCAACCTGTTCCGCCTTCGGAAGGAACTGCCTCTACGCCTTATGCTCCGACATTGGAGAAAGATGCCTCTAACCAACAGAGCAATTACCAGAGCATTAATTTCATGCAACCTTATCAGAAGTATTCGTTTGAAGAGCTTCGCTTAGCGGACTATAACGCCGGACGTCGCTATGGTAGTGCCACAGGAACCTCTGGTGGATTCGGATCTAGTACTTTTGGTGGATTCGGTGGTAGCAGCTCTACTCCGGCTTTTGGTGGTGGCAACACTTCGTCGGCTGGCCTGTTTGGCTCGCAGACAACCTCGTCGTCAACGCCTTTCGGTGGCAGTGGTACTCAAACCACAGGCTTTGGTGGTGGAGGTCTCTTCGGAAGTAAGCCTGCTACAGGTGGTCTTTTTGGCCAGCAGCAGTCCACAGGAACTTCTTCTGGTGGGATCTTCGGCACTTCGGGCAGTACTGGCGGTGGCTTCGGGGCCGGAGGTTCAGGGACATTCGGTTCTGGAACGACAGGTGGCGGTCTCTTTGGACAACAACAAAACAAGCCAGGTGGCTTGTTCGGGTCGACCACCACCACCAGTGCTCCCTCATTCTCGTTCGGCAATACCGCTCCGACCAGTGGTGGTACTGGTCTATTTGGAAACAACAACCAGCAGCAGCAACAGTCTCAGCAGCAGTCTGGTGGTTTATTTGGTTCTGCAAACCAACAAAAGCCACTCTTTGGCGGCAGCTCAGGAGGCTTTGGCAGTACGACAAGCCAGAGTCAGCCTTCTGGTGGTCTGTTCGGTACCTCCACCTCCCAGAGTGGTGGTGGCGGCCTTTTCGGCAACAATACTGCAACAACTGGTGGTACTGGAACCGGCCTTTTTGGTTCCAACAATACTACGTCTAATACTGGGCTGTTCGGTAATCAAACTCAGAAACCTGGTGGGCTTTTCTCCAACAGCACCTTTGGAACAAGCCAGCCGAGCACCGGCGGTGGTTTGTTCGGCACCAGTGGCACCAACAATCAACAAAGCGGAGGTTTCTCCTTTGGCAATGCTGCGCAGAAGCCCGCAGGAACTTCGTTGTTCGGCAATAGTCGCACACAACAACAAGGAGGTCTCTTCGGCCAGGCCGGTGGGACAAGCTTGTTTGGCAACTCTCAAAATACGCAGCAGGGCCAGCAACAGCAGCCGGATTTCAAGCAGTCTTCTTTGAATGACCCTAATCCTTATGGTCAGACTTCAATTTGGACTGGGTTGCCCGTACCCACCCCGGAGACTGCGAAACCACTTTTCACCCCGTTGTCAGCAACCCAAAAGATGCGGGAAAGCCAGGCAAAGCCTCCACCAAGTCTCCGTCTAAGCCAGTCGCGGTACATGACACCTCCACGCCGTTCTGGCTTCGGCTTTTCCTACTCCACATATGGAACTCCTAATAGTGCTGCGAGTACTCCTGGCGGGAGTGGCTTGACCAACAGCATGTATGGCAGTCGAAGCTTTGCGGGCGGCAGCTTTGGACGCTCTTTTGGAAAGAGTGCCTCGGCGAGTAATTTGAGGTCTCAATTCTCAGGTGACACCGAAGGCATCCTCAGCCCCGGTGCATTCGCCCCAAGCGCAAGTCGTTGGTCCAGTGGCAACATGCGCCGGCTCACCATCGATCGAAGCATTAGGAATGACCTTTTCACCCGACCTTCTCTTCCTGGTCCACCAGCCAACGGCTCTGAAAAGCCTAACGGTAGTCAGGAGGAGGCGGTCATGATTAATGGTGCCGAATCTTCAGGCGAGATCAGCAAATTGAAAAAGCGGGTCAGCTTTGACAAAGGGACTTTCGGTGGACAGGAAGCAACCTTGAATGGGGAGTCGGGAGCTCTGGTACGTGCCGAGACCGATGGGGAAGACTCCGAATCAGGTAGGACTCTTAACGGCAGTGCCACACCTGAGGCCGAACCTTCACGGACCAACGAGCTTGCTATGGTGCCTGAAGATAGGGAATCCGACCATGTTTCTCCCCAGAAGGCGGTTCAAGCGAAGCCTGACCCGCAACCCGGTGACTACTGGATGAGACCTACTCGAGCGGAACTCGGGAAGATGCCACGTGAAAAACTACAAAAGTTTGTAGGCTTTGAAGTGGGTCGCAAAGGCTGTGGAAAAGTTACTTTCAACGGCGCGGTCGACCTTACTGCAATCCCCTTGGATGACCTTTACGAAAAGATTGTGGAGATCCGCCTTCGATCGGTCACTGTCTATCCAGATGCTAGTTCAAAGCCTCCGGTCGGTAAAGGTCTCAATGTGCCATCGACGATCTCGATCGAGAACTCTTGGCCTCGCTCTCGCGGCCAACCTTCATCTGCTACCAGCGGTCCAATTTTCGAGAAGCACGTTAATCGATTGAAGAAGATGCACGGCACTGAATTCGTCAACTACGAAGTCTCAACCGGTGTCTGGACGTTCAGAGTTCCTCATTACACTCGTTATGGTTTGGACTATGACGATGACGATGATCTAAGCCAGAGTCAGTTGTCTGCGCCGCCAGACTCTCTCAGTGGCTCAAGATCTGGCAACATATCGGCAATGGATGTTGATAGCGAGGACCACGATGACAGCCAAGATGACGACACCTTTGCTTTCAAGCAGAAGACCGTCCCGGGAGGATTTGGACGTCGATCTGCTGTTGACTACGACGTTGACATACCAACAACACAGAGTGATGATGACCTCCACGAATCTGAGTTGTCAGAGCAGTCTGCAGCCGAAGAAAGTGACAACGAAGTTAGCATGGTGGGGTCGTTTCCGCCTAGAAGTGCAACAGCCCTTCAGAGCCCCAGCAAGCCCACTCTGAAGGCGAGTCAGATGGGTACTCCTGGCAAACATCTTCTCAGCCTCGATGGTGATTGGGCTGAGCAACTCCAACAAACAATCAGTCCTCGCAAGCAGAATCGTGAGGCTCTCCGCGATGTCCAGAACAAAATTCTCCTCGATCGAGCCTATGAACCAATGAAACCGAAAGCGCAAAATCAGAACGAATTCCGTACGAGTATTGACATTATGAACTCCCTGTTCAGCAAACACGAGGCAAAAATGGCAAAGGGAAAGAAAGGACAGGCTGGGCCGGATTTTGAGGTTTGACATTCCCCACCCCTTTGCCTTTACCTTACCCCTTGTTCTTGATCTGATGAACCCTGGAAGAATTGAGTGTGGATGAGATTATGTACATGAGGACAGCAAAATCAGAAGACAGCACATGGTCACGAATGGGAATGTATGTCCAGGGTTCAGTCGTGGTCTCACATAGCATGTAGGTAGTCTCTGAATGAAACACATTGGCTAAAATTTTGTGTCTTAGTTTCCTTATTCGAAGCGCGCAAAAACCTTTGGTGATGACGAATCCGAAATGACCGAGAACGACAGACTGTGGCATTCTTCATTCAAACCCCAATTCACTCAACAGAACAAACTGGTATACAAGGCTGATGGTGCAGTGGAAAGCGACTCGATGTGGACCAGAGATCTTCTCGTCAGCAACGAAGGAGGTGACGTGGAAATCACTTCACTTCGCAATGCAACAGTATTACTTGTCATTCTTGATTTGGTCGTCATTTTCAACTAACATCCAGTCAGGTCGGAATGAGCACCGAAACCTTGATGGCGAACACAAAAGTCAAGCTAACGGAACAAGTCCCATTTGTGCACCACGATACCGTTGCCTTCTCCCAAGGCAAAGAGCAACTAACTCAGCAAGGCGCCAACGCAGACGAAATTGACGTCTACAATTTCTTGCATGTCCTTTTTGACGAGTTCGACGATGAATTCACTTGCGGACTAAGTCGGCAGCAGCAGCGGGAGTATTTGGCACGTATTCGGAAAGATCGTCTTTCAAAATTTCTTGCTGAACTGGTCTGGCGTCGACACACCGAGAAAATCAAATACGCCGAAAAAGAAAGTGCTGTAACCGCAGCGCTACTACAACTTACTGCTCATAACATCACCGCTGCTTGTGAGATGTTGACGCGTGAGCAGGATTTCCATTTGAGCCTGTTGGTTGCGCAGATCGAACAGGGAGACGCGACGTTTCAAAACGACATGGCTGATCAGATTGAGGCGTGGAGACAACAGGGCGTACTGAGTGAGATGTCGGAAGAGATCCGTGCCATGTATGAGCTTCTTGCCGGAAATACGACCATTGCCCAAGGCAAGCAGAATGTCCCCGTGGAGGACAAGGCTAGTACGTTCGCATTGTCAGAAAAGTTTGACCTCGACTGGGTACAGGCGTTTTGCTTGTGTCTGTGGTACGGACACCAGAAGAATGGTGACATTACGGATGCTGTGGCTGAATTTGCAAACAAAGTCTCCAGTCGCGAGGAATCCGCCAGTCCTGTTGGTGAAGACGGCAGGGAGGATCTGTTGTGGGTGATGCTCAAGTTGTTTGCCACTAGCGAGAAACCAGGCTGTGTCGATGTGCCTGTCTTCCCACAAGCTTTATCAGCTCTCGCTCAACCCTGGAACTCGACCCACGCATTCCAGCTACACCACTTCATCGCAGCTGCTGTACAGGGCGTCGAGGTCGACAACAACAAATCCGACGATCTAGCATTGTCACTGGCCTTCGAGTATTCGGCAAAGGGAGATGTCGTCGGTGCGATATATGCCGTCGAACACATCAGGAGTTCAGTTTCCCGGAGCTCGCATATTCGAGAATTGCTTGAAAGACACGCGGCTGTATTGCCGTCGTCTCCCGATCTCGACTCTGAAAAGGCGGCTTTCTCAACTCAACAAGGCCAATCGCAAGTCTGGACCGACCTGACCACTCACCTGAAGGTGCCAGTCAGCTGGATCTGTCATGCCAAAGCGCTCTACGCTCGATCTTGCACCGACGCGCACACCGAATTGACTTATCTCATCCTTGCGGGCGAATTCGCCGAAGCACATGAGTGTTTGCTCAAGCGTGTCGCGCCACGCCTTGTGATCGACGAGGATTGGGAGACGCTCCAGTCGACTCTGGCCAAGTTTGATCCGAACCCTGCGGACAAACTTGAGATTGGCGCGTGGGAAAGTGGAGGCCAAGTGTATGCTGACTTTGTCACGTTGATTTCCGCCGCGGCTGTTTCGATGTCGGCGCCAACCTCTTCTGCACCTGCGCAACGACGTGGAAGCATGCAGCGGGACCCCGATTCGAGAAAGGCATTATTGCTTAGATTACACAAGGCCTTGATTGAACTGAACTCTCGGTTCGTCAGCCGTCACGGGGAGACGCTAGCTTTGGATAAGGATAAGGAGAACCTCGAACAAAGAGTTGCACTGTGCGAGATGGGCAGAGCAGTCGCGAGAGCCATTGAATTGGATGAGGATGACGGGTTGAGTTCAAAGGTAAGTCTGCCCCTTTTTAAGTTTTTGGAAGACTGTTCATCCTTTCTTTCCTATCTAAACTATGTGGTCACTGACGTTGTTTGTTTGCTTTGGTGTCTTTTGCAGAAATCAATACTCGACCTACCACTCACTGCGGATGGGAGATTGACTCACGCTCGAGCTTTGGGAGTGGAATATTATCGTGGACTCATGGCTATGGCGAGATGAGGTTTTCTGAGCTTTCTTTGGTTTAATGGTGGGACAGCACGAACTCGCTCAGAGAACTTTTGAGAAAAGTGGTTTAAAAGAAATAGCGGGGTTGGTGCTGTCAAAGATTGAGAATTGAATAAAAGCGTGAGGATCGACTTCGTTCGTTCTTGTTCTCCCTTGTTCTTTTATGGTGTGGTATGCGGTGCCTGCCTGTTTGCCTCCCTGCTTGCCTGCCAGCGCGACTGTGTTCGTTTTGATCAAGAGTAGATAAAAGTATTTTGAGGACAGAGGCAATGGCGTCGGCGGTTCGAAGGTTGCTGGGTCGTAAAGAGAGTACGGAGTACGAAAGTACGGCGAGTTCAATGACAGTTCGTATCTGGCTGAGAACAACCTGTGATATGGCGATAAGCCTCCAAGCCTCCAAGCCTCCAAGCGCGTAGGAAAGAAGATTACGCATAGTACAATAATAGCTTCATTTGTGTACCTTTGTCGACACACCTATTGTGTTTTGAATTAGATGAAGAGGCCCGTACGACCATGCTCACCACCAGTCCCCGTCTGTACCTGAGGTAATATCGAGTTGATTGGCGGTGAGTGTTGATTGTCGTTCTTACTTCTTTCATTTCTTACTGGCGTCGTGACAGTAAGCAATGAATCCCGAGCTTCCCTTAGGTAAGCTGGTCTCGTCCTGCGTAAGGCTGACGGAATTCAGGGGGCCGGCCGCCGCTCGATTAGTGCCAGCCGTGCCTACATAGGTAGTTAATTGTCCCGTGCACATGCACCTACCCAGAGGCACCTATGTAATAAGACCGTTGCATGCTTGGATAACACGTCAAGCTGGCGCCAACCACGTGTCGATTGATGTACGTGTATGACCATCTTACCGTGGCACCGCGTACTGAAGGAGGTGGTACCCAGGGTTCCCCCCCCCCCCCCCCCCCCCCCCCCCAAAGAAGGATGGGTACGGCATCTTGTGAAAATGTTGTCGAGAGCGATTGTAGCAGTTCCTTTCCATCCTTTCGCGCGATTTCTCGGGGCTTGCCAACGTAGTATTTCCCCTTGCTTGATTCGGTTCAACTCGAGTTGTCTTTCCCCAACCGGCCGGGGTCTTCGAAGAGGGTGGTGCGTGTAGCCGGGTGCCGTCTTGTTCCTGGCCGACAACAAAGATGTGACTGTCGTAGATTCCATTCTTCTCGAGGAGGAGCTCGTGCTTCGACTTCCACATCCAGTTGCAAAGAAGAAACAACAACAGCACCAGCACCAGCACCAGCGAGAATCTGTATCATTTCATTCGTTCCTCCGACCGAACGTGAAAGCTCTCCAAAGATACAATCGCAGGCAACCTCATTATCTGATTAGAGGCCGAAAGCTTGAGACTTTGACATTGTGGAGCAAGTGTCACTGTCCGACAATAGGCACATTCACTCAACCAACTGAACCCCTTGCCTCATCAGGCCGGGACGCGTATTCGAGCTTCGTAGGTCATCGACTCGTCGTTGCAAGATAGTAATGGTTTCGAATATGGTGGACCTGAGTCGATCCCTCTGAATCGGTGGACACTGGTGTAAGTTTGACCTTCATCATCTCTCTATCCCGGGGGCTGGCGAAGCCGAAAACGTAAAGCTGTCCCTGCCATTCGTCTTCGACTCAGTCTGGTAATGATATACATCATTACAGGGTCATCCCAATGAGATTGGGAAAATTGTCTTCGACGACCTCCAGGACCAACAGAGAAGAAAGCACGTGAGGTAAAGAAAGACCCAGCTGGCAGTGAGTCATGATTCGGACAACCTCAAAGGAGCCAACGGTAGTTCTGTGCCTCGATGGATTCATGTCAGATGATGAATCAGATTCATGTGGAAGTGAACGCTCCATGAGCAAAATAGGCATGTCCGGGTTCAGAGTCAAAAGGGCAGCAGGCAGCAGCTCCAGGTGTATGAACACTTCGACGGACAACAGAAGACTTACGTGGGTACACATGGAGCCAATGGTAGACTTGCGCTGTCAGCGTCCTACCACCATGTTAAGAAAGCTATCAAGTCCGTTGATGTCCCTGAAGCTAACCAGTAGTGTAGGACAACCGGGTTTCAGGTCTGTGAACCACGGACTTGAAGCAACTCAGCGACTCCTCAAACATTTGGAGAAAGTCATGACAACGTACCAAACATGTAAGGGTTCATTCCGGTCGTTCCAAGAGAGTTTGCTGATCCTGGAAAAGACTGGGTATCGAAATAGAGTTTTCTCAGCACGATATCGAGTGATCCGTTCAATGAAAATCTAAACGTCGACCCATTCCAGCGGCGCAGAAAGGCTGTTGCACGTAACTATGAGAATTTGAGAGGGTTGTCCAGCCACCATCGGCACACTGGAAGATACGTGGTATATGTATAGTAAGCTGGCAGCCCATCCTCACAAATCTTCTTTGCCTTGGGCGTGGCTCGATGTATTGAATCCTAACAACAAACTATGTCCCCGATTACTCCGGGGCCGTTGCTTCTGGCCGTTCAAAGCCTGGAAGTACTTCGAAACTGAGATCTGTCGACTACGCACGGTCTCTCCGAGGGGGTGTGCTTGAATGAAGCGCACGTGCAGAGGCGAGCAGTCGTATAATAGAAAGATCTGGAGACAGCTCATCGCTGTGACGGCTGTCAGGGTGACTGGCCTCGCCGTACGATCGTGGGGAGCTGGTCTCCAGGGATACCTATGGGTCTTCAGGGTACGGCAGCCTTCCAGTGCTCGGTGGTCAAAATGCGTGAACTTAGTGACGCATTTCGTCTCCACGGAGGGCAATGAGTCGTGGACGCGTTGCATCAGCTCTCAGTCTGCCGTTGCCTTCGGCCGTCTCGTCCAAAGGCATTAGATAGCAGCATTAGATAGCAAGTGACTCCCAGGCCTCGATCAGGGTAGGTTCAGCCAACAAAGACACAGTAGAATTCAGAACAAGCCCAGGGTTGGTTGAGGGTGTAGGTTTCCCGCATCGATCGGAGATGCTGAGTCAAATCATGCCTGGAGATTGACAAGTTGAGAGTCTAGATTGCAAGATTCACTCTGGAACACAACGCGCCTTGCTGCCGGCATACAAGTTCCAGGGTCGTTATCATCGCCGCCTGTTCTTGATGGCTGCTTCTGGACAATTTGTTACACAGCTGTAATGCCAGAGGTTGAGGCATCCCTTGGTCGTTGGGATTCGATTCCCTGGCCTCTGGAATGAACCATAGACCGACCGGCAAGAACACGCCCTGTTGGTTTCAACTCTGCTTTCCAAGCTCACGTTGCGCAGAAGCCTCTCTTCACAAAGAGTACCGTGGCATGTGGCATGGTCATTACCTCAGCTGAACACCTGACGTGTGTACCAGCCAGAAATACAGTTGAATCAGGGCGATTCTGGAGGGAAAGGGTTATGCTCCTCGTGTTCGAGCTGTCAGATCCCTGTTGATGTATGAGAGTCTCGGTGCGTCTCGGTGTATCTCAATCGCATGTATGAATCTAGATAGTGCCGCTGTTGAGTATGTCACCACCCATAATGGTCGGGTTGTGTTTAGACTCACTGGAGGTCATTATGCCAACCTCGTGTCAGCTTTTGATTGTCGTCGACGGAGGAGGCACGAGTCAGGTCAGCCTGTGAAGCCTTCTGGAACCGGCAAAAGAAAACTCAAAAGGCCAGGCCAGATGCCACATTCTATCTCTAACTTTCTCTATTGATAGCCCCGTTACTCTTTTATACTTCAGATAATCTATGGTGATGGCGGAGCCCAATGGGATTCCTGTGGAAAATGGTCTGTCAGAGGGAAGTCCACCTACTGATCAGCCTAGTAGGCTCCATTGTACTCAAAGTTAGCTTGCTGCGCACGGTTATATGAGACTGTTGCTGATTCCCAACGTCTCAAGTCTCTTTTCTAAGGTCAATGTGCGATGAGTAGGATGCCCTTGAAGATGATGTCGACACAGTTCTATGAAAACATTTCCGGCAGTGCTTGGGGTCTGCATGGATCGTCAAGCCGTGCTTGACTCAGAGGAGATTTTATGTTGCATAGTAAGTAAACGACCTCCTCCCTGACTGCGCCAACCTGGACTCTCGAACTGACGTGAAGGTGAATTTCCCAGACCTACTTCCCAGACAACCTTACTCCAAATGACCGTATCCCCAAGACAATAGCCGAAATAGCATGAAACAAACCTCATCGTCCTTCTCATGTCACGGCTCTCGAACGGCAGAATTTGGTACCTTGGTACCTGCTGGTACCTTGCTCAGCCACATTTTCGGGGTCAAGCTCCAGCACAAGAAGATAACACCGGATGAATACAATGATGTTACTACTAGAGCATCTCTTTGTGACTGACCTGCCATAGCTGCACGGTACACACTAGGGGTCTGGACTCGCTTATCAAGAGCTCCAACCCGGATGGTAGTTGTTGATATCGTTGCTGCCAGCATCATTGTCATCAGCACCGCTGTGGTTGATATCGCCTTGGTTGATCCCATTGTGATTGAGACCAATGTGGTTGACGCCGTTATGGTGGGCATTGGTCGAGCTGATACTACCATGGCTAACACTAGTTGGGTTGACACTGCCATGGTAACCGCCGCTTGGAATGACACCGCCATGGTTGCTACCAGTTGGGTTGATACTGCTGTGGTAGACACCGGTTGGGTCGACGCTGCCATGGTAAACACCGGCTAGGTTGACACTGCTCTGGTAGACACCGGCTGGATTGACACTGTCATGGTGAACACCACCCTGGTAGACGCCGGTGTTGTACGCAGCTGGAGTTTGCATGAATGCATTTGGTTGTGTCCAGTAGCCCTGCTGCTGCGTGGCGGGCAATAGGTAGGGCGTGGCAGCGGTATACTGGGTCTGGGTGTGCAAGGACGCCGAGCTAGTCATGCCTTGGTAGGATATTCGGCGGCTGATATCCTCTCCGTTGTGAAGGTTAGGCATAGGGCCGCTGTGACCGGGCAAAGCCATGTAAGTAGGACTGAACGGAAAAGAGCCTGGAATTTTTGCACCAAGGACGTCTGCGGTCCAGTTTGTGGTCGCCGACTTCCGCTTACTGTGAAAAAGTAAGTTACTGCAACTCAAAAAAATTCAGGGACTACTGACCGTGGCTCCTTTCTGGTTCTGACCTTGACGCCTGATTCACGCATGTTTTTTGTGAACTGTGTAGACAGTTTGGAATACGCAGCATTCTTTTCGGTACTGACTTTTTCGAAGAGTGAGTAAGGGTATTCAATATCTGGCAAAGGCAAAACGTACTGATCAATTCGCTGCCATAGATCTCAGCGATCATCTCTGTGTAAGGCAACCGGAGCCTTCCACTAATGCATGATTTAGTGAAAGCACACAAAAGACTCCCGTCCACTCACCCCGTGGCTTCATCGAGGAAGACACCTTCATGGACTCTGTAAACAGAGAATATGAGGACAAATCTGCCAGGATATCTGATTCCAAGTGTCGGAAATGCGAATATTGATTGGTCTGGAATACCAGGTGAGCGCAGCTTCTGACCTATGAAAGAGAACAGTATCTTACCTCCTTGAGCATGTTTCAGCTTCTGCAAAGATGAAGTGGTGCATCCAATCAGAGTATCTATCCTCACTGGGTTTTCTGGATCGAGTGATTTTACGGTGACGACGCACATCACATGAGGATCAACGACTGCATGACCGTTACGGGCCCATTCGAGGGCAACTGGGGGCTCGAGAAAATTATTGGTATCTTTTTTGACTATATTCACGTCAGCACGAATTCGAAAACTATGGGAGCGTTCTCACCAGAGCTCTTCTTGCCAGCTTTTCCGTTGCCTATTGTCGGAGAGGCTGCGTTGGAAGCGCGCCACAACCTTGGTTCTTGTAGAATAACTAGAGAACAGGAGCTGGTGTTAAATTCGCGGGTAGACGCAGGACGCGAAGGTGCTTCCTGTTCAAGAACGCCATGTCCAGACCAGGGGTCTTCAAATTGCTGGAAGTAACCTCCTGTATTGAGTGGGCTGATGGCTTCAGCAGGTCTGCTTGAGGAGGCCATCCGTGCAGAATCACAGAGAGCGAGAGTGACGGGGTGTAGTAATAAGGTGCGCAATTCACAGAAAGACCACAGTCAAGTCTGGCTCGAGGATGTTGTATTTTGTGGTAAATATGTCGAGTAGGAAAAGAAAGGTTGGTACACATGAGCTGGATCGAAAAGGAATGTGCGAGGAGCCTTCGTCTTGGCTTTAAGCACTATCCAGAGCTGCTGAAAAAGTCAGTTGACGCGTGATGAAATTTTGTGAGGGCATGAAGCAATGAAATAGGAGTACCTGGTTGAAACGGTCCCGAGAGGATGGTTGCTGACTCTCTCGAAGTGGAACCAAAAAAGCAGCAGCATCGAATGACAATTTTGGACGCGTTTCGATGCAACCTAAGGCATATCAAGGCTGAGACGCTGTATACAGTAACGTTGTATCTGTGGGATATGTTGATTTCAATACCACGTGGTGGCTAGTTGGATGAAGACCGTAGGTTGTTCGAAATATGGTCGAGGGGCAGTAACTTCTTACCGTATACCACGAGGCAGGATGCACCACAGCGGCGCAGGTTCCGCTTGAGAGGCGTGCGCAGCGAGTCTGAAAACGAGTCCAACCCAAACGAGAGGGCAGAAGCTGGTGTTTTACTCGTCGTCGGCAACTTTATCGTTTCTCTCCTTGTCGTTATCTTTGCTGCGGTGTTTGCTGCCTTCATCTTCCAGCGGGACACAAGGTCGAGCTTAGGTTGCGCAGGCAAGGACACAACGCATCCATCGCACTAAGGACGACGACACAGTCTCTTCCTTAGCACAGAGCGGAGAGCTTGTGGACTCTCAGATACCGCTGGGACGACACAGGGACTTTCCTCCGTGACTTTGTCTCAGAAGAATTCCTCGTTATCAGGTTCTCTGCACTTGACATAGCCGCAGCCAAGTCATTTCTTGAGGGGTGAGCGATCAATAAGAGGACCAGAAAACACCTGTCGTGAGACCAAATCAACATTCACGGCCGTTTCTCGTGGATGGAGCAAACTTGAACATCGAGAGTGGTTGTGACGATGGTGACGGTGGTGACGACAAGGACTACTGATAATATGGAGGCATTTCGGTGAAGCGACCATCCTTCTGGATTGCAACACCGTGTTCGCACTTTTGCAGAATCCTGAGCCGCAGAGTGCACCAGCTGAAAGCCACGAACGTTCCCTCCCCTCCGATCATCTGCCGCTGTGTAGATGATGAACCAGCAGTCTAGTTTCAATCTGGTCTTGCATATTCGCTGTCCGACAGATACATTGAAAGCCCCAGATATTGGCTACGCCAGCATTGATATAGACCCTAAGCGGTCTAAGAACCAATGCCCCCAAGGATAGCTCAGCAACCTATACTCCGCGAGGTTAGACCAACGACCGAAGGCGAAAGATCCGAAGACCATAGATGAGCTGGGATACCCATAACCCAGACCATGGTGAGGCAGGACGAGCAGAAAAGACAGCCGTCAGAAAGATGAATAACGGATTTTGCGGATCACAGCCGAGATACCTGACACAAGAGCCTCACGTTGTGAATACCTGGAATGCGTGGTATTGTGCCGTAGGCTGGTCGACATTCGGTTCAACAGTATGTAAGCCTTTGCATTGTCGACTTGCATGCTAAAGCGCCGCTAGCGAGCATGAGCTGCAGGCCTTTTCATGATGTGGTTCCCGCAACAAGATATTCAAGATCAGCTTCAGTCCCCCACCCGGAGGTGGTCACCCAAGCTGTGCAACAGTCCAGCGAGGTGCATGGAATTCGCAGACATCCTTGCTAGGACCTGCGCAGCTGTCGTCGAATTGAGATGGTAACATTTGGTGTCAAAATCTGAGCCGGGGAGAATTCGACAGGCGCCTCCAAATGACTCCGGATCTCATTCATGTCTCGACTTTTCTCAGCCACCAGCGCGGCCAGGCACTGGTCACTTGGATCAACTCCAACGCAAATGCTCCTGTCACACTGGAGGTGAACATGGAGCGGGCGAGACCACGGGGTTGAATAATGTTAGCTTCGACTGGCCATTTTACGGACGCATCTAGCCAGCTCCGACAGATTTCTGATGATAAGATTGGCCCGGTAGATGGAATCATTGACCAGGGCTTCCATGAAGGCATCAGGCTTGGGTAGATCAGGCTATGTCGTAGCCTCAGACCCCTGTCCTCGAGGAGGTAATGAACGCGAAGGGGCGGGCTCGACAGCTCCACATTTGAGTAAGTTTACGGAAAATCCCGATCAGAAAGAAAGAGCCAGACAAGCCCATAACCATAGCAGAACGATCCCTAGATGGTGTCAAAGGTAGCACGAAGCACCGCGTGGCGAGCAACAGAAAGACCAGCGATCCCGCCATTCCGGATCCAAGCGAAAGGCTCGCTGCTCAAGCACGGCACTTTTGACGTTTATTAGCGGCATCGGATAGCACACCGCGACGCGTCATGCTGCAGAACTCTAAGAGTGCCACTATTACCATGACCGTACTCGTACACTTCTTTTCTTAGCTATGTCTGTCTCAGGCTATGGGTTGGAACAACCATCTTTGAGTCTTGCTGGAGGAAGAGCCGGGGATCTATCAACTACATTCACGAGCTTAACTTCGAGGAACGAGGATTGGGCTCTTTGAGGAAAACTCCGTCTCGCAAAACATTGGTGATGATGCTGGGATGACGGCTGGAGATGATTTCGTCCTCCAGTTATGAAGGATTGCCATCCTTCCCACAGCTGATGAAGGATCAATTCCAGGCCCTATCGATTGACTTTTCTGACGGCTGCTCCAGTCTCGGCATCAATGGTGTCTAATATGCGTGGATCTTCTTGGGGTTTGAGCACGACAATTGCGATGTTTTTCTCAGACTTCGTTCTGTCAACATTTGCGCAGCCTTGGCCCAAGTCCAGCCTCCACTTAGCGAGATGCTTGACATTGTGATATCGAGGCAATGTACCTGTCTTGATGCAGTCGGACGAGCAATCTCCGATTCATACTGGGTTGGTCTATCGGCTGTGGGCGTTTCGAGCCATTTCACAACAAGACGAGCAAAAGCCTGATTCTTAAATGGTGTGAAAGCTACTCAAAGCGGTTGAGTCGATGCAATTCCAGGCCAACCACCAGGCAGGATTTCTACCGCTCTTAGACTCGTTTTCGTGTTACATGAGTGACAGCCACATTTTCGTTGCACACTCAAGTCATGCGGCCAGAACTTTCGAGCAAGCGTCCCGACACCTTGGGGTGGCATCTGCAGGTGCCTCCCGTTTACTGTCAGCAACACCATCTTGGCGAGGCACGACGTAAACATTGGTCGTCTTAGCAGACTTCTTGCAGCCTGCCCGAGGCCTGTAGCTTTTTTGTTCTAACATGCGGGTTCATACTGACTTTGGTCCGGGATTAGGTACTAGAGAGGCCGAGAACGCGAGTGTGGCGCAATTGTCGAGTAGGACCCCGAGCAGCTGCCGGGCCAACAATAACGTTGCACACATATGCAAGCTATCTTGTACAACGTGCTCTGCTTCAAGCCAGGCCCCGATCAGATGTAAGTTCATATGCATTTCCCATGTGGTAACAAGGGCGACTCCAGGTAGGACTGGTGGGACAACGCCGTTCGTTTTGGAATTACTCCAAGGTGCATGGTGTGTTGCCCTCGTCAATTACTCTGGAAAGACCTCTCGTCGATGCAAATCGAAGTGAACCGTCGCTGATATCACCACAAGACAAGCCCATCATGTCTGCTCACTATTGCACCATGCATGCATACTAACACACCCGATTACTTTGGTCCGCAGGACTCGAGCATCATGTCGCCGGTATATGTGGCCGTCCTTCATCGGATGTTCCCACCTGCGGTCAACTCTCCCGGGGCTTGTCGAGGTCTATCATTAGAATCCGACGTTGATCAAATCTATATGACCGTGATAGGTGAGGTTTGATTACAAGAATTGAGCCTCTGAACGGTAAGGATGAGTCGATCTAACAACGCAGTATCCCATGCATCTTACCCACGGGTCAGGGAGGTAGGTACAAGTGAGCAAGAAGCACGTGAGGATACCAAGGGAGGGACCGGAAGAAGATCAAACTCGACAGCATCGTCAAGACTCTTGCAGAGAGTGGGATTCGTACCCACACCTTTTAGAATTCAGTTCGATTCATAGGCAATAGAAAAGGACACACGGGATTCCCCTGAGGAGGCGTCAAGATTTCAGAGCCCTAATCTGAGGCCATAATCAAGCTCGGCCAGCTCTCCAGCTGCAAAAATACATGTAAAATCATGAATAAGCGTCCTCTGCAATTCGCAATTGTCGGGATGTGAGCGAGCAAAGCCGTATATGTACAGGCGATGTATTCATTTGTTGGGGTGTCTCCATCCATGGATCTGCTCTCGGCTCGACTTTCATAGAGGGAGAACGGAGACGGAATATCGTCCCGCCGAGACGATCTTGGCATTGGTAGGGCCGACATTGGTTCCGTGTTCACATAGAGCCAACCGTCAAGCCCCTTGACCTGAGTTATGACAATTCAACGTCGTAGGAGGACACGAGCTACGAGTAGGTAGATGGAGATTTGCGAACCATGCAGACCGGATCGCTATTGCAGTACGGCTGTAGTCATCCCATCACCACGTTAACCGGAGTGTTTCTTGCGTGGAAATCAATTTTGCTGCTGGTTGTTGTGACCAGCCCAGGACTAGGATATGACACTTCTACCAGCTTGCTCTCGGCGGGTTTAAAGCAGAATGTGACAGGGCTCGCATCGGATACGCCGAACAATATCCCAACCCTGTGGCTGAATTTTGTACGTTGGGACGCCATCTACTTTACGCAAATGGCTCAACATGGACATGTCTTCGAGCAGGAATGGGCCTTTGGCATTGGCATATCCTCGGCTATAGGGTGGACTTCAAGAAGTGAGCAAGTGCCTGACCAGCAATAGATATTGTTGGTATTGGAATTCGAAAAACTAACGACACAAAATCCTGCTTCTAGTTCTCGAACGATTCATGGATATTGACTATTCGACATCATCCATGGTCGCCGGTGTATGCTTGTCTCATATCGCGCATTGGCTTGCTGTTGTACAGGTATGGGCCATAGGGAGCCATTTGTCGGGGGAAGGGAGCAAGCCATCGCAACAACAATCGCAATGGCCAATCCCATTCCTGGCAGGACTCATGCATATTCTCTCCCCTGCTGGAGTATTCTTGTCGACGCCAAACACCGAGAGTCTGTTTGCGTGCCTTTCTTTCTCTGGATTCCTGACGTTCCTGTGGGCTACTGCCTACTTCAACCAAGCCAAGGTTCTACGAGGCTGCGTCAGCATGGTCGCTGCAGGTGTGGCATTCGGATTGGCGACAATAGTACGAAGCAACGGCATACTCGCCGGCATACCGTTCCTGATCGAAGCGGCCACGATCGGGTTGGCCGCGCTCTTTCAAGTTCCCTCGTTGCCACGATTGCTCCGTCTCGCCTCTGTCGTCGTCGGTGGACTCTTGGTTGCTACGGGAATGGTAATTCCCCAATTCCTCGCCTACCAAGAATATTGCGCGGGTCGAAGTCCTGGTCAGCAGAGGCGGGAATGGTGCGAGTGGACAGTTCCTTCGATTTTTACATTCGTCCAGTCACACTACTGGTAAGTCTGAGACCTTCATCTGCCGACCTCGACCTCTTGTCTTGTTCTAGGTCTGATATTTGGGGTTGCGGTCTAGGAACGTCGGCCCATTTCGATATTGGACCTTGTCGAATCTTCCCTTGTTTCTCCTTGCTGCCCCGACACTTTGGATCCTGACTCAATCCGCGATCGAGGCCCTGCAAAAGCCAGAAACTATTCGAGGCGGATACCCATTGTTGGCAAGCACGAACGGCAGGCAGCAAAGACTTGTGGCAAGCCTGGCATTACCTCAACCTTTGCTAGCTGTCCTTGCATTCACGAGTTACCATGTGCAAATTATCACGAGAATTTCATCCGGTTATCCTCTATGGTATGTCTGGCTGGCTGCAAAGACTAGAGGTGAAAATGCCAAACACGCATCGGTTATCATTCGATGGATGATGGTCTATGCACTTGTTCAAGCTGGGCTGTACGCATCGTTTTTGCCGCCGGCTTGAGAGATACCCTCTGGGCATGTGCAAGGTTTTCACGTCCCCAGAACAGCTTGTACCAAGCCTTTTCCCTCTTGTGTTTCGATTTCATCTTTAATTGGATCCGATCCCTCTTGTGTCCAAGTTGACAGTGGCTGCGACGTGATAGAAGGAAAATATCAGTGTCTAAAATATCAGTGTCTAAAAGATCAGTGTCTAAAAGATCAGTGTCTAAAAGATCAGTGTCTAAAAGATCAGTGTCTAAAAGATCAGTGTCTAAAAGATCAGT